TCATGTGCTGCTAATTACTTCTTATATATGGGTGGTTGTTATAAAGCAACAGAGGTGCCTGGTAGCCTCATGTGCAAGACCGCTGACAACGGTGTCTGTACCGCTGCTAATGCCAACAATAAGTACTTCGTAGTACCAGGGGCAACCAATCAGAATCAGTCTGTGTTGGCCTGTGGTAACCCCTAGGCACACTAGTAGGCACTCAAGGTACTGCTAAGGCATACGTGGGAGTGGATGGCTGCTCCCAGTGCACAGCCCCGACAGCTCTAACAACAGCTGGCATGACTGCTGCTATATGCACTGCCTGTGACAGTGGTAAGAAGCCCAACAGGGATGGCAGTGGGTGTGTGCTGTGCTCTGTGGGTGATTGTAAGAGCTGTGTGATGGATAATATATGTGGGGAGTGCAACAGTGGCTTCAGTCTAGACAATGGCAAGTGTGTGTCCTCTGGCAGTAACAGAAGCGGCCTCTCCACGGGGGCCATCGCGGGGATCTCCGTCGCTGTCATCGCTGTCGTGGGTGGTCTCATAGGGTTCCTCTGCTGGTGGTTCGTGTGTAGGGGGAAGGCGTGACTTAGGTAGTGAATGCTCTATAGTGTATGATAATGGGTGATAGAGGGTGATAGTGGAGTGAGATATGCACAGCAGCCAGTGATGGACTGTGCACTGCTTGTAAGACAGCTAACGGCCTGTTCAAGAACCCTGCTACAGCACCAGAGAAGGGAAGGGAGTGCATCCTGTGCTCTGATACGACAGATAGAGACGGGGTCACGGGAGCCGCTGGATGCTCAGAATGCTCCCACACGGGCACTAGCGGACCGGCCACATGCACTGTCTGCCAAGATGGATACATTAAGAAGGGTGATGCATGTGAGAAGTGTGATCAGTCTTGTCTGACCTGCGATGGAAGTGGTCCGAATCATTGCACATCGTGTCCAGAGGGGAAGTACCTGAAGACTGACAAGTCATGCGTGAATAATAATGGATGCACTGGAAACACTTATGCTGACCCGGAGTCGGGGAAGTGCCTTCCTTGCAACACGATAGATCAAGCATGTACCCAGTGTGAGGTTGATTCGACTACCAAGAAGCCGAAGTGCACAGCTTGTGATAACAGTGGGAAAAAGGTAAAGACGGCCATCGATGGCACCACAACGTGCGTTGATGTGAGCTCTAATTGCGTGGATGCTGATCACTTCAAGGCAGATGGTGACTCAGCGTGTGTCTTGTGCAGCGATACCAGCGGATCAGACCCAAAGAACAAAGGCATTGCTGGCTGTAAGGCTTGCACGAAGACAGCGAGTGCTAATCCAACCTGCTCGGAGTGCCTAGCTGGATACTACAGTAGTGGTAGTGGTACGGTTACATGCACAGCCTGTGGACAAAACTGTGCCACCTGCACTCAAGCTGGCAACAATCAGTGCACTAAGTGCAAGGCAGGGTTCTTCCTGAAAGGCAATGGTCCCGGTGAGTGTGTCCCATGCGATGATGCACAGAATCAAGGGATCGAGGGCTGTGCCGAGTGCACTGGTACTACAGGATCCCTCAAGTGTACTAAGTGCAAGCCTAACAGGAAGCCCGCGGGAAACCAAGACAACTATACATGCACAGAGAAGACCTGCGAGGATGAGACTGCATGTGGTGGGACAGCTGGCTCTTGTGATGCCACAGTGATTGATAATCAGGGCAATGCAAAGCACTACTGTTCCTATTGTGGAGAGGCTAATAAGTTCCCTATCAACGGTGTCTGTGTTGAAAGTAGTCAAAAGAACGGGAATAACTGTAACAGTCATACATGTACATCATGTGCTCAAGGGTACTTTATGTACATGGGAGGGTGCTATGATGCGTCGAAGGCTCCCGGTAGTCATATGTGCAAGACCGCTGACAACGGTGTCTGTACTACTCCCAATGCCAACAATAGGTACTTCCTGGTCCCAGGGGCATCCAACACTGATCAGTCTGTATTGGCTTGTAGTAACCCATTAGGCACACTAGTAGGCACTGGTGATACTGCTAAGGCATACGTGGGGGTACTCAACTGTTCACAGTGCACAGCCCCAGCAGCTCTGTCTGATGGTGGTATGGCTGCTGCTATATGTACCTCCTGTGACAGTGGTAAGAAGCCCAACAGGGATGGCACTGGGTGTGTGACATGCTCTGACACCAACTGCAAGAGCTGTGTGGTGGACGGTGTGTGTGGGGAGTGCAGTGATGGGTACAGTCTAGAGGGTGGCAGGTGCGTGTCCTCTGGCGCCAACAGGAGCGGGCTCTCCACGGGGGCCATAGCAGGGATCTCCGTCGCTGTCATCGCTGTCGTGGGGGGCCTCGTGGGCTTCTTGTGTTGGTGGTTCCTGTGTAGGGGGAAGGCATGACTTAGGTAGTGAATGCTGTACAGTGATAGTGATAGTGCTATGTGGTGTGGGGGTGATAGTGGTGGTGTGGGACTTCTCTTCATGGGCGGGTGCTACAAGACAGAGAGTCAGCCCGGCAGTGAGATATGCACAGCAGCCAAGGATGGACTGTGCACTACTTGTAATACAGCTAACGGCCTGTTTAAGAACCCGGCTACAGCACCGAAGTCTGGTAGTGAGTGCATCCTCTGCTGGGACACGGTGGGAGATGGCGCGACGAAGGGAGTCGAGGGCTGTGCCACATGTACAGCACCAGCTAATAATAAGGGGGCTGCCACGTGTACTAAGTGCCAAGATGGATACTATAAGAACGCTCAGACATGTGTCAAATGTAATGAAGCTTGTCTGACCTGCGATGGAAGTGGCCAGAATGCGTGCACATCGTGCCCAGAGGGGAAGTATTTGAAGACTGATAGTAAGACTTGTGTAGAGGCGTCTGCCTGTGCAAAGGGCACCTATGCCGACGAAGCAACCAGAAAGTGCGAATCCTGTACCGCAGGCTCAGGTGCCGGCGGTACGGCAGGAGTGCAAGAATGCGCTGCGTGTGCATATAATAAGGCCAGCGGAAAACTGGAATGCTCTGAATGTACCGGCGGAGCCAAGATCCCCAGGGTGTCTTTGGATGGTACCTCGACCTGCGTGGCGAAGGACTACGCCGGGTGTGCCGGACAAGACAACGCTTTGTTTATAGTAGAGGACAAGTCCAAATGCCTTTTGTGCGACGACGTTGAAACGGGGACAGATCCGAAGGATCAGGGCGTCGCCGGCTGTAAGGCTTGCACGAAGACCTCGAGTGCAAAGCCCACTTGCACAGAATGCTTGGAGGGATACAAAAGTACCGGAGTTGGTTCAGTAACATGCACCCCCTGTCACGCCAACTGTGCCACATGCTCAGCTGAAACTGCTGAGGATAAGTGCCTGACCTGCAAAGCAGGGTTCTTTCTAGTTGATGTTACGGGTGGGAAGAAGTGTGTCCCATGTGATAGCAAAACCGATAATGGCATCGATGGGTGTGCCGAGTGTGATAACAGTACTGGATCCCTCAAGTGTACAAAGTGCAAGGTGAACTACAAGCAGAGCGGTACCGGTCCTGTTACATGTACCAAGACTTGTGAAGATGAGACTGCATGCGGGGGTACCTCTGGCGCCTGTGATGCCATCGTAATAGATGATAAGGGCAACACAAAGCACTACTGTTCATACTGTGGGGATGACAGTAAGGTACCGATTGATGGGAAGTGTGTTGATAGTGGTAGTATAAATGGTAATACTTGTGCTAAAGGTGTATGTACACAGTGTGCTCAAGGATACTTCTTATACATGGGAGGCTGTTATAAGGTAGCAAGTCCACCTGGTAACCTCATGTGCACTGAAGCAACAACAGCTGGTGTCTGCACAGAGGCGGCCAACAATAAGTACTTCGTAGTACCAGGAGCATCCAATCAGAATCAGTCTGTATTGGCATGTGGTAACCCATTAGGCACACTAGTAGGCACTCAAGGTACTGCTAAGGCATACGTGGGGGTACTCAACTGTTCACAGTGCACAGCCCCAGCAGCTCTGTCTGATGGTGGTATGGCTGCTGCTATATGTACCTCCTGTGACAGTGATAGGAAGCCCAACAGGGATGGCAGTGGGTGCTTCGCATGTGCCGTTAGTGGATGCTCGCACTGCAACAGGGATGACATGTGCGAGGCATGTAATGATGGTAAGAAGGTGAGCCCTGGGAGGAAGTCATGCGTGGATAAGTGTCCCAGCAACTCCACTGACACCGACTCTGTCTGTGTGTGCGACGATGGATATAGCCCTGACAGCAGTGGGACCTCCTGTGTGTCTATGAGCACCAACAGGAGCGGGCTCTCCACGGGGGCCATCGCGGGCATCTCCGTCGCTGTCATCGCTGTCGTGGGGGGTCTCATAGGGTTCCTCTGCTGGTGGTTCCTGTGTAGAGGGAAGGCGTGACTTAGGTAGTGAACGCTCTGTTGGTGGTTAGTGCTCAGTGAGCGTCTGCTGTCCATCCACTCGGTGCTGTTCTGAGGGCAGTGTGCGCTGGATGCGGTCTCCAGGATCACTCCGCGGCCGGGGCGGGGTGGGTAAGGACCTGCATGCAGAGACTCGTGGTGTAGCAGGGAACTGACTGGTCTGTAGTTCAACAGAGACGGGGATCCAGTAGCTAAATCCTTAGGCAGCTGCTGGTGGACCTGGTGCCCCGGTCTATTCGCCAGCCTAGTTTTGAGAGAGAGCATCGACCCTATAAGAAGGAGTCGCGGGATGCAAGGATGGGATGCAGCCCCCTGTCGTAGGTGTGTCCAGAGGTTGTGACAAAGGCCCAGCTGCATCGTTGGGGTATCGCGTGCATTGTTGTAGAGCTGATAGCAGAATTTGTTTAAACGATAAATATTATACTTAGCTAGATTAGTATATAGTTACCAGAGTCAAGGAGGCCGAGATGATCGAAGAGGTCAATAAGACCCACACTTGCACCCATAGCTTGAACAGGTATTTTGTGGTCATAAAGGCAGCAGACGACGAAATAGGCCTGCAGGCCATAAGTCGAGGAGGCAACGTAAAATCTCGCTCACATCATTTACTGCTTAGGGGCGTTCTTCTCGCAGTATGCAATAGCTCTCTTTCCAAGGTCAACGCCAGCATTGTACGCTTGTTCAAGAAGCTCCTCTGTGTAGTTAAACTTAAACGTAATACCCTTCTCATCGTATACGTCAGCTTTGCACCCGTCCCTGAGTTCGGCTACTATGTCTGGGACAGCCCTGTTGCTCCACCCAAAGGCACCAAATGCAAACGCAGGCTTCCCCTTGATAAGAGTCAGTCCTCTGACGTAGTTAAGAGCGGCAGCGACGGAGGGCATCATCGTGTTGTTGAGTGTCGGGCTTGCAAAGGCCACAGCTCCAGAGTCGTACGTGTGGAGCGCAACCTTCGTGATATCAGAGCTAGTCATCTCAAGAAGAACTGTCTCGCAGCCCGTGCTCCGAGCACCATCAAGGAGGGCGAGCGCCATGCGGTGTGTGGTTCCATACATGCTGTCAAGGACGACTGTGACCTTCTTCTGGCAGTGCTGGCCCTTAGACCATCTGTCATACTCAGCAATCGCAAGGCCCATCGCGTCGCCACGCCACGAAACGCCGTGAGCGGAGAGGATGTACTTGATTTCGACGGTGCTTGCGACTTCAAGTGCTTTACGCATCTGAGCACTGAACAAGCCCAAGATGTTGGCAGTGTACTCCTTAAAGAGGTGCATAACGTGCGAAACGTCGCACTCGTCCGCCCACCTCCTTGAGGTGGCATAATGCTGACCAAAGCCGTCATTGGAGAAGAGAATCTTATCCTCGGGGCAGTAGGTGAAGGTGGAGTCAGGCCAATGAAGCAAGGGAACCGGGATGAACTTCAGCGTCCTCTTGCCAATCTTGAGCGTGTACTTGTCGTCGACAATGAGCCACGTTGCCTTCTCCATGCCATAAAGAATCTTCAGGTGTTCCTGGCACTTCTTTGTACAGACAAACGTCGCGTTTGTGAACTTATGGTAGTGGTCTTTAAGAGAGGACGCGTGGTCGCCTTCAGCATGATTCATGACGACGTACTTGATCTTGTCGAGCGGGCAGCATGCCGCAATACGAGAGAGCCATTCCTCGGCGAAGGGGTACTTTACAGAGTCGATCACCGTAGGGCATTCGTCATCTATGAAGTACGAGTTGTACGAGCTCCCCTCGTCTGTGTGGTACCCATGAAAGATCCTGACCATCCAGTCGACGATCCCGACCCAGTAAACGCCTGGAATCATCTCCTGATCCTGCACATACTTGGGCTTAGAAGACATGATATACTTTTTTTAGCCCTGGTCTACATACTTCAATGATGGATCAACAGTTGTGGCCACCATTGCTTTATACATCAAACGACTACTGGGCAATATACTAGTGCATTTTGCTGAGAAGGTACCGGTTCTTACAAATTGATATTTGCTGAGCACTTAGAAATTGGTTGAACCGGTGTAGTTGAAGTGGTTAACTTCTTCAGTATTACCGATGTCGTTAGAAGCTGTATCTCTACTGGTAGCTGCATTCGACTTATCATGCGAACCTTCGTAGATAAGCGGTGTTTGTGTAGACGCAATCTATCATAAGGGCAGGATATCGCTGAATTCCAGAGCCAGAGCCTATTTATAAAGTTTACTCAAACGCTGTTTACCACAAGAGATTGCTTCTGTTGCTGGGTTCCTTTTCCTTTGCTCAAGAGTGAGACCTCGCATTGCGACACCCATGCTGTCTCTTCAGCTGTCAGGGAAGAATGTGGACTGTGTGCATATCATAAGCTGTAATTTCTCTCGATAATGCACACCTTGTGAACGATTCTCCTAGTCAAATATAAAATTAGAAGTAATGCAGCAAAGAGAGGAGACCTCACTGGCTCGGATAAAGGCAGCGGCTAACGCACGAGAAACCCATATTAATAAGATGCAGGATCGGAAAAGAGATGCCGTTGTCTTGGTGCTGGATTTCCTGAGAGCGGAGGGCTATGTCACAGCGTTGGCCAACCTAGAGGGAGAAACCGGGATAAGCCTATCAAAATATCAGGTCTGTGATAATGTTGATCTTCTGCACGTTGTACAGGAGTATCAAGAGTACTTTAGCTATAAATATGATAAAGAAGCCAGAATAGTCAAAAAGGCAAGTGGTGAGCAATCCGGGCCGCAAAAGGCACCACCTCGACAAAAGCAAGTAGCGCCCCCGGCCATCCCCAAGCAGCTTTCATCTGTTCCATCAGATGACCAAAAGGTGTCCAAGCAGCCCGATCCGCGTACTAATCAAGGAAGCATGCCGCGTCAGCTACAAGTAAAAGAAGATACAGAGCAAAGCAAGAGTACAGAGCAAGCATTTCTTAATATCAATGGGGCGAAAATACCATATAAAAAGAAACCTGCCACGCCAAAGGCCCAGTCTGTTGTTCAAACCCCGTCATCGAACGAAGCACCTGCCCAGGCATACTCAATAAAGAAATCAGCGTCTTCATCTAACATCCCAGACGATCAGTATTCTCTTCCATTCCAACCTGTAAAAAAGGCCGCACCCGTAGCCCAGCCAGACACTTACCGGTCAAACTTGATTGCAAATGGCTCTCTGAATGATGGTGGGCTTGCATCGCTGTTTAATCTTATCAAGATGGAAATATTGACAGAGTCACCTAATGTACGCTTCAGCGATATCATCGGCCTCTCAGCAGCCAAAAAGATTCTGAGAGAATCAGTGATACTTCCAAGACGATACCCGCATTTGTTCGAAGGCGGAAATGGCCAGGGATCTTTGGCATGGAAGGGGCTTCTAGTTTATGGCAGCCCAGGGTCGGGAAAGACGTGCCTTGCAAAGGCGCTGGCCACAGAAAGCAGAAGCGTCTTCTTCTGCGTTTCTAGCGCGACGCTTACCAGCAAATACCATGGAGAAAGTGAAAAACTTGTGCGATGTTTATTCATCATGGCGCGCCAGTATGAGAGTGCGGTGATCTTCTTTGACGAGGTGGACAGTATACTATCCAGCAGAACGGCTGATGGAGAGCACGAAGCTAGCAGGAGAATGAAGTCAGAGATGTTGCAGCAGATTGATGGGCTGTCGAGTTACATCGACTCTAGTAGTAGGATATTTGTCCTATGCGCCACCAACTTCCCCTGGGAGATCGACCAGGCCATGCTTCGCAGACTCGAAAAGCGCATCTTTATCGAATTGCCAGGATTTATCAGTAGAATAGTAATGATAAGGAAGTTTTTGGGAGACAAGTTGCGATATGAGGATGCCAATTCAGTTTGCGGCGCCGAAGACTTTTGTTGCTATGATGAGTATGTAAAAAAGGTGTCCGAAATATCACATAATAAGGAGGATGTCCTTTCAGAGCAGTTCTTCACAGAGACCCTGAACAGACTCCAGCAGATCGGTCTCAAATACCTGGTTACTATTTCTGTGCTAACTTCGTGCTTCTCTGGCGCTGATCTGCATATTCTTTGCACAGAAGCATGTATGACTAAAATTCGTGAGGTGCTCGATGTCTTAGAGAAAGACTTTGCGGAAGACCAAATTACTGATGTAGATTTTAAAGAGAGCAATCCAGAAGTGATAGATAAGTACCTCAACACTGTGCTTCCAAGAGATCAAAGCCCACTTGATTTAAAAGAGCTTGAGCACGAGGAAATTAGACAGGAGTGTCTTGAGGATCAAAAGCTGGATCTCTCTGTAGGATATACAGAGCTCACAAAGGCTCTTATGGTGACAAAGCCAAGCTTTCATCCCCCAGATCTTCAAAAATACATCGATTGGGGGGCTGCATTTGGTTCGGGATAGGTATTGTCTCATGGAGATCCGAGTACATGGGGGAGTGCGGGAAAACGCATTCAGTACAGTAATCTTTCAGCGCTTGGACAAGGCATCCATAGGATTTTTTGTCTTCAGTACAAAGCACTTCTCTTGCAGAAGAATAAGCATTGGTGTTTTGTTTGGCTTCCTCTTCTCTTTGCAATACATTAGTATTAGGCAGCAATTTCGTCATGTCTATGCTGCCAGGTGCACATGTTCGTATGTCTTGTTGGAGCTTATAGGTTACTGCATGTAGGCAAAGCACAAATACATCATATCTCGTCGAGAAGCTTAAATCAGATGTACACAGCTTAGAAAGAGGAAGAATCCTTATGCCCTCCATCATGGTCTGTATGATTTTCATTTTCTTGCAGTACGAATCAATTAGATTAGTTGCAATCATGTTATTAAGAAGTTGAAAACATACTTGAGATGACAGGAATATGCTTGCTCGGTGCTCTCGAGAAAAGATGAATTCAATCAATGCTATCACTAGAGTTGTCGTTTCGGAATTATTCCAGCCCTTATGCTCTAACATAAACCTGAGGCTAGCAACTGGTATCAGAGAGGGTGACAGAGGTAACATCGCAGAACCACCACGGAGCAAAAGCTTTAGCCCAGTATCTTCCTGAAGTACAGAATCATATCGTGTAGAAAGCTCTGCTCTGGTCACTATCGTGCAGCTAGGAACGCGGTGATATTCTTCTTCTAGTATGAAAAGATTTGCTATTACTGCGTGGATGGCCATGACTCCCTTTTCAAATTCACGTGGATTGTGTGACTGGAGTACTAACTGGAGTACAGAGCTCAGTACCTGTATGTCTTCGTAGGTGAAGGAACTGTTTGGATGGAAGATGTGATTGGACAATAGAGTTACAAAAGATAAAACTTCCAACAACCGGACAGAATTACCCAGTAGAGATGGCACGGCTAATGACAGCTTCAAGGTATGCACGATCAGGTCCACGAGAGAGCAACTGGGTAACTCTGGAAATCCAGGGCAATCGACTTCTATTTGCGAAAAAATTTGATTATGATTTGTGACTTTTTCGCTGAATGCAACCCATTGCATAGCTCTGGGATTATAGAAGAAACGAAAGTAATGTAATAGGTTGCAAAGGAAATCTTCGAAACCAGGATCACTGAGCCGTGTGTGGTAAAACTCAAATCCAAGCTTGGCACAGAGAGCTATGTTGACAGACCTAGCAACATGGAAGAAACTCCACTTGTTTTTGAAAAGCCAGCAAATAATATCGTCATCTTTAAAGTACTTCTTTAGCTGCTGACAAATGAAAGCATGTGACTTTTCAATCTCCAAGCTATTAACTGAAAGGAGTGTCGGCGGCGATGCTATTCGCTGCTTGCCCTTGGTTTTATGGTGCTGGTACGCACCCACATTAAACTTTTTGATTAGCGATTTGAGAATACTAAAGTTGGGTACATCACTGCGCTCACAAGACAGTATAAAATTGATATACTCGCACTCATTCGGAAGGCTGCACATGTCTGCCAACAGCTGAACCATCAAAGGGAGCGCCTGTGACTGCAGTTTAGATATATTAGAACAGAGGGGCTGGATAAAGCTGTTTGGTGAGCAGGCACTAGACACAACCCAACAGTTCTCCAGGAGAGCAGTTAATACAAGCACCAGCTTGAGTGGGTTTATCTTGGCGCTCTCGACAGTTGCCACCACGTTCTTTGTGGTGAGGAAAGAAAGGAGGAGGTGTAGATAGCCTGTCCAGATGGCAAACACAGCAGCAGTATTAAATATTAACTGACCATCTGCATAGTACATGTTAGCAGGCGATAGGGTAGAGTCCACCTTAAATTCTGATGGTGAGTGTTTCTTTCTCATGGTCCTGGCATTGTCATAAGTAGACCGTAGCACCCCCGAAGTAGTAGATAGTCTTTGCGGAGAATGAAAGCTATTAAGGAGTAGCTCCTCTAGAAGGTCCACAAGAAGGTGCAAATACTTGTGGTGAAGGTCATTGCAATCTGACTCTTGCATCAGTGCTGGTATAGCATGCCAAATGGAGCACAAGGTATTAGTGAAAACAGGGACGCATTCATAGGCGGTCGTCCACCCTGCTATCTCGTAAATCCAGTTCTTGAGACTGCACGTAGTGTGTAATAAAATGAAAAGCAGGATAAGAGGTAATAGAGGATCATTACGTAGTCTGTTAGATAGGTATATGATATGACTGCGAAGACTGCAAACAGAAGCAAAAGATTGAATCCGTTTCGCGTTGTGCGTGTTATTCAAATAGAAGACCCGCATAAGGAATTGCTTAAACTTTTGCATGTGTGGGCCTCGCCTTATCTGTACCTCATTCTCGCGAATGTTAAACAGCGCATCTGGAAGGTTGACGCTAAATATGTCTTTGACAGAAAGAGATGGTACGGCCAATGCTTGAACAGATTGCCACGTTGATAGCGGCTTCTGAATTTTAAACAACGAAAGAAGATGTTCAATGATAACTATGCAGAACGGCAAGGGCTCCATCTCCTGTTGTTTTGCATATGGTGCGCAGCATTCCAATTCGAGGATATCGTTAAATTGAGCACGGGGTTCCAGGGCCTGCTTTAGCTGTAGTACAGACGGGAAGCTAGAGAGCCTATCTAACGAGTTTCTCCCAAGGATACCGGCGAACAACTGGTGAAGCAGAAGATTATAGAACCCAAAACTATGTCTTGATGTACGGAGAATGGCCAAGGTATCCAAAAACCCGTATAGCAGTGAGCTAGGCCATAAGAGATAATTTGCAGAAGTCCAAATAACGGAGCCAGCCGTGTGAGCAAGGGATTTATTCGGGTACCCATAGATAAAGACATAGGCAAAAAACGGTAGATACCTACATCGCGAGTATGGGTAGCGAGGGGGATTTGATAGGAAAATGTTAACAATGCATTCAAGGGTGCCCGTACTATAAGAATCCTTGATGAAGGTGATTAAATCGCTTTTGTAAAAGAGTAAGATAGATATAGAAATCTCAATGGTTCGGGAATTCATAAGAAAAGATATGTCTCCCATTGCAGAGAACAAAACGATGTCTTCACTGCTCGATTTAGATGATTCGATTGGCTGCTTAGTCTGCATGTGCAATGTGATAGATTTGAGGAACTTTATGATATGAAGTGGTACTTTTCGTTGTTGCGTAAGCAGTGTAGTGCTTTTTGGAGACAAATGAAAATACTCAATCAGGCCCAGAAGGAGGAGCTCGACAACGCTAGAGCAGTTCCGTCCTATGTTGGCCCACTCGCCTGTAATGAGCCTTTCCATTAAGTTGATAGCGGACTTAGCAAAATCGGTGCTAGATACCAGGGTTTTGACATCTGCAGAGATATCATTATCGCATGGAGAGGTAAGCGCAGGACAGGCTGTGGTGTACTTTGTCACTCTACAAACAAACTCATTAAACAGGTCAAGAACCACCAACAACAAGGGCATGTGAAGGTGTATTTGCTTTGGACATGATAGGCTCTGAAATATAGACAAAAGAGCAGACGGTAACAAGCAGAGCTCTGGTTTATATAGCAGTGCACTCAGTACACTTTCGTGGGGCAGTGTCAGTAATAGGTCTAAAATTAATTGAACTATAACAGAGAGAAGATGATAGCGCTGACTGTAAAGTATATTATTCTTATCTAAGAACTGCTTAGAATAGCAAACTGAATAGGCATAAAGAAGAAGCATGAGACTTTGTATAAAGCTGCTAGAAAGCAGCTCGCTCAAATCCTTATCGATTGATAGTTCTTCATGGGAGAGATACTCTGCTATCACTTCAATGACTGCTGAAAATTGAGGATCTAAAATTTTAATAGAAATGGTTTCGGGGTAGAATGAGCCCGAAATGATCGCATTTTCATGTTGAGCTACATGAAAAATAATAAACTGAACAGCAGCAACAACCTGTGTGCGCAGAAAAGGTAATGTATGAAGGCAAGGATCGGCAGCTGACTGAATGAGGTAGGAAGGCCCTGGACTAAAGAGATCATTCGAAACGGTTGGTAACAAGTAAAGAGACCCCGCACTAGTGTACTTAAGATGAACCGGGGTTACACCACTCAATCCCACTTCTTCAGAAGATAGCCCAAAGTAGGAGCATACGTTGTTGTTGTGCTCAGCATCCTTTTCAGCATGTACCTGTCTAAATAAGAAGTCCTTAGTATTCCGTAGCTTGTCATCTTCTATAAATCCTAGAAGATCTAACTTCTGATGAGCTACCGTATCCAGGTGGCACTGAACTACCTTATCTAGGTGATATAGCAGGCACGCTGCTTGATATTCCAATTCAGTTGCCTTTCCTAGAGGGTTTGCTCCTACAAAGAGCAATCCGCATCGTAGAATGTAACTGAAATTAGTCAGTGATAGCGGGACTGCGCTGCTGGACAAATTTCCTAGACATGTCAGTAATGAGAACAGCAACACGGAAACAGAACAGAATAGCAATCTACATATCTCCTGAAAGGCACAGGGGTTAGTCATGAGCTCATCTCGTTGAGTGTAGATCAGTTTTGCCCATGTTGTTAACAAAGTTATGAAACAAGTAAAGCTTGTTATGGTAGTCGGTTGGTTGCTTGAGGGCATAGTCAAGGAGTGGGTTTGTAAGTTGGAAACAGAACGAGTGCGAACAAGGGTCTTCCTTGCATTTGGATCGGTTGTATGGACAGACCTGATAGAGACGGCGTCCAGAAACCCAAAATACGAGGCAGTTCCATTATAGTCTGTGTCAGCAAAGGAGGAATCTGCGTCCTTGAGGATCTTAAAGAGTCTATCTATATCATATGTTTCTATCAACAAGTAAATAAACAACATAGACTTCAGCAATTGCATAATACCTGCGTCTGTGTGAAGATCGAGTTGGAGAACCAGTGAATTTATACCGTCTAGGCAGGGTTTAAAGACGCTTGTTAGAAATACATCGGAATCGACATCTTTTTCCCAAATAAGCCTGTTTTCAACGATGTAATTGACCATTGCACAGCGCCAGGTCAGACCAATTGTGGTGTCAGCTATTAGATAATATGGAACATGTTGTAACTTAGCATGACAAAGTTTAAATCTATCAACCTTTGTTTTAGGTAGCAGGAACCAAAGAACATGACATATCAACATAACTGAAATAGATGAACCTGCTGGCCGTGCCCCTTGAGGTCGGCAGCCAGAGTTTGCGGTGAGGACTACCGGCCTCAATCCAGTTAGAAGGTCCTTTGCCGCGTCACAGAACTCGTGGAGATAGTCTTCAATAATACAAGCATGTTTGACTGCAAAGTGCGCGGGTCCACGCACATGGGCAACAAATAACTCGGTGTATATAATCAGTAACAACAGCAAGGAATCATCTTCCCCGCTGCAGAAGGTGTCCCTTGTATCTTCAATAGATGAATTAAAGTCTATTGCAAAGCAAAGCAATAATGATACAAAATGCTTTGTTTGCTCCTCCGGGCTCGCATAGGAGCCTATAGAGCCTATGGGACGTGTTGCATGAAGATACTGCTCCACTGGAGCCCAATCCTTCATCCACTTCTCTACATTGGAAAATGGAATGTCAATATGGTGATCTTCAAAACTCTTTAGAAACATGCTGGTCAGGCTTTCCAGAGATATAGTACCGGCTTGATGATGCTGCGGCCCCACCTCCACGAAGCAGGCCTCATTGGACATGGTGTGGTCCGAGGAGTAATCTTTTGAGATTTTTCATTTACTGGCAGGAGACGGAAAATCCGACTGGCAATAATAATGCTCAGCTTTATCTACGAGTCTCTGATCACCTGTGATTATCTACGCTTGTATCGTTTCTTTGACTTAAACCCTGTTGGCTTTTTACCCCGCTTCATCTGATATGGTGCCACTGTCTGGTCGTCGAGATTGCGGTTGTTCTTAGAGTCAGTCTTTCTTTGCATCCTGATGGCTCGCCGCTGGATCCTGGCCTCCTCATACATTCTGTTGCGGACTTCTCCTGGAGATTCTCCTTCTTCGCGTAGATTCCGTTCTGCTCGCTTCTTAGCCCGAATACTGGCCAACACATCCGGAGGAAGACTGTTTTCTTGGCGATTCTTAACCATCTTGGCCTCAGATGTGATTTTCCGGAGGTACTTCTGCTCCTCCTTGGAGAGGTCTCGGACGGCTTCCTTATTGGTAATTGCACCCGATACCACGCGGGCATGAAGAGCCCGCAAGTTGGCCTTTTCAGCTTCTGTCTGGAACCACGTCTTCTTGGGCCTGCTGAAGATCTCATCTTTGAATTCCATTATGTTTTCGGCCTTCTTGATCTTAATCTCCTCCATCTTCACCGCCATCTCTAAATTCATCCGATCCACTCTGCGCTTGAGCTTGTCTGGGACAGAATTATGCACAAAATAATGCGTTATGGTAGTAATAAGTTTAGAGTCAATCTTCCTTTGGCGAAGAGGCTGGCCCTTTGCCCGCTCCTTTTGGCTGTCCTGAATCTCTTTTAGCACGTTCTGTTCCTGAGCATTGTCGTGAACAAAGGTTATAGAAGTTCCTGGCGCGTCTGCACGACCGGTGCGACCTACACGGTGAATATGGACGTCAAGGCTGAGAGGAAAGTCATACTGTATGACGACAGTTACATTTTCAATATCGAGACCTCTGCTAGCGACGTCTGAGCAAACGAGCAAGTTGATGTCTCCCGACCTAAAGCGATCCAGTTCTGTTGCCCGTTCCTTCTGGCTAGAGTCTCCATGAAGGCACGATGGTCTGATACCAGCGAGTAAACACGAACGGGCTGCGTCCTCCGGTGGCTTACTCAACATGTCAAGGAGTATGAAAACTCTTCTTACCTCACGCTTGCTATTGCAGAAGACCATAATCTTGTGCTGGCCGTCCTCAGAGGAGAAGTTGTTACGGAGGAGAGACACGAGAAGTATGTCTCGTGCAATTGCAGAAAGTGTTGAGGACTTTAGTGAACTATCCTCGCCCTTGAACTTCTCTGTGCATTTTCGAAGCAGCGTAGGTGTAATCATAACAAACTCCTGTGTTATTGTTTGGGCTACTGTCCGGGGAGGATCTATTTGCACCTGGAGCGGCTTCTGCAGAGCGAGGAGTGAGAAGCTTAAGACCTCTTTCTCCATTGTTGCTGAAAAAAGCAGGGTCTGCCGAGCAACTGGACACAGCGCACAGATTTCCTTCAGCTCGTCGTGAAATCCTATATCTAGCATCTTATCTCCTTCGTCCAGTACCAGAACCTCAATTGTGTCTAGAGAGAAATTGACCGTGTTGCGGACTAAATCTATGAGCCGTCCTGGGGTTGCTACGATAATGTCAGGCTCGGTACGCAATTGTGCAGCCTGCTTCGCCGTGTCAGTGCCACCTATCAAGAGGTAGACACGAAAGTTGGTAAAGTAAGCGAGCTCCTGGAGAACAGCAGCAGTCTGGGCAGCAAGCTCACGAGTTGGGGAGAGAATAAGCGCAGTAGTCCCGTAGGTATCTCTCCCACGAAGAATCATCCTCTCTAGCAGAGGTATGCCAAATGCCCCTGTCTTGCCAGAACCAGTCACTGCTGAAACTAGTGCATCTCGGCCAGCAAGTACAATAGGTATAACTTTTTCTTGAACAGTCGTAGGAAACTTCCAGCCCAGCCGTAGCACTGCGCGAGTGAGTTGGCGGGATAGAGAAAGCCCCTGCCAAGACATAAAATACAATTATTATTTTAGCAGCAGCATAAAACTGGATGGCTGGCATATTTTTTGTGTAGATCCCAGTCTTGCTTCTCTGCGTGCATTGGCCGTGCCCAAATGGTCAGGAACACAACGCACGAGCTCTATGGAGTGAGAATCAGTGGAGAGGTCTATAGCCTTCTCAGAGATCTCAGAGACAATTGCCCCCGCAATCTGGGAAGCGTCGACATCGACGTGGCCATTTCACTGATAACGTGTAAGAGAAGAGACTTCATTACATCATACGACCAGCTCAACGAAATCGTCGTTCTTTTGTCGAAGGTCTGTGGCGACTCTCGACGCTTCGTAGCTACCAAGATAATGAACTACTACGCAACCAACTTTCCATCTAAGGTCGAATCCATTCAGTCCTATATTGCTTATATGCCTACGGATAATCTGGATGGAAAGCAACAATCCACAGATGACCAAGCTACTGACAAGACTCAACCCCCGTCGACATCTCTCATTACAGGAATCATAAAGGAAGACGATGATGAAAGCGATGATTTGGATAGCGAAGTAACGTTAAAAGAGCCTGGGACAATGTCCGCAGGGACAGGAAAGCGGAGTAGGCTATCAAAGATGGCGAAGGGCAATAAGGCCAATCGTGTCCAGGCAAATGATATCAGCTCATTGAAGCTTTCGACACTTCTTTCCACCCTAGTAGGAAAGCCTATCAAACGTGCTCAGCTTGAGGCCCGCAAAGAGTACACAAGGCAGATAGACGAGTCCCGTGCCTGTTACGGACGCCCCATTAAGTACGACCTGGAGATTCAAGAGTTAGCTATTCAGGTAATGGAGAGTGAGCTTTTGACGACATTTTCCTATCTACAAAAACCGATTGTTGCTCACAGTTCGTCTGAGAGGCGCCATTTTTTCATTCCGGGAAATACATTTCCATTTTGCAGTACATCTCTCCCCATGGTGTATCCGCCACTTGGGACAATCATGGCAGCCCCAGCTGACTTTCTTTGTCGACCACGATTACCTGGGCGTAGAATCACACGCGAGACAACCAAGAGAATCCCGCCCAACGAGGTCAGCTCGTATATTTACGACTCGCATCTCCTAGACTATACCAGACATAACGACACAGACGATCCGTCAGACCTTCGAGTTGAGTTACGGCCTGCGTGGGCCCAGACGATTGACTTTTCTAAGGCTGCATATGATCTTCCGGGAGAAGTTATGTGGCAGTATCCTATGTACAAGCTACTCACACAGAAACCTGTTCCGGAGCATCACTCCCTCATAGATTTAACAGGGTGCTACGTGACTGCAGACGCTCTCTTTGATTCTCTAACGACAGAGTTGATAGAGCTTGCTCGTAACGTGGTCAAGTGTGCACGGAAGCGAAGACGACTGGCTTACAGACAAAGATCAGCCAGACGAAAGCGACCAATCAGCCTTCCATCCATTTTCAATGAGTCACTTTCAAAGGACTCTTTCTCGCCTACAAATGACACTGCCGGGGCAGCTGATGCTTTGGGATCCCATAGTGACCTGCCTCTTTCTCCTGTTACAGTGGATGACTTGTCAGAAACTAACACGGACGAAGAGACTGATGACTCAGACAGTGATTCACAATCGCTTGGCATTGTCATTCTCAACTTGCTAGAACGACTGCAAAAGATTATCTTCTTTCCACCTTTCCGCGTCTGTGTAGATCAGCGACATCTAGGGAATGTATCCAGGTACGTTCGATTTGTTGAGAGCCCGTTTGATGCTACATGTTATGTTAAGGCAGTTGGGGTTTCTGGATCCACCCGTCTGCAACTCCACGCAGCAAAAGATCTGCCAGCTAATGCAGAGCTTACACTTCACGCTGGGTCCTTTTCCTGGATTAAGTGTACCTCCGAATTAATGCGTTATCTCTACACTCTCGAAGAATATATTTTGTTCACTGATCAGCTGGCACTAAGGAGGCCGTGGCAATCTCTTTTACATTGCTCATCGTCAAACGACAATACGGAGTCCACACCTACAATCATGGATTCTGCTATGCTTGTTACTCTTGTGGAGATGCGACTACGAGAAAGTGCAGCATCCTTACTATCCTTAAAGCAGATTGATCTCGACTTCATGACATGGCTATCTGATCAGCTCTATGATGTGTCCTATGCCGAAGAGTCCTCTCTCGGTGACTTTCGACAGCTTCACATTAGCCTGGCGAGCGTTCTCGATCCCGCAAATGCCGCTATTAACACCACCAACAATCGCTGTACTGTATTAGTCAATCCAAAGAACTTTTTTACGCACAGCACGCATGCACACAGCTGCTCGTTAAATATTGTAACAGCGGATACCAATTTCTCTATGAACGGATACTACCTTTATCACTTTTTCTTGACGCACAAACTTTTAACCGACAGAGACTCCTTAGATACTCTACAGTCTTCTCTCTTACTTACAAATGACCAGCAGCGATCCCTGCTAACCACATTACTTGGGGCGCAACTCACAGCTATCTATACGGATCTTGACGGAGGAACCTCTCCTGTGGCTAAGAGCTTTCAGACAATCGGCTTTGTGTTGGCTCCACCTGACGCTGACAACTTAGCGGAGAGTGCTCTTCCATTAACCATCAAAGTATTAAAGCATGAAGCTCGCTGCATCAGCGTAGACTCCTGTCTGAACAGCAAATCTAGTACATGGCACAGTAGTGTCTGTGTCTTTGTTGTACGGGCAGATGGCACAATCGACACCGTAGAATATATTTTTGCCGAGAAGCTACAGAACTATCTATCACTATTACAAAAGAAAAATCCTACCTACAATTGTTACGAGGTTCCCTTGGATCATTACATCATGGGCATAATTAAAGGATACATTGAGACAGCCGCTGTGGGGCCATCTGTTGTAATGAAAACGTTTCCTACCTACTACTCAGCTTGGACGCCGTTTGTGCCTGTTTCAGAAGTGCAGTCACTCACATTTGACCCGCTACTCACTAGGATTTTCTTTACTATTGCCAAATGCTATAAGAACTATAAAATACTACCGGATCTGGCTGCAACTTTGAACGTGCCATTATCAGTTCCATATAGCTCTTCCTCGGCCGTTCCAGCTACCTCAACTGTCGACAAGGTGCTGCTGCAAGGTGCTCCTCCACATTCGTTTATCCCAACTGCACTCGATGAACAGATAGACGCGCTTCTTCTGCGATTGATACACCATAACACTTACTTCAACCTGATAAGCTATGGAATGGGGATCAGCAAGCATAAGTACGTCGACATGATTAAGGAACTTGTCTCCTCTCCTCTCCACTTCAGTCTTGCTGATACTTGGTCCCATCCTCTGGAGCTTTTCGACATTGCGGCACTTCCCAATACCTTGCAGTTCTTATCGAACTATGTCCTACGGTCAAGAAACGAGGATGTCCAATTTCTTCAGTCGACTCTTCTAGACCTGAAGGGCTGTAACAAAGAGCATAACTATAAGAGCCACATTCTGGTACAAGAGGCATCCATCTTCTCTGATACAGTTTTGCATATGCTTGCAACAGACATTCTGGCGTTGTTACACAGCATGCCACCTCTGTCTGGAAAAAATAAGCAGGCCAAGGCGAAGCGCAGCCTCATCCAAAAAGAAGCACTCTGGCCAGGAAGCAAAGAGTATGCCCCACCAGGATACAACGGACTTTACGCTAGGGCAACGCCCCAGACGACTTACTCTTATCTCACTCCAAGCGACTATCTAAAGAAGTACGGGGACGACGTGGTTGATGTATCTTTTACTCCGAAAGCAGTTCTAGTGGACAAGCATTTTTCGTCTCCGGTGATGCAGAGAATTTTTGCGGATGCACGCGCCACGTTTCAGAATAAAGTAAAAGCTTGACTAGGTAATATACTGTCATGATGCACGGAAACATGAAGATGCATATGAAAAAGAGGGGTACAATTGCAGCCAGAAGATACATGGGAATGGAGATGTACCAGCTTAGTGGGACGGTGTGTTTCAGAGTAGAACAGAGAATTAACGATATAAGAGAAAGGTTGATGGTGGTGCGGACTATCCTTCGTCTACGAAAGAACCTGTGACGTGACTCCGTTGGGGACAACTCAGAGTCTCCTATTCGTATTCTTTTGATATCCAGGCAAACGTGCCCATGTACTTGACAAATAGCTCGGCCGTCCTTGTCCATAAAATAAGGCAGAAATTGCTTGTAGACGCAGATACCCGTACGTTATATACATGTCTACAGGGATCAGCAGCTGACTCTATATACAGGCCCTTAATTTGCAGAAAATAGAGAACGGTATCTATAATTTCTTTTTCGGTCGCTACCTGCTCTGCGCCATTAGTGCAGCAACACACTTTTAGTACTTTTTTTACAAAGCTTTGCAGAATTTCCACTACAGACTCTGTCTCATCTACCTTTAATTGAAGAGAAGGAGTCATGCCGTCATCCTCATCAGCATCATCTAGGCTAACTCTCTTGGCTGACGCCGGCCACTGAAGCCTAAGAATAGGAAGATGGTTACTTGATGCGAAATTTAAAATGGATTCAAACCTGGATGTATATTCAGATTTGTTTGTTGCTGGTCTCCCTTCATGCAGTAAAGAACTTCTATATGCAGTTAGTTGATCCAGTAATGCGCTTGCCAGTATTGCAAGCGAAAACTTCTTCCCAGATAAGTAGTCATTAGAAAAACACTGTATGAGGATGCACTTAACATGATCACGGTTACCAGTGAGTATGGCCACAATAAAATCTAGCCTGACTAAGAGTGTCAACCTAGAATCCTGATAGGTAGGCTCAAGCGCACATGACCGATAAGCTAGGGGTGGCTCCACGCTAGGATTGGTCTGAGGCCGTGATACTATCTTGTTCTTGTACATATTGAAGGCAGTTGTTAAGTAGTAAATCAGAAGGACTATAGTAACAAACATCTGCTTGTGCTTTAGAGACACATCCTCTCCGGAGTCGACCATAGCCTGCTTCATATGCTGTGACAAGGAGTTCTTGATATCGTCCTGCTTATCTAAAGAACTTACAGCCCCAAGGAATCGGCCCAACTGAAAGAATTCTTCTGTGCTAAAGAACGAGGTGTACTTTATCAAGTCGTCCCGAATACGCTGACTACTCATGTCACCAACGCCAACTATCTTCTCCGGTTTGTCCTGCTCTGTTACCAACTTGAGATGAAGACTCCGCAGCATGTCTGTACTGCTATAGATAAAGTGATAGTCTGCAGGCTGGCCGCGGCGACCACACCGGCCTCCATACTGAATCAGCTCGTTGATGGAGAAGCAGCAGCCACAGACAACAACAAAGTTCACGTCGTGAAGGTCAACACCGTGGGAAAGAGAGCTTGTAGCAACAACAACATCTGCCTTCGCAATTGTGGATAGTGTGTTGTTTGTGGTCGAGTGAAAAGGAAGAGCAGATATCCCTTTACTCTTCAGTAACTTGCAGATAGTGACACACTCACCCTTTGTCAAGCAGAAGATAATTCCTTTGCAATCTAAATTACCCTGATTCATGGGTGTAGTGCCACTCTTGGAAACATAGTGTTCCGCTTGAGCTAGGCCTCGTTGAAGTACCTCACCTTGATCAGCACACCGAGTAATTATAAATCGAACATTGGACGGTATTATACGATCTATAGTAAAGTAATATAAACCACTGCCGCTCCATATCCACGATAGTAGTAAATTCCGCTTTGCTTCCGTGAGAGATCCAGACAAGAGGGATAGATTGGTGTGAAAGATTCTCCGAAGCCAGGATGCCTTCTTACAAACAACAATATAATCCTTTTTAAACAAAAACGCCCAGGTGATAAGTATGTGACACTCATCGACGACAATGCGGTTCAATCTCTTACTTTGCGCCAATGGGTACCAGACAGTGTCATGTAATATCAGGAACGATTCCGGTGTTGTGTAGATGAGACGCTTGTTGAAGAGACCCGTGACAGGTGAGCCTTTGCCATGCTCGGAATCCTTGTTGCAGAGCTCTAGAATGGTCCTATAGTCCATTGCAAAGGGATGGAGCTCCTTTTTAAGATAACGTGCCCTGTTATCTTTACCTATGAAGCACCCAACTAGGTCGTGGATAGAGATTGGCAGCTGAGACCCAAGTATGGCCGAGAGGTCTGGCGCATTGGCGTGTAGAGATGCAAAACTGTGCAGGTGCGACTCAATAATGGATACAAATGGGACAATAACGACTGTGATAGAAGTTTGCAGAAGGGCAGGCAGGATAAAGCATACGGACTTTCCAAAACCCGTGGGAAAGTCCACCAGTGCAGACTTTCCGGCTAGGGACGCATGAATAACGGCCTTCTGTTCGGCTCGAAGCTCAGATATACCCATATACATTGCAATTAATCCAGCTTTCTGCATGTCGGCTGATAGATCTGTCCTCTTATCACAAGAACTATAGGCTAGAAGCTCAGGGACGGGATTTAGACCAACGTATACTTTTGCTATCTTAGCCTCTATATTCTGCATCCTAGCCAGAGTGTTGTGCGGTTTGTTGTTCAGCAAAGCATTTATGGACTGTAAGCACTGACATCTTACTTCTTTGTGCAATCGTGTGCCTCGTTCCTGAATAGCCTTTATGCAATGAGGATCCGAGTTAATAATAGCCTCGTAGGAGTCCAAGGCATTGCTCAGCATAAAGGCAAAAACACCAAGCAAAGGTACAAAGCCTCAGCCTCTCGAATTAATATTTACTTTAGAGATCTTTTAGAGTATCAGCGTGCATCAACCGTGTCCGGAATTGGGTGCTTCTTCTTGTATAGAATAGTATGTATGTTGCATATATTGCAGGTCACCATGCGCGGCCCTATGGTCTCCCCTCGCCCCAGGGTGATGACGACGGGGTTTCCGCAACTACTACAGACATACTCAAGTGTTTCCAATTGCATAAGAAAAACCGTCTGTACCGAGAATTTTTTAATTGCATCACGCCCCAAATGAGTTCTTCTGGTTTGCTGATACCTCCAGAGCTCCAGACACTGCATGTTGAATTATCGGAATCTGACGGTCCTACTGAAGATGCAGCGGACCTCCACGCTAAGTCTACCATTGACGAGTCAGCTCCTGCTACAGGAAGTGATCCTTTTCATATCAATCAAAGCACTAACCTCAATGATGGCTTCTCCTTCACGCAATACTACACTCCCCTTCAGGACGCTGCATTGTCGTTGGATACGCCCATATGCATAGGCCATGTTGAAAGTATTGTTGGAAGCGCCGCTATGGTCAAGGGCACCCTATCAGCAGCACCTTCTCTAGAGGCAATTGAGGATGCTGATAAGCCTTTCTTCATTGAAGGCGTGGTCTACACTGTCGATGGCGTGCCCACCGGCCAGATCGTGGATGTTTGGGGAAGCGTTGACAGCCCGATCTATACCATCCAGCTCACAGCCAGCAGTCGTCTGCAGAAAGGCGACAGAGTCCTGGTGGACCACAGTACTGCAACACGCGCGAAGGTAAACATGGAGAAAAGCGACAGTTCCGATGACTGAGCAGTTATCTGGAAAACTAGAAAATAATGGCTCCTTTACGCTCCGTTGTTTGGGCACCCATCCCCTGCTTATCGTCTCTCTTTCCGATGCTCGGCCACTTCGGGATAACAGATAGCGTGGGAGTGATCCATGACTTCGGAGGCGACTTCTACATAAATAGGTCTGAGACACACACAATCTTCGGACCACCAACTCTCTACACGCAATTATCAGAGGAATGTTGGTCTGCTATTAGTGACGAGGAATGGGACAGCGCCCTTTCCATAACTATGGCCAACTATCAAAAGAAACGCTACAACTTCTTCATAAACAATTGTCATCACTTTGTAGCCGCTGTCCTCAAAACACTATCGTCTGGAAAGAAGAACTATACTATTTTCTCTTTGATCAGAGCGTTTCGGCTGGGCAGGACTGTCAAGAAGATGCCTGGCCACAATGCTCCTCCAGCTTCTCACAGCGATGTCCTAGGATGTGAAGACGCATAAGAGTAGCACAGTTATAGCGTCTATCAGCTCATTTGCTTATTCCTTATAATTTGACGTAGAAGTGATGGAAAGTACTAGGTTTACTTGTGACTAAATTCTCAATCACTTGCTCATACTAATTTTTTAATGTACACTTACAATCTTGGAGTATCTGTAAATACATTATACTGGTTGAATGCCTATGTAGCTAAATTCATAAAAGCTGTCATACGTTGCGCAGTCATCGTACCATATGGTGAACCGTGAGCAAACGTTTGTGTACTTTTATGTTAAAATAAGTATATCAGCTCTGCTAATATCTCTCACACGATGGTTGTATCAGCACAACACTACTTCATAATAGGCTGACTTGGGAGTTCCTCGCTTGAAAAATCTTAGGCCTAGATCCCGTTTGCATAGGTCTACTCCACACCGGCACCACAAGGATACAATGTGTGTAAATGTGTTAACACCTGAGACTCATGGCCGAAGGACATCATGCATAGATCAAAATGCAACTGGTCATCACTATCAAAAAGCCAAAATAGCGGTGACACCTTTCAGCATACACAGATGCCAAGTTCTCCGAGAAGTAATCCACCAAAGGTATTGCTGTCGATAATTCGCTAAATTGTTTCTAAGAAATTAGTTACCTAAATAGGAGCTAGAAAACATAGTGTAGCCACAAAACTATAAAGAGCTGATACATGTTAAGCGAGCCCCATTAGGCGAGCCCAGGTTGGATGCGTTGTGGTGTGTGCCGCAAGATCCATAGGAAGTAAGTAAGGCTTCGGGCCATCGCCAACTTGAATAGAAACCCCCGTGAGATAGGGAAATCCCGTGGCTTCAATAACCAGTTTGCTGAGCAGCTCGTGACTGTCCTTTTCAAGTGAAAAGAGCAGGCCCTTTATGGATTCAACAGTTGTTTGCAAAGCAATGCTATGTTCAACACGTAAGTTAGACCGTTGAGGGGTAATGCACTGGCTAAGCTCAGTCGGTGTTATTTTAAGTGGATGGACCAATAACCGTTTAAGGTCAGACGGAGCCATGGAATCCAAAAGGGCATCTATTTCACAGTACCACTTAAGTGCAGAGGTATTGATCAGAGACATCACAGGGCCATCCGAATTAAGAGAGTCACTACCTTGCATAGTGTTTTCAATATCGCTACTGCTCCTTCCAGGGGAAAGCGGTGCAGTAAAGACAGTCCTGAAGCCGGTCCTAACCTCCCTATAGAACGCCACAAAGGCTTCCCCGGATCTAATACTATCCTGAGTTTTTCTAATCAATTTCAGAACATCGGATTTAGATTGTAGCTTAAAAAATAATTTAAACCTTTGATTATATTCAGTGATAGGGAAATCCTCAACACCATGCAACGCTGAGAGTATGTCTTCAGTGCTTAGCTGGATATCGATGGATGAAGAACTGATTGTGTTAGAAATGTTTGCAAGAGATACGACGTCATCGCGCACTACATCTAAGAGATGCTTTTGGTAGAAGTCATTTTCATTTTGGGATAGCTCACTAGGCTGTACGCGTAACGCTTGATGGACGATTATCGGTGATAGCTTATACAGTGGCCTCATCGTTGAGCTTTGCTGCTTTCCAGCGCTAAGTTCAAGGCCATTGGAGAAAATAGAGAGAGTTTCTTTTAGAAAATACCGCCCTCCACAGAGGGCAGCAAACAGATCGTCTGGAAGGACGTCCGGCACCTGTACATTAAACGCTAGAGAGAGTGCAAGCAACCGCCCAAAGATGAAGGGCAGGCTTGTGGTAGAAGACCGTCTAGGTTGAACATCACGCCCAACTATTGGCACAGGAATCTGAAGTCTCGGGTAGAGTGTTCGATTGTATTCTAAGAAAAGCGCCGAATCCCTCAGTCCAGTTGCAGAGGAATTTTGGATTATAGATCGCATAATCATTGAAATACCGACTCTAATGTCCTCGTGGCTGCTAAGATGGGGCATGTCAGAGAGCGCGAATATCGGTATCTTAATGCTAGGGTCAGAGCTGTCCAAAAATGGAATCAGATCGTCAAACGCAGTCTCCTTGGATATAGAACACTCAGCAATGCTACTTCGCAGCACCATCAGCTCAATAAAGGCTCTCTTAAGATGAATACAACACTTTGGAAGATTTTGCGCGCATTGATTGGCAAAGGGACTTTTTGCGAAATGGATCTGTTCGGCTATGGAATACATCTCTAGTCGGTGTGCAACAGACCGGACGAAGGTGTTAGCCTCTTCTGTCGTGATATCCCTTTCAATAACTGACATCCCAAGCCCCCAACGTTTTATAAAATTTGAATGCCGCCGACAGACACTAACCAGAGCGTCCAGAAGGCTCAATCAATATTAGATAAATTAGTAGAAGATAACATCATCGACCGCACGCTCCACAGCATATTTCTGTCAAAGTACAAGAAGGCTGTTGATGTGCTCACTCAATCCCTGCAGAATGAAGCCGTGCACCTTAACCATCTACAAGATCTCACCACGATGATAGAGACGACAGAACAGACGCTGCAGAGCGAGACCAGGAAGCAGTCTGCCGTCGCCCAGCAGATTCTGCGGCTGAGGACGGAGCTTTCAGAGAGGGAATCGTGCATTGTGACGCTTCAAGACGACTACACGAAGCTCTCTGCTGAAGAAACCATGCTTATGGAGGAAAAGACTCTGCTTGAACACGAGCTCACTCTTAGGCGAAATGAATATGCAGAGTCTCTTAGACCACGTATTGCTGCTTTAGAAATGGAGAACAAGGGTACTCGTGATAGCATAGCATCCATGGAAGCAATCGAATCGAACTTACAGGCGGAAATAGCACTCAGCGCGAAGCAGCTGGATACCCTTGTCTCTGCCAATAATGTTATAGAAGATGAACTGCGGAAGATAACCACAGACAAACAGAGAGCAGGATTGTTGCCAGAAAAGTATCAGCGGCAAGCTGCACTAGTACAGCAGGCGCTAAATGCTGCCCAAGTCGATGCACAGAAACGTGAAAAGCGATATAATGAGGTGCAAGGTTCATTTGAAAGCGCGCAGGCATCTCTCGAGAACATCAATAAAGAAATAGCCAACATATGTAACCAGTACACTGATCTCCGCAGCACAGCACTGGCAGCTTGTGTTAAGGAAACTGAACAACATACCAAAGAGCTGCGACAGATCAAGACACAGATACGTACTTTGACAGAGGAAAATGCCGTCTTAATGCTCAAAGAAAAGACAACCAAAGCTGCTAAGCAGCTAGACCTTTCGAATGTTGACAATTTAAACAAGCAAATAAAAGCACAGCAAAAGAAGATCCAGCGGGTAGAGGCGTTGATATCAAGGAACGAAGAAGCACTAGAGCCGGTGCAAAAGCAGCTTAAAGACGTTGCAGAGGAAATAAGTACAGAGAAGAATAAGGCCAAGGTTACGACTTCTAAAGTGGAGGCAGTGCGGGGCGAATTGCATAAGAAGATGCTTCTCTTAGCTAACTCCCTTAACGTGGACGACGACTTTTCTAAGAAGCTGTTGGGGGCTGCAGATTGCAACAAAAAGCACCAGCAAACAGTCAATGAGGCAGCTGCAGAGTCTAGAGAGCTGGCGGTGCAGATAAAGGTTTGTCAATCTGCACAGCAGGCAGAGACCTCGAGGCTCGCCAAACTTAACTCGAACCTTAAGCAGCTCATCAGCGAGTTACAAGTTAAAGATACAGAGGCCGACCGATTGTCAATAGAACTGCACAATCTCGAGTCCCGTATGGCAGATTTTTCAATCATGTACGAGCAGCTGAAAACTCAGAAGAACCGATTGGCTCGCCTGTCGCAAGAAGCCAAGCTTGCAATTTCAGAAATTCAGAAGAAAATTGCAGTGTTAACATCCGAGTCCGAGCTTCTTTCTAACGAGTCGCGAGAAAAGTCAAACTTGCTTTCACGTCAAGCCATTGATACAAAAGATGCCCGGCGCAAGGCATCTCAGATGTGCCAGAAGCTAGCAGATCAGAAGCGCATCCTCCGTAATCTACACGAGGAGGTCGAACAGCACGTTTCAGAAATAGAGAGCCTGGGGTCCTTGATTGCCAACGCAGAACAGCAGCTCTTTCAGTTACGAAACATGTACATTGAGGCTGTCGAGCAAAGAAACTATGCCGGAATACAATTGGTTGAGCGAAATGATGAACTTTGCATGCTCTATGAGAGGCTCCACACGCAGGAAAACATCCTGCGTGACGCTGAGATCTTTATGAGTGCTCGAGAGGAAGATTTAAGAGTACTAAATATAATGTATAAGGAACTTGAGAACGAACGCAATATTGTACGGAAAGACGTTACTACGGATCTCCCGAAATTAATTGAGGAGCGGGCATCTGTCCTCCAAGAACTTGCTGAAGCACGTGCTGACAATGAGCAGCTTCTTTTGGATATCCGCGGCGGTGCTTGCGTAAAAGACGACGCAAAGGTAGAGATTTTGGACTTGACTAATATCTATGATCCTCAACGGGCCGTTAAACCCGCTGATCCTGACGAGATTTTATTGACAAATGTTATAGATGCGCTAGATGACGGCCAGGGCAGTAATGAGTTGTCTAGAACTGCAAGCCTCAAGAAACTGAACCAACCTCTGCCGAGAATAGGATCTCTCTCTGCAGATAGCGCAGGAACAAAATCACAAGCACTGGACAAATCAGCAACCCAAAAACAAGCAATTAGAAAGCGTACGCTAGGGAAAACGGAGCCGCTAATGGCAAAGTGGAACATGGTCGGGGCGACAGAGCCCGTGTCGCAGGAAAAGTTATTAGCCAAACAAAGGACGATAGAGGGTCGCATGCAGACTGTTCGGGAGACACTGCTAGAGAAGTTCATATTCAATGAAGAACTGGATAGACTAATTGCACAGCTCCAAGAAGATATAGAAGCAGCAAAGCGCGCAGTACCAGCAGAGATCACCACCAAACTCAACTCTACACGAACCCAGCTACGAGGTGTTACCCGAAAGCTAATGGCCATGGTGTCCGAAGTCTCTATGGAGCAAGCCACAATCATGAAGTTGAAGGCTGTTGCCGAGCAGTTAGAAGATACCGTGGTCGCCGCAAAGGAGCGTCTAAACATGGGTCTTGCACCAACAGATGAGATAGAGCACGAATGGCTAATTGCGCATCAACATGAAGTGGAGTATCAGCACAGCAGAATGTTACTTGAGCAAGAGCTGGCTTCACAAGTTCCTGGCCTTGTACAAACGACTGCTAAGCCTCGATTCGACAGCTATATGTCTCAAGAGAGTGGGCTGCCACGGCCCTACGGTGGAAGGGCGCCATTTGCCCCTGCAGATCCTGCACCAAATATCTCCAGGTTCATCAAAAAGCCAGGGCCAGTAGCCATAGAAATATAGATAGCAGCTTAAGGGTAGACAGTCGTGGTTAATGAGGAGCTTCTGTAGGAGTTGCAAGTTATTGTATAATGGCGCTCTTTGAAGGGTGTTGTACATAAAGTGAAGCATAGTGTTACTATGTTCTCCATGTTCATTTATAACCTTGTGGCACAAACTGGATGGTCAGGACATACGTGTGATGTAGAGCACTTTAATAGTCTGATTACCCACATCTATTTGCTGCAGAACATCCTCGAGGAGAGCTTACACTGTTACTTTTTCTGCATTTACAGTCAGTATTCAGCTTAATCCATCCTACGCTAGTCTTTGTAACCACTGTTGTTTCGTTGAGATGAAATGTTGCTGGATTGCTGGGATTGTTTATTGCCGGACTGAAAATTGTAATAAATGTGTTACCATCTGGTGATACTGGTCTAAATCGCTTGTCTTTGTGAATGGTTATGTCTGCACTTCTGGGTGTATTGGGTATACTTGTGCTTCTTGCTGATGATCCATGATTTGTGTATCCTATGTTTCGTATCTGCAGAGGGAACTCTATGGGCACTGAGGTGTAAGGGCTGCTAATAGGGCCTCCTAGCTTCAACAGTGGGGAAGGCCGAACGATCAGGTGCGACGTTGGCCGTGTACTGGAGACTTTCTTAGGTGACAGTTGCGGTTTTCGAGTTGTGGAATTAGCACCTCGTTTGTTACTATTTGGATTGCTTGGGAGCATAGAGGGAGTAGGTGAGGATACAGTGGTGGGTCTGGTCGGGCTGTTTGACCGAAGACTAGGTCGTAGATGCATCGTGGGAGTTGTGGGAGACGGGGTATTTTTATCTATACCTGTTGCATTGCGTTTAAACGAGAGGAGATTGCTTCCTTCATTGAGTAGCTTGTTTGTGCATGACAGCGGATACAAACTGGGCGAATTATGTCTTTGACGAACTGACGCTGGAGGCGAGGAAATGGAAGGCCGAGCTAGTGAGGATTGACGGCGCTGCACTTGATTGGGGCTTGCTGACAAGGAAGATCTTTTCTGTTGCCGCCACGCAGGACTTGCAGAGGTAAAGCAAACAACTTGTGGCACTTTAGTCATAGTGTATATTGCATTATGTGCCTTAGAACTAAAAGCTGACCGTCGTGATAGCTGTGTAAGAGGGATCTGGTTAACGGCAGTGTTCTCTATGGGAGAAGTACCCTTGTAAGCTCTACCGCTAGTGGATGGGGTGTTAGTGGGTGGATCTAAGTGTGGCTTATCTGTACGTGCGGCCCTGCTACACCCAGCACTGACTGGTGAAGTACTGCTTCGAGTATGGTTTAGTCCAGTACCAGAGCCCAGAGGCTTAGCAAGTGATGTTGTTAATGATGTGCTTGTAGTAGCGCGATGATAGGAAACAACGGGCGCAGATCCTATGCGGCTGGCATGTACTGTAGGGGTGGCAAAGGCCGCCATATCGATAAGGTCATCACTGCTACTGTCGCTACACGCTAACTGCATAGAAACAAGAGAAGGGTCGTATGTGCTGAGGTAAGGGGCGTGTGCAGAGGCGGAAAGACTGGCCAATTGAGTTGTCCGATTGGATGAATTCTGGGATAACTGCAGCGTCCCAGAAGCTATATCATCGAGCCGGATTGGATGAATGAGCTCAATGTTCACTGAACTATCATCAAAGGGGGAACCTTCCATTAAAAATTATCCAAACCATTTTACCTTAGGATTTAGTTTACATGTCTGTAAGTAGAGTGTCGCTTATAGATAGAGTGCGCTCTAATGGTTTCTTTTTCAGAATAACACCATCCTCATTAACCTTTTCCATAAGCACATAGGACCGACCAGACCTGTCTCCATAAATAGATACGGTAGAGTGCGGCGCAGAATCACCAGTAGCCATTGATACTTCTTGAGAAGAAAACTGCTGAACACCCGCTAATGAAGCATCTGTCATTGAGTACGTACTCAGTGATCGTTTTGTCTTGCTCGCGGAAATCTGGGCCTCTTTAACAGGGACAGGCAGCAATGGGTCGAACGCTTCAATGGTCCGCTCCAAGGGAATGTTAACGGCTGTGCTAGTGGCAAGCGGATAAACAGGTATATATGATGTGCAATCTACCAATCGTGCACAGATGAGAAGAAGCGAATGGACAAGGCCCCCCATGAAGTCATGATTGATACCTACTTGGGTTTGCTTAGGAAACAGAAGAGCAAGGACGATGTGGGAATCAAATTGAGTAGTGGACGCAGAAGGCTGTAAAATGCACTTGATGAGCAGTAGCTGAACCGGAAAAACTATTTCGTCTAGAGAGCTATTGCTTGAAGACGCCGATAACACACTCAGGCTGAGGTCGTCATCGGACCCAGGCCGATTTGATCCGTCACTCTGAAGCCTCTCAGTTGAAGCAAGATCCTTTGGCAAAACAGAGTTAGTCAGTTTTCTAATCCTATCTCGAACAAGAGAAAGGTTCCCTAAGGACTCGTCGAAGAAGAGGTTTTGCAGAGACACATAGTTGCGGCTTGGGATTGCTTGGCCAACGGGGAGATCTGAAAAGACAGTGACTGCAGACTTAATTAGGACAAAGTTAGTCAGAAAAGGCCCCAAATCGCTCACTACAGTCCTCCCATTTCTAATCAAAGCACCGCCTATGGAGTGCAGTACCGTCCGCATGTGACTTAGTAGGGTTGCAGAAGCTAAAATGGGGGTAAGGAGATGCTTAGGAAGGGGAATATGATGGCAGTCGCGCAGTAGAACCAGTGCAAATGGAGAATCGGCCAAGAACCGAAACAGGAATGCATTCAGTGCAGAGGTTGTGGAGTCGTTTAAGCTGTTCAGCAAAGAGGGTGGCCGGTAATCCGGCAGATGTGCATATATTAGAAGAAGAACCATGTCCAAGGCGGCTAATATGTCGTCTGGTGGCACCCGCTGGTCTTTAATAAACACAACATATGTCTGGTCTCTTCGTGCTATTCCAACTGTCTTTGAATCTATGTTGAATATGGTATGCTTATGTGCTGAAGAGCCAGAGAGCTCGTTAAGTACCGAAAATCCTCCAATGTATACAAGTAGCTGATCTCGCTCTCTCCTTGCCTCAGAGGATGCCGTCACATTTTTTCCCTCCTTGTAAAGGTAGTGTAGAGTCGAAGACTCTGTTTCACTATTTCCAACTGTGAAGACGGCACATGAGTTCATTTTTGCTTTTACCTTGCTTTGCTGATTGTTTCTAATTGTGGCAAGGTTGGTTCTTTGGTCCTCTGACTGCAGTGTGTAGCAACATCGCTCCTGAGCTGACTTTTGTATGGACAAAGCCTGTGTGAAGAACGACGGAGAGCACCTCAGGCAACAGGGGCCTGCTCATTTGCAGCTCACCAGATGCTTGGCTCCAAATATGATTGAACTCCCTTTTAGAGAAAGATCTTAGTGTGCTCAGTATGCTTTCGACGCCATGAAAAACATATCTAGGGTGTCGTTCGTTTGCAGCGATGTTGTAAGATATAGATTTTAGCGAGATGCTGAGCTGCTGCAAAGAGGGTATAGAACAGGCACAGATATCTAATTTCCAATCCAAAATTGGCTTTTACTTCGGTTTTTACTAATTTCGTTATCAAGAGCTGCCACATACCAATCACTTCAACATACAAGCCCACATATTGGCCGATGCACTGATGTGCCTTGTAAAAAGCTCGATTTGCCTGAGAACATACTCGAATCTGATCCGATAGGAATTCGAAATAAAGTTTAGAGACTCTTTAAGCAGCATGAGTATTGGAAGGGCTATGGTTGTCAGTCCCACAGTTTCACGCAGCACTATTGTATCTAGTGGGTATGTACTCTTATTTAGACATGGCTCCTGGTTTGGTAGAACATAGGATAAGAGCTGCATTTCTTCCTCTACATCCAGATGCTTACTGACAGATAAGTGGAGAGACGTGGCCTTATTGTAAGCCTGAGCCGAGAACAGTAGAAAGGAAGTGAAGAGCTTGCAAAGCTTCAATTTAAAAGCCTCCAGCTCGGTGTCCATGCTTCTATCGGTCAACGATTGAAGGATATCGTAGTAATTCGTTACAGCGATGTCCTCTGAAAAGCTCCGTGAAAACGTCAGATAAAACGACCTTATACGTCTTCGAGTAATCAAGTCGGAATGAGCTAAGAGTCCGGATTGCACTATAGCAATCCATCCTGCTGCTGTACAGAAATTTGTAGAGGGTGCAATATCTGCATATAGATCGGCAAGCCAATGAGCCGAGGAGATAAGGGCCTTATTAGAAAGACCAGAGTGCTTGTACGTACTGCATAAAGCTGAAAGAAGCATTGCTAGGATAACATCCTTGGGCAGAAACCCGGGGGCATCGTGCTCCATAGAGCAAAGGAATACAAATGCAGTTCTGATAACGTAAATCACTGTCGAGCTATTATAATAAACACTCGTCTCGTTGGTTGTAAGCCACAGGCACAGAGTGGATATTGCCTCAAGAGGTAAGCGAAAGTCAGTTATTAAGCCGAGATGGTGTAGTGCAGAATATAGTAGCCTGAATAGCTTAATGCGATTGGAGATAATCGTTACTTGAATATGCTTAGATGAGTCGACGGGTGTTCGCACAATCATCCGAGGAGACTTCTCTGTTCCGTCTCTAGAGTGAGCAAACTGAAAACTTATTGACTTTGAGCCACAAGCGTCTGTCTCTTGGAAGCTGGGCCAAAAGCTGCAATCTGCATAAGAGTTAATGCTCAAAATAAAAGCCTCTGTGCTGAAGAATGCGTGCTTTGGAATGCATAATCCATGAAACTTGCGCTTCTCTCTGTCGTCTAGATCTTTGAAGAGTGGGTGGACTGGCTGATTAAGCTGGACGATGTGCTTCACTAGGTACGTGCCGATAAAGGATTTAGTCTTAAGACTCAATCTGCAGTTAGAAGAGTCTGTCTCTTTAAGCTTCTCCATGCTGTCAAAAGACGGTCTTGGGCAGAATGTTGTAGAAAGGAATTCATCCACAGATTTGGTGAGGTCTGTGGAGTCCGTAGATAACGAGGTGTAAACGCAAAGCAATGAACTGCTGCCCTTGGTAGGTACAAGGCTGGACTGTAGGTTGTACTTCGATAGAATGCGCTTGTAGGAGCTGTGCCTTCGCGAACCAACAAGAGGATACATTATCTGCTGTATGTAGTCAATGGAATGGGACGTCTCCAGGGAGAAGAGCCTGTTGTGCACGCCGACAAACTCTAAGTCTTGGATAGATGACATAAGGCGCTTGCTCATGGCAGAATCTCGGCCTTCTATGCGAAAAATATGCGCAGTTATATCGGAAAGTTGTTTAAAGAGACATTTGTTAAGGAAGCAGCTTTTTCGACTAAAGTATCCTAAGTGTGTACCTGCAATCGATTGAGATCTTTTTCTCCACAACTGTGGGGCGTGTGACTGATGGGGCGAGGTAGTATCCGACATAACGCATGAAATGGCTTCAGGAATGAACAAGGCCAGTAACGGGTTTAAGTGCAGCATGTCGTAGAAGGCCGAAACCTTCTCGTGCTGACCATATTGCTTGAAGAGCTTGTGGAGAGCCTTTTTAAAGTAAGGCTCCCCGTGTAGCGATACCTTATCAAAAAGAATACTAATTATAAGTGCACTAATGCCTAAAGGGGATTGGTAGAATGCTGGTATGATGAAATCAGTCAGGAAAGAATAGGCGCACTTCTCTGGAAGAGAAAGGATATCGAGGGCCTCCCTCTGTAGCTCCGGCAGGGACCCAGAGGTGGGTGAGCGCAGGAGCAGAGTAAGAACCCTTTCATTTATCTTTTGCACAACCTTCGGGGGGAAGTACTGAGAGTCTTGGAACCACCAAGTGCTGAGGGTGACGGTGCTTTCCTTAATAAGGTTGATGTTCTGTGCAACAAGCAGCTGCAATCTATATAGGCTGGCATCATATAAAAATAAAAGCCTTTCAACAGCTTGTGTAGAGTAGGAAGAATATCTGAGAAAGAGCTTGAGCAGAGTGGGGTCCGTGACAATATGCAGTAGGGAACGAGAAGAATGGAAGGGAGAGGCTTCACCGTTTTTACCGAAATGCGTAATAGCAATATTTCCATCCAGTGCCAATGTGAATCTGACGGTGATCAACGTCGTAATTATGATGTAGTGAGTATCTGGCTGAAGCATAGACTCTCTAGAGAAAGCAAACACAAGCGTTATGAGCTTGACAACCCTGCGTACAATGAGTTTGTACACATTGTTAGATAAGGAGTAAATGAGGAGCATCTGCTTGAAGAAATTGTTTAGGTTGGGTTCGTGATAGGATAGTTGGCACAAGTCTGGACGTAGGGAGGCACAACTAAGAGCACAGGAGTGCTTATGCAAGAGATATAATAAGATACATTCAGTGACAGAGAACACCACCAACAACACACAGGAGATAACGGTTGCAGTGTTATTGGAGCGCATAGAAATATCAACGCGCCCTGGGTGCGTGGTCAATTCACGGTAAATTGAAAGAGCCACAACTGGAAACAGAAAAGGTACTATAGTGCGTAGATACAAGCGAGACCACACACGTGAGACACCATGAGACAGAATCGTTAAGTGTGCAAGCATAGGCAACGCTGTATCTTCGAGTAGAAAGATAAAGGACAAGACCCTAAACAGGCATGTCCCTAGAGGCACGGCATATGAGCCTGAAAAGACAAGAAGGAGTGATATAAAATATAGAGTTACTAGACATACTTTAGAAACAGAGATATAAGTAGACATTTCCAACACCCGCAGAAGCCATCCGCCAAAGATATCGTTTGCGCCATCAACCGGCGACGGCTGTGAGTGTATTGATGCTTGTAAACCGACATCGGGGCCTTGATGCATGATGGTAGATGTAGACCTTCTGGGCCGCGACGTCCGGGGCAGAAAGTACACAAGCACTGCCACCAGCATGTAAACGGCCCACGCTTCAACAACCAAATTGGGCAATAGCATTTGTTCAGTGCTTACAGTACTCACGTACTTAGAGAGTTAATTTTAAGGTGGAATTTACAACAATAGAAGCCGGCGTATCTTCGCAAGTTTTAAATTAATTGAGAAACCTGTTGATGAAAGTAGTCGATGGATTGAACAGATTGGCCCGTAGTCAGCACACATGCGCACACCTGATCCTTTAACACAAAGATGTAGTTACACAGTCTATTAAGATTGACAACACTAGATTGTAGAAGCCCGGCAAATTATATCACTCACAATGATTATAACGGAGGAGCTGGTCTATGGTGTGCAGGCTCTATCAGTACCAACACCGTTCAAACTCATAAGCATTGTACAGTTGTTCGCATAGCATGCATCTAGCTGTAGGTTCTCCGCAAAATGTCATTTGTGGGCTCACACGGCGGTCCAAGTGACAACCAAAATAAAAATCGTCGCTTTGGAGGTTCACTCCATTCTGCAGTGCAAGGTTGCTTTTTCTCCGGTTTACTTACTCTGTGTTGGAATGGATTCGTTGTCTATCATGATAATAGTCTTCAATACGATCGCGTGCACACTGGCCATTGTTGGAGCTGTACTAAATGTTTATACAAGAAAACACCCTTTCAACTCATTTTATAGAGAACGGCTTGCCATCTGCTTCTCCACCGTCGTCTTCACACTGGTCTCGTCAGTTTTCAGGTCACCAACTCAGGTAGACATAGGTCAGATCCATACCTCCGTCCAGAGCGGCAAGGCTACCATCGAGTCAGCACTTGTTGCCGTCGGAAATTGGTTGCTCTGCAGCTACTACTTCGGCATGCACCCCACTTTCAATTGGTGTCTTATCTTTATGGCTTCTTTGCAGACCAAAAGGCGACAGAGAAAGTTTGAGGCAACTGACTTGAGCCTACTGCCATCTCCTACTGAGACCAACTGTAAGCTACACGGAGCATCAGATGAGGTTAAAGCTGTTAGTACTGATACTCTTGCCCTACATTCATTCAATCTGCAGGCGATATACCCCAAGCCCATGAAATTTATCTCTGTCTTCTTCATCGCCACTGGGAGTGCAGTGACCGCAGGACTGCTCTTGGCAGCCATCCACGCCTTCCACTTTCTGGTCGTGGACAGGGCTGGTGCAATCTCCTCAAATAATAAGATTCCACCTCTGTACAAGGGGTTGTTTACGTCAGAAAGCAGCAGCGGCAACGTTAGAATAACCTTTCGGATGGGGCTCTACAGCTATTCCTTGCTCTCCACGTGTGCACGCGTCATAGCCATATCAGCCTTTTTCATCATAACCGCACTGCAGTTGCGGAACGTAAAGAATCCAAACAAAGTAACTCGTAAGCGTAGCTGGATCAAGTTATCGCTGACCTTTGTTATTGACATCTTCCCATCGTTACTGACCCTACTGTCCACCTTCATCGATCGCACGTTCCAGTCGTTCACCTCTTTGATGCTGCTCCTCTGTGCAACATCGTCCACCATGATATCCTTCAGTATAGTGCCCCCCTGCACTATACTAAACGAGCGAAAGATAAATTCTTAACTCCAGTCGCATTCGTCTACAATGTTCTGCGTTGGCAGACTGAGAGCGACCTTGCGCAGCTCATCTAGGGAGAGCTGTGCTGATACCCCTGCGGTGCCGGACGACTGCCCATCTAGCACAGGGATCTCCAAATAGGGCGCAGATATCGACTTGGCTGGTTCGCTCGGGGCTTTTATCTCTGCTACCGCCTCGTCATTATCTATACTGTTAGGATTGCTTTTTGCTTTCTTTGCTTGTTGATTGGCGGGACAGAAGAGACTTGTCAGCTTGGCAATGGATCCTTCGTGGAAGGAGCCTGTCTTAACCCCCACCAGTTTTGATAAGTCGCTGACACCGGAAACGGTCACGGACGATCCTGTCCCGCAGCGTCTGTCTCCCAGACCAGTTACCAGTGTCTCATGGTGACTCTGAAGGTTGACAATATCACCGTTCGCGTCAAAAATAACCTGCTTTGGATGTGTAGGAAGCTTTGCCCGCTGGTATGCGCTCAGCACCCCCTTGATGAACTGATCGCACTCTTTCGGCAAAATAGCGCCTGTTCCGGCAAAATCCTGGGCTATCTGCTGGTGCTCTCGAGGGAAAACCTCGAAGTTTCTTTTTAGAAGCTCGATGTCCCACTCCTCGCTCCCTAGATCCTTACTCAGGTTGATGTTCGGGATGGTGGGAGGGTCGTTTATTATGGCAAAATTGATATTTTTAAAAAAGGGGTGGTTCTTCAGTTCGGATGCGCCCATCTTAGATCCTAGACGGGTTTTGGGATTTATATCCAGCAACCTCTTGATCAGATCTTTGCATTTTTTGCTAACCTTATAGGGCCCATCGGGGAATGTGAACACTCCTCGGAGTATTTTCTTGGAAATTGTGTCTAGAGACGCGCCCTTGCTCATGAAGGGTGTCACACCGTAGAGGCACTCATATATGAAAATTCCGAGAGTCCACCAATCAGCAGCCTGAGAGTGCTCACCTTGAAGGACTTCCGGAGGCAGACACTCAGGCGTGCCAACCAGAGACGCCGTTGTCTCCTGGAAGCCGGTTGGAAAGATCGTTGTAGTCTTTTTGCCGACAGATAGCTGTACAGGCTTATAGTGGTCCACCGTCGCACCCAATGTGAGTCTTTTAGCTAGATCGAAGTCCGTCAATCTAATATGGCCGTCGTGGTGTAGAAGAACATTTTCCGTCTTTAGATCTCTGTAAATGATGCCGTGATAATGAAGGTATTCAAACGCAGTAAGTATTTCGGCTGCGTAATGCTGCACAGTAGACTCTGGGAAACAGCGGTTGGGCTGCCTCTTGAGGACCTCAGCGAACTCACCTCCATTGCAGAATTCCATCAATAAATAGAAATTCCTTTCGTCTGCAAAACTAGCGTGGAGGGTCATTATGAACGGGTGCCGTGAGGTCATTAAAATGTGCAACTCTGTAAAGAAACGGTTAACCTTATTGCGCTTGGTGAGATCGTGCTGACTACATACCTTCAGGGCAAAAACAGTCTCGTTTCTGCCCGTTGGAATCAGCACCTTCTCAGAGCTACGCTTGACCAGGTATACGCGCCCAGCGTCCCCGATTCCAAGAAGACAAAGAATTTGAAAGTCGGAGGCGCGGTAGTGAGCCATGTTACCGATGCGCTTTGTGTAGTGGAAGTTGTGGACGTCTGCTAGCCTGCTACCTCCGGTAAAAGCCTCCATCATACTGATGGTCTGCGACGCGGGATAGGACCCGACCTTCGCATTTGGAAGAGTTCCTGTCTCCAGGATTGGCCTTGACATTGCAACTGTTTTTTCTTTCCTATGTGCAAAAATATTTTGCAACAATTTTTTAAACTCATTTTTTAAACGTCGTTTTTAATATGTTCAGAGATATTAGAATGAACATGCATTTTCGGATGTCGAGCATCGAGGATAAAGCATCTCTCGATCTGCAAGCTCCTTACTAGAGACAAGTATCTTTTCAGTGCTGGTCTACACATCTCCACACGGACATGGCACACGCTTTCCCGTTGGGGGTTTTATTAAAATGGTTCCTCAGCCTCAGCGTGTAGCGATCGCGGTTCCCCCAGGAACAAAAGCAGGCCTCTGGCCCTTCATTGTGACATGCGTGCTGGTTGGCATAGAGGTCGCCGTGGCGTTCATCGACCTTATCGTCCAGGCAGCAGGAGGTGCGAAGAACACTAAGGCAATGAACCTCCTGAAGAAGGGGCTTCTGTCCGCCGCTGTCATAAACTTCCACATGACGTGGTGCATTCCCTTTTCCCTGACCCTCACCTACATTGTGAGTTCCCTGAGCTGGTCCATGGGCAGGAAGAAGTGTAGTCTATTTCCCCTTCTTAACGGCTTCGCATGCTTTCTCTTCCTCGGTGCTGCCATCTACTCGTGGATGTGGGCAAATGATGCAGAGATTATGCTCCAGATTTGTAAGAACTTCCTCATTCCTCTCGGCCTGAAGAAGAGCCCCGAGCAGCTCAGGCTGACCATCTACACGCCCCAGATCAAGCTTCTTGTGGACATAATGGTCTCATGGGGATATCCCGCGCAGTGCGTGATTGTATTGACCGACGCATTCCTAGCCATTTGCCGGCGCGGCTCGGACAGGATCATTCACCTCCTCGTCCGCGTTGATAAATATGACAAGATACACGTCAAGATGGACCCTTATGATCTGATCAGCAGTTGAAGAGCTACTGTGAAGCAGATCGAGACCCTTCTTCTAGACCTCCGTGCTCGCTGGCCTGGTTTAGTAAATTATCCGTTACTTAACACGGTCTACAAGTCGGCCTCCCTGATGTGGCTGTAGATGCATGCATCTCCAAACCTGCAGTGCCCTGTTTCGTAGAAGTCCTTACAGACTCCGTGCGGCACTGCTTTTGTCCTTTTTGCTTTGGGAGGCTCTGTAGGGTCAGACGGAGCCAAGAAAGTAGTAGTGCCGTTCAAGGCTGTGTCAGCTGACGCCCCGATTGGGTTGTAACTCTGTGCATCGTAGCTGAGCCCTACGGACTCATATTTCCGGTCTGCTTCTTCTCTCGTGATCGACCGCCTTTGTACAACTGTACCTGGCAGCAATCTGGCGGTCACGTTCATTGCCCATGCGAGGATCTCTTCCGGATCCCGGTGGTCCATCGAAAAGGGCTGCGCCGTTTACTACCTTTTTTATTAAAGCACGGCAAATACCCCGTTCCCTGCGCCCCTGCGAGTCAGTTCCCTGCGGCGTAAATATATAAATTAGAAACTGTACTGATTGCTAAAATGTTCTCTGTTGGATGCCAATCAAGATATTGAATCTTCTTTCTGATGTCTACTTGATCTAGCAAGAGATTCTCTCCCAGGACCTTACCGCTCTCTAAAATGGGGAGCGCTCCAATGCTGCTTGAAGGAATCGTTCTATTATTAAGGTGCTGTAAGACTTGCTTGGAGCGCTTGCGAATCTGACGGGTGGCGAGGATTGCAATGCCGCTGGACGACGCTATATCGCGGCTACGGGTGCCATAAATGTGGAACTTGTCACTAAAGGAGCCGGTCACAAACGATCTGCAGTCAGGGGATACGGCAACGTCGTTTCTGTCGAAAAGAGAGTCCGACTCCAAAAGCCTCTGGGCGTAATCCTTCACAAATGGATGGATTGGAAGGGTGATTAGGGGGCGTCCTTCTGAACGAATGTCCCAGAGTTTGAGGCTCAAGAAGTCACGCGCAATGATTGTGTTGCCGTCCTTTGTGACATGGAGACCAGATATTCCGGCAGCAATGTCTGACTGGCCGCTGTATGTAGCGAATGCGCCGTACGGGCAATCGGACGTGTTGAGGAACGGATTTGCATACTGCTTGGCGTAGGTGTCACAGAGCGCACGCTTCCTCGTGTCGCAGAGCTTGATCGTACCATGAGATGTTCCATAAACGAAGACGCTGCCATTGGTGGGGTGATAATCTGCGAATGTGACAACTTCTTGCACGTCCTCCAAAGACGCGGGCTTCAAATCTACCATGGAAAACGCTTCCGTGTTGCTGTCTACTGACCAGATATTGATGCGAAGATCGTCTGCGACGAGAAATTGGTCCCCGGCACAGGAGGGAGCAATGGAATTGACGTGGAAGGTTGTCACGTTAGAAAAGATCTTTTTCGTTATGGAGGACACCATCTTCTCTTCGGACTTTATTATCTCAGGGATGTGCAGCTCTCCCTGGAGCTTCCCGTTGGCCGTTCGAGAAAGGTTTGTATGAGCTATTTGTACACTACACCTATTCGCAACACGCCAGATTTTGACCGTTCTCTCGTTAGTTGTCAAGAGGAAGAGAGCACCATTGGCTGGTGGCAACCACTGAACCTGCACAATACGTTCAGATATCTGCATGGAGCGAAGGGAGTCAAAGTCGGGCTCGTGGGATTGGAATTCGGCATAAAATCCGTACTCCACCATGGCCTTATCCTTATTGGCTGAGTCTGCACGCTCGAAGATTATAACGCGCCCTCCGCGATCGCCTGCAGCTATGTAAGAGCCGTCCTGGTTAAACTTTAACGCAGAGATCATGTCAGCGTCCTGGATGGCCTCTATCGAGCACGTGTCGCCGAACACCTGCCTGAAGTTCCACTCTATCTGATCGGCCGTCTTGGTGGTCATTGCTTAAAAATAGCACAGTTTTTTAAAATCTGTGAAAAAATACATTCGAAAGGGCTTTATGCCGGTGGTGATCCGGAGCACGGTGGCCGTCCTTGGAGACCCGCAGACGGGGAAAAGCGCGCTCCTCAACACCGTTTGCGGGAATGGGGGGCAACATGCCCTGCAGCCGACCATGCGGCCAGATGTTTTCAAGAAGCAAATAAAGATACCAGGGTCAGATTACAGCGTCGACCTTATTCTCATCGACTGCCCCTCACATCACCTTTCTTTCTCCCTGACAAAGAAGGCGATAGCAGAATGCCAGCAAATCCTCGTTCTTTCGTCTTTTCTCAGCGCCGATTCCCTGGCCAATATGGCAAAGTGGATTGAGATGTTTCGGGATGCAACGATGATCCCGAAGGTTTCTGGCGTTGCAGCAATAAGCTATGCACACGAAGACTCGTCTCAGTTTACATTTGAAGAGGCAGAGCGGCAGGCGAAGTCGCTCGGCCTGGGCGCTGTCCAGTGCAATCCGGCCACTGGAAGGGACTGTGACACGCCCTTTGCCATGCTCGCCCACCTTGCCCACAAGCGCTTCTTGAAGAACGGGGAGTAAATATCGTCGAAGTCCTGTGTCCTCCTGTGTAAGCCTATAATTCAAAAATGCCTATTTTGCTGCATGAAGAAAAGTGTGACGCCTGCTTGACGTGCGTGGGGACCTGCCCCGTTGGCATCATATCGGAGGAGAAGGGGGCCTTGAAGGTCACGCACGTAGAGGACTGCACGGAGTGCGGAGATTGTGTCGTGTCTTGCCATACAACTGCCCTGGAGGTGGATGTATGACCGCCCTGTGTGCATCTGTCTACTCTATACCGACAGAGGCAGTTTATAGTCTAGCCACTCTGCATAGACAAGCTTTTCATTGGCATAAACAAAGATAGCGCCCTCAAGATCTTTCTCGAGCGGCATCGCAGCGGCAGGCCCTGGTAGAAGTAAGCGAGAGTAAACTATTCTCTGGTCTGCAACAATGGTAAAGTCTGGGGCGTTGATGTATTCGGAGACTACACTACTGTATGACCTATCTGGACTGGAGCTAGGCAATGAAAAGGTACAGCTGCAATCTTTCTGGCGCTCTAGGGTGAAAGCACGGATATAAAGTCCATTGTAGGTGGAGATCATCCATAGGCACTCCTGTGGCCAGGCGTTCCTCGGCAAGCCACCAGTGCCGCTGGTCCTCCGGTCCAGTGAACCCATGAAATACTTACACCAGAGGGAAACGGCGTAGGAGGCCACCAAACCACTGATGTGAAACGGGGTTGAAACGACCTGCTGCAAGGCATTGGTAACGTCTCCTGGCGCTATTTGCAGGCCAAGATTGTGTATTTCACCCAGCTCATTGGCCCTTGAAAGCACAGCAGCCTCGTATGATTCTTCGGATTGTGGATCATTACCATTGGACTCTGAGAGTGCATATGCAGCGATGAGAATGCAGTCTTCTGCGGTCCTAGGGATTCCTGGGACACTGCATAGAGGGCGCTTTCTCTTCGGGTACATCCATGACGTACAATAGAAACATGGGTACTGGCTGGAGTAGAGCCTTATACTTCCCGCCAGACCTTCTGATCCCACGTCTATTACTGTTTTCTGCGCTAGCAATAGTGCAGGGATAATCTTCCTACGTGCCTCCACATTGTCGACACACAGAAACGTCATAGCAGCGGTAGCGAGCTTGGTCACGAACGCAGGCCGAGCAGCATCTGTGGAATACGCTTCTGCCCGGTAACCTTGGCCCTCAATGAACGCACAAGCCACAGACGACTTGAACTCCCCGACGGATTCTCCATTATAGAGGGCTTGCTTGCCAAGATTTGTTTCAGAAATTGTGTCCCTATCTACTATCAGTAACTTTACTTGGTCACTAGAAATGCTCGCTGTGTTAAACGCATGCATCAAGCTTCGAATCACCTCACAACCGCTCCCTCCAAGCCCTACCACAGCGATCGTGTACATTTATTTTCCGATTCCCGGCGCCGTACCCTCCGCAGGGAACGGCCAGCCGAAATTAGAAACTAGCAATGCCTGTTGTGACGCCAGAGCAGTGCCGAGAGTTCATGAAGAGCACAATCCAGATAGCTGTCACTTTAATCTGCTTTAAGAGAAGCATATTTCCACCCTCAGCCTTTGGAATTAAACGAATGATGGAGGTAGATGTCAAGTGCCTCGACAAAAGCGATAAGAATGCATACGCCCTGTCTCAAGCCCTGGAGCTAGGAGTGTTCGACGCCATCGATAAGGGGTTTCTAAGAGAGGTAATCCTAGGAATCTTCTTGAACCGTGACGCACCCATGGAGCTCATCGAGAGCTACAACTTCCGGATAAGCACCAGCCCATCACTGCCTCAATCTGCCCAATCTCTTATGGAAGAGGTTAACCGGTTCACAGGCCGTCTCCTAGGCACCTTAAACGAGCTACCGTCCTTGCCAGAAGACAAGGACATTCTGCTACGATGCTTTTATAAATCGAACACACCTGAGAGTTACGTTATGCCATATTTTTCCCTGTGTAAGAATGCTGGAAGCCTTCATATTTCTTCGGAAAAGGCCCCTTATGAGGTATCTCTCGACCGCTTTGAGACGCCCTACGAGGCCATTGGCTTGAAACTGTATGTACCAGACTATATCACCTTAGATCACCAGTCAGAGAATCCGGAGCCTCACAAAGAACGCGTGTTGTTGGAGGCAAAGATAGATGAAATCCTGACCGGAAGGGCTGGAACCAAGGAGTGGGCTCTTGCCATACTACATCGAATCCTCTCTCTCAAATTCCCCATTTCACTCAAAGACGCTGCGCAGTTGGTGCAGTGCAGTGTCTACAGAATTCGCAAAGTGGCTGCTGAGCACCCCTTTATCAAAATATCGAAGAGTGTCCTCAATGTCGTCGACGAATCAAAACTTCAATTCGCCCTGCAGTGCACAACCCGTGAGCTAACCGACCTTCTGTAGGCAACACAGAAATGACGACATCCACTGACAGAGGCGTTTGTCTTAGAGACATAATCTGACGCGACATGACGTGACAATTTTAAAATGATGCTCCTTCTGGCCCTGCTCCTTCAGATCTTGGCGTTTGACGCCATCATTGATCTAGGATGCGGGACATATCAGGTTGGTACGCTTAAAAAGAGTGCTGTCGGCAATCCAGTGGATATGATTCTTAACTCGCAATCTAAGCGGCATACGCCTTCTCTCGTTGCATATGACGGAGAAGTCTTTTTTGTGGGCGAGTATGCGGAGATCTTTCAGAAACGCAAACCCGGGCTTGTCTTCTCTGGATTTACTGCAGGAGTCATGGAAGACGCTTTAAACTTTGCAATGGACCCTGACGCCTCAGAGCTCAGCGTTTTTAAGGGGCAGCCAGCGACAACTCTCCTCACTGCGCTCATCAACCACCTTGTTCATTCTCAGATTAATAGACCCAACGAAACCATTGATGTCACGCTTACAATTCCTCCGGGCCTCACTCTCCCGGAGATCTCAGCCATCCGGGGCGCCATTGAAGCGGTTCCTGGAGTAAAGCTCCTCACTACTGTACCAATTCCGGTGGCAACGGCTATTACCTATTTGAGCTCACGGATGGGGACGATTAACAGGACGACAGTTTCTTCTATGTCTTTTGTGGTTGTGGACCTGGGATATCACAGCACAGACGTCTCTGTCGTGGAGGCTCTTTTTAAGCCAGACTCAACAGATGTTCAGATGCGTGTTGTGGCGACCAGCAGCTTGAAAGTAGGTGGTCATGCGGTAACAGAAGCACTAATTGAGAAGTATATCAGCCCAAACATTCCCGGGCTCTCTTTCAGAAAGGATCTGCGGAAGTACAAACGGGCATACGAAGCTATCGAGAGGAGCAAAACCGCCCTTTCTGCTAATACTGAGACACGCATGGTGGTCGAAAGTGTCTTGCAAGATGGAGGGGATCTTCATGTTACGCTACTGCGTAGCCAGCTGAACGATCTATTGGATGAGATGTACAACGAGACAGCAATGCAGCAGTTTGCAGAACTACGTGCATTGGTGGCTGAAAAATATAAGGACTCCATTTTCTACTTCTATGGTGCAGCGTCTCGCGCACTCCACATGCAAGCAAAAATGGAGCTGTTCTTTAACACAAGCATCCAGAAGACAGTTAATCTGGATGAGGGGGCGATATACGGTGCTGCCCTCATAGCTGCGCGATATGGGTCCGGTCATCGTGTTAGTTATAAATTCATTCCCAGCGATCAAACGCGGCCTCAGCTCTTTTATATTCCCAATAGACCGACGACCGAGGAAAGCGAGCATCTAAGTAACAACAGTGTAACGTCCATCCCGCTAATGAGGCTTAATCCTTACCAACGTAAAAGCATCAATAACGAAATATTTCCATATTTAGATGACGAATTCATTGTATCTAATCAAACTATCACTATCAATCTTGAGAAAGAGGTCGATGTAGAGATTGATGACGCAGCCGAAGAAACGAAGGGGCATGCCTTGGAATCTGACGAAACCTCCCTTGGAGATGATCTAGACACAGATGTGGCCGAAGGAGAGCCATTTGACGTAGCTCAAGACCCCTCAGCAAACAGTGAGCGCTCAGAGCAACAGGAGCAGTCGGAAAAGGTATACGAAGACACCGAGCTGCCTCTCAATGAAACAGATATCGCTGAACGGCTGAAGAAGGCCCTTGAAAATATATCGCTAGAGCTACCTGAGAAGAAGAAAGTGCAAAAAACAATCTCCATCACTCCTCATAATATTACTGCGAAGTGGATCTCCACAAAAACCACTCCTTTTTATCAGATAAACATAAGTGCTGGAGACCTCTTATCGATTGGCTGCAACTTCTACCTCCCAGAGTTCAAGCAGGAGTCTGTGCTGAGCAAATATTCCACTGGTTCTGTTGTCAAAGAGAAGGACCTTGCGCAACTAGAAAAGGACGTTTCTAATTATAATGCAAAGATTGAGCTTATAACAGAGGCTCTAAGGCAGTATCTCAAATATCCTCGACCAACAGCAACGAACAAGAAGCAGCGAAAAGATGACATGCAAGACACAAGGGACATACGTGTTAAGTTTTTGGTTAACATCACAACAGATTCTGCATCCATACCATCTATTAACTTTGCAGCAATCCAGGTTCAAAATTGGTCCGATTATAATGCCGAGCTTCAAGAGCTTATAAAGGCCAAGAAGACAGACAAGAAACCTAAGGCTAAAGTTAAGGCCGTGGATATAGAGTTTGAGAGGAGGTGCCACGTGACCTTCAGCCCGGCGTTTTGGAACGGAACAGAGGTCTTTGCCAATGGGTATAAGCTCATAGAAGATGCAAATAAGGTGCTACAGAACAGAAACCACTTGAGTCACAGCGTAAATGAAATAGAAAGCGTCATATATGCCGCACGTGACCTGCTGGAGAAGCACCCACCGAGTAAGATGGACGAGGGCGACGTCTTACTTTATGCGAGCGAGGGTGAGTCTATCGTTAAAGCGATTGACTCTGCCAAGCTTTTCATGGAAGAATTGGAAGAGAAGGAACCGTGTGGCGTTAACAACACCTGTGTGGTAGAGCGACTGACATCGACTAACGAGACTGTCAGTGCACTGCGCAACGCCATGAAAGTCGTTTCAGATAGGCTTGCACACATCAAATGTATCGTCCCTCTTCGCGAGAGCTTTGGTAGCTATATTGCAGACCGGAATTATTCCGTCAATAGCCTAAGAGCATACTCGAGGCTTCTGAAGGCAGATACAGCCGGAGAGGAAGGAACTGAAGCAGCAAATATTGCAGTGAGCGACAACGTCATCAGCGAGCTGGCTAAACTTAATGAAACCATGAACTCTTTGAATCTGACGATGACATTGAACACTACGGTTGATCAGCTCAGGGAGCTCCGTGACACAGAGCTCATATGTCGCACAATGACTACACTGGATATTGACTCTCTAGTCAAGGACTACCAGGACGAAGAGGAGAAGCTAGAAACGGAGAAGCTGGAGGCAGAAAAGGAGCAAAAGAACAAATCATGGTTCAAAAAGATGATCGGCAAAGGAGGCTCTGAGATAGAGGAAAAAGAGAAAAAGATTCTCTACACAAAAGATGTCATTCGCCGTTTGAAACGTGCGAAGATAGACTGTGGTACATTCACGCGATCTGCGGACAGACTGAGAACAAAAATAGATAATGTCGCAGACTTGCATAAAAAGGCATCAGATCTCTATGCAAGCATCACTGCAGAACTTCAGATGAGGCCAGAAACTAACTGCACGGTAGTCAATGAAACCCGCACTGATCTGGACAAAGCCATCCGGGAAGCTCGCTGGCAAATAGCCCATACCCAGGAGATTGTAAAGAATACAAAGCTGGCCTCGCTGACAAACGAAATACGGAAACTGAACGAAAAGGCCCAGAACCACCTTTCATATGCCAAAACGCTATTTCAGCTTCTAAGATCCATCTCAGACGTCAATCTAGAAGATATCACACAAGATGTCCAGGGAAAACTCGACGAACTGGTTATTCTTCTTCGCAGATTGCGCGTCACAACTGTGTCAGAAAAACTGCTGGAGTATCTTAAAAATGGAGGGATTGCAGAGCTGAAAGAGCGCAACGCCTTTGCAGAGGAGCCATCAGAGGCAACGTTTGAAGAATACAACTCCAACGTAACGTCTGTGTTGAAAGCTGCTTTGTTGCCATCACCTTCCGCAAATGAAACTGTTGCTGATACGGCCAACAAAACTACAATTAACGCTACCAGCACCAAAAAGGAAGAGCTGTAAAAATTCTGTGTGTAAATCTCTATGGCGGTGATTATGGTACGTTGTATCAGTTCGTTCGAGCATGGTGTGGTGCTGTATATGCCCGTCAAAGTGAACGGAGGAGAGACGTTAGCAGACGTGGCCCAACAGGTATGTCAACGTGTAAAGACAGAACCCAAATACAAGCCTCTTAAAACGCGGGTTGAGGCCTTCGATACCTTCAAAGTCTATGTCACGCCCGGCCAAGCAAAGCCCCCCAACCTGGTCATAGCACCCGAAGGCAACGAATTTACGTCGGATAACTGGAGAGGATTGGATGAGCTGGGAATAGAACCTGGCACCGAGCTTTCGTTCTTCTCCAGTAGCGCCTACAAAAGGTATAAAGAGGGCCGGGCGGCAGAGTAAGTGCGCTTCCGGTCTCATAAAAAATGGAGTCCGTATCTATGTCAAAGGACGTACTAATCGTTGGCTCTGACGGAGTAGAAGTTATAGTTCCAAAGCAGCTTGTGGCATGCTCCTTAGTTTTGCGGCGACAATCCATTTTGGGACCCATTACAATGTCATACACTGGAAAAGAGCTGTCCAGTGCAATAGCTACTTACATGGAATGTTTCTTGGCAGGGAAGCACCAGCAAATGGACCCTAGGGAGGCTGAAATATTAGAGGAAATGGGCCTGGGAGACGCGTCTACAGAGCAGCAACAGCAACAACACACCTGCCAAGCCACAGATCGGGAACCCAGCACTGGACAGAGATATTCACTTGGAGGTTGTCCCTATCACCACCAGACCCAGGAGATTACGTCATATAATGTTAACGATGCTAACGACATGGCGGATGTAACCAATTTACCGACGATCACACTGGAAGAATTTCTGGCCAATGATGGGTCCGATGGCCGCAGACTTTGGATCTTGATAGACACAATAGTATTTGACGTGACAGAGTACCTTAATAAGCACCCTGGCGGAAGGGTTCCATTGCTAAATGGAGCCGGGAAGGACTCGACGCTGCAGTTCTATCAGCATCATGGCCGCAAGGGCAACACTAGACCGTTATTTAACCGCCTCAGATGCTTGGCAACGGGCCGTATGGACTCGTCCGACCTTCAGCGTGTGCCTGGATATCAAAAGATGAATGTAGAGGAGTGTGGTAATTCCTCCCTTAGAAAGCAGTTCCTTCAGTATTTTCATGTTGTAGAATGAACACGCGGGCTTGTGCAGGCATTTAGGACACGATTTTAACGGAGTAATTGCAGCACCTCTTCTGTTGGCTTAGGCACCCATAGGAAGAGAAGCATACATTAGAAGCAATCTCTTCATCTGGGGACACATACTCTATCTCAATAGTGATGTTATGGACCTCTAAACTATGGAAGACAGATTTGACATCCTTCATGATCTGGCAGTGTCTTGTTCGGTCAATGGCGCCCGAGGGATTACAGACGACTACGTGACAGTGGCCGATAACAGTCTCATCTGTAAATGTCCAAACGTGCAGGTCGTGTACGCCCAAGACACCGTCCACATCGAGGACCCTCTCTTTCAAAACGTCCAGAGAGAGGCCTTCGGGGATGGCCTGAAGTAGTATTCGTATGGTGGACTTCAACAGAGGGACTGCTGCACAAACTATTATTATGACCATGAGCATGGTAGTCATCGGGTCAACCAAGTGAGCAAGGGGATGCGTGACAAACTTTTGTACTAGTGCAGACACGATAGCAACCACAGACCCCATCAGGTCTCCGAGGACGTGGAGAAACACACCATGCATAGTAATGTTTCTCTGTTTCTTGGGGCCTCTGTGCCCCCTTCTCCTTCTCTTCTGAGCGCCATTAAGGAGCAGTGTAGTAGACTCAGGTGTGAGCGCAGTGCTGACCACTTGAACGGTGGAAGCAAGCGCATGGGAACCAAGAGAACTCTCAGAATTCCCGTCCGAGTGATCTGGATGACCTGACTCGTGGTAGTCCTGACAACCGGTATCATGAGCATGAGCATGATCATGATCATGGGCATTCCCGTGCTCATGGAAAATGAAGAGTCCTGCAATATTGACTACCAAACCGCCGATTGCCACGCCCAAGACTAAATCGATATGGTTCAAGTCAACTCCCTCTGCGGTGATTAGCTTCTGAACAGCTTCTGTCACAAGAAAGAAAGCAGTAGATAGGAGAAAGGATGCATTAAAAAACCCTCCTATGGTTTCGCTTCGCTTATATCCAAAGGTAGCCTGTGCCGATGCCTGCTTCCTCCCCAAAACAAGAGAGATCAGACCTATGACAAGAGATAGCAGGTCTGACAGCATATGAAAGGCGTCTCCCACAAGGGTGAGGGAGTTTCCAACTATGCCGACTATAAGCTCTGCCAGCATGTAGAAGAAGACCATCACCAGCATTGCAATCAGACGGCCGGTTCGGCTGTCCTTGGGCCGGATGTACTCTTGATTGATAAGGTCTTCTGAGGTGGACTGGCACTCTGGGCTCATGAAAACTTTTAAAATCTCGCGTGATTTTTGAGCAGATTGGGTTGGTACCAGAAGATTTGATTTTAGTGGGTTTCTAATAATGTGCAATATTTAAATGGAAAGCTGCCACATGAGAATGAAAAAGACCTTCAGATGCAATATATAATTGAATTGAAAGAACAATGGCCGATTCCCTTGGAACCCTTCCGCTGACACCGATGTATCTCTCACAGCAACCATTTCTGAAGCCAGAAGAGCTCCACCCGACCCATCCTGACGTGATTTCCCGTCAAGCAACGATTAACATAGGGACTATTGGCCACGTTGCTCACGGCAAGTCAACCCTCGTCAAGGCCATCACGGGGATCACCACCGGGCGCTTCCACTCAGAAATGGAAAGGAACATCACAATAAAGCTAGGATACGCAAACGCCAAGATATTCAAGTGTCCGAAGTGTCCGGAGCCCCACAACTACTTCCCCACAAGCTCTAGCATGCCAGACAACAGTAAGTGCAAGATGTGCGGCTCTGTCGGAACGCTTGTTAGACACATTTCTTTCGTAGATTGCCCAGGACACGACTTTTACATGGCAACGATGCTTACTGGCGCCTGTGTCATGGATGCTGCTCTGCTGCTCATTGCAGCCGATCAGCCCTGCCCACAGAGCCAGACCAAAGAGCACCTGGCGGCCATAGACATTGCAGGAATAACTAAGGCCGATAGAGTCATCATAGTACAGAATAAGATTGACCTCATTAAGGAGCAGGAGGCAAAGAGCCACCATCAGCAGATAGTCAACTACCTGAACATATCGTTAAAAACCAAGAATCCCCACATCATCCCTACGTCCGCAGTGAGTGGATATAATGTTGACCTAGTGCTCCACCACATTGTGAACAAGCTCCCAATACCGAAGCGGGACCTTACGCTGCCGCCACTCTTCATGGTGATACGCTCCTTCGACGTCAACAAGCCGGGGTATGACATCGATAACATTCGCGGCGGTGTTGCTGGTGGAACGCTTCTTCAAGGCATGTTTAAGCTGGGAGACACCGTGGAAATTCGCCCCGGATACACCATCATGAATGAGAAGACTGGCAAGTGCTCGTGCTATCCCCTCATAACAAAGATTATCTCCATCAAGGCAGATGAGAACGAGCTGCGCTATGCCATCCCTGGTGGGCTCATCGCCATCGGCACCTTCATAGACCCCTCATACACGCGCCAGGACAGGCTGGTCGGGTCTGTAATAGGATATCCAGGACACATGCCCCCAATAAGGCTCAACATAACTATTTATTATGAACTGATGCACCAGCTAATCTCTGCCGTCAACACAAATAACACTAAGATAGCAGTATTAGCGGTGAACGAGGTTATTCTTTTCACAATAGGGAGCAACTCTGTTAGCGGAACTATTAAGGCCGTCAGGACTGTCAATGGTGTGGAGAAGATCGCGGATGTCGTAATGAATAAGCCCATATGCGCCAAGACTGGCGAGCAGATAGCAATTAGCAGAAAGATAGCAACCGGGGCCTCCAGAAGCTGGCGTCTGATAGGCTGGGGGAAGATTCAGGATAATCCGGATTGGGAAAATCTCAATTCTACAGAAGCGTAGGGTGCTCAAAGCTGTGCTATCAGGGCTCGCGCCTCGTGGCAGTATCCGCCTCCAAACATCAGTGCATGATTGAGCATGTGAAAGAGATTGTAAATAGGGACTTTTCTCTTAAACTCTGGACTGATGGGGAGAACGCTGCCGTAGTCTCGTAGAAAGTTGGAATCGAAGCCTCCAAAGAGCTGAGTCATTGCTAGATCCACCTCATTATCTCCATAGTAACACGCTGGATCGTATATGCAGGGCACCCCGCCGGATGAACCTGCGTTTCCTCCCCACAGATCGCCGTGTAACAGCATCGGCACAACAGATGATGCGAGAGTCAGCAACTGATCACGTACACGCTCCACTGCACCTTGTCTTGTAACTCCCTTGGGGAGGACTTTACCAAGAGCCCCAGCGCTTTCGAGCTTGAGGAGAACGTCATTGATCCTGTGCTCTGCAAACCACTCTGGCCAGCCTTGGCTTGTCTGAGCGTTATCTAACTCCGTTGACCCACAGAAAGTCCTGCACGGAAAGCCAAACTTCTCTGCTACCGAGCCTTTATGCATGGCAGCAAGATGTCTTCCGAGACCAGATGTGTCTCCAGAGAGACCCTTGAGTTGCGTCATGAGAAGATATGACTTGCCATTAAAGGTACCCACTGAAATTGGGCGAGGACACAGTACAGACCTTGTCTCCGAAATGGCCTTCAGCCCATGGTACTCTCCCCTGAATGCCAATTCAGCGTCAGGTCCACCAAGCTTAAGGAATAGAGGCTCCGGTGCACGTATTGCATATGTTGATGAAAAGCAACTGCCGCTCATTTCACAAATAGAATCCGGCGTAATACCCTTGATTGATAAGCTATCCAGAAGATTGACCACAAGAGCGCTCATGGACTCTTAAAATTAACATTACTTTAACGCAGAGACCTTTAATACAGAGACTCGAACAGCGTGATAAACTTTAATCTGTACAAGTGTGTAGGGTATGCAAAGCGTGTCCAGGTTTGAAAGTTGTATGGAATTGGAGCTTTCAAGTATGGGTCAGACTTTCATTTGAAGCCCGTCATGGAGCTGGTTCATTGGAAAACAGCAACTGTGTGTGTCGTGGCCAATGCAATCATGAGCCTCTAGCTGACCCTCTTTATTCTCAATACAGCATTGAAGCGTGCTTATCTATGTTAGAGAGTTGAGCCTATGCAATATGAGTGAAAGCTGTCTTGCTTTTTCCACTAGGTGCAAAGCTGTGGCACGGTTTCACACCTGGGCATACATCCTTTGTCAATGATAAGTGGATTCAGGCCGCGCGTGTTATCGGCCCTGTCTTCAAACCCGATGACACGAATGACCTGGATGCGCAAAGCTCATACAGACGCGTGATTCTGCCATAAGAGTGGTGATCCAGAAAGGAGTTTCAGGAAGGTTATTAAGGATATCGACAAAGTTGGGCCTACTAATCTATAAGCCAGAAAACGGAGATCAGCCCATAAAGGTAAGCCACACTGCATTTCCACGTCAGTGCTCTGTGAGGACTAAGGGCTAAGTGGTGTGGATACTTTTGGCAATCCCTTTACAACGAAGCACCAAGAGTACTGAATTTCTGGGCCCTTGGAATCTATCCTGTTGACTCTGATGCATTCTAAGGGTGATTATGGTTGTGCAAGGTCTGCTTTTGTATGGTTTGCTATAGGACAATTAGACCATAGAATACTATATGCTGGGATAAAGCCGCTTACTGAAAATGGATAGAGCGGTATCCATGGCGTTGCCCACGTCGGCGCCCTGTTGCGAACCCCTTCCATACGTGATGACTGGTCTCCGCAACACGGCCTAGGGAGCGCGCGTTGGCCCTCCCATGTGCCCGTTCCCTAGGCCGTGTTACGGATACTGGCAAGCCAAGATGTGCGTATCGCTCGAGGCCAGTCGTCGCATATGGGAGGGGCATGCGATGGGGGCTCTTGCGCTGGAGGCAGCTGGTCTGACAGAGGTCCGGGTGGACAACGTCCTGAGTTCTGGAATTCATTTGATTGAAGCGATAACTTCTTTGTTAGTTAAAGAATTTACATAATTATCAATCTGGCAATGCGTCATTTCTGAACCAAAGAGAGCCATTACCAACAATTAGTGGGTGACTCAACAAGTGCTTAAAAGAAAATTCATCGGCTAGTAGAAGACCGGTGAAATTCTGATAGTGAGATAAGTTGACTAGTGACAACGCTAAGCTGAATCTGTCTATGTGTGGTATTCCAGTGACAGGATCTGAAAACGCACTGTAGCTGGACTCGTTTTTCATGGAGCTGCTGATTCCGACGTACCAACTCTCGCCCTGAAGAATATCAATGAACGACGCTGCGTGACACGAGTCAACAAGAATGCAGAGGTAGGTAAAGCGACCTGCACCTTTCAGCGCATAGAGCACTCGCTCGAGGCTTTGCTTGTAGAGGATTGAAGAGTCTTGGAACCGAATGAACCCGGGAGACCCGTGACCAGCAAAGTACAAGACAAGAGTGTCTACCTGCGGAAGCGAAGCAGTATCCCACAGCTCCACAGATAAAAAGCGCAGGAATCTCTCTGGGCTGAGTTCATGCGGATGTATCACTTGATGGATAGCGTTCCTAAAATTAGAGTTCAATTGGAGCCAGCTGTGAGTAGGATCGTTGGCATACAGCAGGATGCTTTTATCGATCAAACCACTATTCATCAAAGTGCTATCAATTGTGGCTATGTCTACGTAGTGACGACTGTCCCAAAAAGCCCTAGATGTGTCCACACCGAGCAAGACAGTGGTGGCACTTATAAAATTACAAACCATAAACCATAGCATAATGAATAATAAAAGCGATGGACATACGCTACGGTACAATAAAATCTGAGAGCCTTAAGCAGGTTTGTAGACCTCTTAGTATTGAGAAGGTCTACAAGGATCCACGAGAATCTACAAGAAAAAAGCGTAAAGCTTTCCGTCATGGGTGCCACCGATGAGTGCTCCTGTGCTGGAGGCGGCTAGCCAGCCAGTGGGAGAGCGGGCTCTGAAGATAGCGGAACTGTCAAAGACTATTCCTGACGTCCGAATGTCATATATTAGAATGCGTCCTTCATCTCCGGAAACGGCGAGACCGTTGCACTTGGGAAGAAACGCTACTCGTGGATTCGCTTTTACTGCCGATACTCCACTGAATAGTCGAATTGGTTGTTCAAGTGTCTGCCGCGCATCGTACAGCGCCACTTCTCCAGCTGTCATGCCAGAAGCACTAGTAGCAAAGATGTTCTCTGTCATGGACCCTAGGCAGGTATATGCCAGGTCAGGCAAGAAGACAGAAGGGGTCCTAGCATGCGGAGACACCTCGTTGCTTATTGTAGCCACCTTCTTCATGCGCGCAATGTCAACAACGCTCAAGGTATCAGATGGACCATTCTTATCCGATCTTGAATGAGTAAGGAAGCAAACTGGCGACTTGAAGCGAGTAAAGCAGGCACCCCCATAAATCACTGATGGGAGACTCAAAACGGTCAGCTCAGTGTACGCCGGTTCCGTACAAGAAGCGCTGTCAGAGAAGCTTCCAGACACATCATATCTGTAGGCATAAAGTGACGTATTTGCTGCAGCCAGGCACAGGCCCTCAGTGTCACATCGTGGCCAAATAAATGAGCACCATGCTGTCTCGTGGGGAGAGGCTTTACGAGGTTCGATTGAGAGGAGTTCCTTTCTGTTGCTCGCTATTGTTCGCCACACTCCTAGCGAGGCGTTTATGCCAGGAGTCAAAAGTAACTGGGAGCTCACATGGGAGCTAAATGATGTTATGCGTGTAGAGGGAACGATGGACATCTTAAGCTTTAATGAGGGCCCCTTTTCTGTCGATGTTTTCGTGTATAGACTTATACAGTTGTCACTGGAGAGGTAAGCCAACGTCCCATCGTCCAAAGCCTCTGCATAAATAATCGGGCTGGATGTGGAAATGACCGCTAGCTGCTTCAGCCGCGAGTACCGCTTTAAAACCTCTTCCTCTTTGCCCAAGGAAGTAAGACTGGAAGTATTGTTTGGGAGCGATACCTGCTTTTGCTTGCTCAGTTTTTCCTGCTTGAGCTTCTGCTGCTCACTCCACGGAATAGAAGACGCATATCCAGATGACCTTACCTTATTCGTTGCTATTCGCCCTGTCCCTGCAGAAGCGGTTCTCTTTGCTTGCAATGAAGAAGCGACTTGTGATGACCTGGAAGGTACACTGGGCGCTCCCAGCTTGGTTCCACGCACAATCCGAGGATGCTGTGGGTTTAGAACTGACGTGATGGGAAGAAACCATGTGTGCCCATCACAACTCTTCTGAAAGTCGTCAAATATAAGATCATACGCTTTCGGTTTTGGAGCATAGCCAATGGATAACCTTGTAAGAAGAGAGGCGTCGGTTGTATGAGCCCGAACTGCTACCATGCGGCTATGAAACAAATAAAGTTTTCGATTAGATGCCTCAATAATATAGAAATGGCTGCATCCATCCCTCCATTCAAAGACGGAAGACAAGACACTGTATGTACCCTTGCACTCCCTGGCAAGACACATTTCTAAACTCTCCGGGTCTTGATCATCTCGTTCCGCTAAAGCAACGTTGCTGGGAGCGAGCGAGTTTGTCGGGACACCAAAGACCCCAACGTCTGTATCAACGAAAAGGGTTGTGGCAAGCATGACATCGGGCTCCTCCAGAAGCTCATTTCTCGGCTGCACAGAGTCACGAGACTGGCCTAGACCGGCAGTAAAGATTTTGCTGGCCCCAAGGAAATACCCCAGCGGGATCTGCTGATCTGAAAACAGTTTGAGTGAGAGCTCAGGGCCGGCCTCACTCTGTGTAACTGAAAGGGTCTGCTTGTAAGGAATCACAGTGATATTTGTGTCGTTATATGCCACGATGTGTGTTTTGTCGTACCATAGTCCTGTTGGAATAAATGACAAGTGAAGTAAGGACTTGAACTCTCCCACAGCTATAGAATTGTCTTCTTTAGAATAAGTAAATGTGAGGGTTGCAATGGACTGGTTTTTGCAGCCTAAGATTCCAGCGTATAACCGAGCACCCGACGACGAAACGGTTTGCTTCACTATTCCCACAGAGAAGAAATTGTCCTGGCGGTTGATGTAGGTGAACGAGGAAACATACACAAAGATGTCTTCAGAAATAGCGTAGATCAACACATCATTGAGTAAAGTGCATATTAGGAAAGCTTCGTCATTGGAGACCGCCAGACACGTCCCAGACACAGGCCTTCCAGCAAGAGGGACCTGGGTTCTTTTCGTAAGTCTAGACTCGTGCTGCTGGGTCTCTCTAGCGCTTTGGAGAGACCAAGAAAAAAGACCCAGATCAAATCCGTTGTCTGAACGGTACACCACGGCGAGGAGGCAATTTAAAGTGGAAAGGATGCAGGCCTGTGGACTCTGGCAGCCCGCTCTAAACGTGAATGGTCGCGGGAGAGCCCGTATATGAACAGCTGCCTCGTGACCACCTACGACTGCACAGACATTTTCAGCAACACAGAAGGACGTGTACGCCTTGAGCGGAAGCTCTATCAGCTTCTCCGGGCTCTGTATAATCTGCATAATCCGTGCTGTTTTTACCTCAAAACTTAAAATCCTTTTGTTTCTAAGGTCCAAGACACCATTCTCATAATCATAAGTGCAGCGGAATTTGAAGTTCTATAATAAGCCTGTAAGAAAATAAAACCCCAACGTTTAAAAATACAATCCGAACCTTTACGAACTTAGCTTCATAAGGTTCGTACATAAGAAGGGAGAAAATTTGGGAAAAAAGAACAGTCAACCAATCAGTATAAACACAAGCTTAAACTCTGTGTCTGAGTATCTGTACAATGACGACTCTCCAGTCATCGCTGATGCAGATTGGTGTGCACATCGAATCGTCAAAGTAGAGGGCCGTACGAGAACGTTCCTAGAGACCTTGGATGTTTATTCGCATTTGCAGAAAGTTGTTGATAGAAGAGTCAAAGCAAATATTGCTGGCATTGCTGTGCGGGGTGGGACCTGGGCTGATACTCGAAGAAATGCCTGGTTACTGGGGCCCAAGGCAAGGCTTGCTGCCCTCCGTGTTGAAGCCACAGACAAGCTTCTGGAAAGGGCAGAGTCCAGGGCATCGTCTAGAAGATGCTGCACATGCTTTCACAGAATGATCCTTGAAAGGTACAAACGATTATGGACAGCCAAGCTTTCGCTGTTCGAAGAAGACCATTCTCCGTACAGGCAAATACTACTAGCATCCCTGCCTATTATGGGCTCTCTCTTTCTTGTCTCCTTCTACACCATAGTAGATACAATTATTATTTCACGGCACAACGGTACGCGAGAAATAGCCTCTGTGCTTAATTTTCTACCTTTCGAGCAAATCCTCACGCTCAGCCCCATGCAGGCTCTGGGAACTGCAACAGCATCTCAGATATCTGTTGCTATAGGGGCTAAGAACTTCCCAGATGCAGAGATGATCTTTTCGATATTCTTTGTTGTGGGCTGCTGCATTGCTGTGCTTGTACCGCTTGTTTGTGTCCCTATCTTGCCGTTGGTTCTTCCCAGCTTAGGCGTCATACAGGAATATGTTCGTGATGTTTTGCGCTATGGTTACATTGCAATGGCCTGCATGCCCTTATGCAACTTTCTAGGACCTGCCATGGTGCCTATTCTCCGTTGTGAGAACAAGGCCGGCTTGGTCATGCTTCGACAGATCCTGGGAGTAGTCCTCAACATTATCCTTGATCTTATTTTCATCACTGCCCTGCACTTGGGGAACAGTGGTGCGGCCATAGCGACGGCAATCTCCATGCTTATCACGGGAGCGTGGATCTCCTCTCACTTCTTTATCTGTAAGCAAGCAAAGCTAAAAGCTGAGCAGGAAAACAGAACGAGATTTATCATTTTCAATCCAGTCCACATTCGCTGTGCCAAGAAGCAGCTTTCTTTGGTCTGCCGTATACTCGGGTTAACCGTTTCAAGCTATATTCAGTTTTTTCTGTTGAGCTTTGGCGCTCTCCTTTCTCTCTTTCTTCACAAGTATTGGATGCCAGATGCTGTAGCCCACGTCCGACAAGTCGGAGTTTCAATCGCTGCTCGAACGACTCTCATCTTGTCTAATCCTATCTCTGGTCTTCAAAATGGCATTCTTCCTGTTCTGGGATATACTGTGGGCCAGAAGTCCCCACGACGCATCTATGAGGTTTCTAAAGCCGGCCTAGTGATTCTTCTCATAGCGACAAGTGCGCAACTTATTCTATTTCAGCTCTTGGCTCCCTTTGTTATTCGCATATATAATCTTGACAGCGCCTACTATACCGCAGGCGTTCGGGCCCTGAGAATCCTCAACGCCATGGTTCCTATGCTAAGCTTTTCCACATTGGCACTAGTCCTGTTTCAGGTTCAAAAGAAGCAGTATCATGCACTTGGGTTGCAGATGGTAAAGGTTGGCATGCAGGTGCTTTGGCAGCTCGTTGTTCCTTATATCCAGAAGGACTCAAAGGAGCTCGTGGCAGGCGTTCCTTTTTCAGACGCAGTCACAGGCGTCATCGGTCTTGGTATCATCATCGTGGAGTTCCGGCGCATGAAACAGAGAGCCAAGCAGGAGCTCGATGCTAAATTCGCCCACACGCGTATCCTTAGGACCTTCGATCTTTCAAAGGATGTACCGCAATCCGATACTGGTCAGATGACGATGATATATCGGGGAAACGGTGGCTTGAAAAAGAGATGCAAGCCACTGGCATATGTAGATAGGAGGTCGCAATCCATCGAGATGGTAAAGGTGTCCAGCACTACAGCGCTCCCAATCGACGATGACGGCGCTTTCAGACCTCCTAGTTGGCCCGACCTGGTTACAGCTAGTAACCCGTGTAACCTCTGTTGTGCTTCGCCACTGACTATGCATCAATCGCGCGGTAAGGACATAGACATAGAACTCAGTAGCGACATAAGCGAGCTCAATGGAGAAAACCTTCCGTGTTACTATGTGTCATCACCTCAGCGTGCAAACAAAAAATAAAAGCAACGAGCATGGCCAGCGAGGAATCTCATTTATCTACGATCTCTAACAAAGCAAAAAGCCCCCTGTGCAGCCACGAAGAAGATTCTGACCTTCCTATCCCCCCTAAGTTCTGCTGTGACTGCCATATGAAGACTTTTAGTACCCTTGAGCTGTGGCTTATCTGGATATTTACTCTGCCTCTCTTTCCTCTCATACTATTCTTTACTCTTGTGATAGCCTTCCAGCCCTTGGAGTACGGCATCTTCACGAGAACGAGTTTCTTCCTCGGGTGTCTGCTGTCCGGGATCTTCACAATTTGCATCTTTGGGCTGCTCATAGGGAAAGGCATGTATGTTGTGAATCTTGACTAGCTGTGAGGCTCTTTGTTTGTGATGCTTGCATAGATGGGGCCGCGAGAGGATTGCATTGCAGATCTTTAACCTTTAAGTTGTTGGGTTATTGAGTCATCATGCATTGAAATGTTGCATCTTTTGAAAATTACTTTTTGACTTAGCGGCAAGTCCATTTAACGACAAGTTCGTATGACAACAAAAGACATCGAAAGCGTCGTCGCAGAATGGGATCTGGAAAGGCGCCAGAGGGAAGATATCGAGTCAATTGTGGTGGAGCTGCTCGCTGCCGCTGACGCGAAAATTGCTGATACGCATACTCCATACGATGTTATTGCAGCTGAGTTCTTACTAGAGACTATAGCCAACGCAGTAATGCTCTCCATTCCTACCCCGTCGCCCCCGGCCGTTCCTAAACTGACCATCTGTACAACTGCGCCTGGCGTCAACGACAGCGCTGTGACCAACGCGGTCACAAAGGTCTCTGAGAATATTGCGACTAAGTCGGTCGTGAAGACGCACTATGCCTCCCGGATCCAGGTCAACCAGGCCTCTGTTCAGCTTGTCGACCCTAGTTCTGACAAGGTGAAGATAGCGTCCACCCTTGATGATGTTCCGCTGACAGGACAGTTTGACCCTGCAACGATCAAGTTCCTTCGGCCCGCCTCAAATGCGGGGGCACGAAAGCATGCGATGGAGCGTCTCGGGAAGGATGCCAGGAACAACCGAACCAGAAACACGATAACGCAGCAGCACAGTGACAGAAAGCAAGAGATTCTCGACCTTCTCAATGTCAACACAAAGGGCTCGTATGCAGTGCGCAAGAAGAAGATTGAAGAGCTTCCAGACAACTTGTACTATGTTGTCGACTCAGCTGGAAAGATCATCGGGCTGTTCAAGAACCAACCCCCGGCACAGTTAGCGCAGATATCCGAGATGGCTGTCAAGGCTAAGAACGCAAAGGTGGTTGGCACAAACCGCAACACAGACCTTAACGCAGACCTCCGTCACCTTTCCGAGTCAGAGATACGCTCCGAGGCAACGTCCATGATCAAGTCACAGATTAATGATGATGTCTCGTCCATCGGCAAGTCTCTGACTACGTTCCAAAAGGACAACGTAAACGTCCTGTCAATCCTTGTTCCGTCCCAAGGAGTCATTTTCAAGGGCGATGGAAAGGTGAAGAAGGGCCCCATAGACGAGCGGGTACGGAACGGAATGCGGGGCCAGCACTGAGAGTCGCCTGCTTCATCCGTGGTTGGCACCTCCACTGTCGCAATCGTACTGTTACAGTGAACTTATCCTGCCTCTTGCTAGGCTTTATGTGCAATGAGTTTCACCCATTAATTTCTGTCAATCTCGGTCTCAACGGCCTGACGCCTTTTGCATATCTTTTGTCACGGATTTACTAGTAGTGGAAAAGCATGTTCTATACCCTGCTAAACCGAGATGCCTCTGGTTCTAGAAATATCCAAAAGCTCAGAACCAGAAACCCAGTAAGGCTTGAGCGAACAGTTCAATTTCCAATAGACGACAAAGAGGTATTTACATATAGGCCCATTGCTCAGACGCTTTACCTCGACACCCACACGAAGACAGAGAAAGGATACCAGACGCAAGCCCTTAGTTGCTCCACATGTTTCCAAACTGTGCATAGATATCACCGCCCTCTACATCAGCAACTGCAGCAGACAGCCCCGAGAGGCTAAAACCTGTATCCTCTTTATCAGTTGTTGCGAAGTTACCAAAATTGCTGAAAAGGAAGTCTGAATTGTTGTCAGCACCAGAGGTCCAGGAGAAGGTAGTATCGTAGGTACCACCGGTCGCAGCATTAGCTTGACGGGTGGCCTCGGCGTAGTCAGATGATAGGCGAGCGTCTCCAAAAGTTTTCGGAATGGATTCTTCTGGCTCCAGATGAAGCTTGGAGAACTCTTTGAACGCTTCATTGTTGATCAGAAAGTTGCACATTGTCGCGTCAAGATCGGCGTAGCCCTCTGTTAGCAGGTTAGCCAAAGCAGGAACTGTCTGAGGACATGAAATTGTAGTGAGGGTTGCCGAGGTGTTGTTAGAAACGTACTTGCGCTTCTCATCCATGGCTGCTTCGTCGGAGAGCTTCACGCTAATGCGCAGAAATGCTCTTGCAAAGGTTATATAGTACGTTAGCTTACTATCTCGACGCTTGAACATGGTGTAGTCACTGGACACTTCGTGCATGTCTTTTAGGAGTGTGGTCTCCTTAAATATATGCATGGAAATCTTTGAGTTGTAGTTGACGAACTCTACCAGTGGCAGCAGTACACGACTAATCACAAAGTGGAGATTGCTGTGCTCAGGAAAGCGCTTAAAAAGTGTGATCATGAAGGCAGGGATTTGAAGATTGATCAGCTTTAATATTATACTTGACGTGGTAATAACAAATGGGACGACGGATCCGTCCGATCCTATCTGAATTGTGTCCACGAATGGTGTGTCGGAGGTCCCACCAGCGCCTGCATGAGCAAAGTTGGAGAGACACGCATATCTACTGAAGTCGAACAAATTGTTGCTTGCGTTAGCATTGGCCTCACCTGCGATCCACTCCTGAACTGGATTAATGCCGGTTCGCTTGAAGTACAGCTGATCGCGAATGTCTGCAGTGATAGCAAGCAACCGGCCGATCATCTTTATCATGTCAAAGCACCCTATGCCCAGCGTGTTAGGAGGTGCCATGTTCATCATGTAGTTGAGGCGCTCTGGTAGAAGACTGAACAATTGGATTACACGGAAAAATGTCGGAGCGAATGTGGCCTCTAGCTCGTCAATCTCCTTTATGCCGAGGGGTGTCAGTCTTGGCTCAGTAGTCAACGAAGACGGTGTGCCACTGACTCCGCTTGATGAACTCTTTTTGCTGTCTGCCTTTGCTTTGGAGCAGGAGGCTTGTTTAGGTATATGTGCTTCTTCGATATATCCAAGGGCTTCCGCCATACGCTTCTTGTGAACGTCCTCCGGAATCTTCGCGTCAAAGATGACCTGGCTGAGCTCGTGATACTTTAGGGCCAAGGTCGTGACAATACTGCTAAGGGCACATATCATAACGTCACTGGCTTGGGGAAGACGGAGAAGTGAGGGTCCATGGAGGTGCGACGAGAGAACGTACTCGGCAATAACAGGTACTCTGTCGATGATAACCTTATAGAGATACGGAACCCTTTTATATAAGATCTGAGAGAGAATGGAGCTGGCAGACGTTACGCATTCGAATGGAATGACGGATTTATCAGAGGAAGTCAGAAAAGCTACGAGAGCGTAAATCGTACCCGAAGACATGGCAAGCTCGGCAATACTCTTGCATGCATCGGGGCAGGTCTCCATGGTATCAATGAGAAACTCCCTCAGTGAGTTCGTGACACAGGAGTTGACGGTGTGAGCGACCCAGGCGCGCATGTACCCAATGTTCGCCTTTAGAAACTCCACCAATGGCATCACTCGCTTGGGAGAGAAGAGTATTGCATGGATGAGCTTGTTGAAGCCATTATAAACAAACTGTTTGCAGAGATCCCCAGGAAGAAGGGGGTCCGTCGCACCTGTGGTTAACTTAGAAATGTTCCTCGTGAGAGCCTCAAAAGGCAGTTGCAGAAGCTCATGTGATGCAACCAGATTAGGCAGAATATCTTTGAGATTCTCGGCGCAGGAGAAGACCTCTATTGCACGCTCGGTAATCTCATTCGACTCCTTAACGTTGAAGATAATGCGAAGAAGCTTTTTGAGTGTAGCAGGCTTACTGAAATATTCGATCAAGATGTCGGATTGGCTGCGGAGCTCAAACGTAAGGGTCTTGACCTCCAAAAGCTTCTCAAGACTGTCTGTGGCGATGAGCTGATCTATCGAGGCATCTGCCTCTGACTGATCGTAGATCGACCAATATAGAGCCTGCGACATCCCGCCCTGTCCCAGCATATTAAAAGTGCACCAAAATACTTTTTATCCTCAGAACAGGGACTTTAGTTTTTTAAAGTAAGTGTCAAACACTAAGCATGATCAATATGGTCCCCGACTCTCTCTTCTTGCGCATCGTCCAAGGATCGGTGTTGCTAGCGTCGGAAACTAAAGGCTGTGCCCTCAAGTCTCTTCCTATAATTTGCAATGAAATTGTCTGCGCAAGGTGTCGGCGTGTTTCTATCCTTGTACGTTCATACAGCTGCGGGCACTGCCTTTGCCTGGAGTGCTCTCCTTTAAGCAACCTGATTTGTGTTTGCTGCAAAGACTTCATCCAAGACAGCGTAATGTTAGTGTCGCCGGTCGACAGACTTCTCAGTGCGCTGAATGCAGCTATCCAGTGTCCGCACAATAAGAGCTGTCGGGCATATTATAGTTTGTCTGCCTATTTGATGCACCTCCACACTGCCCATTATTCTAGAGCATATCTTGCTGACTCTTCGTCACAGAAAACAGCCACGGCTATAGCCCCTTTAGAAAATGGGCGCCCTGGTCATGAGATGATACTTGTTGATAGCCAGTCTCCACAGGCGGTGGAGTCTGTTATCGAGCTACTTTGCACCACTCCGTCCACAGAAAATCTAATGGATGACAGCAAGGCTCTTTATCAACTACAGATAGGAGACAGCGTATTCACTGGCACTCCAGAGGCATTACAGAATGACTTTGCCAGGATTGAGGAAGCCATTACCAAATGCTCTGTCTTCTCTCGAAAAGAGTACCAATTCATCGTAGAGAAGACCAGCAAGGCGTATACCTCCGATGGCGTTCAACAAGGGAAGGCGCTCAACTTTAACATACAGCAGCTTTTTCGGTGGCATATCTATCACTTAGCTGAGCTACCAAATGAGCTGCAAAAAACCAAGGTCTGCGCGACACTTACTTCTGTTAACTACACACCCCAGTTCTCACATCTTTTCGTCAACTTTATTTGTCAGATGCCTTCTCTCAAAAGCCTTATCATTGATAACGAAACTTTCCATTTCTCTATATCGACAATCATACAGCTCCAGAATAAAGCCGTACACCTGCGTGAGCTATATATATTTAGTTGCCATTTTGACATCGACCTTAATATGCTGAGGGAGCTCCGGACTGTATGGCTGCCAACACTAACCACACTGGTCATAGATTTTTCCGTACTCACTAAGGCGTTCTCTGGCACCTATATATCTATGCTCTCCACCCTTACCTTCATGTACCTCTCAGATTTCATGGGACATGACTACTTAGATTATAGGGCGACAGCCGCTGCTCCAGGAAAGCGGCAGGGCAAGCAGGGTAGCCTATTGTCAAATCTTTTCTTTAAAAAGCACAGCAGCCCCAGCCCCAAGGACAAGGAAGATAAGAGGTATAAGCCTTTTGTTTTACAGAAAATAGAGCGGTCTAGCATTCTTTTGAAAAGCGTTTCTGAGAAGCCAAAGACATCTGGAGCCAAGGCACGGGCACTCCCAGTTCCTATTGCATATGCATCTTATAACCATTCTTCTTCTCGTGAAAACTCTGCCCGTACCAGCGATTGTTCATGCGACAATAACTCCTTCGACAGCAGCAATGCCCCAAACATATTAGAGGACATCAGATTGAGCGCAACAAGCCCACTAATGATACTCAACTCTTATCACTCGCTTCTCTGCCAACGCTACGGCACAACCCTCGGCTTAATCCACTACCCCATCTCCTCGGATCTACCCTTCCTGGGTGCTTGGGGCGAAGAGCCCTCTGGGTTTTTCGGGCTGGTCTTTGATGGGGTTTCATATGATATCTCCACCGTGGCGCTTAAGCTTATGGAGGACACTGCAATTGAGCCACTGATCCCCTTGGGGGCATTTAGAACCTCTAAGCCCCTCAATATTTCATGTCAAGGAGAAGATGGTAAAGGTAAGCGCAAAGAAAAACGAGGACGTCATGAAAAGGGGCAAGACAGCAATCATCTTGCTAAGCACTCCCTCGCTTATCTGTTCTATACACCCTCTTTTGTTCCTTCCGGCACAGTGACCTTTACGGATTTCTGCAAGTCTTTCACTCCTGAGTGCTTGAATCTCGCTCTTCTTCTTTTTATATGCAGGTATGATGTCTCGCTGGAACATGTGCGGGTATTAGTGCTTAACTTATCCGAAACCTTAAGTTACAGAAGAAACATTCTTGATTATGTGGTCAAGTCGTTGGCCCTGCGTAGTAACGCAGATGTAGAACAGATCCTTGAGTATCGGACAAAGCTCTCGTTTATATCTCGTAGAGATGAGCCTCCACCTAAAGGTAGTGAGGCCTCTTTATCTCCTCAATGTGACCCGGACGATTCCACAGGTTATGATGAAAAAGTCGCCTTCTTTCTAGATTCCTTGGTTGCGTTACTGCCTTACTTGTATAGGATACGGGAGATAAAACTGGGTCCACGCTCTTCAAACATGTCCCTCCTTCTGCCCCCATACAACGGAGCCATTTATGTCTCTCTTTTGAGGCTGATATTTGTTGCATCGAGACGCCTAATTTCTATTCATCCAGCCATTAATTACATACTCCCTCTTCTCACTGGTGTAGAGCGCTTCAGAACGATTGACGTGTTTTACGCCCACGTAAGGTCCGTCTATGAAATGATACGTGGTGAGTATTTTAATACTCATTATCACACGCACACATCTCTCCTGGAAGACGGCAAGAAGATCGGAGACCTTGAGATGACAAGCTTAATTGACGATGATCCCAATTGCACAGAGTCACCAGGGGGGACCTTTAATAGTCTATGCAACATCACTATCATGACACCTGGTGGGAAGGGCCTGGTTTATGGCAATGAAATTGATGAGGTTCACGTGTCTAGACCCTTTCGGCCTTTCAAATACTCAGTCTCTTCATTCGACTTTCAGTATGAGATAGAGTCAACCCTACCGCCTGTTCATCCCCAGCAATTGGTAGACTTATATGGACACTCTGGAGGAAGCCTGAAAACTATAGATTCACTAGCCGACGAAACTTATATCTTCTCACACCTGCACCGATTGCTTCAATTGATGCCTCAATCCAACTTTTGTTTTCTTGATTTGCTTCCTCTCTGCCCGCCCCGCACCGTCGTGTATTGTCTGCAACTTATTAAAGAAGGTAGTGGGTCGTTTTCCTGCTCATCCTTCAACGCCATAGAGATGCTTTCCATTCCGTGCTCTAAGTTCTTTCTACTTGATACCGTAACAGATCCCACTGTCGTGCTGCTCGATACCTTACAAGAGACTATAGGATATAGAAGGTCTGGGGCCGGAAACAAATCTGATTCAACTTCTCATAAGCAAAACCGCTATTACAGCTTTGTCAAGTATAAATGTATGCTCGACAAATCTGTCTATGCACAGTCTTTGATGGCTCAACACAGATTCATTCGCCATGAGCGGCGTGTCAGACAGCAATACAAACCTTCCATTGTGACCTTATCAAAGCCCCTTGTACTCAACAATTCCTATGTCCATTTCTTCTTTAATATAACGCCGAACAGGATTGAAAACTTGTATATGGGACTACGGGCTTTTAACTCAAATAGAAAGCAAAGCGTGGAACAGGTCGACTCCTTCAGCATCGACGCTTCTAAGTATATAGCGGAGATAATCAGCAGATTTATTTTGAACTATAGTGACCTTGATTTGCTGAGCTCTGTATGCATCTCCTCTCCCCTATTAGGAAGGACCATCCAGGAGGGGCATGCATCTAACTTGGATGCTGACGTATCCAATGACAATTCTCTTGTCAATGATGATCTGGCCAGTCCAATAAAGAAGGAGGTCACTAGAGGTATCCCGGATCCAGCAGACGCTTCTGTTACTCCGGATGAAGCTAAGGACAGTGCTCAGGCACTACCTAATGTGCTTCCACCTCGACTCCCAACAGCTTCTGCCTCTGCTGTTCCAGCACAGTCTTCTGCAAAAGTCTCAGAAGAAAATAAGAGTAAGCACTCTGACAACGATCCTTGCTGCTTCGTTGAATCATGCTTGTGCTCATGCGCTGTCCACCAGTCATCTTGCATCTGTACTGGTGGCACAGAGTTCTCGTCTTTAGTCGCTATCCGGCTTATTTCGTTAACACTATTAAACGTCGATGGCCTGCTATATTCCGATGTTAATCTAATCAATAAAGCAATCTCTGTTAAACTATTACGGCTATTATCGAAAGATCTAGACTCGCTGCTGCCCACGTATAATACCATGGGATCTCCAAACAGTCGGGGGTATATGTCCTCGAGTCACACGTGTGTAGGTGTGTTTGAAAAGTATCTAGAAGAGAGTCCTTCACACTTCACAGAACTAGTCACTACGATAGATCGCTTTCTATCCATGCTATTCAGTATTCCTGCACTACATACGGATTCTACAATCCTAAATATGATTCTTATGCAACGCAATGCACTGTTTTCACAAGAGTCTTTTCAAGTCCAGAAGGCTCTAGTGTCCGCTCGAGGCACTAAAGATAAGAGTTCGCAAAAGCAAACCGTGGAAGAGCTCTCACCTGTATCGTGGAGGGTTCCTCGACTGGGACTGCAGTTTGCGCTCAATTTGAAGGGAACGCGCTTTTCTATTGATTCGTCAGCAGTCGGTACCCTCTCTGAAGTTAAGTCCCAGGTCACAAATACCACAGCGTGTACTTACACTAATTCAATTATAACCATTATCAAGCGAAGAGATGCGCCAGAGCTTGATATTGATGAGTCTGCACATATAGTTTTCAAGGATCATCCTGCGCCAAAGATCCACACGCTTGACATTCCTTCTATTGATGGACTGAGCATAATCACTGCTCTTCACAACGAAGAAGAAGCATGTGCTTCAATCATGGAATCCCCTTGTGCTCAGCAGGCTTTGGCAGAGTCGCTTTTAGATGCTGGTGGGCCACTTATTGACAAGGAGGCGGTCTTTCTTCAGGACCCCAGTATAGAGTTCCCAACTGTGCTACCCGAAGACTCGCCTTACCAGGTGACTCCAAATCTCAGGAGCTACGTGGCGTCTCAGCGCCCTGTGGCTCTTCTAACGATCTGCAAGCCTTTATTATACTACTACATGATCTTTAAAGTGCTTATAGGAGAAAGCTTAAAAAAAGGCGAGTCTTTCTCTCCATTTGACGGGCAAGGAAATACTATTCTTATCGATTCACCTAGCTGCTCTCTTTCAGACCTTATTGTTCTTCCAATTGGAGGTGCGTCGTTTAAGCCTAACACATGTAGCATTTTCAGCATTTGCAAATCAGCAATACTCACACAAAACTTATTTAGGTGGCCTTCTCAGGCGGATCTGAATGTGCTAGATGTCCCGAAGCGTCTGAGTACGAAGTACCGATTGCCACAGAACAGCTCTAATCTCAGTGAGCACTCACACACTAGCATAGATGCATATCCTTCTGATAACACAGAGGAGATCATCGTGTCTATCTATTTTGCTTATCAACTGCTCTATACTCTCTACAAACGGCCTCCCAGCACCACCGCACAGCATTTCTGCCTAAAGAAACCCAAGATTGCTCTAATCTATGGATCTGGAAAGTTGTTCAAGTGTGTAGACACCGTTATATCAGCTAAATTGCTAGCATTCCTGCTCACGCTCCTTGCCACTGGCGTGCTGACAGACGTCATAGTAGACTCTGACGTTCTCCTACGCTACTTCCCAACTTCCATGGCATACAACGCTTTTATTCTCAACGGATCCATAGTCTCTAAGCTGTACAGGAATGGAAGCCTTGTTTTAGGATGGGATGCTGTTCGAGAGGGTGTTGATATTCCCTTTGCACTGTACTTGCAGCTTTTCCATGAGATTGGCACCACTAAGCTATCGGCAGAAAGCACTAAGCCTCTCACGTATCTAGACCTGAGTGGCACGCTTACAACTGTGCAATCCCATAGTATCTATGACTATCACAACTACTCTGAGTCTCAGTTTGCCGAGTTTCTCAAGAATATTTCCACCCTCGATCAGACTATAGGGTTTCGGACGCTCATTCTTCCCACAAAGGTGCTTTCCCTCTCTGACCTTAGAAGGATCTATCGCCTTGCAGATATTGTATCCACTTCGCTTGCATGCACGCGACTGCACAATATTGTATTCTCTAGTGTTTGCAGCATCTTCAAGCTGGTCGATGATGGACCAGAGGCAAATGCCGAGCTGCCCGCGAACCAATTCAACCCACGTACCCAGATAAGGTCCCTATTTGCACTAAAACAAAACAAATGCTCAACCCTACACGTTTACAATAGAAACTGGAAGGACGCTATATCTTTCTTAATCCACGTAGGCTCCAAATCCAAAGCACTATTTACCAGAGTGTGCACGCTAGACTTTTCTCCTCCAGAAGATGACTCGGGAGACAAATCTGTGGTCATATCCGGGTTGTTTGATCAAACAGTTTCATCATTAGTACTCCAGCTGATATCACTGTGCATAGGCGTCGATAGGCTTGTAATACCGCCACCCTCGGTGAGCGAGGAAAGGGAGTCTGATATTCAAGTGCTCAAGAAGTGGGTAGAAAAAGCTAACGAAATGAAGAAACTGCAAGAGGTGGTTCTCAATCCTCCAAACAAAGATATAGCCTCTGAGCTGAGGCAATCTTTTTGCCATTTGTGCATCGGTTAAGATGCCTATGGGCTCATTGGAAAAGAATATTTAGAACATATTCAAGATTACCACCGTATTGAGAAAGCAACTGAAGGACTTCTTCGTCTCTTCCATAGATTCCCATTGAATGAACCTCATCGAGCTCTTTGGTGAATCGTTGACGAAGCTGGTCTAGAGTAGAAGAAAAGCTGTTTTCTGATTGGGTACGTGGCTGACTCATTTGTCTATTATTACTAGTGCTAGATGTCCCCGTGTTCAGATAGCGATCCATGACACTTGATAGCAGGTCAGGGTTGTTAAGGAGCTCTGTCACATAAGGAGAATTCCCGAATTGCTGTCTAATCATGTGCTGAAATAGAGGGCTATTAAACTGTTGCCTGATCAGCTCTGGGTTTCTCGCCATCTCACGAAACATCTCTGCCATCATGGGATTGGACCTGATAAGGTCCATCATCGCATCTGGATTTATGGCACCAAAGCCCCTGGAGCCCAGCCCGCCATCTTGAACGGTTGGGGGTGGAAAGATTGGCCCCTCAACGATCTCATTCTGCAACATCTGAGAGTATGTCATTGGAAAACCTGACTCCGAGAAGCGCGGATTGGTTCGTCCAAGAGTATACGAAAATAGACCTTCCTGGGATGCAGCGTTGAATAAGTTAGTGAACAGCGAATTGCTCTCGCTGTTGAATAGGTTCTGCAAATATTCGTAAGCCCTAAGGCTGTCTGCACGCTGCTCCTCCGTCGGCTCATCCGCATCTTGCGACCTGTTCAACCCAAATAGGTCTATCGGAGGGCGCTCCATCGACTGGAGGTTGGCCTGTAGGCGATTCATATCATGGCGCAGACGTTCAAGCATGGCAGCGCCACCCGGCGTTGTCGACATTTGAGTGATGGAGCTATCCACGTCGCGCAAAGCAGCCTGAAGCTTATCGGGGTTGCACATTAGTTCAGTAAACATTTCAATTGCCTCGGGGCTCTGCATATGTGCCGCAAGCTCTGGGTTACTCTGGAGCATCTCTCGCATCATAGGACTGTTGATAATGTGTTGCCTAACGAAGTCCTTGTTACCCAATAAGGATCTAACCATAGGATTTCCCGAGAGTAGAGAAAATACAGAGTCCATAGAATTCATGTTAGCATTAGAAAATAAGTCTCCCGGGGCGGCTGGGAACTGTGGCTGTTGCTGTTGCTGCTGTGGCTGTGATTGAGGGGCGGTTGACTGAAAAGGCGCGGGTTGCTGAGTTTGCTCAGCAGAAACCGGCGGTGCAGTCTGTGCTGGCGTCGGGACCGCGATCTTTGCTTTCTTTACCGATATGTGGATAACACTACCGCTAGAAATCCCAAAATGACTGAGAGGCTTGGAACCAACAAGCATCTGTCCGCTGTAAATAAGACGCACCAAAGATGGGTCGACAGACAGTTTCAAGCCAACCTGGGTGCGTAAATCATCAACAAGAGCAGTGTCCGGCACAGAAAGCTCGAAGTCGACGCTCTTGTCCAGGGGGTTCTTGATGCATAGGTCTAACATTTTAAAATGAAAAGCCAAAATTTGAACCGTATGAACCTAATGCGGTCAGTGTTCGTCGGTCTATTGAAGATCCCACATTCGCAAAGACTCAGAGCTGGGGTATGACGATGTGTCTTGTTTTTCAATAAGGTCCAATTGCCCAGTTCGTGTAAGTCCTAATAAGCAGCAGCCCGACACTGCATCAGCAACGTTGATGCAAAAGGAGGGTGTCACGATGAAGTCTTGATAGACGCATGCGAGCGTAGTGATTGCGTTGGTAGGAAACCGTGTGGTACTGTGAGCAATAATCCCTTTACTTATGTCGATAATGTAGAAGCAGCCAGCATAATTCCCGATGCCAGAAATTACGATCAATAAGAACTCATATGGCAAAAGTACGTGATTATAAATTCCGCTCAATTTGGGCAGAAGCCACTTGCGGGCCGGCGTTAAAGTAATGCTAATCCAGCGGGCATCGACGGGGTTATGCCTGTTGTATACAAATTCCCAGAGATCGCTAAAGGATTTCTTTCCGTTTGTTCCCCCGTGCAAAAAGACGCGGTCGTTAGCAACAGCCATTGCGTGCCCGTATCGTCTCGACGGCCTTTGCGTTTCCGCTCTTTGCAACTCGACAACAGTTCCCTCGTGGAGATCGACTATGTGTGTATCATTTAGGATGTCAGTTAATATTGTCCGTCCTCCAAAGATCAGCAGGTGTGTATCAGAAAGGAGTGCAATAGCATGCTCCCGCCGTGGCAAGTGAGGGGCGGCGACGGCCCGCAATGCAGTGCCAGAAAATATCAAAAGATCGCCCAACACCTTCTTCTCCTGCCTGTTGTACCCTCCATGAATGACTGCAATCTTTCCATTGCACGCAGAGGCTGTTAATATGCGGTTCCGTAGCAGTGGCGCACGCGCATAAAGAACAAACCGAAGCTCCCCGACAAGTGTGTAGTAAATCTCATTGTACACTGTGGTGATGAATATGCGATGGTCAATGCTGAACATCTCCCCTTGAGACTCCGCGAATACACGTTCGTGCGTCTTGATCAGGCTATAAGGAACGGGCTCCATGAGCCACCAATTTTTGTCACTTTTGTTACCTTGTTACGGTTGATAGTATCTACGAGATTTACTACTGTGCGAGAGCAATCTCTCATTTGTTTCTTGCTAGGGTCAGCCGTCTATGGATTGAATTGGTTGCCATTTCTCAATGGGTCTACGACAGATCGGGCAGTCCCTTCGATTCATATCCACAAGCCTGTTTGAGCACTCTACACAGGCACACTTGTGGCCACATGGCAAGCACTCCATTGTACAGCAAGCGTCAAGACAGATGGAGCATTGCCCCAGCTTGTCCTCCTGACCTTTATACTTCTTCTCCAGAAGAAATTGAAGACCGTTCCCGGCCAGCAGACTCATGCACTCCTTGTTGTCTAATTGCTTGGCTATCTGATAGGGAGTTACCCCAGCAACGTTTTTCATGTCGTATTCGCGTTCAATTAATAGCTTAATGGACTCAATGGACCCCTTCTGCGTTGCAAACATGAGCGCGAACCAACCATCGGGCCGTGACAACCGAGCCTCAGCATCCAGAAGCTCGCGTACGCACTCATGCTTATTGGCAAGAGCTGCACGCATGAGCGCTGTGAGACCGTTGGAGTCAGTCAGGGTGCTTTCCTTCTGGAGTAACAAGGGTATTACATTGGAGTTTCCATGGGAGGCTGCAAACATCAGCGCAGTCAAGCCGCAATTATCCTGCCGCCCACCATACTCCTCCAGATACGCCGCGACCTCATCTCGATCGCCCTTACACGCAGCTTCCATAAGCGGCGTCAGCCCCATTGCTTCCTTCTCCAGTGCCAATAGCTTTTCAACCAGTTCCGTGTTCTTAATGAAGATAGCGAAGTTAAGGGCGCACAATTTGGTTGTGGTGGTCAGACAGGCCTCCGTATCTTTAAGGAGGTCAACGATGCTTCCGTGCTTATAGACAGTGGCGTAGATAAGAGCGGACCACCCGTCCTTGTCCTGCATACGTGCCTCCTTCTGCATGAGCAACTTTGCCGAGTTATAGTTCCCTAGGCGAGCAGCATGCATAAGTGCCGTGCGCTTCATGGCATCTCTCATCCCGGCCTCGTGCTCAAGAAGTAAAGGAATAACGTCAGATGAGTCTCGCATGGCTGCAATAATGAGGGCCGTGTTGCCCACACTATTGACGGAGCCGGCCTTATCTATATGATTTTTAACATTCGCCACGTTATTGTGAGCCGCAGCAACCATAAGACTGGTGTCCCCTAGAAGCTCCACATATCTGGGCTGTGCCATGGAATGATTGGCAGAAAGCGAAAGTTTTTTGTGATTCTAATCTACCATTCTAGACATCAAGCTTATCTACTTTCGTCCAAAGAGCTCGACGAACCTGGTCTGCATCAGCCTTAAGTTGGATTTGGTGGTACAGCGTGCAGAAAGCCCTCTCCATCACGTCTCTGAGGACATCGAATTCTGCTGCCCTTGAATTGGTCTCACTGGCAACCGCTTCATCTACCTCATAAACAATTCTATGGAGCCGTGTCAGAGTCTCATCAACAAGCAGCTCTCTGTCCTTCCATTCTGTATCCCAGACGGTACCTGTGTTCAGAAGCAGCTGGTGGGCTTGCGTAGTCTTGCTTATTGACGTGGCAAGCGCATCCTGAACTTTTACGCCGTCACATTCTATTTGCTGCTTGAGCTCTTGGAACAGTGTGCGCATATCCTCTTCTACCTTTTCAAAGTGCTGCTTCCATAGGGTGTCTGCCTGCTGAAATACCGAAGAGAAGGATGCTAAGTCATCTAGGGCGGCCCTTTGCTCAGTCATGCTCTCCTGCACCTGTCCCTTGAGAGACGAGAATTCTAAGAAGGTATCATCGATGTACTGCCGAAGCTCCTTGGAGGTGTTGTCGAGCATTCGCTGAACATCGGTAAGCGTTGATGACTTCATATCCTCAAAGGACCCCAACAGAGTTGCTTGTGCTGTATCGATGCGGCTAATGGATGAGTTAATCATCTGCACGGTATTGTTAAGGCCTTGAATATCGGCCTCGCGCCGCTCCGTCTCTTGCTTGATCAGAGATGTCACACTCTGCTCCGCTGCCTGTTGTGCTTCTGAAATCACTTTAGGGATTTCTGCCACTGCTGACTCTACCTCAGAGCGAATACTTTGAGCAACAGCGGAAAACCTATCTGCATCTTGCTGATATAGCAGCTTAAGGTCATCAAAGGAGTCTCTGGCGGCAGTCTGTTGCGTCATCATGTCTGCTATCTCTCCCTTGAGACTAGAGAGGTTTGCTTCTAAGGCAGCAATAGTCTTCTGTATTTCTCCTTGCCCCGATTGTAGAGAGTCAATCTCCTTCCGTGACTCACTGCGGATTGTACTGGCTAGTTCCTTAATACTTGCTGTCTCTTTTTGGAGCTGCATATATCCCTGTTCAAACTCAAGAACCTTATGGCTGTCGCTACGCAGTGCCTCTACATCTTTTCTAATGTTCTCAATGCTCTCTTGCAGAAATGACTTGAGACTGTCGATGGAAGCTTGGGTGCTCTGAATGAAGTCCCCTACCTCCGACTCTACTCTGTCTGCAAGTGACAGATCGACCTTATGATCCAACAAGGTACAGACTTCATTTCTTGTGGGGCACTTGAGGACCCTTTCTTGAACAATGATGGCGGCATCTGCAACCTCCTGGAGCTTGTGGCTTAGGTAGGTTATTTGTTCCTTCAGCTTAAGTGGGACCTCAATCTTCCAGTCTTCGTCATTCATCAGGGCTACCGGCTGCTTATCTGCCCCACGGCTGGAATTTGTGAATATTTATTAAACTGCATTCTCCAGAGCACAATCCTGTTTGCTCGCTGATTGCGTCTCTGCACACATCCCATGGGATGGCCCGATGTGCTGTCCTAACCGAAACCGGCTGCATAAGCCGGCCACGCCACAGACCTGAGCGGCGACAAAGCAACCACTCTGTGACCCCGGCTGGAAAGTGCCGAGTTTGGGACTCGAACCCAAGACCGATAGATCTTCAGTCTACCGCTCTACCATCTGAGCTAACTCGGCGACGGTTGCCGCAAATCGGCAGGACATGTATTTTTTTCTGTGTTGTGCCCGTTTACTGGCGCGATCGGGGCGTGTAGCCTGCAATCTCGACGATCCGCGGCCGGACGTTGTACCGCCACGGCGCGGCGACGTCATTGAAGACCTTCTGGCGCGCAACCAGCGCGTCGTTCCGTCGGATCGAAAGGCCGAGCTCTCGGGCGCAGCTCAGAAACTCGTCCCACCAGCCGAGCTCGGTCAGGAGATAACGCATGATGATATCACAGTCTCCCAGAAGCTCCAAGTCCCAGTTGTGCGGCCGTCCAACCGACTCCAGGTTAATGAGCACCTGCGGCACCGTGCGCGGAAGCTTCCCCAAAATCCCGCTAACTGGCTTCACGCGGAGCGAGGATCCTATTGCAATAAACATATCTGCTACAGAACAATCGTCGTCGATGAACTCCTCCAGATCTGATGACAACTTCTCACCAAAGAATATGATTTGAGGCTTAAGAATTCCCCGAATCTGAAGGCCACTCGACCTTCCGTCCGCATGCTGGCCCGAGCTACTGCAGAGGTCATCTAGCTTTATCTTGAGATAGCAGGGGTCATCGCCCTCGGTTACCTTGTCAAACGGGAAATTTGTGCGCACTGTACTACTAGAGGTGTTGTTCAGCAGCTCTTCCAGGCGTGGAGTAATAGAGCTTCCAAGGGCGCTTCTTACAGCAGCCTTAAACTGATCCCCGTCGCCATCCAGCAAAGAGCCAGCTGCATGGACGTCTGCAAGCTCCCTTTCGCAAAGGAAGCTCCGTCGAAACGATTGGAAGCACTCTCGACATAACGGAAGGCACGCCTCTTCAACCACTGTTCGACGCAAAAGCTCCATGGGGAACTTGGCCCCGCAATCAATGCACGTAAACGTATGAAACGATCCATGGCAGTTGATGATGTATTTCTGTGTGATCTGCGCCTGGACCTCAAGGCAATCGATATTCTGCGTATAAATCCTTTGTAGCTGACCACGCTTTTCTAACAATCGCATAAATAGATGCACAACAGTAGGCTTGAACTGAGGTCCTGGGAAAATCTCGGGGCAAAAGCGATAAAATGGTATTGGATTGCCCCTGAAAAAGTCAAGATTAAACATGTCTGTGGGCTTCTGTAGATTGTACTGCTGCAACCTATTGTAGATTCCATTTTTGCTGCGGAAATCGGGGATCCCTGCCGAGACAGAAATCCCTGCTCCCACCAGGAAGATGACCTTCCTTGCGCGTCTGAGCTGGTAAATGAATGCCTCAGGAGATGTACATGACGTAATTCGCTTGCGCGGTAGCTTTACCTCCAACAACTCCAAGACAACCTGCTCCAAGAACTCCAAGAGCACATCGTTTCCAAAGGAATGCTTCGGAAGCTTCAAGCCCAGGTCAGCGAGAATCTGTGTTGGAGGAACACCAAGTTCTAGTAAAGAAAGGATCCAGAGACGAAACCCGCCCGGAGAGATGTGCCCGGATAGATCGTCTAGAACAGAATCGTCGTCCTCGTCACCCAGATGCTCCGTTGCAGAGGGTGCAGTATCCACTCTGACGAGATTCTTGGATCCAGGATCATGGATGGCCGGAATCCGCATGTCGATGTGGACAGGATAGTCGCAAAGAGAGGTAACAGATACCTCCCGAGATGCGAAGTCCGTTGCAGGAATGAGTTCTTCGTTCTCTAGGCCAGAGTGTAGAAGGATGGCTTCGAGAGCCGATTTCATTTTTCTAAACCCTGAGGCATTTAGGAAGTAACGACTGTATCATTTACCTGAAGGCTCATCAGTAAGGCAAGTGCTTTTGATAAGATCTCCGGCAACACGCTTAATGAGACCCGTGAAGGAAGAGGAAATGAGCTCTTGAGCAGCAGCCCTTTTAGATGCTAAAGGCGAGTGATAATGCACAGAGACAATAGCCGCAGATGAACAAGGCTGAATGGAGAGTTCTGAGATCACGTAAGGCTTCGCCATTGTCTTCAAATCGTCTGTAAGGCTTTCACGACGCCGCTGTAGCTTCTCGACCAGATCGTTGAGCTGATCATCATATTTCGGTGTGATTCGAAAGTGAAGTGCATCCAGCTCCTGAGGCAGGGTGGTGGACTTTAGCAGCACACCGGCAACAGCGTTGTCGCCAGACCCAGCCAAGTAGCGGGACAACGGAGATGACGTGAACAGACTTACGTCATAATTAGGGTCCTGCAAAAGCTCGCAGTCCAAGGTCTGAGTATCACAAAGGGGAACAAGAGAATAGTCAGTAAAGTGACTAATGGGAAGCGAGCTGCTGGTGTGTGCTCTATATGTTGCGCCAGGGTCTCCGGCTTCTTCAACAGAGATATCTGGGGCAAGGAGAGACTTTGGCCAGCGGGTAATTGTGTCCCATACATCACTATTAAATGTTCCCGTGCTGTCGCCACCACTTGAGCTTATTATTCCAACAAAGCTGTGACAGTACGACGCCCAATGACAATTCAGAGGTGCATAGACACATTTCCCTATTGTGTTATGGTAGCTAGCATGACGAATTGCTAGTTCCTTGGTAGATGTTGAGAAACCAATTGCATCAAGGATCGTCTTGAATTTAGTGAAAACACTGGATGGAAGTCGTGTTATATCTACAACTACATTCTCTGAGGCAATGACGTTTGCATTCTGCATCAATGCAAGCTGAGACTTGGTAGAAAACCCTAACATTCCAACAATGGCTTCACCAGTTGAAGTCTGTCCCGTGATAGCGATGGATGTTGGAACACGAAGACTCTTAGAATAAAAGAATGGGACAAGCGCTTCGGTGACTCCGTCCACGGTTGCCTCCTTAGCTTCTTTGGACTCCTTCTCAAGCAAAGACTCAAACTTGTTATCACAATCTTTCTTAAGGTTGACAAGTTCGTCTTTGCAACCCATTAGTTCAGCAAGCGATGAAATAGTTGTTTCAATGTCTCCGGGAAGGAACATGTCCATTCCGTCCCGACCTACAAGATCGAGGGCCTCCTGCATCAATTGTTCATTGGCAAACACGTCAGCTGCTGTCTTCTCAGGGTGGGCATTGGCATAGAAGCGGAGAGCCTGATTAACGTATCCAGCTGGATCGCGATTAATAAGCACTCTAAGTGCCTCATTTGGAACCATTTCTGCCAGGAAATTGAATGGAGCAACGGTAAGGCTTGTTCCGAGGATAAGCAACATGCTTGTCTTTTCTGCATCTCCAATTATCTCGGGGGCAAGCTGAAACTCCGAAGGTAATTGCTCTCCAAAGAACACTATCCTGGGCTTTAAAACCCGACCGCAACGTGGGCAATGTGAGACAGATTGGTCCATGGCTGCAGCACGGAAAACGTTCTGGTCTTCCACTTGGTAGGTACACACACCAGAGACATTCCCTAGACAGTACAAGCCTTTACAATAGCTTCCATGACACTGCAAAATACGCCGGGGAGACACTCCTGCAAATATTTCAAGCTCGTCGATATTCTGTGTGTAGATAAATCGCACAAGACCCCTATCTTCTAAGATCTTAAAGAAGTGGTGTGCCATGGTGGGCTTATACTTGTAAGACGGGAAGATAGATACTGACAGCGAGGAGAACGGTCGGGGACGCAAGCAGTAGTACGAGAGATCAAACATGGAGGTGGGCGTTGGCAAGTTATAGCGTTCGAGTTGAGAGTAGAGACCTGTTCCTTTGGAACGAAAATCCGGTATTCCCGCTGCGACAGAAATTCCTGCACCAGCAAGGATGACAATGGATTCTTTCTTGGCTCTGGAAATACTCTCTACGAGGCGCTTGAGAGTCTGCCCATAATTAGCAGGCATTTATTTTGAACCCAGATTTACTAGTGTCTAATATATTCTGATTGGTAGTGGTTAGCTTAAGGGATGATCTTAGAGTGCGTAGAGGCAGGCGGAAAAGCAACGAAACTGATCTCTAACGCCTAGTTAGAAAGATGACACAGGGTACTCAACGTCTGCGTCTATAGTCTCGATGGTCGCTCTCGCTCTCCTCTTCAAAGTCAATGACCTCGGATGAAAATTCATCGTCTCCTTGCAGGTTGTCTGGCTCTGATGTCGCGCATGAGCCCGTGATCTCATCGTCTTCGTCGTCCTCATCATAGCTATTCTCTTGAAAAGCATCACTGTCATCATCCTGCTCTTCAGAGGAGGACTCTGAGTCTGACTTGAAGAAGGCGTTCCAGCTACCGCCCTCGAGGAACTCAACATAGTCCTCGCGCTTGTTATAGTACTTAGCAGTGAAGTCCTTCCACTTAGTCGTCTCAGGAGTAATATAGTACTTAATACCCATTGCATTGACCCAGTCTTGTAGCTCGTGAACATACTTACTTTGAATGGAGCTGATAGTGACAGGGTCCATGCGTATGTCTCTGTAATGAAAAGTCATGTGGAATGTCGAATCGCGATACAAGTTCAGATTCTCGAAAACCACCATGTCTAAGTCTTCCACAGCAACGATGAACTGGGTCTTTGGTTCCATGCACCCCAGTCTCCTGTTCTTATATATATGGAATGTCTGGTTGCCTTGGTAAGAAGCAAAGAATGATGGGTAGTTTCTATCTCGCGTACAGACCTTAAACAAATGACCAGCATAGATAGGATTCTTTTCCTCATAGGCGTGAAGTGCGTCGTTCATGCACGATAGAAATTGGTCGTAAATTTTGTTTGCCTTTCGCATGTTTTGTGCAGCTGCACGCTCGTGCTCGACCTCTTCTCGGTCGGTCTTTGGCTTAACGCCACTACTCAGCCTCACGCCGGTCTCAAAGTTGCATAAGAAGGTAATCCCGTTCTGTGGCTTTGTAAGGACAGTCTCGTCATACTCACCCTTGGGAAGATCTCCCAGGATGAGCTGCTTTATGGATGTTGGGGTTCGAAACATGAAGTAGAGGATAGCGATGTGGGAGGAATCCCGCAGCTTTTCAAAGACACACGTCTTAATGTTTTTATAGAGCAAGCAGATCTTTATCTGCCTTGAGGGGTTTCCATAAAGGTACAGCAGACCATTCTCATGGACGTGTAGCCCTCCTCCCTCTTTAGAACGTTGCCGCTCGATGTTAGGCCGTACCTGTAGAGGCTGGTTAAGGTTTGAGCTAGAGAGATGGAAATAGTACGGATTGCTGGACTGGAACAGGGAGATGGTTTCTGGCTTCAGTATTGCGCTCTTCACAGCCTCGCCCATCAGATTGTCTATATCCATGTCAATTTGGATTGGCTCATTTCTATGTAACTCATTTTGCTGCTTCTGTCTGAATGCCGTCAAGTGATTGGTCAACTCTTCCACTATTTTTTCTGCTTTGCTTGCGGCACACTCAAAGAGAATCTCCTTCAGAAATACATTAGACGTGCCATACAGCTCTAGCTGAGGGTAGTTGTCTCGTGCCTTACCAGTCACAACACCTGGAGCAGCCAATTGCATCCTTATAAGAGTAACACCGGCCTCATTGGTCCCAGCAATCTTAATGCTATGAATCATGTTCGGATGAATCGGAACAGGCCTGCTGTTAATCATAATAAAGAGAGAGTCAGAAGTGGTCATCTTATAGATTATTGAATCATCTCCTCCTATCGCTGACGGATAGTCGTTGACGCTGGAGAACGCCATAGCAATCTCTCGCACCACACCTTCCTTACGGAATTTCTGTCGTCCTGCACGAAACCGTTCCTCTATACGTTGCTTAAGCTCCAACCCTAGGCGAGCCTGACTCTCGTTGAGAGCCTTTTGCCTGCTAGCACGCTCCTGACGCACATGCCGGCGCTCTTCTATATTGCGATCACGCATAACACTGACCTGCACATCTGATGATTCATCGCTTTCAGATGACTCTGAAGGTTGAGTGAGAGACGTAGCCAACCCACCGGCCTTGGTTTCTCCCGACTCTGTGATCATAAAGAAGCCTCGCAGACATGCAGTTGTGGAGTTACGCATGTTGTCTGGCCCTGTCAGTACGTGCTGCGTGTCATTGGAGTGAGCGAGTGCCAAAAGGATAGTATCTCCATAGACAATGTCAAATGAAATTCCCTTATCTGGAATTGTAACATGAGCAGCAGTAGTAAGGAAGAGCGGGGTAGAGCCAGTGATTATAGTCTCTGCGGTCCTTTTGCTAAGAGAGTCTTGCCCAAGACAGAGAGGAGCAAGCCCAGAAGAGCGAAGTGCCTCCAGAGCTTGTTCCTTCGTTGTAACACCAGCGCCCGTGGGAGCCCCACAAACACCCCCTAGCTCGAGCTTGTCAAAGGAAAGAGAAATGGAGAGATTGGTTCGCTTGCATGTAAGTGTGCTTGAGGTGTTGGCTCGCGCACTAAGGAGTTGCTCTGCTAGGCTCGATAGCGAAGTGTTTTCTTTCACCAGATCAAACGACTCCCTGTGTACTCGCTCAACTGCCTCAAAAGCAGACCGTACAGCTCCTGCAATACTTATATGGGCGCAAGCGACTGTTCTAGCCACGGCTCCTGTCATGCCATTCCGTGTGACAGCGCAAATTACGTTTGTCAGGGCGAGCCGACCAGGCTCTGGTCCAGATGCAGAGACGATTTGCAGCTCATTGACTACACTATGCCCCAACACAGATGCGTGGAGTGCTCTACGTAAGACGGTCGACAGGCTGTCATCTAGAGTGTCTTTAGTGGCTGTGCTAACTAGAGACACGGAGGCTGTGAGCCGGGACGTCTTGTTAAGAGCAAGAAGCTGTTGCTCTGTAAGTTGGATATATCGAGCACCAGAGCCAGCAGATAGCTCTTTGGAAATGTCTGCAGAGCCCCCACAGGCCAAATTGATGGCGGCGTCTAGCATCGTTCGCCGCTGGGACTCCAAGCAACGACCACCCCCGAAAGTTTTCTCTAATGCGTTGTAAACTTTTCCATAGCATGATAAGGCCTCTTGGCTGGCAGCGCGAAGTAGGCTGTGGTAACCACTTGGAATAAAGGAAAGAATATCTAGAGCAAGTTCAGTTACATCGATATTCATAGAAAAGTTTGGCATGCTTGCAATCTGCGCTCTGAGTTCTTCCATTAACTTGTTTCCGCTCTTCTCAATAATAGAAATGTCAGCAGACATAACGCCAAGGGTTCGTGTCTTGGACGCTTTAAGCCGCTCCATTGCTTCAGCAAGACCTGGAGGAGGCTTGCCTTTGCCCATTAGCAATACCTCTGTCTCGATGTTTTCAGAAGATCTTCCCGTGAACAAGGAAAGCGTCTTGTGGGCGCGCTCGTTAATGGGGAGAAATAAAACAGTCCTCTGGGCCTTCATAAAGAGGACCGGCACACCTTTCATGTCATTTCCAGTCAGTAAGCGTAGCAGGGAGGCTGTAGCAGAAGATGGAGACGCCGTCATAAAGTCGCTTGTCTGGTAAAGCCAGAAATTGTCCGCCTGAATACCTTCGTATGCGTCCCATCTCCGGAAGATGTGATGCACCGCCGCATGGTACATGGAGATACTGCTAGACTCTGTCATAGTTTTTTAAATCCATCCTGTGCCCGAGGATTTACTGGCAAACTAAACGACTAGAAGAGGTTCCGCAGGATACCACTCATACCCGTAGAGAGAGTAGCCCGCATGTCGAAATCGCTTGAACATTCAAAGACCTCATAGTTTCTCTCCAGGTTCTCGCTCACCGTTAGCACAGACGCAAAGTTTTTCTTCTGAGTGTAATCGGGAGCGCTCCACACTGTTGAGAGAAGGTCGCCAAACATCAATACAAAACCCTCATAGCAGAGCTGATGAGACCGGAGAATATGGGAGAGCTGATTGTCATGGAGGAATTTGAGAACTGGTATCAATCCAAAAGAACATCCGGCTCCTCTTGCAGACCGTTCAAAACACTGAACCTCTGCCGAGGGGTCAGACCACAGCAGGTCACTGAAGAGACAGGAAAGTCCTTCGGGGAAATCTCTAAATCTACATATGGTATGCATCTGATCTATTATTTGAAAGGATGGAGAAAGCCCTGCATGAACTGCAAATAGCTCATTTTGGATTAAGGCAGCAATAGGCAGCGCTTCAAACGTGTCTATCATCGCTCTCCAAACATCCTTTTGGTGATTAATATCATAGTGTGAGAATTTAGCGCGAATCTCGTCTTGAAACCCATAGGATTGACAGATCTTTTCATCCTCGTGGTTCCCACGGAGTAAGTATATGGACTTGGGGTACTTTATCTTAAGCAGGAAGAGGTAGATGATGACCTCCAGTGAGTGAGTCCCTCTGTCAACGTAATCACCTAAAAATAGATAAGTAGACTTTGGGACTTCCCCAGCAATCTTGAAAATTTCAAAGAGGTCAAAGAGCTGCCCATGTATGTCTCCTATGACAACGATTGGTAAAGCAAGAGAGAGCAAATTTGCTTCTGTGAAGAATATATCTCTGACCAAGTCCGTTAGCTGTATTATCTCGATATGGGTAGGAAGCCGCTGATGCCGGTAAATATTGTGAAGAAGGACATCGACATCTATTCCTGGCATCGTTTCCGAGTATTTTTAAATTAATCCTTCCTGCAGAGATTAGGGACTTCTTGGCACTCTCGTTCTAGCTTCGCCTGTCCCGATGACTCGCTTCTCTGGCTCTACTCTTACTCCAGCCAGTATGGCTGAAACCCATCACTTTACCACCTCTGAGCTGCCAAAATCGAGCATGAGCATTTGGCAAACCATTCGAAAGGGGCCCGTCCGTACCGCCTGGACCCTAACTAGCTATATCACCGCAGTACATGGCGATGCTATTTCGTGTATAGATCTTTTGCATGTGGGGGCAATGCGCTACGTTGCCATTGGAAGCTACGATGGTGTAGTCTCCATATGGAGTGTAGTCAGCCCAACGATGGTGCATAGGAGGCAGAAATTTACACTCCAGTCGGCTCCTATGCGCACAATTCAAGTGGCTAGGGGCGCCATTATTGTCTGCAACGGGGGGCATATGTATCATTTGGTGCTGGATGAGCAGCCCCGTCTATTGCATGAACTAAATCGTCCACTGATAGCTGCAGATCTTGCAGTACCGTCTCCCTACCTCGTAGCCATTTCGAAAAGTAACTGCATCATTCTAGTGGATATTTCTGCGGTCTTGAAGACGTGCCCTGGGGACGAGAGCGAACAGCCTGCAGAGCTGAGCAGAAGGCAACCCAAGGAGATACTGATTTCAGACATTGTAGAATCCAGCCAGCCCAGAATGTGTGCCACTGATCCGGATGGAGCCAGTGAGCAGATTCCACAGGTTACTGAACCGACAGACTTTCGACCTACCACTCCTGCCAATGCTATAAGCAACGCCCTAGAGGATTCAGAGATAGAAACCGAAGATGTGTGCACGCGGACGGCCTATATTGCTTGCGCATGCCTTCTGACACCCACTTATGTTGTGTTTGTTTGCTCCCATGGATTCTTTTACCTCTACAACTTTCTTCGGGAGGAGCTTGTGTTTAAATTTCAACTACCTCGCAATGCAATCGCAACATACATGTCTGCTGCCTACACAGCTTCCACGACTGGGCCTTTTGTGGCAGAGAAGGTGTATATCTCTGCAGCAGATGGGTCTCTGACGGTCTGGAAGCTTGCCATCGAGAAAAAGGAGCTGCAGCCTATCGCCATGAGATCAAACTACGGTAGTGCGGTAAGCTGCATCACGCTGTCGAACCCGCAATTTGTGGTGCTGGGTCTCTCCAACGGGAAGATCAAAATCTACGAAGTAGACAACATCAGCCACAGCATCGGTGTCTGCCGGGCCGTACCCGACGACCAGACCTACCAGACGGCTGGGATCGCCTGCGCTCTGTGGCTGGACCAAGACACCATAATCGCAGGCAGCTGGGACAGGGGGGTCTTCGTCTACACCCGCCCCTGCGAGTAGGGAGCGCCAGCGGGTCCGGCCGGCGAAGATTGAGAAAAGGAGCGGGGTGCAAGCACGCGCCAACGGGCTCCCGCGAAACCAGAGGTCCCCCAGCGACTCTAGACTGAAGCTGGTGCTAACTGTCTCTGTTTTTGTTAACCACGCCGCGCTTTTATTTCCAACCGCCTATTTCAATTTAAAATGGTTTACTCTGGGGACGCTACCGGTCGTCGAAATTCCGAATGACCTGCTCATAGGAGGCGACGCCCTTGTTGAACTTGGTCATCAACGTTGCAATAAGCCCTCTGTTGTCCACAATTAGACTATAGACACTGTTTGCTATTGCAATCAGGCGAGTCATCTCAATGGCCTCTCGCTTTTTCAATAAGCTAGTCATTCTTTCGCTCCCCTTGACGCCCCGAGGACCGCTTTTCCCTTCCCTACTCTCTTCGTTGATTGTCACGATCTTTCTAATGAACTCGTCGTCTTCGTTGCTAATTATACAGAAGGTTTTGACTATGTGATGAGAATAGACAATGCAGTCATTGAACAGTGTATCCAGAATATTAACTACGTTGTTGCTCACTAGGCCCAGTGACATAATGAGCCCATTTGCAAATGCTGACATTCCCGAGACAAGGTCATCCAGAGACTTTGCGTTAACAAGCGTATCTTGAAACTTTGCTATGCACTCAGTCAAGATTGTGACATACTGGAACTGCAAGCTGTGAATGAAGTCAAGCATGGTGATGAGCATTTTGTATGCTACCCCAAAGAATATTATGATAGGGCTCTTGTCTGAACGCAAAGCATTCGCATACACCTCTATCTTGTCATGTGGTACTCGTTCCAACTTCCTCAGTCGCTGTAAGGTTGTCCATGCTTTTTGGAGCTCAATTTCAGATACCTTTGCTCTCAGAATATGCCTGAATACTAAGTTAAGCCGCTCCATAACCGGTGTCGTGAGAACTAGATTGAGTGGATATGTCACATCGTATTGCAAACCTAATAGATTGAGGACTTTAGGATCAGGAGAATCTGTTGCTCTATCGGGAACATATGTTTGTGGGTAGAGCACGCTATTAAGATGATGTTTGAAAAGCTCTGGGCACACAATAACGTTCATTCGCTCGTTGTAAGGGAGGTTTGCTAGCGATGAGGTCTTGATAACCATCTTGAACTTACTTCTTATTCGAAGGATATTCGCCACGCTTCGCGATAAAACAAGCTCGCTGATGGCAGACTCAACGAAGCACGACAAGAAGTCTCCGGCCATAACCAGATAGAAGGCATATATGTTTTGAAGATGACCCCTAAAGTCAAGATACTCAGGATTGATGAAGAAATCAAGCACCTTAGTTTGAACACGCGCGTTAATATCTATGAGCTGTTTATATAATCGAATATGGGCCAGCTCTAAGTCCCCAGTACTTCCGTCGCCACAGACCAAGGAGGCAACCGTCTCCTCCCCATGCCTAAAGCCTTGAGTAGTCTCTCCGGATGCTTCAGCAGAAAGCAGGAGAAGCTCCTGACCAGAAGCATTTGGGCCTTTGTCTATGTACTGCTTCTTTTTCCACTTCAGTAGAACGGTGCTCCTCCCAATATCACACAGATGAGTTTTGATGTTGTTGAGAAAAAGAGGGACCTGTGCATCGTCTACTTTAAACATTTGCATCCACGTGTTAATGGTTGTCTTCCCCTGCTCCTCTGCTAACTCCGTCGAGTGAGACTTCCTGATGAAAAAGTCTGCTGCATCCGAGTCTGGGATCACAGCTTCATTGATGTATCTGTCCATTATTCTACCCAAGGGTTTTAGCGATTCGGAGAGCAGATACTGGAAGACTTCTTTCACAGATAGTCCACTAGACTGTAGCACAGCTGTTTCTAGCTGTTGCAGTAATGCACATCCCCTCACCACCCCGAGTCTACTACATAGGTCGGCAACATTCTCTAAAATAATGTGTATCTGTTTCGTTTTGACCTCTAAAGTCTGTAAACTTAGAGATCCTCTTTCAGCACTGCTCTGCATTTTCCCATAATGCTTTTTCGACAAGTCTGCCAAATAAAAATCATACTCTTTTATTATGCAACGCAATGCTTGAGAGAATGCGTTAGCTATCCGTCCATACTCCGGAACTTGGTGTGTGTAAATGGTGTTGACAATTTGAAAACGCGCGTGCGCATGGACGAGGACCCTCTGCGTCATTGCTACCAGTGTAGCCGGCAACTCGGTTGCGACTTCTTTTCTGATCGTCACCACGTACTCCTTATTCTGCTCAGATACCTGTAAGTAAGTTGTCTGCATGCACCCTTGTAGAACAGCGATACAATCGGAGACAAGTAGGTGTTCTTGCAGCAGGCTATCATTCATTACCATGGGCTGTTGTATATGCGCTAGAGATATGAAGCTTCGTGAGACAAGATCAGATTGATTCTGCACCCCAAAAAACCACATGGGAAACGTGATCCCTGCCTTTGAAAGCTCCATATTAGCATGCTGTGCGGACTGTATGGCAGTATTCAGTGCTATCTCGTTCAATGCTGATTCTCGTTCAGATTTTGTAGGTAGTGACGAAATTGCTTGCTGCTGCTGTAAAGTAAGGAGCGGCTTGGTTCCAGTATGCTTGCCTGCTACCTGGTCTTCAATGAGAGGTGCTGCTTGAGGATCAATCGCATTCATAAGCTTGTTCATGTTCTGTTGGGATAATGGCTGAGTGACGGCTCGCTTCTCCACTGAAGTTGGAATAACCGGCTGCTGAGATGCTTCCTGCTTCGGAAGAGCAGCAGTCGCTGGGTGAGATGCGATGGCAGTAACAAGAGACGCTACGTTTTGGGTTGTATTGTTTGATGATAGCGCCGTTAGCCGTGTCATCACTGACTCTGACTTCAAAGGAGGTATGGATGGCTTAGAATCTGCAGGCTTGTCGGTAGTCTTCTCCGGGCTACTACGAGTGGGATGAGATACCACATTGCTTCCCAGCCTGCTGTACTTATTAACCAAATCCTGGACCTGCGAGGGAGGAGTCTTCCCTTCTGTTGCGAGCTTGGGACTTCTGTGTAGGTTTAACAGTTCTTTTACTCGAGGGTCGGCAAACACGCTCGACATGATTTGAATATTTAGATATTTTGGGCTAGTTCGGTGCACAAAGGCCCTGTCCACCCTGAAACACATACGCATGCGCTGGCTATGCAGACCCCATGATTCCCACAGACCTCGTTTAGTTCTGCATCAGTTATGCATGCTGTACTATAACACATACTGGCGGTATTTATTGGTAAATCCTCGGTACAGGTGCATGCATAAAGCTCAGGCCCGTCTGAGTCGCCTGACACCATGAAACACGACCCATAGTTACTACATTCCAGAGGTGTGCTGCTATTCACTGGATAGGAAATGCAAGACTTTGGAATACAGCGGTCTCTGGACGACATGTAGATACTAGCCTCGCTACACGCATCACAGTATATGCCTTTATACGGCGCATGGCATGCACAGAAATGAGCAGAGCGACCCGCATCATACGTACAAACTCCATTGCCACTGCATTCTGTCAGAAGGCTACTCCGCACTTCAATCACGCATTCGGAAGCAACACATCTATTTTCGACTAACTGAAAACCTTTGTCACAGACACATGAATAGGTTGCTACGTCATCCACTATCTGTTTGGTACATCGACCGTTAAGACACGGGATTCCGTTGCGAATGCATGTTAGAGGGTAGCACAGCTCTGATTCTAGCAGAGCTGCTTGGGGGCTACAATGGCAGTGAGGAACAGGTTGCAGTAGGCATCGACCAAGGGAAGAATCAACTGAGCTACAAAGCTGTTCGTTGGATACGCAATTCCTTGGGTGGCAGCCGTCCTGAGCAAAGAGGGTTCCCTCGTCGCACACAGGCTTTATGTGCTCACAGCTAACACCATAGTAGCGTGGGTCGCATTCGCACAGTCCCGCTCTGCAGAATCCGTGCCCACTGCATATGTTGGATGGATCCCCTCCAGTAAGGCAGTCCTGAGAGTAGCACACAAAGTCGATGGCAGTGCATCCAGAGATGCATGAGCAGTCGTATGCACCGTAAGCTGTGAGCACGCATAGCCCAGCATCTCCACACTCTCCCAGCGTCCCATCGGGGTACTCTGTAACGCAGGACTCGGGGATACAAGTGGAGTCTACTTTTCTCGTACCAGGTGGACACACTATTGTCGGCAAAGCATTACACAGCAGACCACCCCAAATAAGGATCTGCATAGCCAAACTGAGCAAATTAAATAATTGAAATGGAGCGGGCAGGGAGCCGAAGAGGGTCAGAAGATAAGCCCCGTGCACCTACGACAGCACGAGGAAAGCGTATCATGAAAGAGAGGGAGCCCAAGATTGTTGAAAATAATAAGAATACAATCTTTCTTTCAGGCTCCACTGCCAACAAGGACTGCAACGATCTCTTGAGGGATCTCCTCTCTATGCGCGCCCCAATGGGTGTGCGCAGAAGATTCAGAGATAGGGAGGCCAATCCCTTTGTAGACGCCAGTGAGCTCGAGTTTTTGTCGCAGCGGGTTGATTGCTCCCTGTTCTGCACGGGAACAAGCTCGAAGAAGCGGCCATCCAATATAGTTATTGGTCGGATGTTTGATGGACAGGTGCTGGACATGGTTGAGCTGGGTATTGACCTCTACCTAGGCTTGACTGACATACACTCACCAAAGCCCCAATTCGGGACGAAGCCGGCCCTGATCTTCGAGGGGGACCTGTGGAGCAATGACACGATATTCGAGGGGTGTAAGTCTATCCTCATGGACTTCTTCCGGGGCCCCACGATCACGGCCATGGCCCATGCATCTCTGCGCTACTGCCATGTCTTCTATGCGGTCGGGTCCGAAGACTTGCAGACGCGTCGCATCCTTATGCGCACCTATTACCTGTGCACGAGCCGCGAGCTAGAGGAGAAGGAGAATGTCAAGAAGCTCCACCAGGAGAGCTGCGGGGGGATCACTATCATCCCCATGGGACCCAACGTCGACTTCACCCTCCGACGGACGCGGATCCTCGACCGCTCGGAGATGGCTGCGGCCATGCGCCGGCAGCGCGCCAAGAAGGACCCCTCGAAGGTCCCGGGCGTCAAGAACGCAGAGTACGACGAGCTCGGCCGCGAGTTCGGGACCGTCTACGTCGACCGCCAGGACCTCGACAAGCTCGGCCTGCGGCGCTTCAAGGGGCTCCGCCGCGACCGGTCCGAGAGCGGGGAGGAAGGCGACGGAGAGGAGAGCGCCAGCGAGTAAACTGGAGCAGGGACGTATGGGTATATGTCTGTTTCTCGCCCTGGGAGGGGACCGCTGGCGCTATGGCCGAGTGGTTAAGGCGGTTGACTCGAAATCAACTGTGCTCCGCACGCGTGGGTTCGAATCCCACTGGCGCCGCTTGGCCCCGTAACAGCGCCCTCCACGCGCGTCCTGGCCGGAGCGGGCGGACGACGCTCGTGTGGCGCAGCTGGTTAGCGCGTGTGACTTATGATCACGAGGTCGAGGGTTCGAGCCCCTCCTCGAGCAGTTTACTTCTGCGCCGCAACCACGTTGACGACCTCGACAAGGAGCCCCTCCTGCAGCTGGGCCCGGACGCAGCAGCGGCAGGGGCGCGTGGCTGGCACGCAGAAGACCTCGCGGTAGAGCTCGTTGAAGCGGGCCTCCTCACTGTCGCTGAGAGACGTGGACAGGAAGATGTTGAGCGAAACGATATAGTCCAGACCAGAGTTGGCATACTCTAGACACTTTCGGATGTTATCGAAGGTCTGACGCGTCTGCTCCTCGAGACCCTTGTGAAGAGTCCCAGACTTGTCGATGCCCACGGACCCGCCGAGGTAGACCATCCCGTTAACCACGGCTATCTGGCCGACGTTCTCGAACTTCACCACGTCTGGGCAGACAAGAAACGTAGGCGTGGGCATCCCTAAGTTTTTAGAAAGAATGCCATAAATCATAAACAATATATAGATTTATAATGATAGATTCGCTGTGGTACCGACCGCAAAAACCTTACTAGAAGATAGAGCAACGCTTACCTCTGGAGTAGTGATGCTGCGGCGCTCTATTCACAATCAGAAGAATCGCGCTGACAACCTTATCGACACCGGTTATATACTGCAGCATTCCCCCATATCCAGTTAAATTGAAAGTCTGGTCTTGGCGACATAACTATAGCTGAAGGCCTACTCTGAAGATATAGGCTAATAAGTGACGGGATTCAAACTCTATCTAGACCTCACGGTGTGATAGAATGAGGGCCTAAGGGATATCTTATTAAATATAAGACAGAAATCCATCAGTAACTTTAGACTGAGCGGCTTAAATCTTAAAACCTATATTTTGTTACAAAATTCTATCAGACTCAATCCCTCATTGACCAAAACGCTGATATCCAGTGGAAGTGGATTGAGAATGATATTTCTCAAGATCTGTAAGCCACCGCGAGGCAGGTAGATCGACACTGCATTGATCATATGACTGACATCGCCGTACACAAGCCCTTTATCAGTACCGATGTTCACCACTAAGGTCATGGCGACGCGGATCAGCCTGTCCCTCAACGTGAGTATGGAGTCCTCCATTTTCTTAAGGTTGCGGTGGCTACCCGAGGAACTCGATTTTGAAGGGGTTGGACTATGAGACCCACCTCCTATCCGTTCCTCAAAGATACAAATGCTCTTGTGTTCAGGATCAAGTTCATGATTAATGGCTGATACCATGTCAAAAACTGCAGTCTGTAGTGACGTAAGGGCATTTTGTAACTGCGGATTGAGCTCACAGCTTCTGCTGAATGTAGCAATATCTAAGCTTAATTGATTCAAGGCTGGTTTATACGAGGTAATCGGAAGTGGCTTTTGCAAAGAGTGCCTTGAACTTGATACCGATGGAGACGCGATAACCTCGAGATCCTTGAGATTTGGCTGGGCCTCTAGAGTAAAAAGATCGGCAGCGTCGACGGAGTCTTCACTAGTAGGAAGACATGGAGACAATGGTATATCTGAAAGGTAGTAAGAAATAAAGATTTCAGAATTCTCGACAGCATCCTTTTTAGCCAGGAAAGGAGAGGCTACATAGATCTTGCTAATTTTCTCCATCATTAGATCCACCTCTTCAGGAATAATATTTGCCACAGAAGAGGGTCGAGATAAAATTGACCGAATATCGGTCGCATTGGATCGCGACGGCTTTCGTTCCTGTTTTCGGGAGTATGAAGATGCATGCAGATCTTCGTACTCTAACTGAGTGAGCCGTTCCGCGATTGGTTGGTCCTTACCAGGAGATAGACTATGGTGCGTAGGAGGGGTGTTTACCTGCACGAGGCTGGAGCTAGAGTAGCTGCGCTCATGCTTTGATGGTCTTACCGCACCAAAATCGTCTTCGCTTTCCTTTAGTCTGTTATCTGTCTGGGTAAATCGTCTAATTAGTAAACTCCTGGGTCGCACTGGACGATGAGCCAAGTCCTTGATGAATGAGGTCGGCACTACATTCTCAGCGCCCAGTGGGGTGCGCTCGGATACCTGGGCACCTGTCTCCAGTGTAGACGCTACCTTCTCAGATTGTGCCATTGCACTCGAAGAAGGAAGATCCAAGTTATCTAGATAGCTTGTATCGCTCATTAGAACGGAATTCAAGTGGGTTATTTGATATTCTTTGGACTTTAAGCCGGTTGCTTGTGGAGTACACGACTGATCACTTTGAACACCCGATCCAGCAGAAGGGTAAGTCTCTTCTGAGGTGTTAAGGAGAGTCTGTGCAGATCCCTTGTGCAGAGTTTTAAGGACAACAGAGCCTTTAGAATGACTTCCAGGCTGGTGCAGGGTGGAATTGAATTTTGTTCTGCGGTTTTCTAAAGTACGAGGAGGTGGCACTGGCGGAGACTCTTTCGCTAGTATTGGACTATGAGTACTACTGCATTGACCATTTTCCTTATTCTCTACATTATGGTTCGCTTGATCTATTTGAGGAAGAAGCTTAGGTGGCTGTCGTTCTGACGAATTGAGTTGTGGGATTCGGTTCCGCCTATGCTCACGCACTCTATGGTTCTCGTGCCTTATCTCATTCACTACCTTGAATGCATCAGCTAAAAGGCTAGTTGTTGACAATGCGTCTACGTTGACTCGTACTGACGGATATGTGTTGACAAATGAGCTTAGAGAAATTGGAAAGGGCGATTGAGGACTACCTAGAAGAGTGAAGAACCCCTTGTTGGGGACGACAGTCATATATGTTGGAAGATGAAACGCTTTATCCTTGGTAACCTTATCTAAAAGAGCAGAAAGGTCAAACACATTATCGCTCATGAGACCAAAAGCAATACTGCCTACAGCTGCGGCGAGACCTCGAAAGTGGTGGGCTCTGTGAGCTGCTGCTCGTGTGACACCAGAGTCTGTCCCGACGAAACACAACTGTACGATGCCGCACTGATGACTCGGTCGGATATTAGTGTGGACCCAAGCTTGTGACCCAACTTTAAACTGAGTACTCTTTACGAGAAGGAATGCATGAATACATACATCTTCTGCCATTCGAACTGCAAGCCCTTCAAAGCCATCTCTATCCGACTCCATATATGTAAGCGTCAAATTATCTTGCTGTCGCAATGAAACCCAGATATTGGGCTGGTCAGCGATTAGAAGTGCTTGAAGTGCTGCTCTGAATTGGCTTGGGTTCGTGATGCGAATTTGATCCATACACGGCACACCCGTGTTAGAAGATAACTGGAGATCAGTTTTTAAATTAGAGATTTACTCCGTCTTAACTTGTGTCTGTTTCAACTGACAAGGAGGCAAATGCCACTGTAAATCATCAGACAGTCTTTGCAGATCGTGGGGTCATTGGAGATGCCTTTCTTTATGGGTGACAACGATTTGTCCAACCATTTATAGGTCTTTTCCGCTTGATCCTTTGCTTTGCACTATAAAGCTATCAGCCTAGACAACCCCCTACCTTTGACACCGGTGCATTGCTCTACAGCAATGTAGGGATGTGGACTGCGCTTATCTGCGGTCTCTCCACCATGCAGTCCTTGTCTTCTTAGTCCGCAGCTCCATGGTTGCACGCCAGCACGAGTCGCGCCGCCCGGCTGGGAGGACCCTGGGTCAGCGCCCCGGCCCACCAGTGTGAGGCGTTAGGCACCCACTGTTCGCCCACGCCAGAACACTGCTCACCTGTCCACCACACAGCATTTACTACCTAAGTACGCAGCTAAGTCTACGCCTTCCCCCTGCAGAGGAACCACCAGCAGAGGAAGCCCACGAGGCCCCCCACGACGACGACCACAGCGACGGAGATCCCCGCGATGGCGCCTGTGCTGAGGCCGCTCCTGTTGGCGCCAGAGGACACACACTTACCACCCTCCAGACTGTACCCATCACTGCACTCCCCACACACATCATCCATCACACAGCTCTTGCAATCACCCACAGAGCATGTCACACACCCACTGCCGTCCTTGTTGGGCTTCCTATCACTGTCACAGGAGGTACACACAGCGGGGGTCATGCCAGCATCAGATGGAGCTGTTGGGGCTGTACACTGTGAACAGCCATCCACCCCCACGTATGCCTTCTGACCAGCCAGCTCGACACCAAGGGGGTTCCCACAGGAGAGGACAGACTGCTTGTCCTTGGTGGGCGAGGGAGGGATGAAGTACCCAGCTGCCGCCTCTGTGCAGACACCATCACCTGCCTTTGTGCACATGGACTTACCCGGCTGAGCTGATATACTATAACAACCACCCATGTATAGGAAGTATCCCATAGTACATGATGTGCAGACATTATTGACACATCCTGTATTGCCTTTAGCCTCACTAGCACAGAGACCATCAATAGGGAACTCACTGTCCTTTCCACAGTAAGAACAGTAGTGAAGCTCCTTCCCTGTGTTGTCGATTACTATTGCATCACAGGCTCCAGATGTCCCACCACAGGCCGTGGGGTCTTCACACACCTTTGTACACGTGACCCCAGTTGAAGGTTCTCCACTGGGTCTGTAGTTCACCTTGCATTTTGTGCACTTAAATGTGCCACTATTTGTGCACTCGGCACACCCCTCGATGCCACCTTTGGTTGTGTCACTACATGAGATGCACTCACCAGAGGAGCTATCCTTCAAGAAGTACCCTTGCTTACATGTCAGGCACTTACTCGGATCTTCCTTCTTGGAGCATGTCGCACAGCCTGGAGCGCACGGATCGCACGCAAAACCCCCACCGTTAGTATTCTCGATGTATCCCTCCAGGCATTTTGAACAGGTTGGCGGATTTCCTGCCGTCTTCTCACATATGCTGCACCCGGCAATGCCCTTATCATTTACGCCAGCATCAGGGGACGCATCGCCGCAAAGAGCACACGTTTTGTCCTCCTTCATAAATAAGGCCCCGTCAGCGCCCTTGCACCCGTCAAGCGTTTTATCGACGCAGGTCGATGTCCCGTCGAGGGCCGTCCTGGGGGTCTTATTGGTCCCGCAGTTAGTGCACTTCGGCTTCCCCGTGGTCTTGTCGAAGGAGCATGCCGTGCAATCTGCGTGTATCTCACTGCATGCTTTGCAGGTCATTGTTAGCTCGTCTGCATACTGATTGTTCTCACACGTATTAGAGCATGAGTTATCTGACTTCAGATAGGTCCCCGGCTTGCATGTCTCACAGTTGGTCGCACCGGCCCCGGTACATGTGGCACAGTTCTGATTGCATGGCTTGCAAAGCTTATCGCTCAGGAAGTATCCATCTTGGCAGGTACTACATGTAGCTGCTCCTGCACTCTGTGGTGCCTGACACTGTGCGCAGTTATCCACTCCCATGACCCCGTCTCTCTGTGTAGTATCAGAGCAGAGGATGCACTCGTTGCCAGGGGCTACTGGGCTGGCCGGGTTCTGGAATAGATACGCGGCGCCTGCCTTGCAGGTGGTGCACACTCCCTTGTCGGCCGCCGTGCATATCTCGTTGCCAGGATCTTGTCCTACCTTGTAGCACCCGCCCATGAAGAGGAGTCCCACACCATCACTATCACCCCCACACCACACATAGCACTATCACTATCACTGTACAGCATTCACTACCTAAGTCACGCCTTCCCTCTACAGATGAACCACCAGCAGAGGAACCCTACGAGGCCCCCCACGACGACGACCACAGCCACGGAGATCCCCGCGATGGCACCTGTGCTGAGGCCGCTCTTGTTGACGCTTCCGCCGGTGTTGTCGCCGTCTGTTTTGATATAGCAGGTGACAGGACCGCCATTGCCACCAGCTGGCGGGGCGCAGCTTACGCAATTAGCGACACCAGTGATTTGGTTGTTATTTCCACTACTAGCTGTACATTTGAAGCATTTATCACCGGCACCTTTGTAGTATCCAGGAAGGCATTCAGTGCAGGCATTAGAATCATTGCATTTTGCACAGCCTTCAGAGCACTCCGGACACTTCTCTTGCACAGGTGCCTGGTTATTTGCAGCACACATAGTGCACTTTCCGTTACTAGCGAGCGTGCAAACCGATTTGCCAGGAAGCTTAGCCACACCATAGCACCCGCCCGACATGAGAGTATACTCTCCTGCACATTTGGTGCACTTGCCATCTGCCGCCGTGCATACGCTCGCGTCTCTCCCGGCAGCTGCCACCGTTGTACAAATTCCGTCGATCGGGGCGTACCCGTCCTTGCACTGAGCACAGTACTTCGCGCCCCCCACGTTAGCCGTGCACTGCCCGTCTGCACAGTTGGTAATGAACGCACCAGTGCACTCCTTGACGCATGTTCCGGCTGTGCCAGATCCATACAGGAGAGAATACCCGGGATAGCAGGCCGTGCAGGAAGCAGCGTTTGCATCGCCGTTGCATTCTGCACACGTAGCATGGCAGGAAGCACAGACACTGACTCCGTTAATATTATCGGCATATGTTCCAGCAGGACAGTTGTCCAAGCATGCATTGCCCGAAGGAGTAAGCCGCTTGTCTGTACACTCGGAGCACACAACCGTCGATTCTGCTTCTCCAGAGAGCGTTTTGAGGGCACACTTTTTGCAGCCTGTGATGCCGTGGGTTGCGTCGCTGCATGAGAGGCACATCCCCTTCGAGTCACCGGCCTTCTCTCTAGTGAAGTGCGTCTTATCGGAGGTGCACTCTTCGGCAGTAAGGCACGCTCCCGATTGCCCAGCTGCAGACTCTGGCTTTAGATACCGTCCCTCTTTACAGCCAGTGCACTTGTCGGCCTGGTTCGTCATGGCGTTCTCGGTGCATCCGTCGCAGCTGGAGTGGCACCCCGGCGTGGCGGCGGGGCATTTCCCGTTCTCTGGTGGTGCGCCGGTACTGCATCTAGCGCAGACATCATTCTGATCGCATCGTTCACAGTTAGCATCTGAGCAAGAGAAGCACTGCGTACCTGCAGTATTAGGCTTTTGGCCTTCTGCACACTTCTTGCACTCCTTTGCGTCGGAAACGCTGTCGTCGGTGTAGTAGCCCGCGCTCCCCTGGCAGTCGACCGCGCTGACGCACGTCCCCGTCGGGTCGCTGGGATTCGTCTTCTTCAGGTAGGGCGCGGCGCCGTTTGCGTCGCATTTGGTGCACTTATCGGCCGTTCCAGCACACGCCGTGCAAGGGGCGTTGCACTTCTTGCACTCCTTTGCGTCGGAAACGCTGTCGTCGGTGTAGTAGCCCGCGCTCCCCTGGCAGTCGACCGCGCTGACGCACGTCCCCGTCGGGTCGCTGGGATTCGTCTTCTTCAGGTAGGGCGCGGCGCCGTTTGCGTCGCATTTGGTGCACTTATCGGCCGTTCCAGCACACGCCGTGCAAGGGGCGTTGCACTTCTTGCACTCCTTTGCGTCGGAAACGCTGTCGTCGGTGTAGTAGCCCGCGCTCCCCTGGCAGTCGACCGCGCTGACGCACGTCCCCGTCGGGTCGCTGGGATTCGTCTTCTTCAGGTAGGGCGCGGCGCCGTTTGCGTCGCATTTGGTGCACTTATCGGCCGTTCCAGCACACGCCGTGCAAGGGGCGTTGCACTTCTTGCACTCCTTTGCGTCGGAAACGCTGTCGTCGGTGTAGTAGCCCGCGCTCCCCTGGCAGTCGACCGCGCTGACGCACGTCCCCGTCGGGTCGCTGGGATTCGTCTTCTTCAGGTAGGGCGCGGCGCCGTTTGCGTCGCATTTGGTGCACTTATCGGCCGTTCCAGCACACGCCGTGCAAGGGGCGTTGCACTTCTTGCACTCCTTTGCGTCGGAAACGCTGTCGTCGGTGTAGTAGCCCGCGCTCCCCTGGCAGTCGACCGCGCTGACGCACGTCCCCGTCGGGTCGCTGGGATTCGTCTTCTTCAGGTAGGGCGCGGCGCCGTTTGCGTCGCATTTGGTGCACTTATCGGCCGTTCCAGCACACGCCGTGCAAGGGGCGTTGCACTTCTTGCACTCCTTTGCGTCGGAAACGCTGTCGTCGGTGTAGTAGCCCGCGCTCCCCTGGCAGTCGACCGCGCTGACGCACGTCCCCGTCGGGTCGCTGGGATTCGTCTTCTTCAGGTAGGGCGCGGCGCCGTTTGCGTCGCATTTGGTGCACTTATCGGCCGTTCCAGCACACGCCGTGCAAGGGGCGTTGCACTTCTTGCACTCCTTTGCGTCGGAAACGCTGTCGTCGGTGTAGTAGCCCGCGCTCCCCTGGCAGTCGACCGCGCTGACGCACGTCCCCGTCGGGTCGCTGGGATTCGTCTTCTTCAGGTAGGGCGCGGCGCCGTTTGCGTCGCATTTGGTGCACTTATCGGCCGTTCCAGCACACGCCGTGCAAGGGGCGTTGCACTTCTTGCACTCCTTTGCGTCGGAAACGCTGTCGTCGGTGTAGTAGCCCGCGCTCCCCTGGCAGTCGACCGCGCTGACGCACGTCCCCGTCGGGTCGCTGGGATTCGTCTTCTTCAGGTAGGGCGCGGCGCCGTTTGCGTCGCATTTGGTGCACTTATCGGCCGTTCCAGCACACGCCGTGCAAGGGGCGTTGCACTTCTTGCACTCCTTTGCGTCGGAAACGCTGTCGTCGGTGTAGTAGCCCGCGCTCCCCTGGCAGTCGACCGCGCTGACGCACGTCCCCGTCGGGTCGCTGGGATTCGTCTTCTTCAGGTAGGGCGCGGCGCCGTTTGCGTCGCATTTGGTGCACTTATCGGCCGTTCCAGCACACGCCGTGCAAGGGGCGTTGCACTTCTTGCACTCCTTTGCGTCGGAAACGCTGTCGTCGGTGTAGTAGCCCGCGCTCCCCTGGCAGTCGACCGCGCTGACGCACGTCCCCGTCGGGTCGCTGGGATTCGTCTTCTTCAGGTAGGGCGCGGCGCCGTTTGCGTCGCATTTGGTGCACTTATCGGCCGTTCCAGCACACGCCGTGCAAGGGGCGTTGCACTTCTTGCACTCCTTTGCGTCGGAAACGCTGTCGTCGGTGTAGTAGCCCGCGCTCCCCTGGCAGTCGACCGCGCTGACGCACGTCCCCGTCGGGTCGCTGGGATTCGTCTTCTTCAGGTAGGGCGTGTTGCCGTTTGCGTCGCATTTGGTGCATTTTTTCCCAGTTGAATCGCATTCAGCGCAACCATCGATCGATGGACTGCATGCATCAGCCAGTGCGACTGCAAAAATCAAACCAATTCCTACCAACATTGAGGCCAGAAGCTGGCACAGCACCGCTCTGGTTTGCATTAAGAGGCGCACGGGATCCTGCTTCATGTCACGGAATTCAATGGAACACAGCGGCCAACGGAAGCGAGGGCACATCCTCAAGCTACACCGGAGACCCGTTAATGCAGCATCCGCCCTCAACAAGCACGACTGAGGAAGCCCAGCGCTGGCTTTCCTTGCTCTGAGAAGGCATAAGTGTATACATAGATAATGAGTGCATCCATTGCTACATTAACCCAGCTGGCGCTTGTAGCCCTTGACATCCGTAGCCACCGTGTCCTGTAATCTGTCTGATTGCCTGAGTGACCATCGTGGGGGACACAGCGATCGTGATGCTCATGGAGTGGCATGGGGCCGGCTCTAGGATCACGCCGCCATCCGGGCAGACGCGCACCACAGAAAGCCTCTTGTTGCCACCGTCCGAGGCTCACAGGATTGCAGGGCTCAGGGAGCCTCTGTCCCATCAGCGAGACTGGCCTCGCCCGACGCCTCCAGCACTCTGCCAATAGCTGGCGGACAAGCGTGCACAATAGCTTTGGACGGAGGGTACAAGGGACAGCAAAACAAGACAGTCAAGTAGGCGTTGACGGTACAAACACTGCCAGCCCTCAGTCAGAGAGCAGGCATCTGGGAAAGGTGAGGGTTGCTTGTTACTCTACACCTTAACGGCCAGGCTCAACAGTAGTCACTGTTTGAGAGCTCCATTTGAAAGCACTGTAGATGAGACTCTCTGCCTTCCTGGATGTTGATCCCAAGAATGTGCTGCCTGATTGTTTGTCTCTGCATCGGAGTCGTTGCTAACGGCCGTCCTGGTGCAGCAAGGGGCCCATACAAGAACCATGTGCCGGGCACTACTCAAGAACAGAACAGATATCGTTGCTACTCATAGGCTTAGACCGATTTTCCGAAGCGACAGATGTCAAGGGCAAGGACGGGGCCTGTTTCCGAGTCCCTAATTCGAGAGTTTGTGTGAGGACCACAGCACTCTGTTAGACCTTCCTGGAAGAGGACATCCACACATATCCTTGACTCCAATCCACGTCAAAGAACGCCCAGCGGCTGCCATAGCAGTTGGGCAATGCCATCACTCCTTGCTCAGAGCTACCCATCGTTGGTGATAAGCAGCTAGCGACAGGGAAAAGCTTCTTTAGACTTCTGATTGCGCCTCAACGTTTTCAAGTCCCCCCTATCGTTTTGCTGAGCCCATGTTTCGCTGGTCTGGTGTGCTTGTATCCGTTCCAAAGCATGCTTGAAGTGGCGGCCAAGTGCTAGGCTTCATGTAGTTACCTCAGGCCACAGTGCTCGTGCGCAATAAGCAGAGTCTCCGGTCCACTGGCCACTGCTCTTGCTGCTCGTAAGCCTGCTCAGTGAGTGGCTATGGCAGGATCCTCCGCAAATGCGTATCTTTTGATACTTATTTCCATGTGCACAGAGGCAGGTGCACTGTAACTAGTCAAGGCGCCTGCTGCTCAGCCTCCTCGCCGTGGGGGTCTACTGCATACCCCTTCAGCAGATATTGATTAATGTGCCAGATACAACTACATCCTCAGACTGTCAACTGTGCATGTAGAAGTTTCAGGCCATCCTCTAGCACTGTTCCAATGCCGCAGAATCTGGATGGGACATCCCGACTACAAGCGCAGCGCAAGGCTAGCGCATTATGTCCGGCACTCTCTTACATTGCAGTTGGCTCCGGCGGCTATTGCCCTGGACTTACGTTTGGAGATAGGATGATCTGTACCCATCAGTGTGGATGAGCCATTGTCAACCATCGCAGAGACGCTCAGAGTCAACGTAGGCCACACATTGATAAGCCGTAATGGATTGCTGGGCAGTCGTAGTACCCGGCAGCGCGCCTTATGGAGCTGTGGCAAGTGAATACGCTGACTTCCGATTCGCCTATCCATTAGGGTCCAGACACTTCAAATGGATATGCAGTATATGCTAGCCACGGTTCAGACTGCCAGCTGCATGGATCCTGTGACTGGCCATTAGACATCTTTACTGTGGTTGTAACACAGTGAAGTGGTACTATATACGCTTGCTGGCGATCATCCGCTATGCACAAATGTACCCGTCGGAGGCCAGTGTATCGGTCACTTTCTGCTGCGAAGGGAATGCTTAGCCGCTAGCACAGCCGATTCTCTACACCCTACTGATGGCTGTTTTGCGTATATCAGGCTTGGTATCCGCAAGCGAAGTATCCAGTTAGCAACAGACCAGGGTTATGTTCATCGGAGCAGATGATCAAGCACCAGAGCTGGATTGTCAAGTCCCAGAAGGTGCCACCTCTTCTGGAACGCCCCTACAAAAACAAGAACCCGACAGCGGAGTTGTGAGGAACTCGAAGTAAGGTCGATCAGGGCACTCTCCTGGGTTCGATGCCATGTTGATTCTAAGGTCTCAGATGATACAGGAACGCAAAGAATGGCCTCCGCAGCACGCCAAGATTGTGTCATGGAAAGAGCTTCGAAGACTACTGCTCGCTTCATGGACTCTCTTACGAGTATCCTATGCATCTCTAATAAGGATGAGACGTCCAGCTTAGCATGGATTCCACTACGGTGTCTAAGACAGAATCTGCAAGGGGGTCACTCATCACTATCTTTCTAATGTATCACTCACTGAAGACCGAGTTCCTATCATAAAGGGCCGAGGAAGAATGACAATAGAATCCATGCAATAGCGCCTGCATAGTTCATTCAGGGATGAAATTCCAACCTTGGGCCATTTGCCTTTTGACGCTCTCTGTGGATCCCTGAGGAACCTGTGAAGAGGGATGCATTACATAGAAATGATGCTAAGTAAGCTCGTGGTAACAATTCAATGAAGGCGCCCAAGACAACAAAAAGCGCACCCTCGTCAGCCAGGCAGATCGAGATCACTCCGCAGCCGAAACAACGACTGTGTGGGGATTCACGTGGGGATTGGAGGCGTGTGCTCGCTAGTACAACATCACGCTCTAACTGGTTGATGCTTCTGAAGCGGGGAAGGAGCACTCTTGGAAGACCGTAGTGTCAGAGGTGCAGTACTACAGGCCATAGGTGAGAGTCCCAGCAACACAGCATTTAAAGTATCGATAAGCGATGGAAATATCAGCTTTTAAAAAGGGAGTATAGATTCAATATGGGGGACAATAGGCTATCTGTGGAGAATACGTACCAGTTAGGACCAGAAGAGCCCCTCACGCGCTTGGCTATCAGGCCTCTGGTTCAGAAGGCTCTACAGAAGCAGTTTTTGAATTGGACATATGACGCTAAAACTGGGGCATCCAAGAGCCGCGACACTTGCGCAATGATACAGAATTACATAAATGATAGTGCAGTTGTTCCGCCTCGCTACAAGGTTATGGTTCAAGTATTTATTGTACCTCTCAAAGGGCAATGCGTCCGGCTTGCTACGCGTTCCGTCTGGGAACCGTCCACAGACAATTTGGTCAGCGAAACGTTCACTGGCCGTGATTACGCTGCAACTGCCCTTGTTTTTTACACATATAATGAGTGATGAGAAGCGCCCAATCAGTTAAAATCCTCTTTCTAGCTACTTCCCTAGCTACTTTTCTAACTACTAATTGGGACCAAAATGCTCAAGAATGTGACTGAGAGTAAATTCACTCGGGTAATACATTAGAAGATGCTTCGCTATTGCTGGCGCTGCTGTTGTTATAAGAAGAAACTTTGGCATTGAGCTTCTTGAGCTTGGCTAGGGCACTGGTATACATCCGCTCCAACCTTTCTATTTTCTTTTGCTGTGCTAGAATTATGGTCTCAACGTGTTTCTCCTTAATTGTGAAGTCTCTGCTGTACCACCCAAGTTTGTCTGCATAAACAGGTGTAAATAGGTAAAGAACACTGAAAGACCCGAGACAATATAGTATCAGAATTGAAGTTCGATAATACATCCCATAAATGGCCGAAACAACAAACAACGCCTCGACCGATATCCGAAAAGACTGAGGCAGCACTCCTCTCCTGTAGAGGACGCGACCAAGGTGCGGGTAAGGAACACTGGAAATAGTAAGCAAGCAAAGCACTAGAACTGATGTGGAAAATGTTATTTGCTTGAGCATCGGCAGTGGGAGATTAAGGGTCCGAAACCAAAAGTGCGACAAGGTCCAATCCTGCTCAAATAGCACGCACAGTAAGCCTGCCATGGTGGCTGTAGCCGGCGACGGAAGCCCGAAAAAGAAGTAGACCCCACCCTTGACCTGCTGGGCTCTCTTATTTAGGATGAAGCGGACAAGCCTGTAGAACACACAGAAAATATATACCCCCGCAAGTGTTATAGACCAAAGGCCACTGCTATAAGGGACGAAGGAGCTGGAGATGTGATGGATCAGTAGACCAACGGCAATTCCAAAAGACGTCGCATCTGCCACATCGTCAAACAACTCTCCGTTCTTAGTACTACCCCACTTCTCTGCAACACGGCCATCAAATAAGTCGAACAACTGACCCATCATGATGCATGAAAGGACAAGAACACTGAGTGTCCCAGAAGAAACAGTCGATCCAGGTGGGAGCACAAGGAAGTGTATCCCTAACAAACCGCAAAGCAAATTAAGGATAGAGACGCAATTAGCATACCAATTCTGGGGAACACGTGAGAGAAACTGTTCTATGGTAACCAGCAGCGTTGCAATGAACAATAGGGCGTTGGAAAAGTATTCTAGATGGGATACATTAAGGGATCGTCGGAATGTTAAAATGCGGAAAACATTTGTGTCATGATGGAAGAGGTTTTTGTTGTCGTTTAGAAGAAACTGAATAAATAGGCAAGTGTAAAGGCAGGAGTGCTTAAAGAGCGACCGAAGAGTATTTCGTGTAGCTTGGCGACGGATTGTAACGTTAGACCACGAGCTAAGAATGATAAAGAGCATAGCCAATGCAGGATCTATTAGCGAAATGTATGTAGCTTGCTCGTCGATAGATTGAGGATTGATTGCCTGGATCACTGAAGACACAGGCTGGAGCCGCGGAATCATTAGAAAGAAAAATATGGGAATGTAGAAGCACTGTTCTGAGTAGGGTGTTATGCACAGACGTGCTTGTGTTCCTAATAGCCACGGCTTCCATTTGGTGTGTTTGGCAGATTTTGTTCGCGTTTCAAGGTTGAGAATGTTTGCAGTAGATGCAGCCATACAGACGATGTAGAGCACCAGTGCTAAGGTTGTGTGGCCATTATAGAGCAAAAGAGACACTATGAGTCCGAGACCTAAGCACAGCCTAATCATTGCATTGGCTCCGGAACCGGTCCGTGATTTCATCAGATGTGAAAGCCCATACCCTGCAGTTACCCATACCAGTATGAAAAGGATAAGCAAGGCAAAGGCTGCCTTAGGCTCCATGCTATAGGGCTCTTTTTTTAAAGAGGTCAAGCTACTCGGTGAGAGTACGGACGGTGTCGGCAGCCTCTATCACTGAGAGCCGCCGCCCGGTAGCCATGCTCATTATATTGCTGTCTATTTCATTCTTCAAAGCCGGTGCTCTAGGATGACTTTTAGATACAGAGCTAAAGGCAGGGCTAGTAGGGCTGGAATAAAGCACATGGCTGTTGAAGCTAACGCGACGTAATCCACGTGCACTATCGCCAATGCTTGTTGCTTTCTCTCTGCTTATGTCGAGGGCGAGCTCATTGAGGGTAGTTTCGGCAAAGTTAACAAAAGAGCTGCGCTGGTCCACTTGTAGTTCATCCTTCTGTACCTCTGTCGTTCGCTTCATCTGTTCATATGCTGGATATGCTCTCTCAGATTGCGAAGTAAGCTCGTCTAGTTGCTCTTGTTTGCGTTTTAATGCACTCTCGAGAAGCGCTACTTTGCCTTCTAACTCACGGATCTTATCGGTTCTGATTTCTAACTGCGCAGCCTGGAGATTCTTTAACTGACTAAATGACTTCTTTGCATCTTCGAGAAGAACTCTTCGCTCGGTCTTTTCCGTTTCCAGCTGTGCTCTAAGTGTAATGATTTCTGCCCTGAGGCGCTCATTTTCCACATGTAGTTCCTGGTTTTCGCGACTGCTCTGTCTAGCCTCTTCCGGAGTGCTCTTGTTAGCATTCAACAACAGTACAATTGTATAGAGAGATCTATTGAGACGATTTAAGCATAGACATTCGGTGTCTTCGTCTATATATGAGGGAAGAGTGGAGATAAGACGGCCTTCGTCAGCGTGGTTATGACCTGTATTTGAAAATATGTTAATGTAATTCTCAAGGGCGTTGACAAGAAGCTCTTCGTTAGTCTGGTATTGGGTGACCATCCTCTTTAGTTTTGCAGTCTCCGATATTAAATTATTTTTCACCCTCTCGCTTAATTGCAGAGCCTTTTCAACGCTAGCACACTTTGTTTGCTGACCTACATACTCCGTTGTTACTCGCGCTAAGTCGGCCTCTAGTTGATGTAATGAGTCCTGGAGTGCGCGAATTTTCGTCTGATCCTCCAGTGCTTTATCGTGAGACATCAGCGCCACAGATGTTTGAGACTTTAGGTATAGAGTTTCGTTCTGCTGGATCTTCGCCTCTAGCTTAATAACTCGGTCGATCAATGTCCTGTTTTCCTGTTCGAGGGCAGAAACGAGCACATTCTGCATGTCGTTCGTTTTTTCCTCAAAGAGTAATAAATAGCAGATTGACATTGCCGTTGCTTATCATCGTCAAATGCAGTACTATATACCACATCCGATCCCAACCATCTGATAGCCGGGCATTGTGTCAAGAACCAACGAATACTTTTACTTCTAAACACTGAATTTCTAGCTAGTGCATTACTAGATGGAGAGGGTGTTTGCTCTGATGTGGCATCCGATACCAATGATGACGCAAACATATACCTAAAACTTAACCAAGCTTTAATCATCCTAGCACTCAAGCATAGCCTCTAGAACTCCCACTGTTCTTACTATAGTCAACTACTCAACATAAAAATTGTAGGATTGCTATCCCTTTAGCCCCATCTTGAGCTTTGGCTCCTGGACCTGATCAGTCTTGACCTCCTTGGTGCTCCAATCGATCAGCTCTCCGTTACCAACCGTTACATAATCGCGTGCGTAGTGCATATTGTTATCATTTCTGTCTAAGGGGTCCATAAGGACTCGCAAAATATCGTCTGCAGCCTTTTCTAAATAGTCCTCACTTCCCTTGGCGTACCTCTTAAACCCAGCATCGTTGCATACAAAATAAACGTGGGTTCCATGTGGAACAAGATAGTATCGCCCAACCTTTTCGTTGGTGAGAGCACCCTTTGAAGCTATGCACTTAGGCTCATGCTGCTCGCCAGAAACGTAGTAGTGCTTGCCTCCCGGGGCACAGAAGTGAAACCGAGTATACGCAGATTCTTCCAAGTCAAGATGGTATTGTGCTGGTGGGACACGCCATTCGGGTACAAACACAACAAACATGATTGGTCGCCGATTCTCCGACTTGTCCAGTGTCCGGATTATATGCTTGGCTGTTCTGTCCATGCACTCCAGCGTATATGGTGGCCCGCACTCAAAAGACCCCTCGGCAATATCATAGTCGAAGAAGCTGCCTAGACTGCCAAAGAAAACATCTATCTCGGGAAATGCAGAGCAGAATTGGGAAAAGAAGCAGTTAAGTGGGGAAGCAAAGCACTCCTGGCTAACCTCAAGGAAGCTCTTGAGGCGTCTGAAGATGTTCTCTGGCGCCGCAGCGTGGAAACTCGTCCCCTCAAACCTTTCCGTCCCAAAGAAGGTGTGGTATCGACGCAGCAATATAAAGAGAAGCTTACTGAACATCTTCATTTCGGGATCAAAGCGTTTTCCTGACGTCCTTTTATATAGCTCTCGTAACTTATAAAAGTGGATACTGGACAGTTTAAACTTTAGATCTAAGCTATGCGATAGGTTATCGGGTAGTTTTACGACATACTTTGCCTCCACCGTGTGCTCTATTCCCTCGGCCGTGAGAACTACCTCGAAGTCATCATCCGTAAATGCTGGCTTCTTTGTGCTGTACTCCATTGCCAAGTCAGCGAGCCGATTACAAATGCCATGGACGTCTGACTTCAAGTATTTAGATACAAACGTTGTGGCCGATTCGCTAGCAGTCTTAAGCCGAGCTTCCAACACATGAATATGAAGAATTGCAGGGTCAAAAGCAAGCAGGTCGCCTTCCAGTTGCTCAAGGTCCTTACGAGTTTGCTCATCCGTCTCCGCTTGCTTCTCGAAACGAGTCTTCATTCTGGTAAGAAACTGCATGGACACCTTTCTGTACTCTATTGCATCTGATTTGAGGCGCTGTGTGTCCGGATAAGATGGCTTAATACGCATGGGAATTGAGAGAAAAAGCTCGCGGGCAATGACATCGGGGTCGTCCTTGAGTCTCATCGGATACTTCAGAAGATTATTGCCTACCTCGCCTGCTATACTTTCTGATGGAGTGGCTAACATATCAAAAAGCCACCGATTAAGCGTTTCTTTTTGGGGATAGGTGAAAAGCTCCTTACGAACTTCCTCCTTGAACCATGTGCGCATATCCTTGACAAAAGAGGCCAGTAAAATCTCGCTTGCAAGGGAGGGGATAGGTACGCCCTCAGCCCCCTCCTCTATCTTCCTACGCACGTTCTCGAGCATGGGTGTTGTTTGGGCTGTAATGTAGTCAGTTACTAGAAAAGAGAAATCGTAAGGTTGCTCTTCAACCTCTGGGGTGTTCTTTGGTTTGGATCGTCGCCTGTCAAAGCCGCCCCGCTGGTTACCCCGGCCCCCTTTTGAGTTCATTTTATTTTATAAATGTTTACTTGCACCATCGATCGAACCCGGTAAAGGTCGTGGACGGACAGAATACAAATGGAGATATACAGGCTATCAACGAAAGCGCTTCTGGCGCAGCTTATACATTTTATTGCCGTAGCTATCAAGGCCAATCTCGTCCTTATTACCATAAACAGGGCCCGTCTTGCAAGCAGAGCGCTGGGCTTCTCGACGAACTTGTTCTTGCTTGACCTTTTCTATCTTACCGGTTATCGAGGTTAAGTCCTGGTTCAAATTGTCGGTGGACGCCGAGCTAAGATCGTCTGGGTCTACTCTCGCGTTTCCATGGAGTCTACTCTTGGTGTTTACCTTAGTTTCCCGACGACTTATATCAATGCGTTTGTCGTCACAAAATACTATATGCTTGGTCTTACCCTTCCCGGGTATCCGCATGGCGATGTCTTCGTATTCCTTGCGCAGTTTACGTGCGGTGGCGTCTAGGACGACGTCGGCGATGGCATCGTTGGGATCTTCCAGTGGCGAAGATGTGGGGATACTAACAAGCAAGCCTCCGTGCGTCCTTGCATTCTCCATCGCATGGTAGAACTCGTCTGGATTCTTCTGAGCTGCCTGCTGTGTTAGTGTCTTGATTAAGCGTTCTTTTGCATGGCTTTGCTCCGCCCTTACCTTATAATCTTTCTTGCGCTCTACATGTCCTTTCTTGGCTCTTGACGCAGGTGTTTGACGCTCCTTCTTTTCAATGCGCTTTATAAAGTTCCTCAGCTTCAATGACGTCATTGGGACTTCACCTTAGGCTTCTGGAAAAGGACAAAAATATTAAAAACATTGTAAATGCAAGTTAACAAAATATCAAGCTATCAATTCTTAGAAGAATCATTGGCGTCCTGGATTGAATAATTTACTTGGAGGAGGCTGACTTGCCGTGGACAATGCTATTGAGCCCGCAAACATAGAAGGGAGACGATCCTAATTCTTCAAATCGTTGTTGTGAGTGGAGATTGCCCATCTGCTCTTCAAGGATCTCTCTGATAATCTCCTCACACCCTGACTCTCGCTGTATAATAGAGAGAACCGCGTTGCCAACCGTGAACACATCCTCTAAGGTCCATCCACCGACGACAACATTGAGTTCAGTTGCTGTTCTCTGCGCTGCGCTGACTGCGTGCTTTACCTTCATTACCAGCTCAATCAGTGCAAACCTATTCTGATTTGTAACGAGGCTATTACCCACTGAAGTCATCATCAAATTATAATCGTATGCTGTCGCTCCCAATAACGACTGGTACACCGTTGTGAGGATGCGAGTAGTTAGCCCATACGTGACACCATTAAAAATAAGACGGGGACATATGACCCCTCTATCTGCGCCGTACTTGTATCCAGTTGTCATCACAAAGCTCAGCGTTATATAGCCGCTATAATGATAGGCTGTCGCAATGGTGGATGCAAAGAGGCCCACCGTTGATCTGAAGATCTCTACCTCACCGAGCGCAGGAGAAAGATAACATGCTGACATCAGCTTGCCCACGGGAAAATAGCTATAGCTGGGTACTTCAGCGTATGATCCTATCACCACATATTGTGCACTTGTACCAATGTATAATGCAAAAGTTATGTACCTTATTACATTCTCATTGACTGGAATGCACTGCAATACAGCCCCTGTAGTGGTATAAAGGTGGATCAGGCACTTCTCATCTATCTTTTTGTATGGAAACGATATGGTAATCTCCCTGATAAGATCTGTATTGGTCTTAACTGCCTTGTACCCATCCTTGTCAAGCTCAGACATACCACACGCTAGCCCGCCCAGAGAGTCCCCCAGGATGTCACAGCCAGGCAAATAACACATTAAATCTGGCCTAATTATCACCGACGAATATTTAAGAGAGGTCATCGCATGAACAGCGAGCTTGGTCCAAGTTGCTGGGCTCTGGATCTCTGTTGTGGAGAAGTTCTGTGTAGGAGCCACTCCAAAGCTCGCTACTCGCTCTGGACCGCGGCTGCGTGATCTATCGATGGATGAAGATGACAAAGAAATAAATTTCTGATCGCTCTTCAACCTTTCTTGAACATTAGTGTACTGCAGGGCTTCGTGCGTTATGTGGCCATAAATCGGTATTCCAGTTAAATAAGACAGCTTTTCGTAGTTCTTATCAAATTGCTGATATGCGTAGGGCATGTAAAATACCAAGGAATCGGGTGACCCACCCGTTCTAGTTATTGCATCTAATATGGAGCGCTTAAAGGCTGCTCGAGTTCGACCAAACTGCAAGTCTAACAGAAGATTGGTATGCATTGTAAGCATACGGTGCTCTTTAAGTGCCTCAAGGAGCATTGGATCGTCCAAGATTGTTATCCGGTTGACGTCCAGCTTTGACAAGGGAATGGCATCTCGATAGAGCCTCTGCAGTGCCAGCTTAATTTCTGCGATGCCTGTGTATTCCCCATCACATAGGGCAAGGATGTGCAGGCGTGGATCTACAAGCAAAGAAAAGTCAACAAAACTTAGGGAGTATAGGTCACGTCGTAGAAAGATACCGTTTTGAAATAGGTTATCAGAAGGAGGAGAACTTGAATGTCCGAGCAAAACCTTCTGACTGCATAGATTGCAAGGTCTGGTTGCAATCAGTATGCAGTACATATATGCATCTGGAGTGTATCCAATGCGAAAAGCCTTCTTCCAGAAATTTGCTTCAGATATCATCAGATCATGTACACATTGATTTTGGTTAATTGTCAGGTCTGACAAGCGCACTGCTAGCTTTTCGGTCGTAGCAGCTAAGTTATCGCTCAACGTAGCTTTGAGATTGAGCATCACCAGATGCATATTTGCATTGTTTTCTATCCGGAGTCTTTCCACCTTATCGAGGGCAAGACGCCTCCTGCCATATGTTTGAATAAGCAATGAGGCCCTCTTGCTTTTGCACACAAAAATAAAGTTCCTTCTTGCACAGAGCATTCTATAATATGCTTGAATTATAGTGGCTGATGCAGCATCTCTATTATTTGTGGTGGCAGTCATCTGCAGGCTAAGTGGTGTTGCAGTAGTTGTAAGCACTAAGCTGAAATACGCCTCTTCAGAGAGAGCACTAAGATTGACAAATGGCTTGAAGTACACCGAAAGGGCTAATGAGATAACATTATTGCCGTTTATGTGACCACTGAATGAAGGAGTATACCTAAATAATCTCTGCAAGTTATCTACAATAAAACCTATATAACTAGAAATAAACGCGTACTGTACCATCATTGCTTGGTAAACATTTGTATTTGTTAGAATCTTTCCGTCTACAACCGGAATACTAAAGTCATAGACAAACTCATGCGACAGCATATACGAGTACCTTCGCTTGTGTGCGGAGTTCTTGATGGTTATAGTTGCTTGTCCTAAGTGCTGCAGATTCTGGTATTCTGAGGGATACTTGAAAAGGGTGCTCAAGAGCGGTCTCTGGACACTCCTGAGTACTGGTTTTGCACCTTTCTCAAGTGCCTTTGTTTCCGCCACTGTTGTTGCTTCCACATTTGGTGATCTGTCTGTTCTATCTGAACTAGAGATATTGAACGTTATGGGCCCTTCTGTTTGACTCAAAGTAGAGGCATCTTCAAGCTTATGTGCCGTAGCTCCGCCGCTTATAAAAGAGATGTCATATTCGTCTGAGGCAGGCATGGCCTGGAGAGCTTGATCGAGAAGATCAAGATCAAATTTTATTGTACTAAAGTGTCTTGGAACGTCTTCGCGAATCCTGGGCTGGGTTGCACCCTGAATCTCTTCGCGCGTTCCCAAGACTCGCGCGATCAAAGTAGGTCTGACATCTCTTGGATGGCCGAAGAAGACAGGTCCAAGATCTGCATCCTTGGGCACGTCTCCACGAAGCATCATCTCGTACATGCCATAATGATCTATGTCAGCCACGGTTATGTCCTTATAATCGTCGTTATCATTGCTGCGTAAACTCCGCGACCGGGGTGGGGAAAGTTTTTTCGCCAGGGTTTGAATGGGGGCCACTGAGCCACGAGCCCCGGGGGTCTGAGTGCCCCCAGGTGCTCCGAACAATCTCGCATCTGTGTCCATGTAGTTTTTGGTAAAGTTGGGCTTCTTTAGCAGCGGGAAGTTAGAGTGCAGGCGAGATCGTGGTTCATAAGGCTTGGGGGGAGGGTTTGGGGGTCGAGTGTCGATGAGTTCCTTGGTTTTCTTTGCAAGAGACAGCTTTGTTCCTGATTTGGACACGGGACGGGGCGGATATGGTGGATTCTGTAACTTTGGAGGGAGGACGGAGTGCACTGGCGCGTCAATGACAACTTCATCCCTTAACGCCCCCGATCGATTCTGTGCAAGCATGTCCAGAAGGGCATGAATCCGGTCTGTTGTGGACATTCTTTTTTGGTCATGCCAATGTCAATTTGAAGTAAACTCAACGCGCTCTGGTCACTGCCCTCTCAGCTCACTGCTTAGCTGACACCACACAGACCTTTGAGGCGCCAAGGCGTGGTGCATATTTTGCTACAATCACGCTCCCATCGGTCTCCTTTACATCGTCCAAAAATGAACATTGAAAGGACGTGCATGAGATTAGAAGATTTACACGCTAAGCTGTTGCGGCACAAGCGTAAGGAAGTAGAGACCATGGTTAAACTTGGAATACTGGCGTCAAGCGTCAAAAATAGTGAGTATGAATCGAATCCCACTTTGCTGTTTCAGTCTGAGTTAAGAAGCTCGAGCACGCTGCACCAGTCCCATGGGACCCGGGACCTAGAGAAGCCTGCGCAGCGGAGAAGGTACGTGGCCGTCCTTGACACAAGCAACGCTTTCCACGTAATAAACATAATTGCACCGAAAGGTTGTGAAAACGTTGATCCAGAGCTTCGCAGCTTTTCACGAGTGGACATGGATCATCACATCCATAAGAACAAGCCAGTGAGGGACGGAAGAAAAGGGAAGAAGGACCGCTACAGCTCCGGCGCTGCTATGACCCACAGCGCGTTTATATAGGATATCTTTGGGTCGCCGTCGTACCGTAGCTTTACAACAACAGAGCTAGGAATATTGGTACTCGGATACGCCTGGAGCACAGTCGCCGGATAGAGAATAGATGTCCAGTTTTGCGTGTTTGTCTCGTACCATACGGCTAATACCCTGTCCCCTGCTTTGTACTCAGCCCCCCTCTGTGGGAACTTGACGACGTGCTTGGAGCTGACTCTGTAGGATTCTCTCTTCATGTTTGGCTGTTCTTCTACAATGTCCTCTACCACACACATGCCATCTGTAGTCTCAACTTCTATTAGGTTAGCAAGGATCCAGCACATCTCGTCATCATAGGGGACTTTCACGTATGCCACGACTGATTGGCCCTTCTGCATAATCCTCTTCTCGCTTTTTTATCTGATTTTTATTTTTGTCCTGGGCTGAACTCCTCCTCCGTGAAGATGTCATTTATCACGGAACAGAGTGCCATTCTCCGCTTAGCCGTGCTACCGCACGGTCTTTCTGACATGATAAAAGCATCAAAGGCGCATTTAAATCAATATCTTTTTAATCTGCTACCAACGACTCAGTCCCTCTTATTGGGTTATAAGGACATCGAACTTATAGGAGAAACAGCAGCACTAACGTACCATTCGTCTCATGTTCACTTTACAGCGCGGTGCACGCTCTTGCTCTTCAGGCCGGAACCAGAGAGCCTTATACATGCAACGATAAAGCATACGTGGCCTCGCTTTATCTACCTTCTCTTTCGCGGCTCACTACCCGTTTATGTTTCCGATCCAGGTGTGAGGTACATCTATAAACAGGGTGTCTATTGTGATAAGGACACCGGAGAGCAGCTTACAACGGACATGGTGCTTCAGGTGCGCGTGAAATCTTTCGGGGTGCGGAAGGGATCATACGCGATCACTTGTTCAATGGATGACCCGGAGTATCGCATTGTAAGCAAGCCAGAGCCTGTTGCCACAGAAGCAGAGACCAGTATCTACGATGGAGTGGACAGCGTGTCTACAGTCTGTCAAGACCCAGGTGGGCCATACTACGATGCAGACGAGTATGAGGCGATAGGTGATGAAAAGAAGGAAATCGACGCAGACTTCTATCAGGACCCTATCAGTGACCAGGTTTAGATTCTGGACGAGTAACCCCTGCATGCCTGGAGCCATCTCACCACATCCCGGAGAGTATCTCGTGCTGGGCGGTGGGTGTGATCAAGATCTGTTTCAGCATGTTTGCTGTCTCCGAACCAATACATGCATGCATATTCTGTCAGTTCTTGTGGGTAGTTTGTCAAATGGAGGATTCTTCCAATGTAAACTAAGGGTTTTATCAGCGCCCTAGGAAGCTGTATGGACAATGTTCCTGTCCCGCATAGCTTGGAGGTTTCCCTTGCTAATTCTGCGATTGTGATGTCCTCACCTCCAACATAATATATATGTCCGTGTGCCCCTGCTGATATGGCATTTGCAATAGTGCGTGCTGCGTCGTCCCGGTGCAGAATTGAGAGCCCACCAGGGGTGATGAAACTAAGGCGTCTATGAATGTACTCCATGACATTTCCCGCTGTCACCAGACGATCATCGTTCGGGCCGTATGTCTCTGCCAGACGTAGAATGACAAGTCTGCGCACGATATCCGGGGATTGCTTTAATAGAAAGGCTTCAGTATCACGCTTAGCAGAAGCGTAGTTCAGGAGCACGGGCACAGGCTTTTCAGACAGTGTTCTTCTCGCTGGGCCTGCTGCAGCGGATGAAATGTAGATGAAGTTGACTTGCTTGGCAGTGCGGGCCAGTGCAGAGATCAGCGTTTTAGTATATGCAAAGCTACTATCGTATGCATTAACACGAGCAAGGTCGCTCCATGCTGAGACTGCTGCTAAGTGGACCACCGTGTCAAATTGTAAGTTTCTGATTGCCTGCTCTACAGTCACGGGGTCATCAAAGTTGCACTCACAAAGGTTGTGTTTGACCTGACTAGAAGAAAAGAGTTTGAGGAGGCCTTTTGTATCACTGGTTTTGCGATGCGTACAGATTAAAGAGGCGCCGCGCTTAATTAACTCTGAGGCCAGAGCCAGGCCGATGAAGCCTGTTGCCCCTGTAAGCAAAATGGTGCTGCTGTTAGTGAGTGCCCATCCCTCACAAGACATGTATGCCCGGCACAGCAGAGACTATAAAAAATCTCATGCTTTTCTTCAGAGATGGATGCTGTACCACTGTAGAAGGGACTACTGCAGACGTCCTAACTACTGCGCCCCGGGGTGCATACACCCGCTTTTGTACCGTCCATCGAGACCGGATCCTGTATCTGGCCGAGCATGTTACACGACTCCGCAAGTCCCTTTTGGGTATGTTAGATGATCGCTATGTGGAACTGTATCATCTCTCCATACCCAACATGAGTAAGCACAGACAAGAGGCGGAGGACAAATTCACTGAGGCTTTTTTGGCTGAGTATATGATAAAGGCTGCTGACTGTATGTTGAAGCAGATTCCGACCGGTGACATACGTGTAGATGTGCACCTATCTGCATACGAACCTGGATTCCCCATGTTTGCGCTGGGCACTCCCGTTCCTAATCAAGATGAGACCAAAGACACAGTTATTCTGGAGAGAGGAGAGCGAAGAACACCTACCATAAAGGATACACAGTGGATTAAGGAGCGCAAACCACTGGAAAGCTTTCTCGGAGACACCGTGGAAGAAGTTGTTCTAATGGATGATGAAGGCTATCTTTATGAAGGAATATCATCTAACTTCTTCGTGTTGTTGCGGAGGGACGACGGAGCACTAGTCCTTCAGACGGCAGAAGACGAGTATGTTCTTCGGGGCACAATTCGATCTATGGTCTTATCCACTGCCAAGGACCTGAATGTTTTGGTCGAGATGTCTCGTCCCAGAATAGCAGACATAAACAAGTGGATAGGGGTCTTCATCACTAGTACTACGCGTAGAGTGAAGCCTATTTCTCGCGTCTTCCTCGACGGAACCACTTACGACTTTTCTACAGACGAGCCTTCCCGTTTTAAAGATGCAATAAGACAATCCGAACTTAGTCATGGATCTCTGATAGCAACTGAATAGACCTAACCGTGTGGCTTTTACTTCTACGACGAAGTCCAGGCCAAAATCGCTGAATCTAGGCCTGCCCCCCGCATATTGCAACACTAGCGCTGGCACCAATTCTATCTGCTCCTGAACACACCATTTCCTGTGCCGCTTCTGCGCTGCGGATGCCTCCAGCCGCCTTGACCTTCATCTTGTCTCCAGCAACCAACCTCATAATGCGTACATGTTCGGCCTTGGCCCCTCCAGCCTTGTGCATACCCGTTGACGTCTTGATGAAGTCGGCTCCAGCAGCTAGTGAAAGAAGAGATGAATCAATGATAAGGTCATCGGTTTCAAGACAGGTACACTCTAGGATCACTTTCAGAGTAGCAGGCTTGCTCCCATAATGGCAAACACTTGCAACCGCTTTGATGTCCTCATAAACCTCTTTGTACATGCCAGCCTTCAGCCATCCACAGTTGATCACCATATCTATTTCCTGGACACCGAGCTGGACGAGCTCCCTCGTTTCTGATATCTTGGCTGCAGTCGTCATGCATCCTAAAGGAAATCCTATCACACAGCACGTCTTGACTTCAGATCCAGCAAGTTTCTTTGTAATCTGTCTGGCGTAGCAGCCATTCACGCAAACGGCAGTAAACCCAAATCGGACTGCTTCATCACAGAGCTTGTCAATGTCAGCAGGGCGTGCATCCAGGTTTAAATTAGTGTGATCAATGTATTTGGCCAGATCGCTTGCACAGCTTCGTGGAAGGGCCCCAGGGTTAACGCTGGGACGAACGGGGACTCCAAGCAGGTCCTCCAGATGGCGAGCGCGCTCCTCGATGAGACCAACAAGTGACTCCATTAATTGGCTTTTATTTATTATAAAACCCTTTAGCAATGATACAGAACCTTACCTACTTCTTTTCGGGCGGTGGCGCTATTCCCAAAGCATCGCAGAGCTCATTGCGTGCACCATTTATTTCTGTTGTTGTTAGAACAGGCCAATCGTAAGATGTCAAGATCTCCACTGCTCGCTTCACAGTTGCATCATTCGGGGGAGATGTAATAAGTAACAGCTCAAGAATTCCGTCACACGCTGTGTCCCGTAGCCTGCTAATCTTGTGCCCAAGGAAAAGAACAAGCCCCTTGATGGCTCGCTCATATGTTTTTATGTATCCACTCCGCTTCGCCACGATTCCGGCACCAGCAAAGCAAGCCACCACTACCTGAAGTATCTGAATTCTCGATATCCCCTTGCCTAAAGTTATGAGGTTGCCTAGGAGTTCGAAGAGCTTTGAGTCGCTCTCTATAGCTACATGACTAATCAGAAGGAAGTTTAGCAGCTTAATTGAAGCATCGGTTACATTAATAGAATATGAATCTGTCAGATTGGAACGTTGTACAGTCTTAGTAATCATATCGTAAAGAGCCATCTTAGCTATCTCACCCAAGGACAGAAGCCTTAGCTTAAGATCGTCAGGCATGCGAATTCGGTTTGACGTGGAGCCTGTGAGCAGAATCTTCTTCTTTGACTTGTCGAATATTTCAGAAAGAAAGTTAACAAGATACGTGGATGTCGTCTCTGACATGACGCCGAAGGAATAGGAGAATGCTGCTGCTGCCATGCCCGTATAGCTCTCATGGCCCATAAAAAGAACAACCAGAACATTAAGTGCGGTATGAGCCAATCTTGGCACGAGGGTCAACAAATTGACGGTAGAATCATCATCTAAGGGGTCATCATCGCGAGACTCGCGTTTGTGTAAGTCGTACAAATAGTTGTTGGAATCTATCTCTTCCCGCTCTTGCCGATCTCGACGAGCTTGCTCCTTCATCTGGGACACGATCTTCTTTTCTGCAATGTAGTCCTGCATGTACCACTCCAGGTGATCCAGATTGATGCCAGGGACGAAGATAATCCTATCTTTACAATCTTCATAGAAAGAGATGAGAGAGTCAATCCTCATTATATCAATTCTGCTGCCAAGAAATTCTATAACTGCGCAAATATAGGTATCGCTAAGAAATGCGGTGACACAACCGTTTTTACGCAACACGCTACGCAAGATCCGGAAGCCCTTTAGCCGTACCAGACTCCCTACGTCTCCTCGTTGACTAGAACTGTAATCGTGAAGGCATACATTGAAAATCTTCAAGAAGGATTGCTTCTGTGCATCAGTAATATTGTCAAGAGCCAACAGGGTGCTTTCAACGGTGGAAAGGATATACAGGCGTAGAACATAGCCAGAGGGAGAAATCCCCTTATCCAACTCCGTTAATATTGCACTCAAAATGTAGCTGACTTCTTCGCGTCGAAAAGAGGCCGGAAGAAGCCCTAAACCGGTCAGATATGCGAGCTGAGATCTAAAGTCTGTGTTTTCCAGACAATCTTTGAAAAACTCATTTGAAAGAGGAGATACCGTGTTTGCTGTATCCCGCATAACATGTGCAGAAGTAGTTCTTTCGGCTGTGACCCGCATAGACGCCGTATAATAGTCTGCCAGAGCACGTAGCGCCAGAATAACGTCATTCGTGTTAGACGTATCAAACATGGCAATTGACATGCTATCTATGGTAGAGGTTATAGAATGCTCTAAAACGGATAGCAAATAGAGCAAGTATACGGAATATATGTGCTTATTTAGGATAGTTCCGCCTGTGAGATTCGGATTTGTACTTGCAAAAGCCTTGATCAAGAGAGCGGTAGCACTTATGATACTAGTATTTGCATCGGCGTTGTCCCTAAAGCGCTTTCCCCTTGCAAACAATTCGGATTGCATAGTCGACAATTGAAGAATTAAGTTATTAGCTTCTGAAGCACGAGAATCTTCAGAATCAGCCAGGAGAGTGAGACTGTTTGCAATACCAAGAATAAAACCACAGTATGAGACCCAGTCATCTTCGCAGGAGGTGTCTTTAAGACAGTCCACTAAAAAGCCGATGATCCTGAGGGCGCAACCGCACCTATCCTCTGCCCCACCTAGAGCCTGTATTAGCAGGGGTAGAGCGCGTGCAGCATAATCTCGAATAGCATCATCCCAATGGACAAGATATCTATCACAGATGGCTCCGACAAAATTTTCTGCATAAGACTTATCCAAGGCAGCTAATCGAGGGGCAATCTCCATGTAGCTGATCTTTCGGGCGCCCAAAGAAAAGTAGTCGACCAGCGCTGAAGATAGTACAGCCGAAGGGACGTATGGATCACCAACACGGCCCGCAAGCTCCTGAAAGGCAGCAGCAGCTGAGCGGCGGAGGTTAATTTCTCTGTCAAAGCAGGTAACCACAAGCAGCTCCGAGGCTAGTTCCGAGCAGACGTCACGCAGCTGCACAGAGGAGGAGTAGACCCGTGCCAGTGCCCAAGAGACAAAGCATGCAGAGTCCTTCACAATGGACCATGCCCCCTTTTTGCGCTCAAATCGAAGAGACTTTTTCGTCACATCAAAAACCTCTGGTATTCTGCTGGGGGGTAAATAGCCGTGTCTTATAAGCTCTCCTAAGGCCATATTTGCCCCATGCCACGTTTCTGGTGTCTCTGCCGGTGAAAAGTAGGATAGTATCTCGACAATAACTTCGTCAGCAAATAGAAAAGGGAGCCGACCCACAACAAGAGCAAGGCCTCGGGCAGAAGATAGACGGATGCCGGTGTCATCATCTGAAATACCGACCAGGAGGGAGTCTATGAAGTAGTCAAAAGACGGAGGGACATAGAAGCCCTCCAGCTCGAGCAACTTCTCATGGTGTAAAAGAATTCCTTCTGCTTCAGCATCTAGGAGTTGTTTGCGCCATCTAAAAGGCTGAGTTGGAAGATACATTGATGCTAATCTAGTCGATAGCACAATGCACAATCTTCTAATCTCTCTGCTATCATCCTTGAGTAATATGGACAGAGTATGCTCCGGTGTCTTTATAATGCTATCTCCAAGCAGCCTAATGTGGTCACGCTCAGAAAATCGTACTATGTAGCTCAGGGTGATCAAGTATGCAGGAGTTCGATTGACAGTTGTGTCCCTTCCCCGCCTAAGGATAGGCGCAACGCAATCTTTGTTTCGGACAATTTCAGCAGTGTATTCTCTTAGCTGCACATTGAACTCCTCTAGAATAGAGGGGAGCAGAGTGTCTCTGAGATCCGGGCGCGTAACAAAGCGTGCCAGCATTTCGGCCGCAATAATGTATTCCTTGCCCATGGATTCAAATGCTTGCTTAGCGAGTGTGACGACGGTGTCTGGTAAGGTACCGCTACTGTCTACAAGATGGATATCAAATGGTACTCCAACCAGGATGGAAAGAGATGCAAAGAGCACAGACACAACTTGCTGTTTTGCATTAGAAGAAACATCCTTCTCATCGTAAACATCGTTGAACGATGGGATAGTGATTTCAGAAGGGTCTGTTTCTGGATTATTCTTGTCGAGACTGGCGATAGAAAGCTTTTTAGCATCCCAGCCATACCAGCGGGAGAGTAAGTGGATGCAGGGCTCCAGGTGCGTGACACTGTTAGGGAAGTAGCGTCCTACGGCAGAAAGCTGTCTCACTTCTATCAATAGATATAGCATAGTGTAGAGCCATGGCTGCGATATCGCTCCCTTTTCAATATCCTTCTGCAAGTGTGCGACTAGAGGCTCTGCCAGTTGGGCGAGGTGGGTGTCCAGGAGGTGAGGAGACTCAAGATATTCCCTGAGTTGTACGCCATACCGCAGAGCTAGCTGATAGCCAAACTTCTCAACTGTCTCCTTAAGCGCTCGCTCAGTGAGAGAGATCAGATCCGCTATGATATCTGTTGAAGGCATGGACTCTGCAGAATAAACAAACTCAATATTTCATTTCACCATGTCATATTAAAATGAGTGACATCATGTGACGGCAAGGAATCAAAAACAGATGGCTCGGCTTGTGGAGATGCTCATGGACATTCCCCCGGTTTCTCGTGTTGCGGCAATTACGGCTGCATTCCTCTCTCTGGGCACAACGCTTCGCATTATGAATCCGTTTCTTTTTAACCTATCGTGGCCTGCGATTATTTACAGGGGCCAGCTGTGGCGCCTGGTCACGTCCTTCCTCTACTTTGGAGACTTCAGTATAGGAGTCATCTTCACCACCGTTCAGAACATCTCCTACTTGAGGTCCCTTGAAAAGGAGACGTTTGCTGGCCGGCCAACAGAGTTCTTGCTCTTCTTGTTCTTTCTTTGGGCGTCTATACTTCTCATCAGTTTTATCTATTCTATGTTTTACGTCACAACCCCATTCTTCACAGGGGTCATGTATCTCTGGGGGCGGACGAATCCCGACAAGCTAATTAGTTTTTACGGGATCATCACCCTCCAGGCCTGTTACCTGCCCATAGTGTTCATAGTCATAACGCTCTGGCAGAAGCAGAGCATTATCCCGCTCCTAATTGGTGTGGGCCTCGGGCACGTCTTCTACTTCCTCTACGACATTTGTCCGCGTGTGTATGGCACGTCTCCGATTCAGAAAGTAGCTCAGCGAATTGAAAGACTCTTTAGGCGTTGAACAGATTTGATCAATCTGTAAATTGATTGATAGAATTAATAGAATCAATAAAGATTGATTTAAAAAAATCTATTAATTCTAATTGATGACCAAGAAAATAAAAATGTTTTCGTACTATCCTAGGCCTAGCTACTGGCAAGGTGAATTCAACTGCATGCCCTCTCGTGCTCGCTATGTGCCCACTGCAAGGACAAGATCCCCACCTCGCTCAGCAACATCTCTACCGAGATCCACGCGGGATTTACATGCTTCCAGAACTGCAACGTTTAATCCAACAGTATTCAAAACATACAATCCCGAGGCTCGAGCAAGCTTCACCAGCAAAGAGGTAGTGACACTCACAGGGCCTGCCCCAAGATACATTGATGGCCATGCGATATACTGCCTCGAAAGCGTGCAGGATCCTCATGTACGAGTCGTGAAGGGAACAAAAGTGCAAGCATTTGATGCCGGCAAAGTCGTACTGGAGTTTCAGCTCCCATATGGTGTTTCCGCTACAGATATTAATGTTTTGTTCGCAGAGAATAAGCTGAACATCCAGGTACCGCACTGTTTATCAGCAACTCAAGAGTGCCATATAGTAGATGTTGTTGACGGTCTTCTGGGTGATGAATACGATGAATATGGTCATTATGAAAGCCTACAGGCCGAGATAAACAAAGAGGAGCAATTAGAGAGGCAGAAACGACAAGAAGAGGAAGAAAGGCGGCGATATAGGATGCTAATGGAAAGGGAGCGAAGGAGAGCTGAGGAGCAAGCATATACACAGTACAGGCCCAGAAAGTCTGATATTTTTGAACCAAGCGGATATTTCTTTCCATTTTCTAACCAGTCTAACTTTTCCCGGTTATTCTTTATGTAAACCTAACACATGTACTTGGTACTTGAGTCGCCAATGATAATAATGGAATAGCCAACTAGATATCTGAGGCTGCTTTCTGCAATGGCATCTGCAAGACACGAATAAAGCCCCTTTTCTCCCTTAGTCCACTGCTTCATAAAATGTGCAGTGATATTGTCCAGCTCGCCAGAAATACCGTCCCAAAGGGTGCCGAGCATCAGTGGAGAAGAAGAATAGTATTGATATGTTCCGACTTCATATCGATGTCCAATAGGGATGTGGCTCAGAGAAGAGCATCCCATGAAGAGGCAAAATGGCAGCTGCTGAAGCTCTGCGATTGAGTTTAACGGAAGAACTGCTTCCCCGCATCCATGACCAGCAAAGAAGAACACGCCGTCCGCTGTCTCTTTTAAGAGGGCTAGAGGTTGTCTAGAATCTGCTGACCCGCCCTCTACTTTCCCCAACAGGCCATCCCAATTACCAGGCAATTCTAACATTAAGCCTTTCATACGCTCCCGGGTGCGCCTTAGATCTCCTAGTGGATCGATCAAAAAGCGTCGCTGCGGACCGATCCTCGTTTCTGCACCGGCATGGATTCGTGACACCATCGTCTCGGGGGCAAAGAGAGGACTATGATCGAAAGGAAACCTATAAAATGCGCTGTCTGTATTAAGAACAACTTTAGATACTGCCATTTTCACAGATGCTTGGCTTAATTTCCGTAAAATATAAGCAATCTTCACGCAACTAAGAAAATATCTAGAAGCATCACCAGCAAAAAGGACCGTGCTTAGCTCCTGCGCTGCTTCTGGGGACATGAGAAGAGTAGAAAATTGTCGACACCCAGAGGCAATCACACTGTCGAGTGTCTGCCTGGCACCCAATACAGCTGGTGTTTGTGCTATGCTATCATAGACTTGTGAAAAAGGTAGAGAGAACAACACCAAGTGCAAGGAGTGGAGTGCAGCAATTGCATTAGTAGAGTCCTTTAACTGCATTGTAAGATAAGAGCACGCCAAATTAGCTGATGGAAGAGCAAAAGTAGATAGGTCGCTAAGAATGCCTACAATAAGGGTCAGGCTAACAATAATTAGCTCCAGATCTGAGTTTCCTCCACGGGAAATGCCCATTAGCCCCAGGATAGTTAGTGAAAACGCTGATTCTTTGCCTACACTGGCAGTTACGGAAGACAGGCTCTTCAAAGGCTCAATGGCCAGAGACATCACCTCCATAAGTAGTCGGTAAATCTCCAAGATGTCCGATTGAATACACTCATATTCACAAACCGATTCTCCTCTAAGAGTGTCCCTAAGGAGGTGAGTACATATGTCTAAGTTATATTTGGGGTCTAGAAGTCCTTTCCATGCACCAATGAAAGCAGGGAGTAACTGAGTAGCGCACTTTTGCATCTCTGCATTGGCGATTATAAGTGTTTTGGCCCATTGGGCTTTGTCCGATTCAGTAGGCTTTGAAGTCTCCAAAGTAGACAATGCAGCTGCGTGGCTGAAGAACAGTGCTCGCAGTATGTTGCCATGTAGATGCGCAAGGGTTCCTAGCCAGGAAAAGCTACCTTGGCTTGTGGAGCTAACAGCTGCTGCTAATAAGGTTGTATAGCTGGAGAGGGCGTCCACACCACAAAGCCTGGAAAGAATCGTCATTGCTGTGCGAATATCTAGAGATCCATAGAGCTTAACCGAAAAGCCTTTCAAGTTGATAGCTGCTGATAGAGAACATCCCTGCTCCGAGGCTTGGCTCAACGCAGCGTTATGAGAAAGCGATGACAAACATTGACCACTCGGTTCCTCAAGAGCATGAGACTGAGCAGTCATAGAGCGACTAAAGACATCGCAAAGAGAAACAATACGGACATAATGGCAATCTGCAGATGTAACCTTATAACTAGCAATGTCTGATGCACACCGAGGACAGAGTGTGTAATTATACGATGCGCGAGCAAGCGACTTGTGTAACGATAATCCGGGTGTGACAGAATGAAACGGACACTGCACGTCATAAGATGGTGATACTATTAAAGTTGCAGCTCTCTCTGAATTAGAAACAGCCCAATCAATTAGCTGATAAACCCCAGCAGTCAGGCCTGGCTGCACCAAGAGATTTCGCGACAGCTCCTCGTGCTCTGTCTTGTAAATAGACGCCTTGATCAAGGCTATTCTATTCAGAAGAACAGGGGTTATATCTTGTAAAATCGGCTGGCAAGCCAGTTCCAACGACTTGAGCAAGCCTACAACGAACTCTGTTGAGCTCCCACTGGGAGATGAGAAGAGGCTATACTGTAGTTCGGTCGTCACAGATATATCTGTAAAGTTACCTACAAGCAGCTCCAGGAAGGGGCGCAGAATGCCCGTTAGAGCCAACCGGTCCTCGTGATTGAGTGGAAAGGTAAAGTATCCATACAGCTTTCCAGAATCGCAGCAGAGCACCTCACAAATAAGGAGTATTGCATAAGTAAATGTGAAGATGTCTGGCCGTTGTAGCAAAGCAGAGATCTGGGAGCTAAAGGCTCTCAAACCGGACTTGACGTTCATAAGCTGCTTAAGAGTGCGTGACCCAAAGAGCAGAGCGCTCCAGTTTTGCGGCGTATATATAACTGCCTCAGTCGCAGAAATGAGAGCAGACTCTGCGCGTAGGTACGCCAGCGACGAATAAATGTCCGAAGTGCACAACACAGTGTCGCCAACGGATAAATCCTCCAATGCAAGATCATCGTGATGCATGGAAGGGGGCACCTGCTTAACAACTTTCGTGCCGTGTTGTCCAAAATCTGTCTCGAGCATGCGACAACGTGTTAGTTCATCAGAGACCATCGAGAAGAAGTCAAGGCATGTCAACTGGAGAGTGTCGTGGTACTTTCGTGAGTAGAAATAGACCATGATAAATTGGTCTAGAATGATGTATCCGTACATAAGCAATAGGTAGAGCTGGGAAGTAAGCCTTGCCTTTGATATGTAGGACATGAGCGGAGACCTTTCGATGATAGCTTTCACAGAGAGAACCGGAAGGTCGTTGAGATGCAACGCCTGTGCTTGCCCCATTGATAAAGAAACGGCTTTTAAGAGGAACTGTACTGCAAAGCAGCGATGAAAGAAGAGCGCATGCATGCCATAGATAATGTTTTTCAGGTGATTTGTATTAACATACCCCTGCGTAACAAGCCTCTTTGAAAAGGCGTCGTAAACACCTCGAACAAATTTAGTCAAATTAGTAAACGAATGCTCTCTGCTAAATATTTCACACAATCTCGTAATGTCTAACTCAGACAGCTCAATAAAGAGAGGTATAGTCTTGCAGTATGGACCCAATATCCCCAATGCAAAGGGATACGTATGAAGGCTCCCATATACAAAGGAAAGTACCGAGCTATAGAATGACGCACTGGACAAAGCGGTTAAGACGGTGGTACGTAGCGTTTCTGTAGCATGCTGGTCACTAGACAACAGTGGCATAAGTATTTGTAAGAACACATCCAATTCTACGGAAAAACGAGAAGCAATCCGCGTGCACGAGCCACTCATTGACGGAGTTTTTAGGTTGGCTTTCTGGGGGTCTCCCTCAAAAAGCTGTATGATTTGGGGACAGAGACAGTAATTGGCAGCCTCTGCGGTGACAAGAAGTAGAGTTTCTGCCATGTAGAATGTAATCATGACTCCCTCTACAAGAAGTGGCAACTTGGCTGCGTTCTGCGCCAGAGCTGATAGCTTGTCCGAAAGTAAGTTGTACAGCACATTTAACTGTTTCACCGAAGAAACCCTGTCTCCAAACACAAATGTGTACTCTAGGATGTGGAGATATGGCTGCAAAAACATAATTATGGGATTGTTTTCGCGTAGCATTGTACAAATCAGTGACAGACTGATCAGATCACCATCAAAAAGCTGCCGAACACTTTGTGTGTACGCCTTTGTGGTTTTCTTGAGAAGACCAGTGGTAGCAATCCGGGTTTGATCAAAGTTAGGTATCAAATTTGTTTCATCTAAATAAATTCCCTTTGTGTATAAAAAGTACGTTAAATAATATTGAAAAGATTGCCACGGATTGGATTTTTTTGATTTAAGAAAGTCAATCTTGTAGTGTACTCTGGTACAGCACTGTTTGAATAGAGGCAGTAGCTCGTGCATAAACCTGTCACCTTCTGAATCAGCAGTGGTTGTTGTTGACGAGGATGACTCGCTCAGCTCAATGGAGTACTTGTGTTTGATAGACAGGAAAAAGGGAGTGGGAACGAGGAACGAGAGATAGGTTCCGTTGATATCTAAGAGCGTCTGAGTGTTTGGATCAAATGTAAACATAAATGAAACTACAAGGTGGTAAGCAAAAACCTTCAGTAGCTCTTTGCAGTCGGGTATATAGGGTGTCCCCATAGCAACGGTTACTAACACTGGCTGAAGCTCCTTAGCGGAAAAGGAACCCAGTAATTCAGTGCACACTGCCGTGATTCGACTATAACACGTCTCTAGGGGAGATGCTGACGGTCTTCTAGATCCTGCCTCAACGTCCTCTGCAGCAGAGCTTGGTTGGGCATGTAAACTTGAGTACTGGATTATGTACGAAATGATAGTTTGCAGTGGGCGTGTGGACAGCTTCTTCAAAAGAAGGAATGTCTGGGCAAGTATCTCCAAAAGGCCTATCAGTACCTCTAATTCATAAAATTTGGCAATGGGCTGCTTCAAGCTGGTAATGTGACGCATCATGGTCAGCGAGATGTTTTTGACCGTATGCACCGTGCTCCCAGCAAGATTCCCTTGCGCAGCATTTGCCAAAAGAGCTCCCAATAAAGACGTCAGCGTGGATGACAGAGAATAAAGCTCATCTGAAGACATAGGCAGTGAGGCTACATTTATGTGCGTCAGTATCCGCATCAGCACGCCATCTAATTCTTTTGAATCATCACTTATGCAGCAGGCCAAGGCGTTAATAAGCTCTGTCAATGACATTTGATTTAAGTGATGAAATGCTTGGCAATGCCTAGTCTTTTACTTTTGTCTTCAGCTCCTGCTCACCACAGAGCCGAGGGTCACAGTAGTCCGAAGCTTCTGCAAAGAAGTATTGATGCTCGGCCAGATAGTCCAATAGGAGGAGAAAGCGACTCAGAAGGTAGTTGATGTCAGTGTTCATTTCCTTCAATCTGTCTGGAAACTGTATTAGAACACGAAGCAGGTGATCTGCACCAAAGATAGTCAGCACAGATGCGTCATTTGACGACTGGAATTGTTTCAAAGACTGTGTGTCCATGCAAAAGTAGAGGAGGGGCTCCTCGTTTTCATAAAATAGAGACCCATTTGCGTACATCGCTGCGAACTGCTTCAAGACTATTGACTCAAAAAGGCTCCGGAAGAAAAGCTTGGATGGCTCTATGGCAGAGTTGTCTAGAGGATCGGTCCGAAATAGGTCCAATATGGAAAGTATGCTGTGGCGTGCTGGAAGCTTGAGAACCCTCTTCTTCTGACACATGTACTCGCTGAAGATCAAGCGCCGAAGAAGATCTGTTGGCATGAGCTCGGCCCCGTTGCATTCGGGATTGATATGGCAATACTCCAATCTGTTAAGCTTTGCTGTGCGCTGTATCAACACGTGAGATACTTCTAGTGGAAGAATTACGCTCGTCTTGTTATTGCAATCCAAATCTGAGGCTGTCCCGTTCCCCATAACCTGGTTACTCTTGGCGACAGAGTCTCCTGGATGCACCATGGTTGTCCAAGTCTCGCGCCGAATGCTCTCATAGGAAAAAGACGATTGACCCATGGCAGTGCGACTGTACGGTAGGGTGGTTGGCTTGATGAAGAATACATTGACGGCCTGATCGGGGCTCAGCGCAGAGTAGTCTATCTCTCCTTGAAGAGGCATGGTGTTGCGCTCTTCCTGGCTTAGCTTTCTGAATACCGATGCAGGGATAGTCTCTCCTTTAAAGTAGACAAGCGTCTTTCCATTGGTCTGGTATTCAACCGATTTTAGTACGCGTGCCACAAACTTCCTGGACATCTTGCTGTACATCACTGGGTGTGCCAAAAGAAATTCTATCCTGAACTCATTGAGCTCTCCAGAGTGAACGTCGAAGAGCCGATCGTAGCCAAACCAGCGAACTGAAATAGATTGCTTACTATCTATTTCTTCTATTACAATATGGTAGTAAATCTTCCCCCGCTGGAGAATTGCATGATCACCAACGTTCATTAGAATTTTTTAAGGAGACTGGTTGCTGTGCGAAGATGGCACGGTTTACTGCTGGGTCTAGGGCTTGAACTCGGCGTCCATGGACGTCACGGCGATGATGAAGTACTTGCCTTCGGGGATACAAATAATTTCACGCTTGTCAGACCTGATACGGACGTAATTAAGCTCGTTTGTGGGGTCTATGTCGCGTATAGCAGATCGAGACAATACAGTATAGGATGAGACAAGTTTCACGTATCTGGCAGTCATTTCGTCATCGAATGTGCTCCGGATAACTGTGCCGTCGTCCATGAGGACCAGAAGACCCTGCACACCCGGATGGGTGCTAATTCTCTTTATTGTAGCCTCTACGTCATTCTGTGTGTTAGGTTATGCGGGAGATAACATACCATAGCGTTTTAGACTTTCGCAAAACCATGATTTATGTCAAATGGCTGTGGAATAGTGGGACGATACTAAAGACATAAATTCTTGGAAAATCGATTGAGCAGGCCATGTCTGCCGCCACCCTTGTCAATACGCTTCAATACAACGTTCCCTTGCAATTTTCAAGTAATGGGAAGGTTGTCACAGGAGTCGTCAGGCGGTATTCTGGCGAAGACCTGCAGAAGAATGCTGACCTTCATGCAGCTTTTGTCTCCCTCTACACACACATTCTCCCCGATGTCGATCGAGACGAATGCAAGCGTGATCTGCTGGGACCCAACACTATCCATATTGGGGTGTTTCGTTCGGACCAGGAAGTCCGAGGTGACTGGCAGACCAAGCCGATTAGAATCCTTAAGCACTATAAAAGGTATCACGCAGACCCTCTCGGGGAAGATATTGAGATATTGCCCGGAACAGACTCCGCTGTAGAAGAGGCTGCGGACACCTACAAGCCCCGATCAGTGGACTCATCATTCTCTGGGCCAACTGATGATGACGAACCCACAGGGGAAAGACTCATTAGTCGTATCATGGAATATGTCAAGGCCCCGAAACAGCGAAAGGAAGTGGGGAGGTTTATAAAGGCCAAGCTTCCTCGCCTTCATGCCCAACTTAAGACAGGAGAGTTGCGTGAATCAGATTTAGATGCAACCAAGCGAAAGATACGCCATAAAGATAGGATTCTTGGGGGTGCAAGCATCTTAATCCGAGATAACCCTGAGGGGATTACTGAACCATGCCGTCTATGCCAATTGATTTACATTGGCGTTCGAACTCGATTTCAGCTTCTCAAATTAGGTAGGAAGCTCTGCGCTACCACTATTTATACAGAAGCCGTGGAGGAATTCCATTCAGATGTGTATTTTACCTATGCTGGGAGCAACGCAATTCGCTTCTTCAAACGATGTGGACTAGACGACGATCCCATGATTGCAGGCAGGTATGCACACTTGGACAATGAATGGACAGATGTGTTGCCGATGGCCAGGCTTCTCAAGATCCCGGCCCACATGGAGCAGATCCTATCGTCTAAAGATAACAAGGGCACAAGCAGAGCCGCGCTTTATACTATGTGGCGTGATGCTGCTTTTCGTAGATACGCAGAGGAGTCCCACTTCGTTAGTCACTGTGTTGCTGAGATGGACCGGATGCAACAGAGACTCGCAAGTTTGGAGAAGGCAGAGAAGTTGTACAATGCCGTACTTACACAGGAGCGCAGCCGATGCATAATGTATGAGCAGATAATAGCAAAGTTGGAGTCTCAGCTCCTTGACGCAGGGATCAAGCCAAATATAGACAGGGACGAAGTGCTCAAAAAGGTAATAGAACAGATTGCAGCGGCAAATACTTTAGATGAGCACGATGCTGAACATAAAAAAGCATAGATGTAGATCACAGTAGATATGTACCGCACAGCTTCGTTTCTCACTAATTCCTACAACTTGATATTAATTAAGTCCTGTTGCTGCATACTCACCGCACTATGATAGCACCACCTACGTATTCATACACCGAATGGTACATAGAGCGCTTTAGAACTCTCCTGGCTGCTCGCTTTCTCAAACCCAAGGATATCGTCTACCTTTCTGTTCTGGGAACATTAGGGTACCTGTTTGCTTCACAACTAATTAAGGAATTGCGGAGCTTGTTGGTCTTCAGCTTAGGGTCGCGACTCCTGACCAAAGAGTAAATTTAATTCTTGCTTCTCACTTTGGCCCTATGGGGAGGTCGACCATTCAGGTGCATGCCCGCGTACGACCTCCTGGGGCCAACCCTGCTATGAAGGTAACAGGGAACGTTAAAGAAAACTACTCTATCGACCACGTTGATAACCGTCTCGGGTTGGTTGTCAATAATTCAGGCGTGGGGCGGAAGGATCATACATTTACGTTTGATCACATATATGACCCTCAGAGTACGCAGGAGGAGGTTTACAATAGGCTAGCGCAACCCGTGATCACAGATTTCATCAATGGCTTCAATTGTACCATTTTTGCATATGGACAGACCGGTTCTGGTAAGTCCTACACTATGACGGGCGGGTCTGGTTCATACAACGACCGCGGATTGATGCCCCGCGCCCTCGAGCAAGTCTTTGGCTTTGTGGCTAACTCCACTGAGACACGCGAGTACGAAGTTTGGCTTAGTTATATACAGATCTTCAATGAAATAGGCTATGATTTGTTAGGCATTCCAGGTGAGAACAACCCACGTCTCGAAGACCTTCCTAGAGTTACCCTTCAAGAGGACTCTGAGGGGGCTCTGCACGTGAGAGGGCTGTCTGCGCATAAAGCCACCAATGTGGAGGGCGCGCTGAACGTTCTTTGGAATGGTGACCTCAATAGGGTTGTCTGTGCCACTTCTCAAAACCAGGCATCTTCTCGATCTCATTGCATATTCACAATACATATTAGATCTAGAGAACCGGGATCAGATGTTGTTCGTCAGAGTAAGTTTAACTTCGTCGATCTGGCCGGTAGTGAGCGTGTAGCAAAGACCCACGCCGATGGCGCTATCTTGCAGCAGGCCCGATATATTAACCAAAGTCTTTTCTATCTGGAGCAGGTCATTCATGCCCTTGGCAAAAAGAAGACCGATCCAGATTGCCACGTGCCATATCGTAACTCCATGATGACCATGTTCCTTAGAGACTCCATTGGTGGGAATTGTCGCACAATCATGCTTGCTACTATTGCTGTCGAGACGCAAAATATGAATGAGTCCGTCTCAACCGCACAATTTGCTATGAGTGTTGGACAAATAGAAAACAAAGCTAGCATAAATGAAGACATTGATCCCAAATTACTGATTAAGCGTCTAAAAGCAGAAAACAAGGCGCTCAAGGAAGAGCTAAAGTTACTAAAGGAGGGTAGCTCTGCAAATGCAGCCAGGATTCTCAGTGACGATGACATGGAGTATGTTCGGTCTCTTCTGGACATATTTATCGCTGACCACAGCATTCTGACTCTGGATGTTGGCTCATGGGTTCGTCTGCAGTATGCTCTGCGCTTGATGAGAGATCGCCTTGCAGAGGGCGTTGGTCCAACTCCGGCAAAAGCTGATGAGACAGAGATAAATAAGCTGCGTCTTCTATTGCAGCAGCGAGACGCAGAGGTAGAAGTCCTCACGAATATGATTGGAGGGGATCAGCCCCGGCCTCAGGTTACGGCTTCTAATGGACCGATGTACACGTATGACAACCTTGAGAATGACTACAGCATTAACGTCCCTTCGCATCAAACAGAGCTTCAGTACGGCCCCACTGAATCAGGGTCACCTCACAGTTCTGCCTCTACTTTGCCAGACATGCCTGTAGCCGGTTTCCCGGTAAACAAGCAGTTGGGTGGTAACAGTGCCGAGCGGACCGCTCTAGCACGAACCCGAGGCTCCTCACAAGATCAGCAACAACAAGTGCTCCGTACAGATCTCCTGAGCGATCCTCTTAAGTACGCCTCCATAGATGTTTCCCTTCTGTCAGCTAAAGACTTGCAAGATGAAAAAGGTATCTTCAAGGCATTCTTGGAGTCGTATTACAACAAAGATACACTGAATCAGAATAAGGCAACCTTGTCTAAGATGTACAAAGAAGTTAAAGCGCTTGCAGAGGTAGTCACGAAATCTAAAGAGTTGGCTGACTCGCTCAAGCAGCAGATCTTCGTCATTGTTGAGCGATCCGGTACCGAAACTGAGGAGACGGATTTACTTAAAAAGAACCTTGCGCAAACGGCAGTAGAATATAAGACTGCCATTGAGCAGTTAAAGGTCTTGAAAGTCCAGGTGAATAGCTTAGAATCGAGTCTAGAGCAGAGCAAAAAGGACATCAAAATGCATTTTGTTTCTTGGTATAAGCAAGCTGCAACTGCTGTAGCCAGCAGAGAAAACCGTATGAAAGCATCTATTCAGGAGACCACAGCATCCAATACCCAGGATATAGACCAGGACATTGCAGAATTCTATCAGCTTTCTTCTCAGATCAAGGGCCTGAACTAAGAACTGCACTACTTAAACAGGTTTCCGCGTACCATCTTCAAATACTTGCTGTCTGGCCTTTTAAGAGGCGTAATAAAGTTTTCCAACTTCTTATGTATCTTTTTGGTGTCAACTGTACGATCTTTGTTAATGAGTCTGTCCCGTCGTGGCCTGGTGCTTGCCTTTTTTGCTTGCAGCCTCTTCAGTTGCTCCATGACTACCATGGGGTTGGATGCACTGCCAGATTGCATCACATCTTGGCAGAGAGTAACGAGAAAATCCGAGTCGCAGAAGCAACCTCGCCATATCTCTGGTGCGCGCTTCTCGCGGGTAGAGGTATCTTTCTTGCTAGGGGTTTGGTTCATTGCGTCTTCCCCTTCGAGCAGTGATATTGGCCTCTTTGGTGCCTTCTCGTGTTCAGGGAGACAATCAGAATACTCAGACTGGTTTGAATGCTCGTCATCATTTGTATCTTTATTGGGGAATGCGCTAACGGTTGTATATGGAGTTGGAACGCCCAACGGAATAATCCCTCTCAGATTTGTATGTATTCGTCGTGCATATCTCTCCATATCCTGCAATAAGTAGCTTATTTGTCCGCCTATTGATTGATTTATTACAACTAACTTGTCTGTCTGATCAATGGAGGAGAGCCCTCCGTGTATCGTTTCCAGAAAGGACGTCATTGTCGGTAGAAATTCATCGGACGGTGAGTCACCGAGGGTAGGCTCAAACCAGGGTCGATCCTCCAAGAGTTTCACTGTACTAGCTTCCATTTCTCTCACAGTGTTGTTTAATCCAATGATAACCTTTGACAGCTGAGAGGCCTTTTCACCTGTGCTTGCAATTGCTTCACTAAGCTCAGCATTGGCCTGAAATAATGGAAGAGACCCGCTGTCCGGCAGCAAAGACACCTGCTCAAGAATCTTTTCAAAATTAATTCTTAGTCCTACAAGCTCATTGAGAAGTGTATATTGCTTGTAAACTTCCTTTGCTTGGGCCAATTTCTGTTCCGACCCATCGTCTTCAAATAACTGCATTTATTTTTGAGTCGAGGATTTGCTTTGTTTTAGCAGTCTGTTCCCTTCAACTCACAAGAGGCAGGTACTGTTGTAGCTTCTCTTGTTGAGCAAATGTGCGGCAGCATGGCTTTTGTCAATGGTCTATACAGCTCAGCGGCAGAGCCACCCTCTCTGAGACGACCTGTATAAAGAGCGAGAGCAATAACAAAGCATCAGGATAGCGATCACTAGCCAAGTGTGGTAGAACACGTGATAGTTACAGGCATCACATACAAGAAGGCTGTGGGCACTATGGTGGAGGACAACACTCAATACTCCAGAGTTGGATGCCACAGCGCCCTAAGTACTGGTAGAGATGCGATCTGACAGTCGGCACTCTCCACTGGGCACGTACTGGATAGCCTTCTGAGATGAAAGTTGATGATAATCGAGATTGACTAGTGACCCCAAAAACAGAGCTTGTTCACCAGAAGAGTACAACGTCAGCAGAATCCTATCAGGATTTATGCTACACCACAGCCTTTCTACTGATACCCCTGTTCGTGGCGAGCACCATCGCAGTGACCTGCCAGCAAGACGGGAACCATACAGCGACCTGCGCACAGAATAAGTGCGAGACGGTCGGGGCCACCGAGATCTGCACCCAGTGCAGGGCCGGGGCGTCCCGGTCGACGGCTTCTGCCGGCCCCCCGGCTCCCCCCAGGCCGCGGCAGCCGGGTGCACCAAGGAAGACGGGACTGCCCTCGACAAGACGGCAGCCACCTGCGGGAAGTGCGGCGACGGGTACTTCCTCTTCATGGGCGGGTGCTACAACAAGGATGCACACCCTGGCAGTGACATATGCACACAGGCTGAGGGAGGACTGTGCACTGAGTGTAATACAAAGAACGGCCTGTTCAAGAACCCGGCTGCAGCACCGAAGCCTGGTAATGAGTGCATTCTGTGCTGGGACACGGTGGGAGATGGCGCGACAAAGGGAGTAGAGAACTGCGCCACATGTACAGCACCGGGGAATGCAGGAGTAGCTACATGTGATACCTGTCAAGATGGATACTACAAGGACTCTCTGGTATGTATGCAGTGTGATCAGTCTTGTCTGACCTGCGATGGAAGTGGTCCGAATCAGTGCACCTCTTGTAAGGAGGGGAAGTACCTGAAAGGGACTGAGTGTGTAGACAAAGGTACGTGTAAGACTGACTACTACCCCGATGACACTAGCATGACCTGCGTTGCCTGTAGCACCATACAAGATTGCACAGCATGCACAATGGACCAGTCCACGGGGAAGCCAAAGTGCACTAACTGCGGTAGTCAGAAGATCCCCAGGACGACCCTCGACGGGACCTCGACCTGTGTGGAAAATTCTTATGCTGGGTGTCAAGGCACAGACAAGGAGCTGTTCATGAAGGAGGACCAACCGGAGTGCCTGCTGTGTGGAGATGCTACAACGGGAACAGATCCGAAAGATAAAGGCGTCGCTAATTGTAGGACATGCACTAAAGCCAGCGCTACTGGAGCCGCACCGGTCTGTGAGACATGCAAGGAAGGATACATTAAGAATGGAAATGGTGCGGGCGCCACGTGTGAGGCTTGTCATCAGAACTGTGCCACATGTTCTGAAGCTACGACAGAAAATAAGTGCCTGACCTGCAAAGAGGGGTTCTTCCTGGCCGGCACCGGCGAAGGAAAGTGCATCTCGTGCGAGAATGGTAATGATAGTGGCTACAGCGGGCTTGCAGGATGCCTCTCTTGCACAGCCCCAGCCGCCCCGGGCCCGGCCAGCTGCAACCGCTGCAAGATCGGCTACACGCTACAGGGAACAACGTGTGTGAAGACCTGCGAGGATGAGACTGCCTGTGGGGGGACCTCTGGGGCCTGTGATGCCATAGTGATCGGTGCCAATGGAAAGGAGCTTCACTACTGTTCCTATTGTGGAGAGGCTAATAAGTATCCTATCAACGGTGTCTGTGTTAGTACTGGTAATGAAAATGGGAATACTTGTGCTAAAGGTGTATGTACACAGTGCACTACGGGATACTTTATGTACATGGGAGGCTGTTATAAGGTGACAGAGGTGCCGGGTAAGTCCATGTGCACAAAGGCAGGCGATGGTGTCTGCACAGAGGCGGCAGCCGGGTACTTCATCCCTCCCTCGCCCACCAAGGACAAGCAGTCCGTGTTGGCATGTAGTAACCCCCTTGGTGTCGAGCTGGCTGGTCAGAAGGCATACGTGGGGGTGGATGGCTGTTCACAGTGTACAGCCCCAACAGCTCCATCTGATGCTGGCATGACCCCCGCTGTGTGTACCTCCTGTGACAGTGATAGGAAGCCCAACAAGGATGGCAGTGGGTGTGTGCTGTGCTCTGTGGGTGGTTGCAAGAGCTGTGTGATGGATGATGTGTGTGGGGAGTGCAGTGATGGGTACAGTCTGGAGGGTGGTAAGTGTGTGTCCTCTGGCGCCAACAGGAGCGGGCTGTCTACTGGCGCCATCGCGGGGATCTCCGTCGCTGTGGTCGCTGTCGTGGGGGGCCTCGTGGGCTTCCTCTGCTGGTGGTTCCTGTGTAGGGGGAAGGCGTGACTCAGGTAGTGAACGCTCCGTTGGTTGTTAGTGCTCAGTGAGCGTCTGCTGTCCATCCACCCAGTACTGTTCTGAGGGCAGTGTGCGCTGGGAGCGGTCTCCAGGGCCCTCCCGGCCGGGCGGCGCGACTCGTGCTGGCGTGCAACTATAAAAATAGAGAACAACTGTACCATGATATAGCTAAACAGCCACAATCTCTTACTAACTACAGGAAGCACGACCATTGCAATTCCTTTACAAAAGTCTAGCTTCAGATAAAGGATGCTTATATCTTCAGGTAGGCATAGACAGGTGAGCAAATATAGTATTAAGGAAAGTACTACAAACAGTGCTCTTTACAGATGTAGCGGCATGTAGTGCCAACCTTAAAGTCTTCTCGGTGCCCTCCAATGAAAGAAGCTCACAAAGGCTGCATTTGTTATCAAGGTAAGCACACCATACAAGGGCTGTCCATCCATTCTTATCTGGTATACCCGCTGCGTAAGGTAATAGGAGTCGTATTGCATGTAAGTCCCCTGTAAAAGCTGCGATGTGCAAAGGCGTAAAATGCATCAGCGTATCCTGAAGCATAGCCTCGTAAGGCGCAAGTAATTCTATTATTTCGTGTCGATGCAGAGAGACTGCTAAGTGGAGGGCTGTGATGTGGCTTAGTAAGTGACCACAGATGGTGACCGAGGAAGCTAGACGCATTCTAGCCTCATAGATCCGCAGCTTTTCAACAGCAGGAGCACAATTCTTCAGTACTGCTATAAATAAAGCCGTGTGCCCATTTCTGGCCACAAAGCGTGTCGTACTGTAATCAACACATAGAGTGTTCCTTGAAGCATCAGAGCAACCACCTTCAGAAATGGTTTGCATCAAGGGTGTTTCCCCACAGACATCTCGCTTAAGTCCCCTGAAGTAATCAATTGCTGCTTGGACTTCCGCAATCCGAGGATTCCTGTACAGTACCTGATCTTGGCTATCGCTCTTGACCAAAGTATACTTAGATGGCCGAAATGCAAAGTCAAGAATTAGCTCTTCTCCTGTCGGCGAAAATGATGTGCTCTTTTTAGATAGGTACCTCCGGACAAGGTCTCGCTCCTTAGTAGCAGAAGCATGGGCCAGGAACATGCTTTGTAATATAGATGCCAACTTATCTAGAAGGAGCCTACCATATACTGCGCGTGTCTCTATGCGGTTGGATCTGAGAGCAGGGAGGCATCTTAACCCTTGTATCAGTGATATCGATGAATATCCATAGTCATCCACAGCAATCAAGGAGGCAGAGAGGCAATCGGTAAGCATCGCGAAAACGTCAGGATCGTCTGTGATCGTAAATAAGTACGTAGCGAGCCCCAAAAGATCAAGAAACACGGAGTAGATGAGCAGCTTTGAAATGGGACAAATAGTAAGGGCTGCCTCATCAATAATATCCTGGAGAGAAACAGAGTGCTTCTTTTCAATCTCGCAAACAGCCATGTCCTGCACAAATTTAACACTGAGTATCCTGTTTAGACATTTATGGTTCAACCCCATTAGTAGTCGCAGGCGCCGGCACAGGTCCATCGACTGTGTTAAGTCCTCAGAAGAACAAGAAACTAAAGGAATAATTTGCAGATCTTGCGGCATCTTCACCACAGCAGCGGAATTTGGGTCTAAGAAGCAATCAATTTTTAGCTGAATTGTCCGACTGCAGCAGCTTTATTTCATACTCGGGCTCATAGCCTCTTACCGTCAGGGCCGCCAAGAGGTGAGCGGAAAACTCTGCTGCAGTGGTGACGCAGGAGGTGCTAAAGACGCCTTGGCCAGCAACATTTAAAACCAGTTGGACACCTCCACGGGTCACCGATAACAGGGGATATTGCTCGGGAGAATACTCTATCACGAAGTCGGGGTCAGCTAGCGTTGCTATGTCCCAGTGACAAATCTGCTCTTCAACTTCCAGAGGTGGTAATTGAGATACGACAGACACATAATCAGCACAAGAGACACCTTCCGGGAGCAGTTGTGAACATATCTGTTTCCGCTTTTGCAACAAGCAGCGCATGCAGGAGGCAAGACTTGCTGTCTGGTTGCTCTCTGGTAAAGGTTTTACCACAGCGTATAAAAAATAATGGCCAAGCAAAAGGATCTCAAGAGCAAGCCAGTAAAGCCGCTGACAGCCTTCTTCATTTACTTCAAAGAGCAGTCTGTGGGCATGACAGAGAAATCTACAATCGAAAAGGGCAGGATTTTGGGACAGAAGTGGAAGGAGCTATCAGACAAGGAGAAACAGCATTACTATGACATCTATGAGAAAAACATGAAGGCATATAGTACTGATATTGCTAACTGGTATCATGCGCATCCAGAGGATAAGATTGCAGATGAGGAGAAAGCCATGAATGCCAAGCACAAGAATAAGACCAAGCAGAGCATTGCCAAAGAGAAAGAAGTCGCAATGTTTTTTGCCATAGGACACATGCGGAAGCACGCAATGCTCACCGGGGACACCCTTGAGTACAACGAGAAGCTGGCAAAGATCCTCAAGTCTCGCTTCTACATGCTCAGCGATGCAGACAAGCATGTATGGGAAAAGTTCTGGCATAAGATGGACCCAACCAAGCAAGAGGAAATTGTTGGTCTTTACAAGTCGTGGAAGGGAGTAAAAAGCTCTACTAAATAGAAGCAGCATAGTCCAGTTTTTACTCTTCTTTGCTATTACTTTTCTTTACCTCGCCCCTACTCCATTTTAGCGGAGGGGGCCGTAACTAGAAACCTCCTAATGAGGTCACAAAAAGGCTTGAGTGAACTTCTGTATGAAAAGTCATTCGCCACCACAAACTTCGACGCGCTTGTGATGGTCTCGGAGAAGATGGCAAGGTTTATCTGCATGTTTATCAGCTGCTTAGCGTCTATTAGTACATTTGAATACTTCACTGTCTCGTCTAAGAGGTTGCTCAGTAAGGCGGTGATCTCACACTGCCTGCACTGCGAATAAAGACACACCTTGACGTAGTCTCTTAGTATTTCCTCTTTCAGTGCAAACGACACCTTAACACTAGCGCATTCGGGGATTCCCATAAAGTGTGCAATCATGCCAGTGACAAAGTGGTGAATAAATGAGTTCATCATTTGCATCCCAAGAGCAAACATGTTACTGCTTCTAATCCCCGAGTCACTCGGGTAGGATATCCGGTATCCCAGTTGTTGTTCCAGAGACAGGAATTTGTACTTGTTAAAGAGGCGTGTATATTCCTGTTGCTGATCAATGTAGAGATTCTCATGTGTGGCAAATTCCTGGCTCAATGGAATCAGCTTCTTATCCAATTTGAACCACAAGGAATCAAGCTCAGTACCATAAGAAGATAGATGCGTAGATGATAATTTGAAGATGCAATCACTAGATAAGATGAAGGTAGACACTACATTTGAAATGGCGCTATATTCAACCATCCCTAATTTCACTAATTCAACTAACAGCAGCCCTGTGGCTGATGCTTGCTGCTCATTACCAATAGCAATAGCCGACTCCAATGTGTCCATCAGTGCTGCCATTATTCGCCGAGACCCTATCTGTAGGTTCTTGCTATCGGAATGGTGCATACATGTAATTAGTGCAGCTAAGGGTCTTACGGTGTCTGAGGATAGAACGTCTAGTGACAAGAAGACAGTAGAGAGTTCGTGGGGCGTGGGTGCTGGAGGAAGAAGGCGATCGTTGTACATAGCATAGTCGTTCTCAATGTGATGGAACCGGTTATGCTTATCATACTTTTCTTTAATTTCCTTATAAATCCGGTCATAGAATCCTGCAGGTAGAAAGTCTATCGGATCAGTTCCATGGGAAAGGTCGGTAAAGTTTAAAAGAGAAAGAGTTTTTGTTAGAAAGCTATGCAAGAGGGGCTCGACATTTGGGGAAAAGTGTGCGATAATGCTGTTCCTCAGGTCCAGTAAAATGTCCTCCATCGAGACAACTGTCGAGGCAGAGAAATCCTCCACATATGAAAGGCCGTTTTCATTGTCCTCCGGTTCGCTGGAGGATGTCGTTGTGACGGCAGACCTGCTGTCGTTATTGAGCCTTGTGAGCAAGCTGGTAATATATTGAGGAAACGTGGTGTCAAGCTGCTTAGAATATAATGGCTGAGCCTCTTTGAGAAAAGAAAGGAGACGTTTCTTGAGCCACTGGTAGGCTAGGGAATGGGTAAAGCGGCCACTGTTAGTATTAAGATAGGAGCGGACGCTGTTGCTGTATTCTTCGTGAATCCTTTCAAGGTTCGGTGTGCTCCCCTTTCTTTCTTGCTGCTCCTGAATATACTTATCAATGTGCGCCAATAGTGGTTTATATCGCACATTCACAAGAACCTCATACCAATCTTTAATCGCCTTTGACTCCTGTCTCTTTACAACATCAGAAACGATGGAGTGAATCTTATTGACATTGATGCAGATTTCGGGGCAGGAGCTGTACCAGAAGTAATAGTTGTGGTATATAATATTGTATAAGGTCATGATTAGCCGTTTGCTCTTGAAGGATATCTGCTCAACACGAGACAGGCGATTCGACGCCTTAGTCATACAAGATATCAGATCTTTGATTTTTAATAGGTTGAAACACGAAAGGTGGTTGACGCATCTGATAAGGTGAAAGGTGGCGTCGTCGCGCTCCACATCACGATCCTCATTTATTAAGATCCTAGAGAGGGCATTCTGACATTGGATGTGAGCAGGGTACAGTTTGTGTTCATCAGAGTCTGTTTGTAAAGGTCCAACAATTGGAATAATTCTATTAATACAGAGGCATGCATATAGGTGAGCATAGTAGTGGCAACACGTTTCAGGAATGGCAAACCTCCTGCAAAAGACTTGTCTAAATACACTGTTGATGGTAATGATACTAGTGGTATCCTTGAAATTGAGAAACTTCACCAGAAGAAGTATAATAACATGCTCTTCAGTCTGATTTCTTATGGATTGCAGTAGTAATGTAATGTCACCAGGGTTAATACCAATCCTAGTAATCCGCTTGGGGTCAAAAAGAAGATGCTGCAGCTTCTCAACGGAGCTTGCCCTCGGGGTACTATCATAGTACTGTTTGAAAACACTATCTATAGCCTTCTGTATATCTTTGTTGAGCAGCGCATACACAGTGTCTAGATTCTCTTTATACTTATCCTCCAGTACTCTATAGCTCTGTGTTAGGGAAAGGGGATATCTACGCAAGCTATCTATTTCGCTAATCTCGTTTGTATAAACGTCTGCCAGCTTTCCAGACTCAAAGTTAATAATCGACACATAACGCTCCCGCTCAGATGGGCAAAGATCAAAGGCACTGGTAATGAAAGCCTTGGTAGATCGCGGACTTACAGAAAGCTGGTTTAAAACAGTAGGTACAATCATATTTAATCCGAGAGTATTGAGGATGTTGCAGAAATAGGTGTTGCACTTACATAGATGGTTACCCCATTCAAGCTCTCCGTCGCAAAGTGATTCCTTAGACAAGGCGCCAAACTCCTGCGACAAGATAGAAACTGTCTCCTTGAAAAGAGCGTAGATTTTGTATTCAACGTGGAAAAGCCTTATCATGTAATCAAAACAGCTAAGGATGCCGCGAGGCAACGTAGACAGCTCTTCACGAGGGATAAGAGGCTTAGCGGGGACGAGTGCAAGTGCATCGTGGGATGTGTCAAGCTGGAAAAGCATTGCAATGTGATGTATCAAGGAATTCCTTTCTTCTTGAGAGATGAGCATCGGAGTATGCTTATCTGGAGTGCAGGGAGTGTTTATGTTATTATTAGTAATCTCTCCGTGTAGCGGACTTATACCGAAGCCGTCCTCAACTGTCTGGCATAAGAAAGTGTGTAAGAAGGCTGATGTAAAATAAGTTGGATGATAGGCACCGTTAAATACATATGATGAGAGAGTGATTCTTTTGGCTTCTGAAAGGTTTGCTGGTCGCGGCGGAAGAGAGGAATATTGGCTGATGACTTGTCGAAGGATTGTAAAGGATTCCCTGGCGAGGAGACCGACTAACTCTTCCAGTTTATCACTTTTTGCAATCATGCCATAGCGCCACAGTGCGCAAAAAAGAGATACTGCGGAAACACGTTGCTGTCTATTCACGTCCGAGGGTGCAAGGGTTTCATCGATATTGTCTCGGAAGGCAGGACCTTTTGGAACTAGCAACTTCTGTACCTGTGAGAGGATAAGCTCTACAATGTTCCTAAAAAAGATCTCTGAGACAAGAAGCATGTTGAGGACAAACGTCTCTATCTCAGCACGCCTATCTTCCGGGTATTTGAACTCACATATGGCCTTTGCTATATCAATTCCTTGAGTACCGTATTTGTACGTGTGCATGGTCGAAAAGTAATTATCTGGAGCAGATTCAATGCCTCTAAGCCTCCTTAAGAGGGTATCGACTACACTTTTTTTCGGCACGGGATATGCTTCTGAATCAAAGTCGTCGCTCTCCATACCTCTTAGCTCTGCTATGCGGGTCTTACGCTCCTTTCTGTTGATTCGCGGAGGATACATTTTTTAAAACAGACAGGGCCAGTTTACTGATTGCTGATTGGCTTTTCCCGAAAGCTTGCGAGGCTTAACTGTAGGCCGGCGGGCGTCTCTGATAGATCCTGATAGACAGCTCTGTTGTCAAACACTTTGCACCCGTTGAGAGCAATGGGAGTAAATCTAAAGTTCCACATCAACAAACATTAGAACATTTTAAATGGCTGACATAGCAGGCTATATCACAGAGGACCTTAAGTGTACAAACATGCTTACTGATGGTCTCAAGAATATCGCTCTTGAGGCCCGTGAGACAGTTATTTCTCAGTTGGCGACAATTCGAGAACTGGAAGAGGAGCACCAAGTCAGCAGCGCACAGCTGCAAAGATTGATGGAGAATATTGGGACGAGATCTGAAACTGCAGCAAGCATGCACAAGTATCTTACAGAGCTCGAAGAGGAGGACCGACAGATTGCGAAACTTCTTTCAGCTATCAAATACCAAGTGAACACATACTATGGGTGTATCTATCTTTTACTGGGTAAGAGGCCACTTGCTATGCCATGGGACGTCGACAGAGTCAGTCCGGTATCTTTGCGTAACAGTTGCACAGTTGACCTCTGTGTAGGGGATCAATAGATCCATTGATAATGGAGCCTGAAGCATACACGCCCCGCACCAGGCGATCATTGCCCCGTTATCGACACAATAGCTATCGTCCATCGCCCCCAATCGCCCATTTCTCTCTGCGGCCATAATTTGGAGCATCTCCTGAAGACGCAGGTTGCAGCCCACACCTCCTACGGCCAGAATGTCGGCTGCACCCACGTGAGCAGCAGCCCTTTCAGTTATTTCCACCAGAGATCCGAAGAGCGTCTCCTGGAGGCTATAGCAAATTAGCCGGGGATCGAGAGAGGTGTGTGTCTCTACATATGTTTTCAGATATGTCGAAATGCCACTACATGAGATGTCCATTCCCTTTATGGGAACAGGGATCGTTGTGATAATTGGTATATCGTAACTTGTATCTATACCTGCCTCGGGATGGTTAGCAGAATACAGCTCAAGTTGTTCTTTAAGAAGCTCCTTAGACCGTGGCAGTGTGGTGTATCGAGGCACAATATCCGGGTCTAGATGGACACAATCCTCCTCACGGAAAATAGCTGCCCACTCAGCTGCAAGCCGCTCGATATTGAGCCCGGGGGCAGGGGTGTTAGAAATCAGTAGGTATCGAGCAATCCGGTCCAAGGCATTTCCTACTGCTATGTCTAGAGCCTCCCCGAAGACACGATATCGGCCTTGAGAGTAGGCTATGACCTGGGTGTTTCCTCCAGACGCGTATAGAACGACTGGATTGGGCAGCTGCGTGACCAAGCGGCCCATTTCTATATGGGCGACGCAGTGATTCACTGCAAGCAGCGGCACCTTCCAGAGCTGTGAAAGGGTACGCGCAACTACGGCTACTGCGGCCAACGGTGCCCCAAGACCCGGCCCGCGGGTGTATGCAATGTGAGTTATCTTATCGGAGGATATTTCTGCCTCCAAAAGGGCTCTTTCGATAAGGCCTATAATGTGCTGCCTGTGATGCGCCGCAACGTCGTTTGGTTGGAAGCCTTGCCCCGGCGGCGCGTTATATGTACTCCTTAGATTTGCATGCACAACACCCGAGGCGTCTACGATACCTACACCAAGCTTGTTTGCAGATCCCTCCAAGCCAAGGATCATTCACTTTATCTGTCCAGGCAGTGTAGTGTATGGTAGGGTAAGCTAAAGATTTACAAGCACAGAGTACAGAGTGTATGGTTACTTGCGATATGTCCCTGTCAGGAGGCGGCGCATCTCTTTGTCATGACGTTCCTTAAGCTCATTCATCTCATCTGTCGCCGCAAGACGCTCCCGCGTGAAGAGGGTTGTAAGACGACGCCGCTCTGTGGGGTCGTTAGTCCTTGCTAGCTCTGCGCGACGTTCCTCTTCCTTTGCTTGCTCATAGTTAATGCGCTGGAGAATCTCTGCATTGTGTTTTTGTCTTAATTGTACAATATCATCCTGTGTAATCACAGGCCTGGGCCTGTCCAGCTTCGTTGTGTCATGCAGAGACTTGTGTAACGTTGCCAGAACGGCCTCTGCTTCCTCATTTGTCAAGGCATGGTCATCTGAGTTGGAGACAGCCGTTTTTTTGGTGGCCTTGCGTGCTGTCCCGTAGCTTCTGGCACGCTTGGGTTTCTCCTCATATTCCATGGAGTTGCTGCGATTTCTGGCCGTTTGGGAATCGGAGATACCTGCCAAGTCCTCAACCTTGATATTAAGGTGGAGCATGAGGTCCTTTTGGCCCAACTTTTGTCTCTGGTGCTCTAAGGCGTTGTCCATTCGGGCTTCTAACTTAGTGAGGGCAACTCGCTTAGAGTATTCTGTTTGCTCCCACAACCTCTTTGCATTCTCGATTCTATCTTTGACGCGAAGCTTCTCTTCTTCAAGTTTGAGCTTTTCCTCCAACCGGCGAGCCTCGGCCTGTTCACGAGCTCGTTCTTCACGCTCCTTTTCGCGCTGCAACGCCTCAATGCGTTTCTTCTCTGCCAGTTCCCGCTGTTTAGCCAAGAGCTCTAGGCGAGCCTTTTCTTTCTCCTCCGCCAACTTGTGCTCTTCTTCCAATCGTAGGCGCTCCTCTTCCTTCCTCTTTGCTAGCCGCTCCTCGCCTTGCTGAAGCTTCAGAAGTGTGCTAGCGCGGCGCTCTGCATCGTCCTTAGCCCGCTGTCGGTTGACTTCATTGAGTTTTCGCTCCGCCTCTCGTTGCCGCTCCTCATTTTCACGGCGTTTCCGCTCACGCTCTTCTGCTAACTGTTGCATCCGCTCGGCCTCCTTCTGCTCCATCATGCGGCGACGATGCTCGGTGGCCTCCTCCATCTGCCGTTGGTATTCTCGGGCTCGTTGCTCCATCATTCTGTTCTTTTCCTCTTGCTCCTGGTTGCGGCGGCGGGCCTCCTCTTCCAGCTGTTTTTTATGAGCTTCTTGGCGAGCTTGGATTTGCTCGCGCTTGGCAGCTTCCTTTGCCTCCATTTCTTTCCGCTCTTTCTCCTTCTTTTCCTTATAGCGACGTTTTTCTTCCTCTATACGCTGTTGTTTTTCTAGCTCAGCAATACGCGCGATTTCGCGCTGCTCTTGCTGCTTTGCCATGGCCTTAAACTTCGCCTCCTCTGCCAGTTTGGCGCGCTCTTCCTTCTGTCTCATGCGTTCCTCCATTTCTGCTTTGTGCTGTGCCTCCCTCGCTTGCCGTTTTTGCATTGCCTCGAGTGCTCTTACCTTAGATATGTAGGCAAGAGAAGACTTGTCTATTTCGCTACTCATAACCTTTCCGCTGCAGGATAAGTCTTCATTAACTAACTTCTTGATTTCAGGCGGAGACCCCAAAAAGAGAAACTCCTCCCGCGATATGCCAAGCTCGCAAACTTTGTTGAATTCTGCCCTAACGTCCTCTAACAAACTCTGTCTTTTTTCTTCGTATTTTTTATAGTGCAAATCTGCAATAGCAGGCTCTGGATAGTCCCGCTGAAAGTTGCTATATGGTAGAGGCTTTATGTCTGAAAAGCGAATAGCACGCCGACGCATTGCAACTATTGATCGAGGAGATGTTATGCGTTTCTTTGTCTCATCGGTGAAATTTTGGAGGCTAATCCGCATGGCACAATGGCTTAGAATTTTGAATTTTTATTTACCTTTTTGCACTGTGCTACACCGAGCCCGAGGGCTAGGTATGTTGAGCGAGCTTTACAGAGTAGGGTGTACAAATACTCCAAGAGTGTGCAATAAATATTTGATATTTCGTCCAGCAAGCCTTTTAAGGAAGAATCTCATCCTTTTTTGCGAAAGATTCTACAAAAGGTTATCAATCATTCAAGTAAATGCTTTGCAGATTAATATAAAAGACTGCTCCATTAGTTGATTGACCCAGGACAAAAAAGCTTTAAAGATAAAACCCATGTTGCTACATTCGGGGTTTTGCGAAGTCTTTCATGATTTACGGAATAGAGATTACCAAACTGAGTACCAGAAAGTCTTACTAACCACGTACTGGGAGCTGGGACGAGCGCTTGGCCATGATTGCACACAGGGCATTTCTCTCGAACGGTTAATACCACCGAGCACGCAGGCCGGACGCAAATCTCGGTCGTCCACAACTATATCCATACTTGAGAAAAGGCAAGAAGCGATAATAGAGGCAGCTTTAAATAGAACATATAGTGATGGTCCCTTCCGGTTACGGCTCCCAACAGAAGTGGTTCAGCTCATTGTCATGGGTCAGCAGAGTAAGGCTGTGGTTGCGCGGATTACACTAAAAGATGGTGCTCTAGTACTTTCTATCGTTTTTAAACATACGACTAAGGCAAAGTCTAAGACAAGTGTTTCCACAGCCGGCTCAGAACCAGAAATTCCATTGGCAAGAGGCACTCGGTGGATTGAGAATAATGAACAGTTCAGCAAGACAGTCATTTGTGAGGCTGTCCGGTGTCACCTGAAGTCAGCATTTCGCAACATTTATAACACATGGTCTCCAACGATTACAGAGTACTTTATAAACCAGGAGCATCTACCGCAGATTATCTATGCATGCCGCAGTGCTCTTAAACGGTCAATGGCTGTGGACGTGGATGAAAATATTGAAGACTATCACCAGCATGTTATTCGGGGCATAGCTCTGCGTAAAACTACGGCCATAAGGCTAGGTAGGTCACAGCACAATGATAGCACCTTTAACTCCCTGGCTGTGCCGCTTGTTAGTTACTACATGAACTCCTGGTCTCCTAGCGAAAGTGACGCGCTGCTGCTTTCCGAGCGCTTCCTTGCAGAAAATTTGTCTGCGCGTAGCATAGAAGAACACATTAATAGCATACGACATATACTCAACGCCTATGTCAGGCTCAACACACTTTATGGCGAACGTGTCCAGTCAGCTCTCCCCACTTTGGATAATGATTCTGCCCAACTAGATGGTAAAGTCTCTGCGCACGAAGGTACAGATACGAAGGTTACGGGGATTTGTAGTATTGGACACCCTGCACATACATTCAAAACAGCAATGCTCCTGTTTGTACCCACGCCCATGCAAATCAAGATGATCTTCAGCACTGCAAGGGAAGTGCTCGACAGGCCAGACTCTGAGGTGCTGGATTTAGACGAGCTCTACACAGAATTCACAGATCAACCCTACAAGGTTCTTTCTAACGATACTTCCTTTCTGTTTGGTAAAGAGCATGCTATTGACGATTATTCCACCATTTATCCTGTGCGCACAGTGAGTCCATTCTTGCTGCGTGAACGGGGGTTTACAGAGCATAAGCGAGTAACCCCTTTGGCCAGTACGACCAAATCTTCCGTAAGCGTAACCGGAGAATCAGACAAAGGATCTTCACAGTCGCGGAAACCTGTTTCTATACCTGTTTATCACGACCTTAGTATTTGCTATCTCCCAGTCAGAGCAGAAAATCAATCTGTTCATCGGCAGAATAAAGAATATGATATGTTCAGCGGAATTTTTCGGCACACAGCCAGAAGCTATAGTGAGGTCGTTTCTATTATTAAGTCTCGAAAAAACCACTTAAAGGCGATACTCCAGGGCTCCGGTAACTCTGGCAGCTCTTCATCTGCAGCAATAGATCTGCAAAGCAAAAGCGTGGACTATGAAGGTAATCAGCCCCAAGCATACTCAGCCTCAACTGATAACGAAGCGCTGAATCACAAGCGGTACAGTCGGATGCCGTGTTCAAACTCTATGCACAACAGTACCTTTGTTAAATCTGCATCTAATAACATGACTGGAGCCATCTATTCTCTTAAGGGTTCCTCGTTGTCTGCTGATAACGCTTATAGACCCGAAAGAGTATCTGCCCATCATGAGCACTATTCTGAGCCGGGCCGGAAACAGCTATTTTCATACTCTTCGAGGTGCAACTCTCACTCTGACCACAACTTTGGATCTAGTACTAAGGATAACGTTGTTGTTAATCTCGATACACCATCTTCCAAAACGTTTAACTTTATACGCATGCCGTTTGGAGGGTCAAAGACCGCCCAGGATAAGGTGGAGCAGCAAGCCAAGCAAAAGCGCGAGTTGGAACAAAAACTCTTAGAAGATGCTCTTGCTGAGCAAAAGGAGAGGCTGCTGTCAGAGCAGCAAGCCCATAAGGAGGACCAGAAGCGGCTACTCGAGCTCGAAAAGCAATTGAGCGAGCAAAGAGAGCTTATGTTGCAGCGACAAGAAGTAGAAATTCAGGTTCAAAGCATAAGCACACCATTGCCCACCGATAGGTCTGAGTTAGAACGCCAGTGTAGCCACGGAGACACCGGACCCTCGCTGAATAACTGCTCCCACTCCAACTCCTGTGGCTCCGTTGAGGCTGTGCCACAAGAGCGCGTCCAGGACACCCAATACTACAAGTATATCGTGGAATCAGAGGCTATGCGTATTGACCAGCTTGGCCGACTAACTAGCTTAAAGGCGCATGCGAAGTTTTTAGAGTTCCACCAGGGGTCGTTTGGTCCTGAGAGGCTCTGCCTTCTCTCTGCCTCTGTGTATAGGGAGCTGGAAGCATATCCCTTTGCTGGAACCATGAAGGACATCATTTTCACCATGTGGATGGGCTATGACATTTCGAAGAGCCTAATGGCACTTTTTTCCTCTGTGCGGGCATGTGCATTGGCCACCCCAACGATGTTTGAGGGGATTGAACGTAACACAATGAAAAATGTAATTAAGGCACCCAACATGAATGTGATTAGTGAGCGGGATGAAAGGTCGAAGCAGGTTTGGTACGATCGAGACAAGGAGATACTAGAAACCATCTTGAACTTGTTGCACGTGGAAACAAAGCATTCGGTACTTGAGTTGATTAATTTTTGCTCAACCATGACTAGGCTTCTGAGCACGGTGAAGCAATCTCCATCCTCTAGCTCCTAACTGTTATCCGGGTGAGGACAGCCGCTCTGAACTTATACTATGTATTCAATCCGTCAACTTACCATTATCGGTGTTAGTAAACGGCAGGATTCTACTAACTAAATTTCTTGAACAATGGGGGTCGCTGCTCTCGTGCCAGGGCTAGAGGTATGGATGGAGGTCATCGTAGCCATTGTCTGCGCACTGTTCGCAATGCTGGCATCTGCAGGAGGTATTGGCGGCGGTGTAATTTTTGTCTCTATGCTGCAGCTTTTTGGGGTAAGTCCCCACGTTGCAGCACCACTCAGCAAAGCGATGATCTTTGGTGGGTCGTGTGTTCTCACGTGCATGAACATATTTCAGCACGAGGACAATGAGCCCACAAAACCGTCCATTATTTGGGACCTCGTCTTCATCATCGAACCAGCAGCCGTTTCTGGGGCCCTTATAGGAGCGTTGATTAATGTGGTATTACCAGAGTGGCTTTTGCTTGTTCTAGAAGTAGCATTTCTTCTATACACGACACAGAAAATGCTGAGGAGCAGTCTAGCTACTTTAAATAAGGAGAGAATAGCTGCTGGCAAGAGGCTCCTTTGTACAAGAAAGAGCAGGGCACCAGCACTATCCATTGACGAAAGAGGCTCCCCACATCAACCTTCTACATTCATTGAAGACCAATCCACAAGAAGTGGCAATACTACATCTAACGAGATACAGGCTTACTCTACAGAGTGCTCTACAGAGATAGCACCATTACTGGATCGTCAAGAACTGACTGTGAAAGCAGAGCCTCAGGTTCAGGCTACGACTAAGAAAGGAAGAGGACGCCTGGGAAGTTGTGGAGTTGCCCATTTTAAATCCATATCAGCTGTCCGTATGATTATGTTCATCTTATCTACAGTCCTCATAATGACCTGTCAAGTAATTTCACAAGAGTTTGAACGATGTTCCACAGGATACTGGATTGCGTTCGGAGTTTGTTTCAGTATTTCCATCATAACCATCATCATCATTATACTCTCAATAAAACGCTCTCTTAGGATCTATAATCAGTTCATGTCTGCGTCTGAGCATGTCCACCACTTCCTGAACGAATCTAGTGATACCATTTTCAATAGAACTGATCAAGCAGAGGAAGAAAGAGATCTCCAGCTTTCATCTATTGACCAAAGAGTCACTCCCGAAGATAAAGAGGCTCTTCACCTAGAAGCTATACGATGCTCCAAGCTTCTCATAGGCACAGACTCCTTGGGTGCCTTCCACAGTATCCTATTTTATGTGAAGCTTGTACTGGCCGGTCTATTTGCTGGCATTCTGGGTGCAATGTTGGGTATTGGTGGGGGCCTCTTGAAGAACCCTATTCTCATCTCCTTTGGAATAGACCCTGAGCGTGCTCGCACAGCATCTACCGTTATGATAGCCTTCACATCTATGTCGTCCATGATTTCATATGTTGTTATCGGTGGGCTGCACTTTGAATATGCCTGGCCTCTGATGTTAACTGTAGGGGCCTTTTTCGTGAGTGGATACTATTTAAGCGAGCTTATAATTCGGTGCTTTAAGACTAAGTCGTTTATTCCATTTCTGATTACTGCCTTGATAGTAGTTTGTACATGTTTCATAGTGGCCAACATGATAATAGTGTTTATTGACATCGCTAAGACAGGGCATTTGCCCGGTTTTACCAGTCTTTGCTAGTCACAAAAAAGTCTAGAGCATTTGCTCTACGTATGACTTGCTGCAGGCCACGCAAAGATAGACCGGATAGCAATTGCACTAATGGAGCTATGAATTGTTCTGCAATCGCAGTAGCAGATACCCCCACTACAGCTAGAGCGGCTATGCATTGCGCGACCTCACCCTCACATGATCAGCAGCCAGTTGGAGATGTTTCTGGCGAGGAGATAGTCGTTACGCCTGCGCGAGTGCCGCAATTCAGAAGCTTTGGGCATCAAGACCAAAGTTCATCTTCCTCTATTAGCCTCCACGAGGGGGCTAAAAGCTTTCGGCTCGACTCCTGTGACTCTTGTAGGCATGTGAACCATCGCCGTCGCAAGCGGAAACACCGGAGGGATGAGGAAAATCATAAATCTACAACTATTGAAGATATTGTTCAGTTATGTAAGAGCACATTTGACGCGGTGGAAAAACAGTCATCAGCAATGCTGTTAGAGGAAAAAAGAGTCTCGGAGGTCGCTGCCAATGATGGAAAAAGTGTGCACATACAAAGAAAACTTCTTAATGACCCGCTAACTCCAATATCATCATCTAGGCTAAATCCTTGATAAAATTCACCGGTCGTTGGCGCACACCCTTGGCGTTTTCCTTAAGCTCTTTAATTACACTGTCTGAGGTTGTAAAGGCCTAAAACTTAAACTTAAGTAAATGTTTGCTCCTGGCAATTCAGCCAGAGCCCAGCGGCAAGTCATCCCCGGTGACCACTTCGGCCTGGTGATAACAAGTGGTAGATCGGTCAGCAAGGGCAGAGATCAGGCCAGTGATGCGCCGCCACCTCCACCAGCTCGCTCCGCCGCGGTGGCCCGTGCACGTCGTCCATACAAAATTGGCCCAACCGGCACATCTGGGACCAACCTCATCTTTGCCCCTGCCTCGTCTATAGTCCATAAGGCTGTATCTGTACCAAAGCAGTACAAGCACTACGCAAGGGACCCCGACGACAAGATAGAGCCTTTCTCCGCTGCGGCCTCCAAGGACACTACATCAAAAGGTAGCAGCGTGACTACTCAGCCAATGTCGTCACAGAGATCCAAGACAACATCTGTTCGCCAGCCCAAAGCAGTAACTCAGACCTTATATCAGCAACAGCAGGAAGCCTCTCTTCTCCATGGCAACAAGCTAGGTGCTAACTATGCGGGGAAGAATCAGCCCATTGTTTACATTAAAAGCAAACCCCCCTCTACCACAAACTCCCGCACCACAACCCCAAAGCGAGGGGCTTCTACCAGCACACGATCAGAAAGAACAGCATCCACCTCTGTTTCCCCAAGGGCTGTCGCGACAAAGCTCAGTCAACGCACACCATCCAGCAAGGGCCGGGGTGTTGTCGCCGCAACCACAACGCCAGCTGATCAAAACAGATCACAGCTGAAGGGAAGTGCTTTTCCCCGCGAAATTACAGCAGCAGAAGTCCTTTCCTCGCACAAATCCGATCTTACACCGTTTGAGCAATCAGAGATCCAACGGTTCGCCAAGATATACTACTGGGGCCAGCAGGCAAATAAGCAATACAACGGAGCAATCAACCACGGATATGATGATAGCCGTGGGGACTACATCGGAGTCATCAATGATCACATCATGTACAGATATGAACTAGTCTCGAAGCTGGGGTCAGGGTCGTTTGGGAAAGTATATAAGGCTCTGGATCATAAGGAACAGCAGTTTGTCGCTCTAAAGATTATAAAGAACAGGAAGCGCTTCCAGAGGCAGGGCCTGGTCGAAGTAAAGATTCTAGAGCTACTACGTGACAACGATCCCAATGGAGACCAATGCTGCGTGAAGGTACTTAGCAGCTTCTACTTTCGCTCACATCTCTGCATAGCGTTTGAGCTGCTGTCGATAAACCTATATGAATTGCTAACTAAAAAGGATCTTAAGGGCCTTTCTTTGTCGTTGGTCCGGAAGTTTTCTCTACAACTTTTAATTGCATTTGCATACGCTCGGAAGCTGAGGATTATACACGCAGATGTCAAACCCGAGAACATTCTCTTGCGGGAACCCGACAAAAGCAGTATCAAAGTCATTGACTGGGGCTCGGGGGCAATGGTGTCAGAGACAATCTACTCCTATATTCAGTCCCGCTTTTATCGAGCCCCAGAGGTTATTCTTGGTCTTCCTTACGGTCAAGAGATAGATATCTGGAGCATTGGTTGCGTTCTCTGTGAGCTATACACCGGGCTGCCTATCTTCCCGGGCGATGACGAAAGGGATCAGCTAGGAAAGATATGTGAGCTGCTGGGGATGCCACCCAATGACATGATCTTCAAGAGTCCCCGTAAGAACGACTTCTTTGTTAACATAGGAACGGGGATGGGTGTGGCAGGGGTATCAGAGGGTGGAAACCCCATCTTCAGCGGCAATCTGCAACAGCTTTCCAGTGTCAACGAATATCTGCAAGCAACAGGTCGAGGAGCCGGCGGCAGTGAGGTGCCAGGGATAAGGCTCCGCACGACCCACAAGGTTAATTCTAAAACTCTGTCTGGTGTCCTCAATGCACCAGACGACTTCATATCCTTCATCAGTCTTTTTCTTCAGTGGGACCCTCAAAGAAGGTGTACACCCGAGGTTGCTATGTCGCATCCGTGGATACAAGAGGGAATACGACAAATTAATGAGCGTAATGCTCGTCCTAGTAGTACTGCAGTACGTGCGGTGGATGCACGACCAGACTCTAGGCGCGTTGCATCTGCCAGCCAGCGGCCGCTGCTTCCTGCACTCAGTCCAAAAAAGTAAACGAGATGTTTGTCGAGCACCCTATTCAGGTGCGACGCCTCCCGGGCGGCTACCACAACACACATGACGACCTGATTCAAGCCATCTGCGACAATGAACTTCAGACAGTTTCAAGCCTCTTGAAGCACAGTGGTCAACTAAACAAACACGGGTACACCGCACTGGCAGTAGCCGCGTCCAGAGGCAACTACGGAGCCTGCAAACTCCTTGTAGAGAAAGAGGCGGGCCACAAGACAAAGATTCAATACAAGCTCCGCAACTGGAAGTTCAATTGCTGTTCTGCCCTGATGATGGCAGCCTGGCATGGCCACACAAATATTGTCCAGTTGCTCGTCAAATATGAGGCAGGGATGCGGGATGGTTACTGGGGGGTGACAGCGTTGATGGGCGCAGCCTATACAGACCTGCTTTTAGTTTGCAAGGCATTGAAGCCATACGAAGTGGGCTATCTTTCTGCCCGTGGATACTCTGCTTTAATGTGGGCTATTATGGGCGGTTCCAGAGAGTGCTTTGACTTGCTGTTAGAAGACGAATACATGCTAGAAGACGGAGAAGCTCTTCCATTGGCTGTGCAACATGATTTTTTATATGGTGTAGAGGCACTAGCGCCCCTGCTGATAGAAGTCAGCGGAAAGCGAGCTCTTCAACGTATACCACAAACAGAACTAGGTACCTTAATGGAGCGCGCAATTCGGAATTCTATAAAGCCAGGCATGTGGATTTAATGTTAATTGTTGCTATTCTTTGAGTTTTGTCCTCTTTGACTCAGACAGATTGAGTATGGGTTGACCTTTTCTTTGCGGCACGAGATGGGATCTACTTTTCCAGTTTGTTTGTTCGATTTTGGCCTTACCTCTATATGCTTTAGTAGTGGGAGCCGTATCTTTGCTTCAACCTTTTCCCCCTCGCACTCTTTTACCGAAGAGAGATAGGAGACCCACACTTCCAGCGTCTCTTTTCTACTTCTATGGCCGCGGATCCATGCTTGTATGACTATCGCAGCGCTCTGCTCTACACCGGAGTGCGCGCTGAGAAGAGATGACCTCATTAAGATTTAAAAAGCTTTTCACTTACCTTCTGTGGTTACATCTTTAGGCCACGGCCTGTCGAACCAACACGCAGCTCACTTCGCATGATCAAACTTAATGGGTATGCCTTTCTGTCTTCACAGTCCTCCCACACCGTCTCAAGGCTATCTGGAAAGTCATGCGCACACGTCTCATTGCACACCATTCCTGTTTATACAGTGCTTTCGGTTTCATTAGAGAAGACTCTTCACAGCGAGCTGAACCTAGGAACTATCCTTTTAACATTCAAAAGTCTAGAGGACTCACAGCTTGATATCATCGCATGCGAGCTGTCTCTCTTCTTTAGACTGAGCTCCCTCATACCATTTTGTGCAGTTACACATACTCTGTGTCTTCGTCTTTCCTCAGTCATTTCGTGCGAGATTGAGTGTGGCAGTTCGCTCACTGATATGGAAGTGCTCTCGTACATACATAAACGTGCAACACAACTTCTCATTGATTCACGAACACCGTTTATTCTGCAGGGTATAAGGACAAATAGCGTGCTTAAATGTATAAATATACCAAAGTCATACAAGGCCCGGGTTGCTTATCCTTTTAGCGACAAAAGGATCATGCGGTTGGGCACGATTGGAAAGATGGCCTTTTTGGATGTTGACGAGATAAAGCGTGTCATAGGGAATGCGCATTTCACTGATATTCTTGACAATGCAAGTCACGGAGCACGCATATGTTTGCTTATTATAATAAAGGATACTGGACGGTTCTTAGTTCCACTGTCCTCCATCACTGCCTTTAGCTTCTTTCACCGCGACCGAGAACTGACACTTCTTCTTCCCGTTCGACCTAAGGGTAAGCGCCATATCTCAATGGAACCCATCGTGCTTGTTTTCAAGAAGTTGTCTACGTTTATAGAATTTGAAGAAAGGTTCTGTACAAACATCTCGGCTTCGAGCCCGCACAGTCTCTACCCCTCTGTCTCCACTCCAGAGGTGGCTTTCGAAGAGACTGTGATACATCAATACACAACCAAGAATTCCGATACTGTTGTTGGGAGTTCATACACACTTTCTCCTCTGGGGTGTTTAGAAACCAAGCTCCCAGGCAGTGTCTATACAACTCACCGATCGGTTCTATCTAGTAGGACTGGTGGTGAAATCGATAGGTTTTTAACCCTAAAGTCTGAAATAGGCCATATCTACAACGTAGATCACAGTTTTAGCTGCTCTGATGTGGTTTTTAGAGCAAATAGAAATGCGCCACGGTCTCGCAACACATGCTTTACGGAATCGGGGGCCTATGTAGCAGCCACAATGGGACGGTACCTGGATCTCCTATGTCTTAAAAACATAAATGATAGTACTGATGAGAAGTTCTCCGTCACCACGTGCAAGTTAGGCGCATCGTTATTTGTACCATCAAAGATATGTTTCGACTACAACTTCGGTTCCTCTGGATTGTTATTCGTTAGCAATGAACAGAATAGATCAAAGATAGACTCTTCCGTTCTCAGCTCCATGTTTAGCTCCGTGCTGGATGTAGATTCTGTAATCCTTCAAGAAGGCATGGAACACTCTGTTCTGGGTGACTATACTGAATGCAGTAATAGCCATGGCCTCTATGGATTTGATGTAGCTACAGGGAGAGTCAGTGAGCACATTCTTTTGTATAATGTAGCTGCAGATCGCTTTCTTTCACCTACGGATTTCTGTATATGTAAAGAAGGCTCTATCCCGACGGCAGTGGTGGGGTGCAACATATCGCCAAGCGATGCCATCGTAGCAATCACTCACTCCAGCATCCAGCTCATTGACAGACGGCTTTCTGGGAAGACCCATCTCACAGGGCATAGCTACACGTATAAGGCTGTCGCTAACCTGTCAGTAGGGTGCTTATCTGGCAAAGGAAATCTCGTTGTGGCTACTGACACAGGGGATATCAGTTTCTTCCACACAATGGCGCGTGCAGCGACAAGCTTCGGAGGCTTCGGTCTTCCAATCATAGGTCTATGCTTAACTACCGATGAAGATTGGCTTGTAGCGACAATGCCAACCATGATTGCAGTATACTACCTGAGGGGAGAAACGAGCAGTGTGTTCAAGCACAACGGGTTAAGGCTCTCTGAACGTCAGCAGCCTCGCTTACTGCGGCTAACACAGGACTTGATAACAGTTTTACTCTCGGCCACAACACAAAAGCCTACCAGTCTACAATTCTCTCCTGCGACGCTCTCCCCAAACGAAGAGCTCCTGGTGGCAAGCGTGGGGGAGTATGCAATCCTTTGGGACTTTAAGCAGGTATGTCTTGGGGTAACGGATTACAGCAATGCAGTTATCACAAGAACATCTGGAGAGATTTTAGGTGCATGCCTTGTAACTTGTGGAACCATTGAAGGGACAGAAGATGAAAAAGAGTCTTGTCCATACTTAGTGACAGCAACAGCTTCTGCCATAGATGTCCTCCGTTGCAGGTTTCCATACACACCCTAGCTGCTTCTGGACCATAGTTCTGTATGTTGTGGATTTATTTCTTTTGTCGTTCCTTCAGTTCTTTTTCTCTTTCGGCTTTCTTCTTTGCTGCAGCCTCCTCCTTTCGCTTCCGCTCCTTTTCCTCCTCTGGTAGAAGACACGTGCCGGTCTGAATACTGAAGTTCATCACTTTAATTATCTCGCGGATGTCTGTCTTGTCGCTCTTGTAGACGGCGTCCATGGCCGCCTTGATTTCTTCTTGGCTTTTTCCCTCCCCGATCATTTGTCGCTGAAGGTCTTGGGCCATGTTTTTCTGCACATGCTTGAGGAGCCATTTTATTTCTTTAGGAGATACTTTAAACTCCCCTACACAGAGAATAGAGTTTAGAGTCTTGATCTCCTGAATGGGGCCTGTTCGCACCTCCGATAAGTTCAAAATAGAAAAGAACTCCTCTTTCATTCTATCTGCTATGTGCATGTTTTCACGGACCTCTCTGACAAACTCTGTAGCGATGGCGATATCGATTGCTGTAAACGTAGACTCGACGCGCTCTTCCAATTCTGGGGGTAGCGGAGAGCATACAGCTTTCATGAAGTAAGGAAACTCTTTGATGGACAAGAAGCCATCCCGATCTGCATCGTAGAGCTCGAAGATGGGCTGGATTTCTTGCTGAATCTCCTGTGCTGCAATTTCGTCTGGCGATAGCTTCTTTTTACCTTTGCTACCCTTCTTGCCCTTCGGCATTTTTGATTTACAATTTTGGCTTCTGAAGAACCAGCTATTAGCGCGGGGATTGGAACATAGACAGGTGTCAACCTTGTTCACGAGCACATGGGCTAGGCGCTTCTATCAGCATTAGTCAGTTTGTGCCGTAAAGATCGCGACAGTCCCAAACGCCGGATGGGAACCAGCCAGCTTGAGTAAAGGGTGTTTCTGGGCTGTGGAATCGGCGGATCTACCGCAGACGCAATGGCCACCCAGTGCGTGTCTCGTCACGGCATTTCCCTAGCCCATCGTAGGCACGAGGCGGCCAGACGATTTTTTATCGCAGCTGCAGTATGTCAGTATCTAAGTCTGTAAGTGGTGAATGGCACAGACTACGCAATTCGATTTTATGAAGTACCAGTTCCGCCTTGTGGCGCGCTAGGCCTGGCATAGAGTGCGTTAGTACAAAGTAGGCTACTGCCACGGTCAAACGTCAAATGGTGACATTTAAAAAAATGCTTGTAAATTAATTCTTCTCAACATGGTTCTTGGACTTCTCTGTACACTTGCGCTCCTTGGCTCTGTGAGCGCAGAGGTCTTGGTTCTCACGCAAGACAACTTCAAGAGCGAGCTTGAGAAGCACAAGAACCTCTTTGTAAAGTTCTACGCTCCGTGGTGTGGACACTGCAAGCAGTTGGCTCCTACCTGGGAGGAGATGTCTGGGGAATTCTCTGTGATGCCCGTGGCTGAGGTTGACTGCACTACGCACACGGAGATCTGCGGGAAGTACGGCGTCAATGGCTATCCGACCATCAAGCTCCTGCAGAGTAATGGGGCAGTGATGGACTACGACGGCCCCAGGGAGAAGCAGAGCATGATGCAGTGGGCCGAGGCGATGCTCAAGCCCGCGCTTGTGGAGTACAACGATATCAATGACATCAAGGACAAAGCCTCGAAGACGTCGCAGCCCGACATCTACTACGTCATGGAAGGCCCTCAGCTCCTCGATAAATTTGAGGACTTCTTTACACCCATGAAGGGAAAGCATTTCTTTGGATTCCTCAAAAGCGCGAAGGAGAAGCTCTATGTGATGCGCGAAGGTGTGAAGCTAGACTTCAAGGGCAAGTTCGACAAGGCCTCTGTCCAGGCCTTTCTGCAAGATAACAGGTTCCCCTTCTTCCCTGAGCTCGGGCCTAGCAACTTCCAGGACCTTCTCAAGAGGCCTGGCCGTCTTCTGACTTTTCTCGCGATTGATCCCTCTGAGCATGAAGACACGCGTAGCAAGCTCGCCAGCTTTGCACGTAAGCTCCAGACCGGTGTTGCAGATTTGGATTCTAAGTTTGTCAACGACTATTACACATTGACGTCCATCGATGGGGTGCAGTGGGCGCAGTTCATGGAACAGTTTGAGATCAAGAAGGAAGACTTGCCCCAGCTGGTCGTTTATGACGTTCTTGCAGGCAGCAAGAAGTACTTCAAGGCATCCATTGGTGACTCAGTGGTTGAGGACGTCACGGCGTTCCTCCGCAAGCACAAGTCTGGGGCTGTCCCGCCTTCCTATATGGACAAGGAGGAGGCCAAGGCCGCCAAAAAGACGGCCCAGGGCGAGGAGTACACCCCATCTGGAGGCAATATTGCTGACCGCATCATGGAGTACATGAACACAATGCTCAATGAGAACTTCGCGCTCTTCGTCGCCATGGTCCTTATAGGGTCGGCCATCGTCATGAGCCTGGTCGTCGGGTGTTGCTGCACGGGCAAGAAGAAGAGAACTCCGAAGAAGAGCCCCCCGAAGACCGCCAAGAGGGACAGCGAGAGCACGGACCCGAAGCAGAGCCCCAAAAAGGCCTCTGCCGTCAACAAGCCTGCGCAGGAGAAGCGCAAGAAGTAAACCGTTCTTGTCTGCAGACACTGGAACCCCCAGAGTAATTCCGGCCTGTTCCTGGCGCCGAGGCTCTTGTAGTGTAATGGTTAGCACCTCGGACTTTGAATCCGGTAGTCTGGGTTCGATCCCCAGCGAGAGCGCTTTTCAATGCAGCCGGACGCCTACCTCCGCCGGCTCGGGCTCTTTGCGGCTGGCCGGCCCGCAGACGCGGCTCTGCTTCTCTCCCGCGACGAGCATGACGAGCTCCTCGGTCTGGCGGCCCGCGTCCTTCTACCGGCGGGATCACACCTCCTGCGCCAAAGGCTCGTTGACGCCGCCCTGAACTGGTTTGAGGAGCTTAGCAGCACCTACGGCTTTGTGACAACAGACTTTCGGCAGCTACCGAATCAGTCCAAGGACACGGTGCACATCGAGGCCCGGGCCCGGTACGCCCTAGTCAGTCTCTTCTGCTGCATGATCCACGATGAAACGCCAGCCCATCGACTCCCATCTAGGGCTCCTGAGGCCAATTCAGACAGCTTTTCCAAGCTCTGTGAGTTTCTGCGCACATCTCTTGATGAAGAGGAGCAGATCTATTGGGACAATATGGTTCTGTTTCTTTGTGACACACTTGCCTGGGTCTGCAATGTGAACATCAATGACGATGATGCTGATCTGGCTTGGGTCTATTCTCCTGACTTCTACTCAGATATCATAGTTACAGACAACATACTTGATCCCGCCTTCACAAATTCCGTTGAGTCCTCTAGCATCCCCTATTTGCGCTTTGAACAATATCCCAGGTTGTACAATACAGTGACGTACATATCGCGCTCCGTCCGGGGCCTGTACTATCACTCGCTGGCTGTTCTCTCCTCACTGCGACGAGTTGAGCACCTTATGCAGATATCCAACATTTCTTGCCGCCTTCTTCAGACACTATCATCCGTTATTGTCGACGAGTATCTTTCAGACAGTTCCAACGCCGTCGCATTCACTATGCATACGCCTACTCAAAGCAGTCACAGTATGTTCAGATCACGCAAGCTCTTTAAGCAGCATGAGACACTTATCATGAAGCTTTTGGGGTTTGCGACTGCTCTGGGGAATGCCTATGCTCAGGCCCTGGCAAGCTATTACTTCATTCATGCTGAGCTGTATATGATGGATGCCACTGAAGAAGATATGAGCTTGTTGGAGGAGCTCATTAGCAACCTCTCCGAGGAGATAGCCGTCACCATAGTACGGTTTACTCGCGCATTTCTTGTTGAAGACGAACTCCAGCACAGCTCTGAGACAATCATAACATGGCTTCTAGATACAGATTTCCATTCTCCGGATGGAAGACAACGGTCCCATACACTCACGCGGGAATACGACCTCTTTCGATACGACGCTTTCTTTTACATAATGCTTGGGTTTATTTCACCCATTCGATCTGTTTGCAATTACTTTACAAGGGAGTTCGACCTCCATGTGTATTCGTTCCGCAATTTTATGGAAACCAACGTTCCTCTTTCGTGTGTTTCAGAATTTCTTCTGTCGCGATTTTCAATAAAACGGCCGGCCTTAGGGCTCACTGCCATGTCACAGATGATCTTCTATGATATCTTCTTAGATGCATATGAACTTAGGAGTGATGAAGAGCTAGATATTCTCTTGACAGAATTTAAGCCATCCCTCCGAGACTCGTTAGAAAACTTAACCAATGAACCTCTTTCGCTGAGAATTCTTCGCTTTGTCTTGACATCTCCGTACTTCAATGACGCCTACAGCAATTCCTCAGAAGTAACTGCAACTAGACTATGCGCATGCACGAGCTATATAACCCCTAAATATCTCGCAAGCTCCCTATCTGGTCCTTCTAGTATTCTTTTAATCGGTGAGTTTTTGGCCCAAACACTGGGCACATATAGCACCAGCCTCTATTTGGCCCGCTTCATACAGGCGGCTAAAGCATTGGACGACAAGATTGATAAGCCAATAAATGTTATGAAGGCATGGATAAGCATTTTTCGAGGATTGAAGCTGGCACAGGAGTATATTATTAACACACATCCTTTGGCGCTATTCGAGTTGACAGATATGGATCCTTCCCAACCATTTTGTATACACGAATCCTTAGTTCTCTATAATTCCATTCTACCATCTTTTGTACTAGTGAGAGTTCCAGACACTAGTCTGTCCCATCAAATGAATGATGTTCTTGCGCAGCTGTTCGGAGAACTACTCTATTCTTTGGGATTAGCTTCCCAACTACATAGCATACCCAATACTTTGTTGCAAAAAGCCAAACCGACTCACACACTGGTACCAGCTAACACACTTATCCAGGAGATGTATATTCTCATATCAACCGCACACGATGATAAGGATAACATATGGGCCTGTTCTGCCATGATTGACGGGCTTTTGTATACTCTAGAAGCGTTCACCCCACTCAGCAACAAGTACTCATATATTGACCATTGTCTGCTTCTAGATATGACGCTAAAATATGGTTCGTCCAAGCAAATAACTAGCATGCTCAATCGATTCTCTGCGCTAACTGCTGGGCCAGTCGTAATAGCAGACCTTATTGCAGGCATAATGTCAGGGAGTCGGAGGTCCAGTAGTTTAATCTCTAATCATATACTTTCATTTCAATATTCTCTTATAAACTTGACCAGTATTACCAATGTAATCGATACGGAAGTGTGGACGCAGCTGCTTCGAGATAAACAGAGCCTTCTCCAGGTTACATGCGCCGAAGAATTGCCCCCTGACCTTGCAGATATTTTATATGAAATACTAATCGATGAAATACTTTGTGATGACAGTTGTATAAAGATACTCTTTGATCACAGACAATCACCACAACGACTAATGCGGCTTCCTATTTTTCGGCACTTCCCCCTAGAGATCGTCGCTGCTTTTCTCTCTGATCTCTTGCACTTGGTAGCCAGCGATTTCTCTTACTCTTTGGATACCAAGAATTCCACTGGATGCATTATTGATACAGAAAATCCGTTCCAGCTTCAGCGCAGCAATCCTCCTGTGCCACTAAGATCTCTGCTACTTACTTTCATCAAGTCTATGGAAGGTAATAGTGCACCAGTTGATTTGCAAATATTGTATTCTCTAGACTCATTTCAGACTCAATGCCAAGAGAAGAAGACGATTGCCTTTGGGGGTACAGTATTACATTTGCAATATCTTCTACATGGAGTTTTAGCACTCGCTGAAATATGCGCTTACCTAAACAACGTTACCTCATCATTACCCGGGTTTACCGATATTTCTCGCTACATATCATTATTTGAAAAATCAACTGCATTAGGATATTCTGGAGTGTATTCATTCACAGACTCTCACGAGGTCAGTCGATTACCTAAACCTGACAGCACGGAGAACAATACTCTTCCCGGCTTCACCAGATCGATTGATAGATGGACACAAAATACTATTGACATTCTGGCACACAATCCTATACTTGTTACCAGACTTATCAGTATTCGGTCCGCCATAATGTTGGTCGGACGAGAGCTGGCAAGGCAGGGCAGTGCCTTGCTGATAAAGCTGGAAGTGCTGTTAAACATAGGCGCATCCGGAGACTTTCTCTACAAACATACTACTCATCTATTTGAAACCCACGCAGAAAACAACCAAAAGGAGCTTAGCGGTGCTGAGAATGACGCCATTAGTATGACTGCAATGAGATTGCTTGCCTGCTTTACACGAATAGTCAGAACAGACTTCTACGAATTCAATAAAAAGGAAAAGCTTCATCTTCTTCAATATGCTAGAACGCGTAATGAGTTCTTGCCCCACTATCAGCAGGCAACGGTACTGTCAGATACAATGTTAGAAGACGACGAGCATTACTTGTGGACAAAAAACGCACTAGAGAACGTAATAAGCACCGGGATGACGACGATTTTCAGCATACCTCTTGCAGATCAGGCGTGCTACTACTTTCTACTTGCTTTTATAAGCGGCAGGCCCCGAGACAATGCCAGCGAATTCATGTTTTCTTCATCAGTTGACCTGTGCATGGTTGTCCTAGCGTTATATAGCTCATTCCTGGTATGCTTATACTATCCAGAGAAAAAGGATGACACAGCAGCTCCCAAACGATCAGTGTTTCTTCGCACGGTCTATCTCCTGGGAAATTTTCTTTACCTCAATTTCAATCCTGTTCTTCGAAAAGCCAGCAAAGTTTTCCCAAACATTCCGACTGAAAATAGATCACCGTATCAGAAATCTCTTCATCTCAACAATGCAACGAGGTCTGAAGAAATGGCTTCCACAACTAATTGGGAAGAAACGGTTGCAGCCATGACCCTCACTATCCTGCTGCACATCCTCAAGAGATCACTAAGTGGTACAGATAATCACACCATCAACATATTAGAATGGACTGTCCTAATCTCGTCAGAAACAGTCGAGTTCTTTACCCTGCTACTCTCTGCTCTTTCTGCCCTTTTTAAGTATTTTAACCAGTGCCTTCAATCCTCAGGTATGCTCTTATCTTCTAATCGATTTTCCTGCGACTCAGCTTTCGTTAGGGTGATCTCAATACAGTCACAGTTAAGATTGACCCTACATGCAACGATAGGGGATATGTTATCGACTCTTACTTTACCGTTGTCAGGACATGTTATAGGCTTGAAGGTGCCACAATACTCTTTATTTATAAATATTTTGGAGGCCGAGAAAAGTGAAGCGCGTAGAGAGGCTATCGATCTTGATGAGGCTACACATAATAAGGCCATCAACTCCGTAGATGGTAGCCTAACCAAGGATCTTTTTAAAGAGCTCCATGGAAAGCATTTTTCCTTAAAAGAAAAAGTAGCATATGCCAGAGAAAATATATCTAGCTTAGCAATGCTCTCATATCGATATGCTAGGGAGCGAGCGCCGGCAAAGTCTCCGAAGAAGTTTCGGTTAATGTCTATGAAGGCTCTGCCTCCGCATCAGGTAGATGAAAAACGTGTCTTAACGCTGTCCTTTTTCAGTGCCAATGATCTGCTGACTTTGCATGCCATCCATCCTTTCAACTCAAAGCTTTTGGTAGATCTTATTAAAACACCTATATTTGCGTTTCCATTCTCTGACACGGCTTTCTGGGGGTCTATTCTTTGCACTAAGAATTGTGGACACGCACTCCTGAAACTCTTTATCAGAGCATCTCTTGATGGGAGTCAATCTCTAATTCAGCTGCCACTACCCCTACTATATATGTCGAGATTGTCTCCGTATCTAGAGGTATCCATATTGGCAGAGAAACTCCTGACCAGGCGTTTTGGTTCCAATGGCTGGCAATCTTTAAATGCCTACTTAATGAATTCTTACCTAGCAGAAGCAGATATCCTTCTTTTGTCACTGCCGACAGTTGAAGAACATAGCATATATGAAAGTGGCAACTATGACTTAGACTTTTTAATGTGGATTCGTGACAGCTTTCTTCGTGCAACAAGCGCTTTGTTTTGTACACTAAACCTTCAGGAAGATCATAAGAAGGCGTCTGGAATCTCCTTCTCAATTTGTCAAAGTTTGTTAAAGTACATAAAACCAGATAAATGGAGGGAGTATGCACTAAATTGGATTGAAACATCAGGGCTGAACACAGGGTTTTACAATTGTAACGTGGTAGATTTAGGTTCTTCTAAAGGACAAACTATGCATTGTGTGTTTGAGTGTATGGCGCTTGATGCTATAAAGTCACTATCCCAAGCCCCCGCCAACATTTCAACACTGTTAAGTAGAGAACTACAAAGGCGATTTTCAAAGGACGCGCGTACATCACTTTGCTACCTAGTGCTTCTATTCAATCCAACGGAATACATGAGGTATATTATTGACCAGTGGACGAAGGAGCCAGAGTGGTGCGGATCTCTCCTGGTTTATTTGGGATCTCCAATACATGATCTTCAACGATCATTACCTATAGAAGTAATGTTTATAAAGCTCTTTGATTTTGAAAACATATTCAAGCCTTGGCTAAACTGCCCCTCCGCGGGGCATCTTCTTGAATTCTTCAATCAAACCACAGAAACTACTGTCTCACCAGAGGTAAAAAGCAGTCTTGATAATGTCGACAAAATAGATCCTAAATATATTCCTAAAGACCTCATCTCTCGAATATACGAATATCAGAAAAACAAGTGCCTCTTCGGTCTCGTCACCATAGTAACAATTGTGCTATCTTTGTTTCTTTCCGACAAGAATACAGAAAGCGAACTAAGCGGATTCCAATCCGCTGCTCTCAGTCTCTTCGCCGCTGCGTCCGACTTCTTTTATCTTGACGAGCTAGGAGCAAGCGATCCTATAGAAAGTTATTCGTCCTTATCTGGTTATCTATGCTATGCATCCCTAGATATTGTTGTACTAGCTAATAAGATAGCAACTGCTGCAAGCTACAATTCATTTTTGAAACTTCCCAACTTGCACAACCAATTGTTATACTATAATTTTTCTCCAGTTCATAGTATCTCCCATCAAAGGGAGTCCAGCTTGCTGCAGTTTTTAACCGCGCAGACAGGGATTGTGACAATGCAGAAGAGATTAAAGCGAGGAGTGACATCAATTAGTTCGAAGTCCATCTTCATTGACGCATTTGTTTCATTCCTGGAGAAAATTCAGCATATGTTCAACGCCTCTGACGCGATATCAGTTTCTGGCATTGCTCCGATGATGATAACATTTTATCATGATATGCTACTTAATAAAGGATTCTCGTCTGTTCCTGCCCTAACAGTGGAGAAAGTTATTCAAGGTACTGTAGAGGCGTGTATGTCCAGCTCCGTCAGCAAAAGTGACATCCCGGTCACGTCAATCAAAGCGCTCATAGACATCCTAGCAATTAAGGCATGCAATTATACTTTATCAGGAGGTAGTCAGCATGAATTCCAGGCTGTCTCACAGACCCTCACGACCATATTCAGTAAGTGGGACCTTATGTTATTGTCGCCAAAAAGCTTAAAGATGCTAATTACCGATCTTTATATGATTCCATGCTCATACCCTATTCCCGATCTATCACACCAGATTGGCTTACTCGTTTTCCAAATTTTACGGCTACTTAGGAGGATGGACACAGATACTTTTCCATTACAAGCAGCACTTGCGGGCGCTGCTCTATTATGTGACGGAGATGATGTTGCAGCCATCGATATATTACAGTCACACGGGTTTTCAAGCCTTCAAGGAAAGGAGAACGTAAAAGAGTGCATTACTGAATACATAGTATCGTCACCTATTGAACAAGCGATTCTAAGATTATTGAGTGACACCACTTGATTGTACGGTCTTTCCCCCAAATCTTGCGTTTTTCCGCATTAAAAGTAGTTGATTATTAGTACAATCATCAATCATAAAACATATAATTATCTATTTAAAAGATAGTAGGGCATGCATGCACAATGCTCAGTTGGGCAGATTATGTCAGCTATTGATCAAAACATGCAATCGTTGCTCAGGACCTGTACAGTCAGGTAAATATTAAATTTAGATTTTAGATATCTCTTACTCGATTGTTGACTTCACAATTGCTTTGCCGTAGGGGAGACTGCTTCCAGTAAACTAAACGGCATAACAGTTAAGCCACCCAGTGTCTAAGGTAGAGTTCTGTAAAAAACATGCTGGGGGTGGATTATCTACTAAGCTGTCTTTGTGCCATTTGATGCCACAAGCTTTTACTGGACATCAAGCCAAAACCAGCAAAAAATCGTGACATTGATATGCCAACAGAGTCCGAGAAGTAGTCTAAACGTACCTAACAAGAGTAGCCATTGGATATAGAGCAGGCCTAATTGATAGTTGATGCTACTGGATACCATGCAGCCGGCAACCCTTCCAGTTCTTGTCAGTTGCCATCCAATCAAAATTTAAAATCAGGAATGCCGCCACAGTTTCGATTTATTCAAGCCGATCCGGATGAATTTGATGATTTGGATGGATTCGATGTGGATTACGCTGGCGTTTTTAACGGTGTAACAGCAAAGTATACGAATGTGGTCGATGATCTAGACTCACTATCCTTAAAGCAAGACCCCGTTCCTGCAGAGGCAAAGGCTCCAGAAAAACACAGGAAGAGAAAAAAGCGCTCTGCAAGTTCTGTTAAGCTAACTGAGGAGGCCCACACTTTGTCTCCTCGTTCCAACAAAAGGGATAGCAACAGATCCATTTCTGCTTATAGTCAGCAATTGGGAAAGGAGATTGAAGGACGCCGGTCAGTATCTGCAAGATCTCCATCTCCGCAACCGAAAACAGCTATTCAGCAAGTAAAAGAAGTCTCCGCATCCAGCGGCATGAACCGTGATAATGCGTCTACAGCAGTAATGGGAATAGAAGAGAAAGAGGAGAAAAAACACAGAAGGCGTAAAGTTAAGAAGCATACAGTCCAATCATATAAGAATGAGCCTACACCAGGTCCATTAACAGAGCATACCAATAACAACGCGTCTCTAGCCGAAGGTGACAATAAGGCTGGTATGGATGTGTCTCCTATCAATACTTGGAATCCGTACAAACAGGGGAAAACACCAAACCTTAGCTCTGCAGGCTTCGCCATATCTGCTTCCCCGATAAATCGGTCAATAGGAAGCAGGGGGTCGCATGTGGAGCCATATGCATCATCAACTCCCGCTATTCCAGAGCTAGAGTCGTTCTATGCCGATTTACCTATAGAACTGAATGATCCTGGCAACAATAGCCTTGCCAAGTCGATAGCACTTGACTTATCTGTCGCTGACGGTGCTAAAGAGACGTCAGTTGCCTCAGAGTTGAGCCTTCACGAGGGTCTCTCAGAACATCGTACAGGCAGCTCCACAAAGCTATCTGCACACTCTCCACTCTCCATACACTCTGCACTGGAAACTAAATCATTGACAAGCAACATAGTAGGGCTATCTACGCCCAAAATTAAGTTTGAGGGCAACCAATCTGTAAAGGCAGACAATGCACCAGCTGCTCTTAGTGGCCACGCTGCTAGCCTTTCTGTTGAAGTTGCCGATGAAACCATATCTTTACGAGCCAGGATAAAGGAGCTAGAAGACGCACAAAAGGAGGTATTACTGCAAAAGATGGAAGAGGAAAAGAAGTCTCTCTTGATAGAGCAAAGTATGCTAGCATCAAGATTGGAGCAAGAGCGATCAAAGATAGCAGATATATCATATAAAATAGTACACCATTCTGTCACTGCTAGTATGGTCGGGGAACCAGAAACAGACACTGAGAGAGGAGATGGACACAACCATATGGATCAAGATTTGGCAATCCTTGGGCCAGCACCTGGTGCAGACAGCAATCAGGGTGAGATTGTACTAACATCATCAAGCGGTAGACAAGATACGTTTCAAGAAACGTCAAAGGTCCAGTATAGTGTGGTAGCGAATGATTCCAAGCAAAGCTCTGCTATCTCAACTGTAAAATCCAGCCCAGGAAAAAGCGGACTTTGTCTGAATGAAAGTACACAACCCATAAAATCAAAATCTCTACACACCAGAAAGCGGAAAAAATATATCAGATCTTCCTCTACAAGTAGTCTAAGTACTGAGTCTTCTGACTCATCCACAGCCTCACAAGAGCGATATCACATTCACCGTATCAGATCCAAAGGCTCCTATCGATCGTATAGACGGCGATCAAAATCAGAATATAAGTACTTGTATGCATCTATAAAGGAAATGGAAGCTCGGCAATTTGAACTGCTCGACCGGATTGCGGAACTAGCAAACGAAACGAAGACTGTCCGGAGTATTGGTACGGATAGCGTGCCCCTAGGTGCATCTGTAACATCATCAGCTGAGCATTCTAATTCCGGATATGCACACCACGGGTCATTTCCGGTTATGACCCCTAACTTTGGCATGATGTCCCTTCCAGTAATGCCCATGATGCCCATGGTGTCCCCCATGTGCATGACATCTATCAGTGGAGCTCCTTATCCACACATCTTACCTACAACCCCGCTCCAAGGACAGATCTTTCCACAGTATGTAACTCCACCTGTGAGCCACCAATCTACATATCCCATGTTTCCTTACTATAACGCTGCACCCCAGCAACAAGTACCGATCTCAAACGAGACAGCTGCGCTCATATCGACTGTATCTCATGTGATGGGCACGACATCTGTACGACCAAGCGTGCGTGACACGATTAAGGGTATCATGACGAATTACGGTCTACAAAACTAAGAACGTTGACATGAAAATCGAACATTACACGGAAGCTAGTCTAATAAGCCATAGGAACGGTATAAATCTTTAGTCCCACTTCACATCGTCCATTGCAGCCCACAGATACGTAACAGAGTTATTTGAACTCTTAAGGTGTTTCTTCATATCGGTTATCACTGCAATCATTGGAATGTCGTATAGTAGCTCATACATATTTCCTCTGTCATCAGATAAGATGGCGTGTACATCACTACTAAATACAATCTGTCTTATCCTTCCATTAAAATCTAGCGAACAGTGCACTGACCCTGTACCAAATTCATAAATGGTAAGTGTAGACGCATTGTGCTTATGAAAAACTGTGGACACCAAGAAATAGGCACCCACTGGGTCAAAGTAGATAGTGTGCTCGCCTTCGTCAAAGATCTTATGCGCAGATACAGACACTAACTTGCAATCCGGTAGAGTATAAAGCCCAACACCAACATCATGCACTATTACGGTATACATCGATGAAGGATGAACAGCAGCACACGAGAGGGTCATGGATGCCAAGGAGTACACTCCACATATACGAATATATGGTGGCTCTGCAGTTGTAGCGAGGACAGAAACGGACTTCTGGTAACGGGTAGAAAGCAAGAGATAGTCACCATATGCCACACCTCTGTCGCATGCCAAAAAAGAAGTCAATGCGTTGAATGTGCACTTTCTTGAGAAAAGGCTGTAAGCGGCCAGACTATCTAAAGCAGGAACAGAGAGCAGATGTAGTTCTTGGTCCGTTAGAAGGCAAATCCAAAGTGGCATGTTTTCCTCCTGGTTCATCAGTACTGCATTCTGAGACAGATCCTTTTGAGTAGGCGCAAGAGGGCCAGCAACAAAACATCCAGCTTGGTAGCTGTTGCTATCAAACGTAAGGCCCTTTTTACTGCATTTCCTTATATGCTTAAGCCTGAAGTAAGACTCCATAGATCTCGATTCATCCGGACGATGCATTAGTGCTTCTAAAAGAATTAGATGTGTGTCAGTAACAATAAAGGCGTAGTGTTGGTAGTAGGGATCTATAACAAAATCTAAGCAGGGACCGTGGAAACTTGGTTCAAGAAAGAAGGATCTGGGCACGTAGACGTGCAGCTTAGGACTAAAAGATGTCTGGAAACTAATAATTCTTAACGTGGTAGTGCCAGTTGTAACAAGACAAAGGTCTCGAAAGGGAATAATGAAGGCTGGGTGCGTGCAAAGTCCAAGGCAAGGTGCAATGGAACGTGATGCAATATCACCAAGAAATACTGCGCCTATCCTAAAGACTACAAACACATTTGGATAGCTATTTATATCCAAGAAAGCAACTGCCAGAATAGCTCCGTTGACACGTGCATGCTGTCGGAGATCTAAGGTGGTGATAAGAGCAAGAGATGTACAATTATATATAGAAACATATCCTGATACGTGACCCACTACTAAGTAGTTGTTTTCTAGGTGAATGTAGCTGGCCAAAACGGTATCTCCCGCCAAGTCTTTGCGAGAAAGAATTGACCAATCAGAACCGTATAGGTAGAGCATGTCCTTGCACACACAGAGCACATGGTTTGAAAGCAAAACTCTCACATCAAGGACTGTGCGCCCCCGGGTACCAGGTAATTGTCTGGAGGATGCCGATAATGTTTTATCACTTGTCAATTGTACCATAGAATTAGATTGATCACATGGGATGGATGCTGATTGGACTGTTAAATGCTGTCTGTACCTAGCTTTGACAGATCTTAGCTCGAGATCTGTTAATAGAGGTAAATCCGTCCGCTCTACGTGCTCAGTGAATTGCGGAAAGACATCGCGCATTGCAATCCTACTTTGAGCAGCGCTTGAGGCGTGATTGAAAGGGCTTCGGGTAGTCCATATGTGAACATAGTTGTCAATCTCCTGATCTTCTTGGACTTGTACTACCAAAAAATAGCTATATAACGTATCAGTCTGCACCACTCCTGCTGAAATAATAGTGCCCAGAGTCATTTGAGGGGCTAGTGGAAGGTCGTGAAACAGAGAAAGGATATTTTCTGAAAGCTTGTAGCTCCGAGCGAAATGCATCCCTATAATAAGCAGTATATCTCCACAAGCCCATAAGAGTGCAGTGTTCTTAACGGATATCTCCGCTAGCTTGGTATGAGTGTTCAAGTTCCAGCAAAAAATGGAACTTTCGTCAGCCGAATAGATACGTCCAGATCCCGCAGCAATACATATAACGGATGAAGCATGTTCGCAAAGAGAGCCAAACACCCCGGTTTTGGAGCACCAGTAAATAACTTCTTTGCCGACTCGAAAATAGACCCGTCCTGCTTCTGCAACTGGAGATAGACGGGGTACGGATATGTCTGTCTCTGCATAGATTTCTGCATTGTGCATGTGCAGGTCTATTGGGAAAAGCGTGGGCACCGCGGGACCCACGCAACCTATCTGCATGTGATAAAAATTATGCGTCCCGCTGCCAATAGTACTGTCTATGATACATTCTACGATCCCGATTTGGTGATGCCACCACTCAAGAATCCCATGGCGACGACAGCAAAACAGCCCGGCGTTTATCCACAACTTACGTCCCGTGTAGCCACTCTGAGCACATACTCTGGCGATGCACTTTCTGCCAATCCGCGGCGAAGTTACTCTACCGACAGAAGCATGCAGTCGGCAGAGAACCTCATTGCCTCTCTTTACGGGAAGAACAGAGCAGTACCCGAGCCGCGGAAGTTGAATGACAATACTTTTGTTGACACACTCCCGATTAATAAGCCCACAATTTCGACCTCTAACACGAACTCAGTGTATGATAAGCTTATTAAAGATCCGGCAAAGCGGCAAACTAAGGCTTTGGCAAAGATCGATAAAGAGTCTCTGATGGATGAGATACAGACACTTCGCAAGCAAAAGAACGCGCTTGAGGAGCTCACGCGTAAGCAGCAGACAAGAATTTCCCGCCTCGAGGAGCTTTTGAAGTCTAGAGACAAGGAGTTGCAGAATTTGACGCGAATGATAGCCACCGGCATTCCAGATCCAACCAAAGTGACGGATATGATGGCACTCAAGCAGAAGGAGACCGCTCCGACAATGGACTACGTAAAGGGGCTAAAGCATAAGATGAAGGAATATTACGTTAGAAACCAAGAACTGCTCAGCTTTATCGACAGACTGAAGGACAGTATGAACTTTCAACGCATGAGGCAGCTAGAGAAAAACCTCCTAATCTATTACGATAAATATAACCAGCTGCGAGTGAAAAATGGTTCCCTTAATCAACACTGCATCGAGCTTGAAGAGGAGCTTGGAGTGGTTCATGACAAGATGCTTCAAAGCTTACGAGCGAGCAAGAAGTACCAAGGAATGAGGCTATCTGGAGATGCTCAGGATGCTCGGGATGACATTATTGCTAGCGTAAGCTCAAGCAAAGACGGAAAGTACACTGGTCCGAGTGCACATGCTTCTCTCATTAGTGGTTCGAAGCAGCGTGAACCAGCTGCAGAGCCAGATGGCAAGTTTGTCTCTGATATATTTGATGTTTCCAATGTCATGCCGAATGCCAGTGAATCAGGGAAGGCCATCCAGGATCAACTGAACAAACACTCCATGGCGCTTCAGACCTCGATGATTGCAAATCAGAAGAAGCCTGCCGAACGGGGCCACAGCAAGACGAAGAATGCGAACGAGAAAAACGACCCTATAGCAGAGCTTGCTGCACGGTTCTATGAGAGCAGGCTGGAGCGTGAACGTAAGCGCTTGGAGTGCTCCTTTATTCCTGATGTCCCTGCTCCCCTTGAACAGGTGGAATATAAGCTTATTGAGGATGAGTTTGAAGAGTTTCTGAAGAACTATCGAATTGATAAGACTAGCGACCTTCTTGAAACACAAGGGAATCAGCAATCCGCGCCGAACCTAGGGAAGCCTACAGGAAACCAGGGAGGAGCTATGGTTCTTAGTAGGGATGCTGGTGCTAAGCAGGCCCAAACAAAGCCCGAAAAGCTTGCGCGCCGCTTGGTTACGGAGATAAAGCGCTCAGAAGTGGCCTCTGCAGTTTCGGCACAGGCTTCTAACTCACACGAGTCTACAAGTAAGACGTCTCCTAATGCTATGAAGCGGGAAGAAAACCCTTACTTTGTGCAGAGACGGCCATCTAAGGATACCTGTAGCGAGAAGCCAACCTCGGTATCTGGCAATAGGCCATATGAAGACACCGACAACGGCTCGACTATATGCGATTGGAACTCGTTTGTCGAACCAGAAATGGTTAGCCGCGTTGGTGTGACAATGACAGAAGTAACATCTGCTGGTGGTCCACGACCGCGGCCAAAGACTCCCTTAAGTGACACATCTGGGCTAGGAGGTGATTCAAAACCATCCAAAAATCCTAATAGCTTTTATCCCAATCTGCCGTCACAAAGTGACAAGTCGGCACCTGCTCAATCAGTGCCAGAGGAGGATTCTGGTGTCAAGAATAAGAAACCAGCTGAACAGCTGTCTAATTCCGATACTGACTTGCGTAATGAAAACGATCAGAAAAGCACAGATAGAACTGAGGAAGAACCAGCCCAAGAGCAACAGAAGACTATCTCATTTGATCCTCTCTTTGATCGCTCCCCCGATGAAGCTAAAACGATTAGCGATGCCGTTCCCCCTCCTGAGATAGCGTCTCTTAAGTCAAGTCCTCACGCAACAGATCAGACGCAGGATCCTATTATTGTGCAAAGTGTGACGCCAAGAGAGCTCATTGACGAAGCACCAGCTGATGTGCCATCTCAGGCTTCAGTGCAAGATGAGGCCCAGTATCCTGAGGATGACGAGACGTTCTTGGCCAGTACAGCCAAGCACGTCATAATCCATGAAGAGAACGACGGTGTTATTAACGATTCTGTGAATATAACGACGATGGATAGCAAGCCAACAGATACAAAGACTGAGGATATAAGCCTTGGAAATGCCACGTTTGACAGTGGGGTAGAAGAAAACTCGATTCTCACTAGGTTCCCTCTTACTAATGTGGCTCACGCCAAGCAGGACAACTGCTCTTTGCTTTCACAATCACATATTGACAAGGATGAGCAAAACTCTAACTTGCCGGACTTGTCCGGGAATCAGACACACGAGTCAAAGACTACGATTAAGGATTACTCTTCTCTAGTTTTAGATTCGCATATGTTCGACGATCCCAAGGCCGTGCAGGAGCCTTCTGGAGAGGGCACAAAAGACTATTCTTCCCTTCAATTGTATAGTGGGATGTTCGATGGCGGAAACCAGAAGAGCGTTACCGGACCAGACAGTGTCCGCGATTACTCCTCTCTACAACTTCACAGTGCCATGTTTGACGAGCCCCCTGCATCAAAGTCACACCCGCTCCAAAACAGTGGTGATTATTCATCTCTCCAACTATATAGTGGAATGTTCGACGCGCCAGACGAGGAGCCGGAGAAGCCGGTTCCACCCCCGCCACTCAAGGAACCTCACTATCCAGCCAATCCAAAGATCAGGATCATCGAAAGCTCCGGTACAGAATCTACTGCGTTTACAATAGAGGGAACAGAACCATCCGCTTTTAAGGCCTACTCCCAAAGTACAACGGCTATGGAACCTTCAGCGCCGCGACAGGCCAATCCCTTCCAGAAGCTTCAGTTAGAAGATCAGGAAATCGCATTTAGCCACAATAATCCTATTGCTGAAGAGTCCAGTAGTATGAATAGCAGCGCATCCCACCCAAATCCACGTGATGGAGGGGAAGACTAGCAACACCTGCCCTATAACTAGTCTGCTTCCGGATGCTTCTCTGCCCACTCCTTCACAAAGTCTATCACCGCTTTATGTCCGCCTCTTTCGGCGTAGTAAATGCAAGTTTTTCCGTTTGAGTCCTTCATGTGGAACTCTTTTTCGACGAGCCTCTTGACTGCATAGAAGCGGCCTGCAAAACAAGCGCTCATGAGGGCGGTTCTCCCGTCCTTCATTGCCATTCCCGCTTCGTAAGGAACCAAAAGGTCTACCAGAGTATCAGAGCCGCTCATAATCGCGAAGATAAGGGCAGTGGACCCGTCCTTTTTGGCCAAGCCCTTTTCGTGCATAAGAAGCATGGACGCAGCAGTGACTTTCCCACCGTTACAGGCTCTCATAAGCGCCGTGCCTCCGGGATTGTCCTGCATCCCGCCCTCGACTGAAAGAAGAAGCCTGATAGACGTGGCATCATCCATGTCAGCTGCGTACATTAAGGCCGTTTTACCCAAATTATTACCGATTCCAGCGTCAAGGGGAAGAAGTCTTTTGATCAGCTCGTAATCACGAACTTTCACGGCCAAAATAAGTGCCGTTTCTCCCTTGTCTGTGACCGCACGACCATTTTTGGAATAACGAAGAGAGGCTATCATCTCGAGACGCCCTTTAGCAAGCTCAGTAACTGAGCCAATATTCTTCTCCGCTTCAAGCAAGAGCTCGTTCTGCTGATCCAGTTGCTTGTTAAGGGCGTCAATCTGAGCTTCGTACGACGCTTTGTTAGCACTCATGGGACTTAAGGGAGCAGCAGGCTGTATGTTCTTGGTTGTCTCTGTAATCTTTGCTGCAAGTTCACTGGGGTTCATCGGCTTCTTAGTCACCACCGCTTTCGCAGGCTCCTCCGTTGCATCGCCAGTTTCCAGATTGTCCAGATTAGTGACCTCATTAACATCCTGATCGGGGAACATGTTGGCAAATCTGGGCAGATCGAGTAAATCTGCAGCGGATGGCCTGTCTTCAGGATTTAGACGCATCATCATGCCTATTGTATCTACGAATTCTTTGCTATAATGCTTAGGTAAAGGTGCTCTACGTTCTGCAAGCACTAGCTTTTCTAGCTCCGGACGCGTCTTAGCAAGATACGGAACTAGCTTTGACGCCAAAAAGTGCATAACACCCCCCAGACTCCAAATATCACATTTCTCATCATACGTTTTTCCCTGGAAGACCTCTGGCGCCATGTACATCGGAGATCCAACAAGGGTCATTGCTGAGTTATCAAAATCAATTTCACGTGCAAAGCCGAAATCGCAGAGTTTTATAACACCTTCATCTGTTAACATAATGTTTGCAGGCTTGAGGTCCCTATGCACGACCTTTTTGCCGACAGCGAAACCCGGCTTTGCAGGCGAGTGGCAGTACTTGAGGGCACATAGAATTTGGCCCATGATACTCCAGAGTCTATCCTCCGGAATATATTCGCCCTTCTCTAACTTCTGGACATATGCATGCAAGTCTCCCCCGGAGCAGAACTCGGAGAACATGCGTATCTCCATAGCATCTTCGTCATGCGTTGCAGAAACACAGCGAACTATATTTGGGTGAGCAAGCATGCGGTGTATTTTCATCTCCTGAACCAAGAGCTGGCGTGTCTTCCCCTCGGGATTCGTATAGGTCATCACTTTAACGGCGAAAATTTGCCCCGTAGCCTGATGCTGGACCTTGTAACACTTTCCATAAGCGCCCTGCCCTATAAGGGCCAGCGTGTTATAGCCTGTTTGGCTAAATAGGTGTGCCATTTCGGTTCACAATTTTTTAAAATTCACATATCATTAGATCCTATTTTCTCATCGAAGGGACCATACATTACGCGCTGGAGGGGCGGGAGGTTGCGCTCGTAGCGATCTCGGTCCAGAATATTACAGGACTTATTACAATTAGCAAGGAAAGGGTCTTGAAGAGCATCTGCAGCTGTTATGCGGGCTTCAGGACTATATTGGAGAAACTTAGCGATAAACTGCTTTTCCTCGGGCCGTACTCCATGCCTTTCAAAAAGAGTATGCATATACGGCTGAGTAGGAGGGCTGTAGTCCTTGCCGCATAGATTGATGAACGACCCATGCCAATCCGTGACACCTGGGTCTGTATCATTGGGCAACCGGCCTAGAAGGTCGGCTATCTTTGCGGGTATTCTGGACTCTTCTGCTTGAATCACTGCCGTTTGGATTATCATTTCAAAGAATGTCAGCCCAATGCTCCACATGTCAGAGCTCTGTCCCACTTCGAGGGTGCTTCCAAAGACCTCTGGGGGCCTATAAATGGGGGTCCACCGAAAACCAGGTCCAGTGTATACTATTGATGGGCCACGGAATCGGCCAGTGATCAGTGACAGTCCAAAATCCGTTATCTTAAAGACGGAAGATCCATTGTTGTCCTTTATAAGAATATTGTCTGGCTTTAGATCAAAGTGACTTATGTGGTTACGATGAAGATATTCTAATCCCAGCAGGATTTGGTAGTAGGCAGTGCGTCTGTCTTCAGCAGTTAGGCTATGTCCTGAGTTAAGAATAGATTTTAAACTGGTGTTACAGAGCTCTAGGGCGAAACAGAGACGTGCGCCGTGGAAAAAGATAGACTTGCAACTAAGAATGTTTGGGTGAGACAGCTCTCGGAAAGCCAGAATTTCCATGAATTTGTCTCCTGTAAGACCCATTTTGCTCTCTTTGCCCTCCTTAATGCGCTTTATTGCATACCATGTCTTCGTTTGTTTATGTTGGCAGCGATAGACGTCTCCGTATGTTCCGCTCCCTATGAGAGTAACCAGATCGGTGTACTCTTTTGCGCCACTTTCGTCGGGCCGCAAGTCTGGAAAAATCATAGAGAGCTTTTTGGTTTAGGGGATGTGCCTTTACTCTGTCTCGACGAGCCAATCCTGCTAGTCACGGTCGAGCAGGCCATATCTTTCATTCGCCTGCCACCCATCTCCCGTGCAGCGCTGTCCCTCCGGGCACACGACAGGGCGCCTCGTGTGCGACCAGGCCAGCGGGCTTCTCCCAGGGGCAGCCCTCGGAGTGGGAGTCTCAGAGAGGAGGCCGCCGGGGCACCCCCACCCGCTGCACGCAATCCGGTCCACACCACAGCCTCTCTACTGATACCCCTGTTCGTGGTGAGCGCGCTTGCAGTAACCTACCAGACCGGCAAGTGCGAGACGGTCGGTAGCACAGAGATCTGCACCCAGTGCAGGGCCGGGGCGTCCCGGTCGACGGCTTCTGCCGGCCCCCCGGCTCCATCCAGGCCGCGGCAGCCGGGTGCACCAAAGCGGGTGGGGCTGCCCTCGACAAGACGGCAGCCACCTGCGGGAAGTGCGGCGACGGGTACTTCCTCTTCATGGGCGGGTGCTACAACAAGGATGCACACCCTGGCAGTGACATATGCACACAGGCTGAGGGAGGACTGTGCACTGAGTGTAATACAAAGAACGGCCTGTTCAAGAACCCGGCTGCAGCACCGAAGCCTGGTAATGAGTGCATTCTGTGCTGGGACACGGTGGGAGATGGCGCGACAAAGGGAGTAGAGAACTGCGCCACATGTACAGCACCGGGGAATGCAGGAGTAGCTACATGTGATACCTGTCAAGATGGATACTACAAGGACTCTCTGGTATGTATGCAGTGTGATCAGTCTTGTCTGACCTGCGATGGAAGTGGTCCGAATCAGTGCACCTCTTGTAAGGAGGGGAAGTACCTGAAAGGGACTGAGTGTGTAGACAAAGGTACGTGTAAGACTGACTACTACCCCGATGACACTAGCATGACCTGCGTTGCCTGTAGCACCATACAAGATTGCACAGCATGCACAATGGACCAGTCCACGGGGAAGCCAAAGTGCACTAACTGCGGTAGTCAGAAGATCCCCAGGACGACCCTCGACGGGACCTCGACCTGTGTGGAAAATTCTTATGCTGGGTGTCAAGGCACAGACAAGGAGCTGTTCATGAAGGAGGACCAACCGGAGTGCCTGCTGTGTGGAGATGCTACAACGGGAACAGATCCGAAAGATAAAGGCGTCGCTAATTGTAGGACATGCACTAAAGCCAGCGCTACTGGAGCCGCACCGGTCTGTGAGACATGCAAGGAAGGATACATTAAGAATGGAAATGGTGCGGGCGCCACGTGTGAGGCTTGTCATCAGAACTGTGCCACATGTTCTGAAGCTACGACAGAAAATAAGTGCCTGACCTGCAAAGAGGGGTTCTTCCTGGCCGGCACCGGCGAAGGAAAGTGCATCTCGTGCGAGAATGGTAATGATAGTGGCTACAGCGGGCTTGCAGGATGCCTCTCTTGCACAGCCCCAGCCGCCCCGGGCCCGGCCAGCTGCAACCGCTGCAAGATCGGCTACACGCTACAGGGAACAACGTGTGTGAAGACCTGCGAGGATGAGACTGCCTGTGGGGGGACCTCTGGGGCCTGTGATGCCATAGTGATCGGTGCCAATGGAAAGGAGCTTCACTACTGTTCCTATTGTGGAGAGGCTAATAAGTATCCTATCAACGGTGTCTGTGTTAGTACTGGTAATGAAAATGGGAATACTTGTGCTAAAGGTGTATGTACACAGTGCACTACGGGATACTTTATGTACATGGGAGGCTGTTATAAGGTGACAGAGGTGCCGGGTAAGTCCATGTGCACAAAGGCAGGCGATGGTGTCTGCACAGAGGCGGCAGCCGGGTACTTCATCCCTCCCTCGCCCACCAAGGACAAGCAGTCCGTGTTGGCATGTAGTAACCCCCTTGGTGTCGAGCTGGCTGGTCAGAAGGCATACGTGGGGGTGGATGGCTGTTCACAGTGTACAGCCCCAACAGCTCCATCTGATGCTGGCATGACCCCCGCTGTGTGTACCTCCTGTGACAGTGATAGGAAGCCCAACAAGGATGGCAGTGGGTGTGTGCTGTGCTCTGTGAGTGACTGCAAGAGCTGTGTGGTGGATGATGTGTGTGGGGAGTGTGTTGATGGATACAGTCTAGACAATGGTAAGTGTGTGTCTATGAGCACCAACAGGAGCGGGCTCAGCACTGGTGCCATAGCAGGGATCTCCGTGGCTGTGGTCGTCGTCGTGGGGGGCCTCGTGGGCTTCCTCTGCTGGTGGTTCCTGTGTAGGGGGAAGGCGTGACTCAGGTAGTGAACGCTCCGTTGGTTGTTAGTGCTCAGTGAGTGTTTGCTGTCCATCCACCCGGCGTTGCTGCGTGTAGCGAGCCGTGCTGTGGTAAAGCTTTCCGCGCCTTCTCGGAGTCAGCGGGTCTCATCTTAGTCCGTATCTATAGAGATAGCGAATAGATCTCCATTAGGAAACAACTCTTCTTTTCTCCAAAATATATTCTCCAGATGAGCAGAGCTTGGTTTGCAGCAGCTCACTCTGGAGATGTTTGCACACTTAGAAGCCTCATGGACACCTACATTAGGAGCAGAGATGAGAACGGAGAGACAGCGCTGTTAATAGCCATACGGGCAGGCCATTTGAATGCCATCCAGCTTCTGGCAGTACACGAACTTACAACAAAAAGTCTGGCGGGAGTATCACCTCTAGTTGCCAGCGTACATCAGCGACGAATGGATATGGTCCATATCTTGATACGTAATCCTCAGCTGCTAACAGTGCAAGACATGGATGAGGCGATTGCTGCAGCGCACCAGGAAGGCGCCTTTGAAGATATTCTGGTCCATACGCGTCGCATAGTGGCAATATTAAACGACGCGTCAAGTCTCTTGAGTACGCGAAGCCCAACAGCAACATCTTTAAACGGCAGCAAAGCAGGGTTCGAGGCCCAAGGACTTGGTGGGACCATGCATACTAATATGAATACGCTCTTCGGCATCGGTCTAGACACCCCCCAATTTGATTTTGGAAAATCTAATAACCTCAAGCAATCTGATATTAATGAACCTAGTTCCTCTCTAAGAACTGCTGAAACAGTCAATGTAACTGGTGAAAGCGTTAACAACTGCTTAGATTTAGTATCCGGGGTCCCGCTGGACCTACAGGATATTGAGCTACCTGACATGTTGGACGCATCACTTGCTCGAGAAGATCAAGTCCAAGAGGAGACCTCTACCTCTGAGCAAAATATTGATCTTGCAGAGTCATTACAAAATTCATCTAACACAAATTTGAATTCTCAACAGAGTCCCAGGCAAGACACTCCAACGAATTTGTCAAATATAGAGTTGGCAGAAAAGATTGAGGATCTAGACTTTTCTGATGATAAGGACCAAGGTCTTACAGTGCTCGACGTGGTAGATAGCTTTCAGGGCTCTGTTCAGTCTTCGTCTGTTTGCAAACAAACCCCTCTTCCAGAGAATAGTAGGTTTCTCAACATCACTCCGTGTGCCAGAACAGCAAATGGCAGCGAGATTCAGTCGACAGAGGCCCCTGCTATGTCTATTCGGGACTTTAGCCCCCGTTTTAGAAAGAATCCAGATGCCTTCCAACTACTCTCTGGAAAGGGCTCAACAAAGCTAAAGAATATGCTCCACACTCCAGCTCCAATGTGCACGACGTTGAGCCATGACTCCGGCGATAGTGCACACTGTCCCTGCTGTATTCAATATGTAGAGCAAATTTCTACTATGCAAACACTTATAGCTAATCTAGAAACGCGTATATCTGGGCTATACGGAAAGATAAAGGAAACCACCGCGGATCGTGACAAGTGGAAAGAGCACGCCGAACGTGCCACCGAAGAAATCAGAGCGAAGAAGCAATACATTCATACATTAGAAGAACGGATTGCCAAAATGGTCACTGAGTTGTCGAGAGATGCTCAGAAGCAATGTTCTGGCATGGACCCAAATAAGAACACGGACCTAATCAATAACGCTATTATTGGGAATTTACACGGTGTATATGCATATATAAGCCAAGTAGGTCATGTGAATGCGTGCGGGCAAACAGCCCTCATGCTGGCCGCAAAGAATAATCACCCAGAGGTAGTTGCAGTTCTAGCTCCCCTGGAGGCGAAAAGGTATTGTTGTCACGGGAAGACGGCCTTAATGTATGCATCTGAGGCCAATTCTGTTGAATGTGTTGAGATTTTACTGGACCTTGAAAAGTGCATGGCATCCCCAAGCACAGACTTGCTGGAATCGGCTTATGATTATGGAGAAGCTGCTTCTGTTTCTGGTCGTACAGCCCTTATGATAGCAGCAAAGGTTGATGCGATTCAGGTGGCAAAGCTTCTTGTGGAAGATGAAGCGGGGATGCAGATGACCAACGGCGTGACTGCTCTTATGATTGCTATCTCTAAAGGGCACGAGCAAATTGCACATATGTTGCTACTAAAAGAGAGTGGGCTAGAGACCAAAGAGGGGGACTTTGCCCTCAGACGTGCAGTGCACAAGAGGATGCGGGGAGTGATCAGCACCCTTATGTACGCAGAGGAGCGGCTGATGAACAGCGTGGGGTGGACACCAATGATGATTTACACTATGCTTAGCGATTTGGACTCAGTCAAACAATATGCAGCGTCTGATTACGGGAAGAAAGACATAAATGGTTGCACTGCCTTGATGATCAGCGTCCGTCTTCGTTTGACGCCAATAACTAAATTTCTAGCGGCAAAGGAAAGCGGGATCATAGACCTACAAGGCCGCACAGCTTTGATCATCGCCGTTCAACTAGAAAACATATCAGCTATCAAGGTGCTTGCACCTTTTGAGCGGAACATTAGATCACTGTCTGGCCTTGCGCCACTAGACTACATACCGCAAAAATCTCAGAACAAAAAGCGTATTAAAGAGATACTAACCAAAGCCTATTAGTAGTATGCTATGGCACTTGCCAACAATCAGATGCTTTAGTTGCAAGAGTATCTTTGGCACCTCGACCTTTCTGGAAGTCTGAAATTTGTGCTTAAAATTAAAAAATTTGTCTATGCAACTTTCCTACGAAGCGAAGAAGGCGACGAGACTCAACAACATTGCAGCAGAGAAGGCACATGCACAGCGAAGAGCAGATGCGCGGCGAGTTCGTGACACTGACGGGCCACCCGCCGCTTGTCCAACAAAGATTCGCAAGCTGCCCCCTTCTGATTTTCGCTTATTCTATGATCGAGGCGATCTACCCATTTCTGTTGAGCATACGGCGTCTGGGAATAAAATAATATGGAAGGCAGAGATAGAGCAGCTTGACTTCCACCACTACTTACCTATATTTTTTGAAGGCCTTCGTGAAAAGGACCACCCATATGCCTTTCTTGCACGCGAAGGTGTCACAAATCTACTAGAGCACGGAGGCTCCAAGGTTCTTCCCGTCATTCCGCAACTGATTCTTCCATTACACGCAGCCTTGGAGACTCGCGACCCCGAGGTCATATGTGTTGTTCTGAACGTCTTACAGCTACTAGTTATGTGCAACGAATATGCAGGCCCAGCTCTGGTGCCTTATTACCGCCAACTTTTACCAGTGATAAACATCTTCTTCAATAAGAATATCAATCTCGGAGACAAGATCTATTACGCGCAGCGCAAGCGCCAGAACTTGGGGGACCTAATTCAGGAAACTCTTGAGCTTATGGAGCGCAAGGGCGGCCCAGATGCCTTTCTAAACATAAAATACATGATACCGTGTTATCAATCCAGCGCATGAGCACTACAATTTAAGTGACGCCTTGGTTATCGGGCGTATTCTGGCTCATTGAGTAAATCGCGTACCGAAGGTTTAGTGACGTTTCCGTGAGGTCACCTAGTGTATTACGGACGCTGCGGAGCATTGTAGGAGTGACTGCCGGGATCTCTTGGTCCGGTGGGATACTTATTATGTCCGAAATTGTGCTATCGACAGCTGAAAGATTGGCTAAGAGTCTGGTTGTTTCTGATGCCCGCAAAGTTGACTCCCGAGTCTTATTGGATTGCACAGGCTGAGGAATACCAGCAGAAGCGTGGCAGTTCGTTGCTATTTCATCTGCGTCATGCTTATTATGATAGTCTGAAAGCATTTCCAGGGCCACGCTCATATCCTTCGCCAGCCTAGTGGCCGTTGATGCAAGGATGCTACCTCGACGGCGGCTGCTGCCAACCTCCTCTACAACTGTGCGTTGCTTTTCGCCCAGGTCAGCCGTCAGCGCGTTGTATTGCTGATTTGCGATAAGACATAGTTCGCGATAACCTTCCGTAGCTGCCCAGATATCCTCTGTGTTCATCTGGGACGGTACCACAGATGTATTTGTGGCCAAAAGCCTCTCTACGACAGAGATAAACCACCGCACAGTCTTTAGGAGATTCGTATGAGGGCATGTATCTAATACTACACGCCCAGTGCTATCTGTAAGGTGGAAGGGCAGGGATTGCTGAGGGCAGACGAGCTGAAAGTGGCGTCTGGGATCAGCCAGAGATGAAAATATGACAGTGAGTGCCAACTGATGCACCTGCGTTCCAATATAATAGTCTACCGAGCCAATTAGCCCGATGACTGTCTGTTTTGCTGCTCTTCTAGGAAGCTGAAGGCCGAGAAGCTTTGGTACAAATGTCGGGAACTCCGAGAGAAGGCCAAGAGCCTCCTGCAGCACATTGCTCACATCAATAGGTGAGTCTGCTCCCTGTGCAAGGTAGCGGATCTGTTTGGTAACCTCCTCATCTTGGCCCTTCAGTCCTTTTGCGTGTGACGCTGCATTGTGCATGCACTGATCTATATTTCATTTCCAAAAGGCATATTAAATACCATGTTGTGGTAAAAGATGAGCAGCAGTGTAGCAGCAGACACCTTTGCAATGCTCGCGTCTGGGACCCTTTCTTCGAGTGTTAGTAGTCTGCTCACGAAGATTTCAAGCCACGTTAAAGACATATCACTGTCTTCAGTTCTTCAACACCTGCAGAAAGGCTTTCCGCAGATTCTTGATCTGTCCGCCGCTAAGTCAGATATGTCTGAGAAGAAGGTCCCAGCGCCAGGATCCCCTCTTCCAAAGATTTTGGGCACCCCCTCCAAACGCTCTGCAGCCATATCGTCTCAGAGGGCAGAGCTCGGGGAAGCTGAACAGGACCATCTTACAAATGCTATGCTGGCGTCTTTCTTTACACTGTACAAGTACCCTGCATCTCCTGAAGTCACAGCCATCAAGCGAGCTCTCTCTACAATGGACACACTTGCATTTCTCACTAAAGCGTCTGCCGACTCATGTAGCGTGTTCTTACTAGCGCAAGTGATTCATTTGGTGCTTATGGATGTAATTGCTATCTACACAACCAAGGCGGCCACTGTCTCTTCAGAAAATAATCATCATAATAAGTTACAGCTGGACACTGAGTACGAAGCCATCGAGCGAGGGATTGTTTCCAGCCTTCGCAGCTTTTCCTCTAAGAACAATCACGATGAAATTGTTATTGTCCTCCTCAATGCTCTTCTGAGGCTACAGCTTTTGACGTCCAATTATTTATCTGCCTATAGATCGATTTTGAACTATCGAGTGATAGTATTCAGCATCTCACATCCACAGCTCATACGCTTTTATTTTTATTCTTCTCTAACCGTAGCTATAATTGGCCAGCATGCTCGAGCACTAAAACTAATTTCTAATGCCAACCAGTTGTTTGCAGATTATTCGCCCACAATGTCCATGAAGACGCAGCTTTCTGTTGATTTGGCCGCGTTCACAACTCTTTTCAAAACGCTCACATGCACAGATTCAAGTGCACCACAGTCTTCTGCAAACGATTGCTGTGAAGCGATGCTGTGCAAAGTCTCGTTTCCAGACATATATAGAGTTCTCCTGTTCAAGCGCATGGCGCGCATAAAGACACAACTAGCATATATAGCCAAAATATTCAAACGAATAAGCCTGAGTGAGGTTTGTCGTCGAATAAATGCTTCTGAAGGCGAAGCTAAGGACTATCTCATATCGGGCGCGATGGAAAAGGCATTCAACGTTAGATTTGACGAGGACGAAGACGGAAATTGCATCGTGACTATTATCCAGCGCCAGGAGCAGTTACTATCTAGCAAGGCCAACTTCCGTACAGAGGCTCTCCAGCTGGTCGATAGGCTCAGCTTTATAAGAAGTAGTCTGACTCAGCAGGACGTTTTGCTATCGCGGCACGATGAAAAGCGTGACCAGGATAATAATACAGAAACATACCTGGACATGTTGGACCTTATGGACGCTGGCTTTAGTGACACTGATTAAGCAGGTAATCTACCAAGACGAATGAACAATCTATTTGCCACATGTCTACTAGGCAAAGGAATACAGCACCCAGATGCAAGGTACTACATGTAAATCATCCTCGTCAATTACATTTAAATGAACTCCGACACGGACCCAGGCCAGACTGTTTTAGACACGCTGAGGCACAAGTCACTCCTCCACGAGCAGGACAGAGGAGCAATGAACTGGCTTCCACGGGATATGCATTTAACTGAGAAGACCTCTGGTTCTCGGTCACGGAGTAAGAGTTGGAAAAGGGGTTCACGGGTTCCGGAGCAAGAACAACGTCAGCGAGAAGATGAGGATAGCTCCGAAGCCGAAAACTTGGTCATTGGAGAGGCTCTTAAAGCTGAAAAGCGCGCCCATGGTTTTGGACAGGCAGATGCGTTGGATCCGGCACTTCTGGAGCTTGCCCAACAGCAAGCACACGAACTGACAGCAAAGGATTCCGGAAAAGCTGTCAACTTTAAGCTTCAGCAGGATCTTCCCGTCTTCGCTGAACTTCTTACATCAAAGTACAATGAGTTGCATGGAATAGACAATGCCTCCTCTCGTTCTAGACATTCTAGATTACTAGCCAGACACTCATCAATCTCTGCGTATAAGTGCATGCTAGCCATGCTTATTTCATACATCTTATTCATCTTTGCCCACGCATCGAGTGGGTTGTCGATCCGGCACCCAGTGTTTTTGCGGATCACCGAATTAAAGAAGCAACTGGATGCGATGCAGCCGGAGGTGCACAGTATTCTGCAGCGAGCGCAAGTCCAGCCTAGGATGCGGTCTACTAGAGTCACAGACACTCCCGAGTCCTCTGGGAATGATACTGAGACCGATGGAATCAAGACTGTGGGGGCTCGTGAGCGCAGTTCTGCAACTAATGAAGATTCTGCTTCTACTTCAATGGAGGACCTGGTGGTCTTCGGGTCGGACGAGTCTGACGCTTCGAGTGCATATGAGCTAGAAGACCTTGCAGCCGGTGGCAGACCTGTCAATAGACATAGTAAGCCAGGCATAAGTGTTCTTGACAACTTGGGCTTGGAGTTGGACCTGTCCGCTCAATCGCACCCCATATCAGGAGACAGGAGCGTGAGCGCCTATGAGCAGCGAGTTCAGCGGTCAGCCGAGCGTCGTGAAGCTCAGCGTCTAAAAGCTATCCAGGCTGCAGAGAACCGTAAGCTTAAGAAGCCGAAAGAGCAAGCTGGTGTCGATATCCGGTCTAAACAACTAGCTGATGCAATATTACAAAAGGAGGAAGCGACGAAAGAGATACGAAAGGCCATAGCTCAGAATCAGAAGGGGTATGAGCCAACATACTACGATCCTACACAGGATAAGATTGACCCTACAGATAGGGTCGGCTACCGGCCTGTGTCTATTAACATGAAGAAAGGCCAAGGAGATCTAAAGCGCCATAAGAGCAAACATGCCTCCACTAGCAGGACTCTTCTTCGGTACAAATATGAAAAGGCGGTGGAGATCAACAAACGGACAGCAGTGCCAACCAGGGAGCAAAATGGTGCATATACAGGCGAAAGTAAGGGAATTCGCACAAATGTCACCCATTCCCGCAAGCTGAGCTAAGTTGTGTAAACCTTATAGCAATGGCCATTACAGATCTTGGCTTACATTCAACCAAAACAAGCTGGCTATAAAATGAAGGGGTACCGGCCAAGCTTCTTGTCGAATCCATGCATAGCCATCCTTTCAGCCTTTACCTTTATTGTGCCCACGTTGCTATTGATTCTCATGAGTATATTTAGGACCCAGCTGGCAGAGCTCGACAAGATGATAGCTGCATATATGCGTTATGCTCCAGATGATTCACTGCACCAAAAGCCCCTTCCATACAACACTGGTTTCATCTATTACTTAAACGTCTCTGAGAATGCCATTATAACCATTCCAATCATCTATGTCGGAGCAATGCTTGGTCTCTTTTGGACGGCAACAAGGACCAAAGCGCTTCTCCCGTACCTATATGTCCTTGTTGCTGCGATAGTGTACATTGGCATGGCAAATCTGACGACTCTTGTACTCAAGATAGCTCTAAACAGACCTCGACCGCGGCAGATAGCGGAGTTTACCACGGTTAGCGGCCCTACTGTGACATTCATGCCTGTGTTCAGCAGGTACACCGGCCCCAATCCGGCAAATCTGAAGCTGTACTCCACTCCATCGGGTCACACAATGTTCATGGCTAGTGCATTATTCCCGCTTCCCATATTAACATATCTGCTGGCTCAAATGTATATCAAGGTTGTAGATAGCGAGCGTACTCCCAGCACAAGTGGCCAGGGACGGCTTAAGTACATGCTTTGGCTTGTATTCTTTTATCTCGGCGTTGCCATCACGGCTGTCTTCGCTATACTTATGCCCCCGACAATGGCGTACGCTAGGTACGCGGCGAGTGCACACTTCTTTACAGATACAGTTGTTTCGATCGTGCTAGCGTTCCTCCATTTGGTGCTGATTTTCCTATCTCTTCCGGATCTTCGCTGTCTAGAAAAGGCTCCCAGTTCAACGAAATATGCAGAGAGCAATGATAACGACACAGCTCAAGCAGTCTCTTCAAGCGCGCTATCAACAACTATCAGTGCCCTGCCTCCCTAGCCACGGAAGCATATGATGCAACGATGGCAAGACCTTTAGTAAACCTCTGGCGTGTGCTGATTTTGTTTACAACTAAACTGATAGGGGAAGATTTAAGTAGTAGCGTATAGGACCATCTGCCTGCGTGTCCACCAACAGCTGTCCCTTACTCTTCATATACTCAAGCTCCTGCTCGCATTGCTCCCTTGACCACTGACTTAGCTCCCTCAAATTATCAACGGTGGTGAAAGGCATTGCTACGTCGGTATCAAATAGGAAAGAGAGAATTCTCAGAGAGTTTTCGCCCATATTGCTGTCACCCAAACTTATATATTTCTTCTCGTCACTACCAATCCTGTTTGGAAGTAATTCGTAGTCACTGGAAAGCTCCCTCAGACGTTTGAGGGATGCTACAATGTCTCTTAGCTCGATGGCGTGGGCGCTAGGTCTATCCTTGTTGAGGTAATTGTGGAGTACTTTCAGAGGCATAATCCTCCCCGATGAGTGCCTGTGATAAGAGCAGAACTCAGCTATCTTAACGTCGAGTTGCGTCTGAAGTTGGTCGCTCGGTATCCCAGTTGCACCTGGAATACAGAAGACATCCGCCCTCAGCGATGTGCACAGGTTGTTCAGAGAATTCAACAGGGACCCCTTGTCTTCCGCGTTATGCACTTCACTCATGTGATCTCGGAGAAAATTAACGACCATGTCACAGCATTCGTCGCGCTTTCTGGAAAGTGTGTTGTAATAGTCACGGTTCAGGCTCTGCAGTTGTTCGCAGACGGCGTTGGAAAGCTTGATATCGTCAGCCATTATGATTTTTTATCTGATCATGGAGCCCGGAAGAAGGTACCCCGGCACACTCAAGACCGCTGCATTAACAACTGAAGAGGGGAGGCCGTTTCCTGGTTGTTTTGCTACCTGTCGTACCATCGTCGAAATTAGCAGCTATTTGGAGTTTATTAAGGAGTCAAAGCGTCTAGAAGGCAGGCGTGAAAGGACTGACCCTCCTTTGGTGGCCCAGCCTCCCACTTACATTAAGACAGAGAAAAAGCCTGAGCCCGTGGACATTAGGCCAGAAAGCGTCAAGAACGCTCAAGCGAATTCTGGAAAAAAGTCCAAGACAGACGCTGCCCAGGAGGACGTTGGATCGCACCCTACATTGAAAAACCAAAAGCAACCAGCCGATAAGACACCAGAGAAAAAGCTTTCTCATAATTCCAAGCAAACTCGGACTGTGGAATCCTTCTGCATTACTCCGCATAACATTCTGTTTGAGCAACTAGGTGGCATAAAGGATATCGAGAAGGAGCTCACAGAAAGAGTGCTCTGGCCCATTCTACAAGCCGATCAATACAGGTATCTCGGAGTGACTTTTGGAACGGGGATTCTCTTGCATGCCCCAACAGGCTCAGGAAAAACAGCAATCGTACACGCACTAATAAATAAAATTCACAAGGAGCTCGGTCGGCAAATCAGTTTCTACTGCATCAACTCCACTGAAATAATCATGAGTAGAACGGGCGAAACAGAGGAGCTCTTGCGAGAGATCTTCCTAGAAGCAAAAGAGAATGCACCTAGCGTCATATTTTTAGACAATGTGGAGATTATCTCCACACGCGGTGAGAATGTTAGCAGAGAGATGGAGAAACGCATTGTTGCCCAGCTCTGCAGTTGTATGGACGAAGTCGCATCTCATGCAAGACCTGTCTTGGAGTCCCTTTCAAGGTCGAAGTCAAACTTCACCAGCAATGCGGCGCGTGGACAAATAAGCCAGTCTGAGCCTGTTACTTCGTCAACTATAGTGCTGAATGCGCGGCCTCAACCTCAACAACCCAATGGATCTGGTGGACGAGCTGAGAATCGACAAGGAGCTCCAAAGGAGAAACCTGGATTAGTAGGTATTGAGTCGGCAAGCACTGGCCAATACCGTGCTGTGTCACAATTAGATCAAAATAAAATAGTCATAGTTATAGGCGCAACAAGCAAAATCAACGCAATTGATGAAAGCCTTCGCCGAGCAGGACGATTCGATAAGGATATTCCCATTCCAATACCGTCTAAGAGACAGAGGATCGATATCTTGCAAAAGCTACTGATAGGCTGCAAAATAGACCCCAACCTTGACATACAGCGCATTGCAGAGAACACTCCGGGCTATGTTGGTGCAGACCTTGCTGCACTGTGCAGAGAAGCGGGGCACAGGTGTGTTTGTCGAATCATGCAAAGCTCAAACATACTGGATGGAATGGCCAAGTCAATGATAACCCTCAACGACTTCCTCTTTGCTACACAGAGCCTCATCCCCACTGCCCTGCGTGAGGGCTTTGCAACCGTCCCAGACGTATCCTTGGACGATATAGGTGCACTGGACTTCCTCAAAGCAGAGCTTGACCGTTATCTCTTGCAACCGTTGAAGAATCCGGAGCGCTTTGAACGCTTGGGACTTAACCGCTTTAGCGGGATTATCATGTTTTCTGTACCGGGTCAAGGAAAAACGCTTATTTGCAAGGCTCTCAGCGCCAAGGCAGAGATTAACTTTATATCTGTTAAAGGGCCTGAGCTATTAAATATGTACTATGGCGAATCTGAACGGGCAATAAGAAATGTGTTTGCCCGTGCGAGAGCAAGTGCGCCGTGTATCCTCTTTTTAGATGAGTTTGACTCTCTGGCCAAACGGCGTGGTTCTGGTGGATCAAGCAGCGACGTGAGTGACAAGGTGGTGAATACTCTACTGACTGAGTTGGACGGGCTACACAACAACTTGTCCGGAGAGCACTCTCTCAATGCTAAAAATGCCCAGGATCAGATCTTCATTATTGCTGCGACAAACAGAATTGATATCATTGACCCAGGACTACTACGACCAGGACGCTTCGACAAAATCATATATATTCCCCTTCCCAACCTAGAAGACCGCGTCAACATCCTTTATACCATAATAACTAGACGACAGATTTCCCTAGACAAGAGCCTACAAAATCCACAAGATCTCAGAGAGTTCTTAACGGAATATTTGGCAAAGCAGACAAAGGGATGCACTGGAGCAGACCTGGAGGGCCTTGTTAGGCGCGCAGCCATGGCAGTAATAGCAGAGTCCCAGACCGGTACAGAAATCTGCAAAAGGCACTTTATGACAGCCTTGTCACAAACAAAAGCCTCTGTCAACGAGGAAGACAGGATCAAGTACGATATGATGGCGGCGCATTACTCCAAGCTATGCATATCGGAAAATAAGTGAGGTGACGGCTAAACCTCAATGCTGACTCCTACTTCCGACTGAGAGTCTTGCTTCTGTCTGAGCGTCGCTAGTTCTGAATGCTAGAGCAGCAGACTTTCGAATGCTCCCAGAACGATGCACTCCAGTAAACGCATCAGAGATCTGTGGCGCCTCCTTGCTTCCTGACTGTTTAGTTTCTTCACTGATGAACATGTCTGTTATATTTGTAATGCTGATGTTGACAGGCTCCTCAGCCTGCTGAGTAGATGCGCAAATAGACTTTAGTGGCTTAGTTGGTAGACGACCGCATATCTTGGCAGATGCTCCCGGAGTAAGGGAAGCATTGCCAGATTTGGCTAGCTCAACTGAACTGCTCAGTAATGTGACACTCTTGCTGAGTTCATCTAGTCGTGAATCATCGATTTGCGAGTGTATCTTAGCTTGTACTGAGAGCTTTCCGCTTGTGTTACTATCATAGCTGTGAACAGTCTTGGAGCCCAGATGTATTCCAGAAACGTGTAGCTGCGCGCAGCTATCCCGGGGAGAATATGAGTCACAAGTACTACTGTAAAGAGGTGGATACCGCGCCTTGTTATTCTGTAAAGATGGTGTTGGTATAATTGGCTTACCCATAACAGTGCTTCCGGCAATGATAGAGCTGACATGTGCTTGCTTATTATACCGTTCATACTCTGGAATGTACAGTCTAGAATTAGAGTCAGCCTTACCCAATTGACTCCCCTGAATTCCGGATAAGAGCAGGCGGGGTGATGATGCTGGAATAGTCAGATCTGTGGGTGGCTTCCCTTGAGGAACTGAATTTACCAGGCTACTATCTGTTGATCTGGTGCAGTCTCGAAGTTGAGACGAGTCCCCGTCACCGGTAAGTGCGGTGTCTGGAACAACTGAATCAGTACAAACGTAAGTGGCCTGAGGAGTATGGGCGCTCATGCTTAAGTCAGTAACTAGGGATGGGTTTTCCTTCATAGGCTGGTGGATGGGAAGGCCGCTTTGAGAATGCTTACTGATACCAGAACCAGGTACGTACACACGTGCTTGTCGGTATCTATTAAATAGATCTGCTTCTAATAATAGTTTTGCTTGGAATCGCCTTTCATATTTTTCTCGTAATTCGCGCGCGTTTTGATAGAGTCGTATAAAGATATCACGAGGATCATCGGGAATAACCCAGTTTAGTTTGTGATAAAGTGGGCACTTCCGTACGTAGTGCGTTATGACACTCTGCACAGCGTCTGATGCCCGCTTGGCTCTGATCATATGTTGCTTGCTACTATAGTCTTTTTGCGACAAGTGCAGCTGCCGTCGTAGAAAATTATCAGTTTCCTCGGAGAGGCTCACGATTTGTGCTTTTCCTTCCTTTGATAGCATGGAAATCTCCATAGACATGCCAAGGAAATTGGTAGCGTTGGGGCCAACCACGTGTGGAGTTCTCGCGGCAAAGGCAACTGGAATGTTCATGATATTGTACTGGTAGTTGATGGGGTGCCTAGTATTTTGCTGGGGGATGGACAGTAGGCCCAATCGTTCTTGGAGTTCTTTGGCTCTTTCTTTGTTCTTAATTAGTAATTGGCGGTATTTCTGATTGACCTTTTTGCCAACAAAGCCCATGATTGGCAAGTGTTCAGCATAGCGTGAACGATTGCCTGTAATCAGCGTTGTGACGGCTGCGTTGGCTACATCAGGGGCTAGTACTGGATGCAATCTGGAAACATCACCGTCACGGTTGGAACAAGCTTCCCGGGAAACTTTCGATGCAGAAGGATTAGTGCTTGTGTCTAAGTGATCTAAGCACAAGTCTGAGCCGGGTAAAAAGTCCAAGCGAATAGCCTCACCTTCTGTTCCTGATTGTGATGGAAGGCGTCCTAGAGAGCGGACGCCTGGCGCAGAAGATGCCCTGGAGGAGCGCGTGATTTCCTGACCACATGTAGAACAGATAGCAACATCAGAGATTCTCGCTCCCTCGGGGCACTGAGTCTCTTCGCTAATTGGTGCCTCATAGGATAGCCTTGCAGCATGTTCTGCTTGGCGCAGAATATAAAGTTGCTGCTTAAGCATAGAGAGCTCATCCAGTTTCTCCTGTTCCAGTATGAGCTTGTCTTTAATGAACTTAAGGGTTTCAGGAGGGATGCTGGTCTCCAAGTCCTGCCACTCTGAGTCAGTAAAAATTCCGAGCACCTGATTCTCTAATGTAGGAAGGTCTTGATCAACTCCATCTGAGATGTGAGCTGGATCTTTGATTGTGTCGTATTTGTCAAAAGAATCCTCTCTTTTAGAAGAACTTTGGATCCTAGTAAATAAGATCTGCACGATTGCATCATAATTAATATGTGTCAATGCGTTCAAAAGTTGCATGATGGGGTTTTCTGCTTGATCTTTTGATGGACTGGAAGTCAAGGATTCCGATGGGATAACAGCAGTACTTTGCTGGTCCTTTAATAGTTTTGCTATCTCATAGATCAGCTGCTGCTGGTCAGAAGGAAGCGCTTCAAGAAAGCGCTTCAGATCTGCTGTATTTGTAGATAAGTCTGCGGAGCTAACACCGGTAACACCTTCTATACTTCTGGCGAAAATTTGTGACGCAAATAGGATATTTGATAGTTCATCCAAGCATTTATCTTCTTCAACCAAGTCATCAACTAAGGGCTTATTTCTTATGTCACTGTTTCTACTGAGCTGGCTGCAAAGGTCCATAAGGTAGTTCATAATGGGAGACGCATGCTCAAACACTGCCTTTAGATCACCCCAGGTAATTTGTTTTGCAAGAATGGCCTCAAGAAACAATGTCAGTTTGTCGTCCTTGGACAAGGCCTTAAGGCTATCGGTGAGTTCATGTGTATCGAGGGTTGTAGGACAGGAATGCTTGTGCTCTAGTCTGTCAGCACAGTTGATTAGCTTGATGTCGAAAAGTTGGGGATCATGTCCCAGCATTTTCAAAATCATCCTTATGTCTCTCAAGGCTTCTGCGACGTCTACTTTTACGTTCTGCTTAATACTAGTACAAATCCTGTCTAATTCTACATAATCTGAATGAATGGGTGAGTACGACTTGATGGAGAGAGAGCCAAATGTTCCTCGCTGCATTGTCTGGTCGCCATCATACAATAATGGCGCACCAGGATTTGTAGTTATCCTTACATTGCTTTTCAGATATATGTCTTTAAGAGTAAATGTGGACTGTCCTACCTCGGTGGAATGGCTGGTTAACATGCTAGCTGTTAAATCTGTATCCCTTTCTCCATTATCGGCAGATACGACAGGCACGGTCCCTATATTATTTTTCCTAATGATGTTTGCGTTGATCAATGCGCTATAAAAGTTGGTAATTCTGTCGTCAAGCGTAAGCTGCTTAGCATTCCCAATGTAAGAACTGCCTATAAACGTATCCCCGGTCTCTGTTATAACGACTTTAGTTAGCCCATTCACAGCCTCCAGATCCACTCCGGAGTCATTGCACAACTTCGTATCCGAAAGGGTGAGCTTATTGTTGTGCAAAAGAGCCTCTATTCCTTGGCGTAAGACAGCCGACTGCATAGTGTGAATTATGCACGGTCTCTCTCTCCGAGGAGTCCCATCTTGCGTTTGTGTCTGCGGTTGCGGTTCCAAAGACCCAAGAGAATCACCAGGCAGAGAAGGCTGTGAAGTTGCCTTTCCCTTACTTCGTGAGCGGCCCATCACATACTCTTTGTCAGAGGCTGACGAAATGTAGAGTGGCTTGTTTGGTAGTATGTCACGTACAGTCTCAGTAGCATTGGCGACCACCCGCAACATACCAGATTGGTAGAGCTTCCTACTGGTATCAGCGTTGGGTCGGCCGTCCTGCTGTCTGCTCTCGAGCTCCATGCGTTCAGAAGTAAGGCGCAGAGGCTCTGAATCGTGTTCCGACAAGACGGTATCCGTTTCATGATTCGTCTTTTGCATTGGACGGTCACTTTCGATAGAATCGTCCACAGCTTCATGACCCTGTCTGTTTGTCATGTACACATTTGCTGGAGTTCCTTGATCAGACTTCACCAGTAGGTGAAGCCCACCATTCAATATAGCTGGATTAATGGTCGAATTGTCGAAAAGAAGCTGGGTGATTATCGATCGGATATTCTGTTTCTTTTGGTTATCCATTTCAAGGAGTGAGGCTAGCGCTTCAGAAGACAGCTCAGACGGGTCGATGTGTACATACTCATGGTATAAACGAAGCTTTATTTCATCTTTAGCTATATCTTTGTGACCACCACCTACATCTCCTCCAACACTATGATCAGATCCCTTTGAACGCGGCTTTTCAGTTAGAGATAATAGGCTCTTTGGGATGTCAGTATACTCACCATTATCCGTCTGTCTAATGGTGCTAGAGCAATGAGTCAATGGTGATGATTCCAATGAATGACTCAGTGAGTCCTTTAACTGCTTTGCTTTCTGACTTGATAAGCTGACCTCCTTATCCTTAGAATCATTATCTAGCTCCTCCAAGTCAGAGTCCAGGCCATCAAAGTCATTGCGACGACTATCACTGCATGACTCGCTGAACCACATGTATTCTGAACACGTACCATCCATGCTGACTTCATCTCTGAACTTCTTATTGACAAAGTCCTCTACGCAGCTGACGGTATGTTCCAAGATACGATAGTCTATACTATGCAGGAAATCTCCGTGCGTCAGGATGCTTGGGCGCGTAGATACGGACCCTATTATGGTATACACGTCCTCTGGAGCAAGAGTTTTATTTGCAACAAGGCGATAGTCCACTCTAGGAATAAGCGTCTTATCGTTGTCAACCTCCTCTCTAAATTCATCGAATCTTTCCTTGGTAAGAACAAAAGCAGTGATACGCTTTCGGGCTCGCTCTTTCTTAAGGTGCTTCTTCATGAGCTTTTGCTTTAGCAGATGAAGCTCCTCTTTCTTGTCTTGCTTCATCTGTACCTTATCTGGTTGATCGGTCCCTGTCGTCAAGTCCTCGTGTGGTTGGATGCGATGCAGGTCCTTTTGGGAAATATGAATATTGGCGTCCATATACGCTTGCTCCTTAATCTCTGCGATTGTATTTTCCAATGTAGCGTAAGAATCACGCAGCTTGGAATTCTCTTCTTGCAGTGCTTCTATTTGCATACGTAAGTTGCTAATTTCAGACTGCATCGGATTGTCTAGAAGTATCGAGGGATCATGTGACGCTGCTTCCGTCGCGTCCATCACGTCTACTGCGTCAAATGGCTCTGTGGTTGGCCTTCGATCTAGTACGTCTTTCTTCATTACCTTACTAAGAACATTCTGTTTTTCTTTTGATTGTTCGCCTCGCTGGTTATGGTGGGACGCGGTACCACGCCTGTTGGCTGTCAGGGCATCTTTAGATTGCTCTGTGGTAGTCTTACGCTTTTCATCCTTACTGTTCCTCTTACTTTTCTTTTTCTCTTTGGTGGACCGTGTAGATTTAGCGGAGGTGTTTATACTAGAGATACTTATGTTATCGCTGTTGCTGCAGCTGTCAATGCCAATATCTGCAACAGAGGACATCCGCTTATGAGTTCTGTGGCTGCCTTCTCTGCTCTGCAGTGGTTGTGAGCTTGAGGTAGCTCTACTTGTATCCTCACTCTTAGGCAATGGGCAATTACCGCTGAGGATATTCTCCAGTTCATCTTCCAATTTGCGCTGACTGGAAGTACTTACTGGCAAAGAGAGATCTTTCTGAGAAAGCCGCTTAGTGAGCTCAGCGACTGCTGCTTTGCTAGACCTTGCCTGGTCGCTGGATTGGCTCAATCGTGACTGGAGCCTGGATAGTTCCTCTTTAAGCGCCTCCTCCTTGGCCTGAAACATGGACAGTTCAATGTTCTTCGATTCCTCGTAGTTGTGGAGGATATTATCATAGTCTGCCAGCTTTTGCTTCAGTGTCTCTATCTCTTCATAAAGGACAGGAAGCAGGTCGACCTGCTGATTCTTTGCGTAGATCTGAATTTCAAGCTGCGTTATTCTGTTTCTGAGTTCAGCACACTTAGTTCGTTCATCATCGAGAAGCCTTGTGAGAATGGCCTTCCGATCTTCTATTCCGCTGGTACCACCCGTAAGCAAGCCAATTGTGCCCCATTTTGACGGAGTAATGTACGGGTTGAAGTCTGGCTCATATTCAGTGGTGTACTTATGCTTTTGCCAGAGTTGCTCTCGTAGACGAGTTAGCTCACTCAACGCATTAGCTTGCTCCGTAGCAAACCTGTCTGTAGCGATAGTATAGTCTTGCTGGACCTGTTCAATCTGCAGACGCAATTGATACACAAGGCTCTCTAGCTCGGTAACGCGACTTGTGGGCAAAGGCTCCTGCTTCTGAGATGCGTCGAAAAGAGCCTGGGTGGACGCATGCACTATAGAATATATTTGGGAGTACAGAGAATTGCTAGCAGCATCTATATGGTCTTCAAAAATCGGAAGAACGCTTTTGGGTACAAGATGATCAGTCTTAGTGTTGCATTTTAGCTGCTCTTCAAATAACACATACATCTTTCGATTGGCAATTCGGTCTTTTAGCCGTCCAAAAACCTTGTCGGTGAGGACTTTGACCTTCTCAAAGAGTCCACTTTCTATCTCCTTCGCCAAATGACACTGCTTAGATGTAAGCCTAGAATCAGACGAAATTAAAGATAGGGTCTGTAGGGCTGCAGATGCCTGGAGACTAAGTGAGGACTCCATGGTTTCGACCACGCTCCGCGAGCGGCCCGTGAACGGCAGATGTACATCGCTGGGCTGAGGATCTGGAACGCGATCAAGAACGGTAGATTCCATCAATCTTGTTTGCGCGGCTATAGAATTTAATCCAAAGAAAAGTTTATAATCCTAAGGGCTCTAAAAGGTTGTCTAAAAGGCTTCACCCCACAACGAACTCTGATGTGACTACGTGCTCATCCGCTGCTGTCTTCTTTCCTGCTCTTTTGCAGCTCGACGAAGCTGCTTGCGACGAAGCTTTGCAAAGACGATCATTTCAGCCCTCACCTTACGCAGCATTATTGCGCCCAGGGCTATGTTGACTAGCACCAAGCAGCCCCCTAGTGTAAAAGTGATCACGTAGACAATTGAGTAATTTGTGGATTGGATGCTCGTCATGGTCACAAATGCAGAACGATAGGACGGATCTGTCTGGTCACGTGTTCCTGTTCCATTGTATGACACGTCTGTTCCATTGAGAGGCTGAACTCGAAACCCTATGATCTGCTGGGACCGATTCTTCCATATAGCGCCTAACATTTTCTCACACAGAGCGGTAGCAGACAGAGTTGCGTCGATATCGGGGTCTGATGAGCTTCCTAATATGTAATTCGAGCACGAAAAGCAGTACTCTGTGGTGTTTAGGGAGAAGTTACCGATTTTAGAAAGCATGCCTGTTCTTACAGATAGATTCTTAGCATCGAATACCTCAACGGTCATATTCTTTGCGTAGATATCATACGAGAAAGTATCATCCTTTAGTATATCCTCAGATGAAGGCAAGTAACGTATACTGCAGGTCGGTGAAACTGTGCTGGTCAACGTTATGCAGATTTCGCTACCTGCCACCGAGGCCACAGTGTAGTTGAAGCAGGAAGCCTCTATATTGTCCAGAAAGTATTTGGCCACTCCACTTTGAGCTGTCTCCCCTGTTCGCCAAAAGTTGAGGAGCAGACTACCACGAAGAACGCTAGAATTGATGCTCAGTGCGGTATAGAATCGCCTGAGAGCTTGCATCTGCAAAGTCTTCTCCTTGATGGTGCTTGTTTGGGACACATCTGGATATATAACACCGTTGAGATTGTAATACGATCCGTTAGGGTAGAAAAATAACCTGGTATTAGAAGATACTGAAAAGCGTGATATATTATACTCAAGTAGAAGCCGCTCATTTGTTACTACGTTGAGAAGCAGCATCATGACATTGACATAGTTTGTACCAGCAGGAGAGTCACACTTCCCTTCTGCAATTGCAGTTGCATTGGGGGTTAAGTCCACGAACACCATGTCAGGATTGACGTAGGCAAGAACGTGTGAGTAGCACGAGTGCATAAAGGGTGTGGACATGAAATTGAGATCAACGTTAATCGTGACTTCAATTTCGTCCATAATAGACGTTATAGTGAAATTTCCGTGGGTCCAGGGATCCAAGAGGTAACTCTGGATGGCCGCCATGGCTGTTACATTCTCTGCGTCTCCTAATACATAACAGTATAGGCCTGCATCAGGGTTAAAGAAGGAGGTATCCAGAGGCAGGACCTCGCTCTTGTAGTTAGATATCAGTGTGAGGGAGATAGTATGTACGGGATAATTAGAGAGAAATGGGCAAGTTCCTGTCGATTGCAGAGAGGCACAAACAGCACACACAGTGCCTTGCTCTTCCGCATTTAGTTTGAATTGAGGATTGATGATCTGAAGCGTTGATCCAGACTCCATAAAACACTTAGAATAATCCACAGTTACGGTCTTCATGATGCTGACAGTTGCTATGGCTGAGAAGGTTGGCGTCGTCAAGGCAACGGTAGCGGCCTCTCCTGTGCGCAGTGCTTTCTTGCAATTAATCATATCATCTGCAGGGCACGTGATGCAGATCGTAGTAGTGTTGGTATAGTTGTAGTTGAAAATTATAGACCTTATGGTTTTCTTGTACGTACTGACATTTAGCTCTAGAAGGAGGGAGGAGGGTAAACCGATCGAGCAGAGAGTGTTGCCTGTAGGTGAGAGGGTTAGACAGGCCTGTCCACTTTGGTACTCTATGTATAGCTGAGTCCCTAGATGCCAACAGTTCTCTGATCTTTGTCTGTTCACGGACAGCTGACTTTGCGTGCAGACCCCAGTTATTTCCTGGCACAAGTATCCTGCATCACAGTCATCGTTGTTGGTGCATTTATACTTGCAAACACCGTTGAAGTTCTGTTGGCCAGAAGGACATGGATTGGTGCGCAATGTAGAGCTCTCAACTCTATCGTAGCAAAATCCATCAATTGCGACTTGATTCTGCTTTGAGCATGCGCCAGTAGCTTTGTCTGGAAGGTCCCTACAACCCCCATCTGGCGCGCACCTGTCGACTGACGCGCAAGATACATCGTTGCACAAATAGGCACACGTTCCAATAGTGGAGCAGAGCTGTCTGCCCTCACAATTGGAATCGTCCATGCAATATTGCTGGCAGCTCCCGTTCATGCACTTAAGCTGGACCTTCAATCCGCTTGAGCCAGAGTCAGCCTCCTTACATACCTCAGAGCTTGCGCAGACCTCGAAACAGTAGTTGCTAATGCACATCATTGGTTGCTGGCAGTCGGAGCACGTCTTCCGATACAGGCCATCTGGCGCACACAGTTCCCCCGGATTTGGCGTTCCTTTGCAGGGCCAGAAGCACTTCTTAGTTGTTAGGTTGCATTGCTTAAGGGTCTGCACTTGAGACCACTGACAGTCCGAGTCCTCCGAACACTCTATCCTACATACGTTTCCCATGCATGTCTCGCCATTGCTCATATCACAATCAATGTCAAAGAGACACTTGGAGTAGCAGTAGGTTGAACAGATAAACGCATCGGCAGGCCTTCCCCAGCTCTTCTCGCAGTCTGCCGTCGTCGTGCACTTGGCCACGCATCTTCCACTTAGACAATACATCTCATTTGGACATTGGTCAGTGCAGACGATCACCCCAAGTGCGGTCGGTATTAGAAGAGAAAATAGCATTTTTTGGAAATGCACATGACCTAAGTTACCAGCAAGATCACGGCAAGCCTTCCAATTGCCGTGTTAGTTCTTCGCTACGAGAATCCAGTGCATTGATCTTTTCACGGATCTTCAGCATGCGCTCGCCCCGCTCCTTTTCGGAGTCTTGTCCATCTCTACCAAGTCTCATTCCCAGCAGCGACTTAAGTTGTTGTTGCATGTGTTTGCGCTTATTCACTAGAATCTTTAATTGTATTTCTAAGTCCTGTCTTTTTATGGAGGGTGTAGGCATCTGTTCTTCTTGGTATATATCCTTGTGGTGTATTGCTTCTGTTCCTGGATGTATCCGCTCAGCACGTGGTGCAGATTCATGCTGCTTGGCATTGGCTGCTCTTCTCTTGATTGTGCTCTTTTTACCGCGCCCTTTAGTGGCCTGTCGCATAGAGGTGCTTACCAGGGGTCCAAGATCCTCTTCTGTCAGCGGTTGTGAGCTTGAGACTGCCCTCTGTTTGTATTTCGGGTTCTCTTTAACGACCTCCCATCCATTCACGTGCTGTACTTTGAGGTTAAGACTTGCTGAGGTTGCTAGCTCCTGTTTGAGCGCATCTTCTTCCTGCTTTTCTCTTAAATGCTTTCTTCTTTGCACGGCTATTTCCTGCTCTATGCTTTTGTCCTTTATAATGGGGGTACTGGACATAAATAAATATTTTCTGGGTGCAGTCTTTTGCTTGTGTTGCTGAAGAGAAGCCATTGCACTCATTGTTCTGGGATGCTTAGCAGAAGCAACGCCTCCTTTATTAGTGAGTATGAATGGAGAGTGTATCTTCTTGGCTGTTCGGGCAGAGCTGGGCCTGTCATCGACTTGCTTCCTAAACAAGGTCTTACTAGATGGACGAGCTGACACGCTAGGTGAGCGGTCAAGCTCCCGGTGAGCATTATATTGTCGGACTAAACTATTACCAAGCCTAGGATCGATATCAGTCCCAGGCCTACGACGCTCATCGTGCTTTCCAGTATTGGGGACAGAAGTAGCACCGGGATGAAGTTGGCTGTGCTTTCCTGACGTGCTAGAAGTAAGCACGTCGCTTAAGCTTTGCATGTACCTATTTGCATCCTGATTTATGATGATCTTGGTAAGCTCTTGGGTACGGTCGCCTCTCTGGAAGTCCTTAGCTACCCGTGCATTTCCTGCTGAATCGTTACTCTTAAAATATAAAACACCATCTATGTATCTTCTGTAATCCTCAACGGAATCCACAATTCCTAACCTCATTAAGATCTTATTTCTTAACGCCTCTCTAAGATCAACCACTTCTTTTAGATATATTTGTAATTCTTCGTTGAGAGTGTGTTCCATCTTTTCAGCGTTACTTAGCCTCTCACCCAGCTGTTTTACGCGCTCTGAACAGTCACTTTTCTGAATCCTTAGCTCCTCTTTGTCACGTTGGCATAGCTGCACGAACTCAGTAAATTTCTTCTCATGCTCTTCTTTAGCTTTCCCGTGTGCTGCAATAGACTCTTTTAGCGCTTGCAGAGCGTTGAAATTCTGGACGCTGCTCTGCAAAAAGTACCTAATAGCTTCGCTTATTTGTGCATAGCGTGCATGATATTTTTCTTTCAGCTCATTTTGTATATTGTTGGCATGGCTTTGCGTTTCTTGGCAAATCGTCTCGAGGCGGCCCGACTGTGCACTGCATGCGTCTAGTGTGCTTTTCAAATAGGTCCAGTGATCCTTTAGCATAGCATTCTGAACAGAGGCATTCATGTAGCCCGGTTGTGCTTCATGAGCTGGGTAGGCCTGAGTAGAACCTGATCTATTGAAGGTACCCGTGTAGTCCGCAGTATTGGATATATGGCTACATAGGAAGGCAGAAGGGAGCTCTCTGGTGCCGCTATTGGACATGCGGAAGCCTTCCAAATTTAAATCGCAGCCAAGGAGCCATGGACGACGCCTGTCTTGTCTTTAAAACGGCATTCGACTGGTTGGCAGTTATCATAGCTGATCGCCTACTCCTGAAAGACGGCCTTGGACCCAAGTTTGCACCGTTTCTTGCAGAAAGAATAACCATTGAAAAGGTCCTAGAGCTGGCGGACTATCCCTTCCCACGCCAACAGGCCGTGATAAGCAACGTCATCCATCGCACATTCCGCGAATATAACGTGAACCTCAATCACTATCTAATTTACAGAGACTTAATGTCCTCTGTTGGCGAAGGGAGTACTTCGAGCCATGTTGTGGACAGCTCCATGCTTAAGAAAAGCTTAGAGCATCACAAGATTGCTGGGACAACAGATTGTCTTCCAATCTATTATATTTATAAGGAACTGATTGAAAATACGCCTCTTGCTGGCTCGCACTTTTACTACTACAAGAGAATACACTTTTACTTCAGCTTGTTAGTCGCTCTCTTAACTTCATTAGTCGTTAGTATTATTTGGGGCGGCGAACTGGTGTCCATCCTGGCCAGTTTGAGACTCTAATCCGAAACTTCAAAAAGATATTCAAAGGACTATATAACGGTAGCCTAATGTTATAAAACTATCTACAAATATTCTGGTACAATGGAGTGAATGCAGTAGCTATCTGCCTAGTCAACCTTTTAAGGCTGTCCTTGATCCTTGTGGCCTTGCAATGTAAAATATAGGTTACTACGGATTAATATGAATCAATACGAAGTTTGAATAGAATAGATTGCTTCACCAGCGTGCTACTGGACTGGATGCTTTTTCTCTTTACAGAGGTTTCAAGGGTGTCTTAGGCTGAAGCGACTCGGGAGGCTGTGCAAGCCGTCGTGATGCATTGGCAGAGGCACCCCTCGCTATGACAGACTTCGGTAAGGACCGCACAGACTGTACACCTGGGGTTACGGTGCTTGAGACAAGGAGCGGCGTGTCTGCCGGTTTTGTGCTTGTAGGGTTGATCCTTAACTGCGCAGAACAGGTGGCTAGCGTTTTGAGTTTGTTCACTGCTTGCTGCTTCATAACACTTGAAGAAAAGGAGCCCCTCATGTGTTCCCATCCGTCTTTGTGTAGGTTAATGCTATGAAGATGACCAGAATCGTCCACCATTCTATCATTAAATATCAGCGGATTGCCCCTACTATCTCTAAGGGCAGAGAGGGATGGTATAGAGCCTCTGGCCGCAGATGCCCTTAGTAAAGACTTTTCGGTCACGTCATTCAAATAGCATTTGCTCTCTATTGAAGGAATAGCATCCAGATCCTCCACTTTCATGCGGGGTGAAAGTGAAGCAGGCTCGTCTGACACACTCTTTGATCTATTTCTACAGATAGTCACAGCTTTGAAGGACGTGACGGATCCTGCACGGTTGTTAGAAGCAATAGATGGCAGTTTTTCGAGGCTAGTTGAAACGACTTTTACGGTTAACAAGGGCTGAGTGTCCGATGAGGTTCTCTTGGCGCTATCATACGCTTGCGAATTGTCGTAGCTTTTAACGAGAAATGCGTCGTCTCTCTTCTTAATTAGATCTGTGAGTGATGATAGCAGTCTTCTATGCGCCGTTTCATTAGAGAGAGAAGCTCCCAATTTGGATTCATGCAATTCGGATTGATTGGGTAGGTTTTGCCTGCTGTCGTTAATCTCCTCACAAACAGAACACTCTGAGACAGCATCGGAATCCGGACATATATATGGAATTTGGGGTGCTTCTAATATAGAAAGTTCGGGGCTGACACAAACGTGATCACCGTTTGCTGCATCCACTCTAGGAGCTAGTGTATCATGTGCCACAGCAGATGAGCTCTTTGCATCTAGAGTTGGCGCAGGCGTCGATTCTATTTGGGAGTTCAGAGAGTTGATGATATCAGGATTCCGAAGCATCGCCCCCGACTCCATAACCACCGCCATAATATTAATGTCCTTAGGGTCACCACCGATCCCTGACATATATTCCACTGCTTTCCTGTACCGAACCGGTGCTGTATCGGTGTCGTAGATAAGAAGCGTCGGCTTTTGAATAGTTGATCCTATCTTATCAGGGTTTAGGAGTGAGGTATTGGCCATCCGAGTCAGTTGTTCTTCCAGTTCTGCAGCTTCTTCTGCAGACACATCTAATTTTCCTGTTTTGATGTCTATTGCGTGGAAACCTTTTCGTGTGCGTCCACCCACGCTTTTTGCTCTTCGTTCCGCAAGATATATGTCTTCCTCTCTCTTCTCAGAGAATAGCGCAATGCGCTGCAGACATGGTGGCTCGAGTCCTGAGATTTCGTTAGATGGTCCTTTATCTGAGAGAGCGCCTCCTTCAATAGTGGCCCACGGAGACATTTGGGCACGATGTACACCACCAAAGAGTATACAGGAGCTCGATCGCTTCATTCCTGGCCTCGGTTCTGTGAATGCAGAATCTTCTGCGGTAATATCCCGTGCCCCATCAACAATGCTGCAACTGTCGATAGAATGGGGAGCAGTTTGACGTGCAGAAAGGCAAGTGCTATCAGCAGAGAATGAAGGAGCCGTATTTGTGGGAGTAAGCGATGGTAGTTGGTGAAGTGGTTCGGTTGAAAATACGTTCCCAAGAGGCATGTCCTTGTAGTTATGAACCATTCTGTGGCGGTAAGAATTAGGATTGTCATCAGTGAAATAATCTACTCGAGGTTGATGCCCAGATAGCAAACTAAGGTCTGTTTGAACCACGACTGAGTGTCCACTACGGGGAGTGATGGCTGGATCATATATGCTGACTTTTTGCAACATGTAAGTATAGTGGGTGTCGGTCTGCTGCTTTGCACTTCCAGCTCGACTAGTTACGCGGCTAGAGTTTTTACTAGACCCTCGACTACTTAGTAGCGAACAGGTTGTATCTGAGACATCGCTGATAACTCTATTATGTGTACTATATTGTGCATATTCACCATAGAACGTGATGTTTCCCGCTGAGGAAATGAACCCAACAACGTCTCCGAACGAATCAAAAAGATAAAGTCTTCCAGAGACATTTGTGGGCCTCTGTTGGTTACTTCTTGACGGAAAAGAACGCAAAGTTGATGAGGCACACAAGTCGTCAGGGGGAATTTGGAGCTCGAGAGAGGTGACACTAGGCCTCAAATCGCACGGTATAATGTACGAAGTAGCGGGATTCTTAATTATATGTGCTGGAAGATGGTCTGTACTACATAGCAGATCCTTGAATGGATGTGGATCGTCTAGTGAAAGAGATTGGACAGTTAGTCCTTCAACTGGGTTGATAGGTAGTGATGCAGAGCGCTGTAGTATGTGGGGCTGTGTTTGCAGAGAACTGTCACCAGGGATAGATGAACTAGTAACTTTTAATAGTGGCTGTGATATTGCGGTTGTATCTGCCACAGTCTCCGCTGGTGTACACTGCAAATGTGGAGGGCTTGTTTCTACTGCAGTTGCATCTTGTAAAGAGATAAGACACGCAGCTACTTCTTGTCTCAACCTATCCATCGTCGCAGTAGCAGAAGTTGATGGAGAATCGGCGCCCTTAAGCACTGCTCCCAAAAGTTCTGTAAACGTATTCTTAACAACCAGTTGAAGCTCAGCAAGGTCGGCTGTGTTGGCCATACTTTTGCCAATAAGTCCCATGGCTGTATCAACAGCGCTAGCAATAGTATCGGTTGCTTGCATTTTATAACGCATTCTGTGGGCCTCCCTCTCCGATAACTTAGCGAGATACGCTTTCCGTTTCTCTCCTAACTTTTTTCTTGTCGTCTCAGCCAAATTGTACAATCTACTAAACACATCGTCTGGTCTGTCAAGGCCCATTGTACGTGAGTTATAATGTATTTGGAAGCCGCTCGTATTCTTTCTAGTTCTAAGAATAGAATCAGCAGCATACGATGCTCTATTGACATGTGGGTTATACCCGTCTGCCTCCAGATCGTCTCCAATGCTCCCACGTCTGTCATCATCCGCCCCATTATGAACACCAATAGATACATCTCTGTAGTTATGGAGCGCTGCCTTGGCAGCCTTAGCTGCCTTCTGTATCGTTGCCAAATCGACGACCTCTTCTCTATGGGCGTCGAGTAGCCCTTCAAGCTCCTTTTCTTCTAAAAGACTTACTACTGATTGTCGCAAGGTATCAATCTTCTCCTTTGCGGAAAGAACTACTGCAGAAGTAGGACCATTGAGTGAGGCAACGCGATGCTTATTCAAATCAATAGCGGCTTGAAGAACACCTCTAGCTTTCGCCACTAGTGTGCGGCTAAATGCCATAGCTGGATCAATGCTTCTAAGCAATTCTTCTTCCTCAGGTGATAACTCCTTATATTCGTTACTGGCACCTGTAGTCAGCTTGGACGACTCTTTAGAAAGGGTCGTGTCTGGCCCGCATCCAATACTCTTAGTTGTGGTAGTTTTTGCAGGACCTTTGTGGATAGATGAACCCGTTTGCGCAAGTATTGAGTCGTCAAGTGGTACTTTCTCAGATGCACGTTCCTTCTGAAGGGCTGACTCGGCTTCTGATAGTCTTGAAGCCGCTTGCTCCAGCTGCTTACGCAATCGATCAATTTCGCTTGCTTGCTCCTTTATTTGTGTAGTAAGATGGGCATTTTCCGAGCGTGCTTTTAGCTCCGCCTCAGTATCCTGATGGAGACGCGCACTAGGTGAGTCTTCTCTTCTATCCTTTGGAATATATTGTGGAGACCAGGGGGCAGTTTGAGAGGCCTCAGTCTTTGTTTCACTCATGGATCCCAATTTGAGTTGCTCAATTTCTTTCTCTTTAGCAGCCAACGCTTTTAACAGCTTGTCAACTTGGTTCTTTAACTTCTCCGTCTCAGCAGAGTCTTTCTTAGAGATCTTAGCATCGCCAGAACCGCTGTTCTGAAGCTTTTCCGAGTTATAAGATGACTTAAGCTTATTTGCTAGAGCAACAGTACGCTGCTCAGCCTCATCTATGCCCTTTGTGTACCTCTTCTGTAAGTTTTCCATCTCCTTCATCTTTGCGTCATAGTTGGCATGCATCTCTGCAAGAAGCCTGTCAAGCTCATCTGATTCTTTCTTCAGCATTCTCAATTGGCGGTGGCGGTCGTCTGTGGCATCTAGGACTCCAGTTAAGCGCTTTATCTCCGCTTCCATGAACTCATTCTTCGCATTTAGTTGAGCTATTAGCTGGCGTTTCTCTTCTATTTTACGTTCTAACAGTTTAACATCATCTTCTAGTTCTCGCAAGAGGCGCCGTTGCTTTAAGCTCAAAAGCTGCTTTTCAGTTCCTGTGTCCTCCTCGTCCTCGTCTAACCCTTCATCAAATTCCTCCGACCAGGCCCCTCGCTTGCTTTGCTTAATATCCATATAATCTGGCTTGTACTGAACATTGGTGGAATCGGGGGCCAGTCGGCCACGCCAGTGAAGCTGCTCTTTGAGAGTTATGATCCGTTGGATGAGTACTTTGCGATCTATCGCATTAAGTGTAGCCGACTGAGAAACACCTAGCTCAAATTCGGCGAGCTGATTCTTCAACTGGTCTACCAACCGTCTCAAGTCGTCCAGCTCATCAAGCATTGTTTGCTTTCGAAGCATGTCAGACTCTAGCGTTCGCGCCACAGCTACCTCAATTTCGTGATACAGCTGAGGAAGAACCAGACTATAAATGGATGATTCTGCTTCGTCGAGAAAAGGCAGAAAGATAGGCAGCGTACTCTTCGGATTCAAATGGTCATATTTTGAGTTGCAATCTAAGATATCTTCGAACATGACAAAAAGCTTCCTTTCCTCGATGTTAGTTTTCAATTTCTTGAACACAACAGACGCAGACTTATAGACTATCTTCTTAGTGCTTAGAATGAGATTTGAAATTTCACGCCTACTAGCGGGGTCGATCATACTGTACAGGGAACCTGTTAGCGTTGCTTCATCCAGGCCACTGCTAAAGAGTTTCGTATCTAGAACAAAATCTGTGAGGAAAGCATTGTCTGCTTGCTTGCTTTGAAGAAGCTGAGTCCCATGAAGTGTGGTCGCCGTAGTGTTAGATATATTTGACTGCTCCATGGGAGCGTCACGAGACTTCTGATCCTCCCTTCGGGGCTTAGACTCTGCAGTACTGTCTTCACAAAGTACGAGCGGAGACTCTACACTGCTTATACCAATGAGATCTCCAGTGTGTTCAGTTGCTGGCCTGCCAACGCTAGACTCAGGAGAGGCAGGCCCTTCCACGGCATCATGCATCCAAAATTTACACTTTAGTGTGAATTGCGAGAATGCAAAGGATAGAGGACAGTAGCAAAGTCGATAGGGGACGGAAATACGGATACATGAATGCGCCAGTGCGTCATGCACACTTGGTCTCGCCGTCTGCTGTCACCATGAAGTCACGACCCTCTTTGCAACACATTCTTGCCGTCACATAGGGCTCCAGCATGAGGGGGTGAACCTCTATCAGCGTGTCACCTGCGCGGCGCTTAGGATACGCATATGCCTGGCGAAAGTTCACGAGGCAGTTGGGAACATCAGCAGCAAGCTCCCGAATAACCTCACGCTTCTCTTCGTTTCGCTCCTGAAGCTTCTTAATCCTGCAGTACTCTCGATCAATCCGCTCTAGCTCCCTGAGGCTCTGCTGGTCGTGGCAACTCGCTGCAGGGACTGCTGGCCGGAACATGGTACGCGTCACGCTAGTCCTGTAGGGGTTGCAGTTAGTGTCAACTGGGCCCTCCACAATCAGGGGGCGGGGAATGTCTGGCGCTGTGGACGCACGAGTGAGGTTGAGCTTTTCTATCAGGAGTTGCTCAGGCGTTCTATTATACCTCTCATCTTGGCACTGGCAGAGTCCGTTGCAGCATCCAGTACAGTAGCAGGAGCGTTTGCACCCGCATGGCTTTGGTTTATCGGAGTTGAGGATCTCGCAGGTCTTACAACGGGTCGATGCGCCGTGTGGACACGCATCCGTGAACTCTGTCTTCCCGAAACTGGACCTGGAGATGGGGGGAAGGTCTTCAATAATGCGAGTCCCTGGTGGTGTTACCTCTAAGGGATACTGACACTGTGGACATGGGTGGTCCACGCTAAATGGGCTCTTTAAATTGTTGAGCCGTAGCTTGTTCTGGGTTGTAGTTCCTGGAGGGTGATAGATGGTCCTTGCAGATTGGTTGTTCGGCTGATCAGCAGCGTGCTGCTTGTTAGAAACCTTTTGCTGGCGACCTTGGGGATGGGTGGCCAGATGCTTATTAAAATTAAAACAGTAGCATCCCAGCCTGGGATAGATCCAGCACTTCTTGCAGTTACATGCTCCTTCGCAAAATCTGTAGCCGGGCTCCTTCAGCCGGCAATCAAGGGCAGGGTTGTAAGGCATTTTTATTTTTAGCGGACTCCTAAGGCGGTAGCGGATAGTCAATGACTTCCCTGTTTACTGATAACGGTGAGAACACGCATTCCTTGCCCGTTATTATCAATAATTTGCAGTAGCCACTCCGCTCCAATTCCGTATACTCGTGACCCGCCTGTTATTCTGGAGCATGGCGAGCTCCTTTCTACAATCTGGCTTATTAGTGAAGCTGTTGTGCCCGTATTCGAGTGGATTGCCGACGGAGATTTCTTGTACACTGCGGGGCCGAATTAGTGAGTGGAAGTCCCGACGGTTGCCCACGGGCCCACTCCTCTGTCCATACGTATACACGTTGTCTGTTCCATTCTTCAATCTGCTTTCCATCCCTGCGTGAGCCCACGACTTCTCGTACGTGGCAGCCTGGCGAGCTCGTTCTATATCTCTGTTGCGGGACTCCCAATCGAAAAATGCTGGAGTGCGATCCATGGACGTGAGGAAAACCTCATTAGTCTCCTGCTGGGCCCCTGTGCATCCCGCTCTGTCTGTTCCCGGAAGCTGACTCTCTTCGGGAACCCAGGGCGGATAAGGAATCGTGGCAAGGTCCATCAGACCAGAGGATGCGTGGCCACAGCATGTTTGATTCTTTGGGTGTGGAACGCACGAAAAGCGGCCCTCTATATCTAGATTGTGCGGGAACTTATAGATATATCTGTTGGGTACGGGCACTGCACAGGTTGGCCTGAGAGGCTTTATATGGCAAATGTTGGTGTGAGGATCGATCCCTTGGCACGGAAGCGCATACGGATTGAGACTATTGTAGCTGAATGTGCCGTCTCTAGGTGGTGCATTGACTTCGCCGTGATGACATATCCCAACACACTGGCAGACTCTTTTATAGTGGTGCGCGCGATTGCAGCACGTATAACAGTCGCACTGGCCATGCTCTTCGCAGGCGGAGGAGCTGCAGTTAGGTTTTGGCCACATTTAATTTTAACCCGGCCTGCGCGGGCTTCTGAGACAAAACAACCGGAGTTCATTCAGTTGACTAAAAGTTATGTGTGTCTGTTATCAGCATCTCTGAAAGTCCATAGCAGGAGACGGCTGTCTCCGATTGAAGTCGGGACCACAGTGCGCCTTTATCTGTTTTGTTCGCCAGTCGTCCCAGTAAAAGCCGGTGCATCGCCCGCAGACGTACTTCTTTCCAAAGAGATCTCCTGGCTGGTAGCAGCAAGGGATAGCGTCTTCTGCTGTCCCGGCCTTGCTGCTATGATCATTGAAAGGCAATAGATCCGAAGGTCTCAGTGCCTCATGGAACGTTGTGCATCCGTTGTTCAACCTCCACTCTTGACAGGCAAGTCCTCGGAGGGCCTCTTTATTAGCCTCACTCCTTTCTCTGTGGGCATAAGCGCGCTGTTTGTAACTGGTATAGTCGCCAAGCGTTTTGGTGTAGTTAAACGTGTTTACAGACAGGTGTGGATCAAGCATGGCCATTGAGAAGATATCTGTTTGACAAGGCCTTGTTACTGCGTATATTGGGCAGCTCCCTCGGTGTGTGCGCAGATTCATTTTTGAAAACAGATGACCAATACTGCTGAAAGTACGCCCGGAACCGACTATGGGGTATAGTGAAATATACAGCATGAGATTCTAGCATGCCAACTGAACCCTTTTATAGGATTTCCTTACAGACTAGAAGATATAAGGGTAGACCGTAAGACTTAGACTGCTGCTGTATGCCAATTCAATCCAGGGCTCGTCTACTCATATAACCATTTTGCTGTAAGGCTTCGTTTGCTCTCAGATTGACGTCCTCTCATCCGGAAAGTTTGATGACGACAATTTCCAAATTGATAGATTGTTCAGTACAATTCAAGAGAACATTTACATTAATAGTTTCCTTTCCACGTTCTGTGAAAGTGTGCTGCTGGCTTGGAACCTGTGAGCGACCAATCGAGCATGTGCTGCCTTTGGGTGTTCTTGGCTTGAAGCGCGTGCACATATGCCTGATCACGTTTCGAGTCAACAAGATCGCACGTTTGGGATGTGTAAGACACGTTTGCAATGTCCGTTGATTTATAGGGATTGTATAGATGGATTCTTCCAGATCTTAGATGAGGGCTAAGCGAGGTATATAAAGCTTGAGTCGGAACATCATACCAGCTGTCTCCGCGGGAGGTTTGAAGAATGGGTGGTTCATTTGGATTGACAACGTAACGGGTAGTTGTCTTCAGAGGACAGGTAGTATAATACTTCTCTTGCTTGCGTGCATTCGCTGATTCCGTGAAAGTAATGGCCTTTTGTGGAAGACTGCATACATAAACGGGACGTGAAGCTTGTGCATTTAATGTACCTCTTGCACATCTGGGATTTCTTCGCATTGTTTGTGCAAATCCTTGTCTTGTATTAGGACGCCTGCCGTGCGCCTCTGCACAGGCCTCGCAACAGGGGTGGTCTGGATCGAAGACCTCGCCGCAGCATCCCAGTGCGCCCTCCCCGAAGGCACGGGGGCCAGGCCTGGGGCTGCACTGGGAGAAGCTGCGCGGCGGGCAGCCCGGGTCGATGCACGGACGGCCGTTCTCGATGGGGTCGATGGCCTGCCACTCGGGGTCGAGGGCGCGGCGGGCCATGCGGCGGCGCTCAAAGGCGAGGTACTGGTTGACGTCGTCCTGGGTGACATTGTTGTTCGGGGGGCAGTGGCACCCGTGCCTCTCCCAGTTGGGACACTCGCAGCACTTGCAGGGATTCAGCGTGGTGACCCCGCAGTATCTAGGGCCGTCCTCCTGCCTGTGGAGCGCGGGTCTGGCGGAAAACATTTTTAAGTTGCCCAGAGCGCCGGCCCCAGCTTCACAGGAGGGAGACGTGGGGGACTACTCTTTAGGCATATCAGTCAGAAGAGAATGCAGCGTTTCTGCTGCAGCCAACTGCTGATGGATACTACTAACAGCTCTGCTCACTGTACTTTCAGAATCAACACCATTGACCCCTGTCTTGCGTTGTTCTAATATAATTTGCTCAAGGGAGTGTTGAAGGTTTTGCAGATAATGATGTATAGCCTTTGTCTGTTGATCAATCTTGCTTGTGTTGGTAGCAATTGTATCTTCAAATTTATTCACCCGGTCTAGTGCGGACTGCAGCCGTGGTTTTTGAGCCTGCTCCTGCTTAAGTTGCAATTCGAGGTCTTCAATACGAGCCTGCAGTTCAGCAATCTGAGTTGATTGCTCGTTAAGTCTTGTCTGTATCTTCCTTAGAAGTTTGTTAGCAATGGCTGATCGGGACAGTAATCTTTGTGTCCTCTTCTGTTCTGTATTTATTGAGTGAACGATGTTATCTATAAGCTCATGTCGATAATCCATCTCCTTCTTGACATCTTCAAGCAGCTTGTTCTTTATCCCCTCTATCCGTCCGTCCCTATCATTTAAAAGCTTGTGGACAATCGGTTCTACTTTTTCGCGATCGAAAACCATGGTTTGTTGGTTGGGGCTGATCAAGTCAGAGATAGATAATGGTCTTTGCAGCTCAGAACGCTGGTTGAGATCTTGATCCCTTGTGGGGGATGCATGGTAGATAGTGCGGCTTGGATGTCTTGCCCCAATGTCCTGCAGGCTTCTGCGAACGGCACTTAGATGCCCAAATGCCGGTGACTGTATTCTAGGTATGAGAGTGGAAGGAACTTGAGAAGTGTCTTTCACGGGACTTCTGGTCGTTTGAAGAGGTGTATTAGTACATCCACAACTAGTGTACCGGACGTGGTGAGGTTGGCGCGGATCCTGTGTGCCAATAACACTCTTAGCACGATACATGACGCTCGGAAATATAAAAGCACCTATGTTCATTCGCAACCGTCCCTCGCCACTGCCACTAAACACACCTGAACCACAGCTTCGCAGAGCCTTGCCAACAGAGAGTGACGCAAAGAGCACTTCATTGAATGGTCTCCTTCAGGAGCTCCACAATGCAGATAGGAGAGACAGTACCCCACACGGTGATAGCGCCTCGACCCAGATAGGGCACTCTAGCTTTGAATATCTGGATCTGAAAAGGACCGCACAACTACGAGCACAGGCATCTCAGACTCGTCTTGCCGAGAGGCTGACAGCGTCAATCTCCGCGGCCGAGGAAGCCCATCCTCTGGGACACAGTTCCATGCCCCTTCCTTCCATGCCGGATAGGTCAGATGAATTGAACTCCGACGATTTCCACATTTCTGACTTCTTTGATGAAGCTTCATCCAAGCACAAACACACCGTTGTTAAAGCGGCAATATCCTCATGGAACCAGCTTCCTGGATTTACTACAGACCTCTTTCAGGGGATGATACGCTCAGAATATACGCAGTTGACTCCTGTGCAGACAGTGGTCCCCATGTTGCTTGTTCATGGCTATAATGTTATCTGCTCGGCTCCAACAGGGTCAGGGAAAACCCTTGCATTCCTCGTCCCACTTATAATTCACATGCAGCGGGTAAGACTCATGTGGCCTGATGACCCCAATTTGCAAAGTACCTGTTATGCGTTGGTGCTGACGCCGACCCGCGAGCTTGCGATGCAAATACACTCTGTCTTGCTCGAGATTATTAGCCAATCTAGCATCACTCTGACAACATCTCTCCTAATAGGCGGCTACACACCCACTGAGATGCATCCCAATGTCATCGTCGGTGTGCCAGGAAAGGTGGAACACTTTGTTCTGGGATATAACTCTCACAAGTACTCCTTGAGGAAGTGCTCGTATATCGTCCTGGATGAGCTGGACGAGCTCTTAGACGCTGGGTTTATAGAGCAGGTGTCTACGATACTAAAGGTATGTGCACGTGATAAGCAGATCGTCGGCACGACAGCCACACTCAGCAAGCAGGCCCATAAAGTAGTAGAAGATGCTGGGCTGATTAATAGAGACTGCTTGAGAAAAACCTTTAAGTGCGCAATGGCTGGAAGTGTTTTGCAGCCAAACGTGCGGATTGCACAGATATTCGTGGAGTTTAGCTCTTCGTTATTGGGGAACCAGACTAGTCTATCAGTGGCAACGACCAATCCACTACTTCCGGATCCGTCCACTTATCTTTCAAAGCAAGAGATCTTGGCGAGTATCCTTCAGGTCCACTATAGTACACGGCCGACCAGCCAAACGATTATCTTCCTGGCATCTAAAGAGAATGTGGACAGCCTACTAGAGTACCTGCTGAGGTCTAAAGCTAAAGACTCTTATTCTGCTTTATATCACTGTGAAGTAGCGGCGTTCCATAGTGGTCAGGAACAACAAAAGCGTACCACAGTTATATCGCGTTTCCGGGCCAATCAAATACAAATACTGATCACTACTAGTGGGGGTGGCAGAGGCCTTGACTTTCCTTCTGTCTGCCTGATTATTAACTACGACATTCCCCGATGCGCTGAGTACTATGTTCACCAGATCGGCCGAACTGCACGCGGAATGGCCACAGGTACAGCACTCACCCTTGTTGATTTGAACGATGATGTAAAGTATTTGGCAGAACTGGCTGTGCGTGTGGCAGGCGTGCGGAAGCGACTGAGCAAAGATGCGACTTATAAAACTAATGGTATGCCCCTCCCTCCTTCCTTTAATCAAGAACATAACACACTAAGACTGACCCTTTGCATCAGATGATCCCAGGTGGTAATCAGCGATAACATTCGCTACACGCCCTATTTTCTCACGAAGTAGATCAATCGTTGTGCCAATGAGCTTCAACGAAGTTTCTTTTTTATGAAGATTTTCGTTATCCAACCAGAGCTTCTGAACCTGTTCGAAGCAACGAAGAGAGTCGGCGAGAAGGCCATGCTTTATAACAGGATCACAGGTCGGAAGCTGGGAAAGAAGTTTAGCTGTTTCAAAAATGCATGTCTGCATTGAATCGCGATCATCGAATGTCAAAAATTTCATAATCTCATCTTTGGAAAACTCCTTTCGCTTGAAGTGGTATTCTTGAAGTAGTCGTGCACGAGAGTCCGCCTCATACGTTTTGCAGACAGCCCTCCATGCCTCAATTGCTCGACTGCAATGCGCAGCGACTGTACTAATGAGGACAGAATCTTTATCTGGCAGAGGATCTATCTGCTTAAGTTGTAATTGCGCAGCGTACTCCATGTCTTCAGTAAGCCTCTTGAGGTACGGGTTACATGCGATATCTCTGCTCACAATGTGATAGATCGCAGTCCTGGCTTCTGCCACCTCCACCTGCAAAGAAGCAATAAGCTTGCTGTAGTGGTCTAAGGAAAGTTCAGGGATGACCTTTTCAAGGGTTGTACAGCGTCTGGTATGTAGCTTAATTAGAGGAGTATAGCTGACCTTCTCTGCCTCTTCTGAGGTAGCGCTGTTAGTCAAAAAATCAAGTCGTGCCTCTTCATAGTAGGCATAAATCTGATGTAAAGTTGAGATATCTAAAAGAATTTGGCAGTGATCGGTCACAAATCCATCAAGAATGAAGTATCGTGATGCAGCTATGAACTGTCGGTATGAGTCATAGAACAATGTTCGTACAAGCGGCTCTGCAAGGAAAAGATTCTGAAGCTTTGGTGTTGTGACCTTCTCGCCACTCTTCTCATCAGTTTCACTCTCAGGATCAACGTCTCCTTTGGTTTGCAGTCCCAGCTTGCGAAGCTGTCGTTTTGCTGCTGCTTCCAGAGTTGCCTCCAGGTCAGGTGCGAGCAGCAAATCATAGAGTTCCCTGACAGAGGAGACACACTCATCCTGCGATATCTGGCAAACGGCCTTGATTTGCTTATGTGCTAGCTCCTTATCATCGTTGCTCAGATCTTCTGATGATGTGTACTGAATTTTCATTTGCTCTCTACGAGCCTCCAAGAGCAGTTCTCGGCGTTGGTAGCTATTAGATAATATCTGAGAATAAAGGCGAGCACGTTCCGTGCGGATTTGGGCTAGCACTTCTCGAGCCGTGTCAAGGCTAAGGATGCTCCGAATCACGGCTACAGACTCCACCTTTTGCCTAGCTCTAAACTGCAAGTATGCTACATCATCTTCTGGCATATTTTCATTTGCGGGTAAATCCTTTACATACTGTGCTCTCTCCTTTGGCCCGTATTCAAAGAGGACTTCCTCTGCAACATCAATCAATGTAAAACTGGGCCTGAAAATGTTATTTGTCGTATAGTATTTCTGCAATGTGAGACAGTTTATTATGAAATCTTGCGGGTCGAAGTCTGGATTGAGAGCTCGCTGCTTATACTGTCTCGAGATGGTCATACCACAATACTCAGCAGATTGGCACGGGCTATCCTCTCCGTAAACCTGTGCTAAAAAGTATATTGTATAGGTATTCAAACTAGAAATCATCTTACTGCTGCAGACAGGAAGGATGAAGGAGAGCTTGTCGGAACAGCTCCGTTGAAAGAAAGGATGAGCACTGTTTGGAAGGTACAGCATGTGGGTATGCAGCTCCTTCCCGTCGCCATCGTTCAAAGGTTCTGTAATCAGAAATGGATCATCGTAATCAAAGAGGCACATAGCTGACTCTGCACTCTTTAGTATATTGAGTGCCAGCTTGCGATTCTCTCTGTTAGCCCATATTACGCCTAAGTAATTCAATGCTAGGACGTAGAATGGCAGAAGCTGAATCTGTATCGTGGTTGTCATGGCAGGAGCACCAGCGCAATCCCCGACGCAGGACAGCTTAAGAAGTGTTTCCTCCATTCCAAATTTGGGAGGCTTTGCATGCTTAACGTCGTCGCTTTCCTCTACTGCACTTGTTACCTCTGTAATAAAGGCAGCATCAGGCTCCGTTGTGTTCTGCGTAAGTGCATCAAGATCCATGCTACCCAGGCCATCCACTAAAGTAGTCGCGTATGCAGCTGATGGGTCAGTAGGGTCTAGCTCCGGATGGGAGGATTCGTCTGTGTCCTTAAGATTGGCCATTAGCTTTTCATGAGTACATGCTGCTTGATGTGTTTCGGGGTGTAGGACGTTAGCTAGCTTCAAGTAGTCGTTATAACTGTCCGCAAAGAAGGACCAAAATTGAGTAAATCGCTTCTCTGTTTTTACCGGTGGCTGGAACGACAAGAAAGACGGCGCCCCAGAGAATAGCGAGTGGATATTCAAGGATTTAATAATATCGGCATTTTGGAAGCGAGCCACAAAATAGACGACAGCGGTGAATAGAAAGTCTATTGCAGCGGTAGGCTCATCTGTCTCTGCGGCGATTTTTCCTCGAAGAGCGTAGAGCACGGCTTGGAGGTCGAGTGTATACTCACTTTCATTTATTCCTAGTTGCTCCAAAAGGGCTTCTAACCAACGCACAGCCTCATATTTCGGCTTATACGGATCACTTTCTGGCCCTACCTCATCTATTAGGGAAGCAATCCTATCCAAGCTCTCTCTCAGTTGATCAGATGCCATTTTTAAAATGCTCCTCCTACTTTGCTTCTCCCTCTGCGTCGCCACTGTATTTTCTGACGAAAAGGCTCGTTTGCTAAAGGTGTTCATTTATACCCGCCACGGGGCTCGATCCCCATACACTGCCTTTCCACGAGACAATGTATCATGGTACTGCGACGAAATCACGGCGGATTCGGTTGCCTATGCTTCTGAAGGGATAATGCAAGAGATCGGGAAGGGTTTTCTGCATTTATACGACAAGTCAAACGTCCTTCCTGGAACCTGCTACCAAGGCCAACTAACAAGCGTTGGCTTAGCCGAACAATACCTGCTTGGAACTAAATATCGGTATAAGTACATCCATGCGCTCCGCTTTGCACCAAAAGAGTTCGATCCTAGCTTTTTCCGTTTGCGCTCCACAGACATTACCCGGACCAGGCAGTCTTTAGCATCTCAGCTGCTAGGCTGGTATGGGGACTCTATTTCTCACAAGCATCTTCACCCAGTAATTAACATTCAAGAAAAAGACACCGATCCTCTCGCAGATCAAAGCTGGTGCATCGCCTTCTCATCAGTTAAGAAACGCCTCCAGGTTACCAATTTAGACCTTATCGCCGTCCACAGTGATCGGCTTCATGAGCTGCAAAACATACTTGGATATGGAGGAGACGAGGGAGATGACGAGTACGACTTGTGGTATACCATTTGGGATAACTTGATAACCAGAACATGGCTTGGGATGTCTTTGCCTCAGAACGTCACATATGCAGATGTCGTCACCGGGAACAATGTTGCAGATATTTTCACTGCACTCCTTTACTGCAATAAGGACCCCAGCGTCTCCATGTTTATGAAGCGGGCTAGAATAGGTCCTTACATTGCAGAATTGATGGGCTTACTCACCGCGGAAGACGGCCCTAGAGCTGAGAAGATTCACATCACTGCTTGCCATGACACAACCATCATGCCTCTCATGGCCACCTTTGCAGAGTCCAACTGGGACTGCAACTGGCCTCCTTATGCATCTCATATTGAGCTAGAGATTTGGGAGCACGGGTCCGAAAAGTATGTGAGGCTCTACTATATGGGCAAACGTGTTTTACCTGCTGGATGCACTGATAGTCGCATATGTCTTCTTGACGACTTCATTAGTAAGATTCGCGAGGTGTCCGTGCCATATGAGGATTGGAATAGCATTTGTACGGTCGAGAAGTGAACTAGAAACCCAGCGCCCGCGCTCGCTCCACAACCCCTGTCGCCGATGTAGGAGAAGACAAGGGTACAGACCCGGCGGCTCCACCCCTCTCATCCTTCTCAGTATTCATGCCTATTAGAGAGTTGTACTGCCGCTCACGGGCGCCGATTCCTCCTTTCCAGACAGAGTCTGTGACAACCTTGCGCATGATGGCAGAATTCCTGTAACATGTAGCATTCAGCCACTGTGCTGGTATACGCGGACTTATAAAGCGCAAAGCTATGGTTTGGTTAGTTATAGCTGATAAGTCTTCGAGATTATAAAGTGTTTTAACAGCACAAGGATCTAGCTGTCCGCGAGCATCAACTGCATCTTGCTCCAGCTCTTTACAGAACTGTACTAGGTAGTTATTATTGTGTGCGACCGCTAATATATGTGCAACGCTACTTCCATATTTAAAGAAGTCTGTTTGGCTAACAGTATAGTAACCCGCCAAAAGATTGAGCTGCCTGTTGGGTTTTTGAATATAGAATCTTTTGCGTTCCCTTTCTCCGAGCTTTTCTACCTTATCTAATACCACAACTGAGCTGAAGGACGAGGGAATGGGCTGATCATCTAATATGGCCTTAAATAGAGCAAATCCGGGATGATCCTTGTGGATCAAAATTATTGGGTCCGAGAGCCGATTTCTTTGTTGCTCTAGAGGTGTGAGCTGATCATAACTTTTTTGTGCCGCAGAAATCAACTCAGAGGAGTTTATGAACGGAAGTAAAAGGACCCCCTTCCAAAGGGCCGTCTTCTCACTGAGATCGCATTTAATGAGCGAGGGATAGAACTTATTAAGAATAGAGGCAGGATCTGTCATCAGACATCTCATAACAGGTGGGAGAAGTGCTGCGCTTGCAGGAGGCATAACAGCTAGAAGCTGCTCATAAGGATTGAAGGGCCGATTTGACACTGTATGCTGTTTCCAGGTACGGGTATACGTCTGAGATGCCGATGCCAGATCAGCCAGTAGAGGAGAATGGTGGTAAGGGTAATACCAGCCCCAATCTTCCACCTTAGGCAGAAAGTAGTACCGAAAGACCCAAATTAACCCATCTATATAATGATAGCACATCGTCTGAATGCGCTTTCTTAACTCTGCCTTGAAGGTATCCGATTCTTGGTTAGTTTCTGGGAAGTCATCCATAAGCCCGATTCCCAGATAATAACGCTGTGCATAGCCAGGCTTCTCAAGTTCATACTTTATCAATATATGCTTAACCGCAACGACCGTCGGAGGGAGAGGCTTATCGTGCAAATTACAGTAGTCATCTATTGCATCTTTAATCATTCTTTTGTCATCCCTCTTGAAAAACTGGAAGTACTCTCTAATAGCACGTTCTCCAGGGGTTTCGTCCTTAGTGTCTGGTGCCTCACTTATTTGCGAGTGTCGCGCATTGAGTTTTCCACTGGCTCGAGCCCTAAATATTCGTGCTTCTTGCTCTGCCAGTTCTTTTAGGAAAATGTGAAGGTCTTCCATATTAACGTCTGACCCGGTCGTCAAGAATCCTATCTTTCTTGATCTTTTAAGTTGCTTGTAGAAGTATATCATTCTGATCACTGCGTCCTCTCGAATGTCGAGACACTGAATGTGGGGCAAGAAATCATTACCAACAAGAAAGGTAAGAAACACAAAATCGTCGATGGCCCGTTCAAATATGACATCTGCCGCATCAAATTCGCGTTGTAAGTACTCCCGAAGCCTGCTAACATGTAGGAATTGAAAGGGGCTGCGGAACGCCACTGGCCGTAGAGACGACCCGGGGTAGAAGGGACAGTCTATCCCTCCTTGGTCTTCATGACGTGTAGTGAAAGGATCCACCGTCCCTGTTCTATACTCACTGGAAACCCGCAGATGCCCACAACGCGTGCAGGTGCGCTTAAGATTATCCGTATCCACCACATCTCGAAGAATAAGGAAATTGGGTTCATGAGTACCTAAGGCAAGCATTATCAAGTCTGCGTCAAGGCCGTATATGCAATGCACAGTGCATGGGTCATATCCAGGTTGGGACCGCTGGATCCTGACAAAGCTCATTATTTTGTGCTCCCCCTCCCCAGGAGACCATGCATCTGCATAGAGAACCGTAAGGTGGCGCCATAACTTGCTGTTTGCCTGTCTATTTGCAACATAGTACTTTAGTGCCACCGAGAGGCGAGACATGAAGGGAGTTCCTGGTGTAATGGCGTTGGAATCAAGGACATTCTCTGTAGAAGTATCCATGGCATTGCCTTCTTCAAAGCTTAGCTTTTTCAAGCTGGGCTCTGCGTCGCCAAGATTCATATTCATGAGCCTTCGCTCTTGGGCGCGCTGTTTAATCTGCCGCTCATACGCCGCCATAAAACGCCTGCTCCGCTGTTGGTTGAGCTTTGCACGAGGAGCAGGCCCGTCGACGGCAAGGTATAGAAGACGCCGCGGTCTACAGATCGAAACGACCCTATCTATGACTTGGAAGATCTCCTCGAACACTTCTGCTTCTGTTTCTGGCTGAGGTCGCCCCTCGGGGTGGAAACATGGGTGGATGAGCCCATTTGTATCGAAGTAAAGATTATCTATTGCAAAGCCAAGAGGAAGCGCGCCGCCATCTATGTTGGCTTCGTATGTGTCTGGGAGTGCTTCAATGACATTGTCTATAACGCTACCGTAACGCTGCACTATCCACCTGAAGAACGATGGAACGCCCATTTTTCGGCATCAGCCGATTGGTTTGGACATCTACAGGCACATTTACTGGTAAAGCAAAGAGTTGCGACTACCTCTAATCCTTGCGTGTTCTAGCTCTGGGTGCCCGTTCTTTCGGCCCATCCTTCTCAGCATAGCGACGCTCCGGTGCATGGCCTTCGAGCTCTGCACGCTCTCGTTCTTCCATCTTTCGTGCACGGGCCTCTCGTGTTCGATCAACCAGCCGTTGATGATCTTCCTCATAGATCCTGTCTGCCTCCTCTTGTGACATGAAGCTTACTGTCTGCGGGAGTGGGATGAGAAGGTCATTGAACGTGGGCGCATACTTCTCGCGGAGCCTATCATACACATCATACCACCACTTCACATCAGGCCATACCTGGAGGCTAGCATCCCTCTTTGTTTTCTCTAGGGTTACCCACGGCTTCTCGGTCACATAGTGAACAACATAGACTTTTCGCTCAGGTGTCTCGCCATCATATGTACGATTGGGATATCTAAGAGGGAAGTACCCCTTTTCAAACTTGTGCTTCAACCAAGGGACGCAGTTGTATTGACGCGATACGTTTGTCCACTTTGTCCTAGGATCCTGTACCACTTTCTGCTTAACATCTGTTCCTTCTTTACCATCCTTCTTGGCCGTGTCCTCTTGCTGCGTTGAGTCCTGCTCCTTGTTGAGGTACTCATAACGGTTGCTTTTTGAATCATACTTAAAGTCGTGGGAGTAGAGCCATGTAAATATCTGCTCGTCAGGGCCTGCATTGAGGCGCCTCCTGACTGGTATGTCAGAGTTAATGTCTAGATCTTTTGGTGTCTCGTAATAAGTTCCATTCTGCCTTATCTTTTCCCTGATATGTAGCTTAGCTATTTGGAACATATCGTCGTCGGGCTGGACGCAGAAGAAGGCGCCGGAGATTCCGTACGAGTTAAGAAGGCTAAGTAAGATCGTTCTCCGCGCCAAACGTGTTCCTGTTTCTAACCCCTCTTTGCGGTATGTCACTAGTGTACCAAACGGTGTTTTTAGGTCGAAAATGTGGTCTATATTATGTAGTACTAGCATATCACTATCCATAAACAAGGCCTTTTCGTAGGGCTTGAGCTTCAATAGGTAGAGCTTGGTGAAGCACTTGGGAAGCCAGTTGCTGTACAGCTTCTGGAAACGAGGCCACACCTCGAGAGAGACGCGAAACTCCAACGGGGTCACGATTATGATAGCATCAAAGACCTGCTTGCAGAGAGAGATGCATCCCTGGACCTTCTTGTCCGGAGAGTAATTCAACGTGTCACTCAGAAACAGGACAAGATCGACTGTGGTGTTTGTTTCACGAAGCGAGTGGGCCAGAACTGCTGCAGCAATCAAATAGGCCTCGTCATCGAAGGCAAGAGTTGCAATACAACAGGACTTCTCTGTGGAGATGGCAGAGGTGCTTATGGTCCAGTCATAGATGGCGGCCCTACAGGCGTCGGACGCCGCGGTCGTCATGAGAAAATTAGTTTTAATAAATGCAATTCAATTTAAGCTTAGTGTCCATATCAAAATGCAATCTTGACAAAACAGAATAAATCACAATCCTTAATCGCTACAAAAAAGCCATCCAACCCCCGAACATACAGCTCAGGCGCGATGAGTCCGCTGCTTGGGCAAGGGCTGCATTGACTATCTCTTCTGCCCGCTGAGTCTCCAACATCTCTTTAACCTGACGAACATATCCCAGAGAAGCCCGAACAATGGCAAGAGGGTAAAAGACATTAATGAATGCCGGTGCATTTTCTTGAATTAGTGAGACCATCTTCACAAGTTCCCAATAGAAGCACCCGTGGATCCCTGTTGGGCCAAGAAGCTGTGCGATCAGTGCTGTCAGGCGGAAAGGCACTAACTCAGCATACGATAGCAGCTTTGGGTACTCAAACACTGCCTCAAAGTCTATAAAGTGCACAGACCCGTCGTCTGTGTCTATAAGGATGTTGCACGAATGTCTATCTCCAAGCCCCGTTACGATGCATACTGCACACCAGTGCGCAAGAGTTGTGGCAAACATTCGCTGATTCTTTTGCGAAAGTGCTATAAACCTACATGGGTGGGTCTTAGACAAGGCCATCTCCATATGGGACAGTGCAGTGACGGATGCCATAAAAAGATCAAAAGTGGGGAAGCATCCGTCTTCGTTGGGCTCCTGCTCATTTATGAATTCTGCTGCTTTGGTTTTGGCACCCATGAACACAGGAGTCAACAACTCATCAATTGGCACGACATTGCCGTCGATATGCTCGATAATACTGACCTGATTCTTTGGAATATTGATTAGTACAGCTACAAAGTATGGCTTAAAGAAGGTGTTAACACTACATTTCGCCAGCTCCTCCGTGAACTGCATAACGGCATAGTCTGCCACTGTATCCTCTCCACACTTTAAGATGAGCCTTGTTCCGTGATCATTCTTAGTTCGCGACATTCTGAATAAAAGAGGTGCTCTTTTGCTAGAAAAATGTCTCACCATTGTAACGTAACTCGCTGCGTATCTACTGCTATAGTATTCATAATAGTGCTCCAGTACGCTGACACACTCGGTATGATTATCAATCTGGTGTGGAGATCGTTTATCCGTAGTCATGCTATACTCAAACTCCCTAAGGGAAGAGATTGCTTCCAAGGTGGGAATTAGGAAAAAGGATCCTGAGATTATATGGGGTAAGAGACACTCCTTAGATGTGTTCAGGCTTTTCTTTGCATACTCCAGTTGCATGTATTTTAACACATTCGTCATTGTGGTTGAGAAGATGATGTACCGTGTGTACGCCGGGTTGTATACCTCATGGGCTTCTAGTACTGCAAAGATTCTTTTTATGAGGGAGTTAAAGACTGGATGGCGTAGGGCTTCTTCTTCCAAGCTATAGTCCCTATTCATATGCACCCCGAACTGGCGGATTGCAATGTCAAAGTGAGCGGAATATGGTATCAGCTTCTTAGCAATTACGTTAAGAATGTGGTTTTTCATCACATCTACGGACATAGACGAGTATTCTACAGCAATGAGATTAATCTTAGTATCGCAAAGACGGATCACCATGCTACAAATATTATGGAACTGATTCTGAAGCAAGATAGCCGGGGAGCCCTCTATTATCTCTGTAAGCTTTTCATTTGCCTCTGTGATCAGTGTATCAAGGCCTAGTGCTAGTAAGAAATTCAGCACGTGAGCTTCTACACCTGGAATGCCCTTTTGTTCGTCTGATGCAGCACCAGCACCTGAGCCAATTGTACCCTCTATCAACTCTATAATTGTACCAGCCACTTTTTGATGTTTGTCCATGCAAAGACAAAAGTCAGTTGCTGGAGCAAAATATAATAGAGAGCTTGTTAAGAAAGAGACCGATACTTTGTTCTTTTCATTGCTGTCCATTAGGAGCTGTGCATTGTAAGCCAGGAGTTTTGTAAGGGAGCACACAACGAGCATCCATGCAGACAGGGCGGTTACCAGGCATTTCTGATAGAATCTAGACCAACAATCTGCTTTGCTAAACGAGTCTGGGCCGCCTAACGGTCTTCTGAATAACATACGATGAATAATTGCTAAAATAAAGGTATATGTCGCAAGTGCGCTGTACATGTTACCAACAAAACTGCACCGCGTGCTCATAGAGACTATGGATGAGTTTTTTCCTTCTATGCCGTCAAGGTCTACCATCAGTTCTCCAAACATGGCCTCAATTATGAAGCTCTGCGTATCCTCAGCAAAGTCGAATAAATTATTATCAATGAATTCGTGAACTAGCAATCTCACAGATAAGTCGGTGTAGCGGCACTCCCGGTATCGAGCACATGCCAAGTTCAGTATCTGCTTATACAGAAATTGGCAATTATGCTGGAATAAAAGTGATTTGTGCCTACGCAGTTGCGCTATGAAGTGAGCATGTGTGTTGGCAGGAAATTGGTCCAGTGCCAAGAGCATTTGATCGAAAAAGTCTTGCTCTCTCAGGAACTGCGTTAGCTCTGTCCACATTGATACCCTAAGTAACATATTACTATACTGATGCAAAAGATTTCTGATAGTTACTATAGATGTTGCAGTCGTCCCGCAAGAAGTGTGCGACTCTGGAACTCCATTAATCACATTGTTGTGCAGCCGCCATTGAGGTATGGAAAAGGAGTCGTGTAGAGGATAGCTGGATACTGCTGCATACAGAGATCCCAGCAAGGTATAGCTTATGCCGTAGAACCGGTCGACAAGCTGAGCGTTACTTGATGTGTCGTTGATGTCCTGGTTGTAGATAAGTTTCTGTTGCTCTGCTGACCCAGCTATCAATTTGTTGATTACCCCAGTGCGTAGAACCATAACTGCATTTTTTCTTTCGGTAGCGATAGTGGACAAATGGTCTGTAGCACCTTCTGCCAATAAGGTAAGAATAGAGAAAAAGGCATCAGGCCTAAATACCTTCAAGAAGCAGATGGAAAACACTGTTGCGTATGAGCGTGAAATGTATTGCAGAATATCCACAAATACCCCCTTATAGGTAACTTCGTTGGCTGCCCAATACACACCAGCTATCATAATGGCTCTGAGAGGATTGCCGACTAACATTGAGTGTCCCGACAAAAACGTTAGATAGTCCACACTAGGCTTCTGGGCTGTTTTTGGAGCTGTACGTGTTAATGACATGCTGTCTTCAAATGAAGAGTCTAATCTGCTCATGTAAAGAGTTCTATCCACCTCTGGCGATAGCTCAGCGACAAGTGTCTGCCAAGAGGATGCTGCCTCCTGCTCTTCAAAATACTTGCGAAAATGTGTCTTTATGAGGAAGGAGCTGATTACGTCTAACTCTATGGCCTCGTCTGAAATCCTTATTTGATGCAATAATTCCATTGAGTTCTTGGAGAATCTATACGGTTGGAAGGCGACTAACTCAATGATCTGTTTCATAGCGACGAACCTTCGCAAGTCTAACACATCTCCAATCAAAGTGTCTCGCATAGATGGCTCGTCCTGTTCTAGCTCAGCTAAACAGTCTTTTTCATTGCTATTAGTTAATCTATCAGAAGACGGAATGGTACTGTAAAGAGTTTCCACAGAAGTAACGTAAAGCGAACTTATAAAATGGGACTCAATATGCTCAACAAGTTTGCAATGATCTGTTATCAGTGCCGCAAAAAACAATGCAAGGAATCTGCCGATGCCATCAATTAGAAGGCTGAGATCAGAATATTCTAACAGTAATGACAGCAGTGCATCGTAAAAGGCTGCCCCGATGGCCTGGGACACATTTATATATGGCTCAACAATAGCCCACAGATCAGACACATGAGCCATGTGCTTTTGTGCTTCAGGTGCCAATTTTATGTTCTTTTGCGTCACACCTTTCTGCAACAATTTAAGAAACAAATCAATAAAGATAGCAAAAAATGAGCTTGCGTTGGTGATTACAAGGGATGTGTTCAGTAGGTGCCTCTTTTCTGTGTCCCTTATAACTATTGGCAAAAGTTCGACAAATGACTGCATCCTTTGATAGATCTTGCTAGAAATATAGACGGTCTTTTGGTCCTCGCCTAGCGTGGAGAAGTATTCGTTGAGTTCTGTGATGCACGATGCAGCATAAAGGTCGCCTCCTTCAATAACACGAGTAATAAAGTCAGTGAAATACCCACATGAACCCCTTGTGACTTTACCTTCTGGTCCCTTTTGGCTGTCTCTTGGCCCATTACTAGGATTCAGAGTCCGATAGTCTAAAAGTGTGCCATAGGTCTTTAAAACTTGTTCGGCAGATTGCTTAAGCTTTGTATTTTCAATCCTTCCTTGGTAGGCTTTAATATACAAGAGTAGATGCGCTAACGGGGTCCCTCCACCTCTAATCTGTAGCATGCCTCGCTGGTCAAAGAGGTTAGCTCCATGGGGCAAAAGAGTTATTAGGAGAGATAGATAGGACCTCACAAACAGCCCATTGAGGACGTGTATGACCAGGGGAATCAAGACTCGCCACAAAAATTCGCATGGTGTATGTGAAGCATCAACGAGCAGTTCAAGTAAGGCAAGCACAGCAGCAGGATCATCCACGTCATGAAGTTGGGAATCCACAGACGAATATAATTGAGTGTGCCGCATTTCATTCTCCTTTCGGTAGATAGAAACCAGAAGCCTGGCTACGCGTTTTGTTTCCTCTGATATCCTCCGTCCATCGATAATCAGCTCGATCAGTTGAGTCAGGGTCTCGCCACTATGCTCCAAGAGCAATCTAATATATCCTAGCCAATATATAGTAAAGATACTGTTGTTTTGATCAGTGTCAATAACCTCTTCCAACGTTAGGAACATATCGACGGCAAGCTGTGTATAAAGAAAGCCTGGGACCAGAGTGGATACAGCGTAAAAGAAGATCCCAAAATAGTCAAGTAATGACTCTAGGATAACGGGGGTATGGATACCATATATTATCACCTGCAAATACATGACCTTTAGCCTGTTCCACAAAGCAACCACATCTGGAGCTTTAGGCTCGTCATCAATATATGCCTCCCTGTAGCATATGGAGCCCAGCAAAGGCTTCATGTGACAAAGTGATGTTATTCTGAAGAGAAAGCCAGTATAGTTGGAGAGATTAGCAAAGATGCTAATCGGCATCTCTGCTGGCGCGGATCCCTTCTTCTTGCTGCTCACAAGGGTGTGGAGTAACTGAACTCTATGTAGTACGTCCCTGCTGAACGAGAAAAGGGCTGTCATAAGGATAAATATGACCGATAGTAGTCTAAATATGTGTGCAGTCGCTCCATTATACGATTCAATCCCTTCGGAAAAGAGCTTATGCGGCTTGACATTAGCGAAAATGGGCAATGCTACTAATTCCTTTATTGCCTTGATGGAAGACGTCACTAGCTCAACTTTCTTTAAGGTTTTTGCACCCGCTAATGCCTCAGTATCGGCATAAAGAACGGTTAAAAATAGAATTGCAACAACTAATGCATCATGCAAGGTGGCATCTGATAAAGAGAGGTCTTTCGGTGATGCATGGTACGCTAGCGCCGACGCTATAGTGCTGTCGACGCAAGATAAGATGGCTAGGGCACCTGTTACGGTAACAAAGTCTTCTACAGATAGTCGGGGATAGCTCATCATAACCGGTGTCCTGCTTTCAACACACAATAGGGCCAACTCTTTTGACAGTGCCGTGCGTGATAGTGGTAGATACAAGTTTATAATTAGGGACGGCAGGTAGGCAGACGAAAATAGACAGAATGCAACACTAGTCTGCTTGCATATTTGCTCCATACATAGTTCGCTGATGGTAGTTGTAATGAGATGGTATTTCTCACCACAAACTTGAACCAGGAAATACTGAAAGAATATATACGCAAGCATATAACGAGACGTCTGCGCTGACTGATTGAGCGTCGCCACTGTGTGGCAGCTGTCTGCAATACGGCATATAAGTTTATAGTAGGACTGTACGCGAGGATTGGTATCGTATAACTGAGAAATTTGCTTTAGATATAGCGAGACAAAATCAGACGGCACAGAGGCCCCAGGAATAAACGAAGCGATTGCAAATGGAAGCAGTGAAATCAGAAATTCCTCAGTTGCAGTTGCGGGTAAAAATGAGCGCAAAAGGTCTTTGTGCTCCTCGCTAAAATCGATAACCATGTAACCATCGTGGCTAGCAGAGAAAATAGTATCTAATGAAAATAAAAATGCAAAGCAGGAGGCAAATAGCTTACTCGTCATGCTCGACTCATGCTGTTGAAGACCAACCATATTACTTAGGTGCAGGTGTCGGCGAAACAATAAGAGCAATAATTGAGTGGCAAGGGGAACCATTGTATATGTTTCCGATATTGAAGAAGAGTCCTGAGTGTAGCATTCTTCTGAATTGACGGGGATTGGTGCAGATGATTTATCTTCTAGACAGTGCAAAACATAAAGTAATTGGATGCCGGAAAGAATTGTGTGCAATAACCTTACGCTGAGTAATTCTGAGCACAGCTCATCCATTAGTACTGCCGAAGTGCCCACTGGATTTGAAAGGAACTCCGTCAAGACTTGCATCAGCCTGCAATAAGCATTGACAGCCTGCCTAAGAAGGGCATGCTGCGAAGTGTCCATCCGTGCGTCTCTTAGCATCAAGTGCAGATGCTTAGAGTGATGCTTGCTTGCATGTGTTATGTGAGCTATGATATCAGTTACATGTGTATTATTTTGAGAAACGGCACTTGGCACAGGAGAGGGATCAGATTTGAGGGATCGCCATGTGTAATCTAGAGCATGCACACATACAGCTAGATAGCAAGTCACATTAAGTGAAGATAAAGCAGCAAGGCCACTAGCTTCTGCACAAAGAGAGATATTGTGCTGTAAGGACGAAGGAGACGAGCTGTAGGAACTGACAAGTTCGGCACACACTCTGCCATAATCCGCATGCAGCCAATCATCAAAGTAGGCAAACACAACGTGAATAAGTACGAAACGCTTGTATGCCTTCATATAAATTCTATTCGTAAATGCAGACAGTTTTCTCAGTGTATCGTGGGCATACAATGTATCTAGTATACTCTTAGATACTTCAGACACGCTGCCGAGCCGTTGCCCCTCCACCTGGTTAGGCAGACCAAGGCCCGCTGCCAAGTGGCAAAAGTGCGAGCCCCTGTTTGCAACCAGAGCAGCCAGGCTGTCCGGGGCGATACATGCAGAAAAAAGCCCCACCAATACCGTTGCGTTACGTAGCTCCGCCGCAGCCACACCGTTAATCCTGTCGGTTACGGCCTGCACATCAGAAAGCCTGCACATCAGAGAGTCGGCGTCGGCCAACTTGCGCGCCCGCCTGCATGTGAGAAGCACCTGGAAAGTGTCGCTCGCTGTAAGAAGCCTGGGGAAGGCCGCCGGGTCAGCGGGGGGCAGCCACGGATTGGCCGACGAAGCGGCTCGATGGGCTGCGAACGCGCATGCGTCAGCCCGCAGAATCTCCAGCAGCGGAAGGCAAGCGCTGAAAGGCTCTCCGCAGCCCTTGCCAAAGCCCAGCAGCATGCACAGCAGCGCTGTACCACACGCATAAACGCTCAGAAACGGAGCTGCGTCAGTGCCCAGGGGAGCGGTCAAGACGTCCCGCACAGTGCCTACGCCCCCGATGACACAGAGCTCCGCAAGGGCTGCTCCGAATGTGGTGGCGTCGAGTAAATGCGCGCACACAAGGCACAGCAGCAGCCTTGTTGTAGGCCAGTTGAGGACGCATTCGCTGCTCTCCGGCTGGAGGTCCAGAATCCAGAGGACGTACGGCTGCTCCACCCCGAGCTGTAGGTCTGACAGCAGGACGATCCGCTCCAGCCTCTCGGGCCCCTCCCCCGCTGTGCGTATTGCAAGGCTCGCTGCGAAGGCACACGAGACAGGGCTGCGCCGTGCATCCTCGAGCAGGCCGTCACTCAGCGCCAGCAGCTCCGCATCCTGCACGACGCCGCCGGTGGCGTGGTAGTTCGCCATCAGGGAGCGCAACGAAGACGCAAGCATGAGCCCTTCTCGGCAGCCTCTTCGGTTGTCCGCCTGTCCGGGAATTATTCTTGCCAAATTGCATACGATTGCATTTTGAGATTTCGTCTCCTTCCTTGGTGGACTGGAGCTTCAGCGTAGCGTCGTGTCTCCCAGGCCCGTCCACGCAGTGGCAGGCTACAGAGCCCGTTTGGCTGTCGCACAATGCACTGGTCTACCGGGCACGCTGGGCAGCATCTTAGCGCCTCCGACGACGAGGAGCCACTGGCCCCTGGACTGCACCACTACGTCACCTATCGGGCACGCGCATGCTTCTTTCCGGGCCCCGTCCATCCAGCTGCCAGCCCCGGAGGCGGAGCAAGTCGGGAGACACCCCTCTGGCGAGAGCACGACGGACAGCAAGGGCCGGCAGCCTTGCCACGGTTGCCCTCCTCGGCAGAGAGCCCGGGCCATCGCCCACTCCCCGCGGTCTCCGAAGAGCGCTCGCCTCCTGGTCCACCGGTCCGCATGCGCATCTATTTGCCACGCTCTAGCAACGAAGGCCCTCACCGGTCTGGCTATCCTGCACTCGACGTGGAAGGTGTTTACATGCGTAATGCACCGGCCGTGGACCAAATCTTAACTTTATGGCGCCCAGGGCGTCGTCGCCGGCGGAGGCTCCCTCCTTCCCGTCTGTGTCCTCTGCGCTGCAGATGCTTGTGCGGCCGCCTGTTCCAGCGTCAACAGGCGGGCATGACCCCGGTGGAGCGAGTCGTCTCCGAGAGGGGCGCAGGGCCTGCGACCTGCGTTCTAGGCTGGGCCTTCTTCTGGGCCAGGCTGACGCGATGTCGGGGAGAAGCCGAGTGGGCCCGGAGACGCACTGCGCAAGGCTCCACCAGCTTCTAGCGCGGCTCGCAAGGCTGCAGGAAACAGACCGCTTGCTGGACGCCATTGAGTGTTCGAGTGCCTGCATGGCACAGATCAGCGACCCGGCCTGCCTCCGGTGCCTTCTTCGCGCACACTCCGCCCTAAGCATATCCCCGCCTCCGGCTGGCCGTGGCGTCTCTCTAGAGAGGCAGCGGCAGTGCATGGCGTCGTCCATCTGTGAGCACTTTTCAGCAGGAATCCGAGGGGCGCTGGACAGGATCCTTGCTTCGCGCCTCCGCGCCTACCACGAGACGCGCGCTCAAGCGCATCTTACGAAGCCAGAGGCCTCCGACCAACTGGCTAGCCTCCTGTCCGGCCTCCGCGTGGAGGATGCTGCCCCCATTTCGGCGCACTGGAGCGACCAGCTCTTCTACACGGCTCTCTGCCGCGAAGCAGCCGTTGTCTGCGAGTCCCTGTCTTCACTTGCCCTTTCGGTGTCGGAACAGGTTAGGCGCTGTATGCACTTGGGCGACAGCGGACCTTTGACTGCGCTGCTCCACGCCGCCAGGTCTTTCGTTTCTGCGTGCGAGCACGCCTTTTCTGTGTCCTTCCCGACTGGGCTGATGAGTGAGAGCGGAGAGGCAGGCCTTTTGCTGGGCGGGATCGAAGAGACGGGGCCCTACTTTTCTGCGCGATTGAAGCTGGCCCGGGCAAGGGGGCGGCCTCGTTTAATCGGGCGGCTGTTCGGTTGGTCCGCTGCGTCCCCCATCGAGGCATATGTAGAGCGTATTCGTCAAAACTTCAGCGGCCCTGCAGCATGGGCTCCTCCCTACCCAGAGCCGGGCCAGAGCCTTGTGTCTGACAGCTCTGCTGCGAGGCGGTGGCACACTACCGGCGCAGGCCAGCTCTTCGTCGACTTCCTTGTTTTGTTTCTGGGGTCAATCTTTGATGCATTTACTCTCGGGGATCAGATTGCAACCTTCCCCTCTATAGGCCTGTATCTCAGCAACAATCCAGTGGCGGAGGAAGGCGGGCTATTCGCACGGGTCTTCGCTACATACTCAGGAATGGTTGCCAGTGAAGCAGGAGGTCTAAGGGCTATCGAGTAGAGCCATTACTCTGTCCCGATGAGCCGATCCCACCTCGCACCCGTCGCCCGTGCAGCGCCGTCCCTCCGGGCACACGACAGGGCGCCTCGTGTGCGACCAGGCCAGCGGGCTTCTCCCAGGGGCAGCCCTCGGAGTGGGAGTCTCAGAGAGGAGGCCGCCGGGGCACCCCCACCCGCTGCACGCAATCCGGTCCACACCACAGCCTCTCTACTGATACCCCTGTTCGTGGTGAGCGCGCTTGCAGTAACCTACCAGACCGGCAAGTGCGAGACGGTCGGTAGCACAGAGATCTGCACCCAGTGCAGGGCCGGGGCGTCCCGGTCGACGGCTTCTGCCGGCCCCCCGGCTCCATCCAGGCCGCGGCAGCCGGGTGCACCAAAGCGGGTGGGGCTGCCCTCGATAAGACGGCAACCACCTGCGGAAAGTGCGGCGATGGGTACTTCCTCTTCATGGGCGGGTGCTACAAGACAGAGAGTCAGCCCGGCAGCGAGATATGCACAACAGCCAGTAATGGACTGTGCACTGCTTGTAACACAGATAGTCAGTACATATTCCAGAACCCTGCTGCACCATCAGAGAAGGGTAGCGAGTGCATCTTGTGCTGGGATACTACAGATAGAAACGGGGTCATGAGAGTGGATAACTGTCTCAAGTGCACGGCACCTGGTGGCAATACAGGAGCTGCTAAGTGCACTGCCTGCACAGAGGGACACTTCCTACACACAGATGGGACGTGCCAGGCATGCGGCGCCGGTTGCTCCGAGTGCACGTCCAACACAGTGTGCACGCACTGCATACCTGGAAGGTACCTGAAAACTGGTGGCAGCTGTGTCGGTGATAACGGCTGTGACGCACAACACTATGCAGACCCGCAGAGCGGAGAGTGCAAGTCGTGCCCCACTGATACAGCGATACCGGAGTGCACCGCGTGTGCATACAATGATACCCTCAAGAAGCCCGTATGCAGCGAGTGCGACAGTGGACAAGCAAAGAATCTTCTCAAGAAGAAGGTCGACGGGACTGCGGAGTGCGTCGATGCTGCTGGGTGCGCAACTGTCGGACAGGACGGGACGCACTTTCGAAGTGACGGAGATACCAAGTGTATACTGTGCGGTGATAGCAGTGGGTCTGGCAACGACCAGGGCATAGCAGACTGCGAGATGTGTAGCAAGGAAGCCTCTCAGAAGCCGGTGTGTAAAGCATGCCTCCCTGGATTCTACTTGAGTAGCACTTGCAAGCCCTGTGCAGGAAACTGCGCAAAGTGTGGCTCAACAGGAAACATACAGGACTGCACTGAATGCATGCCAGGGTACTTTCTAAAAACCGAGGGTGTAACAAAGGAGTGCGTCCCTTGTAGTGACACAGCCAAAGGTGGCATCGATGGATGCAGTGTCTGCTCGAATGATGGCAATACTTTCAAGTGCACTGACTGTAAGCCTAACTATAAGAAGCAGCCCAATGGAGGAGCAGGGGATGACTATACGTGTGTGAAGGTGTGTGAAGACCCCACTGCCTGCGGGGGGACAGCTGGCTCTTGTGATGCAATAGTGATCGACAATGATGGAGTAGAGCATCACTACTGTTCATACTGTGGGGAGAGTACTAAGGTACCAATTGATGGCATCTGTGCTACTGATAAGAAAGGTAATACTTGTAACAGTCATACATGTACACAGTGTGCTCAAGGGTACTTCTTATACATGAATGGCTGTTACAAGGTTGATACAGAACCAGGAAGCCTCATGTGCTCGAAAGCAACAACAGCTGGTGTCTGCACTACTCCCAATGCCAACAATAGGTACTTCATAGTCCCAGAGGCAAAGGCTACTGATCAGTCTGTGTTGGCCTGTGGCAACCCCCTTGGCACACTAATAGGTACTCAAGACAAAGCTAAGGCATACGTCGGGGTGGATGGCTGCTCCCAGTGTACAGCCCCGACACAGCTAGAGGCTCCTGGTATGACCTCCGCTGTGTGTACTGCCTGTGACAGTGGTAGGAAGCCCAACAAGGACGGCAGTGGGTGTGTGCTGTGCTCTGTGGGTGATTGTAAGAGCTGTGTGATGGATGATGTGTGTGGGGAGTGCAACAGTGGCTTCAGCCTAGACAGCAGTGGGGCCTCCTGCGTGTCCTCTGGCGCCAACAGGAGCGGGCTCTCCACGGGGGCCATCGCGGGGATCTCCGTCGCTGTCATCGTCGTCGTGGGGGGCCTCGTGGGCTTCCTCTGCTGGTGGTTCCTCTGCAGGGGGAAGGCATAAGTACTTAGGTAGTGAATGCTCCGTTGGTGGTTAGTGCTCAGTGAGCGTCTGCTGTCCATCCACTCGGTGCTGTTCTGAGGGCAGTGTGCGCTGGGAGCGGTCTCCAGGGTCCTCCCGGCCGGGGCAGGGCAGGCGACAACGGAGCCACGTTTGCAAGGGACTGTATGAAGCATGAGAGTCTATGCAGGGGTGTGAATGGTAAAGAGGAGTATCTGTGTTTTAAATAGCATCATAAGATGAGAAGGCATATATAATCAATGCTTGCTGATTAGCACTCCTTTAATAGCAGATAGCCATTACTAAAGAACCTAAAAAGAAGGCGACACCTCAAGGCTGAGACACGATAGACAGGCCCCATGACGAATTATTCGACCGCAGTTAACGAGCTTAAAGATTATTGAGCAGACCAATGTGAATAAACGGAAAAATGGCTAGTCGAAAACCTAGCGAGCAGCCTCGAACCGGGACAGAGCAGATTAAAGAGCAACTTCTTGCTATCGAGCGAGCAGATGCTCTCTATGGGTGTTATAGAACAACGACCCCGGGAGTCTACCGAGGCTGGCTTTATAATCTCTACGAAACCGTTTTATTTGGCGACCCCAATGAGGCACGAATCCCTTCTGCTCAAAGTCCTCCACTTTATGCTGCCGTTGAGTGCTACTTTATGACCGCAGCCCTTGATTTATTCAAGATAATCATTCCTGTGAAACCTTACTTCTATATCCAGGCTCCTGTGGAGAATTACTTATTCATACAAGAGCGTCTCCTTTTACACTACCCTGACTTGCACATTGAGATGACGCTGATAGAGCGCAATGACTTGTCGGTCCAGAATCACATTGCTAATGATGGAATAGCTCACTTGCGTCTTTCCTTTGACAATCTCACTAATCTCCGCACTGTGTCTACAGCCCTACTTGGGTTACTCCGCCAGAAAGAGCTTTCTGCTGTCGGTGATATTTATAACAAGGCTGGAATTGCCCGAATTACACCAAACACGGACATCAAATCCATTCCTCGAACACTCAAGTCCCTCGTGGATTATATAGGTAACGTTTTGGAACACGATGTCAACCTGACCGCTCGGTTCCTTATAGATAATGAACTAACCATGTCGACATGGTACAGCGTGACAGTAAAACCAGAGTTAGAAACTCCTTTACTAGAACGCCTAGAGGGTGGTGAATTTGAGCTCCCACCTGTTCCAAAGGTACTAGCCTATGACATAGAGACAACAAAAAAGCCCCTTCGCTTCCCAAATGCGGAGGCTGGAGACCAAATAATGTGCATTTCATATATGTTTGATGATCAGGGGTATCTGCTAATTAATCGTTCAATCTTCAGCAGAGATATAACTGATTTTGAATATACTCCAAAGCCCGAGTTCCCCGGAAAATTTGCCTGTTTCAACTTACCTACGGAGAAGGATCTCCTAATCTTTTTCTTCACACATATACGTACAGCCCGGCCGAACATTTTTGCAACATTCAACGGGGACTTCTTTGACTGGCCCTTTGTTGACGTTCGTGCAGCAGCCTATGGCATGGATTTGCTAGACGAGATTGGAGTTTTAAAATCTGAGTCCACTTCCCGTGCTGGACTTGTTGAGAAGCAATATTATGCACGAGCTGTCCCCCATTTGGATTGTTTCAGATGGGTGCGTCGTGATTCCTACCTTCCCCAGGGCTCACAAGGCCTTAAAGCTGTCACACGGGCCAAACTGAAATATCATCCCGATGAGCTTTCTCCTGAGTTAATGGTTTCCTATGCCCAGACAGATCCGCAGGTTCTGGCTTCTTATTCTGTCTCTGATGCCGTTGCGACATACTATCTATATCGAAAATATGTACATCCATTCATTTTCGCACTGGGAACCATCTTACCCCTGAATCCAGATGACATTCTGCGGCGAGGAACAGGAACGCTTTGCGAGCACCTCCTCATGGTGGAAGCATACCAGGCTAATGTGCCGTTCCCCAATAAGCATAATGACCCGCTACTTCAGGTAGTGTTTGATGCAAATAAGGAAAAACGAATCTTACTTAATCAGACCTACGTCGGTGGCAAGGTGGAAGCAATAAATGCAGGTGTCTATAGAAACGACATTGCCTACGACTTCGGATACTACAGTGAAGCCTTTAAGACTAGGAGGTTTGAAGGGTATGGATATCTGCTACGATACATAGACAGAGATCTGATTATTCAGCTTAATGTGAGCAAAGTGTGTAACGAACATACGAGCGCATACCAAAGTGTGCTCAACATACTTGAAGAGATAAGCTTGGAACAGAAGACGATTGAAAGTATATGTAAGAAGGATTCTCATGCTTCAGCAACAGAATTATGTTTTTATAAAACGCCAAACAAAAACATTATCTGGCTGCCAGATACCTGGACTAAAGCCAGGGAGCGACTAAAAGAAAGACTTTCAAAACCGTTTGAGTCTTATGGCAATCATGTTGACAACCTCATTAGGCATGTTGAGACTACTATCTGTTCCAATTATTCTGAAGTACGGAACTATATTATCGAAGGATTGGTTGCATGTAGCAATACCGTTACTTCCAAGCCCCTTCTCTATCACCTCGACGTTGCAGCTATGTATCCGAATATCATGTTAACAAACAAGCTCCAGCCTACTGCTATTGTTGACCCAAATACAACTTGTGCTTCTTGCGACTTTAGCACTATTAAAGAGGCGCAAGTATGCCAGCGTATCATGGAATGGGACTGGCGAGGGTCCTACTACCCACTCGACTTTTCAGAGTATCTGATGATAAAAAATCAAACAATCTCTCAGATTGGTGCTGACAGGTGGATGCACGCTCTTACTGAATCTGAAAAGGCCAGACTCCTTCATGAGCGTTTAGAGACGTATTCCAAGAGCCAATATAAGCTAAAACAAAAGACCGAAGAGATGCGAAGGAAAACCATTGTATGTCAGCGTGAAAATAGCTTTTTCATAGATACAGTTCGAAAGTTTCGTGATCGTCGCTACCGGTTCAAGAGAGAGCAGAAAGACCATTCCTTAAAGCTGAGTAAAGCAAAGAAACAGCTCACCGAATTAATGGAAGCAGGCCTTGAAGCGTCTGAAGATGCCCAAAATTTACGAAGGGAAATAGACTCCCAAACTGGGCTGATAGTTTTAAAGGAGTCACTCCAATTGGCTCACAAATGCATTCTCAACTCCTTCTACGGATACGCCATGCGCAAAGGAAGCCGTTGGTATTCCCTTGAGATGGCTGCAGCCGTCACACATGCTGGTGCAACCATTATAAAGCGTGCACGGACCCTTATTGAAATGATTGGGTTTGTGCTAGAGCTGGACACGGATGGGATTTGGTGCTGTTTACCATCATCGTTTCCTGAAACCTGTACGTTTACTATTATCGATCCAGGAAACACTGATGCCCAAAGCAGCCGGAGGGTAAGCTTCAGCTATCCTGGAACAATGTTAAATGCACTGACACAAACGCAGAACACTAATAAGCAGTATCTTATTAACGTCATACATAATAAGGATCCTCCATCTCATGACCATGGCATTAAATTAAAGTGTGATAAGAATGCTCAAGGATCCCTTCCTGGATTTGACTCTAATGATATGTCATTGTTATTATATGCGTCCTCTCCATCTAGGGATTTGTTACTAGGCAAGAATACCTCGTCTTCTAGCACTCAGTTGGAATCGCCAATTAAGGCATGGAAAAGAGTCAATGAGTGCACAATTGAGTTTGAGGTTGATGGACCCTACTCATGTATGGTTTTATCAGCAGCTAGAGAAGAGGGTGTTCGAATCAAGAAAAAGTACGCAGTCTTTGACCTTACGGGGGGCCTTTCGGAACTGAAAGGATTTGAGCTCAAAAGGAGAGGTGAGCTAAAAATTATCAAGTCATTTCAGACACGTGTTTTTTCCCAATTCCTTAAGGGTGGAACTCTGGAGGATGCATACGATCACGCAGCAAGGGTTGCAAATACGTATTTGGATATTATTTATACCAAGGGATCCTTCCTTACAGATCAGCAACTCATTACACTTATATCTGAGGCCAGTACTCTGAAAAACTCCCTCAACAGTACGCCCAAAAACCGCAAATCCACTTCTATTACATGTGCTCGCCGCATGACCAGCTTTCTTGACCCTTTGTTCGCAAGTGTAGACGGATTAAGCGTTGAGTACATCATTAGTAAGCTCCCAGAGGGATCACCTGTTAGTGAAAGAGCTGTTCCAGTCCAGATATTCAATTCTCCCGAACATGTACGGTTCAAGTTTCTTCGACAATGGATAGGAGATCACAAAGGCGACACTGTTGCAGATATACGTGAACTTATTGACTGGGATTACTACCTAGCTAGACTGTCCGGAGCTATCTATAAGATAATAGTTGTTCCATCTGGTCTCCAAGGGATTGCAGCCTCACCAGTTCAAAGAATTGCATTTCCTGATTGGCTGGTCCAATCCCAGGCACAACTATCCACCAAGCAATTCAGTAACATTTTGCAGCAGTATTTAAAGATAGGAAGTGAAAAATCTAAGGCCGCAAAGTTAAATACACAAGCAATCGAACGCGGAAATCCTTATCCTAACGAAGAGCCTCTGTCCTCTGCTAATACTAGTAACATTCAAGAAGATGACCCCAACGAAAGTGAAGATGAGAATGATACCGTTTCAACTGGGACAGAATCCGATGACAGTAGTTGCAGCCATGAAGAAAAAGATGGTCACGTTAGGCCGCACCTTGTCGAGAACAGGCTCGTCCACCACCCAAAAACAGCTGCAGAATTTTCACGATGGTATATGCAGCAAACCGTTTACTGGACAGAACTTGTGGAGAAGAACATCATTGGAAGGCCGTACTATCTCTCTCACAATGTATCTCTCGGCGGTAAACATTCCATATCCCATCAATTACGTGCCAATCGTGCGATGTATGATGCCAGTAACGATTTTAAGTTACACATAGTGACCGTTACTGTTCTCCCCTCGGGAAAAGTATCGTGCTTCTGCATAAATAAGAATAGGATAATGAAACGCATTATCTTTGGAACATCGGTACGGGTATACTTCAACCTCAAAACTGCCATTCCGCAGGATGTTATTGCTAATTATTCATCACCGACACTTACAATTGCTGATGTTACGAAAAAGAATCTGGTTCTTCCCGATATGGCTTGTTGTACTCAGCTGTTGCTGTATGAAATGAGTGCAGATACACATGCATCGGGACAGTCGTCCTTCCAAGAATTGAAAAGCAGTGTTGTTGTAACGGACGTTTACGAAGCTGATGTATCAGGGCCTTTTCGGTTCTTAATTGAGTTTCGTCACAAGTTGGACCTTCCCGAAACATATGAAAGTAGAAGATTTCTTAACATGGGGGAAGTACCATACACATACTCAGCAAAGTATGCTAGTCAAGGATCTGCAAAGAATGGTACTGATTGGTTTTCTATTTTTCCATTTGAAAAGGATACTTCACCGTGTTACCCTGTTGGTTTTGTGGTAGAGACAAACAAGCATCTTACAAGCCTACTTCCAGATGGACGGTTGGCACTCATAACTGTTGCTACTGACATTGATCCACTTAACTTAGATATTGACGCAGAGGCAGTAGCCCCTGACGTAGCTTCTCTTTTTGCTCAGTTGCTAGAGGATTTTGTGGGACACCTTTCCACAGGGGCCACCAAACCAGGCCAGGCTACATTAGATTCAGTAGTTGCTCACACATTTAGGTATATCCTAAGAGTCATTAAGCAGTGTGGGGTTGAAGAAAAGGAAAGGACGTCAGGATTGAATATACAGACACTCAAGAATGCTCTCCTATTTAGAACAGCAAGAAATCCAAGTGATGCCATTGAAGCCCTTGCAGAGTTATATAGTCAAAATAGTGAGTCTGCATTATTATTCTGGAAAGCAGATTGCAAAAGTAAGAGCCGAGCCAGAAGCACGTCGACAAACATATATTTCAAAGAGCAACATTTTATCATTGATTTGCCTGAAAACCCGTGTCCGTACACAGAGATCCTAATCTCACATGACACGCATGCCCCTTACAACCAAGACGCACCAACTGAAGAGCCAAGTCTGAAGCGACCACCCGTTCTTTCTGCATGCAACTCAGAAATCACAAGACGTTTCACTATGATGCTCCAACCCTTAGTATCTCTAATAGTTGACACAATAGTGGCTCAATATATCTCTCACATTTTCACTATTCCTATAAACCTCGTGCTAGATGAATCTGAGTTCTGTAAAGTTGTTCTTCCTCAAGATCTTCTATCTGGAACTCAAGCATCCTGTACTACTACTCTACTACTTGATACCCTTATTGCAAGAGAGTATGCCAACAACAACATGCTGCTGCCATCACGAGACCGGAAAGAATCAAGAATGTTTGCCACCGAATACACGTTGCGAAGTGGAATGTACCACGGTTACAGCTTGATGATTCCAGTAAGGAATACGTTTATGCAGCTTCTTATGAACTATCTTATAAAGCCTCCTGTTGTAATCGCAACGCCATCAAATCAAACAATTAAGGCTCTCCCAGCTCGTGTAACCTCCGCGTCCCGCTTGCGCATGCTCAGCAAAACACTCAAAGGTATTGCATTTTCACAGAGCATCCCTGCGCAAGTTAAGCACCATATTTCGAGCATGATAAAAACATATCTCTTCTCCAATGTGTCTCTTTTATTTAGCAATGGAATGGTTGAAATTCTATACGAAGAACTTCACCAGTTTTACGCAACATATGACGATATCCTCGCAGAAAGCGGATACATCCTGGTGTACGCAGATGTCACGAAAAACATCATCGCGTCAGAGAAGATGGACCCAGAACTGCTTTTAAATAGTTATCGCTACTTGCTGCGTAACGTCTACTCGACGGGTCTCTTTCAGCTGTACGAACTACCATCTGTGGAGGCTGTCTGCCAGTGTTTGTGTGGATGTCCCGCCTATAGCAACGCCATCAAAGAGGCTCTAGTAATGCAACTACACAACAATACTATCATGAACATAGAGGGTTCTGTCTTCCTTTCAAAGGCAAAGGCACAAGCAAAACAAGCTTTAGAGTCCTCCCCTAGTTATGCGTTAAAATCCCCAGCCACAATAAACCCAACCTCGAAACAAGAAGAAGCGAAGACAGGAGAGGCAGCGTTCTGTTTTAACTCAAATATACCACAAATTACAGTAATACGCCATCTGGCGTTCATAGATATTGCAAACTACTTTGGATACTCGTGCAACCTAGACCATGTGATAGGTCATTTTAGTGCTCAAGAGCCACTACCAAAGGAGCTTAGATACATCTTCCAGCTAGCTGCATCTGCGTACTCTCTAATCATGAACGACAGTATAAGCAAGAGCGCTAAATCTGTCTCCTCGGCAAATGGAGAACTGAAAAGCAGTGGAACGAGATTCATTGAGTTTCTTCAAAAATGCGTTTTTGACATGGCGCCCTTTACTAAGGACGAGCAGGCTGTCTTCATGGGCAAATTAGTTGCTCTACAAGCAAATGCTAAGATCCGCGAAACGCTACATACACTGGCAGATCTATTTCACATCTATTATATTAAAAACATAACTCAGTGGCCTCAGAAAGTAACGCACATGTACGCACAAGCAGGAATGTCGAAGTTGTTAGATAGTCTATCACCTGGGATATACTTTGTTAGAACATTTCTGTACATTTTTTCACTAGATGAACGAATCAGAGATGTGACTAGGTCGTTCTGCTGGGGGATTTTGCCCGGAATAGGAGTATATAGTCCCCTAGACACCAGAATAAAGTACGAAGAATTATTCCAGGAATATAATGTGTCGAACATTCTGTGTGACGCATGCAAACAACTAAACCGCCTGGATGTTATGCGTAATAAGGCGTTCTACTGTTTCTCCTGCGGAGGCGTTATAGAAAGTAGCGTGCTTGAGAGAGGCTTAAGTAGGCAGTTATCACAACTGGTAACCGATTACTTTTCTCGGCAAAGCACATCAAGAACCGTGATAATTCATAAACACAATAATCTAGACAAAAATGAGGAAGAAATGCTTCTTGACCGTGTAACAAATGAAATAGGAATGATATTATTGGCATCTCAGGTTCATGATATGGTTGATCTCTTTGAAATGTGCACGTGGTGGAGCCAACAGCTTAATTATCACAACAGACAATTTAGTTTTGCGACGGTGGGGAAACAATAGACAAAACCAGATTTTCACGCTCTGTGGCTATTGTCGTGCCATTATGGAATGCTAGGTACGCTTGCTGAGCATGTGATGCCAATAAGGTCGCAGAGGCAGCAAATCGTCGTATTGCAACAGTATTTTCCCGACTAATTATACTGTTTTCCAGCCCCAGGTCAACCCCATAGAGCCAGCTAGCGAAGCTCGTGGCCAGATGCTCGTCGTTCATCTATAACTTAGGTTCTAAATTGATTTTATTCGTCATGTTTTACAAGGAAGAAGCAAGTCACGCTAATTATGCAATTAATTCACTTGTTGCTTTGCAAACACTACAACTTGTAGTATGATACCGGCGTTATTTGTCGTCATATTCAATCCCAGGTCCAGCTGGAGGCGGCCCTTGACGCCCTGTTCTAGTAAACGCCCCGGAGCGGGCCTGGAGCGCGATTGCGCGGCGCGCGTCTGCGGCGGCGCCTCTGAAGAGCCCGCGCTCGGCGGCGTTGTGGGAGCCACAGCCCGGGCAGCGGTAGAGGTGGTGGCGCCGGGCGACAAAGAGCCCGCCGCACTCGTGGCATGCGCAGTCGACGAAGACGCCCCGGTACTCGGGCGGGACCGCAAGCGATCCCCGGAGCTCCTCCAGGCGCGCCTCGTAGAGCTCCCTGTCCTGCCCGAAGAGGACGAGCCGGCGGCAGACCGGGCACTTGTAGTTCGCCCCACCCAGGCGAAAGACGGCCTCGTAGCAGTGGCGGTGGCACGAGTGGCGCCCGCAGGGAAGGACGATGTACGGGTAGATGTTGTCCCGGAGGCCGTCGAGGCAGTAGACGCAGTTCCCGGGGTCCGGCGCGCACGCGTGAACCTGGCCAAGGGCGACTGTGTGGCATGTCCCGCAACGCTCGCAGTGCTCCGAGTACCCCGGAAGGCCCTGCCGGCACGTCCCGCAGCGGGCGCAGTGGAAGCTCGGACGCCCCTCGCGGCCCATTCCGCAGATGAGGCGACACGTCTCGCAGTAGCGCGTCCCGAAGGGCATCTGGCAGTGTGTGCAGCGGAGCCCGATGGGGCCGGTGGCGCGGCAGAAGAGACAGAAGACCTCTGCCGTGCGGGTCCGCGGGAACTCGTGGTCGTCGTGGGAGGCATCGTGGCAGAAGCGGCATAGAGAGCGCTCTCCGCAGACTGCGCAGTAGAGGAGGCAGCCCCGGACATAGTGTGGGCAGCCCACGGAGAGGCCCTGCTTGTGTGCGGCATAGAGGTAGTGCGAGGCAGGGAGCGCCGGGTCCCGGGCGACCCGGCCGGCGCCCGCTGCGACCCGGATCGCGTAGGGCAGGGCGGGATCGTACGCCTCGAGCAGGCAGACGGGCTCTGCGACCTCCTCCCAGGAGCCCTGCAGCCCGCGGCCAGAGCCCTCGAGGATCGCCGAGATAAACGTCTTGCGCGGGCACCGCTGGCTCGGCTCGGCAGGATCGCCGCCGGGAGGGACGGTAAAGAGGGTGGTCAGGAGGACGCAGATTCGGGAGTCCGTAGGAACGCGTTCGACATCTGAAGCGCTATAGAGCATCTTTTTGCAGGCGCGCAGGGAACGGCGCAGGGAATCACAGGGGAAGGCGGACGTCTCCGAGAACCACCGTCGTCACGGTGTGCGAGTGCCCGTTGTAGGCGTAGACATACTTGTCGGTCGGGTCGCCCGCGATGTTCCAGAGCTTCGCGCTCTTGTCTGCGGCCGTGATGATGCACGCCGAGTCCGCACTAAAGGCGCTCGCCCAGACCGTGGCCTCGTTTGTCCCCAGCACGCGGGCGCGCGTCAGATAGCAGTCCTCCTCAAGAGCAACGGACCAGATCTTGCAAGTCTTGTCGGCGCTGCACGTCGCCAGGACGGCCCCGTCCGGAGAGAGGTTGACGTGCATCACGGCATCCAAGTGCGCCTGGATGGACTGCTGAGGCGCGAAGAAGTGGCTGCTGCCCTTGTAGGCGTAGACGCGGACGATGCCCCGCCCGTCAGAGCACGCGAGGATTTGAGCCCCCGGGGCGCAGCTGACCGAACGGACGCCGACGTCGCACTCGAACGCGACCGTCGTTGCGAAGGGGTGCCGGGGCTGGCGCAGATCGTACGCAAGCAGGCGACCCTCCTGATCTCCCGTGACGAGGAGCGCCGCATCCCCCCGGTCGCACGCGACAGAGAGCGTGTTGAGGGCCGCGTCGTGGACGATGCAGCTAGTCTGCTTCCCCCCGCGGGTGTCGAAGAGCAGAAGGCGTCCGTCCTCGCCCACGCTGGCGACGGTCGAGTCGCCCTGGAGAAAGCAGCATCCTGTGACGTTGGAGAGGTGTCCGTCGAAGGCGGCGACTGGGTCCCGCCCGGCAGAGCCGAGGTCATAAACGGTCGTGGCGGAGAACCCGGCTGCAAGCAGGACTTTCCGGTCCGCGCTGAGGGCCAGCCCGTTGGCGACCTTTCCGAAGTTCAGCGTGCGGAGCGCACTTTCAGAGGTCGGCCGCCAGAGCTTGATCGACCCGTCGTAGCTCCCCGTGGCAATGACGACCTCTTCCATTTTTTGACTAGAAGCGTCTCTGAGGGTCGAAGCTTGGAAGCAGCGTGGCCAACAGCAGGAGCACAAGCCTTGCGGCGCTGTGCATGCGGGGCCCCTGGGGCTGCGGAAGATTGATGTTCGCCTCCTCGAGGAGCTTGAAGACAGCCGGGGCTTGCGCGACCCTCCGGTAGCCCCCATGGGCCCGCTGCTCGCAGTCCTCGCGGAAGAAGTCGTCGAAGAACGCGTGGTAGAGGACGCCCTCGGCCCCCACGGGGTCTGCAGACTTGATGAACTCGACGATTGGCGCGGGCGGCAGGAAGTTCGCGGTGCTGTAGATGAGGGCCTTGGCGGCGTACGTGACGACGTAGGTCTTCCAGTAGAGGGCGGCCAGGGCGGCGAGGCTGGGAACGCTCGCGAGCTGAAAGATGTAGATGACGCAGACGGTCCAGAACGTCGAGAGGACGTGGACGGCGAAGCCGATGGGGGAGACACGGACTGCCAGGAGCAGGTCTGGAGACAGGAGCAGCGGCCAGGGGGCGGCAAGTCGAGTGGCCACGGCGAGGTGATGGAGGGCGCGCCCGACGGCCACGAGAGGAAGGAGGAGCGTGTAGAGCGTGCTTCCGGCCCGCACGTACAGCCCGACCTCAAGAAACTGGCGGCGCGAAAACAGCCGGCGAGACTCCTGGCCACCCGAGGGCGTGATCGGGGGCATCTGGACGACGCGCACAAAGAACGGCCCCTGGACCCCGGATCGCTGCAGAAACGTGCCGTAGTGCTGCGCAAGGACGCCCATGGGAAGGACCCAGGGAGCCGGATGAAGGCCCCGGAGGGTGCGGCAGACAGCCAGCGCCGGGTCCTCCAAGGGGCCGCCCAGAAGGTCTGCGGGGTCCAGACTGGCGCGCGTTGACCCTCGGAGGTCTGCTGCGGCGTACCCGATGTCCCGACAGCGGGCGCTTGCCTCGGGGGCGGCAGCCAGCCCGGGACCTCCAGGCTGTGCCAGGGGGTGGGTGTATCGGAGCCGGGTGACGTGCTGCTTCACAACAAGGAAGAACGTGAGGAGCTCGGCGTCGCCCCGGACACGCGTCTGGACACGCCGGAGGTCTTCAAGGGTCAAGTGGAGCGGGGGGAGCCACTGGAGGAGGTTACGGCGAGACCTGGTGACGACCTGGTAGAGCTCGCAGCAATCATAGTCGGGGAGGGGCGTGGGTGCCGCAGCGGGCCCTGGGGGCTCGAGCAGGGAAAGGTTGGCCAGGGCTGCAAAGACAACCTCCCGGAGGCCCAGCTGGCCGTGGAGTGTCAGAAGCAGCGCCCGAATGCGTCCCCGGTGGGCTGTGAGGATGGCCGTCGGGATGCCATCGCTGATAGGCATTTATAATTTTGATGCCCCCCGGCATGCAACCTGACGACCCCCCGGCACGGCCAGCGGGATGCTGCCACAGGTTCGGAGCTGCGCTTCTCGCGATGCCCCGGTGTGCACTCTGCCTTCTTGCCCTCGAGCTGCTCGCCGGCCTTTCCCTGTCGCTGGCCTCGCTGGCGGGGGGCTTCCAGGCTGCAATCTGGCTCTCCATCAATATGGAGCGTGCATACAAGGACCTGGAGCTCTGGCGGCTGGTCAGCGCCCCTGTTCTCCCGGAGTCCGTCTTCCAGGGAGCCCTCTTCGCCTTGATCGGCTGGAACTCTGCGTTCCTACTGGAGCGGACCGTCGGCTGGAAGGTTTTTCTCGGGCTCCTCGCCTTTGCGGTCCCCTGCGTCTCCCTTCTGACGTCGGCCCTCACGGCCCTCCTCGCCCTCACCCCCGGCCTCCGGGACGTCCCGTACTTCGCCGCCCAGTGGACAAGCAATGCGAACATGGGGCCCGGACCCCTGCTGGTATTCCTGACGATTATGGGGATCCGGCTGTCCGGGCATAAGTCGTTCACTTGCTGCTTCCGGTGCCCCATCCCGGCGTGGGGCGTCATCCTCGTCACCGTCCTCATGGCCCAGGTGATGCTCTATCCCCCCTGGGAGGGCGTTCCCTACACGCTCTCGGGCGTCGTCGCAGCGTATGTCCTGCCGCGAAGAGCCTTCAGGAGGCCTTTGTCCCCGGAGGACGAGGCTCTCGTGGCCAGCGAGGACGGGCCCGAGGACGTCCGGCCTACAGAGACACTTCCGCCTCCTGCCGAGGAGTTCCGGGGCCGGGGGAGGAGCCTGTGACCGGTGTAAACCCCTCCCACGCAACTCCGTGGCGCCTGCTTCGGTTCATCAGGCGCAAACTACTCGTGGCAAAGCCGGGTAGGCTGTTGAGCCGGTGCTTGCAAAGGAGGTCGAGGGTCTTGTCTACCGGGCGACTCAGGGGCCGTTCCAGACGCTGCCAGCGGAGGCAGAGCACCTGGGTCTCGAGGCGCGCGGCGAGCGCTCGTCGCAGTCGGAGGTTTCGGTCTGCAAATGCGCGGCGCAGACGGTCGAGCGTGGGGGCGGCGCTGCCGGCCATCATCTCGCCGACGATGCGACGGGTCTCGTCGAATGCAGAGCCCCCAGAGGCCGGGCGGCTGGGCACTCCGCGGTGCGTGGAGAGGCGGCAGATCCCCGGCGCACGCCCACCTCTGCCCGCAAGCGACCCGCGGGCCCGAGGAAGCACAGGCGCGGCCGAGGAGGGCTCAACCGCAGACGGCACCCCGTCGTCGTTGAGGTCTGCCACCAGGCGCTCGATGTTTGCAAACTCGAAGGCCTCCTCGACCGCCTTGCTGACCCCAACGACGCTGAACTGCCGCTGACGGGCGTGTGTCCTCGAAGGCCCGACAGGCGCCGATGCCAGCGGGAGCAGGGGCGCTGCGGCGTAGAGCCCGACGTTCTGGACCGCCTGGAGGTGCGTCACGTCGTCGTGCTCGTCGTCCGGGGAGACAACTGGGCGGGAAAAGTAGGGCGCGCCCTGTGCGTCTGCGGGCGAAAGCGTCCGAAGGCCCTTGACAAGGTCGTCGTTTGCGCGAAAGCGGTTCTTCACGGGGCGGAGGCGTAGGGGAATGCCCGAGCGGGGCCCCAGGACCCCGCCGATCCCTGCGATGTTCGTTGGATAGGCCGGCTCGAAGCCGACGAAGCTGGAGGCCTCCTCGCTCGCGAAGGCGGCGCACGGGTCTGTAGGGAGCGGGGCCATGCGAGTTGAGCCTATGTGCGACTCGCGGTCCTGGAGGTAGAGAAGGGGCGGCTGGCCCGCGTAGATCTGGGCTGCAGTCGCCTGCTCAAGAGACACGGCGCTGCTGCGCGTCACAAGGGCTGCTCTGTGACGGGGCGTGGGGGCCCCGAGAGCGACCTCGAGGGCGGCGAGCCTCTGTTCGCGCACCGCAATCGCGGTCATTAGAGGCGCCTTCCGAGCCGAGAGCTCGTCGAGGCGGCGGCTGATGGCCCAGAGCTCCTGGATTGCCGCGCCAAGCAGGGTGCTCTCGGGGTCCATTGTAAATTCCGATCGCAAGTTCATGTGAAATTGCAGCCAACACAAAATTCCTGGATGCCCGACGACTCGCAATACAAGCGAAACCTCGACGCCTGGTTTGAGGCGGCGCGGTCCGGAGAGATCAAGTTCACCGTTGTCCATTGCAAGCAGTACCAGGGGGCCGTGCTCCCGGACGGGCCCGGGCTCACGGCGCTACACCTTGCAGCCCAGGGCGGCCACACAGGCACGGTCAAGTACCTTCTCCCGTACGAGAAGGACATCCGGAGCGACACAGGCTGGACCGCCCTCATGTCGGCGGCCATGCACGGCCACGATGCGGCGGTCTCAGCCCTCGCGCCCTACCAGGCTGGGAGGCAGCTTTCCGCCGCGGCCTTCGGGTACCCAGCTGGTGCGACGGCCATTGAGATCGCCGCCTCCCGCGGCCACCTCTCGACCACGAAGGCACTCCTGGCGTTCGACCAGGAGCGGCCGTACCTCGCCGAGCCCCTTCTCGCCGCCCTCGATCTGAACGAGCCGGCCCTGAGGGCCCACGTGGCCGCAGGCGCCCAGACCCGGGACTGCCTGGGCCGCACACCCCTCCACTATGCCGCCCTCTCTCCGCGAGACCCCACCGTCTCGGTAACGCTCCTCGCCGACCTCTACCGCGGAACACGGGATGCGTCGGGGAAGACGCCCCTCATGCTTGCCGCAGAGTTCGGGCGCGCAGACGCCGTCCGAGTGCTGATTGAAAGGACGCCCGAGGACGTCGGCGCGGCGATCCCCGACAACCCGAGCTGCGGCGACCACGAGGGCTCGACCGCCCTGATCCTCGCAGCAGACGCAGGCCACCTCGCGTGCGTGAAGCACCTCATCGACGCCGAAAATGCCCAGCCCAACAAGACCGGAACAACTGCGATGATGTTCGCCGCACACCGGGGCTTCCTCGAGATTGTCGGGGCCCTCGCGCCCTTCGAGGCCAACCTCCAGAGCACGGCGCCTCTCGGCCACTCCCCCGGGAAGGCCACTGCGCTCCAGCACGCAGCCCTGGCCGGCCACGCGCCTATCGTCGGGCTCCTCGCTCCCCTCGAGCACGGGCTCCGGAACGATGCAGGCCAGTCTGCATACGACATCGCCGTCCAGCACGGCCACCGGCAATGCCAGGAGATTCTGCAGGTCTACGAGGACGAGGTCGAGCCGTGCATCGTCACCGCCCTCATCCTCGACAGCCGGAGCGAGGAGTTCAACCTGGTCACCGACAAGCCCCTTACCGAGGCGATCCAGCGCCTTGCAGATCTCCTCGGCGTGCGTGACTCGGACAGCTTCTTCCAGGCGATCGAGGACATCCTCTCCCAGGGAGATGCGATCCGCGAGCTTGAGAAGCTCCGGGTCGAGCTCCAGGTCGTGGCTCAGGAGCGCGATGACCTTCGTGCAAAGGTGGACGAGCAGGCGGCGGCGATTCGCGAGATGAAGGGCCATCTGTACGACATGTCCGAGCTCGAGAAGAAGGTTGCCGCCGCAGAGGCGAGGTATGCAGAGAAGGTCCGCGACACCCAGGCGATGGAGGAGGAGGTCGAGGAGGTCAAGGCCGCCGCCCGCCAGGAAGTCGAGGCCGCGCGGGGCGAGGTCGAGCTCATGAATGCACACGTCCGCGAGCTCGAGAAGCACATCACAGACCTCCAGAACAGCGACGACTCCGTCCTGGGGCAGCTGATAACGGCCCAGGAGCGCGTCAAAGAGCTCGAGGGAGAGCTGGCCCGGGCCGAAGCCGCGGGAGGCAACGCGGCGCGCGAGCTGGACGAGACGCGCCGCGAGCTCGACGCCCTGAGCGCAGAGCACGAGGACGCAAAGAAGCTCCTCGAGGAGATGGAGGAGATGCAGCGCAACCTTCTCGGGATGCAGGAGGCGATGGAGCAGTTCGAGGCCGAGGGCATCACGGTCGAGCGCTACGCAGACCTTCGCGCAGAAGTCGAGGCCCTGCGCGAGCGGCTCTTCGACAAGTCGCGCAAGGTGACCGAGGCCAACTCCGTGATTTCGATGTTGATCGACGACATGTGGATCTGCAACAAGCGTCTGAGCGACACGCTCAAGAAGGCCACCGAGTCCAGTAAGGCGCTTGAGGACGGCGACGCAGGCCCGCGGGGCTCCCAGCACTTTGCGATGCCAGACCTCATCGACGAGATGTCGAACCTCATCCGCAGCGGCTCCCTCGGGCGGTCGGCGGTCGGGGGAGACCTGGGGCTCGGAGAGCTGGACCGCGAGGCCCACGCAGGGCCGGCGAGGTTCAGCTACCTGTAGTAAACCGTCGTTTACTGGGCGGGGACCCCGTAGAGCTGGAGTCCGGTCGTGTAGGCGCCCGAGCCCCCGAAGTTCTCGAGGATCGTGTAGCGCACGAAGCGCGCCACGCGGGGGGACGGAAGGGTGCACAGGTGGTCTCCGCCCCGGTGCGGGAGGTCCATCTCGGCGAGGGGCTCGGGGCAGGCAGGGTCGGCCCCGCACGCAAAGGAGACGCGCCGGGGGTTCTGGCTGTTTTCACCGTGGAGGAAGATGCCCACGCGCGTGAGGCAGACCGGCTGGCCCATGTCGATGACGACGTGCTGGGGGAGGGGCGCGTAGACCGACGTGAACCAGCAGACCGAGGGATCCTGGCGCACAAGGTTCTGGACCCCCGAGTTGTGGTGGTACTGCGAGCTGAAGTCGACCACCCGCGCGCCGTTCTCGGCGACGCCGAAGTTGCGGGGAAGCAGAGCGCCCGCGCGATGATCTTTGCTTGACTCAGATAAATAGATATAGATATCTTATGAGTTGTCACTGGCAAATAACCAGCACTCGATTAAAAACACGTGGACAGGACAGGGCACAAGTGAGCAGCCAAGGTAGATGTCATATTTATACTAATGGATTGTCCAAAAAGCTACTGTAAACAATGCTAAAAAGCCCTAGTAAATAGTCGATTATAAGGTTACAGTAGTACAACCACAGAAGTAAATAATTAGTTATGGAGTGAAATGCATTCACAATTTGTGACGAATCTATAACGTTCCGCAAATATCTAACGCTTATGTCTATTCTTTTTCGATAGACATTGGAATTCTAAGATACACGTTTGTGCTCCAAGAAGGTAAAGTACGAAGGTCAATTGGAGATGGGAGCAGAGGCTTGCATTCAAATACACGTTGCTTTGAGCTAGGTCGCTTTATGTCAAACGAAAGAGACTCAATGCGTCGTGCACTCTCTTGAAGCTGTTCGCACCGACTCCACATGGCGTCTGTCGAGTAATCTGCTTGTTTGTCATTCATTGTTGTATATGGCTTGTAACTCATCTCGGTAAGCTTTATGAATATACTCATAGCCACGGCACGGCGTTTTTCATCTTCCTTCTCTTGTTCAGATGGGACGTAGTTCTCCAGAATAGAGATGTCCTTGGACAGTCTCAAAGTCTGTATCTCATCTTGATGTTTTTGCAGTAGAGATGGACGCCTCTCGACCTGAGATTCAAGATTCTTAAGATTGCGTATTCGGCGCTCTTCTGCTTGCAGCTTTGTCTGTATTTCAATAGGGATCGTTCTATCCTGCGGAGCAATGAGAGTCGGGACAAAGAATGAACTTGAGGATGACGTGCGACTTTCAAAGCGGATTGAGTTGAAGTCGGAGTTAGGATCTAGAAAGATCTCCAACGCTCCCAGAAGCCCATTGAGCTCATAGTAGAATTCAGACGTCATGGTTGTAGCTGATGGATTAAATTTTTGCCAGCCCATCTACTCCCAGGTATGCATGGAATCTGTTTCTTTGGGTCACCTGGCTCTGGGAAAACGACACTCTGCCATGCGCTGACACAATTACTCACCTGTATGGACTATGACTGTATTACTATTGATCTGGACCCCTCCTCTCTTGAAGAAGATTGCTACGATATATCTATTAAAGATTTAGTCACAGCTAATGAAGTTCAGGACTTGGAAGGTCTTGGACCCAATGGGGCTATCCTCTATAGTATGGAATTTCTCAAAGAGAATGTGCACTGGCTGAGCACACAAATCTCCACCTTAGCCGGTACGTCCCCCACGAAAAGGCAATTTCTTCTCATTGACTTTCCGGGACAAGTGGAATGCTACATGGCATACGATACCATTGACTCTATCCTAACTCACTTGCTTGTTGACCACAAGCACAACCTTTGCGGCCTTCTGCTCACCGAGGCATTTAACCTGTTAAATCCCCGTTCTCTTCTCTCTGCGGGACTATCTATAGCTGCACAACAAGTTTCCTTGGGGATTCCTGTACTGGCAGTGGCATCCAAGGGTGACTTACTTAGTGCAGACCAGCAGGCATCACTCATTAAGTGCTTAGAAACGGGAATCATTAATGTGGTTTCTTCCTTGCATAGGGTCCGCTCTTTCCATCTAGCAATGGCAGAGTTTTTAGATGCCAATCTAAGTCTTCTCCCTCTCCCTGTCTCAGTAGATAATGAAGGAGCTCTTCAACTTCTTCTTCAGGAGGTTACCCGGATACTAGGCATGTGACAGGCAGTGGAGTAACTGTAAATCGGCAGAATGCTTTCTCACAATGCATGACTGATTTCCGAAATCCAAAAAACTGATGGCTGAAACATGGTTTGCTGCAGCAAAGAAAGCGGACTATGGCACAATACGATCACTAGGTTCAAAGTATTTTAAAGTACACAATGAAAGCGATGATGGAAATACTGCATTACTTTACGCCATCAGTTCTAGCAACATGCAACTAATTTCTTACCTAGCTCCTCACGAGGTTCGTGAAACTAATATATTCGGGTGGAATGCACTGATGTTTGCAGCGTATTTTGACAATCACGACGCTGTGAAGCTCTTCTTAAATGATGAAAAGGGGATGCAAACGCGGGAAGAGTACAAAGGAATCCCAGCAGGAGCAACAGCGCTTCTGATAGCTGCTACCCGAGGACATGCGGGTTGTGTCTCCTTGCTATATCCTATGGAGCAATCCACTAGCGGCTGGAATGATCTTTTTCTCGCTGCGTTTACGCACAATGCTGCTCTTGTGGCACGCACCATCTCCTTAGTTTCCACACGTGATGCTCTTGGACGCACAGCAATGATGTATTTAGTTATGTTTCCTCGGCACTCAACCCTTGTGCTTCTGGAGGAGTGCATAGGGTATTTGGCTCAAGCACAGCAAGGTGCCATAGATGCTTGCACTAAGACAGCACTGATGTATGCTGCAGAAAACAATAATGCAGACGCCGTACAGTTGCTGCTCCAATTAACCACCCTAGAGGCCAGAAAGCAGATGGAAACAAAAGATGAATATACTGCTCTAATGATAGCTGCTTCGAGAGGCTATAGTGACATAGTCTTGCAACTGCTTCCTAAGGAAGCAGGGATAGTGACTTCCAATGGGGTCACAGCACTTATGTTAGCTGTTCGCTACAATCAAATTGAGGCTGCACGCTTATTAAAGGACGCTGAAGCAGAATTTCAAACGTCTGGCCCGTTTGATGTCTTTTCTCCAGCAGCCACAGCCTTTAGTATTGCACAGTACTATCACCGGCAAGAGCTTCTTTCTCTGTTGGGAGCAGGGTCTTTGCAGTTAACAAATACAGAAGAGAACATCACCACTGAAGACTCAGCAAGGTTAGTTCAGTCTCCGAAGGGTGTAACTGCATCGAGTGCCCTGGCTTTTCAGCAAAAAAGCTACATGCAATCACCAACTACTGAGGATGCCCGAGTAGCGACAATGATTAGTCCTATTTTTAACAGCAATATCGATATTTCACGACCAACACCGACTAATCATTCCAAAGAAGAACCTCAAGATAACGATCAGCTGGTTCTCACTGATACGCAAACAGTTGCAATTTTATCGAATACAGAGGCACTAGAACGACTGAAGGAAACCAACCAAGACTTAGCTACACGCGTTTTCACCATGCAGAGATCCATGCAGTTAGAGTCTATTGAGCAACAAAACACTATCGATAAACTAGACATAGAACTAAGCTTAACCCGGCAAAGACAGACCGAGTTGGAAAGTAAGCTGAAGTTGGCAGAAGAGAAAATCACCATGTACAAAGATTATTCACAGCAAGCATATAAGCACAACGAGTCTCTATCAAAGAAATACGCTGAATTAAAGGAGTCCCATGATTCCCTCGTCAAGGAGAATGCCCAGTTGTCCGATAGTTTGGCCTCACTGAAATCGGAAAAGGCCTCTCTTGAAACAGTGCATAAGGATCTAGCTGTCTTGTTTGACGAGCTTCAGCGACAAATAAAGGCAGACAAAAGTGCAGCAGACTCTCATATAACTAAGTATTCCAACGAAGTTCTAGCTCTGCAGCAAGATCTCAGCGAAACGAAGCAGGCTCTTGCAGCAGCTCAAGCTGCAGCGCATAGCAAGGACCAAGTTGCAAGCTCAGTAACTGAAGAGCTCTCGCAACTGAAGCCTCGTTATCAGGATTTAACGAGAGAAATATCAGATTTAAGAGCTAAGTACGAAGAGGCGGTCACCCATAGTAATACTATACAACAAGAAAACAACTTATTAAAAGATAACTTTGATAAAGCTACAAGTTCGCTGACCTCACTTAAAGAAGAAAACATATGTATGCAAAAGCGGCTGGCGGAAGCGGAGGCAATCAACGCTGAACTTCATACTACAGTGACCGATCTCAACAAGGCAAAAATTTCCCAGACCCTAGAGTGTGAAAAACTGAGCGAACAAACTGCGGGGATGGAGGACCAAGTGCAGGGCTTGCAGCACTCTCTCCATAAAGCAACCAGCGAAGTGGAGTCATTGAATAGTCGTCTAGCAGAGCAAACCCTTGAGTCTCAAAACTTACGCGCCAGTATTGATCAGCTCCAGAAGGATCTTGTTTCTTTAGCTAACGAAAAAGACATTTTACAAACTCAACTATGCGCAGACCAGGAGCGTCTTGCTATTACAAGATCAGAGCTTTCAGCTGCTCGTCAAAAGGCGCTTGCGTTAGAAGAAACTCTCGATGTGAGATCTTCAGACCACAAAACCCTTGAGGCTAATTTTCAACGTGTACAATCGCAGGTTGTGGAGCAAACAGAGCTTACCCAGAAAGCTGAATCTGCAAAGGCTGCACTTGAGATAAAGCTAGGTCTTATTGAACAACAGTTGCTGGAAACTCAACGCGGAGCCAACACCGGGCAGCATGACCTAGCAGCCTTGCGAAGTGAGCTTCAAATTGCAGCGAAGAAGAACGAGTGTCTAGAGACTCGCACTGCTGAGCTGGAGACCGCTGCAGATAATCTAAGTAAGGAGAAGGCAACGTTGGTAGCTAAGCTGCAAGATATCACAGAAGAAAGGGAGTCCTTGAAAGAACAATTGAATGCCTTTTCTTTTCAGCTAGAGCAATTACAAAGTGATAAATCCGCTTTGGAGCATCAGGTCTCTGATCTGCTTGCTGTCATTTCCCAGGAACAAGAGACCCAGGTCTCCCTCAAGAAGCAGATCATCGAAGCGGGCAGGAGGTCAGCAGAACTTGATGAGGAAGTTCTCCGACTCAAAGATAAGCTAGACAAGGCAATAGACGAAGCGTCTACTCTAACTTCTAAACTTGCTAGTTCTGAAGAAGACAATGCAAAGACCGAAGCAAAATTTGCAAATTTGTCTAAAGAACGGAATTCTTTATTTAAGGAGCTCTCAACGGTATCTAAAGAGCTCTCAGACCTCAAGTTGGCCAATGCATCTCTCGAGAAGGACGCGCAACTTGCACAGCAAAAGCTCAAAGAAGCTAATGTTTCAAAGAAATCGCTGGAGCAGAGCAGTAGCAACTCTTCCAAGAAAATAGCAAGTCTCTCAAGCGCGAAGACGTCTCTCGAGAAACAGCTATCCACCGCCAACGCGCACATCTCTGACTTGGAAAGTCAACTAACCGCGTTAGAGAAAAGAGATTCCGAAGCAAAGCAGGTCCTGTTAGCAAAGGAGAAAAACATTACTGAAGCAAACCGTAGTGTCTCCCAATTAAAACGCCAGCTTAAGGATATAAGGGCAGATAACGAAACAGCTCAAAACAACGTTATTGCGCTTACAAAAGAACTGACGTCTCTTCAGCTTTTGAAGGACCAGACGGACGCCACAGTGGCAAAGCTTACTAAAGCTGTTGCAGACGAAAGGGAGAAGAATGAAAGCTTGAGCAAACAACTGAATGAGGCAAATGGGCAAATATCTACTTTACAGAGTGCTCAAGACAGCATAGAGCTAGCACGTCTGTCAGCTACTGATAGAGTTGAAGCGCTTCTTTCGGAGAACAAAGGCCTCGGTGAACTAATAACAGACCTCAAGACTATAATATCGAGAACCCAAAACATGCTCCAGGAAATGACCGATGAGAAAAATAACGCACTCGAAAGGTTAAAGCAAGCTGATAGCAAGATTGCCACATATGCACTCGATCAACAGACAACTAAAGCATCTGTGGATCAGCTCCGAGCAGATCTCAGTACGATGGAGGGAGCAAACAGGCAGCTTCAAAAAGATATTGTTATCCAGACAGAGCTCTGTGAGGACCTCGAAAGAAAAAATAACCAATTGAGCAAACAAATTTCTGAGTTGATAAAATGTCAAGCTGCGTTAGAAGAGCAATTACAAAGCAAGGATGCAGCTTTCACTGAAGAGCAATCGGCACGAGATGCTCTTCAGCGCGAATTGTCTTTGGCCGACAAAAGGTATCAAGATCTTCAAGAGGAGCACGTGGAGCTAAAGCAGGCGCTTGCAAATAAAAGGATTGACATTGAGCAGATGAGTAACTCCAAACTGTCTGCTGATGCAGCTCTCCAAAAAGCTATGGAGAAATGTTCTGCGCTTCAGGCAGAGGTAACCCTAGGCCAGAAGAGTATCGAATCAATGGCTCAGCATATTAGGGTGCTTGAGAATGAGATAGACAGACTTAAAGAAAAGAATGCAAGCATATTTGGAAGCTTGTCACAAGCCGAGGCGTCAAGTGAAAGCTTAGAACGAGAGCTCAAGGCAGCTAAAAGGAAAATTGCAGAGCTCGAGGAGCATGGTCTGGAGGTCGAGCAGGGACAAGAGCGCATATTTAAGGGCTTGCAAACGGTTACAGGAGAAAAAGATGTTATTGAGCGGAGGCTCAAGGAAAAAACGCAATTAGCTGAAGAGCAACATGCAGAGCTGGAGGCCTTGAAAAAAGCACTTGCAGCTAGCAACGAGCTAAATACGGATTTAACCTCCAATTCTGAAAGTAGTGTTAAAAGCATTCAGCAGCTCTCTAGACAATTAGCCGAATCCCAAGGAGAAATTGCAGGACTGAAGCGAGGTGCAGAGCTGACTGCTCGTAGGTTGTCAGAGCTGGAGGCCTTATGCGATGACCAGGCAAAGGTAATTTCGGTGAAAACTAGTACTACTACTGAGCTACAGACGGAAAGGGACCTTCTTTTTAAAAAGTTGGCTGCATGCACAGCTGCATCCACAGAGATCGAAGACACTTTAACAACGATGCAGAAAGAATACTCGGATCAATCCAGAAAGCTTATGGAGCTAGAGGCAGATAACTTGACTCTTCAAAGAACCGTCTCATCCTCTGAAAAAGCTATCGAAGATCTTAACGTAGCTCTTATGGCTGCAAACCAAGCTGCAGACGAAAGTGGAAGGAAGATTTTAGACTTGGAAGGAAGACGCGAGATTTTAGAGCGTTCGCTGGCACATGTCAACAAGCGGAATACAAGCTTAGAGGCGGAAAAGGAGCAACTAGCCAAGAATTTAATTGAGGCAAATCGATGTATGACCGATGCCGAGCTCGAGCGAAACACCCTCACAAGGGAGAATGCGTCTCTTCGAGCTGCAGCTGCTGAGCTAGAAGGAAAGCTATCGACGTCTGCCACAGCATTAGCCGGGAAGACTGCTGCCGTACTAGATTTGGAAAATCAAGTTGAACTGCTGACTCATGAGCGTTCGGACCTAATGGCTTTGAAATTAGAACTTGAAGCCGAGCGAGATTCACTGCAGGTACGTGTAAAGATGCATGCAGAGACCATTGTGGAGATGGAGAAAAGCAAGGCCGATACTGAGCAGCTTCTAGTCACTACAAACACTAAGCTTGTTGAGCAGGAAATGGCCTTTCAAACAGCTGAGAGAACACTAAAGACTCTGAAGGAGAAAGTTAGATTGACGAAACAGGAAAAGACTGCAGCTCTCTCAATTCAGGCAGATCTCAAAAGTGAAATTGCAACTCTTTCAGAGACTATTAAGACATTAGAAGATACCGTCAACAGCCTTACCAAGCAGATATCAGAGCGTGATCGTGATAATGAAAGCCTTCGAACAGTTGCCAACGGGCATAGATCGAACGAAGAAAAAGCTCTGGAAGAGGTTGAGCGGCAACGGAATATTATTCTCGACTATCAGCAGCAAGTGAGCCAAGCAAGCCTTGAGCAATTGGCACTGACACAAAAGATCGACCAGGAAAAGAAAAAGGTTGTTGATGCCATGGCATCTAAGGAAGGACTACAAGATGACCTTCAGGCCCTTCAGAAACGCTATTCTGAACTCGAAACAGAGTATGATGCCATAAAAAAGGCACTAGCTAGTAATAACGCTACAATGGAGAAGCTAACGCTTCAGTGCAGTAGCTTGACTGCTGAATTAAGTACTTTGAAACTACAATATAATAGCACACGCGTTGAACTGGAATCAGCCCAGATGTTAGTAGAAGCAACAAAAAAGGGTTCTGCGTCTTTGCAGGGAGAAATAGACAAGCTCACACGTGATCTTCAACAGGCAAACGAAGCGAATTCTCAGCTACGTGCTGAGCAGAACGTCCTTCAGCAGTCCTTGGACAACGCCAATGCAAGCCTCAACGCCCTTGTCACTCAGGGCGAGACTTTGTCCAGGGCCACTGCAGATAGCAATAAGAAACTCCACGACTATATGAGCGAACTTACTTTGAAGAATAACGAGGTTGACTCTCTTAAGAGATTACTAGCTCGGAAAGAAGCAGATCTTGAGGAGGTGCATACCCGCATAACTAGTAAGATAGAGGAGATAAGTCAGTTGTATTCAGATAAGGAACAGGCAGAGGCACAGATCTGTGTGCTGCTTTCGGAAAACTCTGATCTGAAAATGTCAATAAGTGCCTTAACTTCTACTTTAGACTCCCAAAAACAACTTGTGAAGGATTTAGAAGGAGAGCTTATCTCGGCTCATGGTGAGTTAAAGAATACCTCTTCTGAAGTAGGACGACTGGAGCTGGAGCTTCAAAATCTCAGAGGCGATAATAAAGATAGCCATAATCGAATAGAAACACTCAATCAGCAAATGATATCTTATGACAAACAGATGGCTAGCATAGCAGAAGAAAAAGAGGGTCTTCTGAAGTTAGTTTCCCAGCTTAAGTTGACAATCAATGAACTCACGTTAGCAAAACAAGAGCTTGGCGCTAGCTTAGCCACTGAAAAGATGGCATCTCTAAAACTGGCATCTGAAAATGATGACCTGCTAAAGCGCTTAGAGTCCGGGCGGGCTGCCTATGAAGAGCTATCTGCAGAACACAAGAGTCTATTAGAAAGATACCATACTTTGAACTCTATGAAGGAGTTAGCAAATACCGAGCTAAATGCTTTAAGAAGCACAGCAAATATGTCAAAAGCGGACATAGATAAATTCTCTGCAGAGTACGAGCGATTCAGAGCCAAAGCGTCACAAGATCGGGCGGTTATCGTAAAGCTGCAAAGTGACCTTGAGAAGCTAGAGAGTAAGAATAAGTTCTTACTCGATGAAAAAACTCAGTGCACAAAGATTATAAAGAATCTAAACAAGGACATTGTAGACTTAAAGCTGCAATTGCATTCGCTTGACCAGTCCAAGGAAAGTGCTACTCGCAAGCTCTCCGTGCTCGGAACTGATAAGGAAGCTCTCATCAAGGAGGTTGATAGCCTTAGGAAGCAGACCTGTGATCAAGAGCATTTGATCCACGAACTCCAGAAACAATCTAAGGAGACTGAACGTCTTAAAGAAGACCTTGCACATATGAATACGACAATGGGAGAATTTGCAGATATGTATGCAGTAACGATTAATAAATATGCGGATGCCATGCGTCACCATGATGATATCTCCAAATTCATGCCGAAATACAATACATACATGTCTGACGCCGGGCTGATGACGGATGCACGTCTTCGACATTTCCTAGAAAACAATAAGGCGCTTCTAGATGAAAAGGCATTAGTCGAACGCAAATTCAAGCGACTAAGCGAATATGTCAATTATATCAAGGCCGAATTAGTCAACACAGACATGAAATATTTGGCATGGATCCAGCACAAAACAGCTGTGTTCAATAGGTCCGTGGCAAATGCTCGGCCTACTTCTCGACCTGACTTCATGACCAAAAGAATTGACGAGCAGGCTCGGCGGCTCTCGACAGCCTTGGAACCAACAGATTTCAGCGCATCCGATGAAATGAACATTGAGCGGGCATCGATTGATAGAGCTTCATTGGCTAAGCAGCTACAGGCCTGTGATATTAAGTATGACGCGACTCGCACTGCTCAATATGATCATTACCCATCACGTCCGAGTAGCCAAAACAACTAATTGCCAGAAGAGACCAGCTATTCAGTTCACATACCAATCGTGCGACTCAGGAGGTCATCTGCGCTCTCCAAGCGTTGTCTTGCCTTCTCTATACATTCGCATGATGCCCCTACTTCATTTCGAATTGACACCAGAGCTTCGGTAGAGCTCCTTAATCTGCTCTCTAATCCGTGTATTGTGGTTTCACTCTCCTGCTTGAAATTCATTAGAGAAGACTCTGCCTCTGCCAATTGTCTTCTCAGCGACTTGATCTCCTCGTTACCACCCTCGCGCATAGACTTTAGTTCCATGGACATTATTCTCAGGCTTTCTTCTGAACTTGCATTCTTGGTCATTAGTAGCTTCATTTCTTCCTGAAGCGCATCATACTCCTGCAGCAAACACTCTGTTTTGGCTTCTAGTTCGCGCTTTTCTCTTGTAAGTACCTCATTATCTGACACTAATCGCTGGTGTTTTATCTCAAGAGTTTGTAGAGACGTTCCTTGTTCCAGAAGCTGTCTCTCTTTGAAGCTTAACTCAGCTGTTGAGACGCTTATGTCCTTTTGCAGATGATCTACTTTATTTTCTAGCAGGGCATTCTCCGTTTTCAATGCTGAAACCTGGGACTCCAAATCATCCATCACTTGCAGTTGTGCTCTAAGATCTTCTAGTTCCTCCTCCCTACGCTTTATACTAGTGTTGTTACGTAAGTCCTCCTGATCCTTGGCTTGGCGAAGGGCCTGCACCTCTTCCTGAGCTGCGTGGAGCTGCTTCGTTGTAAGGTCTAAATCGGCTGTTAATTTAGATATCTGTTCGCTAAGAAGCATATTCTGCCTTCTTTCCTTTTGAACAGATTCCTTGTAAACTAAAACTTTATTCCTAAGCTCAGAAAACTTTGCGTCAAAAACTCGTGTCTCTTGTAGGTTCTTGTCCAATTCATCTAAAAGCGTCGACTCTGCTCCTGCATTTGAACCACCCTGTACTTTATTATCAAATTGGCAGATGGACGATTTCAGTAACGTTAGTTCGCCCTCCAAGGCTGTCAGTGTCTTATTAAGGGAACTATCTGAATGTACGTTTGATTGTCCGCTCTGTCCAGTTGCTCCAGGTGTTCGGAGCAATGAAAGAATGCTTTCTATAGCCTTTAGACGATTGTTTGTCTCTTCTAGTTTAGAAATAATAAATCCATCCTGCTGGGTATGTGTCGAGTTTTGATTAAAAGTTCGGTGTTCCGGGGACGTTAGAATGGCATCCTCAGCGACTCTGTGTTGTTTGAGGATAGCATTTTCACGCTCTAGCTCGCTAATCTTCTGTTGCAGCCCCAAGAGTTCTAAATTACTATTTAGCGCTCCCTGAGCATTGTCAATAGACAGCTGAGAGTTTGAGCCAAGAGATGCCTTGAAAGCAGCGCCTGTTGTGTCCACCGTTGATCCACTAATGAGATCATTTATAAACAAATCGGGATGCTTGAGGACCTCTCGTTGTCGAAGAGCTATTAACATCGAGGAGATTTGTTGCACTAGGCCTTCATGTACAGACAACTTAGTTGTAATGTCATCTATTTTCTGTTGAACAGCTACATGAGAGGTCGTAAAATGAGATTGAAGCTCGTATATCGCCGGATAAATGCGGCTCGAAACATCATATCGAAAGACCTGAAGCTCTGTTGATTTGTCATCCAGGTCTGCCCGTAGGTTCTCCAATTCAATATTAGAATTAGACTGATCTAGTTCTGCATAGTCTGCGTTGGGAGAAGAGTTGGTAGAAAGGCGCCTAATTATGTTCCCCACATCATTATGCACCTGTTCACGTGCCAGCTGTTGAATCGTACTGTCTTTTTCTTTTTCTAATTCTTGAATGTAGTTCTGGTTTTGCGTAATGGTCTTCCTAGCTTGATCCAACTCAGACCGCAGCTCTACTACGTTAGCGTCCACGGACTGCAGCAATGCTATCTTTTTATCAGCCTCGTAAAGCTTTCTATTTAGTACAGCATTTTCTATTTCTAACTGAAGGCGTGAGTCGCGTTGGCTTTTTGCTGACCATGGTGTTGATTGAGCCACCAAACTCCCGTCAACATGCAAGCTCGAGTGCTGTTGAGATGTCCGTTCGCTTAATTCTTTATAATTCTGGGAGTCACTAATGTTCTGTTTGCGCCCAGTTAGCTCTGAAACGGTCATTGGTCTTGTTGGAGATTCAACAGATAGGCTCCCTGTGAGAACTGCCGACTTCGGTCTTCCAGAAACATTGTGAGATAGAGAGAAGTTGGATTTCCTTGAAAGTAAAGCGCTATCATCAAAACTTTCTTGCTGCGCTCCAGAAAGACGCATTACTGAAGATGTGTAACTGGCCTTTGCTGTTATTGCGTCTCCCCGGCCAGTAGGTGTTGATATGGGGATTATTATCGGTTGCGTATAGGGTTCGGTTCCTTGGAAAGGAGGAGAGGAGCCTCGAGATATAAGCCCTAAGGGTCTATTAGATCCTTTAAGCTGATGATCGGATGAACTACCATAGAGAGACGAATAAATTAGAGACCCATCAATTCGTCCGAGAGATCGAAGAGGGATGGGGAAGGCAGTGCCCTGACCCGGTTCATTACCTATAGTCTGGAGAAGTGAGACAACTTCTTGTCGCCCACATTGCTTAGCTATTGTCAAAGCAGTGGAGCCAACTGGAAACTCGGCCGTTGCGGAAACCGTAGAGAAACTATTTTCATATGGAGCCAGAAGCTTACATATTTCTAAGTTACCAAGGCTTGCAGCAAGCATCAAGGATGTGATTCCAGACTGGGTTGTGCGACCAATTTCATAGCGCGATAGCATATCGCAAAGGGTGTAGTCTTCCATCTCGACCGCAAGCATAAGGGCTGTCTTCCCCGCTACAACTGTTCCATTATCTGTTTCATCATATGTGTGCTTATTTATCTCAGTAGTGGTTAGGTCAAGAAGATAGCGCACTGCATCTCGATGTCTAGCTGTGACCGCATACATAAGCGCCGTTTTCCCATAAGCATCCTGTGCCCCTTCTTGCGTCCGAATTAAGAGTTTGATGCAGCGTCCTAAATCGTGTCGCGCCAGAGTATCGCGACGGTGCATTACAAGATACATTAAGGGGGTGCGGTTATAATTATCTCTCGGGGCCACAGATGTGAGCAAGCCAGGGTCACTAGAAAACGCGGTGTTTAGTGCTCCAAAGTCAACATTGTACGCGGCAAGGAAAAGAGGGGTCCAGCCACTAAGCTCTGCCTCTCGGTCATAAAGAAGCTTTACAATTTGATCATGCCCATGCGTAGCAGCAAGGAGAAGAGCAGTGGTGTTAGGTTTATAAGGAGAAACCGTAGTCAACGTCCTAAAGCCTGCCTCATGAGGAAATAGGGTTTCCACAATATCTGTAAAGCCATTCTTCGCTGCACTCATAAGCGAAGTCCATCCCTCCGGAGTTGTCAGGCGCTTTTCATGGGATAGTAGAAGTTTGACGATACTGAGGTTATGTGTCTCTGCTGCCTTCATCATCGCTGTCTGATAAGGAGGGTTAGGTTCTGTACGCTTTGCATTGCTCAAATAGTTTCTAGCAATGAAACGTACATCTCCATTAGCGGCTGCGTTGAACCACGGGTCAACGTTCATTTTGATTTTTGAGTAAATAGAGCTTGCTTCTTACAGGAACAACTGGTACCACTACAACGCGCTACTTCACTCCTGTGGGTTTTCTTTGATATCGAGAGCAATATCTTGTGTGACAAATGCGTCACAAGCTGTTGGACCAGTGCTCTGAGTAATCTGAGAAATAGACCAAGAGATCGTTCATGATTCCTTAAAGACCTCTTTCTAGTTAAAGTAAATAACATATTTACGGAGATTGATGTTCTAAGGTACATGTGGAAATACATCATCATCTAAAAGCAACCAGTATTCCTGCCTGCCTCAAAGATCCACTGTGTGTTATACACCAGAGTAGTGGGTCTTACGCGGTGCATATTAGAGCGTCGTAGATAAACACATTAAGTTATTAAAAAATAATGCGGTTATTCAGTCTGCAGGAATGTGGACACCTGGCCTGGTCCCCTGTTAGCATGCAGTTTGCCTTGGCTACGTCAAGTGCAAACATAACTGAGACATTTGTCAGTGAGACTTCGCTCTCTGTTTATTCTTTGGACATTGACTCCGTTACGCCTGTCCGTGAGTTCAGCTGGCCGTTTGCGGCAGAATTCACATGTCTCCTCTGGAGCACAAGCGATAGTATTATAGCAGGATTCGAGGATGGATCTCTTTCTATAGGTCCATGGAATGATATGGGAAATGCAATACGCCTGCAAGCACACAATGCAGCTTTGTCGGCTCTTTCATGTTCAGAGGCATATTCACTCCCCCTCCTAGCAACGGGGTCTGCCACAGGCGAAGTATCATTTTGGGATCTCAATACTCGCGCCCTTTGGCATGCAGTCAAGAGCCGTGAAGGGGCTGCAGCACACCATGGTGCGATTGTGCAAATCAGTTGGAACCCTAAAGTGCCAAGAATATGCTGCACTGCTTCTCAGGATGGCACTGTCAGCATATGGGACATGGACAAAAAGGGTGGTCTTATGAGCCTTCGTGGAGATGACACGCCTCTTGTTTCAGCTCTCTTTAGTCCCGATGTGGCGACTGTTGTGTTTACTGTCAACACTGCGGGCCTGGTTTCCATGTGGGACTTACGGCAAAAGACACATCCTGTCTCAACCAGCCGTCTTCAGTTACCAGCTAATGTAGTCCCTGAATCCATGTTTATCCATCAATACGAAAAAACCTTCCTTTATATTCCGACCAGTGATGGGAAGTGCTTTTTCTTTCTTCCTAAGCAGACAGACCTGGTCTTCATGGGTTCGATCGATAGCATTGGTACACATATTAATGCGTCGCCTTTTTATCCTGGCTATTTCCTCTCGCAAGTGTGCGATCCGGTGCAATTTTCTTCAAAAACAGAAGGGCATTTCCTTCCTTCTCTGATTCCGTTACCTCTGCTTTCCGAGCATGTAGAATTGTTACCTTCACCTGTTCTTCTCCACCCTCTTTTTTTGTTTGCGGAAAACTGTCCCGAAGACATTTCGGACAACTATGATTTTGCTCCGCGTGCAATAGTAAGCATTGATTCCCATAATGTTATGATAGATGGAAAACAGCGACAGAGCATGGAGGGGCTGTTTTCGCTGACACAAGTTCGCGACGCGGGAGCTGTGCTGTCTCAAATAGAGCACGTGCTTGCTGTTCCTATTGATGCCCATTCTTGCCCTTTGCCGTTGCACACTGATCTCTCTCTTCAACCACCAGACAAGATCTTTCGTGCTCTTCTATCCGCTGGATCGTCTGGAATTTTGTCTTGGCTTACCAGTACCGAGGCCTCTTCAAAGATAAATTTTGTTAAGCAAGTTGTGGCACACCCCGCGTCACAGCCTGTGGTAGCTTCTGATGGAAGAGACTTCTTTGATGATATCCAGAATTCCTTCCCCGACTCCTTTCCCGAGAATGAAATTCTCGAACCTTCTGTTTCTGCATCCGATAGGTTTTCGTCGTATTATTCATTTTTGTATAACAACGATCTGGAGTCTGCGGCAGCTTATGCAGCCAACAGTGGAGATTTTGGGTTAGCCTTCTACATTGCTTCCAAGAAAAGTAATAAGGAGCTCCTAAACTCTGTGTCAGACTCTTTTAGGAAAGCAATGAAATCCAACTTCATAAAGGCTGTTGATAGCATGGAGACAGGTTATGCAGCTATCATAGAGTGTCTTCCGCCAGAAAACTGGTTCTATCATCTAAAAATTGCTGCCTCATATGGTGGCGAACAGGCAATACGAGAAGTCGCTGCAACTCTCTTGCAGAGGTCTACTAGCTTTTCGCCATCTTTATTGACCGCATTAACAATATTGGCGGGACGCATTCCAGAAGCCTTTGAGTTGGCTGCGTCGACATCAAGCCTTTTAGATACACTAGTTATGGGTCTCCTCTGTGTGTCGCAGGGAGTGTCGATGACGGGTGGCGGTGTCTTTAGAATCCTGGAGGGGCTAGTCGATATTGTTGTTTCACAAGGTGATGAGAATCTTGCAGCAACGCTTCGTGGTAAGTTTTCTCTTAACAAGTCAAATCTAACGCCTCAAAGTGCCCCATTTGTGGAAAAAATCCAGGAGAAGGGGGCTCCTCTGAGTTCTACAACACATACAAAACAAGGGCGTCGTAGTCGAGCTTCTACTATACCACAAGTAACTGGTAATACCCTACTACCTCCACAACTTGCTACTGCGTCTCTGTTTTCTGGGCCTGCTCCACCTGCGCCAATTACGGCATCTATCGCCCCAGGAATGTCATCAACTCAAACTTCGGTACCGTTAGCAGTGCCCCCTATGTCTTATACTACTCCGGCTCAAACCGCTTCTTCTTTCCCTGCTGTTCCTCAAATTGCTTTGAATTCAGCTATTACACCACCGATACCTCATATACCAATGGCACAACCATCTGTTCAACCTCAGTCAGCTGTTTTACCTCTCGAAAGCCCGCAGACTCCCATCTTGTCAATAGCTCAACCGCCTTCAGTGATATCAGCCCCTTCCGTTAGACTACCACAGGCAGAGGTACCACTTGCTGCTCCTCCGTCTATTACAGCTCCTGCGCCCCCAACAGTTAATGGAGCAATTTCTACAGAAGTTGTGCAAGTAACTACAACAACAGCGCCACAGGCCCGAGCGCCACGTCGTCAACCAACTCAGTCATTATCGGCGGGCCAACCTTATGATGTAATTCATAATATCGCGACAAACGGATCAGCAAATGCAGAGAGATTTAAGGCACTTGTTTTACGCTATGCTGATGTTGATCAATTGGGATTTTTGAAATATTACACGAAGCTAGGCGATTGTATTATTCATCTTGCAGAGCAAGGGGTGCTTTCAGCAGACACTATTAGTGTCCTTGGACGGTACATTGCTGGACTGGAAATGGGAAATGGACAGGCTGCAACGGAGGCTATAAAAGGTATGGCAGCGCGCAAGCAGCGTCTCTACACTGAAGAGCTTTCTACGTGGGCCGCACCGCTGAAGATCATGGCGCGGGCGCTCTGCAAGTAAACCCATAAAATGGCCGGGTCTCTGCTTCCCCGCAACTTCGGCGTCGCCGAGAACGGCGCGCGGGTGGTCGACTTCAGCTCGCAGTACCACCACAACTCGGGGGTCCAGAACCTTGTGCGCCAGGATCCCTCGGTCTGCTGGTTCACGTCGGTCTACGCGCCCCTCCCCCAGCACGTCGTCATCGACATGGGCCAGCCGGTCTGCCTCACGCGCGTGGGCATCTTCCTCCACGGTGAAAACAGCCAGAACCCCCGGCGCGTCTCCTTTGCGTGCGGGGCCGACCCTGCCTGCCCCGAGCCCCTCGCCGAGATGGACCTCCCGCACCGGGGCGGAGACCACCTGTGCACCCTTCCGTCCCCCCGCGTGGCGCGCTTCGTGCGCTACACGATCCTCGAGAACTTCGGGGGCTCGGGCGCCTACACGACCGGACTCCAGCTCTACGGGGTCCCCGCCCAGTAAACGACGGTTTACTACAGGTAGCTGAACCTCGCCGGCCCTGCGTGGGCCTCGCGGTCCAGCTCTCCGAGCCCCAGGTCTCCCCCGACCGCCGACCGCCCGAGGGAGCCGCTGCGGATGAGGTTCGACATCTCGTCGATGAGGTCTGGCATCGCAAAGTGCTGGGAGCCCCGCGGGCCTGCGTCGCCGTCCTCAAGCGCCTTACTGGACTCGGTGGCCTTCTTGAGCGTGTCGCTCAGACGCTTGTTGCAGATCCACATGTCGTCGATCAACATCGAAATCACGGAGTTGGCCTCGGTCACCTTGCGCGACTTGTCGAAGAGCCGCTCGCGCAGGGCCTCGACTTCTGCGCGAAGGTCTGCGTAGCGCTCGACCGTGATGCCCTCGGCCTCGAACTGCTCCATCGCCTCCTGCATCCCGAGAAGGTTGCGCTGCATCTCCTCCATCTCCTCGAGGAGCTTCTTTGCGTCCTCGTGCTCTGCGCTCAGGGCGTCGAGCTCGCGGCGCGTCTCGTCCAGCTCGCGCGCCGCGTTGCCTCCCGCGGCTTCGGCCCGGGCCAGCTCTCCCTCGAGCTCTTTGACGCGCTCCTGGGCCGTTATCAGCTGCCCCAGGACGGAGTCGTCGCTGTTCTGGAGGTCTGTGATGTGCTTCTCGAGCTCGCGGACGTGTGCATTCATGAGCTCGACCTCGCCCCGCGCGGCCTCGACTTCCTGGCGGGCGGCGGCCTTGACCTCCTCGACCTCCTCCTCCATCGCCTGGGTGTCGCGGACCTTCTCTGCATACCTCGCCTCTGCGGCGGCAACCTTCTTCTCGAGCTCGGACATGTCGTACAGATGGCCCTTCATCTCGCGAATCGCCGCCGCCTGCTCGTCCACCTTTGCACGAAGGTCATCGCGCTCCTGAGCCACGACCTGGAGCTCGACCCGGAGCTTCTCAAGCTCGCGGATCGCATCTCCCTGGGAGAGGATGTCCTCGATCGCCTGGAAGAAGCTGTCCGAGTCACGCACGCCGAGGAGATCTGCAAGGCGCTGGATCGCCTCGGTAAGGGGCTTGTCGGTGACCAGGTTGAACTCCTCGCTCCGGCTGTCGAGGATGAGGGCGGTGACGATGCACGGCTCGACCTCGTCCTCGTAGACCTGCAGAATCTCCTGGCATTGCCGGTGGCCGTGCTGGACGGCGATGTCGTATGCAGACTGGCCTGCATCGTTCCGGAGCCCGTGCTCGAGGGGAGCGAGGAGCCCGACGATAGGCGCGTGGCCGGCCAGGGCTGCGTGCTGGAGCGCAGTGGCCTTCCCGGGGGAGTGGCCGAGAGGCGCCGTGCTCTGGAGGTTGGCCTCGAAGGGCGCGAGGGCCCCGACGATCTCGAGGAAGCCCCGGTGTGCGGCGAACATCATCGCAGTTGTTCCGGTCTTGTTGGGCTGGGCATTTTCGGCGTCGATGAGGTGCTTCACGCACGCGAGGTGGCCTGCGTCTGCTGCGAGGATCAGGGCGGTCGAGCCCTCGTGGTCGCCGCAGCTCGGGTTGTCGGGGATCGCCGCGCCGACGTCCTCGGGCGTCCTTTCAATCAGCACTCGGACGGCGTCTGCGCGCCCGAACTCTGCGGCAAGCATGAGGGGCGTCTTCCCCGACGCATCCCGTGTTCCGCGGTAGAGGTCGGCGAGGAGCGTTACCGAGACGGTGGGGTCTCGCGGAGAGAGGGCGGCATAGTGGAGGGGTGTGCGGCCCAGGCAGTCCCGGGTCTGGGCGCCTGCGGCCACGTGGGCCCTCAGGGCCGGCTCGTTCAGATCGAGGGCGGCGAGAAGGGGCTCGGCGAGGTACGGCCGCTCCTGGTCGAACGCCAGGAGTGCCTTCGTGGTCGAGAGGTGGCCGCGGGAGGCGGCGATCTCAATGGCCGTCGCACCAGCTGGGTACCCGAAGGCCGCGGCGGAAAGCTGCCTCCCAGCCTGGTAGGGCGCGAGGGCTGAGACCGCCGCATCGTGGCCGTGCATGGCCGCCGACATGAGGGCGGTCCAGCCTGTGTCGCTCCGGATGTCCTTCTCGTACGGGAGAAGGTACTTGACCGTGCCTGTGTGGCCGCCCTGGGCTGCAAGGTGTAGCGCCGTGAGCCCGGGCCCGTCCGGGAGCACGGCCCCCTGGTACTGCTTGCAATGGACAACGGTGAACTTGATCTCTCCGGACCGCGCCGCCTCAAACCAGGCGTCGAGGTTTCGCTTGTATTGCGAGTCGTCGGGCATCCAGGAATTTTGTGTTGGCTGCAATTTCACATGAACTTGCGATCGGAATTTACAATGGACCCCGAGAGCACCCTGCTTGGCGCGGCAATCCAGGAGCTCTGGGCCATCAGCCGCCGCCTCGACGAGCTCTCGGCTCGGAAGGCGCCTCTAATGACCGCGATTGCGGTGCGCGAACAGAGGCTCGCCGCCCTCGAGGTCGCTCTCGGGGCCCCCACGCCCCGTCACAGAGCAGCCCTTGTGACGCGCAGCAGCGCCGTGTCTCTTGAGCAGGCGACTGCAGCCCAGATCTACGCGGGCCAGCCGCCCCTTCTCTACCTCCAGGACCGCGAGTCGCACATAGGCTCAACTCGCATGGCCCCGCTCCCTACAGACCCGTGCGCCGCCTTCGCGAGCGAGGAGGCCTCCAGCTTCGTCGGCTTCGAGCCGGCCTATCCAACGAACATCGCAGGGATCGGCGGGGTCCTGGGGCCCCGCTCGGGCATTCCCCTACGCCTCCGCCCCGTGAAGAACCGCTTTCGCGCAAACGACGACCTTGTCAAGGGCCTTCGGACGCTTTCGCCCGCAGACGCACAGGGCGCGCCCTACTTTTCCCGCCCAGTTGTCTCCCCGGACGACGAGCACGACGACGTGACGCACCTCCAGGCGGTCCAGAACGTCGGGCTCTACGCCGCAGCGCCCCTGCTCCCGCTGGCATCGGCGCCTGTCGGGCCTTCGAGGACACACGCCCGTCAGCGGCAGTTCAGCGTCGTTGGGGTCAGCAAGGCGGTCGAGGAGGCCTTCGAGTTTGCAAACATCGAGCGCCTGGTGGCAGACCTCAACGACGACGGGGTGCCGTCTGCGGTTGAGCCCTCCTCGGCCGCGCCTGTGCTTCCTCGGGCCCGCGGGTCGCTTGCGGGCAGAGGTGGGCGTGCGCCGGGGATCTGCCGCCTCTCCACGCACCGCGGAGTGCCCAGCCGCCCGGCCTCTGGGGGCTCTGCATTCGACGAGACCCGTCGCATCGTCGGCGAGATGATGGCCGGCAGCGCCGCCCCCACGCTCGACCGTCTGCGCCGCGCATTTGCAGACCGAAACCTCCGACTGCGACGAGCGCTCGCCGCGCGCCTCGAGACCCAGGTGCTCTGCCTCCGCTGGCAGCGTCTGGAACGGCCCCTGAGTCGCCCGGTAGACAAGACCCTCGACCTCCTTTGCAAGCACCGGCTCAACAGCCTACCCGGCTTTGCCACGAGTAGTTTGCGCCTGATGAACCGAAGCAGGCGCCACGGAGTTGCGTGGGAGGGGTTTACACCGGTCACAGGCTCCTCCCCCGGCCCCGGAACTCCTCGGCAGGAGGCGGAAGTGTCTCTGTAGGCCGGACGTCCTCGGGCCCGTCCTCGCTGGCCACGAGAGCCTCGTCCTCCGGGGACAAAGGCCTCCTGAAGGCTCTTCGCGGCAGGACATACGCTGCGACGACGCCCGAGAGCGTGTAGGGAACGCCCTCCCAGGGGGGATAGAGCATCACCTGGGCCATGAGGACGGTGACGAGGATGACGCCCCACGCCGGGATGGGGCACCGGAAGCAGCAAGTGAACGACTTATGCCCGGACAGCCGGATCCCCATAATCGTCAGGAATACCAGCAGGGGTCCGGGCCCCATGTTCGCATTGCTTGTCCACTGGGCGGCGAAGTACGGGACGTCCCGGAGGCCGGGGGTGAGGGCGAGGAGGGCCGTGAGGGCCGACGTCAGAAGGGAGACGCAGGGGACCGCAAAGGCGAGGAGCCCGAGAAAAACCTTCCAGCCGACGGTCCGCTCCAGTAGGAACGCAGAGTTCCAGCCGATCAAGGCGAAGAGGGCTCCCTGGAAGACGGACTCCGGGAGAACAGGGGCGCTGACCAGCCGCCAGAGCTCCAGGTCCTTGTATGCACGCTCCATATTGATGGAGAGCCAGATTGCAGCCTGGAAGCCCCCCGCCAGCGAGGCCAGCGACAGGGAAAGGCCGGCGAGCAGCTCGAGGGCAAGAAGGCAGAGTGCACACCGGGGCATCGCGAGAAGCGCAGCTCCGAACCTGTGGCAGCATCCCGCTGGCCGTGCCGGGGGGTCGTCAGGTTGCATGCCGGGGGGCATCAAAATTATAAATGCCTATCAGCGATGGCATCCCGACGGCCATCCTCACAGCCCACCGGGGACGCATTCGGGCGCTGCTTCTGACACTCCACGGCCAGCTGGGCCTCCGGGAGGTTGTCTTTGCAGCCCTGGCCAACCTTTCCCTGCTCGAGCCCCCAGGGCCCGCTGCGGCACCCACGCCCCTCCCCGACTATGATTGCTGCGAGCTCTACCAGGTCGTCACCAGGTCTCGCCGTAACCTCCTCCAGTGGCTCCCCCCGCTCCACTTGACCCTTGAAGACCTCCGGCGTGTCCAGACGCGTGTCCGGGGCGACGCCGAGCTCCTCACGTTCTTCCTTGTTGTGAAGCAGCACGTCACCCGGCTCCGATACACCCACCCCCTGGCACAGCCTGGAGGTCCCGGGCTGGCTGCCGCCCCCGAGGCAAGCGCCCGCTGTCGGGACATCGGGTACGCCGCAGCAGACCTCCGAGGGTCAACGCGCGCCAGTCTGGACCCCGCAGACCTTCTGGGCGGCCCCTTGGAGGACCCGGCGCTGGCTGTCTGCCGCACCCTCCGGGGCCTTCATCCGGCTCCCTGGGTCCTTCCCATGGGCGTCCTTGCGCAGCACTACGGCACGTTTCTGCAGCGATCCGGGGTCCAGGGGCCGTTCTTTGTGCGCGTCGTCCAGATGCCCCCGATCACGCCCTCGGGTGGCCAGGAGTCTCGCCGGCTGTTTTCGCGCCGCCAGTTTCTTGAGGTCGGGCTGTACGTGCGGGCCGGAAGCACGCTCTACACGCTCCTCCTTCCTCTCGTGGCCGTCGGGCGCGCCCTCCATCACCTCGCCGTGGCCACTCGACTTGCCGCCCCCTGGCCGCTGCTCCTGTCTCCAGACCTGCTCCTGGCAGTCCGTGTCTCCCCCATCGGCTTCGCCGTCCACGTCCTCTCGACGTTCTGGACCGTCTGCGTCATCTACATCTTTCAGCTCGCGAGCGTTCCCAGCCTCGCCGCCCTGGCCGCCCTCTACTGGAAGACCTACGTCGTCACGTACGCCGCCAAGGCCCTCATCTACAGCACCGCGAACTTCCTGCCGCCCGCGCCAATCGTCGAGTTCATCAAGTCTGCAGACCCCGTGGGGGCCGAGGGCGTCCTCTACCACGCGTTCTTCGACGACTTCTTCCGCGAGGACTGCGAGCAGCGGGCCCATGGGGGCTACCGGAGGGTCGCGCAAGCCCCGGCTGTCTTCAAGCTCCTCGAGGAGGCGAACATCAATCTTCCGCAGCCCCAGGGGCCCCGCATGCACAGCGCCGCAAGGCTTGTGCTCCTGCTGTTGGCCACGCTGCTTCCAAGCTTCGACCCTCAGAGACGCTTCTAGTCAAAAAATGGAAGAGGTCGTCATTGCCACGGGGAGCTACGACGGGTCGATCAAGCTCTGGCGGCCGACCTCTGAAAGTGCGCTCCGCACGCTGAACTTCGGAAAGGTCGCCAACGGGCTGGCCCTCAGCGCGGACCGGAAAGTCCTGCTTGCAGCCGGGTTCTCCGCCACGACCGTTTATGACCTCGGCTCTGCCGGGCGGGACCCAGTCGCCGCCTTCGACGGACACCTCTCCAACGTCACAGGATGCTGCTTTCTCCAGGGCGACTCGACCGTCGCCAGCGTGGGCGAGGACGGACGCCTTCTGCTCTTCGACACCCGCGGGGGGAAGCAGACTAGCTGCATCGTCCACGACGCGGCCCTCAACACGCTCTCTGTCGCGTGCGACCGGGGGGATGCGGCGCTCCTCGTCACGGGAGATCAGGAGGGTCGCCTGCTTGCGTACGATCTGCGCCAGCCCCGGCACCCCTTCGCAACGACGGTCGCGTTCGAGTGCGACGTCGGCGTCCGTTCGGTCAGCTGCGCCCCGGGGGCTCAAATCCTCGCGTGCTCTGACGGGCGGGGCATCGTCCGCGTCTACGCCTACAAGGGCAGCAGCCACTTCTTCGCGCCTCAGCAGTCCATCCAGGCGCACTTGGATGCCGTGATGCACGTCAACCTCTCTCCGGACGGGGCCGTCCTGGCGACGTGCAGCGCCGACAAGACTTGCAAGATCTGGTCCGTTGCTCTTGAGGAGGACTGCTATCTGACGCGCGCCCGCGTGCTGGGGACAAACGAGGCCACGGTCTGGGCGAGCGCCTTTAGTGCGGACTCGGCGTGCATCATCACGGCCGCAGACAAGAGCGCGAAGCTCTGGAACATCGCGGGCGACCCGACCGACAAGTATGTCTACGCCTACAACGGGCACTCGCACACCGTGACGACGGTGGTTCTCGGAGACGTCCGCCTTCCCCTGTGATTCCCTGCGCCGTTCCCTGCGCGCCTGCAAAAAGATGCTCTATAGCGCTTCAGATGTCGAACGCGTTCCTACGGACTCCCGAATCTGCGTCCTCCTGACCACCCTCTTTACCGTCCCTCCCGGCGGCGATCCTGCCGAGCCGAGCCAGCGGTGCCCGCGCAAGACGTTTATCTCGGCGATCCTCGAGGGCTCTGGCCGCGGGCTGCAGGGCTCCTGGGAGGAGGTCGCAGAGCCCGTCTGCCTGCTCGAGGCGTACGATCCCGCCCTGCCCTACGCGATCCGGGTCGCAGCGGGCGCCGGCCGGGTCGCCCGGGACCCGACGCTCCCTGCCTCGCACTACCTCTATGCCGCACACAAGCAGGGCCTCTCCGTGGGCTGCCCACACTATGTCCGGGGCTGCCTCCTCTACTGCGCAGTCTGCGGAGAGCGCTCTCCATGCCGCTTCTGCCACGATGCCTCCCACGACGACCACGAGTTCCCGCGGACCCGCACGGCAGAGGTCTTCTGTCTCTTCTGCCGCGCCACCGGCCCCATCGGGCTCCGCTGCACACACTGCCAGATGCCCTTCGGGACGCGCTACTGCGAGACGTGTCGCCTCATCTGCGGAATGGGCCGCGAGGGGCGTCCGAGCTTCCACTGCGCCCGCTGCGGGACGTGCCGGCAGGGCCTTCCGGGGTACTCGGAGCACTGCGAGCGTTGCGGGACATGCCACACAGTCGCCCTTGGCCAGGTTCACGCGTGCGCGCCGGACCCCGGGAACTGCGTCTACTGCCTCGACGGCCTCCGGGACAACATCTACCCGTACATCGTCCTTCCCTGCGGGCGCCACTCGTGCCACCGCCACTGCTACGAGGCCGTCTTTCGCCTGGGTGGGGCGAACTACAAGTGCCCGGTCTGCCGCCGGCTCGTCCTCTTCGGGCAGGACAGGGAGCTCTACGAGGCGCGCCTGGAGGAGCTCCGGGGATCGCTTGCGGTCCCGCCCGAGTACCGGGGCGTCTTCGTCGACTGCGCATGCCACGAGTGCGGCGGGCTCTTTGTCGCCCGGCGCCACCACCTCTACCGCTGCCCGGGCTGTGGCTCCCACAACGCCGCCGAGCGCGGGCTCTTCAGAGGCGCCGCCGCAGACGCGCGCCGCGCAATCGCGCTCCAGGCCCGCTCCGGGGCGTTTACTAGAACAGGGCGTCAAGGGCCGCCTCCAGCTGGGCCCCAAACTGGGTAAGCCGGTGGCTAGGCTCATCACAAAACCCTTTTGGTACTTCACTTTCTGCAAGTATCACTTGCCCTGGTGCAGAGGTTTCCGTAGACCCTAAGAGAGACCAGGTATTGTTGAAGGCTTGTGGTTGCTCTTCTATGCAAGGCTCTCTCTTTGTGTGTCCACCTAATGCACGAATCATTTGTCTGCCACTGGCCCGTGTGCTTATTAGTGCATACACCTGCCCGTCAGGGCTACAATCTACCCCGCATACTCTATCTCGCTTATGCCGTTTTTCAAAAATGACTACCTTTTCTTCTATTGCACCGTTCGCTAGCTTAAAAAGCATGCCCTTATCATCACCAATTCCAAAGACATAATGACGATCGTTACTGTCAGGATGCGGAGATAGACAAACTTGGTGTATTATTGGCAGGCTGATACTTAGAGGCCGCTTCCTATTAGAATCCTGCTTCTTTGTAGAGATACTTGAGTCCCTAATAAACTTATAGTAAAATATTCCTGCTGGGCTGGTGATGCAGACAGAGGTATCACCGACGGCACACATAGTTCTTCGGGTTCGGTAAGATGAACTCTTTCCTCTAGTCGCTAATAGGTCGAACCTCTCCAGCACCTTGATGCTCACGGGAAAAGGGTGACCATTCTCACTCTTTTCTGAACCGGAGTAAATAATCTCATAGACGCGCAGCTCCAAGTGGTGCTTATCAAGCTCTGCGTCCCCGAGTACTGCACAGAAATAATGGCCATTTCTAGAAACTCCAGCTGCTTCCACCCATATGGGAATATCCCCAAGACCATCGCAGATGTCCCAATTAAATACCTCGACAATGCCTGCGTCGGTGAACGTGAAGACCTTAGCCTCTAGCTGGCTAACAGTTAAAAACAAATCGCAATTAGGAACAGACAACAGAGGAGCCAGCAACTTCACAGACGTGCTGTGCGGCCGAAAAATTTGGGCGAGACAGATGGAATCGTCAAAACGGCCAGTAGCACGATAAGCATAGAGCACCTCCTCTTGGTGAACATTGTGCGTCAGTTTTAGTCCTGTAACAGCAAGCAACAAAGATCCGTTAGCCAGCGCAGCGAAGTGAAGGATATGCGGAGGATCCGAGATTTCACATCGAGAATAGACTTTGTTTCGTTGTATAATAGTCACTATATCAGTTGAGTTCGTGGGTAGCAAAGCAGAACTTGGTATATTTTCTACCCCGTGGAAAAGCTGGATGTCTCCTGGAGACCCATCAGCTAGTATGCTGAGCTGGTCGTTCTCGCCATATAAGAAGATTCCTGGAGTATCCTTTGGTGTGTAACGCAAATTTCTAGCTGGAGAGACTAACCCATGCCTCTGAGCCATAATGACACCAGCAGCGGTATCTATCAAATACATTGTGTTGGTTGCTGTAACTACGCACGCCGTCTGGGAGTAGGTAAGAGAGGTTGGAGAGAAGATTGACGGACAAGGGCACGAGATGTACCGTACCGGTCCAACCACAGCCGGTCCAAATTGCGGAGTATAATCAAGAAGCGAAAGATTGACCACGATTGTTTCCTCTCCTCCCAGTAGGACCTTAGGAGTGGCAGTGGTGGCATGAGCAACAGCCAACGCACTGATCCCATTTTTATTCCAATGGAACCGAACATGCTTTGATTGAGCAACAGTGGTTCCTATTGGTATGCCTTCAAAGCGGTACAGAGCCCCGCGAAGATCACCCATCAAGAATCCATAGGAGGTGCGATGGTTAAACGCAACCAACTGAGTAATACAGGCGTCATGAGACATTGTGGAATAGTTATCTGGAAGCCTTCGTGGGGAGTCGGGCCTAGAATGCGGAAATCTGGCAAAGAAAAGCGTACAATCAATAGCTATATAAATGACGTCATCTGAAATGATTAGTCGACTGCTCGTCCGCTGCAAAGTAAGTTGGTCGGGAGTGACAGGCGGGGGATTCAAACAGACTACATCAGATAGGTCAAAGACGGCCTTACGCGGGTTGTTGGCTGCAGCCGAGAGACTGTACAAGATGAGAAAATGGGTTCTGTTCTTCGCTGCTTTGGCTTCCAGTAAGAAGACAAACTGATCAGATCCATCACACTGTGCACACGCAACAAATTCTGGCTCGTGCTGCAAAATGGATCCGTCCTTAGTCTTTTTGGGCCCCTTGTCCTCTGGTAAGGAGACTTCAAGCGAGAAGTCCCCCGTCCGTGTATTGTAAATAGAGAATCGATGCTTCGAGAGGATGAGAAGCTGTGAATCTGATGCGCGTAGGAACAAGAGTTGGACTATCCGCCGTTTATGTGTTGGTACTACCTTCAAGAGAGCAAGTGTCACTGGAGACAGTGCAATTATGGAGTCTCCGGTGGCAGAATAGATTGCGCTACCATCTGGAGCAAATGCAGGAGGGCAGGACGCCATAAAGCCACCGAATGCATCCATTCTAATAATTGTATTTCTTTTTAGTCATAGAAATGGTCCCTGCTCCTTTCCTTGACCAGGACCGCTGTTTTGAGTGGTTTCTAGAAGAGGGTGCACGAGAGCTAGAGGCACTCCACAAGTGTGCGTCCCCCGTGCAAAACGCCATTTTTGTTCAGCACACTTCTCCAATTTCTGATTCGTCTGCAGGGTCTGTGACTGTGGAACTAGGTGGAAGCAAGGTGGCGTGCTCCATCACCCTCCAACTTGTAGAAGAAGGAAATCCAGCTATTGTGATAGCGGTAGATTGTGGTCCTTTAGCAGCACATAAAGCCCTTGGGCGGCAGATTCACGAAATCCTCTCGAAAGTTTCTTTACACTTTGAGGAGCCGGCAGTGGAGACAGGGTGGTTACTTCAATATTCGGTTTCCTTGTCCTTGATTGTTCCTGGCCCTTCCAACATACCTGCCTTAGCAACTGCTTTCAGTGAATGCTTTAAGGCTGCTACTAGACCTGCAGATTTGTATGCAGACCAGAGTCCTCGCGTCCCTATTCTAGATCCTTCCGTTGAGCCTCTTCTGGCATCCCGCTTTACCTATGTTTCTTCCAAGTCAGGTGTAATCCAGATCAGGAACCCAACGGTAACCCAGTCAAAGATATCTGCAGGTCACATGGACATAATAATGCAGGGTGAGTCTATTTACTTTCTGGATGCCTACAATGTCCCTGCGGACATGATGAAGAGATTCTTCCAACTTCTTAGACAGAGTTCCTAACCTCTTTGCAGTTGGCATCGTAACTATATACGTGACCTCTATACAGTGCCCGGTCTAGAAACGACGCTCGGTAAAAGTCTGACTCATGATATGGGACAGAAGAGAGCCGTCTAACAAAGTCGTCGCTTTGAATCTTTGGATGCATGAGAAGGTATGTCGCTATCGAGGCGCCAGATATATGGCTAGATATGGCAGTAAGATCTTCTGTTGAGATATTGACAGTCTTCAACCCAGTCTCGAACGCCTTCATTAGGTTCCTTCTGTTATCAACAATTCTATTGGCTACACCAATGTCCTGTAACATTCTGCAAATATATTCGACATCTGACTCATATATGTTGGAGAAAGTAGTGTTAGAGAAAGACTTGTCTTTGTTACCCTTCAAGTTTTCATAGTAGCGCCAAAAAAGAGCACAGAAGTATGCAGCGGGGAAAAGATTTGATAGCTCTATTTGAACCAGGTATTGAAGGGTATCCGATAAGGTGCTTGCGACTCTTTCAAATGTGTTTCTAAGGTCGAGAGTCAAGTCATTAATCAGCGATTGATCGTGTGTAGCAGTAAACAGTCTTCCTATGTGGCTGTCTCGAAACGTACTCAGAATCACATAGACTAGCTTAGATGCAACTACATTGAGGGCCTCACTAACAACCTCCTTGACCGAGCTCACTTGTGCTTCAATTACAGAACGTGCAAAAGACTCTGATTTCAGGGCACTCTTCACAAAGTCTGTAAGCTTTTCAAGTGAGTTTGGTATTAAATCTATATCATTTGCCAATGCAATATAGTGACGCGTTTCGAGCTTTTCACCTGACCAGAGCGACTCCGCGACTGGGCACCCACAGGTGGAGGAGGCATCAGAGTTAGCAACGTTTGATTGGCCTGCTACACCCTGAGATGCAAGCGTCTCTTGTAGGTTTAGTCCGGTAAGACAACTTGAGTTCCTACTGTGTGCACTGGCAGCCATAACGCTACTGGTATCAGTGGCCATTTGGCGTGGCCTCCGTCGGATGCCGAATATCCCCCCAAACTTAGTATCGCTCGCTCGATAAAGAGGCTCGGCTTTGCTTGTCAGTTCTGAAGCAAGAGCTTGAGGGGATATCAAGGAGGAAGACCCGAGTGTTTCAGAAAGGAACTGAAAATCATCCGAATTAAGACCCTCTCTTTTAATGCTCCAAAAAGCGTCGCTAGCTAAGAGGTTATTAAAACTGTGTGCACCATCAACTATTTTGCAAAGATACTGGATGTTCATGGGCGGATCAATGCCAGAGATATTGCCAAGAATGTCGTACACAAAATTCTTTATTGCAGTACAGGCGGCGTTATAGGTTTCAAGAAAGATGCACTTCCCCAAGTCTGCAGTTAGATCAATGGTGCGAAGCTGTTCAAGGAAAATTGCAAAGATTGTACTTATAACTCCAGTCATAATGGTCCCCTCAGAGGTTGGTCTGGACGTATCCAGATCCCGTACATAGGTAAGTTGAATCTTATAGCATGCCTCGCAAAACTTCCGCAAAACATCCCTCTTGTATTGAGAAACGACAGATTGCATGGGTGCCTCCAGCGAGTATGCATTGACAAAGAACAGATCCTTTGCCTTCTGCTCCACCATTGTAGCTTTGAGTTGTGATTTCATTGCTGAGTCCTTGGAGCCTGTAAGAGAACTTAGAACCATATCTATTGTAATTGCCCTGTCCGTGGAGCTCATGCCACTCCAAGCTGTCTCAGCAAGGCTGAGTACACAATCGTGGATTGTAAATATACAGGGGTGGGATGAAGCCTGGGCCGAGAATGGAGCTAGATCAAAGAACTTCCCGTCTGTTCGCACCATAGCATAGCTCGATCCCTTTGCCCTGGAATCCTCAGCCATGCCATCTTCAAAAACAGAAGTGAGGCTAGAGTGCCAAGAGCGATAGTGTGGTGACACTCCTGCGTGGGCTGTACCCCTGGCGATATTTTGGAAATAAACCGCATCAGGAAAGCGGCAAACAGCCCAATTAAATCCACGAGTGTCTAACTCTGTGGTGTAAGATGAAGCAAACGCAATAAGGGAGTGTAGCACCTCTTGTGTTAGAGCTACCGTCTCTGAAATGTTTCTAAGGACCCCCTGAACGTGATTGTGTATAGCAGAGACGTAAACAAGCGGAAGATTGAAGATACTAGCAACTGGAATGTGCGAGCTATTTGGGGAAAGAGGTGATGCGAGTGCGACTCGAGTTTCCTGAGTGCCGAGCCCTTTATAATATGCTTCTACAATGACAGTAGCTGCAGGCTTTCTAAACGGGGGTTCAATGTGCATTTTTATGTGATCTAGATCCTCCTGTATGATTGATAGGAGGGTGTCCAGAAAGGTCTGGAGGTCTGAGTCTTTTGCGCCATCTGAATCATTCTTCATCGTTGACATAGCTGACCTCTCAGAGTGCTTACCCATCCTGCTCGAGAATGTGTGAGGCCGCACACGCGTACTTTGCTGCTCGTAGCGGTCAGGGATAACTGTGTTGTACACGGTATTGACGATCGCAATCCACGCTTTCGCAGCTCCTCTCTCCTCCAGAGTTTCCTGCGCAGAAAGGTTTAGAATAAGTTGCTCCACAATCTCTCCTATATCACGCCTGGCTATCGTTTTTGAATCAAAGAGCTGTGCTGGCATTTTATCTGTGATATAGGAGGACAACTCCCGGGACAGATCCAGCGCACTCTTGAAAAACGTATTGTCAAAAGACGTTGCTATTGACGTGAGTTCTGCAGACAACTTGTCGAGCTGGACTGTCTTGAGACTTGATGAGTGGGTAAGTGAGCTTACATACTGCTTTGGAAGCTTACGCACATCATCTCTATTCTTTAAGATGGCAAGAATTTCCTTCTGGAGCTCAAAAACAGAGACAGGGGCCGTTTCTCTTCGAGCCCATTTGCCAGCAACGACTGCTGCCCGGGCTGGGACCGAGACGACCTTTTCATAAAGCTCCTGGGTTGCAAGGGCGTTGGACAGCCCGTGACCAACATGCTGCATCAATATGCTGACATCTGGAGGAAAATCCTCTTCCGTCTCGCCGTAACTGGTAAGTTTAGACGCATCGTTCTGGGCTGTCTCAACTGTTTCCTGTGCCCGCACCAGAAGGTCTATGAATGAAGATGCCTTTGTAACTTGGGCATTTACGCATCGGGAAATCTCCTCCTCAATGTGGGCCGCCTCCTGGGAAAATTGCTCAAAGACCACCTGATAGACATTCTCTCCAGACGCGGCAGCAAGAGCCGACTTGAGAAGCTGGAAAGCCTCTGCCTGCACATCGGTCTCATCAACGGATGTCATGAAAATTATGGCTACTCATTTAAAAGTATGCAGCACTCACAGAGAGATGCATGCTAAGTCCTATACGACCGTGTGTGAACAAGTGCACTCCTCTGCAAGCATCACACGATAAAGACTTTGCAAAATAGTTTGCACAACTGCTCTCTTGACGCCGAAGCACGAGCTGGAGCTGCGAGTGCTGCACAGAGATTCCCCTGGGAGATACCCTCTCGCCTTGAGGGCAGAACCTCAAGACGCGCTACCGCCGGCGGAACCCTTTTTTGCGCGCAAAAATTTGAGCCCAAGTTAAGAAAATAAAAGGATGTCTATGTTCACCTCCACCCGTACGCTCACCCAGACGATGGACAAGCCCGACGACCTCACCCGCAGTGCGACCGAGACGGCGGTCAAGCTCAGCAACATGAACCAGCGCGTCAGCAGGTTCCACGACAAGATGGAGAACGAGATCGAGGTCCGCCGCGTCGACGACGACACGCGCGTGAAGATGATCAAGGACGCCATCGCACACCTCGACAGGCTCATCCAGACGGAGTCGAGGAAGCGCCAGGCCTCGTTCGAGGACATCCGCGAGGAGGTCAAGAAGTCCGCCGACAACATGTACCTAACGATCAAGGAGGAGATCGACACCATGGCTGCAAACTTCCGCAAGTCCCTTGCGGAGATGGGCGACACACTCAACAACGTTGAGACAAATCTCCAGAACCAGATCGCCATCCATAACGACGCCATCGCGGCTCTCAGGAAGGAGGCCCTCAAGAGCCTGAACGATCTCGAGACGGGCATTGCCACGGAGAACGCAGAAAGGAAGAAGATGTACGACCAGCTCAACGAGAAGGTCGCAGAGGGCTTCGCCCGCATCTCCGCCGCGATCGAGAAGGAGACGATCGCCCGCGAGAGGGCCGTTAGCGCTGCCACGACAGAAGCGCTCACAAACACGAAGCTCGTCGAGAAGTGCGTCAACGAGCAGCTCGAGAACGTCGCCTCGGAGATCCGCGCTATCCAGGAGGAGATCGACCGCGAGAAGGCCGAACGCAAGGAGGCAGAGGACAAGATCGTCAACACTCTCGAGGACGTCGTCTCGAAGATCCAGGGCGGCCTCTCGATGGTCACAAAGCACTAAGCGCCTGCAGTAAATCATTTACTTAGGGAGTCCGACTACCTCGCCGCCGCACCGCATCTGCACCACGGGCTGTCTGCAGAGCGCACACCGTCCGGATCGGAGCACGAGGCGTGCGGCGCACTCTGCGCAGAAGTAGTGGTTGCAGTTGAGCACCACGATTGCCGCGCGGCAGAGCGCTCTGAGGCAGACTGCGCAGACCTCCTCATCTGCGTCTCCGTCAGAGGCGCTTTCCGACCCCTGCACCATGTCGGGGTGTGTCGAAGACTCTCTCTCGGTGTCTTCCTGCCGTCCTCGGGGCTCGATGACCATCTCCTTTGCTATGGACCCATCAAACTGGGCATAGGTCCAGGACACCCGTTCCGTAGCCAACGTAGTAATGGCCTCAGTTTCCCTTGCAACGGCCCTGGATCCGAGGCGCCAGGATTCAAAGGGAGCATTCTGATCGGAATAGTAGTCTGTGTTGGTGTAGTCACACTGTTCAGGCCTAAACATAAAGTGTTCTGTGCTCTTGTCAGCCAATTCATCGAGCGTTGCTTTCTTGAAGATAGAGTAGAAATTAAGACTTTTCAGCGACTCCGGTGGATGCGTAATAAGTGAGGCATAATATGTCATGTACCGTAGCGCAGCAAACGCAGCCACCTGGTGATTTTGAACACTAAATTCCTTGTTGTCCAATACCCGATAGGCGTAAATTGCGAGGATATGTTTGAGGGAGTTGAGAAAGTGCTCGCCGTGTGACAAAGGTTTATACTCATTGAACAGAATGTACGCCACCAGAGGCGAATACCCTGGTCCCAAATTTGGGCAGTTTGTTTGAAGCCACTGTGCAGCAGCCCCAGTAAGTTCCTCTTCGTGTACAGCAGGACCAGCATGGGAAAGAAGTAGGAGGAGCAAATTTGCCCTCTGGCCAATGCCCTTTGCAACCAATTCGGCACAGCCTTGATAGATATGCAAGAGCCTCTCATCAATGGTGGATTTGCTCAGTTCAATTTCAAGGACTTTGGCACAGGTGTCAACAAACATGAAAAGATGCGGAAGACAGTTGATGCGTTGTAGCTTTGCAGTTGCTAGGGTTGCAATAAGCGCATCTGGACCCTCCACATATGATTCGGCCAATCCGTCTGCAAGATGGGAGAGAAATGATCTGCATATTTGCTTGTTTGTGGGGAACGCTGCTATGGGGTATGCAATCGCCTCAGAAAGCTCCTTGATTTCAAAGCTGCGCATTACAACCTCGTCAAAAAATTCTGCTGGCCGACAGTGTTCGTTTTCGTATGCAATCTGATAGCACAAGAGATAAATATGCACAAGGTCGGACTCACTAGGGTTTGAGAAATCAATTTCGTGATGTAAAGGATGAAGGTCGAGACGTGAGATGGCTTCTCTTGCAACTAGACCAGAGTCTAGGATAAGGTGCCGGCCAATATTTGATATGTGCGTAAGGATGTCGTTCGACACCATCTTATTGAAATGCAGATATGAACAGGCTCGGTAGAACTGAGCCATGACCCCCGTTTGATAAGGGTAGCCATTTAGGCCCATATCTAGGGCAAGATTAGCAAAGAAGCTGTACAGCACAGTCGAGTACAGAGACGATAGAAAGGTCACTGCGAGCTGAATTTGTTTCTCGTGGTATGCCACCAGACCTGATATTTTATGCTGTACAAACGCCACCTCAAGGGCAGTCCTAGTTGGAGGCATGGGTGACATGAGAAAGCAGTGCATGAAAGAAAAAAGAGCCAAATACCATGCATAGGGTGTGTGTGTGACGACGATCTCACTCAGAATTCCTGCCAGCTCTGCTGCATCTTCATTTGTATAGTTCTTTAGCGGCAGTAGGTCATCCAAATCAAAAGTGCGGGATGTTAAAAGCATAAGAGCCTTGTAGATAGCCGTGTTTTCACTAGAGGGAGCTTCGGGAACAAAGGCTATCAAGTGGCCCAATAGTTCTACAGAGAGCTGCTTGTTGTACGCGTGGCATACAATAAGCTTCTTGTAAATAGGTATGGTTGTATAGATACCAACACGCCCTGTGCGTGCGGTTTGAGCCTCCTTGGAGTCAGAGGCCGTGCCTGTGGCGAGCACAACAGAAAGGACAAACTCATAAATGAAGAGGGTCTCCTCTATCGGGCCCTCGCTAGAGCCTGGCTTTGGAGGAATGTCGGTACTTACTTCTTGCAACGATAGAATCAAATGCGTCCCGCGAATAATAGAACATTTGTCTTGCTGCAAGAGCATGAGCCCACTAGCAATAACATCACTATCTATATAAACAAAAGGGTCGTGCAGGTACATCTGCAGGTCTCCAAGAACAAACACATGAAAGCTGTTTCCTGGCGTTAAGACGACTGCCTCGGAGAGAAGACTCAGAGTCTTATCCGAAACTATGTACGCGTTCCTCTGGACTCGGCTCGCACGGTGTAGCATGCCAGAAAGAGAAGTGATGTCCAAAGGTCTTCTGAGCATTTACTTTGAAGAAAAGAAGAAACTGCCTCAAGCACAAACGCGTCTGTATCATCTATCTTTAGTGGCCATATCCTTTGAAGAACCCTCTTCGGAGCAACAGCGAGATGTGCAGCACATTTCGTAGAAGTTTATGCACAGAGACCACGATATCAGTAATATCACGACAGACATGCCAAAAACAAAACCAAGGGTGATGACCCAGATCTCAGCTGAATGGAGGGACGCACGGGAGTAAGACTCGACGGCTATAGAGACATCGACCATTTTTTACAGTGATCCAAGTTGTGGGTGCAGCAGACCTGCAGCATTTCATACGTGCTGAGCTGACTAAGGAAGCATAGATATGTCAATCTAAGATGAACTGGGCAGAATTTTCAAAAACCGCGGAAACCATAGCTGCGCTTACTCCTTTTACCCTGGCGCCACAACAGAGGGCTGTGACCCCGGTGGCTCCTTACATGGAGCTAGCCATCCTGAGTGGAGAGAGCATAGATACCGCTGGCTCGGGCCTTTCTGATGTATCGTGTCCTCCACTGTCAACTGTAGAGGCCCCAATCTGGGGGTCTTTAGCACTTTCCACATATAGTGATCGTGAGCCAGACCCTGCTCTTCGGGCTGCATTTCAAGCTTGGCGTGCCCAGGCAAAGATGAGGAGATTGATCCTAAAACCGTATAGACGCATTGTCCGGCGATGGCACCGTCTAACAGAAGAGTCTAAGCGAGGAGAAGTCGCTTGGTCATTTTATCGACAAGCACTTTTGCAGAAGGCCTTCAATTCTCTTTTGTATCGAGTTACCACTTGCACCCATCTCACCGCACGACTGGGGTTTAAAACTCTGAGGGATATTGCTACCATAAGGAAACACGAACGCGATGTGGCTGACGAATACTACTGTGCCCGTCTTTGTGCCAAGACTTTACGCGGCCTTTTTCAATCAATTACAAAGCGCTGCCGGATCTTTCTCCAAATCCAGAGGGCTCGCGAACTGCGTCTTCTCTCTCATACGTTTAGGCACATGCGAGTCGAGGCGTCTCTCATTGCATTAGCATTTCGCATTTATCGACGCATAACACTACATAAAGTTGTTTCCATTTGGCGACGTATGCTGCGTATTCATGTGGTAGAACAGCGCGTTAACCAGGTGATCTTACGTCACTGCTTCATTAGGTGGCGGCACCGATACAGACGCAGTCTTGCGCTCTTGCGTGATATGTATGTCCGCCAGGGGTATGACGAAGATCTGGCGCTTACTCTGGCGATTGCTTCAGAGAACGTCTGCCTCTTGCTCCGCGCTTTCTATAGTTGGCTGAAAAGAACAAGACATAAGTTACATCAGAAAATGTTGCAATCCGTCATTAATGCATTTCAGCGACAGCATCTTTTGCGGTCTGCCCTATGCAGTATAACGGAGCGTTACAAAACGATACTGGCGAGACGCCAGGCTATTTCTTCGTGTCTGCAGTCTATTGATCGTCGAACTTTGATCCTTACCCTCAGAAGATGGAAGGGCAACGCGCAAAGTGCTAAGATTGCCCGTATTTCTTCCAATATGGTCGCACGCGAGCATAACCTCCTAGTACAGGAACAGGCTTTCTGTGCCTGGAGAGTTGCTTGGAATATGCATCGTACAGCAAGAGCAAGATATGGTCCACTTGCATCTTCTCTGAATAGGATTCTTGTGCGTTATATATTTCACGAGTTGCAACAGAAGTACGAGGAGAACCGCTGCCGATTGGAGCGGGCAACTGAATTCCACGAAATACTGGTGAAACAATCGCTACATAAAGTGTTTAGTGCCTGGTATGTACGTTTTCTAGAACAAGAAAACACCGTGCAATTTCTCAGCTCTATTGTACACACGCTGGCAGACAGAGCCTATGATGTCTGTCACACGCGGGTACTTCGTCCTGGGAAGTGGTTTCTCGATACTCCTTCTTATAGACTTCTACGGAAGGCTTGGGATGCTTCCTGGTGGAAGTACAAAAAGCGTTCTGCTTATAGAGCAGTTCTCTTGCAAGCAGACAAGGATTATAACAATAAAGCTCTTGTGCGCACATTCTCTACATGGAGAATTGAGACAAAAGTATCTATTCTTTTGGCAATCTGGTACCCCAGGATACTTAGTGGCACCTTCACAGCTTGGCGCCTGGCTGCAGAAGGAAGTCGAGCGATTGCCCTTATGGAGTCCCAAGCCAGAATGAAGCATGAATACTCTTTGATGCATTGGACTTTCTGCTACTGGAAGCACATACGCAAGGTCTTGTCCACAGAGCGCCAGCTAGAGCAGACAATCTACTATAGAAGAGCCACACACATCCTCATATTATCGTTTAGAAGCTGGCACGCTGCGTATCTTCAAGACGTATATCTTAGAGCCAAAGAGCAGGAAGTGGCAGCCTCATGGTCCCGAACATCCCTTGCTATTGCACTGCGCAGCATATGCGCGGCGTACCTTTCACGCTTACGCTTCAGGGCAAACAGGAGGAGAAACGTGTTCACTGAGACGCTCGAAGGAATAACCGCCAGCCTTTCTTCCATCTGCATCGGCCGTTTGCTACTGGACATCCGCACGGAGCACATGAGAATGTTGGTCCATATCTCACCTTTAAGGGTCGGGCAAATAGTCAAGAGCCCAGTCGCTGCTGTGGTGTGTGATCAAGGGTCTTCCCTACGTAGCTCACCCGAGCGTTCGCACTGGGAAATATTACGGGGACATAGAGAGAAGTACAGGTCAACGTATGAAGAAGATAGCGTTGGGATCATCCCACACAAAGTCCAGGACTGCGGGGCTCGGCAGCTCATTGATATCCTTGACAACAAGATAGCAGCACTCGGTCATCGTCTGGCAGGATGTAGCCCATAGTTCGTCATCTTATCTCCTTGTACGTCATATCCTTGATGTGTTCGAGGGCGAAGTTGAGAATCAGGTCGACGGGAGATTCGTCAAACAGCCCTCTACTGATCACGGTTGTGACTCCCCTGTTGCAGCACCTGGCGTACCCATCTGTGGATCGGATCATGGCTTCTTCCTGAGGACTGGCAACCAGTATGGTTGGCCCCGTCAGCAAGGATCTGTCAAGCAGGTCTGCCAACACGCTGCTCGTCCGGTCGTTGACTAGGAAGACGAATATCTGAGAAGCGGAGAGCTTTTGCTTCATGTACTCGCTGATGGGCTTGTCCGTAGCGGCCGCGAAGAAGTGGAACCTGTATGCATTCACATCCCTGATGACCGTGTGGAACGAGTAGCCCAGATGCTCCGACTCCCCCGCTACAGAACCAGGGAAGGCCGTCTCTAGCTGGGCCGAATCACCGAAAAGGGAGACTTTCACGTCTGCAATAACAGGGCGGCTCATAGAGCTTTTTAATTAGGTTGACTCGCCCGCATCGGCTCGCAACCATCAGCCCTGTGAATACATTTACTTTCTAAAGTCCCAGCAGTCCCCGTTGTTTGAAAGCTGGCCGCTCTTAGTGAAGATACTGGTGGTGCTATCCACGGGGTCGTAGACACGGCTCACAGACATCTCCGTCGCCGTGCAATCTGATATCATGGGGAAGAGCTCGCTATCGGTCAATGACACCACACTCATGCTAACCTCGATCATCGTCTCCTTGTAGTCCTTCGAGCGCATGAACTCCATACTATAGAGGTACCTGAACGTGACGTTCTGGCATATTCCACCGAAGAAGAGCCCGGCCCAGATGAGGTACTGGCAGAAGAAGATGGCTCCGAACGTCTCCAAGAGCCCCGTCCCCAGCGTCAGGCTCCTAATGCTCTCGGGGACCACCTCTAATACGTAGGGAGTCGCCAAGCCCTTGGGCCCTGCCAGGATGTCCAGGAGCCTATTGAGCTGGACGTCGAGCGGCTCTATCACGTGCTTGTTGACGGTACTTCCAAGCTCCATCAAAAGCGTGTCGTACATATGCTGAGAAAACCGCGGGTACAATCCTCCGGACAGGTTCTTCGAAACCATGTTTGCTTCGATGATATCTAAGAGGATGGACAAAGGGGAGACTACAGCGTTGAGCAGCTCTGTGTATGCATCTATGAAGCTGACCTCATCGGTTGAAAAGCTACTCCAATCTTTAAACACATCCACAAACCGCTCATAGACCCTTGTTGTGTCTAGCACCACATCTAGTGCCCCGCTGGAGCCATCGTTCGGATTGCTCGCAGCATTCCAGCCAATCGTCTGGAAGCCCTTTTCCTGAAGCGCATACACGAGGTCTCGCACGGCTGCGTATGTGTTGGAGACGCAAATGGAGGTCTGTTCTACGGTGTCACCTGGGCGGATCTTCGTGCACAGGTTTCCAACGAGGTCTGGGTATGGAGACCCGTGGACGATGGAGGACAGGCTAGTGGAGATGCTTGGACACGAAGTCTTGAGGTTGGTTAGTTCGGCTCTTATCTTCTGCATTGTGCTCTTAATACTGCCCTGTGAACACAGATTCTTATCGACGGGGTTATCGGCAAGGAAGGTCACCGAGGGGCACTTTGTCATAGCGACCAAAGTATCCAGAAAGTGAATCATGGAAAGGCACTCTGCGACTATCCCCTTCTGGCCCCTAACGGCTTTGGCACTGGCTTCGAGGGACAGGGCGCTATAGTTCGCGCTGGAGGAAATGCCTCTGATATAGGCCTCAACCTGCGCTGTGACATTCATGGCAGCCAGAGCAGATGCATCAACATCTCCGTACAAAGCTGTGCGCTTTTCTGTACTGGAGTATGTGTCGTTATATAGCTTGTGCCCTGCAGAGAAGTCCCCGAACAGGACGGCGTTCGAGAGCTCGCCACTGAGGAACGCGTTCCTAATCCCGCTAAGAAACGGATCAATGTCCGGAACAATGAAGGTCTCGAGGTACTGTGAGAGGCTGGAGCGGGGGTTGATAGCTTCGGGTAGCACCGCGGGCAGCAGTCCTTGGAGCCCGCCCAAAAGATCCGGCAAGCCGAGGATATCGAGGATCCCTCCACCCTTCTTGTTGTAATAGAGGAGGTCTTTGATGGACATGCGAGTTGTATCCACCCTCGTGGAAAGGCTCAGAGAGGCCATGCTGTCGTCAGGTTCGGCAGGAATCCCAAACATGCTCGGCAGGTTTCCGACGGCAACGGTAGCTGTCACGTTGGCGAGGCTCTTACGGAGAGCATCGTATGTGGTGTAATCCAGCACGGCGGACGACGGGGCTGTGTAGGCTAGGTCGGGGTGCCCCGTGTGCCGGAGCACAAAGGATCCCAGGTCCAGCTGGACCGGCGCAGGGTCTCCTATGACTCCGTTGTCTTTGAGGAGTTGGAGGACGGTGTCGTAGTTGTTGCGCAGAAGCTTGTCTGGGTTGGTGAGGAGCCCCGAATAGTACTCCAGAGCGAACTTCTGCAGAACCACCGCGACGATCCCGAACAGCATCAGGAAAAGCGACACCCAGCAAACAACGCACCCGTTGCAGCACAAAGAGCAGCCAGCGCACCTCGTCTTGAAGCGCGCAGCGCCCACGATCCCGCAAATGAACGTCCCGATTGGGACGAGGAGAAGAGCCAGGGCGAGCAAGAAAGGGGCCATCGATATCAGAACGTAATTGCGGCCAGCAGGCGGAATCGTTGCCGGATCAAACCCAGAGAGCTTGCAATTCTTCAACGAGTCCAACGCACCGCCTTCTACAGGCAGGTCTGTTATGTAACCGGGGCAGGCCCCGTTGTTTATGAAGGCGTCGAACAGAGCACGCGCAGTCATCTGCTCCTTGTGGTCGTGGAGTTGCAGCACGTAGTTGATGTACTTGGAGAAGCTGGAGACCTGTGTCAGGGCATCGGTTGCGAGCTTAGGCAGGTTCAGCTGGTCGCTGATAGATCTGGCGAGCTCTTCGTCTGTTGGTCCTCCCTCGGCCCGCGTGGCAGACGCACACCACGATAGCTTGCCCTTAAGTGCCGGCTTGCCACACGCCCTCCGGACTATGTCCCCCACGGTTTGCGTCTTCGTGCTGAGTACTTCAAGCAAGTCAACGAGTAGTTGTGTGTCATCCTTACTCTGCTGTTTGCCAGACGCCTTCGGCCTTAACGAGTCTATAACGAACTTTATCACTATTTCGGGGTTGTTGTTGACCGGGACATTCAGATCTGCTCTGTCAATAGGTGAATCGGAGGCAGCAGCAACACTGGACTTTGTTGTGCAATAATTATTTCCTGAGTTATCCTTAAAGACCTGCTTGCACACCTTTTCAATGATAGTTTGCCAATTTCCTTGACCTGGTGGTTGCTGCTTATCTAGCGACTTCGCTATCCCGTTGGTGATAGAATTGGCCGCAAAGACAGCCCCGCCAATAAGAGACTTCTTGTTGATGTTCTTGTAGCTGGCCTCGGAGATTGCCGTGTCATCGGGTGGAGACGGAGGTTGCGTTGATCGTATAGAGAAGTTGCCATAATTTTGCTTGCCTTCTAAACTCTTCTTTACTGATTCTTGCGTCTTTGTGTTCAACAATAAATCTAAGTTTTTCTGTATGTTATCTGAGAAATCTGTGATAGCACTCAACGAGGGTAGGGACGCAGGCGGCAGAAGGATGGTGCTGACCCCCTCTGCCAGCGAGGAATTCTGCGACAAGACATCAGAGACCACCCTCAGCGTGCAGCTCTTGGAAATCGCGCTTATGTACTCGCTGACCTCGTCTGCTGTTTTATTCAAGATATTGGAGATTGGGGAAATGGAACTATTATCTGAGCTCGAGATGAGCGCGTTTATAAGACTGTCTGAGGTGCTAATGGTGTCCGAAGCCAGATCGTAGACGCGATCGGTCGTTCGAGCCACGACCCGGAACATGTTGTCCATGCCAATGAAGGGCTGGGAGACGGCGACGAACATCCCGATGCATCCGCAGAGGCCGATGACGTTGGCAGCGAGGCCCGTGTAGAAGCAGCAGCAGCGGTACTTGCTGGATGTCTGCTCCATCTCCAGCTTCCGGTGGCAGCATCTGCGACAGCACTGGCTACACCGGCAGGGGGCTATGCAGACGAGCGCAATGTTGAAGCAGAGCCCGAGGACAAAGGGAAGAACAAGCAGGACGCCCATGGCAACCAGGAGCGGAAGATACGGCTTGAGGGCAGCCATGACATCCACTCCCCCGCCCTGGTGCATGAACAGGTTGGCCGTATCTATGATTGTTTCCGGCGGCACCCTCGGGAAGAACGCCGTACTAAAGGCCGTGACCCCCATCAATTATTATTTGTACTAATTGTCATGCATCATAAGTACGTTTTTCAGAACAGTGCGCCATTCTCCTCCTGGCACACTAGGTACCCTCTGCCGCCTTTTGCCGCCTCAACGCGGATTGCCTGTCTCAATAATTTGTAGACACTTGTCCGACAATTCGCCGTCTTACCTCTTCTCTTACCGGGGCCAGGGGTCGACGAGGTTCCTAAAGTTATACACAAAATCTCGAATTCGTCGATTTCAGATTTAGATTTAAAGCTGCTGAAAATAAATTCACTCGTCGGAGGCTGTCTCGCACTGCTTCTTGTAGTCCAGGGTCCACTTGATGTAGATGATCATGGACACCAGGCCAGAGACGGCGTCCCCGACCGCGGGCGAGATGAAGATGCCGTGCACGGGGTCGACCTGGCTCTTGGTCGCCTTGACGATGAGCGGCAGGACGAAGATGCACACGATGGTGACGGCTGCTCGCGTAAGCTGCAGTATCGTGCTGAGGACGGTCTTCCGCTTCATCTGCGACACAGAGACGGTGATGCTCACGAACAGCTGGAGAGGAAGCCCGGCCAGCCCGAGCCGCACGGCCAAGGCGGAAATGGCCCGCTCCGTCTCTCCGTCGCCCGCAAAGAGATACATAAGAGGGTAGGCCAGGCCCTCGCAGAGCCCCCAGACGGCCAGGGTCATGACCACGCCGATCAGGCTAGTGTAAACGAGGACAAGGTAGACTCGGTCCAGTTTCTTGGCCCCCAGGTTATAACCGAGGATGGGTGTCAGGGCCTGGACAAGACCTATAATGGGCATAGAAACTAGGGTGGTTACCCTTGTCACTATCCCTACAGCGCTGCGATTGATTTCTTGGTTGGCCTGGGAAATAATTGTAGTATAGTAAGCTGCCAAGAGAGAACACACAGAGCTCGAAACACCGTTGATGTAAAAGGGGAAGCTGATCGCAAGGAATCTATAGATGATCATTCCTAGTGAAGATCGCTTAGCAGCCGGCTGAGGGTTGTCGGCAACTGTAGTATGTGGCGGGCACGACGGTTCCCCTGCAATTGTCTCAAAGCTCATCCCATCCTGCATGTCCGCATGAACCATCTCTATTGTACTTTTCACATTTTCTAGCTCAACGGCTTCTGTGGACGTCTCAGAAGACGACTGGAGCTGTCGTTCGTCGTGGTCTCTCAGCTCGTCTACATTGTATCGCAGAAGTCCGAACTTACACCGGAGAACGCCCCCTTTGATTAAATCAAAGATGTTTAACACCATCCAAATAGAGACTATGAGGAGGCTGATGCAAGTGGACGCCGATGCCGCGTAGTACTCCATTTTCGGGACACAGTAAAAGAAGATCGCATCAAGGACGATGTTCAGAACAGCTCCAAGCAGTTGCCGCCACATAGAAAGATTTGCCCTGTTCTCTGCACGCAGGATAGGGCCCATTGAATTAGAAAACATGTATGTGATGGTATATCCAGGAATAGCAACAACACCATACTGCTGCGCGTACCTAAAGACGTTGTTCGTGGCGTTAAACATAGAAAGAATGTTGGGTAGAAGAGGCAAGAGGATAAGCATTGCAAGCCCCCAGTAGATTAGCCCCATGCATATAAACACTGTCGTATAGTAGTTAGCTATTCTGAACTGCTTCTGGCCTAGTGCCGGAGAGATGTATGTAGAGGCACCATATGCCATAGACAGGCTGGGGAAAAGCAGAGCTATGACATCAATGGGGGCGAACACAGATAGCGCACTTAGGCCGTCTGTGCCAAGAAATTTGGCAATGAAAATTGCATCAACGTTCATGTAAATAGCAGAAATGACCATTGAGAAAATGCACGGTACAGAGAAAGAACAGAGCAGTTTAAAGACGGGCGCTTCACCGAGTCGTTTGACCTTCTCAGTATGAACATTTGACATTTTTTGAATGATAATTATAAATATTTTGTGGGAAACCACACGTTAAACAGAACTTTACCAATCTCTCGCCAAGTATGCCCCGGCCGTCCAGTTGTGACGCAGTAAGTAGTAACGTAGATTGCTGCATTTATCATTTGATCACATAATGGAGTGAAGATTATAGCGAGAAGCTGATGAAGTCAAATCAGGCAACACACAGCATTATTGTAGATTCGAATTTAAATTACTACGCCGAGACAAATCCACTAAGACGGGGTAGGTCAATTTAGAAGGAGTAGTATAGTCGCTCTAGATATCCACTTAGCGCATGACCGATTCTATGAGCTTTATGGCTCCGAGCTGTCAGCCGGGTCAGACCGACCCGCCGAGTGCATCTACGAAGATATCTCCACAGTCTTTGCCGGCCGGTACGTGGAACTTGTGACTGAATTCCCTGACGCGCCGACTGTGTCGGACACGTGCGATGTTACGTGGAGTAACATCTGCAAACGCGCTCCTGTCTACTGCTATCACTGCTTCGCTATGAAAGATATCAAGGCCCAGCAGTCAAAGCCCAAGTCTAACGCCAAGTCCAGACAAACAGGCGAGCACGGAGCAGCTAGCGGGTCTCCTGCGGGGAATACTCTATCTGAGAAGAGCAGTGTCAAGAAGAAGAAGAAGACTCCTCAGGCTTCCCCAGGCAAAGGATCCGTCACCGTGGAATTTGCTACTCCGTCGGATGGCAGGAGAGGTAACAAGAAAAACGGGAAGCCGGAAAGCGACGAAAGTGGCCAGAAGGATGGCGGCTCATCGCGTAGGAGGAAGGGCAGCAGCCCATCGCTGCCGATTTCCAAGAGGTTCGAGTCTGACGAGGAGGCCAGGGAATTTGCAAAGACCCTCAGTTGGGAGAGGTGCATGGTGATAGAGAAGAACAGCAGCCTCGATCTTGCAGAGCTGCACCTGATGTGCACAAACAATGGCAGCTACTTGAGCTACGTCTCCGACAACTACATCTTCTACGGCTTTCCCAGGTCACAAGAGGTGAACATAGATATCTACAGGCGCTCCATGTCCGACACAAACATGTTTCTTGTCTAGCCACGCGTAGGCCCCTGTGGGAGGCCTCCGTGTGCATTGTAAAATCACTATCTTTTTCTGATTGCATCCTGGTGTTCTGGAAGATGTCTGCAGACAGCTCGGGCGCAAGGATCGCGCTATTCACGGATACACACCTCGGGTTCACTGCCCCGTCTGCACGCCCCTGCAATGCCCACGAAAACTACCTGCTTCTTGAGGAGTGCCTCTGTCTGGCCCGCAAGCTGGGCGCGCATGCTATCCTGCACGCCGGAGACTTCTTCAACCAGAACAGGCTGTCCAGCAAGAAGGTCATCAAGGCAATCTGTGCACTGAGACGATACGGGGTCTCGTCCTTTGCAGGCCACAGCGACGGCGACTCGATACCCATGGCCCTCATCTACGGCAACCACGACAACAACGATAAGATTTTGGGCCTCCTGGAGGCGGCCGGGGCGGTGAGTCTCCTGGGGCACACTCAGGCCGGCAAAAGCCTTACGCTCCATCCTTTCTGCCGGGTAGTTGGCGGTGTAGAGCTCGTCGTGTACGGACTGGATTACCACAAAGCGTGGCAGAGGGATGTGGCACCCGAGATTTCCTTTGCCCCGGCCGCTCGCTCAGCTCTGAAGGACGAAGCGGTGGGGAGAGGCGCTAAAGGAGGACGCAGGCACGCACGATACACCTTCCTGGTTCTTCACCAAGACTATTCAGACCAGGTTGGAAGAGACAAGATCAGCCTTTCATTCGTCGACCAGTGGAATCATACGCATGCCCCGGAAGAGCGCATAGACTTTGTGTACATAGGGCACGAGCACGACGAGACGCCTCCTCGCGACGGGGAGACGTTCACGCTTCTCATGCCCGGCTCTCCGCATAGACAAAGCAGGAAGAGAAGCCTTCCCGACTTATACTTGCTGTCTCTGCCTCTATAGTGGAAATGGCTGGCTGGCTCACGATTAGGTATTCAGTATGCAATAAACTGGTGTGTAGTTGCGTTGCTATGGGTCTGAATCATCTTAGGCAAAGGATGCTCAATTCTACTTGCTCGTAACTTTTATTTCGGCTCTTGCAAGCAATATTGAGCAAACGAGTAAAGCGCGCCTTTTGCATTATAACTTCAACAAACTCGGTAAATAAAAGTCAAGACATGAGCTGTACAAGCAACCATTTCCGTAAAGACAGGTCAGATATGCGTTGATACCCTTGTTACGTCCAAGTGTTGTGCCTTACATTGTCCGTAATCAGTTCTTAATTCCATCAGTCGATATCTCAGAAATTTGACTTTAAAAATTTGACTTTGTCTCTAAATGGCCAGCAGCGGCCCTGGTGATTCATCATGCTCTATAAATCAAGTGAGCGATTCTTCCACCGATGTTAACAGTCATGAATATTGCAGCAAGGAGCAGTCTACAATATCCTGTCTGTCGCCGCTTAGCTCTAATCATGTCAAGGATGAATCGTCCAAGCAAACGCCGCTTTTTGACGCGCTTGGTGAGGAGTCCCCCAACGGGGGTCAAGAACTTGCGTCACAGCCCCTGGATGTGAATCTGGACCGTACCTCAGACCGGGATGTGGCTGTAAGTGAGATGTACAAGCAGACAAAAACAACTATCTCTCCTGAAAAGCGGGCAGCACTGCAAGTTCTTTATCAGAAGCACGGGTCCCACCAGTCTGTCATATGGTACAGCGCCCAGTCTGAGATACCGAGGTCGATCGTATCGAAGTTTATAACGTTCATGGAGCACGGTCTTGATGTGCGGAATCTTTCATACAGAGCACCATGCAAGGCCAGAATGGCCAAGACGACTAGATTCTCTCCGGTAATGTCGATGAAAGGCTCTAGAACGGAAGTCTTCTCTGTAGCGTCTCCTATCCAACTCAATACAGTCCAGACAAACCTAGGCAGCTCAATTCTTCATACTGACCCGAACAACCTGGTCTTACAAAAGAAGGATGAAATTGTTAAGAAGAATGTAGCAGACACAGAAAAGGCACCAGAGAGTAAGAGAAAGAGAAGAGGTAATGATATCACAAAGGATACTGCAGAGTCCATGGAACGTCCACATAAACAAAGAACCTCGAGACAGCAACAACACCCTAACAAAACTCCCGAAGGATCTGCTTCAGAGATACTCTCTTGCACTCCGATGCGCTGTAAAGTGGAAACGGAACAGCTTCGCAAGAACAGAAGCAACAACCGCGAGATTCTCTCCGCTAGAGTTACATTTCTTCGCATAGAGTTCTCCTCACCTTTGACGCCAAGAATTATTAGTCAGTTGTCGAATCAGGAGGCTAGACGTGCTCAGCTTGACTTCATTGAGAGATACAGAACAGCTCTGGTAGAGGGACGAACTGCCATGTTCATTTCTGCTGATCACTATGATCTATACGTAAGCGGATCAGAGAATTTGATATCTCTTTCCTTACTATCTCTTTTCAGTTCAGACGGAGAGATATTTTGTGAGCTCTTTCTGGATCTGATTGGCAATGAGGTTATCAGCGAGTGGATCACCCACGTTCTCCAGACTCAATTTAGCAACAAGGTGCCACTTATAGTCACCACTCACGAGATCCTCAGTACCCTGCCAAATCACTTTCTTTCTAACTCTCTTTCTATTGCCTATTCAAGCATTCTTGACGTGCTTAGCCCCGTGAAGCACATGATGGAAATTTGGGAGCATCGAGTAAAGTTCTATAGTCTTCTGAACACGAACCAGACCGTGGAGGAGTTGCTGGAGCAGCTTTCAACAGAGTTCTTAACACTTCCCAAGACAAGTCTCCTGGGAAAGCTAGCAGAGATACGAGAACGCGTGTGGTGGGAAGTCTATAGCTCAACTTGGTCTGAGACCTCTAGGCCAAAAACTGAATCTAGTGCATCGGAAGTTCTAGCTCAATGAGCTCGTCTCTACGCAACAGAGCAGCAAGACCCCAAGCTGAACACTCCTCCCAGCACAAAGAGGCAGTCAGATCATTTCATGAATGGATCTTGGAGCACTTAAAAACGGACACCTTGCAGAAAGCTAAGGTAGCAATATTAGCCGCGGAATCCGAAAAAACTTTCTTAAGCAACGAACTGGATGCGCAGAGGAAGGTAGTGAAGGGATTGACTGCGCAAAACTCCCAGATGAGTGCCCAGCTTCTCAAACTGAGCTCTCTACTGACTCGCAAAGGAGAGCTCCGCAATACAGAAGAAGCTATTCCTCGATTAGAAGAGTGCCCTAGACCAGAATATGAACAGGTACTCTTACTTGTGCTCCAGCAAACCTTCAATTCTTCTCCAGCGACAATTCAGAGAATTTCGCGTATCCATAACCAAGAGCATCGGCTTTCAGAATTAGCGAATACTATAAAGGAAGAAGTGGCGCGGATTGTAGACGCAAACAATGCGCTGCAGGCCCAACTAGATATAGAGTTAAACGCTCATGGCATAATAGTCGAGAAAGACAGAATTATCAACAATCTGGAGCTAAACGTGGAGGACTGTCAAGCGACAATTCAAGCAAAGGATAGAAAAATCCGGGAACTACAGTGCCGAGAACAAGAAGACTCGTTGAAGATTAATACTCTCACACAACACTTTGAAGACTTGCAAAAGAGAAGCTATGGGCTTAGTAACCGTATGGAAACAATGCAAGCATGCAATGAGGGGCTCAAACAAACAGTAGATGATCTACAGAAGAAAATTTCAGAGCTTGAAAAGCAGAACCATCTAGATGCTGGTGCGTCTGAAGAGTTGCTGGCGATATCCACTGGTTTGAACACTTCGCTTTCGTCCAGCAATGTAGGCTTACAGGGTATCAGAGACGATCTAGATAATCTAGCAGCCGAGACCCAGACTTCATTAATCAGACTCGCAAATAATTGTGATCATTCCGTACTAACATCCAAGTTGGTTGGAGAAGAGAAGATGTGCGGCTCGGATTTTTCTGAACTACCAACAATAAGTCCAAGTGATAATGAAGCCCAGCCAATAAGCTTGCTGCAACGAATTTGTGCGTCCATATTAGAGCCAGATGCAACTATCGATAGACTCAGAATCTATGTGACCAACGAAATGCCGACTAGCATTTCCAACGTAGCCCTGACAAGCGGTAGGTCACAGAAAGCTGCACACAGCGCTTCTATAGGAGTCTCCAAGGGGTCTCAATCATCTGTCGATAGAGTAGCAAAGCTGCGTGCCTCCAAGAGCACTCAAACAGATGTGTCCCTGTCACAGGTGTCCAAGATGCTTATAAACGAGAAGAGATTGCGGGACAAAGTAAGTCTTCTTGAGAATCGTCTGAGAGAACGCGAACTAGCTGTGCAGTCTCTGGAGAAAAAGCTTGCTGAATGTACAGAAAGATCAGTCTGGCTAGAGCTCTGGGAAACACGCGTTGCAACCCCGCCGATCTCTTATGTAGCTGATTGTGACCGCGTTGACACTGCGGCAGGCTCTACAACCAGCTACTCTTCTTCAGCAGAGACACAGACAGACCCCTGCTTGAGCCTGGAGGCTCCAGACCCATCCTGGCCCGATTTTCAAGAGAAAATGGACTTGTTTGAAGCAACACTCAATAATCTTTACTTGGCGTTGCAACAACAGAAGGCGAATGCTGGACACGACTTGCGGATAGAGGATCTTGCGACAACAATTCGTACCCAGATTCTCGAGGCGCTTAATGGCACGACGACAGCGTCCGTTTTTACTAACGATCGTAACCTTGATCTGTCAATTATTACTGATGACATTGTTGACTACGATCGTAGCCTGCTTCATCTACAACAAAAGAAATCTGAACAACGACCAGGTAACCGAGGGATCTTCCCCTTCTGGAAATAATCCACTATCATCTTATCAGTAGTATTGATCTATAAGCCTTGCAAAACACGTGACTTCTTCGCTAAACCTATAGATGTGGCCACTTACCTCAGATATACTCAAGCCTATCTTCTCCTCAAACTCCTTGCGCTTTGGGAGAGATTTGAACCCCATGTTGAAAATACCACTAGTAACCGTATTGTGATAATTCCTCAATGTTTGTTCGTATGCTAACTTCGCCAACTTGCTAGGCTCCTCGTATGCATAGCTAGGATCCACAACTAGACACATGAGCGTTGAAACGAAACTAAATGTACGAGACAGCCAAAGAGCACCCGTAGCCAGTTTTTTGTTGTCTGGAATGGTCTGTTCAAGAAGACCGTCAACTGGCTCTACTTTCTTAATGTTTCCTGTAATGTCTCCCTTTGCTAGTTTCAGTACGCCTATATTAAGTTTGTCAATTAGCTCAACAACGTTGCGTGATGCTTGAACAAGATTCGCACTGGTCGGTGCGTGGTTCAGGTCAGTAAACGATTTCTCAAGCCTCTCTGCGAGGGCGCTCCATTCGTTTGCGGTCGTAACTGTTCGCATTTTAATTTCCAGACATAGGATTCCCGGGGCCATAGGGTAGTTCCGGGGCAGGGATTAGCGCAGGGAAAGCTCGGCACGGAGCCAACCAATAAAAATTCCCAGGTACTCCTTTAAGGTTGAAAAATATAGGTCCTGAATCTGGGGAACGCTTTGTGGGCCTCCCAAGACTGGAAGCGCGTCCGTGAACTCTAGGAGTCCCGATACCATTGACATGGTTTGAACATAATCTGTCAAAGATGTATGTAATTTTCCAATCAGTGAGTTATAGAACTTCTCGTTTTTGTATATTAGCAGCTGCATGGCCAGTTGGTGAAGGGCGGAGGAAAGGCTAGTCAGTACCTTGTCAACAAGAGCAGGAACAAAGTAACCACAGGGAGTTTCTAGGTCTTTGGAGAGGACCTCTGCTGGTGGACGAAGAAACAGGTTAAGCGTCTGGCAGAGGTTATCAGAGAATTCTGATATGGTAGTGTTTAAGCTCGCTTGCTTCATATCTCGATTCTTTAACACCAAGATAACTATTTTAAAGGAGTCCTCGATATCGTTCATAATCTTAGTCTCCAAAAGCAAGGCATCCTTTAAACCTGGCCAAGGATCTACCGATGCATTTGAGTAGATTTTATATAGTCCTTGTAAGTAGTGAAGTGCCTGAGAATAAGACAGTGTTGCAATACTAGACCTAGAGTAACTCTGGAGAAAGTTCATCAAGGGGACGGTAAGACACTGGTGAAAAGTATTAGAATATGCTGCAGACCCAGATTCTACCTTAAGCTTTTGATAAAGAAGTGCAAGCCATGAATTACTATCTCTTTTCTTTAGTCGAGAGACGAGCACGGCGACGTTTTCGAGGATCTGCAATGGAGTGTAGTCACTCAATTTGTGCAAAAGAGGAGTGGTAAAGTTTTTACAGACAATGGCGGGCATCTCACTGTAATCTAGCAGGATGCTATAAAGTTTCTGTACCTGGGGAGACTCAAGACAAACAAGATTAGATAGATATATAGTTTCCACATGGGATAAAATCGTGCTGCATAGAATGTCCATTGCGTGCTTTAGACGTGAAGAAATAGCAGTACAACAAGAAGGAGGATTGATGTGAGAGATTGTTGTACGGATTTGAAGAGATTGAGAAAGTAGTCCTGCCAAGGCGTCGCAATCTGTTGGTTTGGAAAAACAGGTCTCGTCAAGATGATCGATTAGCCTAAGGGTAGTACGAAGAGAGTCCTCTATTTGGCCAAGAATATGCTCTTCTTGTGCAGCAGAATGCAGCTTCTCGAGACTCTCTGTAATGCTTGCCTGGGCCTCTAAAAGAATTTGCTTGGCATCTTCAAGAGAAGAATCTCTTCCAAGAGCGCTGACTGCACTACTTGCTTCAGCGCCTTTAAAGGGAAGTGGACCTGATGAACATTTCTCGCTTTGCAAAGTGTTATGGGATAGCTGCTCCAATATACCTGCAGAGGAGTTTCGGATAAACGACTCAAGGTGTTCGCGGAGGGCCGAAAGTTCAGAAGCTGGAAGCTGCAGGATGTAGCCCTCAACCTTCTCCTTGGGAAGGTGAAGCAACTCAGGAAGAGATAAAGGATCCGGCATACTAAGCTAAGAAAAACAGCCCACCAGTATAGTGGAAGCGTTATACGGGTCTCAAAGGTATCTCTGGTCTTTGGATTTACTTAAGTATTTCTAAAAAATGAGCATTGCGACCCTTCCACTCTCTCCGGTTGGGCCCGCAGGCTACAATCACAATGTATTCATCCACCTCCATGAGCAGGGATGCTTAATACATAATAATATTGGGTCATCGTCCTGTCACGTTTCCGTGCTGGTTCCTGTCCGGCTTGTGCACGCTACAGACTTCCTTGCACTTTCAGCTATTAAGTATTGCTTCTTGAAGAAAAGTGCCAATTACGCACCAGGATACATGCACAGTTACTTCGCCTCCACTATGGCGTCCATTCCCACTGTTACACACCTTAGAGGTCTTTCAGGTCTAGCTTTTTCGTACTCATTTCTTGCAAACCAAGACATAACCAACCACAAGCAGTTTTCAGAGACAGTCACAAAGCAGCTTCTCGTCCTTCTTTCCCACATCTTTTACCCGGGTACCTTCGATATGTTTAGCATGTATGATTTTCAACGTATCTGTGACGACTATGACAAGGCCATTGTGCAGGCTGCCATTGTTGACCAGATCACCGGCCGTGCAGCTTTGGCGAGCCTGCGTGACGTCGTTAAGGTTGATAAGATGCTTCCATCTAAATTGCGCGAGATAACGAAGCAGTACTTTAACTCCGTTCTGCGTAGTGCTCCCTTCATCGTGTTTGTAACGACACAGTCTGAAGTTATACCTGTCATCCTACGTCAAGCTATAAAGAATTGGTGCAGCCGCCTCGACGTGCAAGGACCATCAGGATCGTCTAAGCGTTCTTCCTTTCTACAGGGTGAGGGTTTGAGACGAGGCTATCAACCTGATCAAACATATATAAAGAACAAGCCTCTTATGCTAGACGCCGAGGACGAGCGTAAGCAAATGGCCAACACGACAGCTCAGACGCCCATTCTTTTTGTTCAGAAAGACAGTAGTATCTACAAGCATGTAGTGGACATTGTTGTTACCTCTAGGCGTTACATACTGCTTAACGTCTTCGATATTACATTAGCTCGCATGCTTTTTCAGTGGCTTATTGACGGCAATAAGATTCTCGATGCAATTATTAAGTACTCGAATTCATCCATTTATCTAGTGCACGAATTGAAAGCGCTTCCGCTTCAACTAGAGGAATTTTTTGTAGGGAAGCATTATCATCTCCAGCTAGTCATCAAGAACGTACCAATTCTTATAGCAGATATTCTGACTACTATTCTCAGCTCACTAGATCTCCAGAAGGACGTATCGAAGTACGTCTCTACCCACCTTGACTCATTCGTTAGTTTCATTCAGCGAAAACAAATTGAAAGTGCACGTGCCTACATCACGAATCCTCATCTAGCCTTGCTGGACGAGGCAATACCCTACATGCTCAGCTTCTTTTCACTGAATGTCTTTGGGGCTGTGAAGACAGGACTGGGGCTAATGCTTATCGAAGACGTATATGGTCCTCTGAAACTCCTCAGCAAGGAGATGGGCCTGTCCGTGACACTATATGACATATGGGGACGTGATTTGTCTAACGAACAGAGAGATACTAAACCTCAGCTTATTGACTCAAATCCGTTTCTTAACAACTACTCTTCTGCATCCTACATTTATGATGCTAAAGCTGTACTCACAGTTGCGTTTTCCACTGAGCCGGCAGTAAAGAGCCACATCTTCAATAAGGCCACAACAAAGCATGTTATCAGGCGAAGCAATTCAGTATCAGTGGGCCACATGGACAACATTTCGAGCCGCTCCAACCTACTCACAGGATCTAGGATTGGAGGGCACGGTGACCTCTCCAAAGAGTATTCTGGAAAGATGGGTGGCAAAACAACTGCGGATCTTTCAGACAGTAATCTGGCTTCGGCATTTATTCTCAAGAACCACGAGCGCTTTTGCTTCACATTCTTTGCGGCGCTAGGGGCTATGCAACGAGTTGCCACCATTGTAACGCACTGTCATGAAAGCATCTACGACACCATGAGCAAGTTTGTTGCCGCTTTCTTCGCCGGCTGCTGGACTGTCACTCTGATTGGTGACAGGGTATCGGACTTCTTTAGTTCGTTAGTTGACAGTATCAAGATTTCGCTGCACTCCAATAGTAGCAAGATGTATAGCAACATTTGGTTCTACTACCTCGGAGGATCGTCGCTTAAGCTTCAGAAACTGGCTTCTGAGGAAAAACTTTGTCCGCAAATGTTTACTATCCAGCCTTTTGACAAGGTACCTTACGTTTCTGTACCTCTGGCCACTATGAATTTGAAGCTGTTTGATTGTAGCACCGTAGCAATATCCCCATGGGTGTACAATATCGTTCATCCTGAAACCGATTGCAAATACATCGATATAGCTAACAGGATTTCTAAATTTTGTGGCTTTACTGTCCAGGATACTATCTCTTCTGTAACTATTACAGATCAGGAGCTGCTCAGCGTGTTCTTTGGATCACCACTTGCATCATTAGTTACCAATCTTACGAAGCTCCAAGAAGCAACGGCAACAAACCTCACAACTCATAACATCAGCCTGGGGCTTGTGGCACGACAGCAGTCCATCGACAATAACAAGCTGATTCAGCACATCTCTCACTCTAGAGAAATCATCGACGACTCTGCTGTCTTTGCCTTAAAAGCAGTTCAATCCTCTATTATCTGTGCGTCTAATACGCATTCGCATATATCTCACAACGCCTCTAAGGAGCTACCATGTACCTATTCCTTTGATACCGTAGAAGATCTATTTGACCATCTCCACCCGATAAGTGCCGATATAGTTCTCGGCTCATCCTCCTATCTGCCAAAGTTTTTGCACTCCAGCCTTTTCATGAACGATATGGAAACAAGCTTCACACTCAAAGTACTCTTTAATGCTTCCAATGCCATTTCCGCAGGGCTATCTGCAGAGTTCCTCGCGCATTTGCACGTCTATCTAGATGTTTTGAACTCATTTAGCTCCAACATACTGTTTGCTTTTGAATCTCTGGATAGCTGCATATCTGTCACGCTTCGTGCAATATCTTTGCAACACTTTCTACAACTTGTGGACACGCTCCTAGAGATTATCCATCATCGACAGCTCAGCATACCTGACCTAGAGTTTTTAAATCTTTCTGGAGGCTCAGTGACTGCCAGCAACCTCCTCCTTCTCACAAATTCCATCTTCATGGGCCAAACAGCTAAGCTCTATCTAGATATCTGTTTTGACAACTACTTCTTAATGACACAACCGACCAGTCGGCTCAAGGACGTCGCTCACGCGTTCAACTCAAGCAAACAACACCTGGCCCATCTTACTACCATTGTGGCTTTGAGCAAGCTCCACAGCTTCACAAAGGGACTTCCCTCTGTGTTACCTCCGTCTCCTGCCACACTTGGTAATCAGCTGTATGGTATAGCATCCTCTCAAGGTGCTCTTCTGAACACTATTTCCTTGACGTTTTGTATAAAAAAGACGCTCGATGATAATGCATTGTTACAGGACTTTCTATCACAGGACTTGCTTGGTAACACTAATGATCTACATGCTTACCTATTCAATTTGACTACGCTATCTCTTGAGTACGTTATTTCTCGCTTAGAAGGAACGCATGCTGTATCTTGTAGCATTGCTGATAGTGTTCATGTAGGCATGTATTCTGACTATGCAACGATTGACATACTGTGCACTACTGCATCACTATCCAGCATACTTTCTCTGTTCTTTGATGAGGACGATAGCTTCAATCTGTCTATTCTCATGAAGGAGGTGCCTAACGATGTGTCTCTTTGTTTAGCTGTTCGCACCCTGTTTGACTTCCCGAATCTCTTTACTGCGGCAAATGTCCAGCACCTCTCTGCTCTTCTGCTGAATTATTATAAAGGATTCTCCCCGAGATTGGAGATTCTTTACGGCACGCTGAAGTTGACGGCCAGCGAAATGACTGAGGTGTGCACTCAGCACTTCACACCTCTCCCCACCACCTCCATAAATCTTTTCAAGCAGCCAAATACACTAGAATATCTGCATTTTATATCTGCTACGTACAAGAAGGTAGCGATGGCTCAGTCAAGGTTCCGATTGGATGATCTGGAGAGGTTGCAGAGCTCCAATGAAGAGGCTAGTGTTAGAAACAAGGTCCTTTTGGAGTCGAATGAGTTTACTCAAGCACATCCTATGGACACTACTACCAAATCCGATATGAAGATGATCTCCAAACTAGAAAAACTGCGTGCTTATCGACAGTTGCTCGAGCGGCAGCTCAAGGACATACATCAAAAGAACGAGGCTGTCGCGCTTGCATGTCATTCGGCTCACGATTCCACCCAGAATGTTAATCTCTCTTCACCCCTGAAGACACAAGCCAATACCAATGACATTCGTTATGTGCCAAACTCCGATAACGAAGGAGATCTAGATTCAATGTTCATACACAACCCGACAGAGTTCTTAGTCACTGCATTTAACGTCCAATTGGAGAAGAAAGGAATATATACCATTAACGGCTTTCCCATTTGGTTCAAACATCTCGAAATGAACGTTTTCCCAACAAACTCTCTAACGCTTGGTCTCAATATAGCACATCCTAGCCACTCCACGATTACAAAGAAGCATGACTTTTATGGAAGCCTGCCCTTTTATGTCACACACCTAGGTAAGAACATGTCTCAACTCTACATCCAAGAGACTGCGCTGTGGTATGCCATGCACCTTCAGCAGGCTCTCTCACTCATGCAGAACATTCCTCTGAGGCACGAGCTTCAGCTTGCAGGTATGCACAGCAGAATCTTAAGCACCGTTACTGGACTGCCTTATCCTATTGGAATTTCGGCTGTCCATGGATGCAATGTCTATTTCCGCGACCCGCAGAGTACAGTTGCCCCTAAGAGCATTATAAAGGGCCATTACTCTAAACTATTTTCATACACTCAAGATGCGCACGGGCAGACAGCCGAGCCTGCTGGGCCAGTGCTATCGCTAAGTCCTGACGCAGTGCCTCCACTTACAAACTTCCAGATGTGTGCGGGGATGCTGATGGAGAATCTTGCCGTCATTGCATACTACTTAGATGTGGATATTTCGTTGCATGCCGGTCGCAAAGCGCCTTCAGACCCGGCTGAATACCTTTTCTACCTGTATAGGGACTGTTTACTGCACAAGCACGGCCTGTCCCGATTGTCCTAATATCACTTTTGCATGCACTCTAAATCTAATCGCAATTGGCTCAAGTACGAGCAGCAGGCGAGCAAAAAGGTCAGGTCAAAGATTCCGCAACCGTTGGTCTGGATGGCAGAACGCACTTTTTCTGTGATAAAATACAATATATCTGTAAATATACTTCCGCAACTAGCATAAAAACAGATTTCGGACATTAATGGGGTCTTCCCCGTGATGTTTGGCTGTATGAACACACTCAGAGCAAATGGGCCCGGGACCGTCTTGCGCTGTTGTCTGTCAATGTTAGGGACTAAGAACTGGAAGACCTTCTCCAAATCACTGCGCCACCTGTCCGCGGTGTCAGAGATGCAGAAGGCATGGTGTGAGATGATCGCATACGAGCCGCCGGACAACGCCTTCACCGAACTGACGACCTCACGTGCCACATTAAGAGCTGTCTTATGAGCAGAGTAACTTACATGCAGGGTGCCCATGGCACACGTCTGGCCAGTTACAGAGAAGGCGGAGCCGGTGGACATGTGTAGACAAAGATGTGCAAGATTGTCCCGATTTAACAGGCTGAGAATAATGAATATTACATCAACGCAATATCCATATGCATGTAAGTCATCGAACGAGGAAATAGCTATTCTATCGGATGTCTGGGGAATGATGTTGTGGTACATGTTCTTGGCCTCAGCCTCAGGTGCGCCGTCGCCTTCAGACTTATCACTCATGTCAGTGCCTCTGACCTTATTCTTTTCTGAAGACGTCAGACTGAGGCCCATGAACCTCATGAAGGCTAGCTTATCTTTGAAGCACTCTCCAACGTCTGTCGGCACATGATGAGGTACAAAGAGAACAGAGGCAGCCCGGCGTAGAGCCACAGACATGATGATAGCGTAGTTACAAAGTTCAAGTGTGGGTATCATGGACCAATTCTTGTTGACCAGCAGGACATGGACATGCGCCAGGCTATTCAAGATACTGAGCATGGGGCTGAGGCACCCTGAGATTGAGTCGCTTGGGTCGCAGACAACCATGAGCTCCTGGGCAGTGGGGGTACTCTTGCGCATGTAGTGGATGCATGTGTAAACTATTGCCTTGGAAAGTAAATCTGAGCGCCGAACCTCCAAAATTCCGCGAGTAGGAAACTCTCCACTATTGAAAAAGATGTCTTTTCCAGACATTCTACCGGCATCGTCAAAGTTGTGGTTTGACAGAAAGTCCTCTGCTGTAATGGATAGACAGTATTCCTTTGTAGTGATGTACACACACCCAAGTGACGCTGATTGTTTTGCGTGGTGGGTATAGTGCGACTTAAGAAATGCCGAGCGGATCAGTTGAGGCCTATGGTCTGCGAAGACGAAGTCAATGTTGCCGGCGGTAAGCACTCGTTTGAACACATCTTTCTCACCATTTGTCACTAGCATCCTTGTCATCATGGTCCCGCTGTATATCGCTTCCTGACCAAGCCACACAATAAGCATCGCGGAAGCACAGGAAAGCGCAGAAGACAAAATAAAATTCTTACTAACCGCACAACCTCACGCGCCACCTCATGCTGTGCAAGTCCGTCTACGACAAGTTCCGCTATGTAAACTGGCCCGGGCCACTGATGAAGTATACAATACAGCGAAAGACGGTTTTGATCCCTCCAGAGGTCTGCAAAGAGATTGTTTCCGATGACATGGCCATGACCAGTGTCAATGCCCCTGCGCTGCATAAGTTCTGCGAAAGCCTTGATCTTGTTAATGGGAAGTTCCTTAAGGTGGACTGGGCAGCCCCCACTGACTGTTCCCAGATTGTGGAGACTCTAATGTGCATTGTCCCCAGCAACGCCTTTATCCTGCTGAAGATGTCTGAAAAGATACGCAATGCGCTCCTAAACTTCCACAACGAAGAGATTCCTGGCAAGTTTGATCCCAGTATTCCGCACTATCTCTATGTTATGCCATATGAGCGTCTTCACAAGATCTTCGAGTACCGCATATTCATCAAGGATCTGCGTATTGTCCTCATCGCTCCGCGTTATCAGTGCATGATCACCGACGTGACTACAGACATCGTCCGCTTTGTCAAGGTCTTCCTCCTCGAGCACATCACTCAGCACATGGGTGTCACGGACCTCATAATCGATCTCTACTGTGATGTAGATGAAGACATATGTTCTTCTATTCTTCTCTTAGACATGCAACCCCTGCCGACAGCAGAGTCCGCCTTCGAAGACCTTTGTGTGCTGGGAGCCGCTGTTTTGAAGGAGAGATTGAAGCCTGACGCAATTCTAGACCCCCTGTTTGTCAATCCTACTGTTGAAAGGATATCTGCAGTGGGGCGAGCCACCACGAACAACACTTACCCCTCCGAGCTTACATCTGGGATGATCTCTGGCACCCACACGGAAATCATAGAGCTTGTCCGACAGGCCACTCGCAAGACAGAGATCCCCGAGCTGGTCAGTCTCAGGCTCTAGGGCAGCCTGTTTGGTATGCTTGACTCTTTCAATTGCAGGTTAGTAAATTTGAAAGCGGGAAAAGAAGACCAAGTCTTGTCTTCAGCGCATGCGTCCAGGCAGCAGCTCATACCAAGAGCGCCTTCAACGCCTCCCTCTTGTTGAGGATGCATTCCTGGGAGACGTGCGTACGCGGTACTCAACTGCCGGCCCTTGGCGGTTAGGAGGCCAGTGCTCTGCTGTACCTACAACCCTTCCACCCTGCATAGCAGATATCCATATAAAGCGGCAGCAAGCGGAGCACATTCGGCCTGCTTCTGTCTATTTGGAGATGGATTATTCACCAGGGATTGTTTCCGATAGCTCTTTGCTATTCCCAACTGATCAGGATGACAAGAAACACCTAAGAATGTTCCATGGCAGCTTCTCTTTGCATCTCCCCAAAGCCTCTTCATATCCCTTGGGACTCTCATTTCTTAAATCGATCACTGGCAAGTCATGTCGACAACGTTACTTAAAATTGTTAGACTTATTATCAACAGATGCACTGCACGTAACAAAAGCCTTAGTTAGCCACACTTCAAGTGTAAGCCCTTCGGCTGCCCTAGATCCACCTCAAAGCACCCAACTGGTATTATCAACGCACCGAGCTATTCTACGACCTATAGTATGTCGCGAACTTCTGACAGACGTAGTTCGTCTACTAACATGTAGTGCACCAGACGTGGTGACACTATCAAGTTTAGAGCGCTCAGCTCGTTGGTTCCTTACAGCTGCCCCTCACTCTATCTGGTTTTCAGACCGTAATGGACTAAGCACTGGCGTACACATATGTCGTGAGGCCATCAAGTGTAAGAGTACATGTTCGCCACCTGTCAGCTTTCTCTGCAGTTACTTTAAAGCCTCCAATCTTCCTTTAGACACTAGTGTTGAGAAAATATCTTCACCAACAATAAGCACTGGCCACCTGAGGCTTGGTCTGGAGCTCTACCTCCTGCTATATAGGTACTACCTGATCAGAAAGACCCTATTCTTCGCATCTGCGCATTCGCTGAATACAGAGCTGCAGTCGCTTGCAGTACGAACAAATGCACGAGAGATATACTCTCAGCTAGCCAACGTCTCCACCGACATTCAAGCTTTGTGGACACAGAAGACTACTCTTCAGAACTTTCGGGAATCTCTTCCAGTGAGTGCCACAAGAATGAATCAGCGCATTCAGCTTCTAAAAATGGCACTAAATGATGCTAGTATGAAGATTCTGAGGCATCAAAAGAAGCATGGTCAAAGCAAAGAATACTGGAGAACCAAGAGCGCTGAGCTGGAGCAGAGCGCTATGCGCCAACGGAAGGTGCAGCAAGACCTTCAAGACCAAATACAGAGGCTTGAGCAACGCGTTAAGTCATCAACTTTGGCAAAGACGCGAGTCTCGAGAGGAGCCGAGAAGATCCAATCAAGCGTGGACAAATTGAACAATAAAATGGCCGCAAAAAAGGGAGAACTGGAAGGATTGAACAAACAGATTAAGGAACTAAATCAAACGCTCACTGATAAAGAGTGGCAGATCACCACAGCCCAATCTGTACGCAAACGAGAATTGGAAGCCAATTCCTTGGCACTACACACAGAACTTAACAGACTCGATGTACTATTAAGTGCATCGTTCTTTGAAAACAAGCCTGCTAACCTTCACTCAATTATAGCCAACATGCAATTATACATCTCTCGAATAACCAAAACAAAGGACATAAATCTCACACTTCCGGAGCTAGGCGCGCTTGAGGAGCAGATCCTTGCAATACACAAGACTGGGTTTATCCAGCTGCTATCAGACAGTATATCTGCTATGCAACGAATCAACTATAAGTTTCCTCCCAAGTTTCTAGGCCTTATGGCTGCAACATGCATTTCACTGCAACAGAGAACCGCCCTTCTAAAGGAGCTATGCGCATTTTTGGGCAAAGCGCAACCGCACCTCATGGCATGTTGCACGGCGGTCTCTGCAGCACGTACGAGCAAGCCATCCGCCCCGCTATCGTCCAATCCAGATGTTAGTGTTATCATAACATCAACCAGCATTCAGCCAAAGCTCTGCTTTCAGCACCATTCGGATGATGCGACAACATCTAGCTTCTGTGGTAATAGCGAGGAGGACACAGGGCCCCAAGGAAGCAGCTCTACCAAGGAAGCTTCAGAAGGTGCCTCTCAAGCAAAGGAACCAGAGCTTTGCAGCTTGCTTGGGTCACCTATTCCGTGGAATCTCTTGCACTACAGGTATTCTACCTCACTGACACTGGAGCAAAACATCTTGCAGTACCTACGACAAACCTGTGCCCTCAACCCTTGCATCGCAAGATCCCATCACTACAAGCAGACGCTGAAGCCTTCGCTTGCTGACGAGAGCATAAACAAAAAGTCTGATGAATGCTGCGAGAAATCCAGCACTCCGCACCCTAGTACCCCTGTGGAATGAACTATTTGTTAGCGATCTGGAGCGTGAACATATCCTCAATGCGTTGAGAACACACAGTTACGCTTTACCGACCTATATTGAGGGACTTGAAACTCTTGTTAAGCTCAAGCACGAGTACATATCCGTCTCCAACAAGCATAGGCTACTCTATGAGTATCTCTCCACCACTTCTTGTAGCCCCCAGAGCTCATCTAACACTCTCTTAGCTATTGCGCAATTTCGCTACTACACTCTAGCCACTATCTCCCTTACCGCGGCAGCACGCTCGATAATAGGCCTCCCCGTGACTCTACCCTCCTTTAAAATCCTACCAATGGACGCTGGCAACTGGCTGACCCTGATTAGATCCATGTATGTGTTCACTCTAGACAGAACAGCGTCCTGTTTGAGTATGATAGAAGTTCCAGAACAGAAAACGGCAGAAGTAGCAGAGAACGCCTTCTCGAATGCCAAAAATCGGCTCCTGAACTGGATTGTTGATCTATTGGATCCACAGAATCGGTCCGAAGGGAGCACTAAATTGCGCCGTCAGATGGAGGCCTTCTTTCCGGATGGATCGTTCCTGCCTAAGATGCTATTTGACCCAGATGTGTCATTCCTTGGCCCGTCGCTTTTCATCGACATCAATTTCCGCATGCTGTTGGGGATATCCTTCGACGATAAGCCACATCCTGACGATGCCATTGTAAAGCTGAGGCGCTACATAAATGGGCAGCGCCTGAACGACGCTTATTACTGCGGAATCTCCGCTAAAATCATGACTCCTGAAGAGGCGTTCAACTATGCTATTGGAGAAGAACAGCGGGTACAAGCAGCACACGCAATGATAGAGCAAGCAGCTCTCTACAAGCAATCCCCCGTATTATTGCCAATTCAGCGTGACTCCAAGAGACGAGAAACATACAGTATATCGACCAACAAAACGGTCAAATAGAAACATGGCCCTAAGGAGTTGCCCTCTTGGAGCTTTTAAACTGCACATAGAGCCTTTTCATGGCTGCATATTCGCGTGCTATCAGAGATGCAGAGTAGCTTGGAAAGTAGCGTCTCTGCAAGTATTGAGCTATGGCGACAAGCGTGTTCCTAGGTGGCTTGGGGGCCTGAGAAGTGGACATGTTCTCATTGTGGAACGATTCCGTGAGGGCCTCCTGCTCGAATGCTTCAGACTCTATGAGACGGCAAAGAAGCTCTCTGTCCTCTTCAGTAAACTCGCGGCGATCGAACAATGTATCAAGAATAAGCTGCATCTGCGCTTTGCACACGTTTTCTGGTGTGCCAAGCTTGGCGGCAATCTCGGGCCAAGACACCTGTAAGCTATCAACAAAGCGGTGTAGTGAGCCTCCAGAGAGTAGTATGCGTTCTATGAGTGCGTAAAGATTTGGGGAGATCTGTGGTCTTTGTAAGGATGCTTGAGAGCTATGCATTATTTTTAAAAAGAGACAATAATCGATATTTTCATTAGAAGGTTTTGCACCAAGCTAAGTGGCCGAGGAACCTCCCTTCTCTGCGCTTTTTGCTGCCACTACATCGTCTTGCAGAATCCTTAGATGATAGGGGAAAGGTCAGAATGTTCCTGTCCAGTGACCAAGGATTAAAAGGCTTTCGATTATGTTTAAACGCTTGTACGAGCCACAATTGACGACAAGAGTCAGCACCAATGTACTCAGCCAGGCGTCGACGCTTGTGAGATGCACGATAGAGACTCTCCTGAAGAAGCTCCCTATAGGGGGCGTACTCATCCAGGCGCCAAACATCGGAGTTCTTGGACATCAGTGCACGCTGTAGGGATAAGAACTTACCCTTGACCTCAGCAGGAGTTCGCCCAGGAAAACATGTCGAGTACATGCTCCAGTTACGTCCGTGGTCCGCATACCACTTGAGCAGCTGAACGGTCTCATCAATGCTCCACAAGCAGCGTGACGTGCCGCTTTTGCCGGGGTGATTAATGTACGTATATCGCTGGTAGCACTGTACTCGGTCTCTAGTGCCTACCCGCTTGGCAACCTCCCGCCAGTTAATCTTGCCAACAGTAGTTGCAGCCCTTTCCATGGATATAGCATCTACAAGCCTTTTCACTTCATCAGCGCTCCACGGGACTCGATGCCTTTTGTTTGTGCTTGAGATTCTGTAGAAGCTAATGGAGGACATATAAGATGTAAGCCAGAACGAAGCTGAGAAGGGGAGAATGACCTTTAAGAATGATCCGCCTTTGTACTCTGAATAGGTGTTTGGGTTGTAAGAGATGAAACGATGATCTGATTGACTCGCATGTGGGGGTTCACTGCAGCAAGAGCCTTCCTCAAGTAGGCCACAACCTCCTCGCGTTCCATGCACGGATTGCCGGCTAGGCCCAACTGATGGAGCCACTTGGTCCTGGTGAGAGCAGAAAGATCCCTAATCATTACAAGCCGGTTGTGACCGAGCTCCAACTGGCGAAGCTTTGGAAGGCAGATCCAGCTATCAGAAATGCTAGATATTTTGTTGTGGGACAGCCGAACCTCTCTGATGCTGGCGGACAGGATCTGGGGGCAAGCAGTTAACTCGCATTCGGAGAAGTTAACCTTTCGCAATGATGGAAAGTCAGAGAATTTGTCCTTGATGGACTCATTTGTTAGCGGGTTTTTGGACAGAATGAGCGTGTTAAGATTGTATGTAATTTTTATCGCCCGCGGTCCTTTGGGGATGCTTTCTAAGAGAGGGGGCACTTCTGTGATGTTATTATCGCTTAGAATAAGGGCCTTGAGCCCTGGTTTCAGAAGAGAAAACGGGATTTTGGACAGCTTGCAGCCGGAAACATTAAGAACAATGAGCTTATACTGCGAAAACTCCCGTAGTTGCTCCTCATCTATCTGGCAATCGACGATCTTCAGCATAGTCACTGATGGGAAGATCATGGGGATAAACGTAACATCTTCAATGGAGCAGGTGAGAAACGAGAGATTTGTGACCGCCTCCCACTTGGTTCTGGTATCGATAGATTTTATCACCAGGTCAGAAAAGCTAGCCTTTGATGATGATGTGCAACTCGCAATCAGTACGTCGTCAAAAGCCACAGTCTGAGGCATCTACGAAAAATGAATGCAAAATGCAATTTTCTATTTCTTTTATGGTGACACGGTCTCTAAAAATGTGTCGACAATCTGAACTATAGAAATTCCGGATGGCTATGGAGCTCCACGTCCCGGTGCCGTTTGATCTCGACGAGGAGGTGGTGTTCTTGGAGCAGGACGGTAACATGCGCCACGTAGCAGCCCGTCAAATCTTGCTCGGCAAGGAAAATGCCCACACAGAATGGATATGCAAAAACTTCTCCTGTAGATGCCGACTGGTCGACACAACGTCCCAGGCTTGGCCATCTGCTTCACGCGGAGAGAGTACCTTCAACTCTGACGCCTCTAGGCAGCCGGGTTTCGTTCTAGACCGCGGCACAGAGGCAAACCTCCAAAACGCGAGGACCGCTGTTAACGCACTTATCGATGCGGCGATGGAACTCATCGATACTCTGCAAGCCACGGAAAATAGGGTTCTTGAGCTCACTAACGATGTCAGCTTCATTCGCTGGTACGAGGCAGAGCGCGATCCCGAGTCTCAGGAGTCACGTAAAGCGATCGTTGCTCAAATATACGATACCTTAATCGATGAGAAAGAGACGCAGGAGGACCCGTAGAAGAGACGTGCGGGCTCAGAAGGTAAGTTTTCACCTGCCCACTCTTTGGTGTCTATCTATGCAAGTGAGCGTTGGTTGGGGCTGATGCGATTTGCCTGGTCACAAATTGCATTGATGCCTCGACCCACCTTTTTCTCTTGGTTCTAGGATTCTCAGAATTTCTCAGGAATTTGTCGTTGCCACAAAAAACACAGCCGCGTGGTGGAGCACAAGCCCCTCTGTATGCCTCCTTGTCGTTAGTCTTTTGTCATTAGTCTTTGTACTCTAATTATTACGTACGTGATATCCTATCATCTCAAACCAAAAAACAACATGTCTGAAGAAGTTGCCCCTGGACGCAGCCCCGATGCAAAGGGCTTCGTTCCCTTGCGCGCAATCGCACGCTTCATTAGAAAGATGTGCACGCGTCCCACGACGAGGCGTGCCACATCCGAACCCGACGTTGACCTCGAAAGCTTTTTGGAGCACATCAACGACCGTGCGGACCTTCCCAGGCCGTGCTTCACCTATGCCGTTGTGCTTCTGAAGCACCTTGCTGAGAGGTATGCCGGAAAAATCACTCCAAACAATATCATACGTGTCACCTTTGCTTCTATTATCGTCGCGGCCGGGATGCTCCAGGACATAACCTACAACCTCGACGCTTGGGCTGACATCGGAAACAACTATTACTCGAAGACCCAACTCTGCACCCTGCAAACCCAGTTTCTCCAGAGCCTGGGGTATGAGGTCCACGTCATGATTGACGAGTATGCGCGAATGAATAATGACATTCTCGTGTATAATGATGAGATAGAGAGTGTTGAAACAAATTGACCGTGTCAGGAAGGTATGGCGCTTTCCATGACGATCCTTCTGCGTTTGCCTCGACGCGCGTCGGTATTGCAGGCCTGGGCTAATGTCTAGTAAATAAATTATTACCTTGGAGTTTGCCATGTATCGCGCGGGTGAGCACACGCTGATGAAGCTGAATCACGTTATAATTCGCTCGATCTCCACGGCGGGAGGGAACTATTGGCCGCACATAGATACAGAGGCCTCCAGGGACATCGTCCCCATCGCCCCCCACTGCCTCATCTCCGTGCGTACAGTCCTCCAGGGAACCCTTTTAGTGACTAATATGCGTGTTTTCTTATTAACACAAGAGCGCCAGCTGAACTTTGGATTCCCTATTCATCACATAGCAAAGCTGGAAATGTCTGGCGGTGAAAGCAATGTTGCCCTGACCACGTTCTCTATCCGGTTGGTGACCCCCCACTTGATCATTCTTTCCGCACATTCTAGTGCAGTCCAATGTGTTGTGGAGCTTCTCAAGCGCATCAATGTCACACCCACTCTGTCTCGCTACTCATCGACCATCACCCAGGCTGTTTCTCGGTTTACAGAAGCCACTCCGCACATAGCTGCATCATATGATGGGCTCTACTATCAGGTGCCTATCCCGCACACCATTTACTTCAGCAAGGATCCTGTGCAATCGTTTATCTACTCAGCACCACACGAGAAGCTTATGCAGGCGTTTCGCAAGAACCCAGCACTAGAAGCTTTCCTTGGCGAGGCAGACAGCATGATGTTGGATAATGTGACCCACTTTCCCAGCCTGGGCCACTCTATCTTTGATCCTATTCGAGAGTTCCGCAGAATGGGGGTTCAGATGACCCACCCTACCCCTGCTCAACTTAGTAAGATGATCTTTGGGGCCAGCATCCATCCGGATCTACTATCGTACTTACTGAAGTTCAAGCCTGTTAGGTCTATGGACTACTTCAACGACGCTGGAATCCTAATGGGGTCTTGCCGCGGGTCAGTGTGCTGCACGAGATTTAATTCTGGTGTATCTGACTTCTACGAGAAGATGCGTATGACAGCCTTCTATGACCCGTTCCTACTTTTCGATACACCAGAACAGTTTTATTGCTTGTTGAACTACCATCCACAAGCAACTCAGAGTAATTTCGGTGCTGTCACCTACAGGTCCGGTCAGGCAGGAGATGATATCATGAACGAAGAAGATGCTGAAGACGATGGGTCTGGAGCTCCACGTCCCCAGCCATCGTCGTTTCTATCAAAGCTTAAGAGCGGTTTTTCACCAGCCTCCAATACTGGGAGCGCGACTACATCGGCCGTCCCAACTTACAACTTCACGTTGCAAGATAGACAGACAGGAACATATCTGTATGCCCATGGATGCTTCTTTGAGCCTACGTTCTTCCGTTGTGAACCTCATATGCGCCACTACATCAAGGCTCTCCTTGCTGTTGTAATACCTCCATATATAGACAGCACACATGAGCCTCCCATGCGCCCCCAGGAACTAGCACGAGATGGTTGGAACATTTCGTGGACCAATTGTGTTTACGAGAACTCGCCAACATATCCTGCGGTGTTAGCTGTTCCTGACACGGTCAACGACAGCATTGTCTTGGGGTCCATGAAGTTCAGGTCTAAAGGCCGCTTCTGTGCTCTTTCATGGCGGTCTCCCGTGACTGGGGCCGCTCTCTGTCGTTGCTCACAGCCTGGCGGTGGGTTTGGCCTGTCTAGAAGCTCAGATGACGAGGCTCTTTTGCGCGCCGTTTGCAACGCTCCGCCGTCCACCGACACACGGAACCTCCTTTTTGTTTTTGATGCTAGGCCCCATCTGGCTGCATTTGCCAACAGGCTCACTGGCAAGGGCTTCGAATCCACGCGCGCATATCCATTCTCTAGAACTATCTATTTGAACATACAGAACATCCACGTGGTTCGTGACAGCTATGAGGCCATGCGCAAGGCTGCACTAGAGTTTATCCTCACCAGAGAGGCAAACTTCAGGGGCATTCTAGACACATCGGAGGATAAAGTGCAAGGCAATTATGATTATAACATTCAGAATGCGAGAAATCTACTCGAAAGTGTGGCCTCCACGAAGTCTGTCATATTCAAGACAGGAAAGGAGTCTAACTGGTATAGCCACATCCAGACCATCATGGCGGGTGCATGCATGATCTGTGAGTGCCTCACGAAGCTTCGTTGTCATGCGATGATACACTGCTCCGATGGCTGGGATCGAACGTCTCAACTGAGCTCCCTTGCGATGCTACTTCTGGATCCTTATTACAGGACCCTTCGAGGGTTTTGCATCCTCATCGAGAAAGAGTGGCGTTCTTTTGGGCACATGTTTGCCACCCGTTGTAAGCAGGAAGGCAGTACAAAGGCCAGCACTAGGAAGGAGGACAAAAAGGCCAAACCCTTTAATGTACTCGCAGCAGCATACAGTCAGATGCTAGGGCACCACAATGCTTACCAGCAGGGGCCGGATGCACCTCTCCAGGGAACTGTGTATGCACCAATTGTGATCAACCCTAGTTACGCTGGTCCTATCGGCCCGGCCCCAGGACCTGCAATGAGTCCTACAATAGGCTCTGCGATGTTCTCGGGCCCAGTGCCCTTTAGCTCGAGTGCGCCCCTCCCCGGCGCAGCTATAAGCGGAAGCCAGGGACCACAGGGTGCAAGCTATACTAATCAAGGCATCAATCTAGGCCAGCCATCGATACCATCTCAGGGACTCTTGAGGACGCATCTGGCTGATGCCTTTGATAGCGTGGACACATCTCCAATCCCAGAGGTGCCTCTATCTAACTTAGACTTTTCTAGCTCTCAATCGTCTCCCATCTTTTTACAGTGGTTGGAGTGCGTGTATCAAGTTATGCACCAGCGCGCTGACGAGTTTGAATTCAACGATAAAGTGTTACTATACATAGCACACCACGCATACTCCGGCTGGCATGGAACATTTATTTTTGACAACGAACGGGATAGAACCCAGCACCTCCTATCAACCATAACGACCTCTGTATGGGATGAATTTATCACCAATTCAGCTTATTATCTTAACCCGCACTATAAGATACCGGCTCCTTTGAATGTCATGAAGACACGAACGGGGCTGGAATATATGCACATTTCATGTAGTATGCGAAAGATGACTCCGTGGAGCGCCTACTGGTCACAAGTAGCGGCATTCCACGAATAGAAAAGCAAGAGCTCTACTTCACCGCAAATGAGTGCGGTACGGGAGGAATAACTGCTACACGAGGCTTTACTGTTGCCAAGTGCTTGTAGACAACTTCAAAAGCGGTAAAATTGAGGGGTACAGCCACGTCGCGATCATACAATGTTACTCCCGTCGCAGTTGTATTTGCATAGTCTTGCATCATCTTGTAAACATCTACATAGCTTAACGCATCCGGCAATTTTATGGCTTCAAGGATTTGCACTAGTTCTTCGCGCTTGTGCACCTCAAGAGTAGCACTTGATGCATTAGGCCCGGTGCTGGAGCATGGAGTGCCACCGAGCACCGCTTCTACGGTGGCAGAGATAGCCCCTATAAAGGCCTGCTCCTCTAAGCCGCTTGTATGCCTAGAGGACTGCATGTAAGAGTTGGAAGTTTGCATTTTTTTGATGATTGCTGCTGGTGTCCGGCTGGCGCTCAAACACACGATCACGTGTCACAGAGCTCCAGTGACGAGCATGATCTACGACGAGAGTGGCTCAGTGCTCTTCTCTGGCTCTGCTGATGGAACCGTCTCGGTGCACGCAGTGGATGCAAATCCTAATCAGGAGCCGAAGTTCCTGCACCGCCTCCACCGAAACCAGGCAAAGGGTATCAATGCCCTGGCATGGTCGGCTAATAGAGTTTTGGCAGCTGGCGACGATTGCGCTGTTCTATGGGACATAAACGTCCAAAAGCCGATGCTCACGCTTACTGACCATACGCTTCCTGTCACCGACTGTGACATCTACGAAAACTTTGCGCTAACATCATCTGCTGACCAGACCATCAGCCTTGTGGACATGCGCCAAGGGAAGCCCATTTCGACCATGCGAGCCCACACCGGCGCTGTTCTTTCGTGTCGTTTACTCACAAAACTGGAGATCTTAGGTCAGGGAGGCGTTGCGGCCCTTAGCGGTGGTGTAGATGGAATGCTCAAACTTTGGAACGCTGTTCAGGGTAATACACTAGTAACAATCAAGCCGGCCAAACCAATCTCTAGCATAAAAGTTTCGCCCAACGAAAAATATGCTTTGTGCATGCACGTAGGAGCGGGCGTCGTGCTCCATACTCTTCCCACTGACACACAAGGTCTCGAGCTGCGCAAGGTGAAAGAGTACTCTGTTCATGACAGTACGGACTATCTCTTGCCAGCAAACTACATGTGGCTGAAGGACAACAAAACACAGATGGTCGTTTGCGGAAGCAGCAAAAATCAAATTGTGATCTATGATATTAAGAGATCGGATCGGATGCTAATAGAGCCGATTCCTTTATCGAGCCCGCCCCTTGCAATTGCCTCCTCGTCCAACAGCCAGCTTCTTGGGGTCGGGTGCATGGACGCTAGGATCCAGCTATTTGATATAATCACGGAATGGCCCAGTGCTTAGCTTGGCATTGTGGTTCCTTTATGTGAGGGGTGCACTCTTGGAGCTATTTGGACGCCTTGAGATACCCGGCTTTCAAGTAGAGTGGGACAGTAAATGACCCAGAGAGTAAAACACCCCGCTCTGGGCAAAGTCTAGGGTAGGATGGTCGACTAGGGTTCCACTTAGTGATAGCATTCCTGCGCTGCACAGGGGCGCGTCTAACTAAATTTACTCATCGTTATCGTCGTTGTCATCTTCGTCTTGGGATGTCTTGGCAGCAAAACGGCTTCCCCCCGCGGCAGGTGGGTTCGGCTTTCCTGCAGTCTCCTTTGTTATGTCCTTGTTGAAGTAAGCACTAGGCTGGGTCTCTCCTCTACCTTGCTTCAAGATGAACTCTGCAGAGTCATAGAACCTTCCCTTGGACTGGGCAATCCTGCGCAGCGCAGCCGCTCTATTGAAGGGCACCCCGGCCTTCTTGGCCTCTGCCTCCTTCTTGTCCATCTCGCGCTGCAGCTCGTCAAGGTCCTCCTGACTCGGTCTATCAGTCATCGTTTTTTACTAGAGAAATTACAGGCTAAAGAGAGCAGAAAAGGCCGAGGGTACATGCTGTGTCCATTTACTCAACAGAGAGGCTCACTTCTTCTGGGAGGAGTTGCGAGGAAAGCGCTTTGGTGGGGTGCGTATCTTGCGGTCCTCGCGGGAGCGGACTCGAACGATATGATTGTGGATGGAGCACGACACACAGTACTGGACCTTGTTGTAGAGCTTGGGGATGGCGAACCCCTGAATCACGCACGCGTTGAGGACATCGTCTGCAATAGTATTGTCCACTATATTGCGAATGGTGAATCTCTTAATTACTTTGTCCTTGGGAACGCAGCGGTGGCAGTTCTGACAGCGAACGATGTTCGTGTGTCCGCAGTTATATTTTGAGCGTCCGTTGTTGCGTCTTTTAACAGGCATGTCGCGAGTCCAAAAAAGAAAATGCAAGAAGTGGAATTAAAATTATTACGGGCGTTGTTTTTGCTTGCAGAGTGACGCCGAGACAACGCGGAGAAAACGTAGCATCAGAGAAAGGTGGTCGCTGATGATCTTCCAGTCACGGTCCAGTCATGGTACTGACCACAGATAAAGTGCTGCGCTGCACTTGTTACGACACTAAACTGTGTGGCTCAGGCGGTTCAAAATCAAACGGTTCAAAATATAATTATCCTCTTTACTACCCGTTGCTACATGCAGCAAGCTCAACAGAAGCCATTCATCCCAACCATCCCTGCTTATCAGGCGCTGAAGCTGGATGAAGATCTTATAAACAAGTGCAATTATTCTATAGAGCAGCTGATGGAGATTGCTGGCACAGCCGTTGCTCAGGCGACTACTCATTATATAGAGTCAACCTCATCGGTGTCTAAGGCTGGGGTGCTGGTCGTCTGTGGCCCAGGGAACAACGGAGGAGACGGCCTGGTGGCTGCTAGGCATCTCTCCTCTGGGTCCATGAGCAGTGCCACCGTCCGCGTATGGCTGCCTAAAGAACCAAGTTCCTCCGTGAACAAGCGGATGCTGTCTATTGCCAAGCATGCAGGAGTTGTTTTCATTAAAGACACCAATGAGGAGGCGTTGCACGCAATCTTGGAATTTATCAACTCGTGTGAAAGTTTTTACTTAGTAGATGCCATATTCGGCTTTTCTTTCCACGGAGGACCCATCAAGCCCCCGTACGACACAGTGATAAACACACTTCTGCAGATGCAGACGTCAATGGCCATCGGCCCCAAGACAAGGATCGTCTCTGTTGATGTTCCATCTGGCTGGTCCGTGGATGCACAGGAATGGGGGCTGAATACTGACAAGGAACTAATACCAGACGGCCTGCTTCGTCCTGACGCACTTATATCCCTTACGGTGCCAAAGAACTGTTCGCTGTGGCTACCTCCCGGTACAGCCCACTACCTGGGAGGCAACTTCCTGACTCCATTGCTTGCCATGGAGTATGACGTGCAAGAGATCCAACACTATTGGAGCGGGGTGTCGTCTCTCTTTGTAGTCCTGTCCTGATCGTTATTGGTTTCATCGTCTTTGTGCTCATACATTTGTACTGCGTGGACATCCGGCCTGGTGACGACAACGATAGAGAGGAATGCAACGGCTATCAGGACCGCTGTTAGAGTATCAGATAGGAAGTGGGCTCCTGCTGACATGCGTGCTATGATCATCAGAATAATTCCTGAGATCCCCCACACGGCAACAACCGTCAACAAGAGCCCCATGACTATAGATAAGATGGTGAGTCCCAGCAGTCTTGGCGCCCAGTATGCTCTTATGAGTTCAAACAGTTGAATAATGTAGGCAACGGAGGGGAGGATGCAATATGCAGCGGCAGCTGTGTGCCCGGAAGGTGTAGAGCTCAGGGAGTGACTGCACTGGCTCCTTCCCAGATAAGGTGTAAATATAGCTTTGAATTCATACTTGCACGTCTCCAGGAGGATGCCAAACTCGTGAGTGTTGCGTGGCCGAGGCCTGCGAAGCAGTACTTTTAGGGCTATAACGACGGTTTGAACCGTTATGACATAGAAGCAGAAAGATAGAGGAAAGTAGAGGTAGACACTTTTGTCCCGGGACCGCACAATGAAAAAGAGAATCCCGTAACAAAGCAATATGACGCTCAGAGGAAACAAAATGTATATTAGAGGATACGTGTTGATGAATGATATTAATCCAACATTGTAAGGATTGGAGACGTAGATGCCTTCACTATTTATTGCTGATGAGAATGCAGATGCCAACACCTGGTCCAAATTTGCCACACTCTCTCTAAACACATAAATAAAGATCAGCGTACTGAAGGACGCAACGCTTAAGACTATAGATCCCAGACCCGCGGTAGGTGAAGTCATACCGATCGGAACGTAATGAAGATACTGAATGCACGCCCTCACTACTAGTCTTTGCATGTATAGTAGTGTAGGACAAGATTTAAATTTGATAACATCACCTAGAGATGCAGGAGATGGAGAAGTGCATATATGTAGCTATCTGGGGGTTTACTGAGGCCAAAGAGAGCTTTATTAGCCATTTTGATAAAACCGCAGCACCCCTCATACTAAGGGATGACCTCGACTTTGTCTATCTGCCCCTTGAAAATAAGGACTACTCGATGATGCTCTTCAATCTGCCGATGCGTGCTACGATCAAGGACACAGCTATTCAATACGTTATACATATCGCCCATGCACACCTGCTCATCGAGCCCAGCCTGGAAATAGCCAAAGTTATACAAGCCTGCATGCCCCACTGCGACGGTTCTGGGCTTATTTACACATGGCATCGGCTGGACGCCGAGGCCTTGGGGCTTGAGCTGGTTACGGAGCCCAAGACGACCGAGGAGGCCGTCCAGCTCATGCACCTGATAGCCTCTAGAACCATAGAAAAGAATTTATTGCTTCCTCCAATCATAGAAGCGAAGCTTCCGGAGCCAATCAACAGAGACGTAGTCCCCGTGGATGAAATTCTAAAGGATAAAGACACGAAGCAACAGTGCAAGAAATGACCAACACTCGGCTCTGTAGGCACATCTGATATTACGTAGTACAGTAAATATGTCTGTTACTTCTTCGGATCCTTCTTGCCAGAGGGGGTTGTAGTGGTGGTGGTAAGCTCTGCGATCATCCGAGCCCTGGCCTTCTCAAGCTGAGTATTTGTAGCTGTCTCAATGACTCTAGCCAGGCGTTCTACGTCTACTTCTTCTTTCTGCGTTTCGCTCTCATCGTCATTAGCGCCGTCTTTCTCATCTGTATATGCCTCCTGTATTTGGTGGCGAATCTCTTCTGCTACTACTTCATCCTCGGTCTTTGGCGGAGGTGGTTGATAGAGTGTTGCCTCAGTGAGGCTCAGAGGAATGCTGTTGAATGGTAAAAGAATACGCTTAGGAAGTACCGGTTCAGGAACTGCTTCAACAACCAGCTGGCCTTTCTTGCCAGTGGCTCCCCCCTGCCGGTCTCCCCCAGCGGATGAGCGCGGCTTTGCAGTACTAGAAAGTGCCTTGGAGTCTGCTGCGTGTGAAGTCTCCGTTGTCGTTTCTGCGACAGCACCATCTGCTTCGTTCTCCGAATAGCCCAACTGGAGCAGCGACTGGATCTCTATCAAGTCCAGTGTTTTCTTGGTCTTTATTTCGAGCACAGGAACTGGGCAGAATAGATAGCGCCACAGCTTATAGTTATTTGTATATGAGAAATCGATGAACTCGGCCGTCGCCTTGATGACATCCATCTCAAAAAATGCTGTGTAGAATGGGGGGCACTCTAGTGAATACCCGACCAATCTTTTCTTCGCAAACTCTCGCAAATCCTCGTAGGATATAAAGGTTTTTGATATATTGAGCTCATGGAGGTCAACAAGAAGCGTTACCAGCGCGCAGGCGGCATCAGAGCTAGCCAGGTGAGTGCGGGAAAAGTCAAATGTGTTTAGAAGTAGCTCTTTTACAGCTGCATACTGCGTATCACCAGGTGCCGTGCGGAAGAAGTCGTAAATAAAGAGTTCTAGCTTCTCTTCATCTCCAGCGATTTCCTGGTATTCATGGGTTGTTATGTGCAGTGGGGACCGATTGGACATGCGCACGATCACCTGGTCTTGAAATTTTATTTGTTGGGCTCTCTTGTCGCCTGTCTAACTCACTCGACCCGCTCACAATGCTGTCCCGTCACATGACCTTAATGGGAAGTATGGTAATTTACATTCTTTTACTTGTGATCAGCAAGTTTTCAAGCAGAGACTTGAGGGCATGATCATCACAATCGCGGTCTATCATCCGCAATAGTGACGCCTGAGATTTGAGGGCTGTGGTTACCGGGTCAAACTTCGCCAGTTCCAGAAGGACTTTAGCGTATATCATCTTGTCCGAGAGCTGGTCGCAACTAGACATGCAGTCAACAAGGCTAATGACGCCTTCTCCTGAAACAAACTCCGTAGCTAACTCTTCATGGGCTAGAATAATCTTGGCAGACGCTACGGCCGCGCAGGTCTTGATGTCGTCTAGAACGCGAGCGTTCATAAGAGTCTTGCAGATGCAGCCAATGCACTTACTGAGGCTAAATGCATCATCAACTGTCTTGGCAATATGCATCATTGCAAAGAGAGACTTAGTAACTATAGCTGTCCTCCGCGTCTTAATAAGCTCTATTAGGCTGTCTAAGCATGTTTTGTATTGTTCAGAAGCCGTGGGTCGCGCCTTTATTAAATAACCAACAAATTCGCAGGACTTCACAATAAGCTCTTCTGATGACTCAAAGGAAAGAAACTGAATGATGGTGCTGGCAGAAATAGTGTTGCTTACTAGCTCGGCGTACTCTTGTGAGACTTGCACAGCTCTAAGAAGTAGAATTAGAATTTCAAGGATACACGAGTGAGGATTGTTCCGCTGACTTATGTTCTTCTGAGAAAATATTGCAGACAAAAGGTTCATTGAAACGCCTCCACTGAAGATAAATTGGTTAATCCACGGTATCACTATCGAGTCTTGGGGGTGCATTGCGAAGAAGACCATCGTCACAAGCGCATAATACAGTGTGTGGAAGCTCCTAAGGTAATACAATGAGTCTATAACGTGCTTGATGAAGTTGAACTCCAGCAACACAGATGAGACGTACTCTGTCATGTAATAGCGATCTGGATCATAGACAAGACGGGCCGTGTCTGTGTGCTTGTCCTTTTTAGTTGTGTTAGTAGTCCTTTTGAGTTCCTCCATCCTGTCTCCAATCTTCTCTGTACTGGGACGGCATGACAAATAGACGATTTGGTATATGGCTAACAATGCGTATCGCATCAGAGTCTCTGCAGCTCTTTGCCCTCCTCCAAACTGATACGGACAGAGTATGATGTTGTCGAGTGATTGTGGAGAGATCGCTGCACACAAGGTCCTCACAACTTCTGGCAAGGGGTAGGACATGTACTGATTGAACTCATCGATGGAGCTTATAGCCGTCCACCCAGCCGAGTTATAGTTGACGTCGCCTGGAGGGTCAGTAAGACCAGATACGCGTTTGTTGGCCAATAAAGAAAGCGTGTTCCGTACTGAGATAATGTACTTGATGAGGCCCTGTGGGGATGCAAGAAACCGCCAGTGCCAATTAGCGTTGGATATTTCCTGATTTCGGCCCTCAAGCCCTCCTAAGTCATACCTCCGGGTATCTAACCCAAGGCAATCCGCCATGCAATCGCTGCAGTTGTTGATTAAACTGCACATAAGAATCCCATTGTAATGCGTCGATCCAGGCCCTAAGTAAGTAGATATGATTGGGTATCCTGTCTCAGACTTCTGTTCATATAGAACTGCTGGTTTTGTTGAGTAGCTTCCTAACTTGAGCGGTGTCTTACCGCGTGCGGTACTACGACTAGTAGTAACCTCCGGAAGATCATGTTCATTAGCATTGGGTGTATGGGCTCCATAGCTCGGCGGACGACTTGTCAGCTTCAATGATTGACTAGGAGTCAAGATGGGAGTCTTCATTTCTGCTGGTCGTGCAGATAACAACGGTGTTCCCAAAGAGACGGTAGAGGAGACGCTGGTGGCAGTCGATTCTTCCTCGCCCAAAATTGCACCGTGGTGGGGCGCAGCATATGCGGCACAAAAGGCAGCTTCTATAGAGTTGTATAGAGAGAGGTTCAAATAAACTGATAGCTTCACAAAGAGAGGCAAGACGTCGATGTGTTCCTGCGCTAATATATTAATGTAGTTAAGTGCGCTGTCCAAGAACCCCACGTAGTTATGACATGGCATTAGAAACGCCCGAAAGCTCGGCTCCACAAGCACATAATCCAGGCTAGCAAATATGGCACGCGAGATACCAATGCAATCTGCTATTACTCCTTCCCTAGATTCCGAGGCAAGAACGGAATAAACTGTTGAATTGTGCGGCTGTTTTATTGAGATGTCCTTGCAATGCTTGAGGATTGGGGTAATAGCATCAATGCACGCATAGAATACTGGAACGGGGACTTCCAACTCTAAATAGTTATTAATAGAAGGAACTTCTATTGCTGTTCCAGTGGATAAATAATAGTACGAGCGGCGTAATTGCCTGACGTTAAAGTCTATGTGAACATCGGTTAGTTTGGGGTAGTTGTATCTATCGAATCCTCCATCAAAGTCCGAGTGTCCATAGTCGATGATTCCGCCTGCCTTAATTAACTCCCTCATGATGCGCTCAACGCGGAGAGCGCCATGAGACAAGATATTAAAGTCTTGAGGATTGGAGCTAATAACGGCGTCGTCTTGAGCTTTTGTGTATACATCATCAACACGGCTGTAACTACTTCCGTTCATAATCAGTCGCGCTTCTGCCAGCGATTCCTCAACGCTACCTGCGAAGACACTCACGCGTCTTACTAGCGACAACAGAACCAAGTCTTTAATGGTGGACATGCTATCTGGCTTATAGAGCTTGACGAGGTATTCACTGTCCCTCTGCAAACAGTTCATGTTATACTCAAAATTGGAAGTTAGAAGCAAGCCAAATAGGCTCAAGCGAAGATCGTCCTCCTCACCGTGGGCTTGGAGCCAAAGACACGATATTGCCAACATCGTAATAACGCTAAGCTTTGTTTCGTCTTTATTCTCCGTGATAACGTCCGAGATCGGAAACGTTATCTGACTGAGGTTCCGAGCGTAATCTTCACTGCAAAACGCACAGTTATAGAGGGTCAAAAGGGCATTGACCCGCACATCTTCTTTATCTAAATAGTCCAGTTGCGCATTTTTATCAATAAGGATTTTATCTGTTCCACCTTCACCCTGCTTCACATTCACATAGGCGCAAACCGGAAGGCCCTGATATAAATAGTCCGATGGGGGTATGGTGCCATCCGTTGATGTAGCAAAGATAACGTGGATGTCGATATATTTCTGGACAACTACGTTTGAAATCTGGTACATCTGCACATCATTCTCTGTGGTCAGTACCAGAAGACCGTTCAAGAAGGCCTCCTCCACGACCATTCGGATGCACTCAGAAAGGATCATATAGGTTGAAACGAGATTGGCATTGGTCTGGTAGAGAGAAAACGTAGAAAAGGGATCGCTAGAGATCTGGATGGAGAATGGGTTTCCTGGAAGGCTCATACCATCAAAGATATAGCACACCTGAGGAATTGTGATGATAAAATGACCCCTTCTAGGAAGGTCTGCCTGGATGAGGAGCTTCACTAAAGTCTTAATATCGTTATCCCTTATGTCGTTCAGGTTGATATCATCTCCGTTAGGTATACCGGACTGCTGGAACCGTCGCTTTAAGTATAGAGCATGGTGGGCCAGGGGAGACGGGTCCTTGCGGGAATATGTGTACAGCGGGAACAAGTATTGAAAGGACGGCGCAAAGATATGCTTTAAGAACCGGAAGGAGTTCAGTTTGAGAGACTGTATTTCCGCCAAGACAGTCCTTACAAAGCTAGTAAAAATAGAGTCCACCGTCTCTGCATCGGTCTGTAGCTTGTTTTGCATTTCAATCACGGAACCGCGATGAAATTTCTTGGATAGCTGCGTTTCTACAAACTCTTTTTCTGCTACAATCCGGCGGAACTCTTCCCGAGACGAATTCAGTTGCCTAAACACTTCTTTCTCATCACTCTGTATGTACGCAAAGGGAAGGAAGCAGTAGCACATAGCTAGTTGCTTCTTAAAGGTGTTAAGGTACTCTATCAAAAAAGTGTTCTCAGAGTTCAGCAAGATAGACATCTCGGTCTTGCTCCGCCCACTCACCATGTTATTAAGCTCCACAGCTGTCGAGCCGTGGTATGTCTCCACAGTGATTCCGGCCATGTTCGACCCTTTCGAGACCTCCAGATTAAAACAGTACGGCTCTCTGTAATAGGCATACAGAGCAGATAGTTTTCCTGTAGAAAGCATTTTTGCAGGCATCCTGACTGTAAACATGTTAATAATAGCCTGATGGTTCTGCAAAAGTGTTTGGCGCAAATGAAGAAGAATGAGCGCGAATTCTACGGTTGGGTAAATAGCAGAGACGGGCGTCAATGTATGTGGATTTATAGACTGATTCATTCCAGCCATGCTGGTCGCTGCTAGACTCACTGTCATACTTCCGGCACGGAGCATATCAAAATTGGATCTGAGACCATGCGCATAACCGTCACCACTGGCTCCCTTGCCTTCGCGCGGGGTGGAGGGGTTGATCTTGGTTTGGCCAGACAGCACATCTCCTACGGCTGTTTTCCCAATTGTCTGACCGAGAGAGGGCATGGTATACTTGAGGACGCCTGACGATGACGAATCTGCCGAAAGAATAGGGAGGTTGAGGTTTTTTATTATTGTCGCTATAGCTGCTTGCATAGCGTTGTTGGGGTCTGTTTGAGAAACCGCATCTGCTGCTTGAAAGAGAGTTTGTAAACAGGTGGTTGTGTAATTGTTATATATTGTGATGTAGCCTTCATCCAGCTTGATGCCATTTTTGAAATTGATGAGCCGCTTGAAGATAACGTAGAGACGAGTGAGCAATATGGGATAGTCACGGGAGCAGCGTCCGGAAATAAGATCAACGAATCGATTAATATACGCCTTAAAGTTTTCGCTGAGAAAAATCCCAACATAGCTATACTCATCTTCCCCAAATAAATCTGTGCTAATCACTGTGGCCTTCTCAGAACTAGTAAACTTTTTAAAATACTCCGGCAAAAACCTGAATTTGTTGTAGTCACGTGTATCTATCTGACCGAAGAGGCTGTTTCTAATATTAACATCGTAGCGCACATCTATTGTCCTGAGCTTGAACCCGTCGTTCCCAGACCCCTTCTTCACTTCGTCGCCACCCGAGCCCATATCAGCATCGGCATAGTCATCTGTGAGTAGGTGTTCTAAACCTATCATGCGATTTCCCGAAGGGAGATAGAGAACATACTCCTGCATTAAGAACTGAACACTTGATTGAGCAGTGGTCCCCATGCAAAAAGAGACATTGATACAGTAAAGAAGGCACTTGATTATAAACGACTCAGTTGACGTCTCAATAACACCAATGCTTTTGGAGATGATTGTGTTGAAGGACTCAAATAGCTTTTCAATCGTGCTTGTGGCAGATAAAGTGTTGATGGCTGCAGCCACTATGTGTGCCCTCCTGGTAAGCACAGGCTTGTCCTCCGCCTTAGAGGGGAAGACAACATCCTCTGCCTTAATGTACATGTCGTAAGGGAAGGACACTATTTGACCAAAGCTTATCGGAACATTCCACGTGAACATACAGCCGAAGCATACAGCAGAAACCCGCAAAAGAAGAACGATTGAAATGACATCTGTTTGTGCAAGATTTGTCTTGGAGATACAGCGCAGAGCTGACTGTATCAGTTGGAGGAAAGTGCTGGAGGATCTTACAATAAGGAATGCCATGAAATCTGCCACACGGTAGAATGCCTCTTCCTTATCTCCGGGGTGCGAATGAATGTAGGCCAGTATGCGGTAATAGTCTTTTTCAAGATTCCGTGAGTCGGCGTTGTGAATGTGCGAGGAAACAACCTCTGACGTGAAGATGGCCTCTGCCTGATTAGAATTGATGGATAAAAGGGCCATTAAGGCTATCACAATGGGTGGAAGGTCATGAGCAGAATTAATCGCCTCGTTGATCGCATCGATGAGCCTATTGTCATAGAAATTATCCGCATACTCTTCTGTGAGGGCACCCTGTTCGACAACCTCAACCACAGCCTCTGTGTTAACCGTAAGAAGGATGGATTGAAGAGCACTTTGCTGTTTCATTGTCCGGAGCAAAGCGAGCCAATCTTTAAACTTGTAAGCGTCATTAACATGCTTAGCCAATCGTATAGCAGAGCCCTCGTTGAGAAACGGATGATCTAGCATCTGCTTGGAGGCCCAGCGCTTATCGGGGTTACGCTGGAGCATGCACTCGCAAAAGCTCTTGAAAAGAGGCTCTCGCGCAAAGATAGGATACTTGTCATACGGCACCTTGTTGGAGTCGTCCTGGAGGATGCTCATGAGAGTAAGAAAGTCAGTAGCAGTGAACGGGGTCCTGCCCGTGGCCAACTCAAAAATCATCACGCCAAATGCCCACATATCAGAGATTGTATTATACTTCTTTCCTTTGGCAATTTCGGGGGCTAAGTAGAGAGGAGTCCCCTTGATAGACTGGAGAGCAAGGGTCTGCTGTGACATCTGGCGCGCAAATCCGAAGTCACAAAGCTTACAGACACCCTGAGATATCAAAACGTTCTGTGACTTGATGTCTCTGTGTGCAATCCGGCGGGAATGGAGGTATGTTAAAACATTAAGCAGCTGAAAGCACACCTTTTGAATAGTCTCAATATTAAGCGGCCCGTCGCTGGCAAAGATACTGTGAAGGTCGGACTGAGCCAACTCGGTGACGATGACAACGCTGCCATCCTCTTCAAAGGATTCAAAAAACCGAATTGTATTGGGGTGATTGATTTCCTTCAGTAAGGATATCTCTGAGTTGAGCGCTGCAAGTTCGGAGGATGACTTGCCATAGGTTGATATCTGCTTAACGGCTACAAACTGCCCTGTCTGCTTGAGGCGACACTTGTATACAACGCCAAATGAGCCCTTCCCTATCTGGGCAATCTGTTCGTAGCGATGCATAGAGGTGAAGGAGGCTGGCCTGCCCCGTCTTTGCCCAATTAATTTCCATTTATTTTTCCTGCCCTCTATGAATTTGAAGTACTTTATCCTGCCGGAAACGACGACAGTGGCTATGCACACATCTACTTTTGTCACACTCCATGGAGTGCATCACTGGACAGTAGCTTGCGAGGACTCCAGAGATATTCTTCCCCTAGCATTTAATTTTATCACCAGCTGGTTGCGAACTAACCCCCAAGATACGCTCATTTTAGCTAGTAGCATGCCGGTGGAATACATATGCAGGACGCCGTCTTTTCTTTTTTTCCAAGACAGCGATATATTTGCAGAGCTACGTACCCGGTTCTCCATCTTCTACCTGGACAGCTACGAGTCATTTGTCTCCAAATTCTCTAAACAGTGGAAGCGCCCCATCCAGTGTCTTGTTCTATACGATCCTGTCCGTTTGACTCATGAGTATCTTGCCTCCCACCAAAAAATACTCCTGGGGACCATTCTTGCTGTGTCTGCAAGCAAAGTTCTTTTTTCCACAGCATTTGGCGGGCCAGAACTTCTCTATATGCGCCCCAATGCGGTGTTGCTCAGGCGAAGGCTCAAGCCACACGGAGTCAGCATTCTACAGATACATCACACAACAGAAACGGATTTATATGACAATAAGGGTGCACTACTAGTGATGTCTCCGCGCGGACTACTTACGTGTCACGCTATTGTATTGCAACTGGACCAATATTTGGCAATTTTGAAGTTCAAGCGATAGATTTAGTCCATTCTCAATAGAAAGATTCTTTTAGACAGTCTTGATAATCAGGTTTATTCTTCCATAGCTTAGTCTTGGTGTGAGATATTATCTGTATATCCACTATGACCCGTCTGTTGTTAGCTCTCACGATTATCCGAACCTCCTCAGGTGTTAGAGTCCCGACCTCGTTCTTCTGAATGGCCTTGCATATATCATCAAAGACGACAGGCGCGCGTCCCACCGCCTTGTACACAAGGGCAGACAGCTTGGAGAGTTCGTCATCGCTGAACCGGCCGGCCAAGGACGAGGAGACGGCGTCGCTGGCCCGGGAAAGCTCCTTTGGGAAATAGTATCGCGCCTGCTTTTCCTGTACCGAGACTATCAGCTGCCGTGTTTCGAGCTTCTTCAGTGAGTCGGCGACGTTTCCTGCGGTGTAGCCCCGCCTCTGCAGGACGTCCTTCACCTCAGAGGCCGTGATTCCACGTGTCCGGGCCTTCAGCGAATGCATGCATACGACGACGTAGACATTCCGGAGATCCGTTTCCTGTAGTCCTGCATAGTTCTTCTTCATGGTTTCTGAAAGCTTCACGTCGGGGGGCATTGGTTTTTTAGAACAGGTAGTGGAGAGGCACAAGCGTGGGCCCTGGACGGTAGCGTGACGACCAGTACTGACACAAAGGCCTTCCAGAAGTTGTGTGGCATTCGGGAGCCATAGGCTGTGCAGGGCGTTGATCTGGTGTCTTGAATGATTGCGCACGCCAGGCTTCTTCAATTAGAATGGTTACTAACATTACAGCTTTCTGCTAGTCGTCCTTTGCAATCCTTCCGTGACGGCCTTCATCTGACGCTCTATACAGCTACTCACTGCGGTGATCTCGCAAACCACGTGAAACATATCTGTGCTGCAGTAGAGCCCACCTAGACTACTCCAGACCAGAATCGCCTTGCCTTGTCCTCAGCTCCAGCGACCATAGGCTTTCCCTAGAAGGCCGACGCATCCTTCCCTACTATCGTGCAGCTGAGGATCACATCGGGATACAGCTCTTGTTCTAAGGAAGAGCCGAGCTGCACTTGTCCTGTATACTTGCGCAGCACAGAGAACTCTACAAGTCGTGATGCTGGGTCCCCTACTTTTCTTTTGTTTTGTCCGAGAGTGATTCCATGCACTGGTATGATCATACGGTAGTGGAACTAGTGCATCAAATGATTGTCATGAGCACTTAGTTCGCGAGTGCACTTCGAGCGTTGCCCGTAGGATATTATGATAGTTGATGCATTTACTAACTAAGTCACATCTAAATCTACGCCTTTCCTCTGCAGATGAACCACCAGCAGAGGAACCCAACAAGACCCCCCACGATAACGATGACTGCGACAGAAATGCCTGCGATGGCGCCTGTGCTAAGACCGCTCTTGTTGACGTTTCCACCGGTACTGTCGCCATCTTTCATGAGGTAGCAGAGAACGGGGCCAGTATTGCTAGGTGGAGGGGCGCAGTTTAAGCAGCCCTTGACGCCAGTGATCCCGTTGCTATCATTTTCGCAGGATGTGCAGGCGCCTTCTAATGCAATCTTGTAGTATCCTGTGGCGCACGTCGTGCAGGTGTTTGCAGCATTGGCGGCTGAGCATGTCTTGCAAGTAGGATCGCACGAGGGGCAGGTTCCAGCACCATCCGGACCAAGACTATTGGTGCATGTCTGGCACTTTCCTTTGTTATCAGTTAGTGCACATACCTGCTTCCCAGGCTGTCTCGTTATTTCATAGCACCCGCCTCCCTGGACGAAGTATCCGGCGGCGCAGACCGTGCAGGCACCGTCAGCGGCAGTGGTGCAGAACTGAGTCCTGGCCGCATTGCTTGTGCAGACGCCATTGAGCGGCACGTTGTTCCCCTTGCACTTCGAGCAGTACTTGGTACCTCCAATTGTTAGGCCGCATGTCTCGCACTCCGGGCCCTCCACGCATTGCTCCACGCACTGGCCGCCCTCATTAAGCTTGCTCTCGTCGGCGTACCTCAGCATCTTCCCGGCGGGACAGGCCGTGCACCTGGAAGCGCCGGCCCCGCTGCACTCCGCACAGGAGGGGTCGCAGGGCGCGCACGTTTGCCCGGATAGATACGTTCCGGCAGGGCAGTCGGTGAGACATGCCTTCTTCGTCGGGGTCAGATGCTTGCCTGGTTCACACGCGTCGCAAGTCTGCTTGTCCTGGGAGCACGTCTGGCAGTTCACGATCGGGCACTCGGCCGGCGCTGAGTTGCACTCCGTGTTACCCTCGTTGGGCACGAATCCCTGCTTGCACGCCACGCAAGTCTGCTTGTCCTGGGAGCACGTCTGGCAGTTCACGATCAGGCACTCGGCCGGCGCTGAGTTGCACTCCGTGTTACCCTCGTTGGGCACGAATCCCTGCTTGCACGCCACGCAAGTCTGCTTGTCCTGGGAGCACGTCTGGCAGTTCACGATCGGGCACTCGGCCGGCGCTGAGTTGCACTCCGTGTTACCCTCGTTGGGCACGAATCCCTGCTTGCACGCCACGCAAGTCTGCTTGTCCTGGGAGCACGTCTGGCAGTTCACGATCGGGCACTCGGCCGGCGCTGAGTTGCACTCCGTGTTACCCTCGTTGGGCACGAATCCCTGCTTGCACGCCACGCAAGTCTGCTTGTCCTGGGAGCACGTCTGGCAGTTCACGATCAGGCACTCGGCCGGCGCTGAGTTGCACTCCGTGTTACCCTCGTTGGGCACGAATCCCTGCTTGCACGCCACGCAAGTCTGCTTGTCCTGGGAGCACGTCTGGCAGTTCACGATCGGGCACTCGGCCGGCGCTGAGTTGCACTCCGTGTTACCCTCGTTGGGCACGAATCCCTGCTTGCACGCCACGCAAGTCTGCTTGTCCTGGGAGCACGTCTGGCAGTTCACGATCAGGCACTCGGCCGGCGCTGAGTTGCACTCCGTGTTACCCTCGTTGGGCACGAATCCCTGCTTGCACGCCACGCAAGTCTGCTTGTCCTGGGAGCACGTCTGGCAGTTCACGATCGGGCACTCGGCCGGCGCTGAGTTGCACTCCGTGTTACCCTCGTTGGGCACGAATCCCTGCTTGCACGCCACGCAAGTCTGCTTGTCCTGGGAGCACGTCTGGCAGTTCACGATCGGGCACTCGGCCGGCGCTGAGTTGCACTCCGTGTTACCCTCGTTGGGCACGAATCCCTGCTTGCACGCCACGCAAGTCTGCTTGTCCTGGGAGCACGTCTGGCAGTTCACGATCGGGCACTCGGCCGGCGCTGAGTTGCACTCCGTGTTACCCTCGTTGGGCACGAATCCCTGCTTGCACGCCACGCAAGTCTGCTTGTCCTGGGAGCACGTCTGGCAGTTCACGATCGGGCACTCGGCCGGCGCTGAGTTGCACTCCGTGTTACCCTCGTTGGGCACGAATCCCTGCTTGCACGCCACGCAAGTCTGCTTGTCCTGGGAGCACGTCTGGCAGTTCACGATCGGGCACTCGGCCGGCGCTGAGTTGCACTCCGTGTTACCCTCGTTGGGCACGAATCCCTGCTTGCACGCCACGCAAGTCTGCTTGTCCTGGGAGCACGTCTGGCAGTTCACGATCGGGCACTCGGCCGGCGCTGAGTTGCACTCCGTGTTACCCTCGTTGGGCACGAATCCCTGCTTGCACGCCACGCAAGTCTGCTTGTCCTGGGAGCACGTCTGGCAGTTCACGATCGGGCACTCGGCCGGCGCTGAGTTGCACTCCGTGTTACCCTCGTTGGGCACGAATCCCTGCTTGCACGCCACGCAAGTCTGCTTGTCCTGGGAGCACGTCTGGCAGTTCACGATCGGGCAGTCGGTTGATACTGATGTACGGTGAGCTTGTGTCACTGTAAAAACTAGGAGAAATCCTACCAACATTAGCCGGGTTAGTATGCCACTGCTCTTCCGTCAGGCTGGTGTGTTGCCGCGAGCAGTGAGAGACAGCCGCTCTTGCTCTCTTGATCGGTTGGACTGGAGAAGGACGAGATAGGAGCACACCCACCGGAGGCCAGTTGATAGCGCAGTTCCCCCTGGCTTCAGTAGGAACAGGACCAGTGAGGGACAGACTCAGATCGCACCTCTCTTGTGGAATGATTGGTCGGGGTGCACTCTTGTACATTGCTGTGGAGTATTCGTTGGCTTCCTCTGCAGGGGCAGGGCGTCCCGGTAGTAAATGCGTCACATTACATCTGCTCGCTCCATGGCCTCTGCGGCGCTATTCTATAAAGCTGCTGATTAGAGATCTCTAAGCGAATGCTCTCACTGGTCACAAGAGGGCAGAAGATAGACCCCCATAACTTTCGCTTCTCATCTGACCACCACGAGCCTGTTGCTTTCCATCCACGCCTCTCTTCCCCCGGACCGGCCTCGTGCTCCTTCGTCCAGCGCACCATAGTGGAGTACACAGCCTCCTGTGCTGCCTGGCCGCAGGGTCCGCTGACGTGTGGGCCTACTCGCCCCAGACCCCATTGCAGAGCCAAAGGCTTCAGCGGAGAGACGTGCTCAGGTGCACCGCCAGACAGTGTCTCGGCGCCCCGTGACCACCTGGATCCATCCCCGGAGGTAACAGATGCAGCTCCGCCTTATGAGGGGGAGAGCGCCGGCGGCTGACTCCGCGACTGCAGTGCTCCACGTAGGGACAGCCGGGCCATCCTCTGGCTCTCTGGACGGCAAGCGTGTGCCGAGAAGGAGGCGTCGGTGGACCGTGGCCCTCCACAGACTGGGTAGGTGGCCAGTGCCGGGGCTCGTCAACCATGGTGAGCTAGCTGATCGGGTGTCTCCCTACCGCATGGCTGGGACGTACAGAATAGCTCTGGACAGAACGCCAGACGCGAAGGAGCCGTCTCGCACAGGGCAGCCCCACGCTGCGGCCTATTTTCATTTAATCCCGCCTCGCTTGCCCGCGCCCCGGATGGCTCTTTCGTTCCAGTTCACCCTGTCGCAGACCCCCGAGGCCCTCACGGCCTGCGTGCGGGTCCCGGCGGGCGTGCCACCCCGGTCGCTCGAGGTGACGGTCACCGACCTGTGCATCACGATCTCTGCGCCGGAGCGCTACGTCTCCAACATAGACCTCTACGACGCCGTCCAGCTGGAGAACGCGCGCTGCAAGTTCAGCGGCGGATGCCTCGTGGTCCACCTCCTGAAGAAGACCCCGGGCACGTGGGCTGCGCTGGAGTTCGACGGGAGCCCCGAGGAGGCCGCGAGGCGCCGCGAGGAGTCCTATGCGCGGTATGATGCATACGTCCGGGAGCAGGCCAGGAGGGAGGCAGAGGCCGCGGCGGCCGAGAAGCGCAGGCAGGTCGACGCGGACATCGAGGCCCGCCAGCGGCAGGCCGGCGAGGAGCGGAGGATGCGCGAGCAGCAGGTCTCGGCTCTGCGGCGGCAGGTGGAGGAGGCCCCGGACGAGGCGCCGAGGCCCCCCGCCGACCCCGAGGCCCGGATGCCTGCGGTGCGCACGGAGAGCACGGTGGTCATCGAGGCGTCCTTCACGAGGCGCACGGTCGCCGTCCCCGCGCGCGACGGGCGGGACATCTACGCAGACGGGCAGCTGGGGCCGGTCGCAGGGGCTGCCCAGCATCCGCCCCCCGGCGAGGCCGACGTGAAGGCCGGCGAGCACCGGCGCCGCCTTACCCCGTACGAGCTCCTCGACCAGGCGAAGAGGCTCGCCACGCGGGGCGTCGGGGCAGACCTCCCGGCCGCCATGGAGCTCGCGGGCCAGGCGAGGGAGCAGCTTCCCCTGAGCATGGACGCCGTCGTCCTCTACGCCTCCCTCTCCCTGCGCGAGGGGCGCTACGAGCAGGCCCTCGAGGCGACGGACGCGGGCCTCACGGTTCTGGGCGGAAGGCACCCGCTGCAGCAGAGCAGGGAGCCCCCGGTCTACAGCAGGGAGCTCCGGAGCGCCGTCCACGCGCTGAGGGGGGCAGCCCTGGCGCAGGCGAAGCGGGTGCGCGAGGCCCTGGCCCACACCGAGGCTGCGCTCGAGCTCACCCCCGACAACGAGGGGCTCGCCCACGACGCCCGCCTGCTCCGGGAGATCGTCGCCCAGGTGCTCGCGTAGCCGCCCGTCTGTAAACTAGCCGGCCTTAAAAATCGCGGCCATGGACGGCGCCCCGCACCTGGTCTTCCACGCGCCCGTCGGAGAGGCGGACGCGACGACGGCCTTCGCCAAGCAGCTGGCAAACGCGTTCCCGGGCCGGCTCTCTGTCGACGTGACCTCCTCCCTCTCGAGGCCGCTTCCCGAGCGCGCCCTGCTTGTCGTCTCTGCGGGGCTGGAGACCCTCAGCCAGGCAGACGTCCAGGCGATCAAGGGCCACAGGCGCTCCGGCGGCCCCGTGCTCGTCATGGTCGCCGACGCGGCCCGGACCCGCTTTTCCGAGCACGCCGAGAAGATGCTCAACGAGCTGGGGATCTCGGGCATCAGGGCAGACCCCGTGATATCCTCCGTCCACACCCCCGGCCTGTACCACCCGACGCACCTGCTCCTCACCGCCTCGTCCTTCGTCTGCTCCTCGCTGCTCACCAAGCTGGAGAAGGCGCGCCCCGCGGCGGAGGCCCGCGACGTCTCCGTCGTCTACCCCTGCGGGACGTCGTTCGCAGTCAACCCGAGCCTGGCGGCCGTCGTGCTCTCGTCGGGCGACAGCGCGTTCCCGCCGAACCAGCCCGTCGCGGCCGCCCTGCGCGAGGACGGCGCCGCGAGGCTCGGCCGGTGCGTGGTGCTCGGCACGTCGCGGATGTTCGCCGACGGCTTCCTCGCGAGGTTCGACAACCGCGCCCTCTTCGAGCTGATCCTCCAGTACCTCCTGCGCCACCCGGACGCGCCCGCCCTCGCCTCTGCCGCAAACGTGAACGAGTCCCTCCTGGGAGGGGCCGAGGAGTCCGTTTACATCCCAGACACGCAGACGGTCGCGCTGAACATGCGCGCCTGCCTGCACGCCCCCGACGCGCTTCCAGACGACTTCACAGACCTCCTGGACACCGTCCCGTCGGCGAACCCGAGCATCCTGCCGCAGGTCTCGGCCCTGTACGAGAAGATGGGATTCAGCAGGTCAGAGCCCACGCTGAAGCTGGTGAACCCCAGCTTTGAAAAGCCCACGCCGCCCCTCATCCCGGCGGTCCACTTCCCCGTCCTCCCCGACCCGCCCGGGGCGCCCCTGCTGGAGCTGTTCGACCTGGACACAGAGCTGGCCAGCGAGCAGACGCGCCTGAACAAGCTCGCGTCCAAGTGCACAAACAGCGACGTCGAGTTCTTCCTCCGGCAGGCCGGGGACCTCCTGAACATAGGCGGCTCGCCGAAGGAGATCCTGTACCACGTGCTTGTCTCCACGGTCAACTTCAAGAAGGGCATGGCCGGCAAGTGAATGGTGCCCGCGGGCTCAGTAGTAGTAGACGGCATACAGGTTGGCGATGCAGATGATGTCGTCGTTCTGGTACACGTGGCGGAGCTCCGCGTCGGCGTCGGCGTCGAAGTAGCACTTGTTCTCGCTCCGGATGCCTTGGCCCTTCTGGCCGATGATGGTCACGGAGACGCAGATCTTGAACCTGCTGTCCGAGATGAGCCGCACCTTGGCCCGGATCTCGTCTGCGAGCTCCTTGGACACCTTGGCGCAGTCCTCGGAGTCGTACTGCCGCCCGCGCAGCCGCCTCTCCACGATCTGCTTCATCTCCTCGTGGGCCTTCTGCCGGTCGAACCTTTTGGTCGGCGCCGAGGGACGCACAAGCTCTATAATGCCTAATCATATCAGCCTCTGAGGTGAGTAGTGGTGTATAAGTCTGAGCTCAGCTTCTGAATAACAGCCCCAGCCCTGCCTTTCTGTGTTGCACACAGATCTGAACATCAAGCCAGGACAAGTGAGCAGGCACACACGGAGGGGCGTTCCACACTGCAAGATAAAAGCAGTCATTCTCTTGCTGCATCTATTAGTAAGCCAATCGATAAGTAACCAGTCTGCATGTTCTCCGAAGTAGTGATGTTGTAAGAGATTGTCTGAATAACACTTAAGTGCTTATTCAGTCGTCTTGGATTGCCTTCAGAGTTAGACTCGTAGTCTGCAAGGATGATTACACTTATGTTTAATAGGACAGGAGTCTCAAGGACACATGTGTCTGGACTTGTGGAATCACAATCACTACACCCAATCACTCAAGATTGGGACAATCCTTTATTAAACAAAAATGACGAGGAACGCTGCGTTGTGTAATGAGGTAAGCGCCTTCGTTACTGTTGATGATTTGCTAAGCTGCATGGGCACCGAACTGGGAAAGGGCATACATGGTTCCGTGTTTGCAATTAAAGGTCACGACAATTTGGTATTCAAGGAGGTTCAATATAGCACACCCAATGAGCCAGTGGTCAAGCAGATTGAGGACAGCGACAAGCTTGTGCAGGCTATAAAGCATGATAACATTGTAACATGGCGCAAAGTCATCAAAGATGATAAGTGCATTTGCATTGTCATGGATCGTTATGACTGCTCACTGGATGTTTTCTTGAGGGAGCGCCGTCATAAAGGTGTGCCAATGGACGAAGACATGGTTCTTGATTTTTCCAGGCAAATTTGTTCTGCCTTTGCATACATTCACAACTTGAACAAAGAGCTACCTAATGGGCTGCCTATTTTGTCAGTTGTTCATGGAGATGTTAAGCCGGCTAATATCTTGGTAGCTGATCAGGGGAAAAAGTTTTCCATTGCAGACTTCGCATTTGGCGATAGAAATATGGCAAGTTCCGTGGCCTACTATGAAGCTCCCGAGGTGCGCAGTGGGGGAGCCCCCACATCTGCATCAGACATGTGGAGCATTGGTGTTATTCTTTATGAGCTTGCTGTGGGAAATATAACTATCATAAGAACCATCGACTTCACCAAATGCAATAGAGATTTCCAGCTTAACCTCAATGCAGTTACCTATCCATCTATCAGGGCCATCATTAGTCGCCTCCTTGTCTTAAATCCTTCAAGCCGCATAACGGCGAAAGAGCTCTGTGATGTGCTGGCTTCAAAAGATGTTGCTACCACACTTAGTATTAGACACCTAGGCGACTCAACTGGACTGCACGACAAGATGCTGAAGACTTTGATGGAAAGAGTCGCGTCTCTTGAGAACATCGTTGCCAAACAAGCAAGCCAGATTGAAAGTCTTCAAAAGAAGAACGAGGAATTAAGGAATGCTGGTCCTAATTCAAGCGACACTGTAGCAAATCTTGCCTTTGTCAACCTCATGACTGCAGTCCAGAGTAACAATATCGAAACTGTCAGAATGATCTTGAGCAGTGGAGTTAGCATGGGAAAACAGGACAATAAAGGAATGACTGCGCTGATGTATGCGGCAGAGGCGGACAGATTTCAGATCGTCGAGCTTCTTTTAGAGCACGAAAAGTGCATCCGTGATAAAAATGGATGGACTGCCCTTATGCGTGCTGCGCAGAAGAATAGCGTCAATTCGGTGAGACTCCTTATCAAGGTAGAAGCTGGAATGCAGAGCAATAACGGAAGGACAGCCCTTATGGAGGCGGTAGCCAAGAAGAGTCTAAATTCCGCAGTAGAACTGATAGAGTGTGAACACGGATATCAAGATCGCAGCGGATGTACGGCTCTAATGTATGCTGCAGAGAAAGGGCTCACTGAGATAGTCACCAGATTGTTGGATTATGAAAAGAGGAGGCGGAGTAACCGCCCTCATGAAAGCTGCTGCAAAGAACCGTGTCGATGTAGTGAATGCCTTGGCTGCATGTGAGGCTGGTCTGAAAAATAAAAAGGGTGAGACAGCATTGGAAATAGCGCGAGATCGAGGGTACTCAGAAGTAGAGGAGATCCTCATGGACTTCCTAGGCGAGACTGTGTGAACATCTCCTTTCTTTGCCAGGTTTTCTAGAAGGTAGCCCCCCACGTCTCCCTCCTGTGAAGCTGGGGCCGGCGCTCTGGGCAACTTAAAAATGTTTTCCGCCAGACCCGCGCTCCACAGGCAGGAGGACGGCCCTAGATACTGCGGGGTCACCACGCTGAATCCCTGCAGGTGCTGCGAGTGTCCCAACTGGGAGAGGCACGGGTGCCACTGCCCCCCGAACAACAACGTCACCCAGGACGACGTCAACCAGTACCTCGCCTTTGAGCGCCGCCGCATGGCCCGCCGCGCCCTCGACCCCGAGTGGCAGGCCATCGACCCCATCGAGAACGGCCGTCCGTGCATCGACCCGGGCTGCCCGCCGCGCAGCTTCTCCCAGTGCAGCCCCAGGCCTGGCTCCCGTGCCTTCGGGGAGGGCGCACTGGGATGCTGCGGCGAGGTCTTCGATCCAGACCACCCCTGTTGCGAGGCCTGTGCAGAGGCGCACAAGATTCCTACTCACGGCAAAGCGACTTCATTTCAGGACCATTCCTACAAATTAAACTATCCCTACAAGACACTATCGACCGTTCAGAAACAACAGAATCCGTATGGAGCGTCTAAGTCTGCAAGATATAGCATTAGTTCAGATGCATCCCCCTCTGAGGTGTACAAAAGTGCGTGCTCAGCACGCAAGTCTTATGTATTCAAAGTCCCCCGCAAGGATGATACCTATGGTCGATTTGTATGCATGAGTGGAAGGCCTCTTATATATTGCACTAACAAGTATGTTCCGTCTCTAGATGCCCATATTCAATGCCTTCCGCCCCAATTCCAAGGGCACCTACGGACATCTGGACACTATATGTGCTATATAGACCCTGCTGCAGGATCCAGATACGGTTTATCAGACCAAGGACAGACCCCGGAGATAAGGTCTGCAACCGCTTATCAAACTAAAGTACAAAACATGCAAAAGGACAATGACAGACGCCTGGCTGTCCTCAATGACCTAGAGGTTCGCCTTCGTGAAGGTGGAGTTGATTTTCAGGATACACGTCTACCAAACAAGGAGAAGACTCTTGAGATGCTTATGAGCCCTTCAGACATGCTAAATGTTGATAAACTAGGATCAAATAAGATCTACTTGCAACAGGAAAAGGACAAAGCTCTAGCCAGCTCCTGCACCAGACAGCGTGCAGGAATTGGTATAGGTGATGGTAGACATAATTGTCAGATCTATTCTCGCCTTGGTAAGTAAACAGACCTGGCCTATGGCTGACTACATAGGCTAAAATTAAAATGGCTCGAGTAGTGTCCTATGTGTATGTTTCTCCTTCCATCTAACACCCAGCATTGATAATAGCTCATACTCCATTAACGGGGACTTCTCTCCCACCGTCTTGGCCCAAGAGTCGGAAGCATGCCAATTTCTATTTGCACAAGATAACCATAGTAATAGCGAGTCTCTTGCATCTGTTGTTGGAATGGGGCGCAAAGCACGCCTTATCTGCCCGCTTACGAACGACCCTGAACACATTCGTGAAAGTGTTCTAAAGCTGCAGTCTGACAGCCTGTACCCGATTGAACCATCAGCCTTTTTGACAGCTATCCAGATAGCTCTCCTTTCTCTTCGTCACAGGCCAACCCAAACGATGGCGTCATCGATAGTAGCATTCGTTTACAGCCCCTTAGAATTAAGTGTGGATAAGGAGGACATGACCAATTTGGGCAGGGAGCTAAGCAGTGAAGCCATTGACATTACGCTCTATGTCTTTGGAGAGCATGCTCAGGCGAATGCACAGCTTTTACAGTACCTCGTGGATGCTTCGGCTGCAGGGAGCAATAGGATAAATGCGACCGTAACCCATATTAATGGGAATTCCCTGTATGACTTTGTCAATTCCTATGTCCAGACCCTCATGCTTGGAAACATGGCTACGGGCTACATCAATTACGACGACGATGAAGATGACATTGAGCTCCAGTTGGCTTTGCAGCTGAGTAGACAAGAGGCGGAGGAAGCTGCGCGTCGCAACCAGCAAGGTAGTGCAGAGCATGAGGATGCTGTAGATGCAGAGGCATCTGCCCCACCCTCTACTGACACTTCTTCTGCACCAACCACTTTCAAGGGAACAGATGCGCAGCCCTCAATTTTTGGTATAGAACGTGAAGATAGGCTTGGTCCGACGCAGGATGAGAATTCCATAAACTCAGACGATTTGGCAAAAGATCTGGACGCCATGGACGACTCTGACCCAAAGTAAAAGTAAACATCCCATACTGTTTCTGCCATATTAGCAGCCGCTTTATTTGGCTTTCTTTGGGCCCCAGTTAGGTTCTGGATTGGGCTTGAAGTTGGCCGGCCGATACTTTGTGAGTCCGTTATCAGTTTTCCATGATCTATGAAACCATTGTTGGACGTTCTGGGAGCTGGAGAAATAGTTTATTACGCAGATGCTGGTCATACTTGTTTGATGATATTGCGTATAAAACTGGCTGATGTCCTCCTTGTACCTATTGATTAGAGCACCCTTAGACGAATCGTCTAGGGAAAAGTAACGCTCCAAAAGCTCGCTTAGCACAGAGTCGCTCAATGATACAGGAACTACGTTGGCTAGCTGAAGAGTCTGTACAGGTTTGCTACTTCCTTGCAACACACAGATTCTGTGCCATGGGTAGAGAACGCCGAGGACAGCAGAAAATGGGGCGTCAGTCTTGAATCCTCCAGGTTGCGAGTGGGCAGGGCCAACACGGTAACCTAGCTGTTCCAGGGCCGCTGCCAAGTGCGCTGTGGAGAGTGAAAGTGATTTCAGATAAGATGTGATAGTGTTTGCACTGTAGAGGAGCGGTGGGAGCCCGCATTCTCCTTTTGCAAATGAGATATGTGCTGCAATATCACTGTAGCTGTGGAGGTCTTGATAGGTTGGAAGAGCCTCCTCCAATCTATTAAGAAACTCTTTATCATGGAGATCTCCAAGCCACATAGGGCCAGAAACATGCATACATGATAGACAGTATGGACATTTAGAGTCGGGTGCCAGAGGAAGAGCGAGCTTATCGCTGTCTGCTTGCTGCGTGATAAAGTAACTACAAGCCATGCAGTGATAAACAGTTCCCATAGCCTTGTACATATCAAGGGACTTGCACTTGTTCCTCTTGTTGACCAGGACGAAGACTCGTAGGTAATGCTTGTGGAAAAAGCTAAGGAGTGGCGTTATAGAGGCACGACGCCGAGCCGCCTCCTTAGCAATGGCACCCATAACAATCCGGATACTACCCTCGTGGGCCCACACTCTTCCGGTAGCTGGCGCAGCGTCGTACCTGATAAAGCACTCCTTGCACTGCTTCCTGCATGTGATAGCCCCGTCTGTAGCTGTTATACAAAGAAGGCCATTATGGGAGCACGCATCCAACGCAGCTGGAAGAAAGGGTGTCGGGTGCCCGTAAGGGTCAATGTCTATAACTGCTGCTGGCATCCGGGAGTGGTGAAGGTCCTGCAGCTTCCTGTTGGCGTCCATACAGGAAATCTCGAAGGCTACATCTGGAAGGGTTACTGGGTTGGCTTCGTGGTTCATTGCTATATCAGCTGTGGCAGCTGGAGATATGTCAACTGCGATTATGTGAAGAGGGACAGTCACATGGAGCTCCCGGGAATACCGTAGTGCCCTAAGACCAGAGGCAGAGAGACAATCTATTATGATGGCTTTCTGAACTGTAGACTGGTCATGAATGTGTTGTAGATACTGATCAACCACCAGCAAAGAGATGTCACGATTAAAGATCTGTGTGGGATTGAAAAAGACCTGGCTAGGGTTATAGGTGAAGGACACCGTCCCTTCGGTATGTGTCGACGATTGCAAAGCTGCGTGTGACTTGTCGAGAAAGTCCTGAGGCTGGTCGTTCATTTTATGCCCTACAATTTACTGGTCTGGAAGTGCTTCAAGTAGCCTCGTGTATCGCTCTGTTAGCTGTTTGTAGACCTTTAGCCCTCTTTCCTGAAACGCTCTGACGGCCATAAGAAGATTCCGTTGGTGATAAAGAAAGCCTCTGTCCCTGAGGCCGGTTTCAAAAGCGTTTCTAACAAGTTCATACCCCTGCTCCTGCTCTGCACTTATCGTCATCAACTTGGCGTGGTATTCTGTATGAATTGCCAGTGCTTGATAGAGAGTCCGGATTTCTATTTCTAGCTTTTCTAGATTACTTCTCTCGTCTTCTATTTGCTCTACAGCCTCTGCAATGCATTTTTCTGACGTCCCTAGGGAATCAACATCTGTCTGAACCTTGGTGCGCTTATCTTCAATGCTGATTGCTGTTGTTTTCATATCGGCTTGCATTGTATCTATCTCTGCTAATAAGCCATTCAGTTCATCGTTCTTGGCATTGAATTCGTTGAGAAACTGCTCGTAAAGGTCCTGTGACATCTTCTCAAGTGAGGAATTTTGGTCCTGAATCAGCTTGTTGTACTCAGCGTGCAAACGCGCGCTTTCGTCGTTCTTTTCGTGGAGAATACGCACCTGGGCATCGTATTCCGCAGCAATTTTGTGGTTCGCCATCTTGATCGTGTTCTCCTTGAGCTTGTTATTAAGGAACTCCTTCTCCAGCTCCTTCAGCTTAGCAGTATGTTTTTCCAGAAGATGCTGTTGATACTGTGCATAGGCCAGTAACTCTGGATCCTTGCATGTCTCTGGAGTGACTTTCAATGACATTAATTTTTTGGTGCAGAGATGTGTGCAATAAAAGACCTAGCGCCATGTCCTACAGGGTAAAGCTGTCGTCAAGGTTTATGTCTGGGTTCATGCTTGCATCGTTGAGGATAGCCACGAGCTGAGAAAGGTGGATCTTCTCGGGCTGAAAATCGTCAATGGAGATCCCCAGAGCCTTGCAGAGATTTTGCAAGATTGCACGTTGGCTCTTGCGATAAGCCAGCATCTTTTCTAGAGCAAGACAGATATTCTTTTCACGCTCAACAGGAGATTCCTGGGCAACGGCAATTTGAGCATGGATGAAGGTGAGCTCCTTCCGTAGAGCGGCAATCCTGAGCGCGTTATCACGGAGAATGCGGGGTATCTCCTTTACACGAGTAATGCCATCCAAGGCCTCCTTCTTGGCCTCTATTATTCTATTCAGCAGATCTTCCATTAGAATCGATTTTTTCAATGCGTTCACCAGCTGACCCCGCTGTCACTCGTCTGAGCGGATATGTAGCATATACCCTTGCAGGCTCCGGCATCGCAGGGTTCTGTGATGGTACATTACAGAGTTGCACCTTAGCAAAGCCTTCGCGCATAGCATATGACCAATCCAGAGAAGCCTTCTTCATTTTAGACCAGCAACTAGTCCATGGTCTTAGAGTGATAACTAAGGATCTAGGCGTGCACACGCTTTCATGGCGGCCCGACTGCGTTCTCCGTGCTCCGCGTAGCCTCGCCATTCTAAACAATATCCTCCTTATCGCGGACACTGGCAACGGGTCTGTGAAATATTTACTGTTAACTAACTACTTCAAACTAAGTCAGAAGCGTTCTACGGTCCAGTTCTGCTCGTCTACTTGTGGGGTTCTTCGAACGCTTTCATTAGACGTCACGCAGCCAGTGGACATTCTGCCATATTCTCCCACAAGCTTTTTAGTCCTTGATGCTGTCCAGCGATCGCTTAAGCTGGTTCTCCTTGACATTTTTCTCGAGCAGCCATCTGGAGAAGCTCTACTTGCCATCCAGGCAGTCGAAACTCTCTATGTCGGTGTTCTACGTCTTCCCAGTAATATGATTGATCTCTATAAGCGCAAATATCTATTAGTTTCTGAGAAAGCGTCCTTGGTGGTCATTTCACTTGAAACAAAAAGGGGCGTAAAGTTCCGACTCAAATGTCGTTCGTCTTCTATGTCCCAAGCTAGCGAGAGCAGAATGCGATCTAAGGATGAACAACGTTGTGGTCAAAATGTAAAGCCAGATATTCATCAATCCTATCTATCCGAGCCTGAGCACATCAGCGGACTTTCTGCGTACAAGATGTCATCTACTCAGACGATTATATTTTTAGCAGATAGCCATACACATATGCTATATTACGCCATTCTCGATTTGCAGTCTACTTTAGATTCTCTTGCCGAAGGAGCTCCAAAAGAGCCCACGGACGATCGCTACATAGACGTATATCAACTAACTAACCCTATGCGACGAAGTGGGTATCTGAATGGAGCGCTCAAAAAAGCAGAGTTTAGCAATCCTCAGGGTATCCTTGCATTTACATTAGATGGACAATTATGCATATCTGTTTGTGATACCGGAAATAGCGTCATCAGACTGATAGGGCCCGATTTCTTAAAACAAGAAAGAGAGCAGCCGGCGTATCTTCAAGTGCAAGCAAACAATCACGACCTTATACAAGGGAGGGTAAGAGCAGGAGCGGACAAGCATTTCCTTGCTCTTCGTAGAGTACTTCAGCAGACTAAGGTCCATAATATTAGCAGCGCTACCATAAGGAATACAGATAAGAACAATCGGGTGTGTGCATCAATAGCCCTGCCGGCCCCTCCGTTACTTAAAGAAAAACACGAACATAATAAGCAGATTTTGTACCATTACCTGACCAAAGCAAATGTAACCCATGCTATTGATGGAGACATGCACCTAGATGCGTGCAGGCTTGAAGATCTTGATGAAAGTGACACTCCAAGTCTGACAAGTGAGGACCCTCTGACAGCAGAGCTAGAGTCAATAGAGAAATCAGCAGAGACTATCGGGCACGCAGAACAAGCAAGAAGACCCTCATCAATCCATAAGACTCTACGTTCGTCTGGTAGAGCGAAGGCACATGCCGATGCATCTGTGCAGTATGAGTCAGAAAAGACGATCTCGACCGCTGACAGATCAACACAAGTGTTATCTGAAGTCGAACCTAAGCTTGGACAAGAATCTGACTCAAATCCAGACTCCTTTACGCCAGAATCACCAATCTCAGTTCAAGATTCACTGACCATTGATACAGAAATACCAGAAGTTCCTCCATCATGTTGTACCAGCGACGCGACAAAGTGGGAGTTCCAGATCATAGGACGCACATGGTTTGTTGTTCATAACTTTGACGAAAGCGGCTCCCTTGTAAAGCAGCTAGACGATCTTATGGATGAAAACCATTTGTTCGACATACATCAAAAGATAACGGGGCTTTCCACTGCAATCTTGGCGCAGAATGATAGCAGACTGATCAAAGATCTCTTGCAGCTAGCGTTTTTATTTTTCAAAAAATTTTCCAATCTCAATGAGTACATTACCCTCTATCAATCTCTTCCATTCCCAAAAAAATTTAAGCCGTCAATTAAATGCTTAATGCTGCTGCGGTGTATTTCGACTAACCGTCTGACCCAGCTCTCAGATGCTATGATAAATGAGATTCTTTTACCACTGACTGCTCAGGGTTGGTTCTCCTCCACTTCAGCTGATATAAACTATTTGAGCCTCCTGGGATGGGGCAACGGATGGGCGATGGTTCTTGCCATTAAGCTTCTGGTGAGAGATACTCCAGTACCACTAACAAGGCCACCTGAGAATAAACTAAGCGTACACACCCCGGGGCACACAATACAGTCGGCATTTGCTTTAGATCTCGAAGTCACCGATCCGGACTTCAGGCTCTCCGTTGCTGTCATTGTAACTGATGAAAGACTCGAAGGAAGGCAAGTCTTTGTTAAGGTTACAGATGGAATGGAGATTATGGCTCTAGAAAACTGCAAATTAACAAAAGTTCATAACCAGGAGCCATGCAGGCCTGTCTTATCTTCACATCTATCCTTGCCACTGACATCAGTTACTGACCTCATAATTAAAGTTTCGTGCGCAGATACAGTCATCAGAACACAAGTACCCATCAAGTCAATAGCAGAATTGAGTGACATTGCTATAGACAAGGGCCTGGACTCAGGTCTAGTCCCTGCATGGGCAGTCAATCTAATGAAGTATACACTTATCGTTAGTCAATAACAGTTTAATAGATTATGGAGACAGTGTGTTAAAGTCTGCGCCTGGTGCTTGCAGGCCAAAAGCCCGATTCTGCTCCTCGTGGCCCGCTAACACCCGATGGCTTGAAGTAAGTTCTATCGAAAAGTTCGTCGAAGGGGCTCTTTTTCTTGGGCACTGTTGTGTTCTGGGTATGAGGTGGTTCTACTGATAGACTGGATTTTGTAGTGCAACCCTTTTGGTGTCTTACGTATTCAGAAGAGTAGTCGACTGGAACGGCTGTAAAAGGTCTGACAACAGTTTTCAGCTGGGCAGAACTGAACGACTTATGCAAGGGACTGTCCAATATCTCTGGCTTGACCAATTTCTCCGAGCGTACCCGCATTGATATAGTAGGGGTGAACTCACGTTGATATGATGTCTGATGTGGTATAGCCTCGTTATATGCGGGTAACGGCCCCGGAGGCTGCAAGTAAGGAAGTTGGCGACGAAAGATGGGTGTTACAAAGGCCTTACTATTCCTTCTGTTCTCATACGTATTATCGTACCATTTCAAGTCCCTGGGATCTCTTCTGTGACTCAGGTGTTGTAGACTGGGAGCTGAACTGCTAAGATAGGCAGCGTTCCAAGCCGCAGCAGAGTCAGTGCTATTTCGTGGGATTTTAACGATAGGGTCCAAGCAGCCGTGATTTCCACAGATGCATGGAGATGAGCCTATACGACCCAAACCATTCGAAGAATCCATACGCTTGAGCAGAGGACTCCAAGGGGTCGATCCGCCAATTATGAAATTTTGAGCTTTCTAATTGCAAATTCACAAGACTTAATGCCAAGTGCATCCATGCACCATCTAGCAGCGACTTTTCCGAGGATGGTGTCAGTTATAGAAGTATGTATTTCCCAAGTCCGGCCGAAAGTGACAATAGGAGGATGAGGATTGCCTGTACTCAGGTCTGTAGAGCTTTGGGTTTATGTGGCAGGAGTCGCTCACAGAGGATGTCCTGAAGGACCCTGGCATGGAGATAAATCCATCTTCAAAGCCGTTGGGGTTCAAATGGGCACGTCTCTTGCCGTTGGTAAAAGCAACATGTGAACGATGTGGGGCGCTTATAGGGGGTCGAATATCGCCGCTATCCGTCCAACAATCTGGCCCCCGTACTCCGTAGCCAGAAGTACTTGATCCGTGGGTGCCATCGGACTGAGGACGCGATGAATATTGAGAGGTAGATGAGTGTCGACGTGGTCTCTCTGATAGTGCCTCATGTTTAGCAGATGAAGTATATCCTGTATGCGCGGAATAGGTTGTTCGAGGACGACGGTGTACATTCTCCTTTACAACGGAATGCAGGGTCGAAGACATGTACGGCTGGACTTGATCTGAGGGATACCTGTGTAAAGTGGGGGCGTACGGACCGCTTCGCCTGATAAGTATGGCGCCCGGGTTGTTGTCGATAGTTGCGGTTGCGGTTGCAGACTCAGCTGCAGATGCTCGTTGGATAGCAAGCTGAAGAGGGGACTGGTAAGGTATTCCGGTTGCACGGCAGTGTGCCATACGTCGGGCTTCGCGGACAAGCAGGTGAACTAGCTCTTGCTTAGACAGCTCATTGCTGAGAATGCACCCAGTCTGCTGTTTCCTACCAGCGCTATGGTGCGTCGAAGACGGCCAAGAGAAACACGGAGAAGAGGACACGCTGGGAGGACATCCTGGGCACCGCATTTTATTTTGCGATCGTCGACGCTAATGTACCTACCAGATTTTAAAAAGAGCTACTTGTCGCAGACATTTACACGTAGGGCAATTGTAGCGCACAGAGAAGTTAGTACTGCCTAGCTGACGCACCTGCAAACACTGGGTTCAACAGAATCTATAGAAACAAAACTAAAATAAAGATCGCGTCTGAGCCAGCGCTTGTGAAGGAGCTCTGATGATCATGAACATCCGGCAGGTCCGTGACACCCCATAAACCGGCAAGCAGTGGATACAGTTGGCAGATATTCCAGAGATGCCCTTTGCCCGGCTATGTCATTGAGATCCATTCGGCAGCGACTCATAGGGAGTGCTGATGCCTTGAAGGAGTTTATCCCGCTAGAAAAGTTGTTGAACATGACGCGCGCCTCCTCTGCCTCTTGTTCGCGCCTCTGCTGCTTCTCCCACTCTGAGAGACACCGCCTTTGTTTTGGCGGCTCCACAAAGAGCTCTCGCTTTATCGGTTGTATAGTTTCATGATGCCACTCAGAGTAGCCAGGCTTAAAGACATTTTCAGGATGATTGGGGTATCTAGGGTACTTGAGTATAGTTGCGTTAGGTCCGAACTTCCTTGTGCTTCTGTCTCTCCCATCGTGGGTTGCGCAGTACGGATCAAACATGGTAGTGCAGTGTTCTCGTATTACCGCCTCTGTTTCAGCGGGATACTCGATTTCTTGCCGAACGCAGAGTCCAGTATTCGACCTTGGCTGTGTTTCTGTCTTTGCCGCTAGTGGTTGGGGCAAGCGCTGCTTGGACGTCCGCGAACATGGAGGCTTGTATTCGAAGTCAAGGGGGTTTAGCACTGTGCCTATATTTATTTCACCGGTCCTGCTCGGCGCGGAATCTTGGTCCAGTAGCATTGTTGCATTCGGTGTCAGGGGCCGCCCTTGGGCCTTTTGTGACTCTGTACCCCACTCCTGTGCCTTGAGGCTTTGGGTGTCCGGAATGCCTTGAGATTGTTTCATTGTAGGGCGGTGAGAGCTGAGGAGGCGGCCGGTTTCCTCAGCAGTGAGGGAGCTGGTCACGACTGGGGTCCTGGGAGGCTCTTTCAAAGGAATAGTATTCATAATAAGCTCTCTGTAGTTAGTTGGGGTGCGGTGTATATTTGTCCGGACCCGATGGGTATACAGCTGTTGTTGGAACGGGATGCATTTGTAAGGCAAATGGGGGAATGTTATACACTGTGCGCAGTTGCAAGGTCCCCCTTGATACCCGCATCCGTGATTCTTAGCATTCAGAGGCGACGGCCCGTTATAGCTCATTTTTTGAATTATCATTAGCGATAAATTTTTGCGCAAAGTTGCGCTTTCGGATACTGTGGGCCGAGAACCATAGCCTAAGCGTTTACTGTGAATTGACGGAGTATAGTACAAAGGCTACCAGTTTTCAGTTAGTGGACTTGGCGCACTCAATCCATTAATAGGGTATAAGCATGGTTGAGAAGGTTATTACGTGTTTGAAAGAAGCCGGGGATTATATACAGTATTGTCCAGAAGGGTTTTGACGGTTCTGGCTGCTTCACGGTATTCAACAAATCGTGCCTTGGACGGTTGGGAAGAAAGGTCTGTCGTTGCTGGCCGTACTTCAAAAACCGGCGACTCAGCGAAGTAGAGGTTTTTAGATATCCGAGTTCTGTCTGGGTCTCTGTCGTGCTGAAGCCCAAGAGACTCTCGAAGACAGTCGCGCTCAAGAATCTTCAAGCGGCGAGATTTTTCATCAGCCATTTGCTTTAGCGTGGTCAAGCAGGCCTCCTCGCGCCCCCACATATCCATCCGCTGGTTCTGATCTCGCTGTAAAGAGTTAACTATCCTTTGTTGCTCATTCATAAACCACTGATGCTTCTTATCTGCTTTCGGATCTCTAGAGAGATACTGCCGGCGCCAGGCGTCGTATTTTGGATTAGACTCTACGAGGGATGAAGTACTGCGGCCCAGGGTTCCCGTTGGCGTGCAACACTTACAATACCCTGTGTCATTGTTGTCTAAGGAAGGCGTAGAGTGGTCAGAAAGGTCTATCTTATCTACTGGCACGTCAGCATTTTCGGTGGTACAATTGTTAGAACAGGGCAGGGCATCACTCTCCCTAGTAGTCTTTGCGTTAGACGTATTTATCATAGGACACTTGAATGGGAAGCTTTTAGTGAGGTCCTTGCAGCATAGAGAGCCTTGGCGCACATTCGGAGGCACACATATCGCCTTCGTTAGTTTGCTGGAGCACGGTACCGGCGGATTGCAGTCGAGATGGCAGTTGAATTGCTCAAAAGAAGGGAGAGTTGTACGCAATCCGCCTAGCTTGGACCCATCTGACCTGTAAACCTGTGGGTGTGTGCGTGGTTTGCTCTGTAACACCGTGCCGTCTGCTAAGTAAGTTCGCCGCGAAGTATCTCCTCCACAGGCCTCTGCGCGGACAAGATTGCGAAACATGACTTGCTGTGCCTGGAAGTCAGAGTCGTCCTTATTCAGTTCCCAAAGGCGATGGCATGCATTGCGCCTAGCATAATCCTTGTAGTCACTCTCAAGATAGGCTAGTCGCTTTCCAGTGCTATACAGGTCGTGGCCAATGTGTCTCATCCGCTTTTGCATACATGTGCATCCCTCGTAGCAGCCGTTGTCACACTTGGGGCACTTTCCAGCGTGTGTTGCATAACAGTATTCCGGGGGGATCATTCGCTTTTTAAGATTTGCCGCCATGGTGTAGCCTCTGCGCATTAATTTACTCATGTCCATACAATCACAAAGAGAGCTTGTGTACATCACTTTGCTGCGGAAGGGGGGAGATCCTTGCAGTCCCAAATGCTCTTGCATGTCCTCTGGCCCATATATTCGATGTCATGCCTGTAAGGGACAGTCGCGTGACTAGATATCTGCTCATTAAAGTCTGCTTCATACGCTCTCACCATTCCTAGGCGACCCTTCGTGGCGAGGACAGTCTTAGGTATGCCCTTACGTTCCTCGTTCAATAGCCGACGAAGCTCCTCGTTATCCTCTAGGAGAGCTATCTCTTGTGCGCGGAGGTCCTGGACAAGTTGTTCTTTCTGAAGGCGGTCGCGGTTGAGTTCGTCCATCTCGCAGATGTTCCGCTCTCGGGCTTCTCGTACCTTATTGCCCATCTTCATGGTGTAGGCGCGCTTAAGATCCAAGCTATCGAGCGTCTCCTGGAGCCTATCCGACTTTACCTGGGTCAGATAAGCATCGCGCCGTACACGAAGATCCTCCAGCTGCTCCTTAGAATCTTGCCGCACGTCTGCAGCGAGTTGCTTGTTGCGTAGTAAAACATTCTGCCGTGCTGTACGTGCTTTGGCAAGAGTCGTGAGCTTGTTTTCTTCGTTCACATCATGTTGGATTTCTATCCCGATCTGCTTGGCAATCCTACGATCTGTACGCTCTAGTTCGTCTTGCAAGTGTCTCTGTTTCCGACGGACGGCCTCCACCTTCAATCTCTTTAGCAGCTCTATCTCGTCCTGGATTGCGCGGGCATCCCGGATAAGATGGTTTCTGTGCGAGTTGAGAGCTTTAATCGTAGTATCTGCTTCCCGGACAGCGTGCTTTGTCTGGCTAGCATAGCTGGTATGGAGGTATGGATCGTGGGCAGGCTTCCACGGCTTTAGAGGCGCAGTGTGCATTTTTGATTCAGTATTACTTTCAATTAGCCGCATTAATTTTAACTTTTATTGCACAGAAGAAGTCGAAGAAAAAGTAAAAGGATATGTTTAAACAGGGCGGGAAGCAGGGGCCCGTTGTCGAAAAGCGTCCAAAGAACTGTCCTAATGATGGCTTCCTGGGCTCCACCCTTACTATTGGGGGACGCTCCTTGCTAGTCACTAAGTTTTTGGCACAGGGAGGATTTGCCTTTGTCTACGTAGCAACGAACCCCATGAACGTGAACGAGGTCTATGCGGTCAAGCGAATGATTATACAAACTAGTGCTGCCCTTAAGGACTGCCTGATGGAGACTTATTACCACGTCTGCTTCAATAGTCATCCCAATGTTGTCAAGCTCTACGCCGCCCGGATTGCAGGACACGAGACCCAGTTGTCTCCAAGTGCTGTTGCTGAACTTTGCAACGCACGCCTCCAAATTCCATCGGAAATTGTTCTTTTGATGGAGCTGTGCGTGGGAGGATCCATAGTCGATGTCATGCAGCGGGCACCGAACAGTAAGTTCACTGAAGACTTCATATGGAATGCCTTTGGCCGTGTGGTTTCGGCCGTTTGCATGATGAGCTCTATGGGCATCATAAACCGCGACCTCAAAATCGAGAACCTTCTGATGTCTTATCCCCTCGACGAGCATATTTCTCCGGGACAGCTTACGGCCAAGCACGCAGAGTATCTCAAGGTTTGTGACTTCGGGTCGTGTACCAAGGCCCAATACCCCGACGGGAGTGTGTTTACAAAGGATCTGGCCCTGAGGACAGCCGTGGAAAACGAGATACAGAAAAAGACAACGCCGTCCTATCGTGCACCTGAAATGATTGATTTCTTTGCAAAATTTCCAATTACCATTCGAAGTGATGTCTTTGCTCTTGGAGTGATGCTTTATCGAATGATGTACTTTACTCTTCCGTTCCCTGATGGCGAGGTTCTTGCTAATTTTAACTGCAAGTACAGACTGCCTACGTCACCTGGGTACTCTGAAGATCTTAAGCGTTTAATCTCTGTCTCATTAGTTAAAGATCCTATGCAGCGCGCCGACGTTTGGTACCTTGCTGAAGCAATCCAGGCCAAGACGGGGATTCAATTTACTCCTCGGCCGGCCGATCTGATGTCTCCACAGTTAATGACCCAGAGTATTGGGTCTCCTCCTCAGGATATTCTTCTTTCTGCTCAACTGCCGCAACAACCCATGGGTTCAAATACCACGCCGGTCTTTGACTTCAGTGCCCTACCCCCGCAGAACCAGGGCCAGGGCTTGACGCGAGAGTCTTCCTGTGTCTCTGTTGCTTCCACCGAGGACACACCTCTCTTTGGCTTTGAAGCGATGGCTAAAAAGGATAGTCATGCTAAGGCCGGCGGGGGAGCCCCCAATAGCGGCGATACTTTTGGCTTGCAGGTTAAAAAGTCGTCCTTAGCCGCCGCGCAAGGTTTCCAGCTCTCTTCTGGATCCACTGCGCCCGCCTTTCGTGCTGGCGGAGGAGCTGGTAGCGCTGTACAGCCAGCGCTATCTCTCCCATCACCCTCCACAGCCAAAGGGCTGCCAAACTTCAACTTCAATGGAAAGCCTATGTTCTCGACACAACAGTCGCAAGCTCCTCCGCAACTTCAAGCTCAGCCTATGGCTTCTAGTCCACCTGCTATGCTTAGCAATCCTCCGGTACCTGTTCCAAGTGTGCAGCCTAATATGAATTCCTTATTAGATTTCTTTAGCTCAGGATCTGAACCCTCACCTTCTCCGCAACAGCCCCCAGTTCAGCAACCACAGGTTCCCACCCAGAACCCAGGAAATCCAACGCTCGACTTGTTTGGATGGGGGAATCAGGCTACTCCGTTTACTCCTTTTGAACAACCAAAGATTCCGGCGCAGGATCAAGCTGTGTTCAATATGATGACGCCAGAACAGCAGAAGGTCTACACACAGCAGCTGCAAATGCAGCAGATGTTTTGTATGCCAAATGTGTCCCAAGGGAATAAATAGCGCTTGTGTACACTGATTTATTGGTTTACAGATAATAGTTCTGTAAATGTCGATGCAACGTGGATTGACAAATCGGGACGGTCAGTGGGTGGGCGCGGGCCCGTCAGCATAGCCACGGCCCTTGCCCCTGAGCGCCTAGCAGCCTCTAAGCCGTGGATGGAGTCCTCGAATATTAGAGCCTCAGATGCACTGATACTAAGCCTCTTGAAGCACTCCAAGTAAATGGCAGGGTCTGGTTTGCTGGCAGAAACATCGTCACAAGAGATAATCGCGTCGAAGAGGTCTCTGTCCTCTGGTCGTCCAGAGAAGAATGCATCAATGGCACCATGGGGACATGCGGTACCTATAGCGAGGAGCATGCCGCGACTCTTGGCAACACGCGCAAACTCAATTGCTCCAGGAGTATATGAAACCTGAGTTCTGAAGAGCTCAATGTATATATCTTTCCACTTGTCTGCAAGCTCCTCCGGTGTCACATCGTTGAAGTTATATTCCTTGACACAATATGTGGCAGCATCTATAGCTGTTTTCCCGCTAATTTTGTCCATAAAGTCGTCTGGATAGTCCATACCCCTAGTCAGAAAGGTACTACGATTAACTGTGTCCCATGCACCTGTTGAGTCTAGGAGAGTGCCGTCAAGGTCAAAGATGATCGCACGCACGCCGTCCAGCAGATCCCTTACGTCCTTGACTCCCAAGGACATTTTATTCAGAGATTTACTCAATTACGCAGAGTCAGAGCAAGCACCGAAAGCAATTCCTTAGGAATTGCTGGTGGAAGAGGGGCTTCCTGCAACTTTACGCCCCGGGTAAGCTCGGGAAACATAGCTCTAACTACGGCAGAGTCTGAGGCGGTACCTACAAACTTTAGCTTGCACCTCTTATCCGCCTGAACGATAAAAGGCTCCTTATCCTCCGGACTGTAACTGGCAGCTAAGACCGGTCTGTCTAAGGAGAAGTAAGCGCACGCATCATGCACCACATCAGATGGCACATGGTGCTCTTGACCGATAAATATTATTCCAACAGGAGTGAGATGGCTGTAAAAGGTTGACTGAGCATCCACAGCATGCTTGAGTGCCTTTACAAGGCTAGGATCTTCTACATTGAAGTTGAGCCCCAAGACCTCGCAAAGCTCAATACAGTCGGCAGAAATCTTTCCTAGAAGCATACCAAGGCACGAGTCAACTCGGGTACTAATCTTTACAAGCTTCATGTAGAGATAGGGTCCGATAGTTATGATGGGGTCCGTCATTTTTATCTTTCCCAGCCTCAAACCTGGCTGGATCGCTCACTGGTCTCATTACTTGGAGCTATCCGGCCACATTCTTTTCTAGTGGCAGCAGGTACACAGGCTGTCTGGGCGCAGAGCGAGATCCGCGCAAAGAATAATCAATTTTCCAAAAAATACTATGAGCTACGACCAGCAGTACTCTGCTCTGCTTTCACAGCAAACGGCTGTGCAGAAAATCATCATTGACCTACAGGCTACACTAACCCGGACAGATCTCGATCTGGACGAGCGAAGTCAAACAGAAGCCATGCTGCAGAACGCCATCGCTCTGCTCAACTCCTACATTGGTTCTATCTCTTCTCTCCATACAGAGGTGCAGAATCAAATATCTAGCCCGACTCAAGGATCAGTGGGGATTGCAAATCCCTCCCAGTGTACATTCAGTGAAAGTGACCCAACTCTAATGGGGACTGGGAGTGGCATGCACCAGACCCGTACGGGGTCTCTTGTAGCAAAGAAGGTGGATGGGGAGCATAGATCCCCAGATATCCTCAGTAAAAACTATTTGTGCGGCCAGACAACAGTCAGCTGCGCACAGCTGCCGACATACGTGCAATCCAATAACGCAACCCCTCAGCTTGCCCATTCTCAGTCAACAAAGACAGCATTTCTGGACCGGCCCAATAGCGAGCTCACTAACATCATCGTTGGCAATCCGCACCTCCAGCACGTTCCTTCAAGAGAGACTGAGAGCGTCTCTTATTCTAGCTCTTTACCCTCTTTTGTGGCCACTCGGGTGTCTCCGCATTATGCCCCTAGAGAGCTGGTTCCACGGCACATTTCGAATTCCCTTCCCGAAGAGTCTTTGTCCGCAGGATCCATGCAATTAATATACAGTATCCCAAAGACGTACAAGTACGTCAAATCGGTTCCTAAGTATTACAGCACAACGGGCCAGTCTATGTGTCGCAAAGCCGTTGCCAAGGCAACCAACGACGACACGCCCAAGTGGAAGCACGTACGTAAGATCTCTTGTGAAGTGTGGCACCACCCAGATATGGTCCAGATCGCCATCCATGAGATGACTGCGAACATATACTCCCAAATATCGAACAAGGAGTTCTCCAAACTGGAGATCTCTACTCTACTCCGGGCATACAACTCCCTCGCTGTGCTTTTACGCTTCTTGCAACTCTTACCACAAGGCATTAACAATAAGATAGTTGATAGTATGCTTTCCGACATGCTGCACTTGATCACAGAGTCCACCAACCGCATGCGCGCAGGTCCTGGGCACAAAAGAGACATTACGAACGCGATATCGTATGACTTTCAGGCCATGCTTCACCTCATCATTGCGTACATGTTCGTTCTGCAGTACCAATATGTTACCTCTACCCTCAGCTTCTCTCGGCAGATGGATACTCTACTCATAACGGATGTCTTCCTCAAGCGATACCTTTGTCTCGGAGATTGCCTTGTGGTGACACTCAGCAGGCTCATTCATAGCCGGAGGGTGACTCGAGGCGTGTTCTCTCAGTCGTGTATCCTGGCAATCTTCAGATTGGCAACAATATACGTGTCATCTATGGCACCTATATACACGTTTCTAGGCGAGCAGAACACTCCAGATGCTGATATCAAGCGCGTAGAGCTGGAGGACTTATATACAAGGTTGTGTAACAATTGGGAGGCAGCGTACGATTGCAAATCCGATAGTGCAGACGGAGACTTGCTTGATAACGTGAAGCCCACGATACCAGAGACAATTGGTGGTGTTGACTGGGCTGTAGAGATAGAGACTGATATCTTCTATGAGCGTGATAACGACGAAACTAGCGATTAGCAGGCCCGTGTAAATAGATTTATCAGTTTCCTTTTGAGAACACTTTTTTCTCTTTAGCTACCATGCCAGCGTCCTTCAGACACGATAGGTACCTCAGCTCAGCCGCCACTTAGCGTTTGTATCAGTCATTCTTCAAAATTCCCAAAAAATGAGCAACTCGGCAGATGCCGCAGAGTCGATGCTTGCTCCATCTGCTCTTGGCCTGGGCTATTTAGAGGCGGGGAGCTCTACAAAGCGGTTGGCATCAATAATAGTGGAAACACTTCTATCAGACTACTCGGCAGTAATTCTTAACTCCTTTTCACAGCTACGAGACAGTATTCACAACAGGCCTCTCTACATCATGATGGAACCATCTCTTGGCTGTGACCCCATGCATGACCATGAGGCTCCAAAGGATGTGTCACCTCTTTTTGGCTCATACATCGACCGTGCGGAATCTCAAATCCTTACTTTGCCCACCTCTATTTTGAAGCTCAAACTGGAGGAGCAAATAGTCCAGTTACTCAAAGAGCTGTCGAGTGAAAATGCAGATTTGCAAAGACAACTAGACAATGTCAGATCTTTACTAACAGATAGCCATGTGCAGGTAAGCAATAAGGACAGCCTCATGTCCTCGATCCTAAAATCGAAGTCAGATGAAAAGGTGCGTCTTCTGAGTGAGATTCAGCTCTTGCGCGAACAGCTCTATCAGAAGCGTATTCACGGAGGGGTTAACATATACAAGCCTGACTTTGGGCATACAGAAGGAGGACACGGAGACGCAGATGAGCGTGACGCTCGAGAGTTCTGGAATTTGCGGCTGAAGGACAAAGACGACGAGATTCTTCAGCTCAATAAACAGATTGTATCTCTGAAGGAAGAGGTGTCGGTTCTCAAGGGGTTCACAAAAGATTCCATGGACGAGGCAGAGAGACATAGACTTGAGGCATTGAGCAAAAGTAAGGCAAGCGTGAGTCTAGAGGACGAGAATGCTTTGTTGAAGAGGGATCTCGAGGAACTTCAGATGCGGTATCAGACAGATATGAACGCTGCTACAACGTCAATCGAGGCTTTGCGCACAGAGAATACAACCCTGAGTAAAGCAGCAGAAGAGCAAGAGGCAGACGCAAGCACCATGCGACATAAGATGGAGACCTTAGAGTCAAAGGCTCTGGTACTTGAGGCACAATTGACAGAAGCTAAACAGCGGCATATGCAGGATACCGAGGTACTTCGTAGAGAGCTTGAAAGAGCTAACGCTGCAGCTACATCTGCTAAGGATGATTTAAAGAAGCACGCTATTATGACTGATCGATTGAAGGCGGAACTGGAGATGCTTATGAAAGAGAATGGAGAGAACTCCCTTGTCAGCGGTCTCAAGGATCAGATTGAAAAACAGCGGAAAGACATCTCGAAATTAGTGAGTGACATTAAAATCTATCGTGGCAAGCTCGCCCATGCCAACAACAAGATAGCAAAACTTACGGGGCGGCCAGTTCCTCAAAGGAAAGCACTTAATTCGGACGATTCAAACGACTTTACTGACGACGATCTATATGAAACCGAAGGCCATGGTGATACCGATAACCTGTATGGTAGATCTACTCAAGATACCACTATAGAAGAAACTATAGAGTGTACATCTACTAGGTCCAGCTTGAGTAGTGCTCAATTAGAGAGGGCAGAAAATTCAAAGAAATCGGATGTGGACAAAATGGCGGCCTTAATTGGTAAGTATAGAGAGATAGTTTGTTGCTTAGCACGACTCCCAGATGCAAAGTTACCAAAAACACTTGCTGGCCTATCTAAATTTCTTTCTAGTCGCATGAAGAAAGCAGATACTGCCAATATGGGTGGGGCGTTCGACCCTGCCAACGATTCTGACTCCGATTCTCATCCCAGGAAGAAGGAAAGAACAGCTAAGGCAAAGCAAGGAAAGAGTGGTAAAGGTATCAAGGGACCTAAGCTAGGAGGTAATGGAAAATCGGCTAGTGGGGGTAAGGGAGAGGTAGCGGTTAAGCGTAAAGGTACCGATAAGAATGTGACTCCAGCAAAGGCTTCTGGAAGCAAGAAGGAGCACACTGAAAACAGCGACAGTGACTCTTATTATTACAGCTATAGCATAAGCTCAAATGACACCTATCTTCTTGAGGACAAGATAGATGACGACTTCTTTGGAGTAGGTGGCGATCCAAATGCAATGGTCCGCCGAGGTGACGTTGAGGAATACGTCTCTATGAAAATTCAGGCTGCTCTAGAGAACTTTAGAATGGAGTATGATAATGAGGCCGAGCTTCAGGCCATGGGGATTGCACATATGACAGCAAAGGCGATACTAGAGAACTATTCCCACAGATCTTGTCAGACATATGTAAGCTACCTCACAGATACAATGCGGATACTTACAGACGCGGATATCATTGACGAGAATGATGGTCTATACCTTGATGATGCTGGAAATTGGCGGCGCATTGGCGACGTTGCTGTAAAGAGTGGCCTGCAACCTAAAGACATAGAGCTAAACCGACGGCGCTTGGATCTGTTTAATCACACGTCTATGACAAATCTTCCGCTGGCGGACCCCAATCATCCACTGCACCGCAGAGATGCACAGTTGGCTATGACAGCCGCTGACAAGGTAATGAATCTACAAGCCACTGGAGCGAACTATCGCCTTCACCATAACTTAAAAGGAGAAGGCTTAACAACAGACCAAATCTTTGATCAACTCTACAACGACACTCAGCGAATGCGCCTTGAGGCCAATACGCGTCGTGAAAAGATGGACTCCACCTCATTACAACAGCTAAAGCTACGCGAAACTCCCAGCCCCTACAGAGAAGTTGCTCAGGCAGACCATAAGATTGGTCTCTTTGGCTCTCTAATTGTCAAAGCATCAGTTGTGCCAGAAAATGCTACATCGCCATCACCTGCCCCTTTAAATGTTCAGCTAGATAAGAAAACTCCTGGTGCGCCATCTGCCGCGGCTGTTCCTTCAAAGAGCAACACTGCGACGAAATCAGGGGAGAGAGTAATTCAAACAATCAACAATGTGCTTGGTATGAATGTTGCCTCAGTCAAGGTGGATCATCCGGAGGAGCCTGCTAAACCCAAGAAGCCAATGCTCGTTCAGCAGCGTTTCGATCCTAGACAACGACGAGGAACCGGCACCAAGGAGGTCCGTAGCCACCAATCAGATCGGGTGATCGAGACCTCCAAATCGCAGCAATATGAAGAGGATAAACCCAGATCACTGAGTCCTCTATCTCAGAATAACCTTGATACGCCTATTGAAAACATGGTCAACATCATATCCTCGGCCCGTTCTTTACATAGCCCGCTCACTGCTTGCAATGATACTCGCTCTGAGCCTCAGCAAGAAACTCCAGATCTAGGAACTCCTAGGGCATTTCGATTGGTCAATAATTCTGAAGCAGATGGTATTTATGTCCGCATGAGTAACGAGGGCGTCATCAATGGCCAGATAATTGTGTCTGATGGGTTTGTTACCAATATTAGTTATAAGAATATGTTCGGGGATAACCTTGACCGAGTTATATACTCTCACACGGACAGTCAATCCGGCGGTCAGCTGACCTCATCTCCAGGGGCTCCATCTCACAACAGCATTGCCATCACAAAGGGTACATGCTTGCCAAATAACATTATTCAATCTCCTGAGCTCAATATAGACACCAGAGCTCAGCTTCCTAAATATGACGCTGATCAGGGAGTAAGCGTCCAGCCAACTCTCTTTATTGAAACTGTAGTGGAGGATGGCGATTCTGGAACCCTACGAACAACCGGGGATGATTCTATTCGGCCAAGCATTGACCTTACTCGTACACCTCTTCACAGACCCCCCTCTGGAGCAGCCACCGGGGCCCAGCGCAATAAGTTATCTATAGCCTCAGAGATAGATATGGGGTCCATCTCAGAGATCCAAAAGCTCTCCATATCAGTTCCGTCCACGTTGGAGCATAACGATCTAGCAGACCAGCTACCGTTACGAGGATCTCTTATCAAGGAGGATCTGGAGCAAATCCATGTTGCAGATGTAACAACGCTTCTAGGCAAAAACGTAGTTGATTTCCAGCGAGCAGCAATGCTAGATCAGAGTGGACCTGATGTAGTACCGGTCTCAACGCAATTCTCCGAAGACAAAGGAGCGGTGCTTCTTGATGAAAGTCTTCTTCGCATTCTTTCTCTCTTACCAACAACACCGGCAGAGGACGAATTTCTTAGCCTTCCTAGGGCCAAGAGTTGCTATAAAAAGCAGCGAGAAAAAGACCTGCTGGCACCGGGTGCCGCTCTTCGGCTTGTCAAGATCACAGTTAAGCCGGGCCATGAGAGACTGATTGAAATAATCACAAAGCCAGACGACACTCCATACTTTTATGACCCGAAAACCGAGTATAGGTACTCCGATATACACTCCCTTCAAGAGTCTCTACAGCAGGAGCAGCAAGTGGATTACCACCCGAACACAACTCAGCCAATAGACAGATCTCAAGCTCGTGAGGACTCCTCTGCGATGCACCCAGAGCTGGACAATTCGACAATGGGGTCAGAAGAGAACTCGAGGGTAAGTCTCCAATTGGAGCCAGATGGGCCTGAGATATCCATAAAGTCTCTTGCAAACACAGCTGATGAGCAGATACGGCAGTTATTCAAATTGACTGTCGACAAGCACGGGCGTCCCAGGAGACTCACTGAGGCAGAACTCTATCTTCTTAGCAAGATTGGGGACTATAAATCCAACAGTACTGCAACCATCCGGCTTCAGCGCGGAAATAACATTGGGCAACGTCCAACTATTGCCAATCTTGTTTCCATTAATGAGACATCAAATTTAAAGACACAGGATCTGTCAGAAAACGCTCACCTACGGAAGGATCCAGTGGCATCAGCTCCCCATTCAAAGACCAGTGTCGAGCTGACACCAGATGAGCTTGTGTCTCTATATTTAAAGAAGACAGAAGAAAAGCAAGCTGGACACTCAACCAGGGCCGTTGTAGGGCATGGATTACAAAGTAGACCAGTTAAGATTGCTCCTCAGGTAAGCAGTATTCCTGTTACTGCCAGACAATCCCTAGAAGGACCATCCGATAGCTCTTTCACTGGGAAATATGTGACCGTCGACGGAAAGGTGATAGAGTATACAGAGGAGGATCAATTCGTTACTGAATTGGACAGGATTGTTAATTCTATGGTTAGCACGGCTTCTGCCACAAACAAGAAAAACGATGACTTAACCACAGATGATCTTATGGTACTGCAAACTAAGATACGCGACTCTGCTACTTTAGATTCTAAGCTTGAGAGCAGGATTCAATCTATTAGACATATACAGGAACAACTCACGAAGGGGGTCATTAAAGTAGTTCGTGCAGATGACGGATCAAGGCTGTTCATGGACTCTAGGGGCTTTGTTCTCAACGGAGCAATTGTTGAAGATATGCTCAAGGAGGAGCCCGATAAGCTATGCACACAATTGGACATACTAGCATCCTTAGCCAGTTCTGAATTACAGTCGCACGGACTGTTAAATGGCATAAAGGTGCGGAATAAGAATGGGACTATAGAGGCAGATCTTCTTCTTCCGCGCATGCCAATCCAAACAATTAAGGAGTCAACGTCATCTACTCGTCTTCGATCTGATCATTCTACTGCACAACCCATTATGACAACAGACGGCCTCTTTAACAGTTCGTATTATCTAGATCTTTCTACGAATAATTCAAAGCTCCAGACAACCCCTCCTGGGAACAGTCTCGTGTCCATGACTGTTTCTACCCTCACCGAAGACGGTCACATTGGAGTGCAGATGCCTCAGACACAGATTCCACATAGGGCTAGTACATCAGGCGCACAACCAGGTCAGTTCGTTGCTCGCAACATGACGCGATCCATAGTCCGCTCACAACTCGGCACTGCATTATCCACAGCAGCAAGTAGCGCACGAGGCAGCCCGGGTCAGATCCTCAAACCATTGAGAAGCATAGAAGGGGTAACTACAGACGGCAACCAGCAGCCAATAACTACAGCTGGTCGAACCATCCCTATGCAGAGAGTCTCTGGAGAGTATCGCGACTCTGACGGCCTCCGCTTTGTTAAATCCTCTGCTTCCAGTGCTCTCATCCGTGGCTCTAAGGGCTCCCTCGTCGACGACTCCGAGGCACATGCATATATCCGTGGCGGAGTAGTATCCCACGGGGTAGCTGAAATACTCTCTTACTCCAAGCAAAACAGCCATTCTCTTCAGCCAGGGGCTGTAGCACGGGAGGTAGGTCTTCCAGAAATCTCTCCCACTGCAGCGCACGCGCTAGAAGAAGCGATAATATGTCGGGGCATTTCTTTCAAACGATCCACGGAAAAGCCTTCAAGTACGGCTTCTTACCCGCTACTCAATAGTAATCCTACAGGAAAGCAGTATCAGTACAGCACTACTAACTCGATCAAGCCACATGGTGAGTTTGATTCTGATGGGCTAGATTCTAAGCTACTGACGTGCTCTATTATAATAGATTCCCCCATTTCCCCGGTAAAGTCGTACCGACAAACATCAGCCGTGGAAGCAAGGAGTCCGTTTGTTGCTGGTCCAGGAGCGGCCACAGAAAAAACCCAGGGTATTATCGAAGAAGTCTCGGATATCCAGGTGTGATAGCGACGATCTATCTCTCTTTAGTCAGGTGCTTGTAAACAGGCGTCTTTTTATCGTGTTTGTCTAACATTATCGTCTATACTTTGCAGATGCAACCCTGCCAAAAATTAAAACGATGTCGCTGGCAACTAACATAACTCCTACCCCCAAGATACACCCGCTTCCATGCTACAGCAGTATTTCTTCCATTAATGGTCCTATTGTTGTTGTGGACAAGGTGCAGAGACAGTGCTATGGGGAAATCGTGACGCTCCGTCTTGGAAACGGTGAAATCAGGACTGGGAAGGTTTTGGAGTGCCATGGGTCACAAGCTGTCCTGCAGGTTTTTGAAGGAACAGAGGGCCTTGACATTAAGCAGACATCTGCAAAGTTCACTGGAGAGGTCATGAAAGTTGGTGTCAGCCGTGCACTCTTGGGACGTACCCTCTCTGGATCCGGCGAAATCATCGATGGAGGTGCCCCTGTTCTTGCAGAAGAGATCCGGGACATTGAGGGGTCCTCTCTTAACCCCGTTAGTCGTGAATACCCGAAGAACTGCCTTGAGACAGGGATATCAACAATCGATATCCTTACCAGTATTTGCCAAGGTCAGAAGATCCTTCTCCTGAGCGGAAGCGGTTTACCTTACAATCCCCTGCTCGCGCAAATCGCTAGAAACGCCCGCGTCTGTGTCTCGTGGGAGAAGGCTGTAACAGGTGAGGAGATAAAAACTTCCGAGGATGACAAGTTCATGATCGTCTTCGCAGGAATCGGTCTTTCTCATGAGCAGGCCATGTTTTTCAAGACGCAGTTTGAACAGACTGGCGCTCTTAATCGTTCGGTAATACTCCTTAATTTGGCTTCTGACCCCGTTGTACAGCGCATCAGCACACCAAGGATTGCTGTGACAATTGCAGAGTACTTTGCATATACTCTGGGGTATCACGTCCTTGTTCTTCTTTCGGATATCTTTAATTATGCGGACGCACTCCGCCAGATATCCTCTGCCAGAAACGAGGTACCCGGCAGAAAGGGATATCCACCGTATCTTTACTCTGACCTTTCGACAATTTACGAAAGAGCCGGACGCGTCCATGGGATCAAGGGGTCGATTACGCAGATCCCGCTAATCACTCTTCCAAACGATGATATCACACATATCATTGCAGATCTGTCAGCGTTCATTACAGAGGGCCAGATCTTTCAGGACCGCAAGTTGTTCAACAAGAACATCATCCCTGCGGTGGACCCCCTCCCCAGCCTTTCTCGTCTGCAGAAATCCGCTATAGGTAAGGGGAGAACCCGCGAAGACCACCCTGACGTAGCTAATCAGCTATATGCATCATACGCTATCGCAGTTGAGGTTTTAAGCCTTAAGTCCATCGTCGGTTCTGAAGGTCTCAGTGACAACGACCATAAGTATCTGAAGTTCTTGGAGGTCTTTGAGGAGCAGTTTCTGAAACAGGACTTCAACACCAGACGATCTATTTACGAGTCTCTCGACCTAGCTTGGAAGTGTCTGCGTGTTTTACCGATCAATCTGCTGAGCCGTATCTCGGATAGTATCCTTGAGAAGTACTATTACGTGCAGACTGACGCCGCTGAGCAGCCAGGAGCTAAGACTAAGTGAATCTTTGATCGCTTTCATTGCTTGTAGAAGATGCTAATACGAAAAAGCGGATAGGATAAAGATTGCTCGGCCAAGTTGGTTGCTCATCTATGGTCAGCACCGTCAAACCTGCTTGAGAACAGAGGTCCTTTATCATATCAAGGCTACGGATTAAATTGATGTCTTCTTTATCCAAGAAGAAACCATCGTTAATGATGCAATTTTCTTTCATGATGATTCTACCGGTTGATGGAGTTAGAAGATGATCCTTGGCAAATTTGAGGAACCTCACGACATCGCGGTCCACTAAGTGACCAATCACCCACTGGAGAAACACAACATCGTAATTAATTCCGCGAAATTGCTGTTGTAAGGCTTCTATATCCTGCAGCTCCAAGTTGTAACGCGCTCTGATACTATTTCTGGCAAAATTCGTTGTCGATGCTTGGACAAACAGCTCACAGCCTTCGATCATGTCAACATGCTGAAAGACGGGCTTCAAGGCATAGTGAGATACACGGCCTATACCTCCTCCGCAGTCGAGACAGGTGTTCGTTTTGATGGCCTTGTCTGAAGCCAACTGTTTGAGTCTTAGTGTGGTCCACTCAACCTCATCCTTGTGAACATAGGAGAGCCCTCCAAGCATACCGTCAATGGTGGGCTCCACAAGGGACGAGTACCACGTGGAGCAGGAGCCATACCACGCTGAGGTGCCCATCATGTTGATAATCTGGCGGTACTCTAGCTCTTCGCGGTCAGAAGTCACACCAATCACGTTCCCAAAAGCATCTAAGGGCTCGTCAGTCATACTTTAATTGGAGAGTAAGAAAAACGCCTGGGCACTCGTTCACTTACCGTTAATACTTGTACTTTTTCCTTTCTTTATAGCTTGATTGAGAGCCAGTAGCTCGAGTGGTTGCCTCTTGCATGTCTGTCAAATGCATCATGGGCTTTATGACAACTGACCAGAATCCATATGAGATAGACACCGGGATAAGCAAGTCGGCCCAGTAGATCTTGACTGTGATGGGTGATAACGTGAAGACCAGTAAAACAACGTAGAGTATGTCAAATGCAACATTGATTATTGTTCCAGAAAGCTCCGAGCCGCCATCGATCAGACGCCCCGTAGAATCGTATTTTTCTCGTGACAGATGCCGAAACATCTGATAGATGACTATCGCAAGACTATAGTGGACCATTGATACGCTAACTGAGGTTGCTGTGGCGTTTTCCCTATAGATGTACACAAGAAGCAAGTACACAGCAAGAGACCCTAGTAGTGCTACACGCACAGTCGTGAGGATCCTGCTATTCTTTCTCAGAGTCTTCTTGGCAGAGTCATTGGCCATTTTTAAGAGGTAAGGATTTAACAGGCTTAGACTCAACAACTGCCTCCACTATGCCAGTTGTATTAAATTGTGGAAGTGGCCGCTTACTGATCAGCTTAGATGCTGAAGTATTAGATCGTTGTATGTGCTCAATGGTATGAATTGGAGAGCGCGCAGAGAGGAAATTGTTACTTCGCCTCGGTGAAAGCCTTTCGTTTGGGCTATTTGGTAAGTGCCTAAAACTTTTCCCAGCAGACATGACACCATGGGACTTAGGTGCGCTGGAAGAGCTACGTATGAGAGGACGTCGAGGTGATGCTGAGGAAAGGAGAGCGCCTGAGGCTGCTCTTCTAGTAGATGGGGTATATGACGAAATAGTCCGTGCAGATGTCTTAGTTGGCCGAACTATTGAAGGCTCGTAAAGCATGCTGCTGTATTGAACTTTCTCAATGTGAATGTCACTTAAAGTATCATCAGAGTCTTCACAGTTGGGGTTTTCATAGTTGTATTCGTTATATGGTGTCCTTGCTTGCGAGAGAGCGTAGTTCTCAAAGATATTTTTCTTCAATACCCGGCGAACCTTTTGCATATATAGAATAGGATTGGTTCGGATTGATTCAGGGTAAAATGAATATGACTCACAGTCAGATATTTCACCAGAACACTGTATAGCTTTTGATTGGCAGGACGTAATGTCTGAGTGCGAACCTACCCATCTTTTGGCAAATAGGTTTAGTGCTAAATCAATATTTTGCCACAGTTGCTCCGCTGTGAACAGGCCACCACTTAGTGTTTGAACAGCTTTATCGCTTACGTCAACTGACTGCCGGGAATGTGGACGTAGGCTGGTGGTAGGATCTTTGCTGACACCGCAACTTGTCATCAGAGGAGTCTTTCCTTCGCTTACAGTCTCACAAGCCACAGCAAAGGAAGAACTGTCCTCAGACTCGCAGGAAGAGAGTTTCTGATCACAAAGGTCATCCAAGGGCGTAGGAGCAGGCCTCTCAAACAAGGTATCTTCCTTTACCGGTGAATGTATTCTCATAGAAAGCTCCCGCATGGTATGTGGTATCAGTGGAGAGAGAAGGGATGCACGGGTTAGAATATTACTCGAAGGTGGAGGGTTGCTATGCAGTAAAGTAAACTCCCCAGCACTCCGGCAGTCAGGAACATAAGAGGATGCATCAAGCTGCAACGGAGGTACAGAGGACCGTTCAAGAGGTTGCTCAAGGGATTGCCGATCTTCTACACATTGTGGGCTGCTATCAGGTTTGAAGCCCTTACTGGATGATAACGTAGCTAGGCCCATATTGCTAGGCTTTATAGATTGTCGCTCAGTTTGCCACTTGCGTAAAATAGGACTAGAGAACTTGAAGATGGGTGGCACACACGATTGCCTTTTAGAATCCAGGAAACCGTCTCGCTCGTTTGCGCTGTGCTGAAGCTGTATCTCGGTCTCAGGTTTGCTCTCAGGTGACATTTTACCGAGATCTTGTACGCCACGAGGTGTGCTCATCAGTCCCAGTATCATGCTAGTGCTTCCGATAAAATCTTGGTCGGTGCTACAGGCAACGCTGTCGACGTGCTCGGAGCCAGCTGAAGTGGGATAAGGCCGGGTTGTGTGAACATCTGATGACTGCCTGGAGAAAGATCGTGTCAGGATACTGCGTGTTCGTGCCTTTGCTTCAGTTAGTTGATTGCTTAGGAGTTGCATCTTGCTCTTTAGAGCGGCAATGGTTACATTCTTGCTTTCGATTTCTCGCTGGAACTGCTCATTCTCCCTACCTTGTGCTAAAAGGGACGTATCTCTTAGTAACGTATAGTCAGCATCATAACTCTGAGAGGCTGTGTTCGATCTAGCATACCCACTGATAATATTGTTAAGCTCATGGATCTTCAACTGACTGCGCTTAGTCGACGTGGCCTTCTCTACTAGGATGGCCTGAAGAATTTCAGTTAGCTCGCCAATTCGGCGTGTCAGCGAGTAAATCTGTCTGCTCATTTTGTCATGCTGGAGCTCCAGGTGGTCACGGACCTTAATGTACTCAAGAAGGTGGTCTCTGATCCCATCTTGCAATCGGGCCCGCATGTCTTTCATTCCGCGGTCCATGATCATAAGCTCCGCTGTATCGATAGAGGCACTATAAATGGGGTATACATCTTTTGGTGCTTCGTGGTCTGTCTTTGGGTCGCAGGCCAACAGCTGCTCAAACATGACGTACAGCTTTCTGTTATGGATCTCGGCTCTTAAGTAGGAAAATGCTTGCCCGACGCTACTTGCTAGGGCCGTAGTCAACTGACCACTGATTCGCTCGGCCAGCATCTGAACAGAACTATCATGTGTCCTTGCACCTGCAGGAGACAAGGCCAGACCAAGCTCAGATGCTGTCAGCGGCATAGTCTTTTTAGGGATCCGACATTCATAAAGGCGTCAGGTCATAGAGCAAAGGAGTGATAATTCACAAGTGTATTTGACTGTGAGCAAATGCTTATATAAAGCAAGCATTAGATTCCACGGTCAAAACCGACAGAGGTCGTCATCACAATCCCGCTGATGAGACCGATAAGTGCAATCGCCTCCGCAAAAATTTCTGAAATAAAGAGCTTGACGAAAAGCGACGAGTCGCCGCAGTGGGAGACAGCAACAGAGCTCCCCAGAACACCCACGGTGATTGCAGCAGCAAAGTTAGAAAACCCAACAGAGAGACCAGCAGCCCCATAGCCATACCCAGCTTTCAGGACTTCTTGCTTAGTAACATAATCTCTGGTAAGAGACCTCTCAGCTCCCTCCTTAATGGCAGTAAGTATTATAATCGACATGATGACGCCGTAAAGAGCAATAGCCTCGCAAAACAGGATAGACAGAAGGTTCTTGGATCGTATTTCAGGGTGCGCAACCGTGGACGTCACCAAGGTGGCACCAGTGTTGAAGATCCCGATGGCAGAGCCCAGGATGGAGAAGCCAAGGACAACATAGATCCCCATTTCTGCAAAAAAGTACGGGGAAAGAAGCTCAAGAGCCTCCTGGAGCGCTTCTAACGTCATTTGGGTCTTTATCTTTGCTTCATCTTTGGCATTTATTTTCAATTGCTAATGGCCAGATTTTGAAAAGCCACAAAGGATTTGCTCGGCTTCCCTGCATGGAAGATTCCGCCACTTTCCAGACAGGAATAGGCTACGACCAAGACACCCTGTTTGGCGGAGAAAGTACTAGTCAGCCTAGTGGGGTGGAATTCTTCATTCGTTCATCGGTCTCTCCAGCGAATCCAATACGGCTCGTCGACGCAGGGGACATTTCTGCAGATGAAAGGCGCGCATCCATCTATGCGTATCTCGACAAGGACTTTCGGGAGCACACCAGCAATCTGGTTACCTCTCTCAATGGGTATATGACACAAATGATATCAGGGCTCTTTCAGGAGCTACGGACAGATATACAGAGCCGAAAGCTATACGTTCTCTTTGAACAAGCCCTGGGGTGTGACCCCATGACAGACCATCTTGCTGCCAAAGATGTCCTTCCAATATATGCACCCTACATCGACAAAGCGGAAAAAACGTTTCGCCGGTTAACTCTTCATAAGTTCAAGCATGACATAGAGACGGAGTTTTGTGCCGCCATAATATCCGAATTGCGCGCGCGCCTCAAGATAGAAGACACTAATATGAACATCTCCACTGAGCTCGAAAAACTGCGGCTTCACTGCAAGTCTCTCTTAGACGAGAATATTCGTATCTCGAGCCAATGGCAACAGGAGCGTGAAAAGCTACTTCAACAGATAGGCACATTATCGGAACAACTGGTGCAAAAGAAGAGGGCAGGCAATATCTATAAGCCAGACTTTATGGCATCTGGGTCATCGTGGGATGCAGAGGCCCCTGTACCTGATTTCACCAGGGTCCCATCCAAGGGTGTGAAGGAGCTCCTTGAGCTGGAGACGAAGCTAGCTAATGAAGCAGCAGAGAAGGAGCGGCTTAAGATGGAACTGGATGCTACCTCTATGAAGTACCAGCACCTCCTAGAACAATGCAAACAGATACCAGAACTGCAGAATCAAATTGACGAACTTAACCAGCGCATAGAGGAACTTCTTCGCCGCATAGCAGAGCAGGATGATACGATTGTAGAACAACAAAAGGAAATAGCTGACCTCTTGGACCAGTTGGCATCCCTTAAGAAAGCTTACGATGGATTAGATAGCGATCACCTTGCGCTGCAAAACACAGTGGATACTCTTAATATGGAGAAAGGAGAAAGTGCAGCGGAGAATGAGAAGCTTAAAAGGCAAATAGCAGACCTTCTCAAGCGAGTAGCTGCAGCAGAAGCAGAGAGGGACAGATACAAGCAACAGATCACAAAGGGGGATTCTGACCGCAATATTTCCCTAGTAGATATCAATAATAACACAGTCAAAAGCGCCCGGCTTCCCGGAAGCCCTGACGACGCTGGGTTTGACAACAGGACCCTGCTTTCTGTTAAGCAGCTTCTCTATGAGCTTACTGGATTCAATCTGCTAGGTCATCAAGATGGCTTCACAGAGGCTTATGTTGGCGACAAAGGTTTGCCACAAGACGGGGAATCGCGAACACGTTTTTCATGTCCTACTCCAGGCAAGGAATCAAAGCCGACCCTGCCCGATATGGGCCCTCGAACAGGATCCAGAGCCCTATCCAGGAAAGGAACACCCAAGTCTACAGCTATGAAGGAGGACCCTGCATCAATAAGGGTACGGCTGCAGGGTCAAAGGCCAAGCGTTGGAAGCATCGAAGCTGCTCTAGTAGCTGCTACTACCTCTAGCCCATGGAATGCAGCTAGAAGCATCTCCGGTAGGAGATCTTCCAAGAATGTCGTTAGCGAACGAATAGACACGGATGGCGTCTCTAGGAATACAGAGGTCACACCGTGTAGAGGCTCCAGGTATAAATTTATAGACACAGGATTAAATCCAGCGTATTTCAACCCGGGAGTAGAGAACCCTTATGATAATGTAGTGTCCGGCTTTTACAAGGATCGAGACATCTGTTTATCGAAGCTGACAGACAGATTAGGCATTGAACACGCTCAATTAAGAACTGTCCGTGATCTAGTTGGTCGCTTCTTCTCCGGAGACCCTGTCTATGCAGAGCTTTTACGGTTACTTGCCGAAGGAAGTATCTCTCCTGACCTAGTAGCCAAAATCCTTGCAGGCATGCACACAGGGGAACTTCAGGCATTTTTAGAAGACCTTCTGAAAGTGGATGAGAATGGAAATCTTGTCCGCAATGGAGATAAACAGTACATTGCAGGAAGGGGTGTGGTCGAGGATGAACCCTTGAGCAGTGAAGCGGCGAGCTTGTCTGACTATACTCAAAGCAAGAAGAGCCGTGGAGAAAGATACTTACGGAACGGCGCACAGAGACAGCCTGATGACCAAGGTCCCAGAGAGGATTATGACGGAGTTCCTTTAGCATTACCGCTCCCCAGGGGATCCGATAACTATAATAAACTTAAGCCTGACATCGATAGTCACAGAAGTGTGGCCTCTAATCTAGATGAGCTCTCTGCAGGCGGTACCGAAACATTGCCCAGTGGCCTGCTAGGGTTCTGGAAGCAAACGCAGACTATATTGGGTATGGACGACATGGAAGAGCTCATGGCTCTTCGGGAACTCATGTTGGACAAAGGAACGAACACCGACGCGTCTAAGAAAAATAAAAAGGGTGGATACTCGAGCGTTAGCCGATCTTCTTCAACACGGAATCTATATGGAAGTGACGGACATGTTAGTAAAGATGATGGATCAACGGACCCTAGCAGTGCACGGGGCATTCCTCCAGATATTCTCAAGGATAAGCAGATAGCAACATACATAGATGAGCGGCTGCAAATAGAGCGGGAACGCGTTCGCGATGAAGTGACAGCAGAGCAAGAATTGGATAATATTGAGAAGATAAAGGTTGCCGTGGAAGTGGCTGCAAATACAATGGACTTTTGGTGCCAGGTCAACTATGATGATAGTGAATCCGATGACTATGGCACTAAGAAGGGGGGAGCAGTCATGCAAAAGGTGCAGAACGCCATAGATCGATTTTCAAAGCCAGGAAAGCCGGGATTTCAAATTAAGTACGATAGAACGCCCAGGGATTGGACCGTAAAGGGTGTCTTTGCCCGTCTCTATCAAAATGCAGAAGAAATCCGAGCACGACTCAATATGAAACGGGCGGAGCATCAGAAGCGAGAGGCTCTTCTTTATGCAAAGTATCTTCGTAGTCAGAATTCCATTCTAAAGGACGACGGTCTTCTGGTGGCAGCGTCGGAGTATGATAACGTGTCCAAACGATACGCCCAAGAGGCACAAAAGTGGAACGACGAGGTAAAGAAGTTATCTGCATACGACAGTAAGCAAGAAGATTTTAGTAAGACCCCTCAGCTTTCTGGCTCTAACGTTAGGGGAGAAGATGCGCTTATGAAGACAGGAAAAATGACCACTGCGGACCTAATCGAGGAGGTTAATTCACGCTCATCTAAAGAGCACTTGATCAGGATCACTTCTGTATCAACTAAGTCGCCAGACATGGACGATATAATAGTTAACACGTCTGGCATCAGGAGTGCACCACGAGGTCTCATGGGGAAGCAGCGGGACAGGATAACAACGGTATTTGACATGGAGGGGTCATCGATTCGGGGAACACCTAGAAGTTCTATGACTGGCTCTTCGTACAGAAACTTAAACAACACACCGAGAGAAAGCATCAGTGGCTCCCAAGATGCATATGTGACGGGAACACCAGGTGCTCCCAAGAATATGTTTAGTACTCTCAATACTGGTGGAAGGAAGCTACCAGGGATGCAGCTTACCATAAAGGATCACTCTACACACCACTCACTTAAGCAGCAAGGACCTGGCCAGATAGCATATGGAGCAGAATTAGTGACTATGAACTTATCAAATGGTTATAGTGGCTCTAAGGGTAGCAAGCCCATTCTGATAGCATCCGGAAACAGTGGAAACCCGCTTCCTTATATCAGTAAAAAGAGCAACACAGACACGCCAGGATCCACAGTCGTGGATGCTTTCCACGAATCCGATATTAAGCTGACTCAAAGTATTGATAACTCTAACGTATCTATCGCACCAGTAAGTAGTAGTACAAGCTGCGAGCCAAGCACAAACTTATTAAAATCTGGCAAAATTCTACAACCGCTTACTTCAACTCCTGAGCACATCCGACCGTTCTCTGGAAAAGGTTTTGGGAGTGGGAAAATAGTTTATGACCAGTACGGAAAACCCATGCCAGCACAAGAGATACAAGATATTATCGCATACAAGTACATATTCGGGAACGCCTCTATGCTTAAGGTTAAAGATATGGGGCGACGCCTTCTCGTCTCTGTGCCAGATAGCTCGCAATTGATAGAGGTATCTAAGGAGACGCTGCGCACGATCAAGGAGAATGTAGACAAGCTGGTGGAATACTTTAAGGTGCCAGGGATATCAAATTTGTATGGAAATGATGTCGTGGGACGCGCAACTAGCGCAAAAAGAGATTCCAATTCTGCTAAGTTAAATACTCTACCTAGAGATCCGCCTATTGATGATAGACTGGATTGTCCAGCTGTTTCTATCAATAGAGATGCTTTATCGACTACGGATGAATTAGTGCAGGAAGAGAAGAGAGCTCTGCTAGAGTTTGACAGACCCGACTTATCTGCTATCCCTGGTACACCGATTGCTCTTCAGACAGACGTAACCAGGTCTGCATCTGTATTAAATATTGAGCCAGACCCACAGCAATCCTTTACTGATAAGGAGAACGTTGATACTGATTTTCTTATTCCTTCAACGATAGCCTCGAGCGCGATGAAGAAAGACAGGTACGGGGTTGAAAAAGAGTTAGAAGATAACTTGGCGACAGTGCTCAGAAAAAGCGTAGAGGCGCTAGAAAGTTTCACGCCTCCACTGCGATTATCAGAAGACCAAGATTTAAGCAAGCAACGCAAAGGCAAAGAGCTAGTCTTATCTGATCTTGATCTTCAAATAGCCAGTATTAAGGATCCGTATGCAGAAAAGATAAACCATCTAGACGAGGAAGGAAGCATCACTCCGAATAGCCTAGAGTATGGACTCAGTGTCGTTGAGGTGACACCAAACACAGAATTTAACCAGCAACGTGAAGAAACTATCACCCTTAACAGCTTTCGAGGCAAACATAGCGATCGCACTAAGTATCGGAGAGAGAGTAGCAACTGCATATCCGATGATGGCTCAATAGACCTCACCAGTCATAGCAGCGGTCAAAATCAAATAGACGATCGTTCTACTCATTTCGAGGATCTAGTCGAAAACGCACTTGAAGATCCAACAAAACAAGCGTCTCAAATAAGAGTTAGCACCACTGTAATAGCATCAACAGAATCACTCAACGCTAATCAGGTGACTGCACCAGAACCCAGTTCAGCATATACACAAGGTAATACCATACGGAGAAGCATCGTTAGGGGAATAGAAGTAGCAGACAGTGCCGTATCAACACACTCAACAAGGACCAACACCCCATCTCAGGGTATGCTATCATTAGATGAACAGATTTCTCTACGACTGGCCGATCAAAGCCGTACAGCGACCGCTATTAACATAGAGTCCCCGCTTTCTGGCTATGAGAGGGACAGTATCAATCGGATGGACCCCGGTGCTATTCCAGAGTTTCTGACTGGAACAACATCCATACATATAGGTGGACGTCGGCTCTCAGATGACGACCGCCATAGTTTAGAAGGTACTCTTAGCATTCCTGGACCGGGTGAATTAGACCGATATGATACTGCCCATTCGGGATATGAACACCATAGGCTGCCATCATATAATCCACAGGATTCCAATTTTGTGGCTTCTTCTTTACATATGAAGGCAAAGCCAGGCGCTATTAACCATATAAATACTTTTATCCAATTTGAGAATCCACAGGCTCGTGCAGGAACACAACACGCCGTTACAACTTCATTAAATAGCGACGATCCGCACGCTTTTGGGGATACCAGCGAGAAAACGACTTCATCTCCGAATGTGGCAGGAGCTGTGCGTCATACGGTTGTCCAAAAGCAGTCATCTACTTCCAAGCATGGTTTTGTACCAAACAACTATCTTATTGGAAAGATACTGCCGCAGGAGCCTTTTATTAAAGGCCCGTCAGGACCCATTAATATGGGAGAACCAGGTCTTTTAGCCAGCGCAAGTGAGTCGCTAGTTATCAGAAAACGCTCAGCCGAAATCTCTGGAGCGAAGGAACCGACCACAAGCGGCGGTCAAAATGCAGATTCCGACACGCCAAGTCAATCGAATATCTTTTCTCAGCCAAAGCTGTACATGAGTAGATTGCATCAAGATCTTAAAAAGGCTCGCGATGCTGATGGAAGTTCGCTATTTGGTAAGAAATAAATAGAGGACATACCAGAGACTCTAAACCACAGGTTGTCTAAGTGGGGCAAGAGTCTGAACGGAAAGCCGTACCATCCGTAATGCAATTTGCTGCTCGGGAGTCACTAGAGATTCTTCATCATCATTGGACATTATCCTAGTTGTGATCTTCTTTAGTACCTGAGATAGTATTGTTATAAATATCTCATAAATCTTATCATTAGTGACCATTATTAATTCTGTAAGAGATGATACCAATGCGCGCTGGCTCACCTTATCAGCAACTACCCTCACTAGTGTCAAGATGACAGGAAGAAGGCAACTTGTCTCGATCTCTCCAGTGAATTCTTTTATAGTTTGTAAGAGAGTTTGTACAGAAGATACGAGGTTCTCAAAACTGCGCTTGTCAAAATAGTCTCCTACTGCTTTGGTCAAGTCAAGAAGGGCAGAAATTAGGATACATCCGCCAGAGTACTCATCCGAGGTAGACCTGTCAACGTCGTGAAGAACGGGGGCCAAAAATAATGCAGCTGTACCTACAAACGGAAACATCACAGCAGGATACACACACAACAACAGTAATGTTAAAAGAGAATGATCGTACGGACGCACAAGGAAAGAGCCAAAGCTTGTAGCATAAGACTCTCGAAGAAATTCTTCTACAGCGGCAGGCGTTTCATGAACAAGTTCTCCTGACTCAAATAAGTCAATATCTGACAGTGCAATAGAAGCCAGCTGTGTACAGGGAGTATCATACCAGCCAATGCCGAATAGTTGCGCAAGAGAGTACGAAAGGGTTATCTGGTCTTTAAGCTCCGTGGAACTGGCGCCTATGTAGCTTGCGATGAGATCTAGCATAGAGTCAACTGAACTGAATGGTCCCACTAGTTCTGCACTCATCGTATTGAGGGAGCGGGGTGACAAATCCAGAGTAGAAAGGCTTAGGTTAGCTGTGGAAAGGTGTAACGGAGTATCTTGCGGCCCTCCTGTCAATGAGATATTAACCACTGAATTTGAGCGCTGCTTCATCTCAGGATGGTTTCTAACGATAGCCTCTACAACTACTTCATCTCGGTCCCTGTCTGCTACCACAGCGGGGATGAACTCAGCAGTTGAACGACGAGGTGGTGATATTGCAGGGCACTCAACAGAAACATGAGGGGAAGTACCTATACTGTACGTAGAAGATGCAAATACCTGGACTTCTTTGTCTGTAAAGGTTGTAGCTAAAATCCGTTGTTGTTCAGGGTGACGATCAGTAAGACAACAGGATATGGCCTTGTCAACGAGGTTCATGCATTCATAAGTTGGTTTGCGCACAAGTGTGCTGGAAGATTGGGGAAGCAAGAGTGACCCGTTCAAGGAAGAAGCTGCGTCACAACCTTGCAAGCAGCCAGCTTTCTCAGAGATAAAAGCTTGTAGCTTGGCTGTCTTTTCCATTTCTTTGTTAAGTTGCATGGTGACATTGTCCAACTCATGGACTACAAAGTCGTGGCTTTGCATCAATTTTGAGTTCAGTTCTCGTAAATTTGCCAACTCATCTTGGGCTGTACTAAGTGTGAGGATAGTGCTGGCTTGTAGTGTTCGGTGAGCTGGCCCGTCTCCGCCAGACTCAGATTGATCAAGGCAGATAGAAGGCTCTGTTTGGGCAGTCTGTGTCGATGAATCGTTGGTTAGTGAGGGCTCATTTGAGAGACCAGCAGCCAGATGTAGATAGTAGTCTAAGCCAGGCATAGATACAGCGGTTTCATTAGCATCAGTAGCTAAGTGGGGTGTCTTTACTTCTGCTTTGGGCTTGAGCCGCTTCTTGAGTCTTCTTTTTGATGGCTTTATGGTCTTAACTGGTGAGGATTCTGTACATGGAAGTGCAAGAGGAGTATGCGACGTGCTTGGGCGGAGAATATCAACTAATTTTTCTCGAACCTCAGCGCTCTTTAGGGACGTGCACATCGAATTTAAGGCCGCGTTATAAGGAAATAGAGAGAGGATCTTGTTCAAATCGCAAAAGTTACGGTGCTTTAGCGCAAGTAGTAGAGATAGAAGCTCATCATACTCAGATACAGAAACAGTTTCCGGTGTCAGTCCGAGTTTTGCAAGAAACTCTCGGGCAGATTGCCTTTCTATGTGAGTAGATTTATGGTTTGTAGAGGCCTTTCCTCGATGTCCATGCCCATGTGCTCTATCTTTTTGTGCTTGAGGGGTGCTTTTTTTATTGATGGGCTGTCTACTCGGTGTTCCAAGTGCACTGTACGATAGAAAAGAGCGATCCACCTTACCAATATGGGCTGAGTCGCGTTGAAACCTGACCATAATATCGGAGTCTCGCTGGTACTGACGTTTGGGCGCCAGTACTGGTGTTGTCATACGGCCATGCTTCGCCGATCCCTGAGAATTATTATGCAAGCGTGTTTGTAAAGAACTCGACCTAGATTCGGGTGTTGAACAAACTTCGTAAGCGTCCTGAGACGTCGCTGATAAGTAAACATCTGCAATAAGATCTGCACGGTGAGGTGATGAAACAACTGGTGTCCTGCCAGCAGAAAGTGCAAGGGCAGAGTTGTAGGCTTCGGTGCTGAGATCCAATGCACCAGAGCTTATTATCTGTTTGATTGCTTCCTGGTATGCGGCATCAATGGAAATATCCAGGTTTTGAGGATACATTAAGGCGTTGTTGATTGGGCTGGTTGCTTTTGCTTTATTTGCGTTTGTGCAAAGCCATAATGTATTAAAAGCTTAGGCATTAGAAACAGATTTTGGCAGCTCAATGATGGCAACAGATCCTCTGGGCCTTGACATGGCCGAACTGGGGATTGTCATTAACCACGGCGACTTGCAAGATGTGCATTCAGGTTGCCTTAAGTATACCCCAGAGGCCTTGGCCCTCGTGAACGAACTGACCGCTAACATTGCCACCATCCTCACAGACTCCATCACAGCGGTATTTACTACACTCAAAGATCGCATACACGAACGTCCGCTCTATGTCCTTTTCGAGCCTCAACTAGGTTGTGATCCTCTTACGGATCATCAGACCCCAAAAGATGTATATCCAGTATTCAGTGAAGCAATCTCATCGGCAGAAAAAAGGCTGAGCGAGACATCTATTGTAATGATAGCGGATGAGCTGCGAGCAAAGATTGTCACCATGTTGAATTTAGAAGTTAGTAAGACCAACGCCCTTAAAGCACAGGCAGAGGATGCCCTTGGAGAGCTAGCTACTCTGAAAGCTAAGCTACTCATGAAGGACAAGTTCATTCAGCAGATCATGCAGTCCAAATCCGAAGACCATAGCAAGTTCATATCAGAAATAACCGTTCTCAGAGAGCAAGCCTTTATGAAGCGGCGCTTTGGAGATAGGTACAAGCCAGATAATATTGACAAAGCAGCAGATGATGGCCAGCAGCAAGGCCTCGGCGGATCCCTTTTGGGGAGCACAGGAGAGTTCGCTGTAGGCCAAGGAAACCAGGCTAACAAGCTGATTCGTGACCAGCTAGCAGCTACAGTAGCAGAGAATAAAGAGCTGAAGCTTAAGCTGGAGGCAACAGGGCTTGCACACAAAAAAGTAGAGGAGCTGGAGGAGGAGTGCACCGCACTAAGGCTCAACATTCAAAACTTGGAGTCATCTCACACAGAAACAATAGCCAAACTTGAAAGCAGTCTCAAGGAAAAGAATTTGCTCATATCAACCTATCAGGACAATGAACGGGCACTCAATACATCTGTTCAAGAGCTTACAAAGCAACTGCGCTCGTTGGAGAAAAGGCGGCCCACTTCTTCAGATATTACTTCTCGTACAGACACAGATTTATTTAGAGAAAATACTGAGCTAAAATCTAGAGTCTTTGAACTGCAAGAGCAGCTCATGACTAATCAGCTAGAGAAAAAGCAGGACCCTACAGAAGATGCGAGCCTAGCAGAGACTCTTTCCAATCTACAGAAGGAGCTTCAAGAGAAAACTGCTGAGGCAAGCCTTTATAGGCAAAAGCTAGAAGAGGCTGGCCTTTTGAACGCACCGGTTGACGCATTTATCAAGCTCGCTGATCATAATACGGCTGTGGCTGCATTCACCTCTCAGATTGACGAGCTTGAGGCTCAGAACCAGGCTCTCGTAGAGCTCTCAGAAAAACTTCAACGTCAAGTAGATCAGCTTATAGAAAATGAAGCCGCCGAGATAAATAATGTCCTTGAGGCTAACGAAATCTTACACAAGCAGAAGCTGAAAAACGCAGTTGAGGCTGCCGTTTGTATCGACAGTTTCAACGAGTCTATTCAGGCAGCCAAGCGAGCTATCACAAACTTTGATGACTTCGGGTGTCAGGTCCCAGATAAGCGCGCTCGTAAAAGTGCTCTACGATCTGGCGAAGGGGATGACCTGGATGTGCAGGATGATGAGGGCTGTAAAGAAGACGCTGAAGCATCTCGCATTCGTCGCGCCATTGATGCAGCTAGGAAAATATATGCCAGCCGTCTTCCCGCGATGAACGAGCCTACATTGTCCTATGACGTGAGCAGTGTTGACGAGGTCTTTAAACAGTTATTCGACACGGCAAAGACAGCCAAGACGCAGCTCATGAAAAAGCATCACGAGACGCTGAAAAATGAAGCGCAAACACTGATGAGAAACTTAAACCTTCATGATCGCATTGCCCGTACAATTTCACATTATACTAACTTTGTTGACCAACCAGCTAAGGACCCGTTGAAACTACTGTCTAAAGAGCAGCTACGCGATGTGCTCTGCGAGAATATAGACGTAGGCCCCTTTGACGACTCGTCTCCTGAACAGGATGAGATGTTAGCTAGACTGCCTGATGCATCACATGAGATGCAAGACGAAGCTTCGAATAGAGACTCAGCTGTAAAGGAACCTCATGACTCGCCTCCTGCAAAACCTGATGGTCCCGCTCCTAGAAGTCGTAAGCGCCGTGCCTCTCCTTCTAAGGTTAGGGGCGGCAGATCTACCCTTTCCACACCAATCTCTTCCACTACAAGACCAGCAACCCGAAAGAGCGGAACTACACTGAGCGGTACAACAACCTCACGTGCTTCTGAGTTAGAAGAGCTCGACGGCGAAAAGGACTTTTTTCGTGCCTCAGTCCCAGACAGCCCCGTCAGAGAGACCTTCAGCGTACGAACCCCAGCATCTCGAGGTATAGAGAGCGATAGAGATTCAGACGACCAGGTGGCTTATGCGCTAGCAGACAACGGTAAGCGTATAGCGCCCATGAAACACGTTCGTGTACCACGTTTGAAAAGTAGTGGACGAGGCCCAAGGCTATTAATTCGACTATTAAAAGACAAACTCACTGGAGAAATCCGCGATGAACTGGGAAGGCTGGTATCTTCAGAAAACCTATATATGTACGGGTATTGCCTGGACATTAGAGGCGACCTAGTCTACTATGGTGATTGCAGTGTCAATAAAAAGGCTTCAGATGACCCAGATACCATTGTACGGAGATTTCTGGCCGGTGACGAAGGTGAGTTGCTACTGCCTAACGGACAGCGCATTTTCCGAGAGGATGCACTGCGCTTTGGATATAAGGGTCCTGCACGTAATGGAACTTACATTTTCATTGGCCAACCTCTTGACCTATATGATCAGGTTATGCGACTATCACCGGATGGTGTTTCTGCTATGGTGACTAAGATCTTAGGACAAGATATAGAATATGACGATATCATTGCTGACTTTACCTTCAAGCTGGATTTAGACGAAGTGACCCAAAAGCCATACGTCTGTATCGACACTGATGCCACCTCTTTACAAGACTCTACACAGGATGCATTCCATGTATTTACGCACGCAAGAGCAACTGAGTTTCTCCATAGGGTTGATCCAGAAAGCCTGAAGATTCCAGAGGAAGATGCTTTCAAGATCGGCATTTTGCCTGATGCCGGCGGGGTATATCGTTATGCACGACCAGCGCTCCACCTATCACAAGCAGACGATTTGCTAGTAACGGATCCACAGGGAAATGAAATTAAGGTCGAAGATGCCCTTGAAGCAGGATATGCAGGGCCGTTCGGTTCACAACAGGAGTATTACTATTTCTCCCCAGCTCTTCCTGGAGAAACAAGGGCTTGTGAGGTAATTTCCAATGGTTCAAAATTACGCATAATCACCAACAATGACGAAAACACTGCTTATGAAGTTGCTGTAGCTGATGCATACAAATATGGATTTCTTCCTGCGCTTAATGGTACATACCACTACGCAGGAGATCTGCCATATCTTAGAGAGCTCGATACAGAATCTAACGTTCTATATGACCTCTTGGATAAGCCTGTTAACCGTGAAGACGCAGAACAACACGGATACTTGCGTCATAGCGATGGGAAGTACTATTACATAGGCTTATCTAACCTACCTCAGAAACAAAGTCCTCCATCAACCGTACGGCTATCATCTTCTATCGACATTTGCGACTCTTCGTTTGATAGTCAATTGGAAAATGACGGTATTAACATCGCAAATGCTGACATAACATTGCTATACGATAAGTATATTGACGTATTCATAGAAAAGGATACAGGATACGTCGTTGACAATAAGGCTATGCTTAAAGAGTATGGGTACCTGATCGATAATACAAACACTCCTCATTTTGTAGGGATAAACAATTTGGGAGAGGTTCTTCCACGTGATGCAGATTTGGATGCTATAGACCAGTCGAAAACCATAATCACCGGTTATAATAACAAAATATATGTTTATGATCAGAAAAACATTGATACATATTATGAAAATAACGTTGCAATTGTACCTAAGAAGATTGATATTATAAAACTTCAAAAGCGGCTTGAAACCATTAATGATCCAAACCAAGTGAGAAAGCTGGCGGAGCATATGCAGCGTTTGGACAAGCGGCAGTTGGAAGCTTCTCAGCCTCCTGCTCGTGACATCAGCTCTTGTAGCAGTGAAAAGGTGAGCATACTGATTGATGACGGCATTGGAAAAAGCACCATTCTAAACGTTAAAAGTAACGAGCTACAGAATGTTGCATCTAGTACCTCACCAAAAGTAGAAGCCACTATCACTCAACGTGAACATAGACAGCCAAAGGATGTAGCTAATGATCTCATTGTAGAGGAACTCGTAAATACACAAGCGCAACTTCATGACCATTTGCCGGCGTGTGAACTAACTGGAGAAATAAGCAGCAGTGTAGTGCATGTTGAACCAACTGGTCATGCTTCAAGAAATCCGATCGATACCCTTGATAATTGTACAATCATCGATAATACTTCTTTAGGAGCTGGGTTGGGCCATGCATCGACAGTACGCAAGGTTACCACTCTCTGCAGCCATAACATTGATCGAGAGCTTTTGGGACACCAGGGGGGCTATTTCTACTCTCCTGGTCATGCCGTCTTTAAACGACACGGACCAGGATTAGTTGTTACAACTTACGGTTCTGTCGATGACACCTTTGTACATGTGAAAAGCCCAAACTATAGGACTCATATGTTGACTCCGTCCAGAAAGGGCCGCATTGTTATTCAGAACATCATTAAGCCGTCACCTAATACCAGTATACGGCCATTGTTCGATCGAGAGGCTGGAATTGTCTTCGATGAGCAAACAAATGAGATTTTGGGCCACGTCAACGAAACAACTGGTGACATCGAAGACACCACTGGGCGCACAATTGGACATAGCGAGCTCAGATCTCGAACTATTAAGTATGTTAGCACAGAGAGCTCTCTAAAGCAGGCGTCAATACATAGGCTGCGCTCGACAACTGTGGCTTCTACTACCACTTCACTACAACGTAGCCGCTCCCACGATCCTCGGCATTCCGTAGAACTAGGACAAGAGAACTATATCTTTGGTGAATTTGTAGAAACACCCATGCGTGTTGTAAGCACTAAAGCATACATAGCAATGAATACACCCACACAGATGAAGGATCCAAGCGTTCCCCTGCTTTCTTCAAGCGTAACAGGGCTATCTTCTCGCCGAAATCTTATCGATTCTAAGTCTGGAAGGACAACGCAGGGCCTCACTAAATCAAGCATGGTGCTGGTAACTCTTCACGATCCTGATGCTCCTCTGGACTTGGATCCACACGCCATTACAGCGTTCCAAGTCAATACGCATACGGAGACTGTCCTTCGTGGAGGTTCTGCTCCAGCAAGGGGGTCCTTCGGACTGTCAGATACTGGGTTCAAAGAGGACAGTATTGTCTCTATGCACGATGGGATGTTTCCTGGTATTGAGGATCGTACCCAGTTGGGGGTGACTCCGACTGAGCTCGTACGAGCCACGTCCCATCGTGCAATTGGACGCAGTCCATCAATAATACCTGGAATGCATAACCCTGCACCTCCATCGCTTAATACGTTATACAGAGAAGGAAAGACTCTGAATGCTCTGTCTAACGCTTTGCCAGTTACCCCTCAGAAGCCCCCTGATTCCGCCCTCCATCGTGCCTCTTCAAAACGTGATATGTCTATTGGTTATCCTATATGCCAAAGGTCTGTACGCCGAGCGCAATCAATGCGATATATGACAGGTCACATGCTTCCATCGATGATACTTCCACATGAGCTGCTTCGGCGTCCCTATTACAAGGACGCAACATCTAAATGGATTCCTTACACTCAAGTCACGCTGGTGCCAGACGATTCAAAGATGCTTTCAGAGTCACACTCTGCTCCTCTTAGCATCTTGCAAAGCCTTGCCTATCGTACACTGCAGCACGGTGTCCTGTCTACAAAGCCCCTTCGTCCACATACGACAAACGATGCATCAGAAGCTACCTCCACTACAAGCCGTGTAGCCCTAGCTTCTGATGATGAAGATTTAATTGAAGCAGATATAGGGTGTAGCAAGCCACCTCAAGTGCTTCCCTCAATGCGATGCCTAAACAAGTTTGTCGCTATGAAAGACTCAACAACCACGCACATAAAGGGTAGTGAAGGTCGGGCTTTGAATCCGCATAACAAAGACACAGGCACAGTATTGAGAGGGGCCAGCAACCCAGTTGTTTCCGAACGAATATCTTACAATCTTTCCCAAGAAGCCCGTGCAAAGTCGTCTTGTTTGGCTAAAGAATCTGAATATCAGTTTGTGCAGGTGGGCTCTCTGCCGCCCTCTAGCCTCCCAGCCACATTTCCACTGGTAACTAGCGCGATGGAAAGCACTGAAGCGCTTTCATCTCTTTGTCAGAAACACGAACGCAGCCCAATGCATGTGCATTCACTTACTAAAACTGAAAAACCTAAGGAGACTCCGCTTTGCGACGTTGCTCCACCTTCGCCTGAGACAAAACAGTGTGATAATGTCCACCGGCCTAGAAACCTAGTTACATCGCGCAGGTTGCTGTCAGCTCAGCTAAAAGGATCTAGTTCTCAACAGGCCCGCCAACCCCGCATAATACAGATCATTCAGAACGATCTAAACACATCTGCATCGTCTAGAACACACGGCCTTCAAGCGCACTCCGCCTCAGATGCTGCAAAAAAACTGGAAACAAGTGGCCTTGCTATCAATACCTCTCCTCGCAGACGTTGCCGGTAAGTCCTTTTCCATCATGAATTGGATATTTTCACTGCGAGTAAACTAATAGTCTAGCTTAGAGGAGCGTTTGTGGATACTGCCAAACGCAGCAGAATAGCCGCATCAGATGAGCATGTAGTTTATCGATACAGATGATATCACGAAGGCATCTAATGCTAGAAGAGCTGATGAACACCGTACGGTATCACTTGACCTTCTGTTATCATGTCTTGCATCTCTATTGTCAGGTCTCCTAAAAGCTCACCATGGTCCAATATTTCTCGGACTTGGAAGGGCTTTTTGATAAGTTCTTACAAAGAGCCCCACAATAGTGTTTAAAAGAAGCCGTCTTAAGACACTGCCCAAGTACTTAGAACGATACACTGAAATCAACACTAAAAATACTGAATTGTGAGTTTTAATTATCAAGCATTCTCGAGATGCATATTAGGATCCATTGAGTTAATTCCTACGGGGAGACACATCTGCCCTCCATAGCCCGCAGGGGGGAAGCATGGCACGCATGCGAATGCAACGGGCGACCCGAGGAGACCCTGGCCCGTCTGAAGCGGGAGGACGCCGGGCCCAGGAACGACCCCGGGCGGGAGGGCGAGGACGAGGCACCCCGGCGCGTGCGGGGGCAGAAGCGCAGAGACCGCGCCCGGGGCCACAAAGACCGGCCCCCCGACGGGCGGCACCAGCGGAGGCGTGGCGCAACCAAGAACGCAGGGGGGCGGGGGAGAGGCCGTCACAGGAGATGCCTCCTCCTCCTGCTTGGCCGCCCTCGGGCCGTATGTGCGGCGCGGCAGCACCACCCCGTGCTCCTCCAGGGCGGCGCGGACGTCCTGGGTGCGGAGCGCGTTGTTGTACGTCATCCGCAGCTCCTGGCGCGGATACTTCGCCCCGAAGCGCTCGTGGACCCTGCGGTAGAAGTCCGGGCCCAGGATGCTCCGGTCCCTGACCCCGGCGATGATCATCGCCTTGATGGCCCTGCGGTCCTCGCCGGTCATCTTCACGTTGAGGATGCTCCGCGAGTGCGTCTCGCGGTACCAGTGGTAGATCCTGCTCCGGTCCTCGGACAGGGCGCGGGCGATCTTCTTCCAGTCGATGGCCGTCCGGAGCACGTGCCGGTGGAGGAGCAGCGGCCGCCGCGCGAGGCTCTCGGCCGTCTCCCCCAGCCGCCGGGCAGCGACGACCTGCTTCGCGAGCTCGAGCAGAACGGAGGCGCGCGTCTCCGCCGTCATTGCCCCAGAGCCCATCCGATAGAAGCGGCGATAAAACTAAAAACAGACCAACGAATAATGTGAAATTAAATATGTACAGGCCTTGCACAAAAGCTTTAGCGGGTGTTTGTTGCCTGCCTGCCCCGGTCCGTCGGGCGAGCAGGGCGCCCTCACCCGGGCCATCGCCGCAGTACGAGTTGGCTTAGGCCGCCACACAGAACAGACTGCTTTGCACACGGCGGCGCCGGGGCTGATGTATTGATCGGAGGTTTTTGGTATTGCCGGGGATCCCCGCCCTCGGCCGCCAGGGAGAGCCGCGCCCTGCGCAGCCCCGGTTTGTCTGCAGATGCCCAGAGCTCTACGGAGGCGGGCAGGCTGGGGCCGTCCCCTTCGTTCGGGGCATCGCCGACGACGAGCTGCTGCCTGCGGCCTGCGGGGTCTTCCGCTCTGAGAGGGGCAACCGAGTGTCGTGGGCCGCAGCGCTCTGCAAGGCCTGCACACGACCAGGGGCTGCCAAGTTTTTTGAGCAGCTGGCTCTGACGCAGATTCTGCGGACGCCTGCTGCCGGCCCGGTCTACAGGGGCGCCCGCGTGTCTACTGTGACGACTTCCCTCATAGTGCAAAGAGTCCCTGCTTAGCCCTTTCTGGGCATTTATGCGCTAATTGTATTCTCAAGTAGGCACTGTCTGTTTTCAGCTGCAGTTTTGAGCCAACCCAAAATGACAGTTGTGCTCTACTATTACCCTGTAACTTAATAATAGCGCAGCTGTGTCTACTGCATCGTTGATACTGGTCCGCTCCACAATTTTCCCATCAACATGCAGACTCATTGATTATATGCAATCCTGCTTATCACGTCGATAAGATGATATCGGTTTTTAAGGTTAGACGTTGACTATCTGTAGTATGATCACTACCAGTAAGTTCCTGTGACGTGCCTCAAAAGATATCAATGTTCTGTCCTAAAACTGGCTATATCAACTCGCGCGGTATTTGGCCTAAATATACAACCTGGGTTAGTATGCTGAGGCCCAACTGATATGCACGCAAATGTTTGATGCAAGGTAGCGGTACTTTGCTTTTGTCCATGTCAAAGTTGTAGTTTTAGGGGTGTTATCCTATCATCGCATTTGTAAGGGGACCTGGCCATAACAATTGGTGCCATACCGAAAAGTCCATGCAATCAGAGCTGAGTCTTTGTTCAACCTTGTCACAATAGATTGTGACACTAACGTGCTTACTATTCTCGACACTACCAGCCAGACTTCACCGGGAAAAGCGCCCGTTATACTGTATATAGCTTGGTTGTACAGTATATTTACTCAGCTATTCGCTATACAACTGTACAAGATGTCTTATTTCAGCAGAAGAGCTTAGAGCATCTGGTGAGATCGTAGGCCTATACCCTAGCTTGGCTTCTTTCCCTAATAATACCCTTACGCAGTCGATCGAACCGTACATGCATGCAAAACATAGGGCTGTTAGACCTTCCTTGTTAGGGTGTCCCTCGCTTGTCCGCAGACCTGCTTCGCCAAGGAGCAACTCACAGGTTGAAGGCCTATTGTTCTTAGCAGCCCGCATAAGAGCCGTCTCTCCATATATATCGGTCATCCCCGCCTCTGTACCTACCAACACGCAAACGAGCGCATCGAGGCCCCTTTCAGCAGCAAGCATAAGTGCTGTGGTTCCATTCTCATCTTGTAGGCATCCCTGATAGGGTAGCATTGCCTTAACGCAGATGATGTCATTTCTTACAACGGCGTCCATCAGCTCTGTGAAGCGGCCTGTCGCACAATTTACCATTTGGCTTGTAAAGGAGTAGTTTCCAGTGTATTCTGGAATGACTCTCTTGTAGCTACTCTCTAGGATCTTTCCATTGACGCTTGGACGTTGAATACCTGCCTGTAGTACGTGTTTCTCTACAGTGCCGTGGGAAAACTGCCCCGAAAGAATCATGCTGGTCAGCTCCTTTCCCATTCCGTTAAATGATTGGGTGCTAAAGTCGGTGTGACCCCCACGGGATTCACGTTCAGTGGTGGGTACATTTGGAGGGCAGTACTCTTCTGCAGAGCGGCGTTGTATCGACTCGAAGATAGGATCGGTAGAAAGGATTCCATGTGGGTCTGCGTGCGGAGGGACATCTCCGGCATCGTTTGCGGCTATGTTTGAATCGTACACCTCTCTGAGGTCTTCTGCTTTCTTTGTAGTCGTGGTTGGTAGTGGTGTTATATATGTATTTGTGTTAGAGTTTGCTAGGATAAGGCTCTTGTCTGCTCCATCTCTGTGTACAAGTGGTTCAGAGCTAGCTACTAATTGAGTATCCGAAGAAACGAGGGCAGGCATGTAGGGCACGGCGTATTGCTGGTCCTTCGCTTGTTCAACGAGTCTTGTCTCAATACCTTCCACGTCCACGCTTCTAGAATCCAGCAGCTCTCTGTCTGCAACCACGGAAGAAGAGCGCCCTAGGTGCTCCTCTGCCACTTTAACCTTTTCCTCAGTAAACTCCACTGCACTGCAGATTAGGCTATTCATTTCATCGACGGTCTTGTCCTTATAGGTTTCTATGGCCTGAGAGAGGGCAACTGACTCTCTGTCCAATTGCAGTGACTGTTGCAGGATGTTCGTAGACTGCTCCAGGATAGTATTGGCAGCTGACAGCTTTTTAACGGTTGCTGCGAAGATTGTAGGCTGATCAGCATCCAAACCCAACTCTTCATCGAGTGGATTGGCGGCTCTAGAATGGTTATCAGGAGACTCCCTTACCTTTGTCAAGGCGTCAACAACAAGGTCGTGCGCATCCCTGATCACATCAACAGCTCGCTGGATTTCCTGCTCATGCGCTGTAGACGCTTTACATGAGATGGTCAGGTGGTCGAAGTCTTGAGCCGATGAGGTGGAATACTCGCTCCTGTCGACGACAGCCTTGCTCCTACTGATTGATTGAGAATACTCCAAGTATTCGTCGATAGAAATTTTCTTTGGTTCAGTGCATGCAAGGGTCGGAGGAAAAGTGGGATGACCCAGGTGGCGAGATTCATTCATGGGTCTGATTTCGTTCTTCTTGTATTCGGGCTTTTTAGACACGTAATTGGCAGACAAGACAGATGCGTCAACCTCATCCTTAACTATGGAAGTAGCATCGATGCAAGGCCCCGTGGTGGATCTGGTTCTGGGTGCAACGACGTCTGCAGGGCTTAGAGGAATAACCTTGACATTACTGCTAGGGGTGTGGACCACAGAGTTGCTCACTGACATGGAGCTGTTACCGGGTTGGAAGAAAGAATCTACGTGTTCGGCTTGATATGCGGCAATCTCTTTAAGGGTGGAGCACATTACCGTGTCACCCCGCCTCAGGGCTATCTCGGTGCAGGCAGTAAGCACATCCTTTGGAATAGGTATTTCGTGGCCAATCATAGCTGCGAGAGCATGGTTTCCGAGAGAGACAGCGTGTGCCAGGACGGAGAATCCGCGCTTGTCATACCACTGTGTAGGATAACGGAGCAAATAACTGCAGAGCGTAGTATTCGCTGCATTTATTGCTAGCATAAGGGATGTATTTCCTTCTCTAGTGTAAATGTGCCCCTCAAAGGGCATCAAAAGCTGGACTATCTCCAGGTAGCCGTGCTTGACAGCCATGTGCATTGCACACTCTCCATCATTGTTTAGCAATGTAGCCTCCCTTTGCAGAAGGAAAGAAACAACATCTGCTTGATTTCCACGAGTTGCCACCATCAGGGCGGTTTCTCCAGAATCGTTTCTTCGTCCAGCACACTTGTCAACTAGGGAACTCATTCTGTCCTTATCTCCTACAAAAGCGCATTTAAACCACGTATCGATGAGGAGCCCCGCCGATTCCATGAAAGGCTTCTGAAAAATTCTTTAAAATGCGCAGCTTCCCCTTTGAGGCTGTTTACTTTAATTCTTTCCCGCAAGAAGTGCTAGAAAGAAGCTGCATCAATCCTGAAGAGATCTCAAGTAGTCATATATTTCTGGATACGTCGCTCGCTTGCATTTCATCAACGCCGTGGCACCCCCCTTCAACGTGAGATCCATTTCTATTGGAGCCAGGATTTTCACGGCATCCAGGTTTCCATGCTCTATAGCCTTGATAAGGGCTGTTGTGCCATCCTTGGTCTGCCGTCTGGCTTCATGATCAATCAGAAGCTTTACAATCTCCAAGTGGTTATTACGCGCAGCGCTCATCAACGCAGTCCATCCGTCTTTTCGAGACATCCCAGCTTCGTGAGGAATTAGAAGCTTGCATACATCGAGGTGACCATTGAGGGCAGCCGACATAAGAGCTGTTTTTCCTGAGTATGTGGCCTTCCCCACTTGCTTATCCAACAGAGCACAAACAACTTCCAAATGGCCGTTTTCTGCTGCTTTCATAAGAGCAGTTTCTCCCATCGTATTGGTGACCTTTTCTTGATATGGAACCAAAGAAAGAACCGTGCTAATGTCTCCTATAGCAGCAGCTAGAATAAGGGCTGTATTCCCGTCCTTATCTCTGAATGCGGTAGACTTTGTGAGTGTGTTATCTACGACAACTGCTTGTGCATCTTCACGAAGACTTTCAAGCAATCTGCTCGGTGCAGATGTATCCGCTGCAAACGCCGCATACCCGACTTGGGAAGGAGCAACTGGCATGTTGGTAGATGATAGCAATTGAGAAGTGCTCAGCTTACTACCATCTATTGTACTATTAGACTGTGTAATAGACGGCGCAGTACCAAGGCCATCGAAACGCTGCGTTCCTGGACTCCCATGATAGCCACTTAGGTGCATCTTTTCCAGATTGTCATGTGTAGAGGCCCGCACATTCCCTGCTGTGCCAGATGTCTGAGGATAATCTTCAGTACTATCAAGAATTCCACTCTGAACCATTGTCAATTGCTTTCTTAACTCTAGTATCTCTGTATTCTTAGATCCCATTTGCTCTTCCAATTCAGCAATCCTCTTGGATGAAGTTGCATTATCACTCGAAAATTGAGCCATCCGAGTATTAAGGTCAGTGATGGTCTTTAGCAAATTAGTGTTTTGCTCCTGTGCTGCTGTCTGACTTTGTACCAAAGAATCAACTGCAGACTGAGATGCTGCCAGCTTGGCCACAAGTTCAACGTTCTCTGTTTCCAACCGAGAAACTCGCCCCTGCAGGAACGTGCGCTCCTCCTGCTGAGACGCCAACTGGTTTGCAACAACAGTTGCGCGGGCGTTGATTGCGTTTTCCGTCATGCGAATTATCTCTGTTGTGTTTTCTTCTAGTTCAGCTACCTTTGCCCTCAGCATTTTGATCTCCTCATCTTTCAAGTGCAATTCGCTTTGGAGAGAGTTGACATGAGTACTCGATGTTGATACCTGTAGCATGAGTGCCGTAGATTCGCTGGAGGAGCTTCTCACTAATGCCTTCTGCTTCTCAAGCTCGGCCTCAAGCCTAGCAATCGTTGACTGACTCTCTGTTATCTGTGCCATGAAGTTGGAGTTAGCGTTCTGCGTTGATGCCACCGCCTCCATGGCAGTTTGATACTGTGAGAGCAGAGATGCATTTTGCTCCTTGACGCGGTTCAGTTCTGCTGAAAGCTCATTATTTTGTCGAGTGAGCTTGGCACAGTTATCACACAAAGATGCATGGCCTATTTGGCTGGTGATAGTGGGTCCTGAGGAGAAGGATGGCGATGAAACTGAAAATACCGGGGCAGGCGTAGGTGCTGTGGCAGCAGAAAAGGGCGCTACTGGCTGTGCCACTGGTTGTACCACTGGTTGCGGAATAGTGGTCTGCAAACATGGAGGTACAATCTGTTGTAGCCCGGGAGCCACAGAAGCAGCTGAAATCGCAGGAAATGGTGTGGTAGCTACAGGAGCAGGCACAACTGTCCCTAACAAGGGAAGTAGATCTGTATATCCCAAGTTCTGAGCAAGCTGTGCAGCAGTCAATCCATCATTATTTTTCAGCAGGCCAAATTGCACAAGAAGTTTTGGTATACATGACTTTGCACGAACCCGAACTGCCCAATGTAAAAGAGTATCTCCTGCCGCGTTCCTAACAGAAGCCTCATAGGGAAGCATCAAAGAAACGATATCCCAATTGTCCGAGTCCAATCCAAAATGTATTGCTGCCTTACCAGAACCTGTCGTACACCCCTGTTCGTGAGCGCAAAGCTCCTGCACCACTGCGATATGTCCGCAACATGCGCTGATCATCAAAGCCGTCATTCCGTCCGTGGTTGTAGCAGTACGGAAAACGGCACAATTGGCTCGGATGAATTGTGAGTCCCCGCTTTCTGCCGCTTTGAACCAATCTTGGACAGTTGGCATCTGAAGTTGCAGTTTTTTGAAAATCTAGATTTAGAAGTGTCTCTATGTTTGGTCCTGCATTTGGCTAAACTCTTCTAGATCAACCTTCCACTCCTCAATGTGTGCTCTGCACATGGGGCAGTTGCGACGATTCAAGTCCACTAGCTTTTCTGAGCACGCAATACATGCACATCTGTGACCACAAGGAATACACGTCATAATGCAAAGATCAGAGAGACAAATGGTGCATACTCCTAGTACATCCTCCTTATCTTTATATTGAATGGAAATAAGGTATTGAAGGCCATCGCCAGCTAAAAGGGCACGGGTTTCATCGTCTCTAATGCGCTTTGCAAGGTTCCGGATCGAGTACTTACCTTTGTCCCTTATAGTGTACTCTAAGGGAAGAAGGATCTTGATGCAATCTGTGAATTCCGCATAGATAGCATATGCCAGCGCACACCAACCCCCGGAGTCCAAAATGCATGCCTCATGCTCTGCGAGCAGCCTCACGCACTTGACATTGTTGCGCATGGTCGCCCGGATGAGTGCAGTGTAGCCTTCCTTGTCTTGCATGCGCGCCTCCTTCCCGTCTTGCAGAAGGAGCCGAACACATTCCTCCGAGCCAGCTGAGGCTGCATACATCAGAGCGGTGACACCGTTGCTATCAGACTTTCCAGAGTCCCGCGCGATGCACTCGGCCACTTGAGACGTCGCATTGGCAGCAGCAGCACTCATAAGAGGGGTAATGCCCTCCAGAGGCATCTCTCGGTCAGCTAGCTTGTTAACTGCGTGTACATTCTTGCGTGAAATTGCGTGCTGCAAGGCAGTAGAGCCTTTGTTGTCACACAGCGTGGCCTCTACCTCCACTAGCTTGTCTGTTGGGCACATATCATGCGCACAAGCGTACATAAGAGCTGTCCACCCTTCTGTGTCTTTCATTTTCCCCTCCGCGTCAACAAGTAGATCAACACAATCTGCGTGACCAAGCATTGCAGATATCATTAAAGCCGTGCGTCCAAAGGAATCTACGAGCCTCGCCTCATGCTCACGCAGCACCTTTACTACCTCGGATTGGTTGAACATCGCTGCAGCCATCAATGCCGTCGAGCTATTTGTTGTCCGCAGACCTGTCTGGCTAAGGTTTTTCTTAACGGCTTCAACATCTCCTTTAGCCGCCGCTTCCACCAAATCCGTGTCTGCCCCAGTTCGTACATACACGGGTGGCTTGGGTGTCCTCAATTGAATCCTCTGCAGAGGCAACACTTGCGGTGTGGGCATCTTTTTAAAACGTTTACTCAGCTCAGCCTTGAAAAGCATCAAGGAGGTTTCTGATCTCATCTGTCTTTGCAAAATCGCGGGCAGTCATCCCGTTAGAACATACCATGCCGTTTTCCTTTCGTATCAGAATGTGGACGCAGTCCAGGTGGCCCTCGTGGGCTGCAAGCATCAGCGCCGTGAGACCAGCACTTTCTCCGTTTTCATCACCCTTGGTCGCCATGCCACCTTCATAGTCCACAAGAACAGAGACTATGTCCGTGTGCCCATTGCATGCAGCATCCATGAGGGCAGTAGTCCCAAAGTGAGTCTGAATGCGAGCCTCCTTCTGCATTAGTGCCTTCACAATCTCAATGTGGCCCTTCTGCGCAGCATACATGAGAGCCGTCTTACCTTCCTCATCCTGAAGCCCTGCTTGGTAATTGAGGTACTTCCAGACGTGAGCGGAGTCTCCCGCTTCTGCCGCTTCCATGAGGTCTGTCTTTCTGTTGTTCGCAGTGGATATGCACGTCGTATCCAAGTTCTCCCTCATCGAAAGAATCTGTTGAGCAGACATGTGAGGCGGTATAAGGGTCAGCGACAAGAACTTTGTTCTTGACACTGGACGGGTCGTATGTTCGGCCTTGTCGGCAGCATAGTCGCGCAAAGCCGTTCCACTGTTGGATGCATTTCCCACAGAGTCTCCTTGGCTGGTGTACAGATACTTTTTCTCGCCTGATCGAGACATGGCCAGATTGCTTCCGCTGCGCTTGCCATTCTGACTCCTAGCGAGAACACTCGCCTGGGCAGCAGCAGAGGCCTTCAGCTCTGAACGAGATCGAGTAGCGAACTCCTCGTACAGGCTCTGCGTTTCCCCGCGCAGATTGGTGGGCGGGCCACGCTTATTCTGGGCAGCAGAGCTACTCTTCTTGCCACCGGTAGTGCCAAACTTAGTAGCACCTCCAGTGCTTGCAAGTTTGGCTTGGAGTTCCTCTATTTGGGCTTGCTGGTTGCCAACCAGAGTATTAAGTGACTCGATGTCCATCTGAGCGCGTAGTAGGTCATCTTCACGTGCTGTAAGTGTTTCACGAAGACGCTTCTCCTCTGAATTACTGGTGTTTATAACATTTCGACTAGATAGCTCGTCAACCACGTTGTTTAGGTCGGCAATCTGAGCATGAGCCTCCTGAAGCTGGGCAGCCAGCCGAGAAACATCGTGCTTAAGGTCCCCGCCGTCATGTTGCATGTCAGATAATTGGGAAATTAGGTTTTCATTCTCGCTGATGAGGATCCTGTTGGCTTCTTCCAACTCGCTTACCTTACGCTTATCGCTCTGGTCATCACCTCGCATCTGGAGTTCAAACCCTTCCTTTAATTCAAGCATCTCTTCCTGCAGCTCAAGAAGCTTCTCTTCGACAGCCAGTTTCTCCTTCATAACATCAGTCTTCTGAGCGTTCGCCTGCTCTACCTGGGTCTGGTACTCCATGGCCTTGTCGTTTATTTCACTGATCTGTCTCTCAAGACGATCCTTCATGTCAATGGCTGAAGACGCCTCCCTGGATGCTTTGGCCAAGTCCTCCTGCAATCGCCTAACTTCCTCTCGAAGCTTCTTCTCGATAGACTGCTGCTGACGCTCAACGCTCCGGGACCTATCTTCCTGGTGAGAATTAACGGACGTGGACTCTGCCTCTATCGAGCTAGCCGTGCGGTACTCTGCAGAGGGCTGCGCATCCTCGGTGCTGGGTCGCCTTTTGTCATAAATCTGATCTTCAGAGCCAGAATTAGATCCTCGACCGAAATTGGCGAACCTCTGGGCATTTCTGGCCATTATCGCGTTATCCTCCTTAAGCTTTTGGAGGGCCTCGGTCAAGTTATTAACGCAGACGTCCAAGGTGCGCCTCTCGTCTTCAAGCTTCTTCACCTCGTCCCTCAGCAGCTCGGCATCTCTAACAGCCTTTTTCATCTCAGTCAACTGTTCTGGAGAAATCTCCTCACCTTCTGAGGTGATTAGGCGCCCAGGTTTCCTGTGATGCAGCGCGGGCCCATCAGCCTGCTCGATGACAGTCGCTGGAGAGACGCTTCTACGAGGCACCGTGGAGGCTATGTTTTCCATCTGAATCTTCTCATGAACTGCGCGATCGTAGTCCATGTGGAGGTTTGCTACATACTTCTGCAGTTGGTTAATCAGAGGCGAACTCCTCAGGTCTGTCACGTTTTTCAACTGCTCGAAAAGATCCCTCACCTCAGCATTCTTCTGGATAGTCTGATATTCTACGGCTGAGAGTACTGAGTTGGCGTTTGGAACGGCAAGCTCGCCTGGCTGTGTCCTTTCGCGCAAATTAGAACCGGGGCTCAACGATCGTAATTGGCTAGACCCTACAACGCTTCCCGAAAGGCTTGCCTGCATGTTCATAACGGCAGTACTGTTGTTTAGTCCAGAAGCGCTAACGACCCTGGCAGTGGGAGAGTGGAACGTATTGTTGGAGTACTGGGAATGCTTGGGATAGCTGGGACTGTGCCCAGTCTGAGCTCTCATAACCGTCTGAGATTTCTGATTGGACCGTGCACGAATCTCATTGCGATTGAGCGTGGCCTTCATGGGCGTGCTTCCGCTGCGGTGGAGTGGAGCGTGAGAGGCACGAACGGCGCAAGAATTAGCCACTGTTGCAGAAGTAGCATTTATCACTTCAACCTCTTGTTCCTCTGCTTTCTGTGTCTGCTTTCTGAGAGCCATCTGAAGATAAGTGTAAATATCGCTCCTACCGTCGCGCTCCGCCAGATTCATTGCAAACTGAAAATCCTCTTGACTATGACGGACAAGATCTACAATCGCCCGAGTGCACGCAATGTTATTTGAAATGACAGAGTAGTCGAGCGCCGTATAGCCGGAGGGGTCGCGCTCCACAGGAAACTCACGTGCCAGGGCCAAGCAAGCATTCATGGCGCCTGCCTCTGCAGCAATCATCAGGGCGTTGCGACCGTCCTTGTAGTAAATGGTCTTTTCCAGCGGTGCCAAGATCTCGCATATCTTTGGATGATCTAGCTGAGCAGCTATGATGAGCGCAGTCTCGTCGTTCTTGTTAACCAATCCTGCCTCCTGGACGGCGAGAATCGTGGCCAACTCGGGATCATCGATCCTTGCGGCAACCATCAATCCGGTGTCCTGCGCACTGTTACGGAAACCCTTGTAAATGTCCAGAAGCTCGCGGACCTGCGTGTAGCGCCGTGCCCCTATTGCAGTGAACCATTCCTTAGAATCAGCTTTGGACATGTCTTTTTTGATCTCGTTTTTTTTCCCCTTTGGGCGGAATTAATCTTGTGCGCCTTAAGTGACCAAAGGCCAGGAGTCCCCTGAAGCAAAGCGTCCGTGAGACCCCAGCTATCTAGATGAGCAGAGAAAAGACACCTTTACTCAGTGAAAAAGGCTGAGCAGCTCCCTTGCCTCCGACGTCTTTGCAAAGGAGAGTGCGTTCTGCCCTCTAAAGTTGGTTATCTGGCCTTCCCGCGGAGCAAGAAGACGGAGAGACTCCAGGTTGTTCTTCTTGGCGGCTATCATACACGCACAGTACCCTTCACCCTCCTTATGACTGCAGTTACACACCATTCCAGCCTCCTTTTCTAACAGACCGACGACTATGTTGTCTGCGTTTATCGTCGCAGCCGACATGAGGGCTGTCCATCCGTCATTCATGGCTAATCCCCCGTCACATGACATGAGCATAGCCGCCACGTTTAGATGCCCATTCCCCAGGGCGTGCATAAGAGCAGTGCCCCCATTTTTGAGCTGCATTCCTCCCTCAAATGGAAGAAGAAGATTTGCAATCTCCTCGTGTCCTCGCTCAGCGGCATACATCAGGGCTGTTTTGCCCTCTGGGTCCTGGACGCGAGCAAACGAGATGACCAGCATCTTCGCTGCAGCGATATCATTCTCTATCGCCGCTCTCATAAGGCTAGTGAATCTTCCAGGTGTACTCCTGTCCTGAGGATGGTTCTGCTTATGGGATGCAATGAGATCCTCCACAGATATGGTCTCCTCCACTACCGGTAAAGTGCACTGCGTGCGCGCTACCGGGTCCTGTAGAGTGCTGTTCCGAAACCTGAGGGAGCTCACTAGGTCAGGGGCATTCCCCATAAGAGGCTGGCCGCCGATGAACGAGCTTGTAAGCCTCCTTCCTTCATCGTCAGGAATGGTAGTTGCTAGGGGAGGAACGATGGCAGACGCTGTAACGTTGGTCTTAGTTGCACGTTGAATTTCCTCCACCGTAGGAAGAGCGTCGTCTTCAAGAACCGCTACTGCTTTGCGAACAGCTTTGTTTTTAGACTGCGATTGTGCCCGATGTGCATAAGGCCCAACAGGGTCTGTGCTTGATCGTATAATCTCGTTCGCCCGGTCTATGGCGACCTTATACTGGCTAGTGCGAGGATCATACTCGCTGGCAAGAATAGCGGTAGTAGAGGTTAAACCCTTATCGACAATACGCTGGGACGCCGTCAGCTTTTCAAGCCCCTTGTTTATTGCGTCACGTGGGCTATCTTTATACTTTTTGTTCATGTCAATGGTCCCCGAATTATTTGGATAGTCTTTGTATTCATAGTTGTCTGGAAGCAGTTTGGGAATTTCTGGTGTCTTCTTGACTGATTCGTCTGCGAAGGCCGTGGCTGTGAACGATCCGGTGAGCTTCTCAAGGGGCTCCAAGGGAGTACGTGCTATCTGTGGAGGTTCTCGCCTGGGCATTGGCACCCCCATGTCCTCGTTCAGCTTCGTTTGACGAGACACATGACCCAGCGCATCTATGATGTCATCGATCGTGTCCCCAGCGTCGATGTCCTGGGAAGGCGGTGGTGAACGGAAGGAGTTGATCCCTAGGGGCGATGTAGGAAGCACGGCAGCAGTGACAGCAGCGTTAGGAGCAGAATCTGTGTCTGCAACGGAGAAGTTTGGCACCCGACTCAAGTGTGGACTCACAGGAGGACTTACGGAGCGAGAACGTGTAGTCGGAGAAAGACGCTCAGCCATATGCTCCCTAAGAAGTTCATCTTTTGCTGCAAGAAGCTCATCAATACGCGCACAGTCCTCCGAGCGTGGATTGACAGGCACGCATCTGAAGCTCCCAGTGATCTGGCGCATCTCTTGGACATGGTCGTCTGTGTGAAGAGACCCCTCGTCTGGAAAGTTAATTGATGTGTGGTCTGATTGAGGTTGAGAGCGAGCAGACGGGGTGTATCGCTGACTGAGATGAACCCCCACCATAGAGCTAGTGCTCGAGTCCCCATACTCACGAAGCTTTTCATCAATGATCCCTATCATTTTTGAAGACAGACCGTGCTGCTCAGCATAGGCTTTGGCGTTTGCTATGTCCTTGGGCGTCACCTTGCGATTGTTCAGTGCGTGCCTAAGGCACTCTTCGGACTCGCCAATAATGGCATGCTCAAGCACAGAGAGGCCATCAAAATCCCGCTCCATACCGAAGAATATAGACAACGCATCCATTGCGCGGGCCTTTCCCAAACGTGCAGCAAGGTGATATGGATTCATCCCATTTTCGATGAGGATTCCGCGCTCGTGAGGGCCAAGAGCCGTGCAGGTGTCGTAGTTATTTTGCTCAACTGCAATATGTATTGCCGCCTTTCCTGAGTTATCGGACTGCCTAACCTCATACGGGCAAAGCCTGGAAACAATGCGCGCGTGATTATTATAGGTGGCGATCATCAAAGCTGTTTCGCCCTTCTCGTTCTTAGATCCCGCAAAGGTGCCCATGCTCGTCAGTATGTATTGTTCGTCCCCAGTTCTGGCAGCGGCGAACCACTGCGCAAGCTCAGTACTCATTTTTAAAATCCTTAACACCTTTAACTAAAGTGGTATGGACGATACCACACCAGACGTCCTTTTAGACAAGGCTGCAGAATACATTGAGAAACTCACTGATCAAGTGTCACAACAGAAAGGCGAGATAGAACGTCTAGAGCTGGTTGTAAGGGAGCAGAGCATTCTGATGGACAGCATGGCTACACAGCTAAAGGATAATGAGATTGCAGAATCCATGGATGAAGGCACCTTCTCTAACCAGCAACAAAAGATTTCCGATTTGGAAACGGCAATAGAGGTGATGACGCTGGATTTGGAGTCTCGCTCAAACAGTATTGTTGCTTTGTTCTCCCAGGTAAGTCATTTAAATGCCTTCATAACCAAGCTCCTCAACGCGTGTCTTACTGACCTGAACTCCGTGCAAATCATCGAGGACCTCCGACAGTTGTCTGTCAAGGCCAACCAACTCGAGGTGTCTATCTTAGAGATGGGACTGCCCTTATCTGAGTGTACAGGACCAGCGAGCCAGGACCCTGCTGTCAGTGAGTCGGCTATCCATATTCCTCTCAAGTCGGAGTGTACGCAATCTCGCCCAAGCTCAGAGAAGGGTAGGCCAGAGGATGACGAGCTAGAGTATTACAAGAGGCGCTGTGCTGCGTTAGAGCACCAGGTGGAAACCCTGAGAGAGGCTTTACTCAGTCAGGAGGAGCTGTCTCGTCGCATTGTAACAACAGCTCCTTCAAATCAACGATCAGCATCTGTATCAATAAAAGGAGACGCCCTATCGCCTTCATTTCGTCAACTAGCGCTTCTTGAGATGCTGCAGCTTGTCAACAAAGAACTTAGTAAAAGTCCCAAGGTCCACCTCAATACTGCATTCGATCCCGAACTGTCTACATCCCTGAAATCAGTGGCACTGGGAACCCCTGCAACAGCTCAGCAGCTTCATCACTTTCCCGAGACGTTTATGTGCCTCATGAGTGGAGTGTGATTTATCGCATGATTACAAAACCAAAATCATGTTGGCCGGTGGTTGGACTGAGCTAGCTCCAGCCGACGTCAACAGCAAGGTGCGCGAGGCGGCGGCTGCCAAGATCGCGGAGAGTGTGTCTGGTGCAACAATAGCTGAGGTTATCAAGGCCTCGTCACAGGTTGTCCGAGGCGTCAACACCATGCTTCTTACACGCCTCAGCACCGGAGCGCACTACATCGTAGTCGTGTGGTTTGATCTAAAGAATTATATTGTGACGACCCTGAAGGAATACACCGGCAACTTGGCTAATTTTACTTGGCCTATGCGGGAGTGACAGTAAATGCCTTGTAAATTGTGTTATCAGGCCGTTGCGGCTTCTTCTTGAGTCAGTCTGCAGTGGGGTGACTTCTGATTAGTGTGTGGATGACTCCCTGCTTTAAACCTCTGGGCTCCATCAAACAACTCCAGCCAACACATTTCTGTGGGTATGGCAGAAATTGCTGCCTCTCATTTTGGGCCCAAAAACAGAGCACCAGCCAGGAACTGATAAACGACGCTACTAACGGGTCTCATTGGAGGGTTGTTCAAAGCACTAGCTTATCTGTAGATCGTAACGTAAAGATTTCCAAGATGCCTTGATAAAAATGAACAATAATCGGGGAGCATCCAGCGAGGAGACCGCACCTTCAGACGATGGCAACGAAAAGCTTTTGCAGGCCGTTATCAGTCAAGATATAAACGAACTCAAGTCACTCATTGCAGCAGGAACCTGTTTGTGTAAGCAGGACAGGACCGGCATGACAGCTCTTATGCATGCAGCGGCTCAGGGCAGTATTCTAATGACAGGCATGTTGGTGGAGTACGAGAAGGGACTGAAAGATAGTAACGGAAAGATGGCTCTGCACCATGCCCTGAGAGGCGGCCATGTCGACGTTGCAGGGCTCCTTCTTTCATATGAAGACCCTCGGGATCGAAATGGCGTTACTGCACTGATGCGGGCCTCGGCCATTGGTGACATGGAGGTGGTTGTGCATCTTGTGAAGCTTCAGGGAGCCGTACAGACCATCAATAGCGGATCTTATAAGCTTGAATCAGGCACTTACTCATTCAACGAAGGGGCAACGGCACTTATGTTTGCCGCGTGGTATGGGCAAAGCGAGGCAGCAAAGGTGTTACTAGGTCGTGAGAGCAGGATACGGGATAATGGCCGGTTGACTGCTCTTATGTATGCAGCAGAACGCGGTTACATCGAGGTAGTGAAAGAGCTGAGACCTAGGGAGTCCAGAATGCAGAACTGGCTCGGTAGAACTGCGCTTATGTTTGCTGCCCAAAATGGACATATGGATGTGGTCAGGTTACTATTAGAAGACGAGAAGCAGATGGTGGATGGAAATGGCTGGACTGCTCTTATGTACGCGGCTTCTAATGGCCATGTTGAAATAGCTTGCTTACTGCTAGATCACGAGAAGTGTGTCCAAGATAATGATGGCTGGTCGGCGCTCATGTTCGCTGCATATTATGGATACACAGATATGGTAGGGCTGTTATTAAGTGAGGAAAAGGGACTTAGAGATAGCAAGGGTCGAACCGCCCTTATGCACGCCGCAGAAAAGGGAAATGTTGATGCAGTTAAGCTACTTGTGGGATATGAAGCGCGTGCACAAACATATGCGGAATATACTGCTCTTATGCTTGCTGCATACGCCAACCATGCAGAGGTTGCAACGGTGCTCCTGCCTTATGAAGGAGGAATGCAGACCACAATTGGCTGGACTGCTCTTATGGAGGCTGCACTGTATGGCCACACTGAAGTAATTTCCGTGCTCATGCAATGTGAAGGTGGGTTGCACAGGAATGATGGATGCACCGCCCTCATATACACTGCATACGAGGGGCAAGAGGAGATGGTGAAGCTTCTTTTCGATCTCGAAAGGGAGTCCTCCGGATGGACTAAACTGATGTATGCGGCAAGCTTGGGACTCACAGCCACTGCTGGTGCCCACTTAAGCGATGCTGGACAGCAGGACAATATTGGGCTTACTGCGCTTATGTATGCAGTCAGGAACTGCCGGACAGAAATGGTTAAGTTATTAGCAACACACGAGTGTGGATTTCAAGATAGTGGTGGTTGGACAGCGTTGATGCATGCAACACTTTGTGGGTATCGAGATCTTATCAGGCCCTTGCTTTGTGAAGCCGGTTCTCAGTCGTTGGTAGCCCATCGAAACTATCCTCCTGGGACCACCGCCTTAATGATAGCAGCCTACCAGAATGATGCATATACTGTGGATTTGCTTGCTTCACTAGAAGCAGGATTTCTCAATTCGGACGATGACTGTGCACTGATTCTTGCACTACAGAATGCCAGCGCAGAGTGCATCCCCTTGTTACTCTGTGAATTGTCTGTCCTTGATAGCCACGGCAAAGCATGCTACTTTAGGATTCACACACTCGATATAGATGAATCCCCCAAGCTTACCTTGCTTTATGAACGCCTCCGGGACACGCTCAAGACAATGTTCTTTTCAGGACTTCAGAAGGAGCGGCTGGCTTGCTTGTTAACTGCACTAACTCGCTCTGTCAGCTCCCTGATTACCTCAGGCCATTTCCTCTTAGAACTTATGTGGGCAGCCCTACTCTGCGAATACGACAATGTCATTACCGACCTTGATGAACAGTTTGTTCTGATCGAAGATGCGTATATAGAAGATACGTGTGCGATCTGCCTGACTCGTCCTCCTGATTGTGTTCTCTTGCCGTGTCGACACTTGATTGTTTGCTTGGCATGTGTTGATCGTATTTACGCAAACAAGTCATGCTGCAAGTGTCCCTATTGCCGCACACCCATTGAAACTATACTTGACCTTGCGGAGTGTAATTTTACTCTGTTATAAAACTACTGAATGTCTTACGTGATGATAATCACGTTTCAATTGTAGGAGTCGTAGGGTTCCTTGCTGGATCTCCGCTACGAGTAATTAGAAAAAGCCCCATCGCAGAGCTCTGTATTGACATAAGTCTTGCATTATGTTTTTATCTATTATACAACTTTTAGCATTCTATTAAGGGTAGCTGATGTAGTACACTAGCACTTCTAAAAATCAATTTAGTTCTCAGCCACTAAGTGAGTATATGCTTTGACAATTTAGCTTGACATAATACTAGAAAATACTTCACAGATAGAGTGGCGATTCTATCCCCTGCCTCAACTACTATCCTCATCTATGACATAGACCTCTTCGTCTATAAGCCATTTGTACTTTTTCTTTTGCAATTTTAAATCTAAGCCTTCAGATACCTGGTTCCGTAATAGAAAAATAGGCGTTATCAATGCAGTAGAATTCCTTCTGCATAGCGGGCATTGAGCGTTCTCATTTTCAGTTCCAATTTCCCGCGAGCACCTGCGACAGTACACCATGTGACCACACGGAACGACACATACCTCTTTGGCGCGCGACATGCAGATGACGCAAGCCCCATCTGGGTTTGTTGATCCATTCAAGTCAGGGTTGGAGTACAGGTAGTTGTGGCAAAGCTTTCTTATCTGTCTCTGTCGAGAATCTATGTGTGAGCCTATAGGCTCTGCCGATTCACCTATAGCATCAAACTGTGCAAAAAATGCCTCGAACAGCTCGTAACAAAGTGCCCTTCTCTCCTGCTTCTCTTGCAATGAAATATGGCTGCTTTGTGTCAGAAGATTGATACTCTTATAACATCTGGAAATAAATTTATGTAGCCCCTTGCGTACTGCCATTAGGGACTGCGTTGGAATTTTCATTGAGAGAGCTACATTCAAAACTATGTCGATAAGATACTGACTTTCCATGCAATAATCAAGCGCCCTATTTCCATACATGTCGGACTTATGCAGAATGTCGTGGAAGAATGATAACTCGATGGATAGCGGCTTTAGTTCTATTGGTGTTTTCATGAAGATATCAGCAAGGCCCGGCAGCTGTTGTCCTGTATTATAATTCTCAAAGGAATCTCCTCTGAGACAAGTCAAAATGGCAGTGTACCCGTCCTGACCTACTAAGGCTATGATCTTCTGGGAAAGCTCCTTCTCCACAATATAACTGGACATGAGTGTATTTTCATTGTAGATGTGTTTTATGGATGAGTTTAGTAATGGGTGAGCAGCATCGGTTACAGATTGATCTGTATTGTCAGATGTATCCGAAAACATCGATTCGTCGGAAGAGCTTAACAATTCGCTGGATGGCTCAGATGAGTGTACAAAATTAGCGAGATTTTGCCTAAGAAATATAAGATCCGGTGAATTAGGCGAAGCAGTATATGTGGGCAGGATATTGAAGGCTGTGCTACTTTGGTTTAAGTGCGACCTATTCCCAATTGTACGGTCTTGCTGCTGAATCAGTCTTGTTCTGTGATGAAGCTGTTCATCAGATCCCTCTTCGTACACTCCAGGCAAATCCTGCTGAGACATGGTTGCCATTGGTTGGCTTTCTGTCTCAGAAGACAAGACACTCTCGTCAATAATATCAGGAGTACTGAGGCTAAGGGGGTTGGTCTGTAGACAAAGGATATTAGCGCTAGCAAACTTCTCCTTGAGCGCATACCCGAGCAGTAGAAACATCAGAGGAGTCATGCCGTAATTGTTCACCAAGTAGCCCTCCTTTGATACTAGTTCTTGAAGCAATATGGAAGGCAGAACCCTGGTTATATCACAGCAAGCTAGCAGGCAAAGGTGCATAAGAGCAGTGTTACCATCGTTGTCTTGCATGCCGCACTCCTCAGTCAGAAGCGAGCCAATAATATCTGCAGATGGGATGCCTCTCCTCAATGCAAACATCAATGCTGTCATACCTTGCGATGTTCGCATCCTCCCTTCCTTGCTAAGCAGCATATATGTGACAGCCAGCGGATTGTTTGCCTTCACGGCAACCATCAGCGCAGTCTCTCCAAGCGACGCCTGAGATCGGAGGAGCCTAGGGCTCAGTGCATTGAAGAGCTTTGCATATAGGAAGGTGTGCTTCAAAGCTGAAAGCCTCATCATCATCGTCCAACCCTTTCTATCGGGACAGTTGAGATAATGAGGGTTGTTGCCTTCATACCTTATAAGCATATCTATTTTATCTGTCTCTTGTCTCAGAAGCCAGTCTTCATGCAGGACCATGTAGCCCAGCGTATGTATACCCTCTGAATCCACAGCAGTAAAATCAACCTCAGCTAGCTGGAGCGGATCGTAATTAAGGGACCGATCAGATAACGTTCTGTTGAACGCAACGAAGTCAAGCGAGGAGTAAAACTCAAAAAAATGAACTACACGAAGCGGTAAATTGACAACTGCAGCCTTGAGCAGAACACGACAATAGAACGACGCAATGTTTGCGCTAAGAAACAAGCCTACTAAGTCGCTAAACGGAATGACGAGGCCATACAGGTCTCTCAGGCTCCTTTTAGGAGCAAGTCCATTATGTCGGATTTCACCATCGGAATCAATATGAACACGCACATACATGGAAATGGACGCGCAAAGAGACTCTATCATATATGGTGTGCGCCCCTTAGCGTCTCGAAAGCCTCGTCCTCGATGATTGAGGATTAGATCCCTAAGATTGCCATTCCTGAACAGCATTGTGACATAGAGAGCTGAGGCCACGTCGTCATCATCTGCGTTGCTTATTATGCTCTGCATCAAGCGAGAGTAGTCCTCACTCAAGAAGAAGCGCTCTGGACAGCTCTGCTTATCTTCTATCTTATTATGCTCGGATATCTGGCGTAGAATATCTAGGAACCCCATTGTCGGGGCATGAAGTGCAACTTGTGACAACTTCGCGCTGGGCGGCATTGTTGAGGCAAAGAGGAGAGCGAATAGGTCACGTGCTCTGTGGCGAGATCCTGCAGTATCTTGTTTTATGAGGCTGCTCAAGGGTATATTAATATCGTGAGACTTAACAAGTGTTCTATAAAAGTACTGCAAGGCATAGTTCCATAACAGTCTGTGTCCCTTGAAGCATGCGCAAATGGAAGCCAAAAAGGTGATAACTGATAGATTGTCCTTGTGGGGTTGCATGACAACGGGCTTGATGATCTCAAGTATAGCCTTGGAGTCCGGATAGGGCGGGCAAACAGACATAGCAGACTTTATAAAATAGGTGAGGTCGCTGGAATAGTTGGCTCTATGTGCAGGATAGTGGCCAAGTACTACAGCGGTGGCATATTGTAAACACTTGTCCTGGGTCAACGAAGAGAGCTCATTCCCGAAGAAGATGTCATGAGCCAGGGTAATCAGGTTGGAAAGAGATAGCTCCGGCAGTATACCAAAAAGGTCGAGATTGGAAATCTTCCTCACGGTCTCAACCGGGTCCTGATCTTCAGGAGGTGGTGAAGGCAGACTTGAAGAAGCGTTGTTCCGTGATTCCAAGCAGATAGAAGAAAATGCAAACTTGAGAGACGCTTCTTTATCTGAGGGAGTGAGGGTTGAGAAATTCGTGGCATGGTCGCTCAGAAACTTTTTCACTGTAAGGCGACTATCCGGCAAAGAGATAATATTAAAACAAGAAGCAGTACTTAGGCGACTCATTTGAAGACCTGCCGCTATTTCTGTTATGGGAATTAATGGAGGAGCAGTCCCACGAGCATATATTATCTCCGCTACCATATTGGTTTTTAATGATGAGAAAAGATCTGTAGAGCTGCACGCAAATTTCCATCCTGGTGATATAAATAAGGTATTAGAAAACAATAGAGGGGCGACGGAAAAATCTAAAAAGGATTTTGAACCATTTATGACATTAATGGGAGACAAGGCATTAGACCTCAAGAATGATCTGTTTGCTACATGTGGAGAATAGAAAGCATGGCCATGCAATATAAGTGGTGGATCAAGTGTTTCAGTAGACCCTCTCCGCGCGCCCGGATAAGCTGGCGGAAGGCCGATTGCTGTAGAAGTATAGCGTAGGCTAGGCTCTAACACGCCATCTTCCTGCTCTGCTTCACTAGACCCACTGTCTTGGCTAGTTTCTGTCGATGACGACATGCTTATTAGAGTGGCGGGATCAGCTGATCCTGCAGGACTACTAGACATACTGAACTCAAGAGTATTTTCACTATTGTTGGGTGTAGACAGGGAATGCTCCCCCAACTCGTGATTAGGCTGGACAACGGTGGCTTCTAAAGTAGACTCAGTGAGCATATCTATAACGGTGGGAGCCTCGTTAGTATTAGATCTAAGTGTCTGCTGAGTGGATGGATTTGTATGGCCCCTTGTGGACTGATTGAGGGACTCAATTATGTCCTGTCTGTCGCTAATAGAATGGGGCTCATGCTGGCAGCTCAGTATTATCTGCGCGGCCTGGTAATTCTGATGAAAAATAGCATATGTCAATGCCGTGTAGCCGTGATTATCAGCAATTGAGTGTTCAACCGGGGCTAGGACTTTAACAGCGTCGAGAAAGCCGGAGGAGGCAGCAAACATCAGCGCAGTCATCCCATTAGCATCTCGCGTACCTGCCTCCAAAGGAATAAGGCTTTCAATGAGCCACAATTTTCTCATATAAACGGCGTAAAAAAGGCCCGATCGGCCAAACTCGTCGCAGTCTTTTGGTGAGGTCCGTAGGAGCTCGGTTATCTTCTCGTCTGATGCCACGGCGATGCATCTTGGCCAAGCGTGCATGGTATTAGATAACTTTTTGACGGGGCAATAAAAAAGTGAAACGGATTTGTGACTATTCAATCCTATTAGTGATTTTCTCGGTTCCAGCCATATTGACACAAGGCTGGGAGGGCTACCAGCTTTGTAAATTTAAATTCTCCTTGTCGTTTTCGGTTTCTTTTAAAGGCATGGATGCACCAACTCCGACTCAGTGGCTCCCTTCTGCAGATTTCTTGTTGAGCAAAGATGGTGCTAACTTGATTCCAGAGAGACCCCTTCTAAACACTGTTGGCAATCTCAATTCCACTCGTCTTCACACACGAGATCACGCCCCCAGTGTTCCTTTAAGTATGAACCTTCTTGACGCAGCCACTTCCTTCTCTATTCATAGTCTGCCTGTATCTTCAAACCTAACTGCCACCAAGCATATACATGATATTTTCTTGTCTGGCGTCCAGGATTCTAATTTGGCAGAGACCACTGAGGCGCCAGCGTCATCTCGATCGCCTAATATAAACATGCATCAAGATACTAAGTCCGCTGACCCTAGTTTGTTCTCGAAGTTGACAGCTGCACTGCACGCAAACGAAAGCCTTGCCGCAGATGTACAGATGCTCAGGGAGGAAAATCAGACCTTAAGAAATGCTTCTGTCTTGACCGCAGGTCTCGCAGAACCACGGAAGGACTTCAACGCAACAAGCATCAATCTTCTAGAAGCACTTGCAGAAGATGAGCAATCCAAAGATCGGATGATTATTTCGTTGAGAGTGACGGCTACTAGTCTTGAGAAGCAGAACAGAGAGTTGGAGGGTCAGGTCAAAGATATGCAGGAGCAACTTTCCCTCTTAGCACTGGCCAAGCAAGATGATAATTTGGAGATGTCTGAGGCATCTGCTACAGCAGCAAGTCTTCACTGGAAACTAGAAGCCGCAACTAAGCAGATAGCTGCGTTAACAAACGAACTCCGGGTGAAGGATGCGACCATAGACGCATTACAGAAGAATGTCGACAATTTGACGGCGCAAGTGCAGCGGTTCATAGGCGTTAACTCGACCCTGACGCGCTGTATTTCTGAGGCCACGGTTCCAGAATCTTCTCTTAGCTCCGTGAGTACCGCCGACTTACAAGGAAAGTTAGAAATGTATCGGCTCATGAATAGGCAATATGAGATGGGCATGGAGACTTTAGTCGCTGAGCAGAAGGCGACAGATGAGATGCTCTCTCTATTGATGGATCGTGCAACGGCGATGAGCTCACGTCTCGATCATATAGAGAGCTCCGTCGTCGCAGTCTCTCGTGACAGGCTGGTTGACATTTATCGACGGCGGCTGGAGGCTGCAAACCTTCATGTAAATGGATAAATAGCCGGCTATCTTTACATGACTTTTACTCCGGAATGCGTGGAGGAAATGGCGCAAGATAAAGTCGCAATGATACACTCACTACCACGCTTTCCGCTACTTAGTGCATTAGACAAAGAAGCAGCAGAACTTAATAAAACAGGCTCGGATATCATCAGTTTTTGCCGATGGCTGATCGTTTGAAATCGATAATGGAACATGCCCCGGCTTGCAACGCTGCAGAGGAGCCTTCTGTTCTGGAAAACGTCCCTGGGTATGGATCTGTCCTAAAGCAGACCAGATCTTTTCTTGACCGGCGGACACGACGGTCTCCATATCGACCAGAAACAGCTAGACTTTACTCACATCGGCAGAGAGATGGGCTGATTATCCCTCTATCGAGCGGCCCTGATCAAGCCACTAGCCCATCTACTAACACCCCCAAGTCCAACAGGCCCAGCTCAGCAGCATCTGTTTTGCCCCCTGATGTCGAGGCCTCTCTTACCTGTCTCCTTGCAGCTGCCAAGTCTTTCAGTACAGTTATGACACACTATGACATTAACGACCTGACCAGAATTCGCGAGGCTTCTGCGAGCTTCAAGGATATTAAGCATGAGGACATAAGCACTGGTGCCTTATACAAGCGACATATGGAGACCACACGTGACCTTTCTCTGTCCAATTTGTATCCCACAAAATGTTCTGCAAACTCAGACGGCAAGCTAAGTTTGAGTCGTCCAACACATACTTTTAGCTTACTACGGGCATCTAGTAAGTACCATGCCGATAACAAAAGCCATACACAATTGGAAGCCCTACAATATGAGATTGATCAATCCACAAAGAAGTGTAAGAGCGACTTTCAAGCGTTAGTACTGCCCACAGACAAGACCGAAATAGAAAGCCGGCACTTTCCGGCCATAAGTTTTTCCTTGACAAGTGCCTCATCCACAGAAGCGTCAGATATGGCCAAAATGGAACGGCTAGGCACCTTGCTCCTATCTGAGCGTGTACCAGCCATTATTTTGGGAAGACATGACTTCTCACTCGCACGGAAATTGGTTGCCCTTGAGCTGGATACTGTTTCCATGGACTGCCAGATCCTAATTTATACACTGAAAACACAGACAAAGATGGGCTCCGTTAAACTCTATGAGGTGGTAACCCCCCAGCGAGCGTTAAATGACACCAGTATAGATTTACTGGGCACATATGGCGTATCACTCTTCGATCTTAACGTCATGAAAACACCTGACATGACTGAGCTCATAGAGTTTAAAGGGTCGGGCTCTATGTTTGCTCTCCTGCTCTCTGGACAACATGCCAGATTGTTACTTACTATGCTTGATAAGGTTCTAGTTAAATAGATCCCGCTCTTCAATGGAGATGCGCCACATGTTAATATAGCCATCATCACCTCCGCTGCACACAACAATATGTCCATCGGTGCCGGCGAATTGCGTGACATCACAGACAGCATTAACCTCACCGTCATGTGCGCCAGTAATGCAAACTATCGGGGCTGCGGTCCCCGTGGCGATGTTTATGACAGAGAGACAAACCGCACCATCTTGTCCTACTGTGGCAACATATGTACTAAGTGCTTTTGACGTGCTCTTCGGCTCCGCCAAGGATATGTCATAAATTGGCCGCTGCCCGTGCAGGATAGTGCATCCTGTCTGTTTAACACCACCCTCAACGATACTATAACAGCGAACACATCCATTTCCATCAACTGTTAGTATAGAGTTACCGTTAGCTGTGAAGATTGCAGTCCAAACGGTGTGGCAAGAGGACTTGGATGCCAGTATTTCGGAATCGGGTGCATTTAGTTCACAAGAGTTCAGATCAAGTTCAGATTTGGTTGCTCCTGCTAACACCCATGATTCTATCTCTTCTTCCCCAAGTTCGTCTGCCACCTCTATGCAACGTTTGTAGAGACAGATATTGTTGTCATAGGATGCAGAAACTAGATAAGTTCCATTTCTATTAAAACGAACACACTTGATGTCTTCTGTGTGGTTGTTGAAAAGACCTATGCAGTCATAATCTGGGGAGTCGGAGCACGGCCGCCAAAACGACACGAAGCGGTCTCTGCTGCAAGTCGCCACCGTTCCCTCTTTAGATATATCAATTGACTTGATCTCCTTCTCGTGTGCATTGGCTATAACAGCTGTAGGCTGAAACGGATCGTCCTGAGTCAGTTCGTTAACTAAATCATACACATATATGGATCCGTCGTAGGCAGCGACAACCAGATGCTGATCGTTAGCAGAGAAAGCGCAATCCCGGACAGTGATTGGGTCACCGTGACCGGGTCGTAGACGTTGCACTGGCTGCAGAGATAGGTCCTTTGACACCCTCCATATCGCTACACTGCCGTCCGAGGAGCATGACGCTACAAGCTCTCCGGTGTGCGAAGCCCGCAGCCTCCAAATTCTGTCGGTATGGGCAGCAGTATGGTTCAAGAGAGAAACTCTATCACTCACCATTCTTTGTCAACAAATTTTAAGTTTTAAAATTTATTGCAATTTAGCATTACCCTATCAGCTGACATAAAGGATATGTCTTGCTCCGCCTTTGGCATGGGACAAGCCGATGGTAGCTCCTCTTTGGCATCTTTGTCCTTGCAAGGGGACTCCCAATTAAGCCTACCACGCCCGAACCATGCACAAAGATCGCAAAGAGCTCTGGAACTTGCAGAGCCGGAAGGACAGACGGAGTCATTCCATCCATCATCTGAAGCTTGCGGAGAAGTGGATGACGCCTTATTAGGCATTTCATCTTACTGCTTTGCAAGAATAGAGAGACTCCAGCAGGAGCTCACTAGTACTCAGAAGCGTCTCTACGCTGCCGATTCACAACTAGAAAACACGCAGAGGGAGCTCACTACTGCACTCCACAATCTAGAGCACCAAAAGCAAATGCGAGAACACCAACAGCGCGTCATGGACCGCATTGTGGAGTCCAAAGTAGCTCTGGAAGCCAAGCTAGATGAGCTAGAGTCGCTTCTCGACGAGGACATAGGCATGTATATCCGATTTCGGCAACAGACAACGCGGTGTATCCTCGCATTTGAAGAGGAGGTACACTCGCTGAAATCGGAGCTCTTAAAAGTTAAACAAGATAACATATTTTGTCGATGGAAGAACCTGACCCTTTCTGACGAGGTTGTCCATCTTACCGCCATGAATTCCCTTCTCAAACAGAAAATAGTTGCCCTAGAAAATCAGGCTGTGGACCATGATATGCAGCACAGTGCATTGGAAGTCCACAAGAAAAAGGAAGTGAGAGCCTACCAATCGACGATCAATACTCTTGAGAAGCAATGTTTTTACTTCAAATCAAAGTACACCGAAATTGAGAGACAGCATGCTAAGGCAAGTCTGGATCTAACTGTGATGAAAAGCATCATAAAGGGAAAGGATGCAGAGATCAAGAAGCTAACAGAAAAATTGCAGTCCGCTATAATGACAAGGACCAATTGGGTGCAAACAGTTGACAAGAAGAAGATACATACTGCCACTAATGACGCTCTTGCTCAATTGCAAATATCTAAAGAGTTGTTGGCTAAAATACTAAAGAAGTGAGGAAGGGGTTAGGCGTCAGCTCCACCATTCGTTTGGGTGGTGCTATCGCTGGAGTCACTGTCCTCTATATTGCCGTCACCAAATGTCGCTTGTGGGGAAAAGAACAGGGTATCCATTTCTGGCACAGCAGCATTTGGCTTGAGGACATCAATTGTGGGTATCGCACTGACAGCCTCATTCTTTTCTATGCCCATCGAGTTGTCCACGCCCCCAACTGGATCATTTGTCTGGTTTGTTTCTTGTCTGTGACCAAGAAATGCTCCTATGGTGAGGCTGGGAGGAACCGGAACCGGAGCTGGAGCTTGGGCATTGGCGGATGTTCGTGACTGCTCATTAATTAGAGCTGTTTTTTCATGACTGAACAACGCCATGCTTAGGCATGGCTTTGACAAGGTCTTGTTGTCCATACCGAGCATGGCACGCGATTGAGACTTGGGCATGTACTTCACAAGGCTATCATCACTGGATGTGTTTATAGTTTCCCTACTAATGGACAGGTTCGACATCGCATGTGGTAGTGACGCGTCAGGCACAATGTTGTCTTGGTGCGCGCACCCAACGGAGCCTCCTCCCGCAAGTTGTCCCGTTGCCATGGTAGGAATCCCGTCTGGGCTCATGCTATCAATTCCCACTATTCTAGGGGCACCAGGTAGATGGGGCAGGTCCATACTGAGGCGTAAGTTAGCGAAGGACTTCCTACTCTCTGAACTCACGAGGCCCTTCTGGTTAAATTCTCCCAAGAACCGCATTGACAACATGTTTCGTTGATGATCTAGCGCGTCTGGGGCTGCTATCTCTAAATTTAGCTTCTGTGCAAGGAGGTGCCGCTCTCCAGGGGGTAGCTCTGCTAACACATCACGTGCTCTCTCTTCCTCGCCGGCTGCTAGAAGCGATTGAATTTCGTTCAGGGCATCTTGGCGTTTCCGTAGTAGGAGATCATCAACTTCCTTTTGCATGTCTCGCTCCATCTTGTCTTCCTCCTCAGCGATGAGCATGAGCTTCTTCATTATTTCCCCCTCGTTTGTTATCTTTTTGCGCAGAAACGCTTTTTGCAGCGCGCCGTCGAACTTTTGCACAAATCGATCCCAAGAGTTGATCATCCCCTTGTTCCAGCCAATAGCGTCTATGGATAGGAGTGTCTGTTGGAACACTAGGTCCATTGTCAGGATCGAGAGGTCTATTCGGTGGCCGTCAAGGGGTGTGTTGAATGGGTATTCGCGCTCTCTAGCAATGCGCAGCTTCTTGATAAAGAAGCCCAACGGAAGCCCTTGTATCACTATTGTAAACAAAATAATGATGCTGGTGATGAAGATAATATTGTTTTGCACGTTGATTGCGTTGGTGAGGTCTTGCCCGGTGGTCCCCTCAGGTATTGTGACGAGTGCAGTGGACAACGCAAATGAAATGGCTCCTCGCAGCCCGGCCATGATCATAATGAATTGTTCCTTCAGCGGAATCATTTCGTTTCTCATCTTTCGCCGTATGTTCAGGAGGGCTGTCAGGAGCAGTACTGACAGAATCCTGGCAACAAGCACCAGCCCCAATGCAATGAGCAGGAAGACGTAGTCGATTTTGCTTTTCCCAACGATCTTGTCCCTGGTCAAGAAGGAGATTTGCATGCCCATGTCGAAGAAAATAAGGGCCTCAAACGAAGAAGCAAACATCTTCATGGTTATATGCATGGTCTCAACTGAGCTATGAGCCCAGTTCGGCTCTGAGTAGCGCGAGAGCAGCAGGCCAGAAATTATAATACTGATGATCCCGCTAAAGAGTAGAGAGTCTGCAAGCTGAAATGTTCCATATGCGCAGATAAGGGCAAGGAATGGCTCCAAGTACCGAAGCCTGTTTTTCTTATACTTTAGAATAATGCATGCAAGAAATGTGATTGACGCACCTACAAGCATTGCAAACGTGACAGAAACTATAAACTTCAGAATACCAATTCCAACAATTTGCAGATTGCTGTAGTGATGCTCCTTGAGCTGGTCAAGGTTGGAAAAGAGACTGTAGAGCACAATACTTACACCATCATTGAGGACCGATTCTCCGAAGGACATGTTGTAGAGGTTCCTGTTCACCTTGAGATCGAGCATGACTGCCATCACAGACACAGGGTCGACGGCAGATATCAGTGCTGCAAAGGCAAATATTTGGCTAGTCGTGTAGAGCTGCAGGACAAAGTAGCGCTTCAAAGCGTGCAGCAAGAAGGCAATGAAGAGGGTGTTCATGAGGGTGCCGACGACGGCGTAAACCATGATCTCAGCGAAGTTGTGGAAGAACGAGGTCTTGTCTAGGGTGTATGCCGACTCGAAAATGATGATGGGGACCAGCAGGAAGAGAAAAATATCATGGCTGAACTTGAAGAGGTTTTCCAGATACGTGGCCTCGGCGCTGGAAATTGCCGAAATAATAACTCCAAGACCCACGCCGAGGAAGACAAGAAAGGTTGATTCCGGGACATACCGCGAGGCCTTGGGGTGCGATGTGTAGAACATTCTCACCACCGTGAGGAGCGCGAAGATACCGACTATGAAGAGAATGGCGCCCGAGACGGGGGTGACGTGCCAGCCGAAGTACTTGAAGCCAGACATAGCTTTTTCCGCGCTGCGACCTGTCTAAGACTTGTGAACCTGTAGGCACCTGTAAAGTGCTTCCGGTGGGGATCGAACCCACAGCCTTCGCAACGTAAATGCGACGCGCTAACCATTGCGCCACGAAAGCCTCAGCGCGGGCAAGGACATGTTATGGGTATATAGGATGTTCAGAGGGCAGATTTGGCAGTACTACGCCTTCTAAAAACATACTTCTTTGGTCACGCCAAATCCCCCAGACAACGCAGAGTCTCTATCCGGCCTTGTCTGCTTCCAGGGCTATAGATGTCTGTCACTCTAAAAACGGAAAGCCATCCGCCCCAAGCGCAGGCCTTTGGGGATGGACCGTCACTTTCGTGGCAGCTTCCCTCTGCCTTTTCCAGCACGAAGAATAAGCAAGTACCTGGGAACAATCACTTTGGCGCGAGATTTCAGCACCGAGGAGAGCGTAGAAGCAAGCCAAAGTCCAAGGTGGCTCCAAGAACGCGGCCGGAGCACCTCAATAATAAGGCCACGCCTGTTTACTAAGTGAACGCAGTACACCTGCTGCAGATGCTCACAGAGTAGTTCTCAGAGTAAACCTCTAATTACAGCGGTTGTGAAGAAACAATAAATTAAAGAAGGATGCTCCGGAAGGATTTTGTCATAACGACAAAGGAGGTACAAGAGCCTCACGGTAATAAAACGATATATGTACTTTCCAATCTCTACTCCTCGTCTGCAGAGGATTTCCCTGCAAAGATCAAGTTAAAAGAGGGCCAGCCGATTACAGATGAGCAGATTAGCCAGGGCCTCTTTGTCTTCAATGTAACTGTGTTCACGCTCTCCAAAACAATAATCCACCAGCACACATATAAGCTATTTGCGTCTGAAATCACTTTGCCCGATGAAGTCCCCAGGGAGCTTCAAGCAATATTTGGGACAAGCATGGTCGGAGAAGGGTCTATCACGTATATACCAAACCCTGTGACATGGAGTCTTCCTGCCATACGCGTATTCTGTGAGCTTGAGGATATAATTATGCCTCCAGAACGCAATCATCAAGCCGATATAAATAAGCTTCTCTATCTGAAGACAGGAAAGAGTCCTTCAAGCAAGCCAACTACCTCGATAAATTTGGACACAGTGCAGCTATTCCTTGAAGAAAGCGTTCAGATACGCGCTTCCCTGAAAGCAGAGTTGACGGACATCACGGTAGCGCCTTCCTTAACCGAGACTCCTGGTGACAACGAGTCTGGATCGCTCGACAAAGTGAGAGAAGAAGCTCGCGTCGCCCGCCGCAGAATCCTCAAGCAATACAATCGACTCATCTACGATGGCACAGCATTCCTTAAACCCTTCCGTCAGTGGCTACATCCAGTGTTTTTGGACAAGAACTGCTTCGTTCCCCTCCAGATTATCGTCTACAAATATCTAATTAGCAAGGTCATCCAGGAGCAAGGCGATCATTCAGAGCAGGATTGCATTGTCGCTTTGCGCTCGAAGATGCTCTCACTGAATTTGCAGCTGGATGAAGAAGCAGAAATGGAAGTTGAAGCACAACTATCTGGTTTTGTCCTTTTCGTTAGGCTGTCAGCGGAGTTGGCCACGTTATATCTCAATACTAGCATAGTGTCTGATTTGGTTGATCTTTCTAACGAAGAAAGCCCCAAAAAATCGCGTCCCCTTGAAATAGCGATCTGCATATGCAAACCCTTCACCAAAGCGTGGCTCAAGCTCGCCAAGTATCACAGGCGTGTCGGCAACATCTCCAAATCATTGAGCGTAATATCTTCTTGTGTAAGCCTTCTAGAGACCTATGATCATGAGCAGAATGCTTTGAAGCGAAAGGTGCTTTTAGAACATAGGTCAATTATCCAGCAACTATCAGAGACTGCTCCTCCCCCACTCAGCTTACCACGAGAAGAAGTGACCCCGGCATAACCGGCATATTTTGGTGGCACATTATCTCGTTGATGCGTCCATTGCGGTGTGCAGTTAGGACTAGGTCCAACTTGGCACTGCCAATGCGCAGTAGCGCATCACCCTTTTTGACCTCCTGGCCGACCATAACGAGGAGCTTCTCCACAACCCCTGGTATAGATGCTGCAACATGGGTCTCGTCGTTCACGTCTGCCATTGGGCAACACGTTTGATTTGGTATGGAATACTTATACTTGCATGTGTGCTTATGAGATAATATTTGCTTAAGCATCAACCTGGATGGATCCTTGAAAGTGATCCTGCTCATGGTGGACGGTTCGACTAGATCGCCAGCCTCAAATAACTCCATGATAAATTCAAACTTCCTCTCTGTCTTCTGTAGATCCGTATTTTGAACCCTTGAAAGTGTGATAGAGCCTACTATTCCTGTTTCAAACAAGAACCAGCAACTCTCTCCCACTGTGAGTCCCTTACAATATACACTGGAAGGCATGAGCCACAAGAGATCTGAATATTTCTCTATTCTCTCACGAAACTGGGTATATGGCTTAGGGTACATCGTGCTGCACAGGATTTCTGCATCTTCTGCAGTAAAGGATGCGCCTTCAACTGCAGTATTGTTTTCTTGTGTATATCTATGAGTCTGCTGTGAGGCTTCTAGTTCTGTACTGGCGCTCCTGTACGACTGCTCGAGAGATTGTAGGTGGGCCCTAGCATCAGCTTCTGACAGCTTCAACACATGCTTCACCACATGCAGAGGGAATCCGTGATGGGGGAGCCCTAGTTTCCCTTTTAGTAGATTGACTAAAGAATCGGGCCAGTCAATTGTCTGAGACTTTTGCTTATCTCGTAGAACTTCTGGTTCGAGATTTTTTGCAAGCAGAAATAGTGCTAAATCCCCGACAACTTTTGACGAAGGGGTTACTTTTATCAGAAATCCTAGTTCGGCGTTACATCTTGCATATATATCCACAGCCTCATTCCATCGGTATTCCAGACCCATCTCGCAACATTGCTGATAAAGATTAGTAAGTTGTCCACCCGGCATTTCGTGTTTGTACACATCTGGAGAGGGTGCTGTAAAGTTTGTGTCTAGCTCCCTATACTCCTTGCGTAGCATTCTCCAATAACTGTCATACACACTTAGGGCCTCAATAATATCTCCGCAACAGTCACCCAATTTGAAGAATCGCGGTATACATTCTACATGCTCATGATTAGCCTGGTAGAGTCTTTCTTCTGTAGAGTGAACCTGAAGAAATGTTTGCAAGGACGGTTGAGATGTTGATCCCGCCAGTGAACTTGATGCTAGGTCAATGATATGACAACCCGCTTTTGCCATGGCAAGACATGTGCTTATGCCTGCTCCACTGGTGTCATGGGTATGAAAATGAATCGGCTTGGTGGGTCCAATGGCCTCCTTGATCCTGGCTACTAGGGGTGCTGCATGTGCGGGTCTGAGCAGTCCTGCCATGTCCTTTATGCAGAGAATATGGAAATTCGGCCAGCGAGCAACTATTTCACTGCACAGATTACTGTAGTAGTCTAGCGTATATATGTTTTCCCTTTTAGTTGTATCTAGAAAATCTCCTGTGAAACATATGCAAATCTCACAGATTGATTTTTGACACCTAGAAAGAATGGTATCCACCGCAACCTCCATTTGCTGTAGGCTATTGAATGCATCAAATACACGAAACACATCTAAGCCGGCGTCCGCTGTTTTGATTATGAATTGCTCGATGAAGCTCCTCTCATACGCCGTGTAACCCACTGCATTTGCGCCCCGAAAGAGCATCTGAGTCAACGTGTGTGGCATGGCCTCAGTAAAGAGCTTCAGACGGTCATAAGGATTCTCATCAAGAAATCGAAGCGACGTATCAAAGGTGGCTCCTCCCCAGCACTCAACACTAAAAAGAGGTGTCTTATCTATCGAGGGGATTGACGTATTCTGTAACAAAATAGCCCCCTCTATGAGCTCTCTGGTTCGAAGCCTGGTGGCAAGCAATGATTGGTGGGCATCTCGAAACGTTGTATCAGTGTAGAACAATCGTCCAGACTCGATTATATACTTGCAGACTGCTTCTGGCCCTTGGCTCTTGAGAATGGACTTGCAGGTGATCGGATGATCTGAGATCCGGAAGCTGAGCCTGTTGATTATGGTGTTTGGCACTGTAATATTACACGGCTCTTTAACTGGAGGCAACGAAGTCTTACTGTTGTTCAGTACATCAAATAACTTGCTCCCTTTGAGATGTGCCACGTCAGTTAGATATAGCGTTACCCTCTTAAGCTGTTCTAAGTGCTCTTGCTGTGTTTCTGTTAACTCTGTAGCCCTTTCGAGTTTTGAAGAAACGATTTTTAGACCCTTTAACTGGGCAACCCACTGCTGTGCCCTTTCTGTAGTTAACTCATCGAAGACACTCAGGTTACGGTATCGAATATTCCTATGCTTTTTCAGGTTTTTAATTTGAGAGCACTTGATGAGCATCCTGGCCACAAAGACGGCAATTCTATTGCTGGTATCCTTGCAAGCGTCTCTTGTCTCTGAGTACTCAGGGCCGACGATGATATCATTCACGACTCCTGCGTTTCTTAGATCAATAGGATAGCACCTCTGCACATGTGCAAGTAGTTCAGCATCGCTGATGAAGTTCGCCCTCATTTCTGCAGTATTGTTCCGATATACAGATGGCTGCAAGATTGAAGCAGCTCCTTCTGGACTTATCACATTGTAGAATGCCTTCGATAGAATTCCCACATAGTTTCCCCCAGCCAGAGCTAGTGCGCCTCCTGATCCACCCTCTCCAGTAATAATACTTATAATTGGAACATGCACAGCCTGGAAGGCCAGTAGGCACTCTGAAATTGCTCTTGATTGGCATTGCTCTTCGGCTTCTGGAGAAGGAAGCGCACCAGCAGTGTCTACCAGTGTTATGACAGGGATACTCAATCTATTAGCAAGGTAGATTGCTCGGGCAGCAAAACGGTAGCCAGTGGGAGACCCCAATCCTGCCTCGGGGTCTAGTACATCTTCACGAGATGTAGCAATAGCAATCACAGGGAGGGTGTCTGCAAAGACACCAAACGCAACAGTGATGCACTTGTCCACACGAAGGCTTGCGGCCATGTCAACAAAGTTCTTCAAATAGTCACATGGTTGCGGGCGAGTTACATTTCTGGCATCCCTATAGACGAAAGCATCCTGTACAAGAAAGGCGTCTTCTGTGTCCACTTCGGCCCCATGGGGGACACCCGTTAATCGCAGCAGTGCAGTCTTAGCTGCTGCCTCCACGCTTTGCATCCCCTTTCGTTGAATAAGGACTTCCAGGATACCATGAATGCTCGCATATGCACTCTCAAGTGAGTCGAAGAGCTGATCTATCGCTCCCGTTGCAGCAGCTCTGTCCGTCGTCTGAAACCCTGCCGGAACACTACGATCGAACGCCTCATTACTTCCATTGAATATGGTGTTCTTTATGACGTTCTGGCCTGCGAATCCAAAGCGGCTTCCTTTGATGCCAAACGTAAGGTCCCCCAGCGTCGCGAAGCTTCCACTTGTCCCTCCATAGCACGGGTCTTTTATTACCACTATTACAGGAATGCCCGCCTGCTTCACGCTTTCAATGCAAGACGTTGTGTTTGCCATCTGCATCAGCGCCACAACTCCTTCTTGCATTCGAACCCCGCCAGATGCTGCCTCGATCACCAGGGGCATGCAGTGCTCCACGCAATACTCACAGGCACGGGAGAGTTTTTCTCCCTCTGCGCATCCCAGTGACCCGCCCATGAATGCGAATTCCTGTACAGCCCGTATATATTCTACAGGTTCTTTAACGTGGTAAACATGCATCGCGCAGAGTGAACCTGTTGCCTTGCGGGCAGCCTCTAGCTGCTTTTTATATGATACTCCTTTAAATACGAAGTCCATATGATCGGTAGAGCACAGGTTAATGAACAGCTCCTCACTCGTGGCTTGCATGTTCGATATCAGAAAATAAAAAGATCCGGCTGCTAACGTCTACTATACCTACAAGTATATGGGTAGCAATTTACAGTACTAGCCAAACCCTCAACAGATAACAGTGGTCAATCCACACTGTAGCAAAGTGCACCGAACAAGTAAGTGCTAATCAATCCATCCTGGTGGATATCGGTATGTCTGAAGTGGTACCATCTCGACGTAGAACAACAACATGTGCTCCCCAGCCTGAATATGCATCGCGATTTGTGGCCGACCTTATTATCTGCTCCATCAATGGCAAAATCTCATCCTCGCTCATATCTGGCTTAACATGTGTCTCGCACAGCCCAAGCAAGAAGTCGCTGGCTGTGCCCGCTATTTGGAAGTTGGTGCAGTCATCCAGACAGCCGATTGTGTCCATGGCTCCTAAGTAGGGCTTTCCGTCGGCCTCAAAGCCTGCTATTATTGGGGAGATGAAATAAGGCCCGAACCTGTGCTTATAAAGAAAGGAGGAGATCATCTTGGCAGTAGCTCTTGGACGAATCTCTCGGTCTTCCTGTAAATGGTATAAGTTACTCTTCATGCGTATCTGACGGTAAGTCGTGAGCACATCTGTTTGCAAGCCTGCAAGCCCCAGTAGACAGCTCTGGGAAAGGCGGAATATACGCTCCTCGTTGCCTATCGTGAGCGTTTGGTAGCTACAGCCAAGCCTCTTGTCAGCAGCCAGAGCCACGCAGTCCTTCCCCTTGATGCCAATGAGTGCGGAGCCGTTATATTCCCAGATGTTCCCCATGGTCAATGAACAGAAATTTATTTAAAAAAATCTTGTGAAAGAACCTCAAATGCAGTACAGTCTCTCAGCCGTGCGGATGTTCAATTTCAAAACATTCGTTGGGGAGCACAGTATCACAGATATTCCACGGCTTAGCTTCATCGTTGGCCCCAACGGATCTGGAAAGACAAACATTTATGATGCTATTCTCTTCGCCACGCTCTTTCCTGATCCTCGAGTGCGTATTTCGGATGGATACATCTCTGCAGGGGCGGACGGTGGATGCTGGGTTTCGTTAACCTTTACTGTAGCCTGTCAAGATACCGACACAGTAGAGCCTAGCCAGATAGGAGCTACGCTCTCCTTTCACCGTGGGTATCAACGCACTGGTGCAGAGATCTTTAAAATAGATGGCCGAACAGTCACCAGAGAGGTCTACAATTCTAAGTTGAAAGAGATTGGCATACTGGGTCAGCGTCAGGTTCCATCCATATTTTATATAAGCAGCGATCAATTGGGGGAAAATATTAGGGCGGAGACAATAATTCAGTACATTGAGACAGCGTCTGGAAGCTGCGAATACAACGAGGAGTGCACACATCTGTCAAAGGAGTATACCTCTCTTGAAGCTAAAGTAAAAGCCCAGAAAGCACGACTCAACCTTCTCGCCCAAAGAAAAGAGCTGGCAAAGAAAGCAGAAGAAGACAACAAAAAGTATGCAGAGCTGAATCGTAACAGAGAGCTATTTTTTTTCAAGCGCTTTCTCCTTCCCTTGCTCTCTTACAAATACCATTGTCAGCTTATCGAGCCAAGGATTCTAGCTCTCACTAAGGATCTGTCTGATGCAGAGACAGCAAAGTCTGCAACTCAGCACCATTTAGCAGAGCTTCATAGCACGTCTCTTGAGCTAACCAAGATCATAACAGAGAGTGATGCAAAGAGTGTCTCGCTAGACAACTCTCTTAAGGATTTAGAGAGAAGACGCGCGAGTACCATCCTTGCAGAGCAGCAGCTCGCCATTAAAATTAAAAATGCCCATGACCAACAACTTACCTACACAGAGAGAAAGCAGCAGAAAGAGCACGAACTTACCCAGATTGATCAGCAGTTACATTCAGTTAATAATGACTTGATAGAGCTGGAGTCACAGATGGGTCATGGTTCGAACTGCCAAGTGAGCGCCTCTAAGTTTTTCACAGACGCTTATAAGAAAAGACAGCAAGAGTTCAGCGAATTAAAGGACGCCGATCTCAGGCTCATCAGCAACCTGCGACAACGATATAACAAGCAACTACTACATAAAGAACAGCAGCAGCGAGCCGTTGATCAGTTGAGAGATGAGCTGGGGGCTCTGCAGGAAAGGCAAAGCGTGCTCGAACGGACCCAAAAGCAATGCAAACGATCCATGGATGACGCTCTGTCAAAGGTAAACGCCTGTAGCAGTGAGATAGAACAAATAAAGCAACAGAATAAAGACATAGACGAAAAGAAATGCGCCAATTTATTGACGCTCGAGAGCTTGCGTAACCAATTAAGCACAGCTATACAGGCTCAAACGATGAGTAAGCATGAAGAGGAACTTAGACTGTCACTAAAGGAAAGCCAGGACGCCTTTCCACAAGACGTACAAGGGCTATTAAAGACTATGGTGACGCCCATCAAAAAGGAGCACGGGCAGCTACTCCAAGATGCGCTGGGGGCCTATCAGAACGGAGTTGTTTGTTCCTCATCACTAGTCGCACAGAAGTGCATCACTACGCTAAAGCTCAAAATGAGACGCCCTCTGATGTTCCTTCCTGCGGACTCTCTTAGGATAACTGATCAAGCAACAGCTGCAGACAGAAATGCAGCAGCTAAATTCCGCCAGTCACATCCAGGAATAGATATTAGACCCTTCATTGAAATAATAGATGTTAATAAAGTGGCAGAGAAAGCCACAAGGTTTGCGTTACATAACACCTTTTACTGTGACTCTGCCTATGAATCCAGTGTTACCGACTTTGCGTGGAAAGACGGAGGCGGGCACAGGGTCATTATGAGTAACGGGGTTCAGCTGAGGCCAGGTGGAATTGTCTCTTGTGACTTTGGAGCAGATAGTTTTATTTCTTCAACCAGCGATCCTAAGTTAGCTAAACGGCGGCGCGCCAAAGATGTACCAGCAGGAGGCTTGGCTGATGCAGATGCCTCCCAACAAGCTACGCTTAAAGATGACAAGAAGTCAATGCGCCTCAGTGATGAGGAAGCGTCCCTTCAGTGCACAAAACTTATGCAGCTACAGGACTCCCTTCTAGAACAAGCAACGCGAAATATGGAGCGGCTCCAGCGTTTGCAGTATACTGACTTGATCAATTATAATAGCGAGTATCAACGTGCCGAAAAGGCGTGGGACATGGTCAATCTTCAAATGGCATCTCTCTCTGCCAAATGTGCAGCAGCAAATAATAGCTATGAACAAGCTACCAAATCTTTAGATGCTTCCATAAAAGACTGTGAGCAATTAGGGGACGCCCTCTGTGACCAAGAGGAAGCGCTCTGGAATGAAAAGGAAGAGTACTTTTCCGAGATAGTAGCCGAAATATCAGTTGCTATCAAGCAGGATTCCGATCCATCGCTGGCTAACTTGCGGAAAAAGGACCGGATATTTCTTAAAGATCTGGAAGAAGAAGATCAGCAACAAAGAGGAGAGATTGTTTTGCGATTCACCAAGTTGAAGGAGATGAAGTATTCTCTGGAAATGCGCAAGCAGTTGGCAGGAAAGTTTGATTATTCTGAGCAGATTGACAAATTGCGACAAATAATTAAAGAATCTACTGAGCATCGAGCCAAGATTGCCACTGAAAAGCGCACTCTTGATGACCAAATTGCAGAGACCCGCAAACTTCTTCTCGACCAATCAACGGCATCTAAAGATGCCACTATGCAACGAGCACACATAACTGACCGCATAGCACAGCAACAAATTAAGTTAGGAGCCGCTGGCTCGAAGATTTTACAGTTGAGTACCCAACTAACAGTCATGCAGAGCGCGTTACGGGGTATCCAACGAGATATTCTCCACCTGTGCGAATCAGCACTTATGACCAATACCGTATTAATATTCGACTCAGTACAGGAAGAGATAGACGCAGAGAACGTGCGCCGGTCCAGAGTAAGGAGCAAAAAGAGGAATGAAACCTCTGATACCACTTCCCAGTGCATGGCACTTTTTGATGAATGCCAGAGACTACTGTCGTCATCCGAAGAAGACCTTGGAGAGCAGATTGCAAGCACATGCAGTGCGCTCCTGGCACTACCTTTTCCATATCATTTTGTTGACCCAGATAGGCAATTGGAAAAGGCGTACACATTAGCTTTGCAGGCTAACGATTCTAGCTATAATAAATGCATAGAGCCTCTAGAAAAGCAATACAGTATCCTAGAAGCCAAGTTAGGGGATTTGAAGAAAGCGCTGGATAAAGAGATAGACTCTCTTGACGATTATGTGGCAGTGGACATTAGTCTCGATGATCTAGATAAAGAGCTTTCTAAGGAGACGGAAGAACTCAAGAGCCTACATAAAAAGAGGAGTGAAGCACATGCTCAATTGACTGTGGTAACTGAAAAACGGAGGAAGCACTTCTTGCATTGCTTTGACTTTCTCTCCAAGGAGATATCAGCGGTGTACTATGCTTTAGCGTACGATGATGTTGCAGATAGTGATTTGTCAACGCAAGTGGCGTCTCTGACCCTAACTAAGCGCCAAACGCCTTGGACCACTGACTTCATTTTTACTGTCTTTCCTCCTAGCAGCTATGCAAAAGGGTTCGACGAGTTGTCCTCCGGCGAAAAGTCTATCGCTCTTTTGGCGTTGGTGTTCTGCCTTCACCGCTACAAGACTCTTCCATTTCTTCTGCTTGACGAAGTGGACAAGAACTTGGACTCAAGAAACGTTGAGAGGCTATCATATTACCTTTGTCGAGAGCGCGGATTTCATACTCTTGCCATATCTCACCAGGCGTCCATGTTTGTTAATGGTGACCTTCTGATCGGTGTCACCCGCGTGCGGACCTCACCTGGCGAGAAGGCGTCCGCCGGCTCATGGTGCGGCGCAGAGATATACCTGCTTGACATGACACACTACAATGGACCGTAGGCGACCGTCTTCGTCGCCGCGTTTACTCACAGGTCCGTGCACGCGAGAGCTCAGTAGAAGTAGCCAATGACCTTGCCACCTATCTGACGGTGCTGAGCTTCGATGTGGTCCATGATGCCCTGGGAAGTAGTGAGGATGATGTGCCCGAAGAGACGCGACGGCAGAAGATTGACGACCCACTTCTCAATGTCGTTGGCGGGAATGTCGAAACGAGGAGATATGACACCAGCCTTGTTGAGTCTTCCGATGAGGTTCACGACGATCCTGTTTGAGCGGTGGTTATCCACGACTGCGAAGTCGCTTATGTAGCCGTTCTTCTGCATAAGTTGGAGGAACTCGATGATAACCTTCGAGGAAGGACGGACAATCACCTGTTTCTTCCCGATGCGTTGGGCGTTGCAAATGGACTTGAGTGCGTCACGGAGAACGTTGATGCGAACCATGCCTACTGGATCTGCTTCCCAGCACGCCGGCACGCGATGTGCGCTCAGCGAGCTTGGTACTTGTTAGCGGGTGTTAGTACGGGGGAAACATACGCCTGTCGCTCTTGGTTTTATAACGATGTTAAATAGCAATTTAAAATTGATGGAATTTTTTATCTCATCCGAAGGACCCCAACCTGGCGGCCAGTAGATGGTGCTAGACAGGGCCTCTGATATTGTCACAGCCGCGACGACGTCCAACGATGCGCTCCTTAGTAAGCTTTCGGCGCTCAGAGCAGGCTACCTAGTGGATCCTGCACTTCGGGCAATCTATACCAAGCCCTCCCTTCCTCGTAAAGACCCGATGATAAATAGGGGCACGTGGTTTCGGTTCACTTACATCGAGCAGATGGCAGTGGCTTTTGCGGCTAAGTATGCTGGAAACTGTGCAATTGTTAGTCTTGGAGCCGGTCTCGACACTCTTTACTGGCGTTTACAGCTCATCGCACAACAAGAAAGGAGCGAAGGGAAGCAAAGTTATTTCCATGTCAAGCACTGGATTGAACTGGACCTGCCATCAATTACAGAACTCAAAGCAAAGAAGTTTGACCTTATGCACGGGGAAACTATTGACATGCCTATGTCTGAGGACTGTGCTGTCCGGCCATTTCAGGAGGGCCAGGTAATTCTGTATCGTCCCAAAAGGGAGCATGCCGAAACTACCCCAGAGGCACTGCGCGTCGATCTGCCGGGCTATCAGCTTTATGCGGCCAATCTGGAAATGCGTAAGACATGGATGCCGCTGGTGCGAAAGATTGTAGCAGACGAAAAAGGGGATACGACGCTGCCCGTGCTCTTCTTGTCTGAGGTGTGCTTGTCGTACTTAGACGCCGACTCGACCGTAGGCATCATACGGGACCTTCCAACCTATTTCAACAATTTTGGGCTTGTCTGCTTTGAGATGGTCAACCCTTCAGACTCATTTGGGGAGATGATGCAGATCAACATGGCAGAGCGTCAAGTCGTTATGCCCTCATTTGTGGAGCTGGGCTTTACGGCTCAGTATCGTAAGCTCTTCCAGCTGAGCGGCTATGAAGCCTCGTATGCTAAAGAGGCGGGGGATGTGTATCGCAGCTTTTGGCCAGCTAGACGCCGCGAGATAGAACAGCTCGAGCTCTTTGATGAGTTTGAGCAATGGAATCTGATTATGGGGCACTACGCATGTATAATGGGGTGGACCGGCATCGAGAATCTCGAGGAGATGCTGGCGTCTGTTGGGCAAAGCGCAGATTCCCCCGACAAGTAAATATTCACTAGCGAGAATTTACGTTTATTGCATGGTCAGTTGTGTCGACAAGATCTTCTGCACCGCGTGTTGCAAGGCTCGGATTCGAGGATGTACAGTTTGTGCACAGAAATTCCTTGCGTATCTAATTTTTGGTCTTATACTTGCAGCTAATTTGGCGGGTGTAGTTGAGATATCAATTCTCTGGAAGCGGCCAGAGGTGGTTATACCCTTCCTTGTTGTGATTGGATACGCTTTGATCGTTGTCTCTGTACACTTCTGTTTCGCTGTGTGGCTTGACCCGGGATTCACAACACCTTCGTATGGAGGTATTCGGCGCAAGTGCTTGATCTGCGATAAAGCCAAGCCGATACGCGCACACCACTGTAAAATATGCAATCGATGCGTCCTTAAGTACGATCACCATTGTCCTTGGATTGGGAACTGCGTTGGTCTCAATAACTACGGACACTTCTGGTGCTTTCTGCTCTGGGCCATCATTACGCAATGTCTTTGTATACTCTATAACGTCCTGGGAACGGTCTTTGTTTTTCAGCTTCTTGTCGCCTATCTACCGATTGTTTCTATTGTTGTGGCTGCAATTGTAATCGCTGGTATATCGATTCTCTTCAACATGCACGTCATTATGATACGCAACAACATGACCACTATCGAGTACTTCAAATGGAAGGATTCCAAAGCAAGTCTGCAGCACTATACGAATCACTATACTCTCGGTTCTTCAGGAGCTAATATTGCACAGGTCATATCACCTATTTGGGCAATAGGGGTTCCGTGGCGCATTCGACCAAGGCACTCTGGATTGTGGACATACTGTTACGATCAAAATGTTGAGCTGGCTGTGCCAAAGGTAGAGACCAATCACTCTATTGAAGTTATGCACACACCTCAGCTATTTACAAAGCAACTAGACGCCAATCCAACTGTACAGTTGGAGCCCACCGTTACAGCATCGATCACTCATAACGCGATGCCTAGTAATGCTAGAACATACCCCCAGCCTGTGAACGCACGCAAAAGACGGCATGAGCCTCCTAGAACATCGGTGCGGTTAGATGTTATGGGGCCATACACCATAGGGTCACTAAACTACCCGAGTTCTACCATAAACAATCCTACTACTCTCTCCCTTTATGCGTCTAGACCAAGAACCTCTGAATCAATTATTACAGCATCGTCAAGACCATCGTCAGCGGCACCAAGTCGTGTAACTACTCCGCCGGTCATTCAAATGGACCCCATGGCCTACCACAGTAATAGCTTTTCTTCTCCTTCAAGAGTGGTCGCTTTTTCTCCTTCCAAAAGCCCAACCACTCAACCTAGATCACCGAACATATTCGATAGAATTGTCCAGGGTCTGGAAAATTGACCATCGTTTCATCTGCTCGTTAGATCATCAAACTGGTGATATCGACTTAAATACCAAACATTTAGAAGTTCCAATGCTATTCTACTTTCTTATACTCTCAATACTTTCAGTGATTGAATTTCAACCGAGTGATGTGGGCATGGAGTATTCGCGTGTCAGCGAAGCAGAAATAACGATTATTCTAGGCATTAGTACCTTACGTGAGCAGCAAGGCATTATTATCAGAAATGAAAACTTAATGGGAAGCAATGGGGTTCGATATCCAATAGAGTTATTAATCACAGTGGAGCCCGTCTCAGTGATTGATATTCTTGTTAGTGAAATAAGCCCCTTCATACCCTCAAGAATTATTCAAGTAGAGGATATGCTATGTGGCTCTACTACACTGAACAATCCGTGCATGGGGAAAAAAACCCTATGCTGTGTGGACCTGTACAAGGGGGTGAACTACTTTAGATGCTATGCTTCTGCTGACGTACGCTATAGAAGATATGAATGGGGTGATATCTCCTCAATTGTTGGCTTTAATATTCATGTGAAAGGCATAACAGAGCAAGCTGAATATAAGCTTTTCAATCCTGACTACAATCTTATAACACAGATTGATAATCTAAGATTGCATTTTTCCTTCCGCGCTGACAACTCTGTGGAAGGGGTGCTCTCTTCCCTTCAGAAACACACCATAATTCAAACTTCTGACTCGGAATCAATCGATAGCTTGCGTGTCCTATTTGCAGGAGACTTACTCATATCCACCGAAGATGAATGGGCCAGTCAGTCTTCATGCTACATAGAGGCTGACGAGGAATTCAATCTTGCTCGCGACACAATTGGATTGTCTCAAATCGTGGGGAGCGAATATAGTGGGTTCTTATCAGATAACATAATCCACCTTGTAGGGAATTTAGACATGATCTTTTATCTCACTATTTCAGCTAGTAAATAAAGTCCATGCTACTCCTGTTCTGGTTCGGCAGAGAGCGCCTGTATCTTTGCATCTATATCAGCAATTAGATCCTCGGCCACATTTTCTTCCAGATAGATATCCTTTACCTGAAGAAGGGCCTCCTTCGCGTCTTCATATTCTCCTGCCAAGTTATAGCACCATGCCAGGTCATGAAGTGCAACGGCATCTTTAGGGTTCTGTGCAAGTACTAGATCGCAGCACATGGCACCCTGTTCGTACATTCCCACTCCGGCGCATATCCGCGAGAGGGCCAGAAGAAACTGCTGTGTTGGCTGATTTTCATCTGAATGAACGGTGATCTCTTCCGAACCGTCCTCCGCCTGCTCAATTTTGTAGAATCCACGCTGCTCCATTAGTTCAAGAGCACACAAGGCTGCTTTTTCAGCCAGGTCGAATGATTCTGCTACAAGGTGCGCCCCAGCAAGACTTATATGAGGCTCAATAAAAGATGGGTTCATGCTGATTGCTTCCTTTGCTGTCCTGATCGCGGCCTTAGTGTCTGGCGGGTCAAGACGAGTTAGATACGCATCCGCAAGTGTTGCCAGAGCTAATATTAGCGAGGTACGAGACTCTTCTGTACTTGTGTGCTTTCTAAAGATACCTATTGCCGAATTCAGATTAGATGGATCACCTGTGATCTCATAGAGGGTCATGTATCGGACCCCAGCGGCATGAGTTAGGTGATCGTACCCAAGCGCCTTGGCATAGCAACTAGTTGCTTTCTGAAAATCTCCAGCAACGCTGAAAATTTCGCCAAGCGAGTCAAGCACAGATGGCTGATTGCAAAGGGGAAGCGCACGCTCTGCAATAGTAAGAGCTTTAGCAAAATTTCCCGCTTCCAGTTTTGCGTATGCTTGAGTAATCAGTTCACTCACAGCCCCCTGTGGTGGTTGTGGCTTGCGTTTCACTGTATTATGCTGTCGAGCCTTGCCCATGGTTCAATTATTTGAATTTAATCAAAGCGTCACCAAAATATGATGTGAGACCCAGCTGTGCCGAACACACAAAGCCAACATATCATCCTATCATAAATAGATTCTGACATATCGCTAGGTGGGCATCGTTCTTGAATATATCGTTTCAAGCATTTTAAGGTACTGTTTTTAGTGGACAGAACAACACGTATACCTCTTTTAGGTCAACAGTGACTTTACAATGCTCACCATATCGACCATTGTTCAGTACTTAAAAAGCCGACGCACCCTTCTCTGCTATCGTGCAGCTGAGGATCACATCGGGATACAGCTCTTGTTCTAAGGAAGAGCCGGGCTGCACTTGTCCTGTATACTTGCGCAGCACAGAGAGCCTTGCAAGTCGTGGTGCTGGACCATGTAGTGCGCTGTTTTGCTTTCTTGCATGGACTGCGGGGCTTATGCAAGAAAGTTGATGGCAGGAAACGTGTACACACTGGCGCTTATATCGTTCCGCTTGATACAAGGCAGCAAGGACGCGTTTTTGTACACACAGTCTAGGATTAATGGCTAAGTACCTTCACACATTGCGTGCCCTGATTTCTGCTTGCTATGGGCCTGTCTGAGCTCTACAACCCTCTGAAGAGAGAGCTAATCTACCTAACGTTAGCCAAGGCCGCATTCTGACGCTGATAAGCTGGCCACTGACTCACCAATCAACAGCACATGCCACCTTGCACTTCTACCCATAGAAGCTGCATCTCGGTGTTCTGCTTAACCATAATGTACGGCCTCTCTGCAAGACACGCGTTCCCTGTCTCGGCGCAGCCATAGTAGGATCTGTGGTCAAATGCGTAGAAGAACGTACCCAAAAGGTATCGTCTCGGCTCTCCATCTACTGTGATGCGTACTAGCATATGCCAAGTAACTAGTTCATGCGTATCTGTAAGAGTCTTCAGATACCGCGTAGATATGCGCAGAAGTACTTAACCCTGCCCGTACAGCGCGGCCCCTAGATCACAGATCTTTGCAAACAACCTGGACCGCTATCACATGTGCTTCTCCGAGCAAGAAGGCAGTACCTCGGGCTCGCCTAAAAGTACCGCTATGGATCAGCAATCCTTTAAGGAGTGTCTCGCTAGCATCACACGTGCCTATTGATGGGTGGTTTGTACATCCGTGATATGGCTGTTCTTGTACCTCCAATTACTTCGAGAAAGAACCAGGGAGCGCTCCTTGCGGATTACAGCCGTGCCACATCAAGCATGCGGCCGCACACCCTTCCAACGTGAGTGACGCACACCGCTGAGACCCATGCACGTTGCTCCGCGGTGTTGCATTGGCACGCAAGTAGGCTATTCTGAAGACTGCAAACTGTTTCAAGCACCCTGTTACTCCATTCCATATCTTGCAGACGCGCCACAGCGGACGCTTTCACAGATGCCTATAGCAGAGGAGCTCCTTCGAAGCAAGGGTTGCCTGAAGGTCTTTCTTTATATTGAGGTGACTTGCTAGCCAGCTGGTATAGGCGTCGAAGGAGCCCCATACCTCGCCTCGGCGATATACCCACCTGCGCACTCGCCGCCCTTCAAGCCTGCCTGCGCTCCCAACGAACTCGGCGAAGGTGGGCAGCAGGCGCGCTGGGAAAGTTCGGCACCCCGTGTTCCCACGACGTCTCCGATCGCAGTACTGGCGGGGCCTGACGGCGCTTCTCTTCTTAATTCGGAACGAGTTAATTCGGAACGAGTTAAGGAGTTTCCGCCGTAGGATGGCCGAACTGGCGGCCGGTGGGGCTGTGCAATGCACAAAAGACTTGAGCTTGTAAATCTAGCTTGTTACAATTGGTTTATCGCCGGGGCTGTGTACAAGGGCCGAATGATCGAAATGGGATAAGCGGAGCGGTCTCTTGTCGATGAAGGAGATAGTGCCCGAGGCAGTGCTGGAGTCGTTCTCGAGGGCAAACATCTGGACACAGCCGCCAACATGCGACCCCTGCCAACCAGCACACGGAATTTGGTCGATAAGCTGACTGGGCAGCATGCATCTAGGGGATTAGCGTTTACCAAAGGACCACATGCAGCCTCTTGAATAGATGAGATGTCGCGTTTGGGTCGAAGGCAGTTGGGCAGCTTCTAGCCCCCAGAGTGCTAACCAGTGCCCTGTAAGCTGTCTTGCTAGCACTTGCCTTTCTGCACCCACTGATTGCGGTGTGTCGAACGGATAGCTTCTAGAAGGTAATGCCAGATTCAGGAGGGATCACCGCGGAGCCCTTCTGCACATGCTTAGTCAATTAAGGGGTACTACTACGATGTGTATCACATGCTATAGCCAGTTACGCCAGCATGGGAGGCTAGCCATGTCTGGGAAGTAGTAGCTAGTGACACGGTCGACTGCCGGCCATGAGAGCTCCGCGGGGCTGTTCTACTGCGGCTCCATCCTTACACAGAAGGTGCTGCTATGGGCTAGGATGCGCTGCAGTCCATCAAAGCTTGATGGCGAGAGTCTCGATGAAGACAGAGACATGCGTGTTCTAAGAGCTGGTCCTGCTTCTATTGGTACCTTATCATGCGCTGCTCTCCGTGAAGCAATAGGACTGCATGCCGGGAGCTTCATTTATATATACACATAACAAAGCAGGAGCGAGTCGTTCTCTTGGCTGCTGATCAATGACCCCTCTGTAGCCTACGTCGATCCGGTGGCGAGCCGGCTATTGAAGCTTCCTGTGTCCAATACTAATACTGCCTACGACGGGCGCCATACTAGCCAAGAATTTGGATAAACAATACCACGATTCATGGGTACGGAGAGTGGCTAGATCGCGTGACTATGCCTTCCAGTTCTCTACTCACCGCTGGCTGCGCACCAGCTATCTTGGATGCCACAAGAAAAGAGATCAAGCGTTATGCTCTCATTACAAGTATCTCTACGTGGCTCAACAGAATACCTGCCCCGGCACTGTATGCGTTCTAAGGGCCTCTTACTCAACGAGCAGGGCACAGACCCTGCGGTGCTACATCCAGACACAGGAAGGGTGGAGGCTGACTGCTAGAGACAGTACGGGCCTGCACTGTCTGTCAGGCCAGTCGGATCCTCATGCGCTCTCCGGCCCCTCTGCTGGGCGCTGAGTCCTTGCTAACCTTAGTTACACACCGTCCGCGGAAGCACATGCGGCAGACCTCGCGGACATGCAGGTGTGCTCCGAAGTCTAGTAACCTGGGCACAGGATGCTGTGGCCATCTGGTTAGTATTACAGCTTCATCCTGGGCGCGTACAGGTGACCCAGATTGGCACGGGACGTACGGGAAACCGGTGGAAGCCATCTGGTGGCGGGATGCACCACAACCAGCCCCGTCACCCGATATAAGATACCTCCAGCTGGAAACAAAGTATTCTGTACTGATATGTGCTCGTTCAGAGGTGTGCCCTATTTATCACTTCCTGCTCGGGTAGTCGGGAGCTAGCTGTTTAGTGCATCTGCCTAAAGCTAAGTAAAGGCAATAGTGGGCACAACAGCCAAGAACGGCCAATCAGACAGCCACCGGACGCACCTCTTCGCTGTTATCATTGTCAAATCTGGAAGCAGCTGGTGCTTTATTGACACACTATGAGTGGCTGCCTGGTCCCAGCCTTCTCCCATGTTGCAGCACAATACCCACACACCGCAAGGGGCGCATAAGTACTCGGTGCGTATGTTACAGGGCTTGTATGATCGTGGATGGCCGACATGAGGCTAATCTTTTTGCTTCAAGTAACTTGGTTGGTGAAGGATATGGAGCTGTGGTCTTCAGGGATAGCCTCTGGTCCAGCATTGCGAGATCAGCCATAGATAAGCATGAGTATATCCAGTCACACCACAGTGGAGCCCTTAGCCAAGGATGGCAAATGCTCAAGGCCCAACGTCCAAGAAAGATATACAAGTGATTGGTCCCTTTTTCTGAGAGCCCAGCATCCTCCCAGCAGGTCTGGAGGCCATGGTGCTCTTCATAAGGAAGGGTATAAGAGTCAGACGTAATTGCTGACTAGTCGCTGTTCTGAATGTGACTAGTAGGTATGAGAGAATCAGGGTGGATCTAGTCAAGGAAGAGCGAGGAGATGCTATCAGAGGGAACGCAGGGAGACGTTAAACTGACGATCCTTAAGTGAGCGAGAGGCCGAGCTTAACACCACACAAACAGATAGAATCTTTGGAATGCACGTAGAAATGAGACAGCCTGTCTCTCCGGACGGGGATACAATGTGCTGGGATTGCAGCGATGGACTGCCATACAGGTTCCTCCGTCATGAAGGGCTACGGAGGAGCGCTGGTGTGGCGATTGACACTACTACTGGATGGAGTGCGCTGGAACATCCTAGAGAGGATCCTTGCGGGCTAATTGGCTGTTAAACATTCTTCTCCTGACGTCTCATGTTACTGAGTGAAGCACACAAGCAACACGTGAATCGAGCACCAATGTTACTACCAGCTCTCTGCTTTTTGATGAGCGGCCTCGCCGCGCAACGCACTAAACAACCCGCGCCCAGCTGCCAGGTCGACAACTGCGAGCAGTGTAACGCCGACAATGTCCACTGCGACCGGTGCGTCCCCAGCGACGACACAAAGTGCGAGCGGTGCAACGAGGGCTTCACGGTCAGCGACGACAAGACGGTGTGCAACCAGAGCCCTGCGCAGTGCAATACTCCCAACTGTAAGACCTGTGACAACCCCAAAACAGACAACGAAATCTGCACTAAATGTAATGATGGCGACTACCTCACCCCTACAAACCAATGCGTACCTGACTGCACAGCCATCAGCGGATACTACGGAGATACTGACAAGAAGTGTAAGGCATGCAACCCTGAGTGCGCTGAGTGCGTTGGACCGGCCAACAATCAGTGCACGGCCTGTCCTGTTGGGAAAATGCTTCAGTATACAGATACTAATACTCCTGTCAATGGGGGCACGTGCATGGACCAGTGCAGCGTGAGTTCTACAAACGATGGATGCGCAGAGTGTGGGGCTCAGATAGGAGGAACTGCATATTGCTCAAAGTGCAAGAACACTCAACAAGCCCCCTTGAACGGCAACTGTGCGGCCAGTTCACGAGTAGCCTTCTGTGCAACAATCACAAGTGGGGCCTGTACAAAATGCAATGAGGGTTACTTCCTCAAGGACGGCGGCTGCTATCAGACAGATAGACAGCCTGGTAAGCAGGTGTGTAGTAATGCACAGGGAGGCAATGGTAAGTGTCAGACATGTGCCAATGGCTTAGCAGCAAGTGATGGCAACTGTGCAGAATGTCATTCTACTTGTGCTACGTGCTCGACTGCAGATGCGGCTGACAAGTGCAAGACCTGTGCCACTGGGTATTACAAGGAAAACGGTGACGATACCACTGCTGGGTTATGCAAGAAGTGCTCAGAGAAGATCTCTGGATGCAAGCAATGTGTGTCGTCATCTGGCAGTTCAGTCATATGCTTAGAATCAGAAGTAGGCACTGGTGGAAGCGTCAACAAGAGCGGCCTCAGCACGGGGGCCATAGCCGGTATCTCTGTTGCTGTGATTGTTATTGTAGGTGGTCTTGTCGGATTCCTTTGCTGGTGGTTCCTCTGCCGCGGGAAGGCGTAGACTTAGCTGTGTACTTAGGTAGTAAACGCGTTACTTTATGTAGCTCGTGTAGATGTGCTGCTGGAGCTATCTGAGCGCGATCCAGAGATCATGCGGGTAATCCTCGCTCTTTCCTGGCCGTCCGGAAACGATGGCTGGTCGTGGATAATGTAACGAGGAGCTCCTCTCCAGTGATGCATCCAGAGCCCTGCGCGGTCCCCGGTCGGCCTCCAGGATCCGGCCTGCTTAGGGCCATACGAGCCGCGAGTGTGCCTCTCCTTGGCCTGCCGCCAGGATGAATGAAACTCAGGTCGTCCCTGCACTTCTTGACCTCCTCGCTGTGGTATCCATGCAGTTGCTGGATGACACCCACGCCCACCGCCTTGCGTTTGTGTCGGGCTCTGCTCTGCTCTGGCCGCCGGGCTGGCCTGATCTCCAGCTTGCGTTGCACTCCCCGAGACACGGAGGCACAGGTACCGACGATTGCACTGGGCCCCTGGTCGTCCCTCTGCACCGGTGGAGAGGAGCCCCTGCTTGCTGTCTACAACCGCCCTCGGACTGGCCAAGAGTCGAACACGAGCTTATCCCGAGGCCTCCGAATGCACCGGAGACGGGCTCCGATGGCACAGCACTCGATGCGATTCTTCCTGCTTGCACCCTAACTGAGGCCTGTGCACTGAGAGGCCGGTGGCACCCACCCGCTGGGGGCAGGCCACGATCTGGTGGTCCGGAAGGCGCTTGCAAGGGGCTGGGCGTCAGTCCAGGGGATGATCCGGGCCCTAAGCATTCACTCTCTATGAGCTGCGGCCCGCCAGCCGCAGAGCTAGAACTCGTCCACCGTCCCCATGAGCTCCACGTTCTCGGCCGCTGCCCTCTTCTTCGAGATCGGCTTCGATCCCCGCCGCCTCCGCAGGACGAGCCAGCATGTGAGGGCGACGGCCGCTATAATGAGAAGGGAGACAACGACTGCCACGGTGACCGTCGTGGAGCCGGAGCTGGCCTTCCTGGTCTGAGAGACGCATGTGTCACCCCTGAGGGTGTACCCCTCCATGCATATGCAGAGAGAGCCGACTGATTCTGATCCGCTTGGACAGCCTGAGGCGCAGGATCTCTTGCTCGGCTGGACGTTGTGATTGCTGTCCGCACATGAGAGGCACTCGCCACTTGCGCTGCAGCTCGAGCACCCTGTGGCGTCTGATGGACAGGTGTTCTTAGCTATGCATGCGCCATCACTACTGGGCTCGAAGCCCTCTGCACAGACGCACTTTCCATCCTCCTCTCTCTGATTCAGCTCCGTGCATGTGAGTGGGCACGAGAAACCATCGACGGAGACAAGTCCGGGGGAGCACCGTGTGCACACGAGGTTGTTATCCTTAGGGGTGCATGCTTGACAGCTTTCAATTCCACATGTGGCACACTGGAGCTCTTCTGGATCCGCATAGTATCCATCGCCACATTCAGATGCGTCGACACATGTAACCGTTCCAGAGTCGTCCACCTTGGTGTACTTTCCCGAAGAACACTTTGTGCAGTGGTCAGGACCTGAACCGTCACACTCCAGACATGCTGAGTCGCACTGGATACAGCTATTGCTATTGTTATCAAAATAGGTACCTACGTTACATTTGCATACACACGTACCAGTTTCACAGCTACCAGATTCTGATGCAGAACAAGAAGTGACACAAGAAGTGCCACTTACAGAGACATACTTATCATTCTTGCAGCTAGTGCACACAAGCTTATTGGACCCATCAGACTTGATACTACAGCTAGCGCAATCTTCAATAGCACCAGCTGTAGTACTATCACACCAGCTGCACGTCGAGTCCTTCGCAAAGAATCCTTGTGCTTCATTGCAAGTGGTGCATGTTCCGCCAGAGGCCTCTGTGCAGATAGTTCTCCCGAGGAGGTCGTTCGTGGTATAGCATCCGCCCTCATAGAAAAAGACTCTACGATCGGGGGACGATCTATTACATGCTGTACACTTCCCAGCAGTACTGTCCTTATTGCAGGCCCCAAACTCGCTTGACAGTCTGCAGTTGCCATTGTGGGGAACTTCGTTGGGATTGACACACTGTTTGCAAGCAGAGTAACCACTGATATCCATTAGGTTGTCTGACGCACATATAGATGCGCCACTTCCCTCTTTGCTATAGCACCCACCCTTATAGCAAACGTGAGTGGATGCACAGTGAGTGCAGTATCCGTTCTGGCAAACATGGGAGGTGGTATCTGCGCATGCATCATCGATTGGTGCTTTGGTTGGATCCACACACGATGTACACCGGACAGCAGTCTGTTTAGTATTATCACTTGTGGTGGAAGGAGATTCTAGGGAAATGCAAGACGAACATCCTGCTATGCCTACTTTATCATTGAAACCAGCAGTGTCCCCGCACAGAATACATTTCTCCTGAGAATTCCTGTCGTTTGCAAAAACAAAACCGTGCGCAACCGCACAAGTATTGCAAACACCATCTGAAACAGTCTCACAGATGTGCGTACCTGGCCACTCATTTTTATTGTAACAACCTCCGTAGAATAAGAAATAGGTCGAGCCTCCTGCTTCACTAGCTTTGGTGCCACCAGTACACGATGTGCACCGTTGTGACGCGTCACTACCTGTAATTGATTCCGTAACACAAACAGTTGGATCAATAGAGGGATCAGCAGGGGAATCGTCTTTTCCTACACATGCACCATTGATAGGCACTTTTCCAGATAAGCATTCGGTGCACAACGTTGTCCTTGGCCCGAACATGACGCACTTGTCTTGCACGCAGTTAGGCTTATAGCCTGTACAGGCAACGTAGTAGTCATTCTTGTACGGAGTAGAGCCATCGCCCGGCTGGGCCGCTAAGCCGATAACCGCTAGACCGAAGAGAAACAATACCGACATCACTGAATTTTCCGGCGCACCTTTGCAACAGAACGAAAAGGTTTCTTGCAACCGAGTACATTAACTGCTAGCGAATCCGTGTGCGCATACTGAGATTCCCGTGTCTGAAGCACAACGTGAAGGGCAACTAGCGGTACGATGAGATGACTCGTTGAGCCGGAGTCGCACTGGGCTCAGCTTGTAAATGGAACCACTCCATGGGAGCCTCCTGCGTCACGGACCTGTGCTGATCAGCGCGCCCCTGCTCTCCAGCCTGGTGCTGGACGGGTGATGTGCCACACAGGCAGACCTGGAGGCAGAAGAGGAAGGGAGGGGCGGGGCATTTTAATTCGCAAAATTATTTCCGAGGTTAGCTTGCCAGCTGCTATCTGAACAGATCTTCCGTACGAGCCGCTGCCGCTTTAGACAGGTGGACCTCCCGCTTGCTTCTGGCAAGACCCAGAATCTGAGATCCAAATCCAGAATCTGGAATTCGGATATCCTCGGATCCTGGTGGGAGAAGAGGGCCTCATGCCTCACTTCCTTCGGACATCGATGTGGTTCTTCCCAGGGCCTTCTAGGATTTCTCTCTTTTCTAGCCAGCTCTTGGAGGCCGGCTGCTGCCTGGCACCTAGTGGGCACTCACTATCTTAGGGCCTTGCGTCAATCGCGACGGCAATCTGGCCTCGGAAGCAATCAGCTCTGGTCACGTAAGTAGTATATTATTGTCGTGGTGCTCAGTTTCCATTTTTTGCAAAAAACGTAAATTGGCCTCCGTGCCCATGCAAGGCGCTAATCTGCCATTTTTTGCGAAAAGTACGGAGCCGGAATCGTGGGGTCCTTTTCTATTTTTTGAATCGTCTCCCGTCAGGCGTTGGACGGTAGGGACACCCGGACAGCCAGGCAGGAAGGGAGGAAGGAATGTATGGTGGTGTAGGGATAGCGTGAGGAAGGGGTGTGGGTGGGCATTCTCACGGGAGTGAGGCACGCCGGGCGGTATCGCGAGGCCGTCGGACTTTCTTGTGGGCATGCAGGGCGTCATGTAGTACGTCTGAGCCTCGGGCTTTACATTGAGAGCATTACTTAATGGGTCGACCCCGCGAAAGGGTGCCCCTCAAGTGCGTGTTGCTGCGTCCTACAGACCGCCATTGATCAGCAACCTCAATGTTCGGTAGACTTTTACTTGCTAGCGCTGTCTTGCAGCTAACATGGGCTGCATGTGAAGCAAATGGATTAGGTGGTGCTGGGAGCTGCAAGACGTGCGGAGCCACCATTGGTGGCAGTGAATATTGCAGTGAATGCAATGATGGGGCCAACTATGCTCCCGTAGATGGGATCTGTGCGAATGCTGGGCAAACGCCAGCTAGTACGCTTTGTCCGTAACATAGCGCCGGAAAATGCACACAATGTGGAAGCACCTCCTTTAAATACAAGGACGGCTGCTACCAACCCAACGACGGAAAGCCGGGGCAGAGCTTTTGCCTTGTGGCTAGTGGCTGAGTATGCACCGAGGCTGCTCCTGGATACTTTATCCCCACGGAAGTGGTAAATACTGAGCAATCCGTGGTTGCATGTAGTTATACGACCGGAGTAGCAATAACAGCTGGCGGAAACACATACAAGGGCATTGCTGACTGCGCAGAGTGCGGCGCCCCTGACGCAACAGCCGGCGCTGAGGCCGGCAAGGTTGCAACGTGTACCAAGTGTGGAGTCAGTAAGTATCTCAAGGATAACGTGTGCGTAGATAAAGCCCAATGTAATTCTGGTAGCACTAATAAGTTCGTTGCAGTTGATGATTCTGAGAATGGCAACAAGTGTGCTTCTTGCAGTGATAGCCCTAATGGCGGCGTTGCTAATGTGACACCTGCACCTATCACTAGCAATCTAAGAAGATCAAATGTATCAAGTGTACTGGTAACAACTATCTGAAAACCACAGGCGAAGACACATCATGTGTACAAAAAGACCAATGCAAAGACGGCTTCTTCCCCAAGGATGACAGCACCGACGGAATTGCCAATTGCGCCATGTGTGCCTTAGTTACTAGTCAATCAGGGGCTGCCCTCATTACATGCACCACTTATGTAGTAGGATACAAACTTAGTGCTGATGAAACTAAGTGTGAAGCAGCAAGTAATTGCAAGACGCCTGGATGCAAGACATGCAATAACGAGGGCAAAGAGAACGAGGTCTGCACAGAGTATGCTAGTGGAAACTATCTCACCCGGCGAGCCAGTGCATAGACAGCTGCAACAAGGTTGGGAATTACTACGGAGCAACGGAAGGAGCAAAGCAAACTTGCAAGAAGTGTGCTGTGTCCAACTGTAAGGCCTGTGATAATCAGGGGCAATGTCAAATATGCAAAGACGGATTTTACAAAAATGGTGATGCCTGCTCTCCGTGTCACGAAAGCTGCAAGACATGCAGTGCAGGTACTGCTAATGACTGCACTGAATGTCCCACTGGAAGAGCACTTAAGTACGAAAGTGATGGAGTCAAAGGCACCTGTGGAACTGGATGCACAACAGGCCAAAGTAGTGGTGCCCGTAAAACATGTGGGCTAACCATTGATGGAGCTAGCTATTGTTCAGAGTGCGCCGCGGGGACAGAATATCCTCAGAATGGGGTCTGTACCTCAGCAACTGCTCGTGCCGCAGCCACTTGTAAGACCGGAAATGTTGTCAAGGGCGCATGCAGCTCATGCACCAATGGGTTTCTTCGTATAAACGGGGACTGTTATGAAACGACCAAGTTCCCTGGGAAGAGTGTCTGCACAACAGCACCAGGCGCTGATACTTGCACTTTGATGGCTTCAGGTTATTATATTGACGGTAGTATTAACCTTGTGGTTTGCTCTGATGGCTGTGCAAAGTGCACTACTTCAAGCACTTGCACGACATGCAAAGATGGGTATGCAAAAATCGGAAGCAGCCAAACATGTACAAAGTGTGATTCTAGCTGTGAAACATGCAACGGGCAGCTACAACGTGTAAGGTATGTGCGACAGGATACTACAAGACTGTATTGGGAGAAGGCGCGTGCACATTCTGCGAAGGTAATAGCAATGGGGTCACTGGTATCAATGGCTGCGTGAGCTGCGCTCCCCCGTCTGGCAACACTGGCCCTGTCCTCTGCTATCTCATGAAGGATAGCAGGAACACAAACAAGAGCGGCCTCTCCACGGGGGCTATCGCAGGCATCGTCGTTGCTGTTGTCATCGTCGAGGGGCTCGTCGGGTTCCTCTGCCGGTGGTTCCTCTGTCGAAGCAAGGCGTAGACTTAAGTAGTAAACGCGTCCCAGTGCCATCCTGCGCTCTGCGTCTGCCAGGCACGGCACGGCAGGTCTCGGCCAGTGCACCAAGCGTGTTGATGCGTATTGGTCAGCGGACTCTGCTACTGGAGCCTCCGGTCTGGGCGAGCACCGGCTCTCATGGCTGCCGATACGCAGGTGGATGCCCGGTCCTCAGCAACGCACCCTGCGTGTCCGCGGCTCCGCGAGTGACCGACAGTGCTGTGCAGAGGCCAGAACTGCGGACCCCGTGTGCTAAACATCGCCCCTCTGCAGCTGTGGGATTGGCTGGTTCTGACAAGTTATAGACAAAACAGGGCCCTGTCCATTGCATAACCACTCGCAGCACCTCCAGGTATAGCGTTGGCGGTGGTTCTGTGCTACCTCGCCGAGTTTCGTGGGTCGGAGGTCTTCAAGGACGTCCAGGCCCTTGCCCAGATCAACGAGCCCCGGGACGAGACCCTCGGGCTTGTGGCACGGAGAGACATGCCGGCTTCCTCGAAGGATCGACAGCAAGGACTCGGGCTAGTAAAGATTATCCTTCCCGTCCCCGTCCGCGGTTCATCATGTACCTGTACGTTCAGCGGGCCTTCCGACTCAGAAGTGAAGCCGGTGAACTCTGTGGCGAAGGGCCCAGTACCGGGAGTGGCTGGCACCATGAGCGGCTGGCTGGCATGCAACTTAACCACGGACGCGGTGGAGATGGGCCAGGCCATCTGTTAGGAACAAGCGCCACGGGCTTCTTCTTCAGCTCGTGCGTCTCACTGATCCTGTAGGTGTCCAGCACGTAGGTGGCGAGAGAGTCGAGCAGTGCTCCAGAGAAGCCTCGAAGGGGTCATCATGGCAGACAAAAAGCTGCAGAAAGGCCAAGTCTCTGCATGCAGACGTAGTCCGATTCACGAAGGACCTCGATGCTCGGCGAGGCACGCCGTCTGCAAAGCGCCCTGCCGTGCTTGCCAAGGCCGAGGAAGCAGAGGCTCTCAGCAAAGAGCTTACTGTGGCCGAAGCAGGATCAGGACGCTGATTCCAGAGGCACAGCAGCCACACAAGCCATCCGGCACCGGTAGAGGCAGCAAGAAGCGCATTGCTCACGTCCTGTGCTACAACCCTCCGCACGAGTGGACCTGCAGGCCAGCCACCGCATCTCAGCAAGAGATCGGCCAGTGCCGCGAGCTAGCCTCTCCACGGCTTCCAGGCTCTATAGAACGCGCTGTCAATAGCGAGCTACGAGACATAGACAGTATGATCAAGCAATATGAAAAGTATCCTACCTTAGAAGATACCGCCTCCAACCGTGTATATCACGAACCGGCAAGTGGTCTAATATCAGGTGAGTCCGATAGACGGCATCTCCTAGATGCTCCTAGTGATGAGGACATCTCTGCGATCCTAGCAATGTGACTGGTGGCGCACAATCCGCGACTACTCATTGCGGCGTGGTAAGAGACTAGTGTCTGCCCCCAAACTAGGACTACCAGACTGAGAAGACGCTAATCTAGCCATGATCACTCTCACTCTGAAGTCCTTAAGCCAGTGCTTGCTGACGCGTCGAATCGTTGCATCTGCATCCTCCACCTACTCTGGGCAAATCAGCGGCCAAGCTTCAGGAGGGCGTGCCCGAAGCCTGGACACGGCATGACTCCAGAAGAGCACGACGAGAGACAGACCGGCCTGGTCGAGCCGGGACGCTTCATGGCTACCGCGAGGCCGCGATGTAGGCCTGCAGTTCGTTCCACAACGACCTGCAGAAGGCTCTACGTGCCTGGCGCCAGTATCCGCAAGGCTCTGGCCTGCGTTATCGCTGTAGGCGGATCTTAGCGCCCTCCGAGAGCCACGATCTAAGCGACAAGCCGGATCTGCTCTCGAGAAGCGGCGGCGAGAGGAAGGCAGAGTGTCGTAAGCGTGCAATACGCCCTAACGGCTGCCAATGCCCGCGGCAAGCGCAAGCGCTTACAGAGCTCTTCTTCGCCAGGTCTAGGGTGGATCCATCTCCAGGCCGGAGTTTGCAAGGCAGCCAGCGCGTAGTTGCCGAGTTGTTTGGAGCAGTGAGACCTTACCCCTTTATTGCTATGCTCATGCGCACGACGGGCTGATCGCTGGGTCCACCGAGCCCTTCACTACACTTTCCGGTTTGCTAACAGAGCGTCTTGGCACTTCCTTCTAGCGGCTGTTCTTCCAGTAGCACAGACGCCATCACCAAACAAGCTCCTCCTCAAAGTCAGCCCTGCCCGCCTACGTGCCACGCAGCTAAATTAAGAGGTGGGGGAGGCGAGTCGCGAGATCCGTCTCACTGTGGTGATAGCGCACACGGCAGAACGCAGTAACATGCTCTTCCTCCACTGACTTAGTTTGCTGTGGGCGCTTTAGCAGCAATCCGGCGGCTTCAGAGGCCTCCGTGCTGACTGGAACTGGGCGATGATGCGCACGGGAAAGCACTGGTCGGGCGGGCAATGCCGGCGACGCCTTAGTGGACCCGCACTGATTGCTGTCCACTCATAGAGTTTGTGGAAATGGACTCGGTACAGCAAGTGTTAGCTTTGTAGTGAAAAGCGGAGAATGTACCTGCACAGCAACATGGCTAACAGAGTCCCACGCATGCTACAGAGAGCGCTAGCAACGGTCCCGGCAGGCCCCCGTAGTCATCGAGGGCCATCCAGGCCTTGCTGTGGAGGAGACGCTGATCAGGGCAGTGAGGAGAACTCATGGGGCTTGCGGACCACAAACTGAAAGCTATCGCGGGACTCTCCCACCCCGGCGTTACCGCACCACCAGCTGACCAGGAGCAAAAGCCGCATACGCATCATCGTGGCCCGCTACCACGGGGGTCTCTAGAGACTTATCACAGCCTGCAGGGGCCTCAAGCCTACCGGTACCCAGGACCAGGGACGGCCAGCCCGTCGCTCTTGCAGACTGGGGACTCTGCGAGCTGCCCTGCACAATGGAGGCGCCCCTACAAGAACGCCAGCCTACATGGCCCCAAGACCAGCGCCGCCTCGACGTCTGGCCCTCGGGCCGTCACGTATGCGCGTGCTACCATGGAATTGCCGAGTCTTCGCGCGATTGGAGGCCAGAGAGCACGAAGCATTCTTTGTCAGTGGGTGGATGTCCGACTTACGTGCCGTGCAGACGACATTCTACACTTCGTTTTCGAGAAGATGTTCGTCCTGGACCCGACAGAGCGATCCACAGCCGGAGGGCTCCCTGGGTTGTTCTGAATGCTTAGTGCCTCTACAGCGGCAGATTGCTCTTTTCATCAAGACCGGCTTGCCAGCTGCTGTCCGAGTAGGTCCCTGTCCGAGCCGCCACGCCGGGCCTCTGCTCACCCGCGCCTGGGGCCAGGGCCAGGGCTCGCAAGTAGGAGGCCTCCAGCTCTGCGGGAGAAGAGCCCTGTGCTTCCTCCGAGGCGACCACGGAGCAGCGCAGAGCCCGGGGCTGGCGACGCGGGTGCCCTGTGGACGCCTGGCTCGGGCAGAAGCGGACCGAGCTCCTGGCTCACAAGGCAGCGGCGGTTGGGAGTCCACCACAAGCAGCTGCGCGGTGCCCGACGCCTCACCATGAGATGGGACACACGAGCAGGCTGCCGAGCGAAACGACCTCGTGGTGAACAACAACTCGTACATGGACCGTGCCCTGACCGCTCTGGTGCTTCAGATAACACCCCTCGGAGAGCTGCGGCCAGACCAGCCTCTTCAACTGAACGACTCATGACTCCATGTGCGCTCTGCGGCACGGATGAGTGCAGACCACACCAGCCCAGCACACTGCACAGTGATGCGCCTGAGATTGTATGACCACCTGGCGCCACAGGAGTGCACTGCGGTCTATGAGCAGAATGGTAGGCCGGGCAGGAGGCAGGCTAGGGTCGGGCATCTTCCTCTGCGCCAACCAGGGGTCGACATGGGGGTCCACGGGCACATGCTGCGGTCCAGGAGGACGCATGGCGAGTGCATCCCGACAGCAGGATCGATGGTGCACTTCATGAGGAGGCACATGAGGACTCCGAGTAGACATGCAGAGGCCATGGCGTATGTGGTCTTCGTCCTTGAGCACTGTTCCCAAGGCTAGGCCGCCGCAACTGACAGCTGGGCCCTGGAGGAGCGCTGCTTGCCAGGCGCCAGGCAGCTGGCCCCCACGGAGGTTAGCGAAAGAAGGGAGAAGCCCCTGGAAGATGCTGCGAGGAGCCTGCAGTGGCTCCCAAGCGAGATGAACATAAAGTCCTTCTTCCCTTCAGAACTAGATGGCGTCTAACCTCCGGGTTCTGGAGTCTGGATTTGGAGTGGTGAGCGAGCAAGAGACCTCCTCACCAGGGCAGGAGGGCCTCATATGACGAGCGGTTTACTCGGCAGAAGACATGATCAGCGCTGGTGATATGTAGTATCGGCGCTTCGTCTACCGGCCTTAGAGCGTTTACTCTGAGAGGAGGGCAATTATCTCATGGCGCCTCCATAGCTTGGCCATGTCAAGGGCAGTTTCGTCCATATTATCTCTAATATTCTTCTCCCTCACAAGGAGCCTCGCACACTCTATGTAGCCGCTCTGCGCAGCGACTGTGAGAGCGGGCCATCCGTGATTGTTTTGCATGCCACCCTCTTTTTCCACAAGTAATCTGACACAACCTGCATGACCATTCTTTGCAGCCCACATGAGGGCTGTCCATCCATCCCTCGATTGCACACAACTCTCCCTTTCCAAGAGTAGCTTAGCACAGTCTGTATAACCCTGTTCTGCAGCAATCATAAGAGCAGTCCATTTGCTGTTATCCTGTATACCGCCTTCCCGTTCCAGGAGCAACTCGACGCAATCTCTATGGCCGTTCCCTGCTGCAGCCATAAGGGCGGTTTCCCCATCGTTATCCTGCATGCCAACCTCGTTCTTCAAAAGCAATTTGATACACTCTAAATGGCCAGCACTTGCTGCAGACATGAGAGCCGTCCGCCCCTTGTCGCTCTTCATGCCGCTTTCCTTCTCTAGCAGGAGCTTAAGACAGTCTGCGTGGCCAGTCCTTGCAGTATACATGAGGGCGGTCCATCCGTTGCTATCTTTCAGTCCCTTCTCTTTCTCCGCGAGCAGCTCCACGATCTCTGTGTATCCATATACCGCCGCCCTTATCAGAGCAGTTCCCTCGTATATCTTCCAGTCACCTACAAGTGCGCATCCCTTCATCTTCGTGCCCCCCTGGAGCGGTATGAGAGCCTTCACGGCCTCCACGTCGTTTCTGTCGACAGCCCTCATGAGGTCGGTGGAGTCGTCCTCCTCTATTAGGTGCTTCTCTGGTTCTTCTGACTCCTCTGACTCCTCCATTTCGTCTGTCTCGTCTGTCTCATCCGTCTCTGTTTTAATCTCCTGCATCTCTTCGAATAGCTTGGCAGCAACAGCATAGTGTCTCCTAATAGAGTCCAATTTTGCGGCGCTATTAGTGGGATCCTTTTCGAGAGCTATCGTCTCGTCGTTGGCTCTATCCAGGGCAGCTGTAAAGGCTTCACGCATCTCCTTCAGTCTTGTGTCTTGGGCTTTCTGTTCATCAACAGAGATGCCAAGCCTCCGAATCAGATGAGCGAGCCCCTTGGCAGTCGGCCTCTCGGCGGGATCGAGGACGAGCATCTTCTCAAGGACGCTCCTTGCGAGGTCGTCTGCGATACCGCTCAGGTCCGGCCTCCACTCGGTGACGAAGACCTCTGCTGGCTCCTTGCCCCTCAGGAAGTCTGGCTTCCTCAGGGTGGCGAGCTCGTATGCGACGGCCCCGAGGCTCCAAACGGCGGACGCGGGGGTCACATCACCGCGGAGGAGTGTCTCGGGGGCCATGTACGCGGGGTCGCCAGCCTTCGCAGCTCCGCTCGATATGCCCTCGCAGAACCCGAAGTCTGCAAGAACAACACGCCGCCCGTCCCCAGCGAACATGATGTTGTCGGGCTCGAGAATAGCGCGGGGAAGCAGGTCGTCATCCACGTCTCCGCCGAGGCCGTGGAGATAGGCAAGGGCGCCAGCCAGCTGCCCCAGAAGGGAGAGGACCAGCTCGTTGGGGACAGACTCGTGAATGTCTCTGTGGTCGGTGATGAACTGCCGGAGGTCTCCGCAGCAGCGGTCTGTGACAACAAGGATCGTGTTGCCGTCTGTAAGTACCTGGTGGTATTTGAGAACGCCCGGGTGAGAGGCGCTTAGAAGAGCAGCCAGCCTACGCTTAATGGCATCCACACGATGCTGGTCCAGACCATCAAGCTGGATCTTTCTCATAGTGAACTTTGGACGTTCGTTACTAGCATGGATAGTATAAAAGCCCCCTGTGCCTAACGGCTCGTCCTTGCATTCAAACAGCTTCTCGGGGTCGATCCCGAGGATGTCGCCTGTGCCCATAGTCCTTCCAAGGCCATCGCTTACGCCTCTACCGACGTCCCATAGAGTGCGTTCTGTGGGGGTCGAAGCAAAGGGATAAAGTCCGCAGTCAACAGCCATTGCTATTTTTAAATCCAGTCCTGATCTGCCTTTTGAAAGTGATTTTACAGACTACTGTTCGAATGCGGTATCCAGTGTGATCTACTGGTGGTATGGCAGTACGCTCATCATGTTCCTCTTCTGCATGGCCATCGAGCGCCTCCTGAGACGCCTCAAGGAGAGAGGCATCACCTTCCTTGCTTATGCAGACGACATCATAGCGTTCCACGACGAGGCCTACCCAGCAGGCGTGATAACACAGCTGGCCATGGGCCTGACGATCAGGAGCGACAATGCAAGTCCACCATGGCGGGCGAGGAGGTGACCTTCCTCAGCCACCCGGTGTCCCCCACTCCTGCAAGCCTTACCCCAAAGGCCATCGCAGGTGCTGAGACTGCCCTGAGGAAGATTGAGAACGCCCCCATAACCACCCACCAGAAGCTCATCCTGCTGTCACTCTGCGTGGTCCCGATGGTGAACTACGCCCCCCTGGTCGAGATAGCCTCGGACAAGGCGGACTACGAGGAGCTGACAGACATCGCACAAGGCTTCAGCACTAACCAACAGAAGCTGCGATCGCCTGGTCGACTTCCTGGCGTACCCGAAGGAGAAGGGCGGCCCGGGCCTGCTCATGCTGGGACTCTACCACGACGAGCTGCGGAGGGCATGGGCCTCCCTGGACGTCAACAAGGGGGCCAGAGACCCGGTGGAGCTGTCGGTGGAAGGCCAGGCACTGCAAGGGAAGGGGGTCTACTTCAACCGCCTCCTCACGCATACACCAGCTTCCGGACAGAGCGGCGGCGTGCTGACCGAGGAGGAAAGGGCCCTGAAGCAGAGAGATGGCTCGATCATGGGGCAGACAAGAGGCACCTGCCCGGGCTGCCACACGGCGAGGACCCTCGACCACGAGGCACGACATGATCGTCGCGTGCCTGTGCCTCCGCGTCTCGGGGAAGTTCAACGCAGAGCTGGAAGTCAAGACCCACAGCCACCTCAGCGACCAGAACCAGAAGCCCGACACCTGGCTCGTTGACAAGTGCAGGGCAGTGGACGTGCGTGTCATCCAGCCCCGCCAGATGGACGCCTACTACAACGAGAAGGTCAAGAAGTACAGGGACGGGACGCTCCCGATCATCATGGGACGGACGGCTCCCTCCACCCCAGTCCAAGGGGCACCTCGAGGAGCTCCACGTGGACCTCTGTCCGGGCTGCCTTCGCTATCGCCTACATGGCTGCAGAGGCGAACGAGCACCCGACGAAGCTGGTCAGACGCGACCGGGCCGAAAGCCTGGCCACCCAGAGCGACCGCCTCCTGTCATCCTACTTCTGACAACCGAATGAGCCCATCCCCGGGACCCGACGACAACGATCGAGAAGGGGCAATGACCGGACACACAACCGAGTTGAATCCCAACCAGGAGAGAACGCCCCGCTAGCTGCTGCTGATATACATGGACAGTATTGAGAATGACAACAAAGACCAGAGCTTCACTCACCGTGAAGGGAGAGCAAGGAGAGGCACCCTAGTAGACCAGCGAGCCTGCAGGACGGCCTGATCTCCAAAAGGACCTATGTGCACACCTAGATCGAGCACACACCCGCAGAACAGTCGAGGAACGCAGATAGCTCCTCCCGTCCACTACTGTGGTCATTATCATATTCCATAGCCAACCCTCGTCTCTGGACTAGTCAGGGACTGAGCAAGAGCTTACCCGTGAGATCTCTGGACCATACCTGCAGGCGAGGGCCCCAGCAGCACACCACTGGAAGCAACCGGTGGGTGGAGTAAATCATCATCACCGTGGTTAAGTTGCATGCCAGCCAGCCGCTCATGGTGCCAGCCACTCCCGGTACTGGGCCCTTCGCCACAGAGTTCACCGGCTTCACTTCTGAGTCGGAAGGCCCGCTGAACGTACAGGTACATGATGAACCGCGGACGGGGACGGGAAGGATAATCTTTACTAGCCCGAGTCCTTGCTGTCGATCCTTCGAGGAAGCCGGCATGTCTCTCCGTGCCACAAGCCCGAGGGTCTCGTCCCGGGGCTCGTTGATCTGGGCAAGGGCCTGGACGTCCTTGAAGACCTCCGACCCACGAAACTCGGCGAGGTAGCACAGAACCACCGCCAACGCTATACCTGGAGGTGCTGCGAGTGGTTATGCAATGGACAGGGCCCTGTTTTGTCTATAACTTGTCAGAACCAGCCAATCCCACAGCTGCAGAGGGGCGATGTTTAGCACACGGGGTCCGCAGTTCTGGCCTCTGCACAGCACTGTCGGTCACTCGCGGAGCCGCGGACACGCAGGGTGCGTTGCTGAGGACCGGGCATCCACCTGCGTATCGGCAGCCATGAGAGCCGGTGCTCGCCCAGACCGGAGGCTCCAGTAGCAGAGTCCGCTGACCAATACGCATCAACACGCTTGGTGCACTGGCCGAGACCTGCCGTGCCGTGCCTGGCAGACGCAGAGCGCAGGATGGCACTGGGACGCGTTTACTACTTAAGTCTACGCCTTGCTTCGACAGAGGAACCACCGGCAGAGGAACCCGACGAGCCCCTCGACGATGACAACAGCAACGACGATGCCTGCGATAGCCCCCGTGGAGAGGCCGCTCTTGTTTGTGTTCCTGCTATCCTTCATGAGATAGCAGAGGACAGGGCCAGTGTTGCCAGACGGGGGAGCGCAGCTCACGCAGCCATTGATACCAGTGACCCCATTGCTATTACCTTCGCAGAATGTGCACGCGCCTTCTCCCAATACAGTCTTGTAGTATCCTGTCGCACATACCTTACACGTTGTAGCTGCCCGTTGCATGTTTCACAGCTAGAATCACACTTTGTACATGTTTGGCTGCTTCCGATTTTTGCATACCCATCTTTGCATGTCGTGCAAGTGCTTGAAGTAGTGCACTTTGCACAGCCATCAGAGCAAACCACAAGGTTAATACTACCGTCAATATAATAACCTGAAGCCATCAAAGTGCAAGTATCAGCGCCTGGTGCTGTTGTGCAGACACTCTTCCCAGGGAACTTGGTCGTTTCATAACAGTCCCCGTTTATACGAAGAAACCCATTGGTGCATGAGCTGCATGCGCCCTTGACAACATTTCCGGTCTTACAAGTGGCTGCGGCACGAGCAGTTGCTGAGGTACAGACCCCATTCTGAGGATATTCTGTCCCCGCGGCGCACTCTGAACAATAGCTAGCTCCATCAATGGTTAGCCCACATGTTTTACGGGCACCACTACTTTGGCCTGTTGTGCATCCAGTTCCACAGGTGCCTTTGACTCCATCACTTTCGTACTTAAGTGCTCTTCCAGTGGGACATTCAGTGCAGTCATTAGCAGTACCTGCACTGCATGTCTTGCAGCTTTCGTGACACGGAGAGCAGGCATCACCATTTTTGTAAAATCCGTCTTTGCATATTTGACATTGCCCCTGATTATCACAGGCCTTACAGTTGGACACAGCACACTTCTTGCAAGTTTGCTTTGCTCCTTCCGTTGCTCCGTAGTAATTCCCAACCTTGTTGCAGCTGTCTATGCACTGGCTCGCCGGGTGAGATAGTTTCCACTAGCATACTCTGTGCAGACCTCGTTCTCTTTGCCCTCGTTATTGCATGTCTTGCATCCAGGCGTCTTGCAATTACTTGCTGCTTCACACTTAGTTTCATCAGCACTAAGTTTGTATCCTACTACATAAGTGGTGCATGTAATGAGGGCAGCCCCTGATTGACTAGTAACTAAGGCACACATGGCGCAATTGGCAATTCCGTCGGTGCTGTCATCCTTGGGGAAGAAGCCGTCTTTGCATTGGTCTTTTTGTACACATGATGTGTCTTCGCCTGTGGTTTTCAGATAGTTGTTACCAGTACACTTGATACATTTGATCTTCTTAGATTGCTAGTGATAGGTGCAGGTGTCACATTAGCAACGCCGCCATTAGGGCTATCACTGCAAGAAGCACACTTGTTGCCATTCTCAGAATCATCAACTGCAACGAACTTATTAGTGCTACCAGAATTACATTGGGCTTTATCTACGCACACGTTATCCTTGAGATACTTACTGACTCCACACTTGGTACACGTTGCAACCTTGCCGGCCTCAGCGCCGGCTGTTGCGTCAGGGGCGCCGCACTCTGCGCAGTCAGCAATGCCCTTGTATGTGTTTCCGCCAGCTGTTATTGCTACTCCGGTCGTATAACTACATGCAACCACGGATTGCTCAGTATTTACCACTTCCGTGGGGATAAAGTATCCAGGAGCAGCCTCGGTGCATACTCAGCCACTAGCCACAAGGCAAAAGCTCTGCCCCGGCTTTCCGTCGTTGGGTTGGTAGCAGCCGTCCTTGTATTTAAAGGAGGTGCTTCCACATTGTGTGCATTTTCCGGCGCTATGTTACGGACAAAGCGTACTAGCTGGCGTTTGCCCAGCATTCGCACAGATCCCATCTACGGGAGCATAGTTGGCCCCATCATTGCATTCACTGCAATATTCACTGCCACCAATGGTGGCTCCGCACGTCTTGCAGCTCCCAGCACCACCTAATCCATTTGCTTCACATGCAGCCCATGTTAGCTGCAAGACAGCGCTAGCAAGTAAAAGTCTACCGAACATTGAGGTTGCTGATCAATGGCGGTCTGTAGGACGCAGCAACACGCACTTGAGGGGCACCCTTTCGCGGGGTCGACCCATTAAGTAATGCTCTCAATGTAAAGCCCGAGGCTCAGACGTACTACATGACGCCCTGCATGCCCACAAGAAAGTCCGACGGCCTCGCGATACCGCCCGGCGTGCCTCACTCCCGTGAGAATGCCCACCCACACCCCTTCCTCACGCTATCCCTACACCACCATACATTCCTTCCTCCCTTCCTCCCTTCCTGCCTGGCTGTCCGGGTGTCCCTACCGTCCAACGCCTGACGGGAGACGATTCAAAAAATAGAAAAGGACCCCACGATTCCGGCTCCGTACTTTTCGCAAAAAATGGCAGATTAGCGCCTTGCATGGGCACGGAGGCCAATTTACGTTTTTTGCAAAAAATGGAAACTGAGCACCACGACAATAATATACTACTTACGTGACCAGAGCTGATTGCTTCCGAGGCCAGATTGCCGTCGCGATTGACGCAAGGCCCTAAGATAGTGAGTGCCCACTAGGTGCCAGGCAGCAGCCGGCCTCCAAGAGCTGGCTAGAAAAGAGAGAAATCCTAGAAGGCCCTGGGAAGAACCACATCGATGTCCGAAGGAAGTGAGGCATGAGGCCCTCTTCTCCCACCAGGATCCGAGGATATCCGAATTCCAGATTCTGGATTTGGATCTCAGATTCTGGGTCTTGCCAGAAGCAAGCGGGAGGTCCACCTGTCTAAAGCGGCAGCGGCTCGTACGGAAGATCTGTTCAGATAGCAGCTGGCAAGCTAACCTCGGAAATAATTTTGCGAATTAAAATGCCCCGCCCCTCCCTTCCTCTTCTGCCTCCAGGTCTGCCTGTGTGGCACATCACCCGTCCAGCACCAGGCTGGAGAGCAGGGGCGCGCTGATCAGCACAGGTCCGTGACGCAGGAGGCTCCCATGGAGTGGTTCCATTTACAAGCTGAGCCCAGTGCGACTCCGGCTCAACGAGTCATCTCATCGTACCGCTAGTTGCCCTTCACGTTGTGCTTCAGACACGGGAATCTCAGTATGCGCACACGGATTCGCTAGCAGTTAATGTACTCGGTTGCAAGAAACCTTTTCGTTCTGTTGCAAAGGTGCGCCGGAAAATTCAGTGATGTCGGTATTGTTTCTCTTCGGTCTAGCGGTTATCGGCTTAGCGGCCCAGCCGGGCGATGGCTCTACTCCGTACAAGAATGACTACTACGTTGCCTGTACAGGCTATAAGCCTAACTGCGTGCAAGACAAGTGCGTCATGTTCGGGCCAAGGACAACGTTGTGCACCGAATGCTTATCTGGAAAAGTGCCTATCAATGGTGCATGTGTAGGAAAAGACGATTCCCCTGCTGATCCCTCTATTGATCCAACTGTTTGTGTTACGGAATCAATTACAGGTAGTGACGCGTCACAACGGTGCACATCGTGTACTGGTGGCACCAAAGCTAGTGAAGCAGGAGGCTCGACCTATTTCTTATTCTACGGAGGTTGTTACAATAAAAATGAGTGGCCAGGTACGCACATCTGTGAGACTGTTTCAGATGGTGTTTGCAATACTTGTGCGGTTGCGCACGGTTTTGTTTTTGCAAACGACAGGAATTCTCAGGAGAAATGTATTCTGTGCGGGGACACTGCTGGTTTCAATGATAAAGTAGGCATAGCAGGATGTTCGTCTTGCATTTCCCTAGAATCTCCTTCCACCACAAGTGATAATACTAAACAGACTGCTGTCCGGTGTACATCGTGTGTGGATCCAACCAAAGCACCAATCGATGATGCATGCGCAGATACCACCTCCCATGTTTGCCAGAACGGATACTGCACTCACTGTGCATCCACTCACGTTTGCTATAAGGGTGGGTGCTATAGCAAAGAGGGAAGTGGCGCATCTATATGTGCGTCAGACAACCTAATGGATATCAGTGGTTACTCTGCTTGCAAACAGTGTGTCAATCCCAACGAAGTTCCCCACAATGGCAACTGCAGACTGTCAAGCGAGTTTGGGGCCTGCAATAAGGACAGTACTGCTGGGAAGTGTACAGCATGTAATAGATCGTCCCCCGATCGTAGAGTCTTTTTCTATGAGGGCGGATGCTATACCACGAACGACCTCCTCGGGAGAACTATCTGCACAGAGGCCTCTGGCGGAACATGCACCACTTGCAATGAAGCACAAGGATTCTTTGCGAAGGACTCGACGTGCAGCTGGTGTGATAGTACTACAGCTGGTGCTATTGAAGATTGCGCTAGCTGTAGTATCAAGTCTGATGGGTCCAATAAGCTTGTGTGCACTAGCTGCAAGAATGATAAGTATGTCTCTGTAAGTGGCACTTCTTGTGTCACTTCTTGTTCTGCATCAGAATCTGGTAGCTGTGAAACTGGTACGTGTGTATGCAAATGTAACGTAGGTACCTATTTTGATAACAATAGCAATAGCTGTATCCAGTGCGACTCAGCATGTCTGGAGTGTGACGGTTCAGGTCCTGACCACTGCACAAAGTGTTCTTCGGGAAAGTACACCAAGGTGGACGACTCTGGAACGGTTACATGTGTCGACGCATCTGAATGTGGCGATGGATACTATGCGGATCCAGAAGAGCTCCAGTGTGCCACATGTGGAATTGAAAGCTGTCAAGCATGCACCCCTAAGGATAACAACCTCGTGTGCACACGGTGCTCCCCCGGACTTGTCTCCGTCGATGGTTTCTCGTGCCCACTCACATGCACGGAGCTGAATCAGAGAGAGGAGGATGGAAAGTGCGTCTGTGCAGAGGGCTTCGAGCCCAGTAGTGATGGCGCATGCATAGCTAAGAACACCTGTCCATCAGACGCCACAGGGTGCTCGAGCTGCAGCGCAAGTGGCGAGTGCCTCTCATGTGCGGACAGCAATCACAACGTCCAGCCGAGCAAGAGATCCTGCGCCTCAGGCTGTCCAAGCGGATCAGAATCAGTCGGCTCTCTCTGCATATGCATGGAGGGGTACACCCTCAGGGGTGACACATGCGTCTCTCAGACCAGGAAGGCCAGCTCCGGCTCCACGACGGTCACCGTGGCAGTCGTTGTCTCCCTTCTCATTATAGCGGCCGTCGCCCTCACATGCTGGCTCGTCCTGCGGAGGCGGCGGGGATCGAAGCCGATCTCGAAGAAGAGGGCAGCGGCCGAGAACGTGGAGCTCATGGGGACGGTGGACGAGTTCTAGCTCTGCGGCTGGCGGGCCGCAGCTCATAGAGAGTGAATGCTTAGGGCCCGGATCATCCCCTGGACTGACGCCCAGCCCCTTGCAAGCGCCTTCCGGACCACCAGATCGTGGCCTGCCCCCAGCGGGTGGGTGCCACCGGCCTCTCAGTGCACAGGCCTCAGTTAGGGTGCAAGCAGGAAGAATCGCATCGAGTGCTGTGCCATCGGAGCCCGTCTCCGGTGCATTCGGAGGCCTCGGGATAAGCTCGTGTTCGACTCTTGGCCAGTCCGAGGGCGGTTGTAGACAGCAAGCAGGGGCTCCTCTCCACCGGTGCAGAGGGACGACCAGGGGCCCAGTGCAATCGTCGGTACCTGTGCCTCCGTGTCTCGGGGAGTGCAACGCAAGCTGGAGATCAGGCCAGCCCGGCGGCCAGAGCAGAGCAGAGCCCGACACAAACGCAAGGCGGTGGGCGTGGGTGTCATCCAGCAACTGCATGGATACCACAGCGAGGAGGTCAAGAAGTGCAGGGACGACCTGAGTTTCATTCATCCTGGCGGCAGGCCAAGGAGAGGCACACTCGCGGCTCGTATGGCCCTAAGCAGGCCGGATCCTGGAGGCCGACCGGGGACCGCGCAGGGCTCTGGATGCATCACTGGAGAGGAGCTCCTCGTTACATTATCCACGACCAGCCATCGTTTCCGGACGGCCAGGAAAGAGCGAGGATTACCCGCATGATCTCTGGATCGCGCTCAGATAGCTCCAGCAGCACATCTACACGAGCTACATAAAGTAACGCGTTTACTACCTAAGTACACAGCTAAGTCTACGCCTTCCCGCGGCAGAGGAACCACCAGCAAAGGAATCCGACAAGACCACCTACAATAACAATCACAGCAACAGAGATACCGGCTATGGCCCCCGTGCTGAGGCCGCTCTTGTTGACGCTTCCACCAGTGCCTACTTCTGATTCTAAGCATATGACTGAACTGCCAGATGACGACACACATTGCTTGCATCCAGAGATCTTCTCTGAGCACTTCTTGCATAACCCAGCAGTGGTATCGTCACCGTTTTCCTTGTAATACCCAGTGGCACAGGTCTTGCACTTGTCAGCCGCATCTGCAGTCGAGCACGTAGCACAAGTAGAATGACATTCTGCACAGTTGCCATCACTTGCTGCTAAGCCATTGGCACATGTCTGACACTTACCATTGCCTCCCTGTGCATTACTACACACCTGCTTACCAGGCTGTCTATCTGTCTGATAGCAGCCGCCGTCCTTGAGGAAGTAACCCTCATTGCATTTTGTACAGGCCCCACTTGTGATTGTTGCACAGAAGGCTACTCGTGAACTGGCCGCACAGTTGCCGTTCAAGGGGGCTTGTTGAGTGTTCTTGCACTTTGAGCAATATGCAGTTCCTCCTATCTGAGCCCCACACTCTGCGCATCCATCGTTTGTAGAACTCACGCTGCACTGGTCCATGCACGTGCCCCCATTGACAGGAGTATTAGTATCTGTATACTGAAGCATTTTCCCAACAGGACAGGCCGTGCACTGATTGTTGGCCGGTCCAACGCACTCAGCGCACTCAGGGTTGCATGCCTTACACTTCTTGTCAGTATCTCCGTAGTATCCGCTGATGGCTGTGCAGTCAGGTACGCATTGGTTTGTAGGGGTGAGGTAGTCGCCATCATTACATTTAGTGCAGATTTCGTTGTCTGTTTTGGGGTTGTCACAGGTCTTACAGTTGGGAGTATTGCACGGCGCTTCTGGGTCCTTGGTGCACTGCTTCGTGTCAGTGTTGATGGTGTAGCCCGGACGGCACGTCTTGCACTGCTGGGCGTTGCCCTCCACGCAGGTCTCACAGCCCTCGACGTTGCACGGCGCTTCTGGGTCCTTGGTGCACTGCTTCGTGTCAGTGTTGATGGTGTAGCCCGGACGGCACGTCTTGCACTGCTGGGCGTTGCCCTCCACGCAGGTCTCACAGCCCTCGACGTTGCACGGCGCTTCTGGGTCCTTGGTGCACTGCTTCGTGTCAGTGTTGATGGTGTAGCCCGGACGGCACGTCTTGCACTGCTGGGCGTTGCCCTCCACGCAGGTCTCACAGCCCTCGACGTTGCACGGCGCTTCTGGGTCCTTGGTGCACTGCTTCGTGTCAGTGTTGATGGTGTAGCCCGGACGGCACGTCTTGCACTGCTGGGCGTTGCCCTCCACGCAGGTCTCACAGCCCTCGACGTTGCACGGCGCTTCTGGGTCCTTGGTGCACTGCTTCGTGTCAGTGTTGATGGTGTAGCCCGGACGGCACGTCTTGCACTGCTGGGCGTTGCCCTCCACGCAGGTCTCACAGCCCTCGACGTTGCACGGCGCTTCTGGGTCCTTGGTGCACTGCTTCGTGTCAGTGTTGATGGTGTAGCCCGGACGGCACGTCTTGCACTGCTGGGCGTTGCCCTCCACGCAGGTCTCACAGCCCTCGACGTTGCACGGCGCTTCTGGGTCCTTGGTGCACTGCTTCGTGTCAGTGTTGATGGTGTAGCCCGGACGGCACGTCTTGCACTGCTGGGCGTTGCCCTCCACGCAGGTCTCACAGCCCTCGACGTTGCACGGCGCTTCTGGGTCCTTGGTGCACTGCTTCGTGTCAGTGTTGATGGTGTAGCCCGGACGGCACGTCTTGCACTGCTGGGCGTTGCCCTCCACGCAGGTCTCACAGCCCTCGACGTTGCACGGCGCTTCTGGGTCCTTGGTGCACTGCTTCGTGTCAGTGTTGATGGTGTAGCCCGGACGGCACGTCTTGCACTGCTGGGCGTTGCCCTCCACGCAGGTCTCACAGCCCTCGACGTTGCACGGCGCTTCTGGGTCCTTGGTGCACTGCTTCGTGTCAGTGTTGATGGTGTAGCCCGGACGGCACGTCTTGCACTGCTGGGCGTTGCCCTCCACGCAGGTCTCACAGCCCTCGACGTTGCACGGCGCTTCTGGGTCCTTGGTGCACTGCTTCGTGTCAGTGTTGATGGTGTAGCCCGGACGGCACGTCTTGCACTGCTGGGCGTTGCCCTCCACGCAGGTCTCACAGCCCTCGACGTTGCACGGCGCTTCTGGGTCCTTGGTGCACTGCTTCGTGTCAGTGTTGATGGTGTAGCCCGGACGGCACGTCTTGCACTGCTGGGCGTTGCCCTCCACGCAGGTCTCACAGCCCTCGACGTTGCACGGCGCTTCTGGGTCCTTGGTGCACTGCTTCGTGTCAGTGTTGATGGTGTAGCCCGGACGGCACGTCTTGCACTGCTGGGCGTTGCCCTCCACGCAGGTCTCACAGCCCTCGACGTTGCACGGCGCTTCTGGGTCCTTGGTGCACTGCTTCGTGTCAGTGTTGATGGTGTAGCCCGGACGGCACGTCTTGCACTGCTGGGCGTTGCCCTCCACGCAGGTCTCACAGCCCTCGACGTTGCACGGCGCTTCTGGGTCCTTGGTGCACTGCTTCGTGTCAGTGTTGATGGTGTAGCCCGGACGGCACGTCTTGCACTGCTGGGCGTTGCCCTCCACGCAGGTCTCACAGCCCTCGACGTTGCACGGCGCTTCTGGGTCCTTGGTGCACTGCTTCGTGTCAGTGTTGATGGTGTAGCCCGGACGGCACGTCTTGCACTGCTGGGCGTTGCCCTCCACGCAGGTCTCACAGCCCTCGACGTTGCACGGCGCTTCTGGGTCCTTGGTGCACTGCTTCGTGTCAGTGTTGATGGTGTAGCCCGGACGGCACGTCTTGCACTGCTGGGCGTTGCCCTCCACGCAGGTCTCACAGCCCTCGACGTTGCACGGCGCTTCTGGGTCCTTGGTGCACTGCTTCGTGTCAGTGTTGATGGTGTAGCCCGGACGGCACGTCTTGCACTGCTGGGCGTTGCCCTCCACGCAGGTCTCACAGCCCTCGACGTTGCACGGCGCTTCTGGGTCCTTGGTGCACTGCTTCGTGTCAGTGTTGATGGTGTAGCCCGGACGGCACGTCTTGCACTGCTGGGCGTTGCCCTCCACGCAGGTCTCACAGCCCTCGACGTTGCACGGCGCTTCTGGGTCCTTGGTGCACTGCTTCGTGTCAGTGTTGATGGTGTAGCCCGGACGGCACGTCTTGCACTGCTGGGCGTTGCCCTCCACGCAGGTCTCACAGCCCTCGACGTTGCACGGCGCTTCTGGGTCCTTGGTGCACTGCTTCGTGTCAGTGTTGAGGGTGTAGCCCGGGAAGCATGTGTCCTTCCCGCTGTCCTTTGCCAGCACGGTTGCACAAACTAGGAGAAATCCTACCAACATTAGCCGGAGTTCGTGTGCTACTGCTTTTTCATCAGGCTGATGTGTTGCCGCGAGCAGTGAGAGGCAACCGCTCTTGCTCTCTTGATCAGTTGGACTGGAGGAGGACGAGATAGGAGCACACCCATCGGAGGCTAGTTGATAGTGCAGTTCCCCTTGACTTCGATAGGAACAGGATCGGTGAGGGCCAGACTCAGATCGCACCTCTCTTGTGGAATGATTGTTCGGGGTGCACTCCTGTACATTGCTGTCGCTGTGCTCGTTGGCTTCCTCTGCAGGGGCAGGGCGTCCCGGTAGTAAATGCGTCACATTACATCTGCTCGCTCCATGGCCTCTGCGGCGCTATTCTATAAAGCTGCTGATTAGAGATCTCTAAGCGAATGCTCTCACTGGTCACAAGGGAGCAGAAGATAGACCCCAATAACTTTCGCTTCTCATCTGACCACCACGAGCCTGTTGCTTTCCATCCACGCCTCTCTTCCCCCGGACCGGCCTCGTGCTCCTTCGTCCAGCGCACCATATTGGAGTACACAGCCTCCTGTGCTGCCTGGCCGCAGGGTCCGCTGACGTGTGGGCCTACTCGCCCCAGACCCCATTGCAGAGCCAAAGGCTTCAGCGGAGAGACGTGCTCAGGTGCACCGCCAGACAGTGTCTCGGCGCCCCGTGACCACCTGGATCCATCCCCGGAGGTAACAGATGCAGCTCCGCCCTATGAGGGGGAGAGCGCCGGCGGCTGACTCCGCGACTGCAGTGCTCCACATAGGGACAGCCGGGCCATCCTCTGGCTCTCTGGACGGCAAGCGTGTGCCGAGCAGGAGGCGTCGGTGGACCGTGGCCCTCCACAGACTGGGTAGGTGGCCAGTGCCGGGGCTCGTCAACCATGGTGAGCTAGCTGATCGGGTGTCTCCCTACCGCATGGCTGGGACGTACAGAATAGCTCTGGACAGAACGCCAGACGCGAAGGAGCCGTCTCGCACAGGGCAGCCCCACGCTGCGGCCTATTTTCATTTAACCCCGCCTCGCTTGCCCGCGCCCCGGATGGCTCTTTCGTTCCAGTTCACCCTGTCGCAGACCCCCGAGGCCCTCACGGCCTGCGTGCGGGTCCCGGCGGGCGTGCCGCCGCGGTCGCTCGAGGTGACGGTCACCGACCTGTGCATCACGATCTCTGCGCCGGAGCGCTACGTCTCCAACATAGACCTCTACGACGCCGTCCAGCTGGAGAACGCGCGCTGCAAGTTCAGCGACGGATGCCTCGTGGTCCACCTCCTGAAGAAGACCCCGGGCACGTGGGCTGCGCTGGAGTTCGACGGGAGCCCCGAGGAGGCCGCGAGGCGCCGCGAGGAGTCCTATGCGCGGTATGATGCATACGTCCGGGAGCAGGCCAGGAGGGAGGCAGAGGCCGCGGCGGCCGAGAAGCGCAGGCAGGTCGACGCGGACATCGAGGCCCGCCAGCGGCAGGCCGGCGAGGAGCGGAGGATGCGCGAGCAGCAGGTCTCGGCTCTGCGGCGGCAGGTGGAGGAGGCCCCGGACGAGGCGCCGAGGCCCCCCGCCGACCCCGAGGCCCGGATGCCTGCGGTGCGCACAGAGAGCACGGTGGTCATCGAGGCGTCCTTCACGAGGCGCACGGTCGCCGTCCCCGCGCGCGACGGGCGGGACATCTACGCAGACGGGCAGCTGGGGCCGGTCGCAGGGGCTGCCCAGCATCCGCCCCCCGGCGAGGCCGACGTGAAGGCCGGCGAGCACCGGCGCCGCCTCACCCCGTACGAGCTCCTCGACCAGGCGAAGAGGCTCGCCACGCGGGGCGTCGGGGCAGACCTCCCGGCCGCCATGGAGCTCGCGGGCCAGGCGAGGGAGCAGCTTCCCCTGAGCATGGACGCCGTCGTCCTCTACGCCTCCCTCTCCCTGCGCGAGGGGCGCTACGAGCAGGCCCTCGAGGCGACGGACGCAGGCCTCACGGTTCTGGGCGGAAGGCACCCGCTGCAGCAGAGCAGGGAGCCCCCGGTCTACAGCAGGGAGCTCCGGAGCGCCGTCCACGCGCTGAGGGGGGCAGCCCTGGCGCAGGCGAAGCGGGTGCGCGAGGCCCTGGCCCACACCGAGGCTGCGCTCGAGCTCACCCCCGACAACGAGGGGCTCGCCCGCGACGCCCACCTGCTCCGGGAGATCGTCGCCCAGGTGCTCGCGTAGCCGCCCGTCTGTAAACTAGCCGGCCTTAAAAATCGCGGCCATGGACGGCGCCCCGCACCTGGTCTTCCACGCGCCCGTTGGAGAGGCAGACGCGACGACGGCCCTCACCAAGCAGCTGGCAAACGCGTTCCCGGGCCGGCTCTCTGTCGACGTGACCTCCTCCCTCTCGAGGCCGCTTCCCGAGCGCGCCCTGCTTGTCGTCTCTGCGGGGCTGGAGACCCTCAGCCAGGCAGACGTCCAGGCGATCAAGGGCCACAGGCGCTCCGGCGGCCCCGTGCTCGTCATGGTCGCCGACGCGGCCCGGACCCGCTTTTCCGAGCACGCCGAGAAGATGCTCAACGAGCTGGGGATCTCGGGCATCAGGGCAGACCCCGTGATATCCTCCGTCCACACCCCCGGCCTGTACCACCCGACGCACCTGCTCCTCACCGCCTCGTCCTTCGTCTGCTCCTCGCTGCTCACCAAGCTGGAGAAGGCGCGCCCCGCGGCGGAGGCCCGCGACGTCTCCGTCGTCTACCCCTGCGGGACGTCGTTCGCAGTCAACCCGAGCCTGGCGGCCGTCGTGCTCTCGTCGGGCGACAGCGCGTTCCCGCCGAACCAGCCCGTCGCGGCCGCCCTGCGCGAGGACGGCGCCGCGAGGCTCGGCCGGTGCGTGGTGCTCGGCACGTCGCGGATGTTCGCCGACGGCTTCCTCGCGAGGTTCGACAACCGCGCCCTCTTCGAGCTGGTCCTCCAGTACCTCCTGCGCCACCCGGACGCGCCCGCCCTCGCCTCTGCCGCAAACGTGAACGAGTCCCTCCTGGGAGGGGCCGAGGAGTCCGTTTACATCCCAGACACGCAGACGGTCGCGCTGAACATGCGCGCCTGCCTGCACGCCCCCGACGCGCTTCCAGACGACTTCACAGACCTCCTGGACACCGTCCCGTCGGCGAACCCGAGCATCCTGCCGCAGGTCTCGGCCCTGTACGAGAAGATGGGATTCAGCAGGTCGGAGCCCACGCTGAAGCTGGTGAACCCCAGCTTTGAGAAGCCCACGCCGCCCCTCATCCCGGCGGTCCACTTCCCCGTCCTCCCCGACCCGCCCGGGGCGCCCCTGCTGGAGCTGTTCGACCTGGACACAGAGCTGGCCAGCGAGCAGACGCGCCTGAACAAGCTCGCGTCCAAGTGCACAAACAGCGACGTCGAGTTCTTCCTCCGGCAGGCCGGGGACCTCCTGAACATAGGCGGCTCGCCGAAGGAGATCCTGTACCACGTGCTTGTCTCCACGGTCAACTTCAAGAAGGGCATGGCCGGCAAGTGAATGGTGCCCGCGGGCTCAGTAGTAGTAGACGGCATACAGGTTGGCGATGCAGATGATGTCGTCGTTCTGGTACACGTGGCGGAGCTCCGCGTCGGCGTCGGCGTCGAAGTAGCACTTGTTCTCGCTCCGGATGCCCTGGCCCTTCTGGCCGATGATGGTCACGGAGACGCAGATCTTGAACCTGCTGTCCGAGATGAGCCGCACCTTGGCCCGGATCTCGTCTGCGAGCTCCTTGGACACCTTGGCGCAGTCCTCGGAGTCGTACTGCCGCCCGCGCAGCCGCCTCTCCACGATCTGCTTCATCTCCTCGTGGGCCTTCTGCCGGTCGAACCTTTTGGCCGGCGCCGAGGGACGCGCAAGCTCCGTGATCTCTGTTCGGATGGTATCCATTTTTTGATTATAAATTATGTCAGGATTGAGTAGCTATGAATACCATGAAGGCGGCAGAGTAAAGAGCATGCACTCTGTGGTACCTATTCTAGTACGGTAGAAGTTTAGGGCTCGTTCGGCAGCAGCACTGTCGCCATAGAAAAGAGCGATTCCCTTCGGAGATTCCTGATACGTATCTGGTTGTGCAATGCTTCTCGATTCAACACTACGCTTGAGCTCTTGTATTCGAAGCTTTTTGAGGGAAACCACCGTACACGGATTTGGAAGGTTGTCTGGTATAAAGCAAGCTATACTCCTCTGCGCATCTGAAATATCAACAGATTCTGTACTAATCTCGCACTTTAGTGTGTAATTCATAAATTTGGTATCATTCACCGTGCTAGCAACACGCGTTGCGTCTTCGTGGTTCGCACAGACTAGAAGCCAAAAGTTGTCATTTCCAAATCCCTTTGCACTAGAGCGAATAATGGGCCCCTTGCTGCGAGACAGAACACAGTATTTATTCCATGCTAAAAGATCTAGAAGCTTAAGAGACGCGAGAAACGAGTTCAGATCTTTTGCCTGGGCTGTATTAGCACCTTTTAGTCGGATACATACGACCTCATTAGAGTGAGGCATAATGTATTCTCTCGAGGGTTGTCCATAGGTGTATCGAGACGGTCTACTCGTCGCAGATCCCTCTCCAGATGTATATGTTACAGTGCTTGGAGAGGTATTCCATGCTTGATGAGGCCTGTGCTTCCGATAAGCAGAGTTAGTGTTATAATAATGTGCGTCACCTTCTGGTCGCCCAGGGCCGCTGGCCGTTGTGCTGAGGTGATTACTATAGTTAGCGTAAGTGTTATGACTATGCCCGCCATAGCTGCCATATGATGGTCCATGCGCATGGGGCTGATGAGATCCATGAGATAAGTATGGACTGTGCATGGAGTGGTCTATATCCTTGGGCACATGGATCACTCCATACCTTAGAAGTGCCAAAGCTTGGCTTTCTGTGAAGTGTACGCAATTGGAGAGATGCTTCGATTTGATAAGAAACTGATAGACGGCATCGTTTGGCTGTGTTGACGAATTGATGCTAATGTGGAATGGGTACATTATATTAACCGATGTCTGCAGAGACACGCGGTATGTGTCCTCCTTTTTTTCTTGTGCTGGCATATTGCTCACAAGATTGGTGACACTGCAGGGTATTGTTTCTATGGAAAATTTATTTAGAACTAATGGGAAAGCATTTGATTGACCTTCTTTATTGGCACGCTTTTGTTGAAATATATTGTGCAAGCTTTGAGTAAGATCGGGAGCCATTATATTCAGGAATACAGTGGCTCTCGGTGTCATCGGCCACATGGATACTTGCATGGGTGGGACATACTGGGTAAAGCCTTTAGTAAGAGATGGATTGTCAAAGAAGTTAATCAAGTAACTAGGAGACTGGGACACGACAGGCGCCTGAGTAGCAAGCTGGGTTTTGGGAGGATGCGCCACAGCAAACTGGTCGGAAAAGTAGGCTAGCCCCCGATCTAGTTCGCTAATTGATTCAAATAGCAAAAACGATAAGCCATGCAAGGAGTGCCTTATCCGCTGTACCTTCAAGTCAGGGCAGTGTTGAGACAAATATTCTTGAGTTACATATCTGTCTGCTTCCACTCTAAGAATTAGAGGGCTGTCCATTGTCTCAAAGTTGGGTATAGTTAGAGTATGGGACATATAAAAGTACAGATACCTCTCGAATGAATCCCTGTACTTGGACAAAAGAATTTTGAGGAGCTCTATGGTTCCGTCGACTGTTTTTAGCGTTATTCCTGTTTGTGATCGTGTCATGCTACTAGATGACTGGACCAGGGAGCTCTGGTGACTAAGTAGTGGGCTCTGCTTGAGCGTAGGCTCAATTCCAACGTCTCCAGACACGCTGCTGTGGTCCTTCTTCACACGCTTTTCATGTTGCTTCGCTGTCATGACTGAAAAATTAATGGTCGTCTCAATTGCGCTCACAGTGTGCAAAGTTGGAGACGTGGTAAGTGCAGTGAGCTGAGTATTTAGGGGATGCGAAAAGCTACTTAGAAGAGCAGACTTTGCTATATTCATTACGACAGCTGTTGAAAGAAAAAGAACAGGAAACTTGTAGAGTGGCGACTTGGACAGGGAGACCTCGGTGATAAGGGCGTGATAGGTATCGATATTGGAGGCGAGCAACAAGGGCTTTTGGCGAAGTATCCGCATACTGGCATCTGCATTGGTGTAGGCGTTGGGGATAGCCGTGTAGATAAAGTCTGCATAATCAATATACTTAGAAATGAGCTCGTTTGTCAGCGAGAGAGAGCGAAGCTCTTCGTCTGTAATTCTACAGCGAGGGCGCGTCCGCTGGTGTTCTTGGACCGACTGCTCCGATGAGCCTTCACTATACGTTACCCGGCACACTCTAAGGACTCTATTATTAAGATCCACTGATGATAATCGATCCATGTTCAAAAAGGAAAGCTCTAGAACAATGAAGCTCATTTAATTTTAAACACCCATTCAGACTTTTCTCAAACGAAGTCCTAATATCAAGAGACTCAGCACTGCACATGAGATCTGTTACCGGGTGCATGCTGGTGAGGGATAGCCCTATTGCTCATAGACAGACTGGCTAGCTCTTGGCTTTCCTATAGACTTTTCAAAAAATAATTGCATTGTTGGCCGCCATGAACGCTCACACCGATTTCAAGCCTCCAATTTTGGACGGATCCGGAGTAAGTAATCCCTTTACATGTATCATATGTAGACTCAAATTCAATACTTTTGAAGATCAGCGGCTGCACTTCAAAACACGATTCCATGCAGAGAATTCCCACCGCAAAGCCAAGGGCCTCCCCCCGCTGACAAACGAAGAGTATATGGAGCTATTAGAACAGCGGAGTGCAGCTACGCCGCAGCCAGTCAAGAAGGTCAAATATATCTGCGAGCCCTGCGGAAAGTTGTTTTCATCGCAAAATGCCTACAAGCAGCATGAGCAGTCCACAAAGCACCGAGAAATGGTTATGAAGTTGTGTAGAGAAGGACCTCTACGGAAACCTGTCCTAGGAACTGATGCACAGCTTGGCGACGCAGTTGATGATGGAAACGTGCGAATAAATTTAGAGATGGCCATACAAGAAATCGTCGATTCCATTCCAACGCTTCCAGCCTTTATCGGAGATGACGAGGCCGATAAGTGGGAAAAAATTCAGAAGGCACTTCTCGCTGCTAAATCGGAGGATCAACGCGACGACATCATCTGGGAGAGCATTATTTCCAAACGCCCCGTTCGACCCGACAATGAATGTTTGTTCTGTGACCATACAGTGGACCAAGCTAAAGATGACTGGTTTACGGAGTTACTGAAGCACATGGAAATACACGGATTTATCATCCTGCGAGCCAATTATTGTACAGATCCACAAGGCCTGGTCAACTATATGAGAAAGGAAATATCCCTTACTTGGAGCTGCCTGTTATGCGAGAGGGGATTCAGATCTGTCGACGCTGTTAAGGGGCACATGCGTGCTGCAGACCATTGTATGTATGAACTTAATGATCAAGCATACGAGTTCTTAGGCTATTATGATCATTCTCCAAGCTATCCGGATGGATTCATAGAAGAGGTTCATACTATTGCAGAGACGCCAGAGGAGCTAGAAAGCATGCTGTCTGAGATACGGAGGACTATGTGGTCTTCATCGCTACCCATTATTGGTCGCACGACTGCTGCTGGGCGCGTTGTATCAGTCAAAGACTACGAGAAAAACTATGCGCCCCAAGTTCCTGACTGGGCGGTGGAGAAGTATCAGCGTGCACAGATGCTCAAGACCCTACCCTACTATGAACGCGAGATACTAATGCGCAATTTAACAGAGGCACAGAGGGAAACTGCGTTAGAAAAGGCTCGTGCAGAGGCTGGCCAGCGCATCCAGTCCTGGCTCAAGTCTAAATGGATGGTCGTTAAGGGGCAAATCCTAGGTCCCTTAGCACGCTATGACCCGCGTGTGCAGGCTCGAGATGCAATGAGTGCAGGTATCAACCATTATAAGAAGTTCTTCAAACGTTCAACCTTGCATATATACAACTAGCTAGCGTTACTCCGCTTGTTTCCTATCTCTAAAATAGAAGTAAATGGTCTCTTCTGTCAGAAATACGAGGAAGGTGGCCGTTTCTGCCATGCCTATGATCATCCCGTCAGTTCGAAACTCACTGACACGCTCCTTACTACCTTGCTGCTGTGTGGTTACCTCGTTAGAGACTGCCGCGATGGTAATTCGTTCAGTGCCTGTCGTCCCTCTGGAGTCCAATACATAGAGCGGTTCGTATTTGCTCACCTTACACCATGTGGAAACAGACGCTCCTGTCTTATCTACTGCGCAAACTTGGCGCGTATTCAGACCTAAAAGGAATATTCCCGAGTGAGAAAATCGCGAGCAAAGGACCCGCGCGCCGTTCAACGGCAGCCGTGCGAAGGACTTAAACATCACGCTAACAGAGGTATCCTGTTGATAGACGACATCATAAGCAATGAGAGACTGCCTACAAACTAGGTATAGATTGCTACCAGAAAATACACCTGAAACAGGAACATCGACATCAATACAGGTCTCAAATAGCAGCGTGGCCTTTTCTACGTCAAAGATAAATAGGTGCGATGCACTCGTGCATAGAACGCCAAGGAGTTTTCGACCCTTGACAATCCCCGACAGAAAGGCTTTTGCCCCATAACATTCTGTTTGATGGAGCATCGCCAAATAAAGCATTGAGTCTGCCAGTTCTGCAAGATACACAGCTCCACCAAGCGTGGCTAAGGCAACGTGCTTCTTTGGTGCGTCTGGAAGAGCATGTAGGACGATGATGAGGTCGGAATCTGTAATGGCTTCCCTTTGGTCTAGAAAAATGAGTTGGAGAGGTTCTATGGCGGTACCAGGGGTTTCTTCCTGCTTTTGAGAGTCTAACTCCTTAATCATGTACACGCTGCAGCCGTCTGAATACAAAAGAGTGTCCTGGAGGGCAGTACAAAGAGTACATCCACGAATGAAAGTGATGGGCCGAGAAAACCCAGTAGGGCATACAACACCATTAAAGTCCATGACTAATTTACCCAAAATTTTAAAGGCTAAAAGCCTTGACATGGGACGCACTCCCTTCCGGTGACACAGTTGAGGGGTGCAGTGCCGGCTGGCGTTGCGCCGAGATTAATGTGTGTGAATGTTCCGATAGTGACACTCTTATTTAAAAGATCTGCCTCCCTTTCAATCAAATTAGGCTTGGTTGCAGTGATAGGCGCAGTTTTATCATGAGGCCGTAGATTTGATTTATAATCCGAGTATGCAGTGGGATGGTTACTGGGATGTTGAGGATATACTGTCCTAGATTTAATTTGGGTCGAGGTAGGATTGAGGTAGTCTATCTGATCTGCAGTTGCAGCCCGTGTGCGAGCAAGGTTGCTATGTGGGCGAGCATAATAGTCACTATACATATGGTTAATGTTGCGGGAAACAGGGCGCCGCTCATTGTTCATCGGTACGTCCTCCTTCATCCTGGGTCGGTGGTCAGAGTAAGCCAGAGATGGCCTCCAACGACAGTTGGACTCTGGCAGGTGCTCCAGTCTTGTCTGCTCGCGGCGCATCTCACATAGCTCTTGCTTGTTCGGAACATACCTAACGTGTGTTGTGGCCCCCCACCCGGTCATGTCTGGGTGACACATGCGATAGTTAGAAGCACGGAACCTTTGCCCGGCCTGCGACGTTCGAGGAAACGTTGCTGTGAGATCTGGATATGGATTCGGCCGAGAAGTCACAGTTTGTGCCCGCTCTATAGCACGCTGACTCCCAATAACCGTCGGCACCGGGTCTCCTCTCTCTGCTGCATCTAAAAGAGGGTTAATATGGGTGTAAGAATTCGACATGGGAAGCTGCTCTGGTGGCGGATGAAATGATGTAGGTCGGATCATGTAGGAGCGGGGAATAGTCCTTCTGCTAACATCTTCCATGCTTATGCCCACATTATCAGTTACCGGCTCACACTGCAGTGGCGGGCACGGACTCATTGTCTGTTGATTCCACTGCGGCACATTATCCGCTGCGTCAAACGAGCCGCATCCACACACCCCGTGAAAGGGATATGGGCACCCGGGTGCATGCCTAGGCTCAACACAATCCATACAGCCACGCGCATTAGCACAGCACAAAGACCCCGCTTGCATTTTTTTCTACAGCATTCCGCGCATGCACTCCCAAGAAAGGTTATAAGCGCACACATAGACAGCCCCAGTTTACAGTCAAGTGGCAATGCCTCCACAATCGATACCCGAAGAGCTTATTCTTTTGCAATACGCTTTATCAACTCTTCCTTTAGATATCGAGCATCTGCGGGATCACCGCACTCATAACAAGTAACACCATCTTCCCACTTTGTCGATACAGCGTACTTCTGGATGACGGGTTGAGGCTTGTTGTATGGGCAAAGAGAGAACCCGTCATCGAATGGCTCAAAGAGCTGATCCTTCTTAGGGGTCACGTCCAGAGTTGTTCGGCCACGTGTCCCAGGAACTTCCTCATTCAGTCTGAAGTTTGATATTCGTCCAGGCCAGTGACAAAGGCGAGCTGCTGGAGCAACCGTGGTATGGAGATCCTCGCGTCTATACACGGTTGAGGCAGGTCTTTGATACGCTTCGTGGCTCTGAATACAACAGATCTTTGTTGGGATAGTGTAGGGGTCTCCACGCAACAACCCCACGCACCCCATGGAGTCTGGTCCAAACGCATGTGTCTCGCAGTTCTCGCCAGGAATGGGATATTTAAAGTACCTATCTGGACCGATACTATCGCAATGTGGAGGTACTGATGTATGTGCTAGCAGGGGCCTGACCGGTCTGGAGAAGCTCTTGCAGTCGACAGGTCCAGGCTTCCTCCACCCAGGTGGGCACTCAACATCAGCAGCGCATGTACATACACCTGCGGTATATACTGGGCAGTCTGATGCATGCTGTGGTCGTTCAGAATAGGTGCTTCTGATGTATTCTGTCGCTTGTCTCATTTTTAATTGGCGCGCTTACAGACTCAACAACGTTTACTGACTCACTCACAAATGATAGCGAACGCGAACTGGCGCATAACTGCTTGTAGGACGCAGCTTGTCAGATAGGATCGCTGCCGGAACTAATCCTCTGGTTAATGTTGCAATCTTTCTATTAGCCATATCGTTTAAGGCGTACTTATACGTTTCATACAAATAAGGGCACATAACATTATCTCTATCAAGCGCAAGCTTAAACACCTGAGTGGGGACCCTGCTGCGTGAAGACGAAGAATGCAACACACGGGTGTAGCCAGCCTGGTAAGAGGGATCAGACTCAGTCAGCAAAGATTCCGGGAGATACTGGTTGTAGTTGTCAATACAAGAATTGCTCCCTTCTTGTAGGTCAATGCCATGTCTGTGCGATGCAAGGTTGGGTTTGCCTGTAATAGGCCCTGTCCAGTCGACACCAATCACATTAGAAGGTCGCTGAGTTCCATATGCTGTCAATTCTTGAGTGCTTGAAGTACGCACAGGGTCGTTAGTGCCAAGCGGATGAACACACGAACAACTTTTCATTTTACTCCTATCACTCACCCCTGTTTCAAGCTTCCTTTGGGCCTCCAAATGGCCAAAACCCATTTTGGACTCCGTTGCGGCCGCTAACTCCTGCTGGCTTAAAGAATGTGCCGCAGAAGGAGTTCTCCTTTTGCAAAATCTCGAGGTATTCCTTTGTATAATCTCTTGGCTCCCTCAGCTCGAAGGAATTTCGAAAGCCCCAGCCATATGGCGGTTCCCTCTGCGGGATCTTGTGTGGGACGATTACCCTTTCTCCTTGATAGGTCCTCATAACGCAAGGTAGGTCAGCATATGGATCTCTTCCGTAGAGCTCTTTTGGGCGATGACGAGTCATCCGAGCTTTGCATTGAGCTCTCTCTTGCTCTGATATGCGGAGCATGTTACACCAACATTGCGGATCATCAGTCCACGCTCGATCACACAAGTGAGGGGAATGGCCCGTATCTCTTTGATGTGTAGATAAGCTAGAAGAGTAACGAGGCTCTAATCCCATGGGATCACGCCACATCTGCTCTCTGTCGAACATGTATGCCAAGTTCCGCGTCTGTGGAGGCAGATTGGTAGTAGGCATCTTATTTCCAATACCACAGGTGCAATCTTCGTTTTTATAGTACAGGCAGTCCCGTGCGTGCATAGATAGGTGACGGATCTTCGATCTGTTATACGCGGCAGTGCTCATTCAGGTCTCCGGTAATCTGTATCTTTTTGCTGCATTTACTAATAAAATTAGGCTTCTATATAAATTACATCTCACGGACTACATCCCCAATGGGGCAATGTGCCCTACGGAATCCGCCATCACGCTCTGGATGCGGCGACATGCTATATCCATAGACTATCTGATTTTTAGTATCAGCATAGAATGCCTGATAGCCTTTTCGCTCAACACTTGATGGAGTCTGACTTACTGGTGAAGAGCTCAAGCCCACTGTGGCCCTACTAGGCTCTGGGTTAGATTGAGATCTCCTTGCCACCAGCGCTCGTATGGGCGGCAATTGAACATCAGGTTTGACTCTAGAGTAGCCCGCATCCAACTGTTCAAAGATGCTATGTTTCTGCAACGACCTTACTGGTTTTCCAGGATTGGTGCATACGTTGATTAGCTTGGCGTTGGGAGTTTTATTATGTTCTAGGGATTTTAAGGACATTGAGGCAGAGTTAGAACGACATAGTCGTGGAAGCTCAAAAGTGTCGTTGAGGGGCGAGCAACTTGGCGCATTTCGCTGATTGGAATAACTTCGAGATGGGATTGTTGTGGTATCTTGACCGGCGCTGTTCTTGACAGGCTGTGGAGCAATCTTAGCTTGTACACTCTGGTTTGTAGTATGGCGCAGAGCCCGAAGAACAGGATCAGCTGGCGTCTGTGTGATAAGCTTCATAGCACCATTATTGCACCCGCTTACAACACGCATTTTTATTAATCTTTAGGCGTTGCTTTTGAAAGAAGTCGTAATGGCGCCTCCTTATGTAAAGTATATCTAAGTGTATTATGCATTAAACAGAGTCAGTCGATGAAGTTAGTTATTAGGGCAGTAAGCGTTTCCTCTTTATTACTGTCAATTAAAAGCTCCATTTCTCGTTCTAGTGCAAGGCTTTGTTGTCGCTATGCTGTTATTTAAGGCACTTTGCAATCTATTAAACATTGTGATTAACCAACAACCCATAGGATCTTCCTACAACTTGTGGAAGAATTAAGTTTACAAGATAGATACTGTAGGTGACATGGGCAGGTCCTTGTACTGATGGACAATATCAGGCACTAGGCTATCTGATAGGTCGCTGAGGGTCTCGCATTCGTTAGGAGTCCGTGGAGCTTCCGCAAAATTGCCCGAACCCGGAGGCGGTATAGCAGACGAGGAACTGGGCATTTCGTGCGCTGCACTATGCGTGACGCTGCTGCCAGTTGCAGAGGCAACAAGAAGACTTGTTGATTCCAGAAGACTTATTCCACTTGTTCCCGCACGTGCATCAGTAAGATGGCTCAATCTTATCGGACTCTGCGGGACCTCTATCGTGTATCTGGTTACAATCTTCTGGGATAAGTTTTGCTTGTCGGTATTTGTATACCTGCTTGTTGTCCTACTCATGTTTGTCTCTAACAGCTCATCATCCCCAGACATGGAACACGGACCGACTAAGTCTTCCTCACGAAGAGTACTATGTCCGGGCCAATTGATACTCTTTTGCATGTAACTTGAAAGAACCACGCTATGTGGCAGGGCGCCTGTGACACTGGTGACCAGCTGCTTGGGGGAATCAGAAGGGGGGTATACACCACTTTGGTGTGAATTACTTGCAAGAGAGCTTGCCGTTAGGAGCGCTGAGGGAGGTGGAGGAATACTTGCTCGGAGCGAGGTGTTCAATGCTACAATCCTACCTGTGGGCGTAGAGTAGTACTGGATGGGGTGCATGTGGTAGAAATATCGCGCTGTGCGCGTGCTGAGAACAAAGACAGACAGGAACCGCTTCATTAGAAGAATGGACACTTCGCCAACTATACCTGGTATCGGCACAAGGACGCATCGATTGTTTGGATTGGCAAAATTGATGAAGTTTGGAAGCATCGATGTGTTATTGGAATGGCATGATGAGTTATGCAATACCTCTGGCTCTGCCGAGTCGTATGCAGCAGACCTAGATCCTGAAAGGTTATTAGCACGAGCCGTCGACGAATCTATACCGAGCCCTATCTCTTGAGTGCTAGTCTGCATGCTGTATGCTTGGGTAAACAACCCCGAAAATGAGAAGTCGTATCCGCAGCATGTGCTGATCCAATACTTCACTAATCCTAAGCACAGGGATATCAAGCTTGTTCGGCTTCGCAAGGGATACAGCCCATTGACAGATAGGTAGTCTACAAATTCTTGAAATGAGCGGCATTGCAAAGCCTTTTGTCCAGTGTACAGCAAATTCATATCATAAACAAGCCTGATTTTATGTAGAATAGCAGTCATCATGGAAGATTTGAGCGCAAACGTTTTAAGGGTGTTCATAGCTGCAGTAAGCAAGCTGTATGCTAGACCATGTAGGACCGACCCCTGCTCTGTCTTTATACTAAGATGAATAATAGAATCATAGCAACTTGACTCAGTCATTATGGTAAAGAACTCTGTGTATTTATGCTCCTTGGCTTCATTGGAAAGCAAGAGCAAGAGATTTAGCATTTTCAACTTAATAAATATAGAGACGGCTGGATCAGAAAGAAGTAGGGCTGTTCGATGAATAAATATTTTAATCGTTTGCAGATATTGCTGAGCCTGATCTATGAGAGACGGATTAATGGTTGCGCGGTTAGGAATGGTGATCACTTGAAAAGATGGGTTGTCGGACTCTGAGTTGTGAGCTAGTGTCTGAAAGGTGTTGTGAGTAACGTGTGCGCATTGAAAGTCTGATCCAGAACCCCTTTGCCCTAAAGTTGGCATAAATGGAACCTCATCGTCTACCGTAGATGGCATAAAGTGGGCATTAAATAGGTCCTGGAACGTTTGCTCGTCGTTTTCTTGAACTCTGTTCGAGTGCTCAGGTATTGGTGTTAGCTCTGTTTCAGTTAGAGACGGGGGCTGCGCACTTTCTCCGGTTGGGGTGCGTAGTAACGGGGTAGAAGAGCTACTACTATCTATAGATAACCGCATGGTCTCGTAGACCCTCATATCTGTAGAAACAACGCTCTCTGCGGGGCGTTTTGTTTCAGTATGCCGAGGAGGCATCATGGGCTTTTGGACCTTGAGCTCCTCTTTGTCAAGGAATACATCTGGACTAAGGGCCTTGCTATAGCTGATTGTGGTAGGAAAGGGGCTTATTGACCGATTACTAGGACCAACGTCACTTGGCTTCCTACATGGCCCGCTTTTGTTCGTTAAAAAGACAAAGGACCCTTGAGATAGTGTACTGTCCACGCTGCCTGAGAAACGCCTTTCCTCAAAGTCTTGGGTCAGATCTATTTGCTCATCTTGCTGCAATGATTCTCTGCTCATGGTAATAATATCCATTGCTAGGGAAAACCCCAGAGGGAGGGTCTCCATCAAGCATGTGATTGCTGTAAAGAACGCGTCCATCGCTCTGTCATCTAATTCTGTAGCTGTTTCTGGGACAGAGTGTGTATCGAGACACTGATCAATGCACAGTTGCCTTCGCTGATAATCTCCAGGGTATTCTCTGCTCGCAATTAGAATAGGTGTACATGACCGTGACGTTCTGTTAATAACTCCCCAGCTAGTTTGCAGGGTTTGAGGCAGGGGACAGGGTGCATAGGTCAGGTTTTGGGCCAAGCTTGGGGTTCGGCTCCGTTGCTCCATATGTGCACTCTCCTCATCTAGGATGGTCAGCCGCTCACAAATAGACTGCTTCTCGTTTCGTGGGAAGGCAAGAGTTGCTTCTAAGGACCTGAGTTTATCAGCCAGCTCGAGGGCAGACAATTTACCATAGCCGACTATTTCTGAGTAGTTTTCAGAAAGATATATATTCAGATACTTTAGAAAGAAGTCAGCAATCTGTATATTGTGCGGTGAAAGCAGCTGCTTAAGTACGGCTCCAAAATTTTGGACCTTGGAAAAGGAATCTTCAGAAAACATGCTAGTAATGATATGGGCGAGGATAGTATAGCCTAAGTTGAGATTCTGTGTAAAGGACAAGTCCCGAAAAAAATCAGAGTATGTTACTAAAATTTCTGGATTATCTATGTGTCTGAGTGGCTTCAGAAAGGCGTTTAAGTTGCCAGTTGATGAGCTACTGAATTCTTGCAGCTTATGGAAATTTTGGGAGAAGATAGTCAAAAAGGACAGCAAATGCAGGGACAACTCATGGGCGCCATCCCCCACGAAGCTAAAAATTAAGTGAAGACATTTGTATGAAAACAGTTCATCAATGCTTTTGCTAGATGCCGTTATTATGTTATCCGTGAGCTCTCGTAGCTTTACGTTAGCAGCAACCTCGTCTCCAGCGGTGTAAAGCATTATGATTTCGTTGATAGTGTCTTTAATTGGGAAGAACTCGTCGCTCTCGAAACTGTGCTCGCTGAGAGCTGTCGAGGAACTAATCATTGAGTGGTACAAAATTTATTGTCAGAATTAACATACACGCTGTTCCTGTTAATGGCACTTCACAAGCCAGCTCCTACAAAGTACAGAACGTTTGAGGCCTCTAATACACTAACTAATGATTCGCTGTCATTCACAGTTTACTGGAATACGGCCCCTGCTTCCTACGTTGTCGAGCTGCGTAGTCAAAACTTCTGTTTACCCTTACCCAGAATCACTGCAGATGTGAAGTCATAAAAGAGGTCTGCTTCTACCTGGGGTTCATCTGGAGTAGCCCCAACAAACCCAATGTCTTGCAAGGTAAGAAGGTCATCCGATGGCAAGGGTGGAAATGTGAGAGGAGAGCCCTTATATAGCCTGATATCTTTATTCAAGCATTTGCTAATAGATTGCCGATCGTAGTCAGTCAGCCCAGACACGGGGGTACCAAGGTCTGAGATGCGCGGGCCTCCTGACGAGGGCAGGAGGCATGTGGTAGAGATAGCACCTCTGTGCTGGTGCCGTATCATATCCTTTATTGCCGCTAGAGATGTCGAGAGAGGCACCCGGACAACAAAATTTAAATAAGACCACGAAACAAGCTTAACGGTCAGTGTTATAACCCTGTCATATTCCTCGGGTCTAATTGCTGTGTATTCAAAGGGTGGCCGTTGAGAGACAAACGCCGGAGCCTTTTTCGAGGCATCTTTCTTGGGAGGCATTTTAAATTTTGTGTCAGAGTTCAAGCTCGAGCGCATGATCCACGTGCTCGGGGCCTGGATTGTGGCTGAGCCGTGCTTCCTGGCCGCAACTTAAACACATTGAGAACAGATTCTATTTGTATGGTGTCATTTCCCCCCAGCTTGAATGTTTGAAGGATGATCAGAGGAGAAACAGCTATTCCCAGTCTACTTCTGAAGAACCACAGTAGCTCTTTTGAGCTTACAATTTTCCTGTTATGGAAAGCCTCAGAAAGAAGAACCCTCATGGACTCCCCGCGGGCGCGTAACTTCTTTATCACATCCTGGACAAATACACTACACTCTGTGTGTTGGGCTTGTATCTCCATTTGTGCCTCAGTCGTAATGAACCCATTGTCCTTGTTACACTGTTTTTCGCTAAAACTTGAGAGTGGCAGTGAGTTGAGAGCAGTAGTTGTGTACCTCTGGTCGTCACCTGTCTGAAGACACGATAGGGAACAGCTGGATTTGGCTACAGAGCTAGTGGAAGCGGGCCTCACGCACTGTTTTGGTAGCGGCTTGTCCGCAGAGAAAGCTTGATGCGATGAATTGTGTGGTACGTTCATATAATTTGGACTGTATGCTCCAGTGAATGATGCCTTCATATCCACTTCTCCTGTAGGCACACTTATGGTTGCTCTCCTGCCATGCTGCGGAGGCTTTAAAGCACACTCAACAACAGGTATCAAGGGCCGCTTACAATACATTGCCGCGGTGCTGCAGGGACGATTAGGAAGTTGAAGAGGAACTAGATATTCCTGACAAGACAAGAGCTTCAGGAACCCTTGATAAGACATTAGCTGATGAGTTGAACCGTCGTTGGCACGTTCAGACACCACCCTGAAAATATCTCTTGTCAGCTCTTCGCTTACCTCTATATCGGTAAGGTCCCTCACCGCTGAAACAAAATCTGCTATAGTCAGATAGTTGTATCTTCGTCTATCTATTCTTCCAAAAAGAGCACGCGGCGAAGAAATGGCTGTAAATCTCTCAGCAAGATACAGCATGACTAACGACACATTTCCATCGAGCTCTGTATTGTATGCCAATCTGTGCTCGGTCCCATCGTGTACACCTTCTTCTCTAAATTTGATCTTCATGTCCGAAGCAGACTCATCAAATGTGATAGTCTCTTCTGCTGCCACTGGGGTATTAGAAGATTCTAAGGGTAACTCGGGCTGATGCTGAAGCAAGATGTTAAACTCGTGAATGGACATATGCTGGATCCGAGGATCACTCTTGAGTTGTTTCCAGAGGTTACTCCAGGCAGAGTTTGAAAGCATGATACCGCACCGTGTACTTAGAATATTACGTAGATGATGCTCATAAAGGAATTCTGCTCCATGGGTACACACCTTGTAGAACTTATAGACCGAGCACCCCAAGCTATGCATATACCGGACCAGTGCGCGCCTAACTGTGTCGACTGTAACTGCTGTTTTATCCTCCTGAGAGACAACAACTGATTCTATGCCATCCTCTAAGAAGTGCTTGAAAAGGTTATAATCCATCATGTTTCTTCGCCTGCTATTAACAATACAACCCGACTCGTTGCAATCTACATATCTACTGAACCAGCTACTCACCTGCTCCTCGGTGACAACCCCGCGAGGCAGAGAAAACCGGTCACAGTACTGAATGAAATCGTGCACGGAAACATACCCGTCTCCATCCATATCAACTGCTTGAAACAGTCGAAAAGTGGAGCTTGTCTGTTCAGTCAGTTTTTGCCTCAGAAATACGAGCAGCGTATCAGATGACTGCATTAAATCCTAGATCTTAAGATCTTAGATTAAAATTGAAATTTCGCATCAAATTTTAACGAGCCCGAGGCCTTAGCACAAGTGCGGCTATGCGTATATAACTGTGCTTATACATTGCTTAGAGTATTCTTTCTGCATGATTCCTGAAACAGAGTAAATTACTTAAAACCTAAAAAACAGTCCCCCATGACAACACCACAGCAGCCCCCAAACGACAGCTGGCTTCAAGATAGTTATAATTCGTCGGAGGACTCGATGGACTATCCAATAGTCAATACAGACCTCCTAGTTAACGTGCCGCTAGACTTTATCAGAGATACCTTTAATCACGCAGACCTTCCAGAGCTCTTCACCAACTTCGAAGCCGTGTTACAGGGGCTAGAGTTTTCCTACGAGGCTGACACAGAGAAACTTGAGGACGCGAGCCTTCAGGTGGAGATCGGACTGCTCTACGGTCTGCTCCATGCGCGCTTTGTTACCACTGATCAAGGTTTAGCAAAGCTTAGCCGGATGTTTCTGGCTGGAAAGTTTGGTATGTGTCCAAGAGAAGGCTGCAAAGACTGTCCCTTACTTCCCGTTGGTGCCAGTAACGTGCCAGGGGTGTCTCCGTTGGGAGGATACTGTGTCTATTGCAAGGATGTCTACCTTCCGTTATCGCATGACGTTCTGAAGGGAGAGCTTGTAGACGGATCCTTCTATGGCAGTAGCTTCCCTCAGGTCTTTCTTTCTAGATACCCCAAGCTAGAGTCTAAGCTCATCGCCAGTCTAGACGCCTCAACAAACTCAGATAGTCCGACATACTACAAAGATATTGACGCAAAGCTCTCCAAAGAGAACATGCACCTCTTCGGCTTCAAGATCAATTGGGGGCTTGTAGAATAGCTGTAGCAGCAGCGGATCTCCAGAGCCTTGTAAATTCAATGCTGTGTTTCGCACTTGTTTAGTAACAGGTACTAGATTGACAGCAGTCACTACGACTTAAGCTGTAGGGAATGCAAAGCAGATCCGGCGTCGTGGATGAAGAGCTTCTAGTTTCTTACGATGGAACGCTAGAATCTGTGCATAGAGCTCGTTGCTTGAAGACCCGGTGCCTTCTAGAAATTCAAGCAGCCGAGCAATTCCAAGAGAGCTGCATGCCCTGTATGCGTTAGGGACATATAGTAGGGGCTTATCTGGGTGTATCTTGAGACAATGTGCATGCAACGCACTTACTGACTTGAATCGCTGACCACGACGTGGACAGCCGGGAGTACTACACCGAAAATGCCGAGCTCGCTGATGAAGCTCCAGCCCCTCTTTTGTCTTGAAAAGCCTTCCACAGTATAAGCAAAGAGCAGTGACTATGAGCACCTTGGTGCGGCCCATCAAAAATGTTAGAAAAATTAAAAACCGATAACCTTCTTTTTCCACACTGTCCCGGGCCTCCGTATCTACTAACGAGTTTTGCTCATGCACTACACGTTTCTTGAAACCGTGAATAGACAGATGGTCTTTTATATCTACATTATGCTCGATGGGAAGCTTGTTCGGTCTACCGAGACCAAAGCTGTGCTTCTTCCCAAGCAGCTTTCCTCCCTCTCCTTGGAGATGGCATATCTCAAAGCTGATGAGGATACCATAATATTCAAATTTACACAGTTTCGAGGCATCATAACAGAAACTGTTCTCTACCTGGTCCAGGCCGGGCTCACTGATGACTCTCTTAAGGAACTGGAGGCATGCTTCCAAGTTTCTCACAGAGACCTAGTCAATGAGCCGTTCGAAGTCCAAGTGCTTGATACTATTATAAGTACTGCCACGGCTGCCTTGCGGACTAGGCTCAACGATATTAATTCAGATTTCGTTCAGATTGATTTGGCAAACAGAACAAAGGACGGAGTTAAGGATCTTCTCTTTCAGTTTCCTGATCGCCTATTGGACCTCAGCACCCAGTGTCAATGCATTTCACTCGCAATTTCAGATCTTCTAGACGACGAGGATGAGATTATTAGTCTTTGTTTCAAGAACAGGCATTTCCAACGAGACAGACTTTACTTTTGCAAGGTTCAGAAGGAGACCTTCAACAATGGAAATGATTATCTGCCCTACCCTATTGACACTCTGGTTAACATGCTAGAGATATACCTCTTTCTTACTAAGGCAATGATCTCCACGGTAGATGTGATGCGGTCAAACATCCTCAACACCTTCTCCCTCAGCGAATTGGATTTGGATAAGCGTCGGAATAAGATCCTTCGTTTTGAACTACACATAACATTTGTTTCGCTAGCTATCGAGATTGCATGCATGTTTTCCTCTCTTCTGGGCATGAATGTGTACATACCAAACAGCGAGAGTGTCCCTGTTTTCTTTTACACAAGTGGTGGTATTGTGGCTTTCAGTGTCTGTATTATTTTGGTTTGCCTACTTGTGGAACGCATCATCAATCGTAGGCAAGTTAACTGACATTAGAGTAAACGCTTGTTCCGTTGACTCGAAAAGAAAAGTATAGCAACCTGTGTGTATGTCAACTTGTGTGCCATCTATCACTGAATCAGATGATGGCAGTAGAAGGGGTACGGTGGATTCGCATTTGGAAGAGTGCAGTCCCACGTTCCTATCTACTACAGAATCTTTCTCCCCCAGAACACCACATTCTCATGCAGTAGTACAACATAGTACTAGCCCCAGAGATACGAGGGGACCAGAATGTCGCTCTGAACCGTGGTGTACCGTGGATTTCTTCCCATGCCTTCAAGAAACGGAACGCAAAAGTGCACTAGCCCCATCTCTGCAGGCGTCATTGGCATGTCTTCCCAAAGTAACTTGCTTGTCAGATTCCCAGAAGGATGTGCTAATACGTCACGACGAGCAGATAAGTGCTGCCACTACAGACTTTCAATACATGGCCCCGACCATGAAATCAACCCATACAAACAAGAGATTGATGAAGAATTTAACCGCAGTGCAGCAAAGAAAACGTAACGACAGTACAAAAAGTGTTCTAAACACGTCAGGTGGATTAGGAGAAATGGAGCTTCCTAAAGCAGAGTTTACTAGCACCACACTACGTGCAATCATACCGAATACATCAAAATTGGAGCGAGAATACCTTTTCCCCAGAGCCACGAGTTGCATCAGTTATAGTGACGAGCGAATACGCATGCGACTTGCCAATAAAGCCAACGATGAACGAAGTACAAAGCCTATCATGTATGCAGACTATGATGACGTGGGCATGCGCTCCTCATCTGCTCTTGCTGTGCTAAATCCCTTCAAACTAGCTCCAGAAAGTCTCCTGCATCCATATGATGAACTAGCGCTTCAGCCCCTGAAGAGGGCTGTGCGAAAGAGTAGTAGTATTAAAAAGCACTTGTTTCGATCCTATCTCACAGCAGCTGCAGCTAATTTGCGAAATGCTGTATCAGAGCAGGGGTTTTATGCCAAAGGAAAGCAAGTTTTCTGTCATGCAAACTCGCCTGATCAATCAGTAGGGGGACAACAGACTTATAGTTACTCCAATAATATACAAAGCGACCACTATATAGCCCAGGATGATGACGAGAGCCTACGGAAAAAGAATGAGGAAATGCTCTACAGATTAAAATACAGTCATTTTATTTTGAAAATTATCAATACAGAAGAAGATTGCGCCGATGAAATCATGGAAGATTTGAATGACCTGCTTCACTGCACGTCGGCTACCAAATCAGTCAAATCTCAAGATTCATGTCTAGAAGGTCATAACTCTGGTGTCACCATTAAGCGTATAACAAATGATGGAATTAAGTATACAGTAAGATACGATGCTGATCTCACAGTGCCAATTGTTATTAAGATAATCGCAAGCCACAGTATTCTTGAACTTCTCTATGCAAGCTACAAGGACAAAAGGGATTTAGTACGCATAATTCGAGATTACGAAGAAGACCAGGTTGCGTTTCGGATGGGCTTATTACAGACGACTGCAACTTCAAATACTACTGCTGTGACACCGTCTTCTGTTCCTTGTAAGCATTTGTCCCCACAGTCACAAAAGCTCCTTACCACTGAACCTAGTACAAGCTCTATGCCGAGTGACTATAGCAGAGCATTCTTCTCACTAATTAATCCGTCCAAGTCTGACAATCCAAAGGGTGAAGCTGTTTCAGAGCCAGAGGCGCCCAAGCGACAATCCTACAACATAAATATGTGTATTCAGCGGTTGAACAATGAACTGAAGAAGCTAGAAGAGAAACGGCAGCAAAGGAAAAGTAAAGAGGAGGCTGCAGAGCCACAGAGTTATTCTATGAGTGACTCTGGACTATCTTCCTTTTCGCTGACCCTGGACTTCTCTCCCGATAGAGCTGGCCCAGGCGATGATTGGCGCTCTCCATCCATGACTACTCTGATTTCGAAAAGACCTATCCGCACATCTATCGTAGAGGATAAGCCTATAGACAGCACACATGCCATGACATTATCATTATTGGATACGTTCACGACAAGAAAAGATATGTGCAAAATGATACTTTTAAAGCAGAGCCAGAGAGCCCCAGATGACCTGTTAGCCAGAGCATCTCAACTTCGCGACAAGCTCACACAGAAACGGGACATTGAGGCTTTTAATGCGGAGCAGAAGAAGAAGACATCTGTGGACGTGCGTAGAAGCAACGAAGAGGTCATATCATACATGCTCTCAAGTCATCACAACAGTCGCAGGATCCTTGCAAAGGAGGATCTAAAACCTGCGATAGACAAGGTAGGGCGTCAGGCTGTTGCACGGGATTACTTTCATGGTGACGCACCCAGTGGTGCACAAACAGTTACTTTGGATACAGATGCGATAAGAAAGACGCTGGATGCATATGTGCACAAGAATAAAGGCCCGACCAAATGGTGCACGTTCAATCCAGTAAAGGGTGTAACAAGGGAGCATATATCACGCCACGATGCCACTAGAGCATCACTAGCTCAGCCAAAAGCTGCACCTTTTCCTCGAAGCTTGAATTTCAAGACGGATGCAGTAACACAACCCGCTGGACCGTGGAAAGCCATGAAAGTGACCAAGCCAGATTACTATTCTAAGTAGGCGCTCGAGGAAGAGTGGAAGGCGTTGTCATGGCCTGTAGAGCCTCTGTCCTTCCACCCTTTATAGCTAGATCCCGGGCAGTATAGCCCATTCTGTTCCGCAGCGGCATTTCGCTAAGTAGCAAGGGAATGCATTCGAGACTGTTGTGAAACACCGCAAGCATGAGCGCTGTCCATCCAGAGCTTGTTTGCTTTCCTAGCTCACATTTTAGTAAACAGGCAACCTCAGTATAGTTGTAGCAGGCCGCATACATGAGAGCAGTGTAACCATCTTTATCCTGCATGTTTTTCTCCTGTGGGAGTAAAAGAGATACCAGAGGCAGTTGGTGTCTCTTAGCAGCCATCATCAGCGCTGTTTCACCGTTGGTCATGAAGCATCCTGCTTCGTGGAAGTAATTGTTGGCCCTGCTCAGATCATTTGCTAGTACTGCCTTCATTAGTTCCGTGGGGCTGGACACTGGACCAAGTGACGTAAGGGAGTCAACAGACCTAGGAACTGAAGAGTGCTTCAAAGACGGCTCCGCAGATAGTATATTTAAGGGTTCGGACGAGGCATTCACCTCCGACATAAGATTCTTTATGTACTTACAAAGATCATCAAACGTCATGTAGGTTTACTGAATGGGTACTAGGGCTCCTGCACTTCTAGTGCGGAGAAAGTTGAAGAAAGAGCTCAGCCAGCAGACGACATAGCTGCAAGGGACTTGAAACGGTTGTCTTGCTCTTTGCATGTAAACTGGCGAGAATTCGAAGCATACTAGCCCGCACCACGTCATTAATTTCTGTTTCGCTGTTAAGGGCATAGCGAAACATCGCGTTGTAGATATCGTCGTAATTGTAACCTTCGTTGAGCTGGTTATCTATAAGCATCCATCCGTCGTCAAACTTGCCGGATGTCAGGAGCTTCATAACCTGATCAATAACCTTAACATCTATAGTGCTGAGAGCCTTCTGAACACCGGCCACTGTAATTACCTTGTTGTTAGCGTCTGCAACCAGCTGCAGGCTGTTGAGGCATGAGCGAACATCGTTCCCAGAGATAGAAATAAGCTCCTTGAGTGCCTCGGTGTCGCTCTTAACCCCTTCCTTTTCGCAGATCTCCTGTAGATATTTGATAAGTTCTGCTTGCGTAGCAGGCATGATGCGGAGAACACAACACCGCGATTGGACAGGCTCGATAACCTTCGAGATGTTGTTGCATGCGAGACAGAAGCGCGTGGAGCCAGTCTCGTCATCCATAATGCGGCGAAGGACTTGCTGGGCGGCCTCTGTCATTGCATCGCATTCGTCGAGGAAAACGAGCTTCTGGATACCCGCGGGAAGAGTTACTTGCTTTTGGGCGAAGGTCTTGACCTTGGCCCGGATATCGCTGACATTACGCTCGTCCGACGCGTTAAGCTCGAGGAAGGCCACACTGCGATGTGCACCAAGCATCTGGTTGGCCAGACAAAGAGCGATCGTCGTCTTCCCGAGCCCAGGCCCGCCGGCGAAAAGGATGTTCGGGAGGTTCCCCTGTGCGGCGAAGTAGCGAAGGCGCGCGAGGATCTCCGGGTTCCCGATGAGCCCGTCGAGGGTGCGCGGGCGGTACCGCTCGATGAATGGGAGTGCCTTCATCGGCCACTCTTTTCAAACAATAAACTGCCTACTCCGGCCTCTGGTGAGGTCCCGCGCGGGCGCGCCAGTTTGGCCGAGTGGTTAAGGCGGGGGACTTAAGATCCTCTGATCGCAAGATCGCGTGGGTTCGAACCCCACAGCTGGCATTTTATGCTCCACCGTGCGGCGCTCTGCCGCCCTGATCACACCCTCTTCTGGACCGTCTGCGCGCCCGTCGGTGCAGGACTCGTTTTCCTCTCTCTAGCTGCGCGCAGCATAATCTTGCAGATTCCGTACGCCAGGGTCAGAGCACTCTCTCTGGACTCGAGGTCTACGGCTCTGCTGCGCATACATCTGCGCCACGGCGCTACTGTGCTGCTGTGGTGTGATTCAGCAGAGCTTTTGGCGAAAGAGGTTACCGAAGCTAGCAAAGTAGGAGGCGATGCAAGTCAAACGGAAGACGGCGTCATGTTCTCGTGCCATGTTTCTACGGGGTCTTACGTGCTTCATTCAGCAGTTGTGACAGTAGGGCATCTCCACGTGATAGTGCATACATCAGATATTTTGCTGAAATGCCCTGTGGCAGAAATCATCGAAGTCCGCGAAGCAGGGCATCCATGCGTTATTGACCTGTGCTGCATCTCTAAAAGACTTATCCTTGAGTTTGATAAGAGCGAGGATGCGAACAAATGTCGTACCCTTTTACTTGGCTACATCTTGCTGAGGACCCTTAAAATAGATGTGAAAGATCAGATAAAACAATTTTACGTGGCTTCCATAGCTCAACCATCAATGCTGTGGGCGGGAAGCCTTTTTCACAATCTTCAATAAATTTTAATATACTTGTTCTCAGTAGGCACATTTCTTAGATTGATAACTCCATATTAGCTGCGAAACAAAGAGGAGTAGCAGGCCATTTTCTAATTAATCGGTCAAAAAATTAATAAAATGGCGGACCCTCAGTACTCTCAGCAGCTTCTCAATATAGACGCCAAGCTGCAGAGCATTTACGACGAGTGCGTTTGTGAAGTGATTGGACGGCATTCAGTAGACGCTAATAATGCTTTTTCTCCTGCAATCCGGGATGACTTATATCTCTTGCATCAGAGGGTTCTCACCAAGCAAGCGACTGAAGATGACAATGCTCGGTACCGTCCGCTATATCTAGAAATTTCCACAGCCTACACTCATAAGCTAAGGCAGCTTAGCACTGTGGATCCCGCACTGGCTCAGTATTTACAGTATCAACAGCTACAAGCGACTCAGCAAATGGCTCAGCGCTCGCAGCAGGTCCAGCAGGTTCATCAGCCTCCAGTTCAGCAGCAGACCCAACAACAAGTCCAGCAGCAAAGGAACGCGTCTGACAGGCTGTCCCAAACGTCATATATGCTGGAATTTGCATATCAGACCCAAGGGCAACATACAAAGGACATTCTGCGCACTCTCAGAGCATATTATGACTCTTACGCGCAGCAATCGCATATGCCCCAGGTTGTTGAGAGTGTATTTGCGCAAATGAAGCTTATATTTTGCTATCTTTTTTGCATGATTAAGCTTTCTGGGGACTCTACAAAGGCTGCAGAGATAGAGCAAGCATATTCGCTGCTCTGCCAAGAAAAGAGTAGAGCGGGAGCTCCCCTTTTCGCATCGCCAGAACTGTATAAGGAGTTAGAAGAAGAGACACAGATGTTTTTGAATAGCAAACAAGCTCAGGCTCAGCAGTATTCGTATTCTCAGGGCTCGTTTGCCTCAGATGCCGCACAGCCACTTTCTATCTTTCAGCCTGTCAAGGAGGAAGCGCTATCATATGCACACTTTGGATATGTGCTTCTTCATCCTGCCACGCAGAAGCAGCTGTACGAAGTGCTCAAAATTCTCTGCGCACAACCGTCCGCATCTCAGCAACAATACCAATCTGTAAAAGCTGCCCTTGTTAAGTATCTCTACATATTTCCTCGGAAGACAAAGAATTGCTGGTTAAATCTCAATGTAGACTTGTATGCAAAGATCTGTCCTTCTTCTCAAACCTTCCCGTCTGCAGGGCTGTACCAGGTACTTGATTACTTGAAGGTACAGTGCTATAGTCTTTTTCAATGTATATATGAAATATCCAGATACATAGTAACGGCGATCCAGGTGAAGAGCTCAGGCCAAGACTTGTCACAAGCAGCAGCGATCATAAATAATTTTAGAATCAATATGTTCTACGATTTTAAGTATAATCTTTACCGACCACCATATTATAACGAGCTCCCACAACCTGATCCTCATCTGAACGAGTATTATGCGGAGTTTGTCCAACCTACGGTAGAGTCTCTCCCTAATATAGAATCGCAAATCAGCCTTATGACTCAGGGTCCTACAGGCGATCCCGGGTTGCCCTTGCATCAACCGCAAGCGCGAGCAGAAACCAAAGCGGAACCTCAAGGACTAGGTAAAGCAGAGCAACAGACCAGGCTACAAAGCGAATTGCAGAACGACAGCCACAGATCCTTCTTGAATAAATATAGGGAACTGTGCATACAGGTGTTTCAGGTGTCCAACATCACAAAGCCCGCTCGCGATTCTTACTCGAAGGTAATAAAGGACTATAACGTAGCATACAACCACCTCCTCTCCTTTGGAAATACCAACTCAGCTGAAAAGCAGAATGCCGAATTTGCGGCTAGAGCTCTTTATAACAAGGCGCTAGCAATTCAGGAAGACATGCGGCAAAAGGAGCAGGCATATTACACGAGTCTGCAACAATTATCTGCATACGAACAGTCAATAAACGGGTCTGACGACCTTCGAGCTGAAATGGAGCAGATTAAACAGAGCGTCATGGACATGTACATTAATAAGGCCGCGTATCAGAAGGCTCCTCCGCCGACTATGCAACAACGGCAGCGTGCATCTACAAGACAGCTGACCCGTTCGACCACACCAAGCATAACCCCCTTACACTCACTCTCCTCGGAAGCAGTCAGCACAATGGAAGAGAGCAGCGAGTCTTCGGAGGCATCACCGGTCTTTGATGACACTGAAGATACACAAAACCAGGCCGTCTCCGATGAACTCAGCGATGTTCCTGACCACGACACAGACGTTGAGGAAGAAAATTATATTGGATGCGTACTCGATTGCAAACGGATACCCATGACCTCTGCGTGGCTTTACACACCTTCCCTCCTAATTAAGCCAGATCCAGATCCGTCAACGATCGGCAAATATGACTTTTTGCGCCCTAAGGGGATTCAGCGATTGGGACGCAGTGATGGAGGTATAGCAACTGTACGGATAGACTTTCTGTATGAAGATTTAGACAACGTCAACAATGTGATTGAGATATCTCCAGAAGAGGAAAATATAAAGCGCTCTGTAGATTCATCTTCTCGTATGAGCAAAGGGGTTAGAGACCTAGAAAGATCTGTAATCAAAGAATCGCCTCAGGGTGAAAAGCAAAGGACGGGCATTACCAAGGTTCCTTCCAAGGACTCGTTAGATGATAATATTGTAAGCGTACAAAATGCGTCACCCCTTACCGCTGAAAAAGCTGATGTAGTAGACAACCATAGTATCATTGCTGATGCAGAATTACTTACTGTAAAGGACAGTGACCAGAACGGAAGCCTCCCTCAAGGCGAGTATCAAGACCCAGAGAGTAAGGAGAAGGATGATAATCCCGAAAAACTGGACGAGGCGAATGAACCTGACGGCCAAGAGGGCCATGAAGACCTTACTGAGTCTAGTGATACTGTTGTTACTCCTCGAACTGAAGAGCGGCGAGCAGCAGCAGAAAATGAGCATGTATACATTTTCCTTATCAAGTGGCAGAGGAAGGCACATTGCCATGCAACGTGGGAGCTAGAGGACTATCTTATGCACTTATCATCGTACGTGAAGGTCAAGAACTACAAGAAGAAATATGAAAAGATCCAGGGATTCATCTATAACAAAGACACAGATGACATCTCTAAAGAGGATGTCAAAGACAAAATACGGTCACAGAAGCTACAGATTCGAAGCTATATGATTCCCGAGAAGATAGTCGGCATGCGCATCGATACAGAGTTGGCTACTCACTATAATGAGAAGCTTACAAAGATATTTAATTATATGCGCACAGATTCAGAGCTTAACTTGCGTTACTCGGAAGCTTTTGCAGGCGCATTTACTCGAAATGTAGGTGATGGCAAGCTGCACTATTATCCTGAATTCAATAATAGTGACTCCGAGCCTGTGGCTATTACCGAGTTTAATTTCAATGACCCTGATGTATTCTGCAATAGACAACTTGATGAGGATGGATACCTGCCTTCTTATCCCATAGCTCATTCCTCGGACGGGCAAGGGCTGCTGTCTGAAGCATCACAGAGCTCAGCCATCGACAAAATAAGCGGATATATCTATCTTGTGAAGTGGCGGGACCTCCCATATTCCCAAGTAACAGATGAGTATTATGAAGATCTTTTAGCAAATCCGTACATAAGACACGAGTACCTTCACAAATTAATCAACGACTTTAAAGCGCGGTCAGATGCAATCAGTCAGACCCTTAGCAAGGAATCCTCTATTGGTTACGATGCACGACCCATTCTCTCTGGAGATCCACAGTCAGAGGTTGATGCTGTCATCTGCTCTCCCCATCCGTCCTTCTTGATAGATGTCTCTGATAACCTGGTCTTGCGAGACCATCAGATTGATGGCGTTAAGTTCCTCCTCATAAGCTGGCTACAGAAGCGGAACGTTATTTTAGCCGATGATCTAGGAGTAGGGAAAACGATACAAACAATCGCCTTTATCTCAGCACTGCACAACCACTTTCATGTTCCTGGTCCATTTCTTATTGTCGTTCCTATTTCTACTCTTTCTGCATGGCAAATGGCTCTTTCCGATTGGTGTCCGAATATGACCGTGGTGACTCTAATAGGGACCAAGGAGGATAGAGAGGTCATCGTCACACATGAATTTTATTTTAAGCCAGAGGGCGACCAAGCAGAGCTTCTTTCAGGCGACGCAGCAGAGCGGTCCATACCGGAGAAGATTCCTCGTTTTCATATCTTGCTGACGACTCCCCAGATGGCTGTTAAGCACGAAGACGACTTAATGTCCTTTCAGTGGCGTCTCCTGGCAATTGATGAAGCCCACAGCTTGAAGAACTCTGCATCTATTAGAACTACAACCTTTTCACGGTATAAAACAGATGCTAAGCTCCTTATCACCGGGACACCAATGCAAAACTCCATCGAAGAGCTTTTCAACCTGCTTAATTTTATCGAGCCAGAGGTTTTCCCAAACATAGATGTCTTTGCTTGCAGAGATGACAAGAGTGTTGAGCTATTCAAGAACGCTCTTCAGTCCTGGGAAAATACTATCTCTACGTCAGCTCCATCTCTTAACTCTTGCTCAGAAATACTAAGTAGCCAACAGCGTGTTGATACCATAAGAAGCACTATTCAGCCTTACATTCTGCGTCGTGTAAAGTCGGTGGTCGAAAAGTGTATTCCTCCTCGGAAAGAGTTGATACTTCGTATTCACATGACCCCCTTGCAAATTTCTTGTTCTGAATGGCTATTGGAGCAGAACTACGAAATGCTGACTGCAAAATCGTATAATTCAGTGAAGCTGCAGAATCTACTGATGCAGCTGAGAAAGGTTTGCAATCATCCTTACATTATCCATGATTTGAAACTCCACACAGCTAATCTGAAAGATATAGTGGATGGCAGCGGCAAGTTTCAAGTGTTGGACAAGCTTCTAGACAAGTTGAACAGCGAGGGCCACCGTGTATTGATTTTTTCTCAATTAATTAAGACGTTAGACATCCTCGAGCGATACTGCTTCTATAAAAAGTATAAGTTCCAGCGTCTTCAGGGATCGATGACATCAGAGCAGAGGCGGCGTGCAATTAACAACTTCAATGAAAAGAACTCCAAGGATTTCATATTTCTTCTAAGCACGCGTTCGGGTGGCCAGGGCATCAATCTAGCAACAGCAGACACTGTTATTATCTTTGATGCTGACTATAATCCACACAATGACCTCCAAGCGGCTGGTAGGGTCCATAGGATCGGCCAATCAAAGCCAGTCACCATTTACCGCCTAGTGACGCGTGACAGTGTTGAGGAGAGAATCCTTGACATAGGTCATCGTAAACTGATGCTGGACTACGCTATCATCCAGAAGAAGAATGAGTCCATTAATCTTACCATTAGCGATCAACCGGCCTTTGGTAACAAAACCCCTATAACAGGCGACAGCTCACAACGTAGTTCTGCTGACGATCCTACCCGTGTAGACACCTCTGGAAGTCAAGCTCAGGCAGAGCTGTCTCTTCTAAATAAAGGGACCTTGGCTGTGAACCAGCCGGTGGAGACCTTCTCGGTTATTAACGAACAGGGTGAGGTTGTCGGCACAGACACGCTCTCCTCTGTTACAGTTACTAACCTAAAGTCAATCACCCCTGCAGCCAACGAACAGGAGGAACAGATTATGCGGCACGTCGTTCGTTTTGGTGCTGAGCAACTGACAAAGATGGATCACAATGCAGGTAGCCAACAGTCTTCAACCTCGCCAGAGACTAATTTCTTAGACATCGAGCAAATCCTTTCCGGAGCAGAAGAAGTCAACTACGAAGATCTGTCGCAGAACAAATTCGGAAAACTTCCGGGAAATATCTTTCAGCTGTCGGACTTGTCTCCAGATAAGTCTGTCAAAGAGAATAAACACGAGAACGATCAGGACTTCTGGCGTCGTATTAAGGATACTATAGCAGCGAATACTTCCAATGATGGGGCGCGTCAGATCACTACGGGACCACTAGAGCAACTCCTATCCCCTGGAAAGCCTGCAGTCAACCTTGTGCAGTTTTCGTTCCTCCAGACGCGAGAGATAATGAAGATTGTAAAGCTTCTTCGGCGTTTTGGAACGACCACGAATGCGCACATACAACAGATTTACTCTATGGACAAGACAATAGCTACAACCTTGGTTTCAGATATCAACCTCAAGCACTTCTGTGATAGCATCTTGGAGTTGTGTAAAAAGAGCTGCATTAGAAGAAATCATGATCCTCTTCATATAGCGAAGTCTGCCACATCACCCATTCCATTCATGGCAACAACTATTAACCCAACGGATCTATGCAAGTCACACTACACGATGCTCATTTTGGAATCTATTGTATTGGATGACAAATTTCTTTTCCCTGCAAGTCTTGCACCGCCAAAACCGTCCTGGGCCACCATCTATCCTTCCATAATTGATACAAAGCTATTGCTGTTGACGATAAGTGACGGCTTTTTTATTACAGAAAATGACATACCATTAATGAATCTCGAGGAAGTAATGAACACCCCCGGCCTTGAGGTACCTGAGGATCCTCCTCGGGGCAGTATTCTAAAGCGAATCCAGCAGCTTATGCGTCTCGTACTGCGCATCCCTTCTCACTCTGCGTATAGTGCAATAGACACAGACAACGTCCGGATCAGCCTCACTCCAGACCTCTCTGTCTATGATGATCAGCACTTTCTTGAATACTACCAGAAGGCCCAGGGACTCTCCAGCGATAAAGAGCAACTAAGGGCTGAGATCTCTCGGCTTGTAGAAAGTATCTCGCAGGTCCGTGGAATGAATATGGTTCAAGCTGAAGAGCTCGACGACTTTAACGATTATACAACTGTCAATACAACTCTCCGGCGCAGTAAAAACTATATTCCCCAGGATATTATTTCAGAGCTAGGTGTCGAAACAGCCATGTCTATGTCAAAGACAGCACTGCACAACTACTTAGAGAGGCAAGCTCAAAATAAAAGCCTCCTAAACACATGCTTCAAGGTTCCAAATCAACAGCGCTCTTTCAGAACATGCCTGAACATCATTAAGAAGCACGTTACTTCAGAAAGGAGAAAGCGCATGACAATCCTCTTGCGAGACGTACTCATAGCACTTGGAAATGATCGGAAGTATCTCTTAGGCGTTAAGGTCCCGATAGCAAGTTCTATTCTACTAAATGATAAATACGTTCACAAATTAGACTCGCTGTTAGCGGAGAAGGAAGGCGCATACAACAGCACTAACGCTGCCAGTACACTAACTAAATGTGTCACCATTCCAAGAATAAATCTTGAGAAGTTCAGGCCCATTGCAACTCTCACACAAGTCGAGCTTGCCGAGGCACATACCGCAGAGGCAAAGATATCCACATATGCTCAGAACGTCAATCCATCAACCCTCCACTTTTACATTGACAACATTCTTGCAGAGATAATAGCCACGCAAAAGTACAAGGTTACCTACCTGAATACTCTCAAAGCGGATTTTCTGGCAGTCAGTACTTCTATCTTGAATACCATTGCCTCTCGGAGCTGGGACATAATGCTACACTGTTACGAGTACCTCCACGATAACAAGACATATTACACCAATATCTACCCTAGTGAAGAGGACGCCCTCTATATCTTGATGCGAGAGTTTGAAGCAGATCTAGCCAACTTTCTTCTCAAGTATGTCATCTCTATCATCTTTCCGAGTCAACAAGAACCCGCATGTATTCTCTGGTACATCTGTCAATACTTTCTAATGGATGCACAGCACGTAAGCCATGACGACTCTGGATTTAAGATCTCCACTACTACTTGGAAAATAACAGAGTCTTCTGATACTACGATGTATAGCTCAATGTCGTCTTTATCCTTTACGGCTGAAGTGCAGATCTCTTTTTCTGAGGAAAAGGAGTTGGAGTATAAGCAATATCTGATAGATAGCAAGGCAGAGCTTGCCCGTAGTGTGTCTAAGCAAGAACTGGACAATGCCAGCTATTTAGCTGCAGAGTCCTCTAATGATAGTTCTCCGGATGAAGACCTGTCTGTCGCTTCTACCTCTAACAATGATAGGCACTCTTAGGGGACAGGCTTTATTTATATAAAGTAACGACTATTTCGTTGTGCTTGTGCTGTACTCTATCTCTACGTTATCCAGATTGTTTACGTCCAAGCCGAGAAATCGGGTGACATTCGCGGCTATAGAGACGTTGTTGACGTCATCCTCATGAGGAACAGCTGAATCGAATATATCTAGCACACAGGACGGAATATTATTGTCAGAGGCTGAAGCTATGGATGAACATTCCCCTAGATACGGTTGGTTGTGAGCTGTAGCAATGCACGCAGAGGAGCGTGATAAGTGGGCATTGGCTTTTTCATAAAAATGGAGCGAATTTGCGCTACTATTTCTGGATGTAAATGAGCTATTAGCAGTCCTGGGAGTATTTAAAATTGTCTTTTGAAACTTGACCGCATTTTTCAGATCTGGTAGATTATTTCTATTACTGGGGTTGCCATCCAATAATAGTTCAGAATTGGCCGGCTCCAAGTGTAGCGCATTGGACTCTGGCAAGTCGTGATCACGACAGCTTTCTGACGTCTTCTCTTTCCCTGGCAAAGCAGTGGAGAGAAGCGTCTCGCAATCCGTGCTATCAGAATAGGAAGAGCTTTCCATGCTAACAAAACGAGACATTCTTTCAATCGCCTTGCACTGCATGCTCATATCAGAAAAGATCCCTGCTAAGGCAGTAGTAGAGCCGTGCTTCCGTAGAGGGAGCTTGTGTCCTTGCACACTGGATACTATCTTTGCCGAATCACTCTTTTCCTGTGAGTCCATCCGCAAAATCTGAGAGCTAGTCTTCTGAGAAGGATAGTTAATACTGCCCTTGGCACTTAATTGACCAGATGAAGAGCCTGTTCCATGCCCTACTTTGTTTGCTTGTCCAGCCCAGATATTGCGTAATTGACTGTGGAGCGCGGCTATTCCTTTTGATTCGCTGGTAGCTGTGTGGAGAAGCATTATCTGGTCATTAGTTAGCACCTCACTAGAGTTTTGTCGTAATTGAGCAGGTAATACACTAGTAATTTTCGGATACTCTGGAATTTTGGCTCCACTCATCATTGCAGATGAATAACGAACCATCCTGGGACAAGGAGACTCCCGTTGGTCTGCTGGTGTTAGAGCATCATTAACGCATTCTGAGACACTATACCCACTAGTAATGCTTTCACCTAAGCGCTCTTGAAGGCGTTCTTTAAAGTCAGCCCGAAGATCAGCAGTGAAAGAAGGCGGCGCCTTAGAGAGAGTATTAACTGAAACAGATCGAGGAGGAAACTCCAATTGACACTCTGATGCAGTCTTACTTCTAGATAAGCAACAAAGGTCATCGAAAGGAAAAATTCCCGTGCTGGTATGAAGATCAGCTTTAGAAATAGTCAGATCAACGGGAGTTATAGGAAGCCTAGCAGATAGCGACTGTGAATAACTTGATGAACCTATCAATGACAAGTTATTGGTGAGCAATGCATCCTTGTTACTTAGTTGGCGCTCTTCTTCAGCAATTGTTGCTAAGCCATTTAATGCAGATGAAATTGACTCTAGGGTAATGCAAGAGTCGGTGTTAACAGAATAGTAGCATCGCATTGTCTCAGAATCATTTTCAATGAAAGAGGGAACGCTGCTAGGGCTGCTAAGCAACGCGCAAGAGAACTCCATCGATTCATCGTGTGGAGGTGAAAGGTTGTTGCTCTTCCTAATAGGTGATGTAGGCTCTGTAGAGTAGGGTTGTATCTCAGTAGTATAAGTAGATGAAGATGCAGCGGACTCTTCGTGGATATACTGACTGGCAAACACTTTATTCATTCCAGAAGTGGTAAGCTTAATCGAAGCACTCTTATATAAAGATTCGCGTCCTAATACATTAGACAGGCTTATCTGGGTTATCTGGGGGTCGTTAGCTGGTAACGGAGTAGTATTAACAGGATACTGAAGTGTGGTGTGTGAAATGTTCACAGTAGGACGCTGAAAAGAAAGACAACTAGAGTTGCGCTGTGTTTTTATCGTAGAGTACAGATGCTTAATCCAGGTGAGTCGGCTTATTGTGAGCTTCTCAAAATACGGAACGGTAGAAACGAGGCATTCAAGCAAAACGCCCACCTGAATACTCTTGAGCGCTTTGATAAGTCCCCAGATGTTCCCAGCGCTCTTAAGGAGACTGTTACTGAAGATGTATTCCAGACTTCGTGTGCTCACTGTGGTGGCTTCAGAGTCCTGCAAAGTTGTCATATCATTGAGCAGCCCCAACGAAAAAAGATTAAATAACTTAGAAAACGCAACGTGTGTTCCTATCGAAAGCTCCTTGATATTTACCTCAATATCAACGAAGGGATTTATCTCTGTGAAATTGGTACCAGTAGCATTGAAAACAGAATGAAATGAAGACTTTCGTTTTGTAGATTTAACCATGCTGTGATCATAATTAGAGATATAAGGCATCACTCTAACAAAAGATGACTTCCAAGGAATTGTGTTTAGCATAAGGTAGATATCGTCATGTAGTTGGTCAAGAACATTGTCGCCAGCTGCAACATTCATTAAGTCAAATTGGCCACCAGATAGTTTGCCAGTACTCCAATCAGTATGCCTACTATCATCATTTAAGAAGGTCCTTGGCCTTGCTTTATAGATAGGTAGGTTCGACGTGCTTGAGCAAGCAGTCTCATAGAGCTTCAGCATTGGCACCTTCTTTATTCTGGAGCCAACTGAGCCACTGCTATCTTGAGCTGAGCTGGTGCTCTCCTCCGATGAAGCCCTGAATCGCCCAGCATGTAAAATACCGCTTTGAGATTTGTGCGGCGTGATAGCCTCGTCTGGTTTGGTAGGCTTGGAAAAGGCATTAGAGTTTTCAGTTTTGGATGACTGCAAAGCGGCAAGAAGCAACTGCTTGCTATTATGGGGCGTTTGAATAAGCAAACTATAAATTTCATCATTACTAATAGACGATCGTCTAAAGATGTGTCTGTTTTCCCGTACAAGTTTGTCTCTACGTCGAACAGTTACCCAGAAGTGATACTTACGCAGTCGAAGACTCATTTTTAGTAGCTCCTCTCCATGTGTGCTATTTTTGATAAGAAAACGGAGAGCAAGATCAATGCTCTTTCGGATTTCTTTAGAGTCTATGTGTGCCTGAATTCTGTCTAATAGGGTGTTAGAGACACTAGCCTTGGAAGAACACATGTGCGATGCAAAGGACAGCGAGTCTGGATAAAGCACACCTGCAAACAGAGTGGATCTAAGACCAGGATCACTGGCTCCAGCGGGACTATGATGAAGTGATTCTGTGCATTGGTGCATGTCAGGCTTGCCGTCTATATGTTCAGAAGAATTGGCAGATGAGGTGTATTTCGAGGAAAAGTTAATAGTGAACAATTGATCAGGAGATGCAGAAAGCGGGAAGTTATTGGCATCAAAGAATGGATGATTGACAACTTCAACCATGGTATATCTCTGCATTGGTGAAGGAGCCAAGAGCCCGCAAAGAAGGTCCGCAAGAAGGAGGGAGAGGTGTGTAGATATTTGCATGGCTTCTTCAGAAGAGCGTTGAAGAGGCAGCTCCCGGTGCTTCCCGATAAGGACAGAGTAGAGGGCGACGCCAAACTGCCAGACATCAGATGGCATTCCCATATAAAGATTGGGGGTTGCAGCAGATGGTGTGTTCCAGACACGAAGGCTTTCAGGTGGCATGCACTGTCGCGTTCCAGCTATGCTACTTAGATATGCTGGAAAGACATGTCTGCTTAGCGGATGATGACATATGAACTCGGAGGAACTAAAAAGGACTGTGAGTCGCTCAGCCAATTTATCTTCGAAAATGCTGGATGTGAAGTACGTATTGAGTAACTCAAGCAAAAAATAAAAATCTTGAAAGACTTGTGGTTGCATGTCTGAGATCAAAAGCTTGTTGAGGTACCTGATAACATGATGGAGATAGAGCCGCCTTGTAGATGAGGATTTCCGTGAAAGCACCACCTGACTGAAAGAAAAGTTGCTTGCCTTGTGTACACGTGGTAATCGGCGTGCGAAGGATTTGGAGCTAGCGTCGTGTCGTTGAAGGTTGTTAAAAGTTAAGGCTTTAGATGTAAGATTTAGTGCACAATGAAGGATGTGTGAGGGTGAGGAGTAAGTTGAAGTATTAGTCTGAATGTCGCTGAGTAGCACGGGTCCATTCTTTTCGAGAGTAGAGCAACTAGTTTCTTGATTCCTTGTATCAAGAAGATTAGCTCCATCGGCACCATGAGAGTGGCACTGTCCCATATTATCAAGGAGCTGAGAGTCAGAGCTACTTTCGTTATCACTACAAACCAGAGGCTGATTTTCATCTGTGAGTGTAGTTATAAACTGTGTAGTCGAGCTTACGGGACTAGAGCATATTTCTATGTCATTGGGAGTCATTGATGCCGGTAAAATGAGATCTGAGGTAGTCTGATCCGGTACAAAAAATCTCTCAGTGGTATCTGTACAGAAAGTAGACTTTGCAAACGACAATTCAGACGAAGAGCTTGTAGACAGTGTGAACGTTTCCTGCAAGTGACCACATTTTGAACTATTGGTTAGAAACGATTTCAGCTCATTGGTACCACCAAAGATCTTTGTTTTGGGACGCAACTTGTCTAAATTTTCACACGAAACGTAATAGTCAGTGTGTAAAATGTTTGGTTGATGTGAATCCGGTTCATAGCGTATAGTGCTAAAGAAGAAGTCTTCTAGAAATGCATCCAGAAAATCAAAGTTAGTAAGGAGGGATGACCAATTATCGGTGAATACATCGATAAGGACTTTTATTAGCTCATGCACTATTTTTCCTAGCAAGTCTTGCAATGATGGGAGCACCTTACCGTGAACAGATAGATCTTTTGCTGTGTCAAAATCGCTTAACTTGGCGACAAGAAAGTACGTGTTTATATTTGAGCGCTTAATAGCGTGCTCAAAGGCTACTCTATTCGTGGAATCAAACTGGCTGCTGAAAATAAGTGAATAATAAATGTAAAAAGGGGCTATCTTAGCAAACTCTAGCGAGGTCACTGAAGTATCCAGAATAGTCTCCACAGAATCATATGCTCCCAAGGAAATTGGGGGTATCAAGTGTTTGTTGCAGGAACTAGCGCTGAAATCAGCGTTGGTAGACCTGCAAACCTTTGGTTTGCTCTTAGCTGCCAAACTGCGCTTAGTAGATGAAAAAGGATCGTGCTCATATTGAGTGGTGGTTTTAGCTGCGTTGGGTTGTTGAGTACAGGGGCACGGAGACTCGAATTCAGGAGTTGCTGGTTTGAAAGGCTGTATCCAAGTGCGAAGGCATTTGATGCTATCGGGATCCGAATTGTTTGTATCTAGTGAAGAACACAGATTGTAAAGGTTGGAGAGGTCTATGCCGTACATTAACGAAGACTTATATGGCTTCTCTGATGTAACTGAGTGAGATGGCGAGTTATCATTGTAATCAATCAACACATTTTCTAACTTTATATCATGGTGGACAATTAATAAGCTATGTAGATATTCTAAGCCGTATGCAATCTGATAGAATATTAGTACAATATCCCTCAGACTTAGAGTTTTAAGATTGGAGCTAAGGTCTTTCATGTGACACCGCTCAATCACATATATAAACTTGTTATTATAGGAATCGATATCATCTGGAGGCCTGATGGCTGAGGTTCCGTTCACGTCAAATATCTGGCCTAGATGTGTTGGGCTAAGTATCCCCTTTACCATATTGTAGGTGATAGTTTTGTTTGGTCTGGAAAAGGATGTGGAAACATGGAGGTGGAGAGAATCGACAGTCAGGTTTTGAGAAGACGAAAAAAGCCCGCCAAAATTGCTGTAAATAACGCCAGCATTGAGCATTCGAGTAGGAGCCGAGGTATTAACGTCTTCTTGTTTTAAATATGGAGTAGGTACTACAAGAAGATTGAAAAAGACCTCATAAAGCCGAACCACGTTGGGGTGTTGTAACCTGTCCATGAGAGATGCCGCAGACCATAAAAATTTATCCGCTGCTTCCTGTGTGCCCAAAGTTTTCGCTAATCGTATTCTGTCAACCATTCTTAGGACAAATGTCTTACGTAGTACTGTGTTTTCAGCAGTATAAACATCGGCGTAGGACCCCTTCCCGATCTGGTTATGTAATTTGTATTCATGAATAGAAACAGATCCGTCTGGATAAACACGCGTCCAAATACGATCTCTAGCCTGACCGTGCTTGAGCGGTGGGTAGAAGATAAGTTTGACCATAAATTCTAGGACAGTACGATAATGAGTAGGAGAACTCTCGGACTCGGTGGAGTTTTCGCTTCGAATAGAGTTGGTAGTAAACAAACCAAAGGAATCATCCATTTAGTACTAACGCGCTGCACACAAGAAGGACTATACAAAGGTGTCTTCTATGAGATCAAAGGAGAAGTAACAAAGCGCTCGGATTGCCTGAGAATTCTAATATTTACTTGCTAAAGTGAATCAAATGAAAGAAGAGATTTTTATGGAATAATTTGGCCTCTCCCTTGAAACATTTAATTGCGATTTTGCCTTCCTGACCATCCATGCGCCAAGAGAACAAGGCTCACCGCGCATCTAGTACAGCAAAGAGTAAGGGAAAGGTTCCTGCCAAAGTTCGAGGGGCTTCAGTGAAAAAGACCGACGGAAAAAGCATTCGCCGGAAACTGTCGAAAGAGGAGGCTAGGCTTCGCCAGCAATCTCAGAATAAGGCTAAAAACCTAACGAAAAGCATGCCGAAGTATATTGCGCTCCTAGCTCTCAGTGCTGGCATTGATGCTCGCATTGTCTGGGAACAGCTTTCCACAGCCACTAAGTGTGTCAAGGTCCGACTTCCAGATATAGCCACACAGTCTGCTGTCCATGTGTTTCAAGGTCAGGGCTATATCCCAATTTTTCCTGACATGCCTCACACCGAACTAGGCCTCATGGATTGCATGGACTCTTTAATGCATGCAGACTTTTTCGTTTTCATTGTTCATGCAGAAGGGGTGAGCGATATGGGCCGTTTAGTCATACAAGCGGCCCATGCACTCCATTTCAATCAACCTCAGGTTGTTCTAGGTCTCAGCACAAGTACAGCTGTATCTCACGCCCTTGACAAAGCATTTACAGCAACATTTGAAATATTGGGGTGTAATACCGAAACCTTCACAGATCTAGGGATGCGGCCTGTGAGTGGTAACGCTCCACCTTTATCTGGAATATCAAATCGACAGAAAAAATTCATCAGGGAGCTTTTCCATCCAGATGCACATGTGATTGCGCCGTATGACGTTTCACGACACGGTGATTCACTGATGCGATACCTTAGCAACACCGTCGTCTCTGTCGAGCAAACCCGACCTGGATGGATAAGCAAGCGCCCGGTTGTTCCAATAATTGGATATGAGTTCAAGGAGATAGACTCAGAGACACAGGCTGTCCGGTTCGATGTAGTAGGATGGCTCTCTGGTCAACTCCCACTTACTGCAAACCAAAATGCTTATTTACAATCGGTCGGGGCATGCAAGATTCTCAATATCGATACAATAAACGTTCTAAATCCTGCATTCCTTTGTGACGATAAGTATGCTATCTACGTTCGATCATTTCAGCACTTACAAACAAGAAGCAAGGATGCTGAGGGTTGTGAGCAAAGGAGTGGAGTAGCAGCGAAGGAAACGGTTATACAGACCATAATGGAGGCCATGCGTGCAGAAGAGGCGTCTGATAGCTGTGATACATTTGACGCGACTGTTCAAGCGCTTGCCAATCAAGAGGAAACCGACACAGTCGATGAAGAGAAGATTCAGATGGGCAGTGACTATGATAGGAAGCTTCAATATCAAAGTGACGAGCCTTGGGAGTATCCTGACGAGTTGGACATCCACCCTGCATTCGAACTCCGGACGCTTCTTAAGGGCTGGCGAGGTCTCAAGAGCATGAGGACTTCGCCCTGGAGGATTGCAAGTGAGGAGGTTCCTGATGGCTTTGAGGGTCTACACCACATTCATCAACCGGTACAGTTTTACGACTATGTAAGAAAACAACAAATTATGGGTGGACTTACAGCACCTGGGAATTTTCTTCGCATAACATTGGAGTTTATTTCATCCAGTCATAGCCACCTTATTTCTGCAGGAATTTCAGATGAATTTGCACCAAATCTTGAGGATATATACAGTCAGTATAGAGAGTTTCTGAATACATTGATGGAAAATGTTACTAGAAACAAGACCGTTGGTCTATGCGGCCTTTACTCCTGCGAAAACAAGGACTCAATAGCTCATGCTACAATGAGTCTCTACGGTCTTCCTAGTACGTTTGGTGTTCCAGATGCTCCACCAATCAAACCGGGAGAAGAACAACCCCTCACACATGAGCATCCGTTTATCTTATATGTTGGATTTCGCAGGCTCTACACTGTTCCCCTCCCGAGCCAACCTCTTACACCGACGCGGAGCAAGTTGCAGCGCTATTACCATGGTCAGGAGTCGAGCATCACCCTTTCTTTCGTGTGCCCCATGTTCGTAGAATATCAAAACCTACCCCCAGTTCTTGCTTTTATCAATAAGAGTATCTCACCCGGATACTGTAGCATCAAGGAAGACTTTAAGTTTTGTGGCTCTGGCAAGCTCACAAGCCTTGACACCTCCTTCATTACGTTGCAGCGGATAGTCCTCGCTGGAACGCCCTTTCATATATCGAAGCATCGTGTTGTTGTAAGACACATGTTCTTTTATCCTGAGGATGTTAAGTACTTTGCTCCAGTAGATCTTTATACCGAAAGCAATGTTCGGGGCCGTATTACGCAATCCATTGGGATGAAGGGATACTTCAAAGCATTCTTTGATGGGAAGGTTGATCACAGCATGGCTATCAAACTGGCTGTCTACCGGCAGGCGTTCCCGACGCTTGTCAGCCTGCGCTTCGACGCGGGCGACATGCTCCTCTTCGAGCCTGTGGCGGAGTTCTTCGTGAGGAGGATCGCGGCGACGCAGGAGGAGCTCGCTCGCCTCGCCGCGGCCCCAGGTGGGGACGAGTGAACGAAAGATGTGCGCATGCCGGGGCTCGAACCCGGAACGAAAGCTTGGGAAACTCTCATGATACCCTTTCACCACATGCGCCTGTTCCGCAGCACTACTGAGGAACTCCAATAAGAATATTAGATTAGGTTGCCTGTGTTTACTATGTGGATGGCACGTTCACACAGCAAGCCCGAGCTGCTCGAGCGCATTCGCGAACGCGCAGATAGGGAGCCCGAGAACGGTGGGGGCATCCCCCCGCATGCAGGAAATCCACCGCGCGGCGTGACCCAGACAGGCGAAGCCGCCGGACTTGTCGTACGGCTCCGAGGTAGCAGCATAGGCAACACTGTCCTCTTTTGGAATGCGTCGGAAATCGACCTCAGTAGAAGCTGTCAAATCATGGCAAACACCAGGGCCTCTCAGTGCGACTGCAGTTACAACTGTACACGTTGATTCGGAAAAGTCTTCCAAAAATTGAACGCACTCGGCGGGGCTCTTGGGCTTCTCATAGATTCGCCCTTTACAGACAACTATTGTGTCGCAACCTACGACTAGTGCACCAGGGCGGAGAGGAACAGCGCCTTCTGCCTTTATCGCAGCCTTCTTGCAAACGAAGGACTCAATACTGTTCGTAGCTGTAAAAACCACATCATTCTCATCTGCCGGAGACGGTACAACCTCGAACGTGTATCCAGCGTCCTGGAGAAGCTGCGCTCGTCTGGGGCTTGTGGATGCAAGAACCAAATGGAGCTTCTTCATCTCAGAAATTAAGTGGGCACTGGGTCCATCTGCCAACGACGTTACTGAGTTGTGCTGAATTTTTTAGGAATCTGCACGCTATTATAACAAATTGTGATCTTACATAAGCTTCTGAAATATGCTAATGCCAACAAGGCATCCATGAATAACTGCAACTGATTGTTTGCTCTATCACACCAACATGAAAATAGTAAACATAGACTAGAGATGACGCACGGATTCCAAAACATGTATTGTAGCGAGATAAAACTGGCTATATAGTGATGTATGCGCGTGTACGCACTTTAATGAAAAACGTTCTCAAGCCTAATTAGAACACAATTTGCAGGCACAGTGTATTAAGTTCGCTCGCTCTAATTATTATCTACTTAGATGTGGCGTGCCTGCTGCTAGTATTACCTTTGTATCCTAGCCACTCACTAGTGGTATATACGTCTCTCTTATTTCATTTGCAATCAGCACTAACGCATTGACTATTTCGCACAGCAATCTAGCTCCTAAAGATCAGCCTACAAATAAGTAAGGACGCTTGATAGTGATTAAAGGAAGATTAGGCAGAAAATTCTTACGCGTCTGTAAGCAAGCATAGTTTGATGCTTGCACAGCTGCCCATAAAGCATGGTCTAGCATACTAGCAGTTTTAATGCAACGTGTGTTCTTTTTAACATCCAAAGAAGTCGGCTCATGTAAGCTACACTTGAAAGACAAATTGTAGTGTCCTTAGCATAGTTCTTAAGGCAGAGGCAAAATCTAATGATATCTATGTAGGAGTGTCAGATAATTCTACAAAGGCAGTTATAGCTAACTTCTGTTGGTTCTTCCTAGAACCTCGATCCATTGGTTTGTTTTCAAAAACTATCCAAGTCATCAAAATGTCTGTTGCTAGAACGCTAAAAATTGGCACCTTGCCATGTATGTATTTTGCTGGGAACTGTCATCATCCTCAGCAGTTAGAATATCTAGGCTTACAGGTCTCCCGGAAGATATAATCCATTCGGTTCTTCCACGAGGATCTACATCTTTACAGAGAGTCTTACAGCAGCATCGCACTCTTGCTCGTCTTCCAGGAGAGGTTTGCGTATATAGAATAGAGGTTCATAGTGACCGGAAGACACTGTGTGTGGTTCGTCAGCGCTGTTCAGTCCGTCTAAGCCTTGCTGCAATGTGCACTGACTCCTCTAAGCTGAGTTTATCTCATTCTGAATGCCTCTGTATTCTAACTGCCTTTCTGGCTCTACTACAAGAAGTGGGCACTCAGTATCCCAATATTGTACAGTTTCTTGAAGAAGAACAGTTCTTTATGACGCTCACAGGCTCAATCGCAGTTGAGATTCCAGTTGAAATTCTACTATTTAGCAGGCAGAAAAGACAGATGGGATCTGAGGAATTGATGGCTGTACTTGCCCGTACCTATCTTACGGACTCACTCTCCAACCTAATAACTCAGTTTGTTACATGTTATATTCGTCTGTTTTATTATCGAAAGGCTACCTTATCAAAAGCAGAGCTAACTCTTCCGGACGAGCTTCAAGATCTGACTAGATTTAATGATACCCTTCGGGGCCTTAATTCTTTCTCTAGAAATTCGTCTATCAATATGCTAACTCTTTATAATTATATGCAGACACCCAATGCTCAACTGGCCCTGACACAAATGGAGGTGTCTCGTGGCATTGAGCGAGATCCAGTCTTTAAGACCACACAACTTCATCGTGCCATAAAATCATCTGATGCCCCCAGCATTCATCTTTATTCGCGCCTCTATGGAGGACTCAGAGACATATCTGGACAAACAGGCCTTCACTATCTGACCGGGCTAGGCTCGAGCATTACATATGATGCTATTTTAAATCTTCTTCCTCTAGAGGTCCAATGCGAAGACAGGATTGGCTATTGTGCTGGATCATACTTTTTGCAATTAGAACGATATGAAGAGGCAGCACTTCTTAGCTTCTTTGAGCCCCTAGTCGATGATAGACATAACAGTATTTTAGTTCGGCTGATCGATGATATCACTATTTCAGAGGCAGGCCGGCAGGAGGCTTCTTCTAAGAAAAGCTTTCTTGAGAAGACAAGGTTCTTCTCGTCACTTATTGAATCACAATCACATTTCTTACTTATTAACCTACTCTCAAATCAACTTGGCGTTCGGGGTGCCAAAGGACGAACAGCTTTGATTGCAGCAACACAAGGGAACCACAAAGAGCTTGTAGCTGCACTGACTCCTTACGAGTCAAATATTTCTGATCTAGAAGGAGACGGTTATGCACTGGCCTATGCTATGTACAACGGAAGTCCCTCTATTGTTGAGCTGCTTGCTTCTTTAGAGGCATCCATACTACTAACGACTGGTTTCACGAACACGATGATCTGTGCAGCCTCTCCTTTCCCTCCTGGCTCTAGTGTATCCGGTCTGTTGAAATCAAAAGAACTGCGCAAGCGCACGTCTAAGGGCTGGACTGCGCTTATGTTTGCCGCGGTTGCTGGCAACCTTTGGGCTGTCAAGCAACTTGCCCATTCTGAGGCGGGTCTGACCAACTATGAAGGCCGGACAGCGGGCACTCTGGCGTATCTTAAGGGATATGCGTCGATTGCCGAGTGGCTGTCAAAGTTCGAAACTGTCCGTACCAACACTGGAGATACCCTGCTTCACAAGGCATGCCGAGAGTATATAAAAGACCCTACAGACGAGAATCTTATGAATGTTCGTTCTCGACTCTCCATGGTTAATGAGTATACAGAATCCGGAGATCTAGCGATTTCCTTGGCTATTAAAGAAAGATGCAATCCTTTGATTAAGCTTTTAGATCTAGAATACAGGACAAGATTACCTGAAGTAGGCTACTCTAGTAAGATATCTCAGAGGAGTTTTCACAATGCAACGCCGCTAATGCTTGCAGCCCTGTTATGCATCCACGATCTCCCCGAAGCCATGATTGCTGCATCCGCAAGAATGCAGGATAATGAAGGCTTTACTGCACTGATGTGTGCAGCACGATCCGGATGTATCGAGCTGGTCCAGAGATTGATACCATATGAAAAGAAAATGCAGACGGAAAGCGGATTTACAGCGTTGATGTGTGCAGCACAAGAGGGCCACGTCGCTGCCGTGCAAATGCTTTTAGAAGTAGGCAACGAATCGACCATTCAGGACAACAATGGAAATACGGCGCTTTTTCGTGCGCTACACAACGGCCACGACGAGTGTAGCAAGATCCTTTTGCCACTAGAATACGATCTCAACAATAACTCTGGGGTTTCTATGCTTATGATAGCTGCAGAGAGCAGCACAAGCCTGTCATTGCTTAACTCACTTGTCGCCCCACAATACAGCCAGCTCCGGCGGCGGCAACTTGATGGGAAAACAGCACTGATGTGCGCTGCAGCAGTCAATAATACCTTCGCTGTGACGGTGCTATTACAACAGGAAGACTCTAGAGAAGTAGGGATGCAAGATGAACAGGGCTTTACCGCTCTCATGTATGCGGCTTCTGCGGGGCATGTAGAGACATGCCGCTTACTTGCACCATACGAAAGTGGCATGCGAGCAGTCAGGGAACAAACTGCTGCTATGCTAGCTGCAGAGACAGGACACCTGGAGTGCTTTTCTATTCTTCTGCCTATTGAAGGAGCAATGAAGAAAAGCTCTGGGTGGTCTCTCGTCCACAGTGCGGCAGTGGGAGGATCAATAGAAATATTGAGTAGGTTGGCCCCCACTCCGCAAGAACTTATTGACGGAGCCGACTCACCTTTGTCCTTGGCGAAGAGACACCTCAGATACGAGATGCTCAACTATATAGAGACCTGTTTACAAAAGAAGCAGTAGATCTAGATCAGTTTTTGGCCATGGTTTCGTTCATTATGGCCACCGGCTCCTAAATTGTATTTGTTCTGCATAACGTTAAGCAGGACGATTAGCGCCATCTAGGACAGTATCCTAAATTAATTGCCCTCTGATCCGTTACAACGCCACGCTACGTTTGGACAACCTCCCGCCGCCTTTCTGTTACTTTCTCTTCAGGTAATATTACTCTGCGCCTAATATCCATGTAGCGTCATTTAACTGGCATTCATAGATCCCTGTGAGCCGAGCACCTTCCTGTACTGCCGAATCATTTAATAAAGTCGCGTTCCTAAAAGTGCATACTTCACAATTACCCCTGTTATCACACCAAGCAAAAGCTACCTCAGTCCAATTAAGAAGTGTGCATCTTTGCAAGTTTCCTGCTCATAATGTATCTGTTCGACTGTCTACTCCTTCACAAGCGTAGCCTGTATAACTGCTACCTATCTCACCAATGTAGGTTTGGCGTTGTATATGTGAACATATTCACTGGTGCTACGACCCGCTGTGGCAGTTAATGTATTTGGTAACAACCTCTGAAGTGCTGGGGCCTGAAGCTACAAGCATCGCATAATTAACTGCTTCTAACTATTTGTAAGTGTAGGCCAAGTACAAACAATACAAAGCAGCTCACTTATTACAAACACCGTTGAGCCACTGTTATATCTGGCACACATCTAGGTATATCTCTGTGCTGCTAATTCTGGTATTGGCTCAACAATGACCAGTTTTATAAAGAGCGTAACATACATCAGACTTCTGAGCACCTGTGATACTACTTTGTAAGCGTTATGGAAGTATTAACTCTAAATGCACTGCTAAGCTGCTCAGCTCTGCAATATTCCCCTCCATTTTCAGCATTGATATCACTGTGCCAAGATAACTGGATAGCGACGAATTTGTCGCAAACTGAGGCCTACTTCGCACTCCTTAGTATACCTCATCAGCATAGTGAACGCTGCGTTACACTGCAAGATGGATGCCTCGTAACTGACAGAAAACCCTGGTAAAGTAAACTCGATTGCATCGTTCCTCGAAATAACTGTTGTCCTACTACTGAGTTGTTGCTCTATTACTCTCAGACAGCGACTAGCGCTAGTATCATGTCCTACAAGCATCTGCACAAGCGAGCAAGAAAGGAGTAGTATCCACCTTTGTCACTGGGCCTCGACCTATACACCAAGAGGTCCACTTGAAGGCAGGAAGACCGTCAAGCTGCTCGGAAAGATAGCCATTCCTTGCATCCAAACCATCTTTACAGGAAAACTGGACACTATAGCCTGTATTAGAGTAACAAATAAAGTAATATGCATGTCTCAGTGTTGATTGCTCTTTGCACAAACATGATCTTGGCAGACGCTGTTCCATATAGTAATGAGTTTTGAATGAAATGTAATAGTACCCCTAATTGCAGGGAAAACAGATGCATTATTGTTTCCTTCCGTGAAATATGTACACAGTGCAACGAAGGCTATGTCCCTCTAGATGGAATATGTGCTGATGACAAGTCAGTTATTAATGCCTTTGGCTGCACGGTGTCTGATGGGAGGTGCACGAGCTGCAAAGGTGACAACCATTTTCTCTTCTATGGGGGCTGTCATAATACTGAAGAGACCGCATTCAATGTCTTTTGTGCTGAGGTGAAGGACGGTAAGTGCACCAAATGCAAGGGGATCACGTTCACCAATCCAGAACCGAACGCTGTTGAGTTATGCATCCTCTGCATGGATACGGTAGGCTTCGGCAACTACAAGGGCAGGGAAGGATGTACTCACTGCTTCATGACTGACATCGCTGGCACAGACCCGTTTGTCTGCGCCGGCTGTTCAGACCCGCAATTGGCCCCAATCGATGGCACGTGCAGAGACAAGGGGACACACGAATGTAGGAATGGACATTGTAGCGCTTGTGCCGTAACACATATTTTCTTTAAGTACGGATGTTACGATCGGTACGGGAGCATTGCACAGAGGTACATCTGCAAAGCAGAAAATCAGTTTGAGCTAGGCAATAGGGTGTGTTGCAGGAAGTGCGTTGACCCGCTATTCTTTATCAATAACGGAGCATGCGTGAGTGAGACTTTTACGTGCGAGCAACGGAGTGGAGAAGTCTGCACTAAATGCAATTCAAAGATTCCTACAATATTCCTGTTCGGCGGAGGGTGTTATGAAGCAAGTAAGGCTCCCGGGAACCTGCTCTGCAGCAAGGCTTCTGATGGTAAGTGCACAAACTGGACGTGCGATCAGAAAGGAGTGACAAAGCTAGGAGACGATTGCATTTTCTGCGATGACTCGAAAGGCAGTGTTGGCTGCACTGAGTGCAAGGGCGAAGGTGACAAATTCGCCTGTGTCGCTTGCAAGGATGGCCTCTATCGGCTGGTCAACGGAGCATGTGCCTGTACTATTGACAAGTGCAAGAAGTGTGCGATACTAGGTTCTAGCCCCGTTTGCCTGGAGTGCGAGGGAATGTTCTCTCTCGATCAGAAGAGCTGCGTCACCGAGTGCCCGCCAGGCCAAAAGCCCGACGAGAAAAAGGAAAGGTGCCAATGCAGCGAGGGAACGGTTCCAAAATCCGATTGGTCGGGATGCGAGCACGAGGGAAACTGTCCAGCCAGTGCCGTCGGATGTTCGAAGTGCAGCTCGAGCGGGAAGTGCGTCTCATGTATATCCAATGCTGAGTATGTCAGCCCAGGGCAGACACGGTGCGTGTCCTTCTGCCCTGACGGTTCCCAGCCCCTTGGACAGCGCTGCATCTGCGCTGCAGGCCTTACGCCTTCTAACGATGAGTGCATAGTGAGACAGAAGAACAAGGCTGGTTTAAGCACTCAGGCCATTGCTGGGATTGCCGTGGCTGGTACCATGACCCTTGGCGCCCTTGCTGGGGTCCTGGTCTGGCTGTTTGTCTTTAGAAGAAAACAGTAACGATCTGCAAGAGTAAATTCTATGTCTGTTGAGGAAGTAATCATCCTCAAGGATCCCTTCACGCGGAGACCTGCATCAACTCGGTCATTCCAAGCAAACTGGAGATAACTGGATGAGAAGCGGCTTTTGAGGCAGTCGAACGCTGCATGACGGCGAGCTGCTCCCTTGGATCGAGCACAAGAAGATGCTCGAGGATTCCGCGGATGACCACGTCCTTGACCCCCTAGAGGTCTGATGTCACCCCCTTCTCAAGGAGTTCATCGGTCCGCCTACCGTCTGGAGCAACGGGCTTGCTACCTGTGCTCAGTTCGTAAAGCACCGCTCCAAGGCTCCAGAGGTCGGAAGCTGGAGTGGGCTCTTCCCCCAGTAGGACCTCTGGTGGCGCATACACAGATAAGTGCCTGCGAAACGCCTCTGTTGAGACGCTAAGGTGGGACTGTCGCCTGCTATCTGAGTGGTCTCTCATGCGAGCCACCGCCACCCTGGGCAAGTTCCTCGTTCGTTCACCAACTGAGATCCAGATCCAGAGTTCGAAGGCGGGTGTCAAGCGACTCCGGTGGGAGAAGAACTCTTGTTCTTCCCTCTTCCCAAGAACAAGACAGGACAACCACGATCAGGGGACGATCATGATGCGCTCCACAAGGCAGTCCCAAGCCCCCTGGAGACCAGACACTAGCCTTCCCCGAGACAGAGCAGACTGCGTTCCACCGACTGTACATGGTGGTGTTCGCATGGCACAGGGAGGCGCAGACTGATGGGCACGGCGGCCTCGCTCGACATAGCGAACATTCCAACAGCAGACGGCCTCTGCCGGACGAGTGTGCCCCGTCCCGAGGAGCTGCGTCGAGGCCTTCCTCCGGCTGCGACGCGCTGCACTCCTGGACTCGGTCCCTCGGGGCCCTGCGCATGCTTCTGTGCTGCGGGGGACAGAGCCTGCTCACCAGGAACTGAAGGAGATACCCCGCTCATTGCCTTGCCGACGACACATCCATCTTCCATAGTAGCAACAGTGACGCGACGGGGATAGCCACAGAGGCGACAGGCCTGGCGAAGCGATTGGCTCGACGGTCAGCACTGGGTGTAGGAGCACTGAGAGGCAGGGGGCCTCCTTCCTGGCCGGGCTCGAAGGAGCCCCCAAGGCAACAGAGAACCTGAAGCCAGTGATGGCACTAATCACTCGCCATGCTTGTCGAGATGGACCCACCATGCGATCTCTGTGAATCCCTCGACAAGAGATGGGCCCCTGGGGTGCTTGGCTGACAGAGGCGGACTGATCCTGCCCGCACCGAAGAGCGGTGGTCTGGGCCACCTGCCGGGCGTCTGCCACAGCAGCTGGCAGTGCCTGACACCCTCGAGTAGGCGGGTGCCGGCTACCGAGCAAGACAGCCTAACGGCGAACCAGTTCTGATCGCTCCTGGTGCCTCAGACGACACCCCTCGGAGAGGTGGCCCTGGACCGACGCCTCGACAGACCGAAGCATCACCCCAAGTGTGCTGTCAGATGGACCAGCCCACACGTCACCGAGCCGGCACACTGCACAGGGTGGGCGTCGACACGGTCTCATGCTGGGTGACGGAGCACCTCTGCGATCCATGAGCAGAGGGGTGGGCCTCTCCCCCGACACAACACATGGGAGTACTCCATCGGCATCCACGAACGCGTACTATGACTCCAAGATAGAGGCGCACGGGGAGCGCACCCTCCGATCATGCTCGGGACCGATGATACAATCCACGAGGAGACGAAGAGGCACCCCGAGGAACGGGGTAGACACTCGAGGTCGTGGCGTATCCCATCTTCGTCATGGAGCACCAGGGTCCCGGGCCACGTGGAGGCCAGATCGCCGTGACCGACACAAGACCCGAGACAGCGGGTGCTCACTAGATGCCAGACGATGGTTGGCCCCGACGGGCCAGAGGAAGGGAGGAACCCTAGAGGTAACGTGAGGAGCAGCGGCTCCCGGGGGAGAGGGAGCACAGAGTCTTCTCCTGTCGGGATCGAAGGCATCTGATCTTCGGACTCTGGATTTTGATCTCAGCTGGTACACGAGCGAGAGATACCCGTTTGCCCAGGACGGTAGTAGCTCGCACGGGAGATCACTCAGGTAACAGGTGACAACCCCACTCGGGCCTTCATTCAGGTATTTCGACGGTCGCCTGTCTAAGTTGAGGTATTTCTGTAACTCACTCCAAAAACGAACAAGCTAGCTATGAGCATTCTGGTAACGTTATTCAGTAAGATTTATCAGTGTGAATTGTACATCTAACAAAGTAGTCAGGCATATTGTGCTATACTAGCTACATCGATAGCTCAATGAAAGTTCATATAGTAGTCTTTTGCCAGCAGTGAGTACTTGCTGGTCTTCTTTGGTGTTTATCAGCAAACGATTCAGTATTACAAGATACTCAAGGTACTACATCAATCTTAAAATATTTAATTATATTCATCTATCTATTTAGTTTCAGATGGACTATGAGGAGTGGATCATGACACTAGTAGTCCCACTTTCAGCGTGACCATTCACATGCCACTTGTTAATTGATCAGCAACCAAGGACGATCGCTGACCAAAGGGGCAATACAGATAAGTTCTTAAAATATACCACCATCAAGAGCAGATCTACATAAAAACCTCAGGTTTGAACCACATGCTTATCTTCTAGCGCAGTTTTTACATGCCATTAATTCTAAATCTCACCAGAACAAAAAATTACTCATTTTAAACTGATACTTATTGTTTCTGGTAGAATAGAAACCGGCTGATCCTATTCGTATTAAGGCTTAGGGTAATCTTGGCCGAAACAAGAGAGATGCCAAGCAGAATAAGTAATTAAAAAATAGTTCTAAGCATGAAAACGCGGGGGAACCTCGCGGAGCGCACAGCAGGACGCACGTTTTCTGCTCTATTAGAAAAGCTTGGAGAGCAAATTTATCTTTCCAGAAGTCAGACTCAGATTGTTAGCGCTTCAAGTAGCACGTCTCATTCCAACCCCTCACTAACTGCATATCAATCCCAACCAGATGTAGATATTAACACCTATTCGCTTAGTCCCCAAGCCTCTAACTGCTCTAGCTGTACCGAAGATTGGTCGCAATCCACTTCGTTCTACTCACAAACTAGCCCTTCCCATATTTCAGCGCAGTCAAATGATCCTGAAGATTACTCCTCACGGAGCTATAGTTATTCGTCGAGTGATGACTACTATAGTAGCAGCGTTAGCTATAGTTACTGCTCTGATTTGAACACTGAGGACGACATAGAAGCACCAGACCAGATATCCAGTGCCACCCGCACAGAGAGCTCTTTGCCTAGGAAAATTCTAAGGACGATTATTCGTGAAAATCCTCACATTCTTTCGCAGTTGAGATCCGGCTTAGGATCAGATCCGTCTTGTTCAAATAAATCCAATCAACCACTAGAGTCTCTAGAGTATAAATTTTCCATTGAGGAAATGCGTAAGATAAAAGAGATAGGAGAGGATTTAGTAGCCGCTACTCAAAATGCTCTCAAACAAGAGGCAAGGCGACAGCGTGAGGTATCCAACAGGCTTTCTCGTCCTAAACACGGAATGACAAGTACTCTTAGTTTACGATCACATCGTAGACAGACAGAACTTACACCAAAGGGGTCCTCCAAAGCTTCAAAGCGGAGACAACCTGCCATAGTGTTGGAGGTTCCTCAGCTCAACAAGGGCACCACGACATCTACGGTGTGCAGTTCTTCAAGTGTTAGTACTGAACTATCATCACCGTCAGTCGGACTCGTAACAGGCCGGCACTCAGTTAAAACATCTACTCAGGAAGCTTCAACCAGTAGTGAGCAAATAGATGATCCTCTTATTCTTTCTCGTGTACAAAGAGACTATTTGAAAGTGGCGCAACCAGTGATACAAGAACATTCACCACATCGTCTTAGTATTCCTGGATCAACAAACAGTACATCCAATGCTGTGGAGCAAAAAGTACATAGCGATATACTCAAGAGATCTGTTACTTCTATAGCAACACCCCAGGAGTTATTAGCCTCAGTTGCTCTGGTTGGATCTATCCCGGATATTAATAGTACTATCGAAGCAGCTTCAAAACAACACGTAGCATCCCAGACTAGTTCCACAAATTCCTTCAAGAGAAAGGCTGGGGATTCATCAATAAGTTTGATAGGTACTGGGAGTCATAGTAAGCCTTTGTCGAGCAGCGCACTTGAAGTTTCAAGAGAGCTCCCAGAGCCGGCATCCCGTCTTGTGACAACCAAGTCGTCCAGCCTAGCTCGCACCCAGCCCATGATCGACTTAACATTGACAACAACAGCTCCGCAGCCAGGAAACGCATCTACCTCCTATCGACCAAGAAGCCTCAGTTCTTTGTCACAGCAGCTCCATACGGCTCAGCTACAATCAGACCAGGTGGTTAAAGAGCTTAAGGATAAGATTGCTACGCTGGAACTAAAGCTTAAGGATGAAAAGCAACGAAATGCATCTACTTCCAAAGAGCTTCGTAACCTTAGAGAAAGAAAACGTGTTCTAGAAGGACAACTTAAAAAGAAGATCGAAGAAAAAGATCTCGCAACGTGGGAAGCACAGAAAAAAGCCCTCAAAATGAATGTGTCTCTTATGCGAACGATAGCTGCCATGAAAGCAAACTCGTCTAGTTCGAAAACTCAGCGCAAATATTCTCACCGCCAAGTACCCTCTCATATGCTGACTCGTCGAGATCCTGACTGTTCTGAGCCTACACAGTCCTTGCTTAACACGAATCTCCCTCTTATAGAGATAGCACCTCCTATGGCAAAACTCTCCGCATCAAAAGAAAACTCTATTCCTCCATCCGTTAAATTGTTCGATAGCATAGAGCAATCTGCCGATGTTAATGAGATTGTAGTCTGTTCGCATAAAAGACAAACACACTCTTCGGGCTCTCATGATTTAAACAGATTATTTGTAGATACCTGTAACAAAACTATCAGGGATGCTCTAGCAGATGTTTATAGTCTAGATTCAACTACAATTCCAGTCTTTGCATCGGCAGATCTACCCACACTTCACATAGAGACAACCCCACCGCCGCCGATTATCTCTGCGGATCGTGAGCCAGACAGTCCTGTCGATAGGCAAAAGCTGCTAGAGTCTGATATTAGTCCAGAGGTTACCATTGGTAAACTAAAGTCACAAGATACCGACCAAGATGAGGAATCAGCACGGGCCTATACGCTTCCCGTTGATAAGCAGCTCTTTCAAAAGGATCTACATAAAAATGCCTCTATAGTGTTGGGAAACCAAACACATCTAGACTCGGAACTAAAACATTCAAGACCCCCGATAGCTCCACGACAAGAGAACCGTGCACGTTCTATAAGACGTCACGGAGAATGCGTTGCCCTATTTCTTCTTCCAAGTCCCACACGTTACCCAGCTGACGCCGCAGAGATAACCAAACTCATCGTTTCTATCAGCACCGATATATCATCAGCACCAGGGCTACCATCAAATGACCAGGAGCACATGCATGAGAATCTTCGGCTGGTGCGTGAACTAATTGAGAGTCCAGACCTAAGCATCTTTAATTATCCTTTGTTTGGTGCCAAGCTTATTGCAGCCATGTTTTGCACATATGGGCCTGGATCGTTTCCTGTTTTCAGCACCGTCATTTATCGAATCAGTGATCTTTTACTGACAGAAGTAGTAAGCCTAGCCAATACACCTACCAATCCAACCCTTTATGAAATAGAGTGCCGGTTATACACATATATTCTGAACATTATTAGAGGAACATGTCTGCTAGTTATGAGCGTAACCACATGTACAAGTTTACAGCCAGGAGAGAGTAGTCTTCAAATATTACTATTTGCATTTAACAGTCTTTGTGAGTTTAGTTCGTCAGCAAACGTCTTTTTGGAAGATACGGCCTTATACCTTGTAGTATCAACGAGTATAGAGGCCCTATTTTCAACCACATTAGCACGAAATACGGATTCACTATCACTATCTACAACTCCTATAGTGTGCCAAAGCACTGGTGAGAATCATCAAACATACCTCTCCATAACAGAAACAGATCAAGAGAGTCTTTTAGTAGCGGTTATAAAGACAGTTATATTGCTCTGTCACCAAATGCTATTGGAGTCAGACTGTTCAGATAGCAAATCAGAAGTACGGTACTATCAAAACCATTCTCTTTGTAGTATTTCATCCCTTTTACATTCTATATCAGCATTATTACAACGTAATAAACTATCTGTGAACGACAGCGCATTACTCACGCAACTACGGCGAAGGATAGTTGACGCCATTCCAGCACTAAGTTTAGTTCCTTGTGCATAGCTCTACTAGGCCTTATTTGTTAGAAGAGAGAAGCTGCTCAATGTCGTCAAGCTGTTTGCGTAACATTTTGTTCTTCTTATTACGGTTCAATATAATAGGTACTATGATAGCAACAATCAGCACTATAACACAACACACAACTGTGACCGATATTATAACGGTTCGGTTGTTTATGGGGGCTAATTCTGGATATATGCATAGACCATATCCTCTATTAATAACATAAGGTGCATTGCATTTTAAACAATATAGTGGGTTATACACGTCGCATAAACTACATGTTGGATGGTCGCACTTATCTGTTGTGAAGCATGTGTTATTGATAAGCGTAAAATCGGTCAAACATTCTAAGCAATGAAATGGAGAAAGACACCTTTTACATCCTGCCTCACATCGGTCACACCCCTTGGTAGAAGGATTAAAAACGTATCCTCCTTGACATACCTTACACGCTGTTTCGCTGTTTAAGACGCAACTGAAGCACCCAACGACTTGACAATTATTCTCAATTTTTTTACATACCCACTCTTCATTGGGATGGTATACCTCCCCTGTGCTGTAGACTTCACATGCAATACAGAGAGTTGGATCACTTCTGATGGAAACAGCGCATGAATTGGCGGTTCCTTCATTGTAGACGTTATACACACACAGCCCAATCACAGGCAAGTTATCATAATTTTTACATAGCAAGCACCCTGCAGAGTTTGTACACAATGGACAATACAGAGGACACGGAGTACAGTATCCTTCTGGGTTGTGGTAGTATCCCATTGCGCATTTGATACACTTCCATGGGTCATCGCAAGAACAACGCAAACAGTGGGGAACATTGCAGGTCGGACATATCATGCAAAGAATGTCTCCTGCATTTGCGAGGACTTCAGATGCGACTAGAAACCCTAAAGGACATGTGACACAAACAGCTGGGGACTCTGGCAGCGGAAACGGAAGGATACTACCGCACATTGCACACTCCGATTGACACTTGGAACATATCGTTGTCCCACTAAGTACATAGTGTGATGTAACACAACTAATGCAAGTATCTGGATCGTCCTTCTTGCAGTGTCTACAGTTGGGAACATTGCATGGGGTTGTGATATATTGAAATGGAAGAAGAGGAGGCGATTGTGTCGAGGGTGTATAGTTAAACGTATAATTGCAATCCCAGCCGATTTTGGATATTTTGTCATTGACAATCATCTTGCCTGCCCACTGAACAGATGGGTTCCTTGTCGATACAGACATAGGACTGAGCTCATAATTTGGTAACGTTCGAAGAACAGGTTTCTTACTGTCAAAGAACCACTCACTTGTCTCGGTGAACTGGAAGGCGTATGTAAACTTTTCAATACTCATCGCCTGACTTATTGTAAATTCGTTTGAAAGAATATACTTGTTTTGCACAATATATATAAGATCGCAGAGCAAACAATTATTGATCTCGCTTGTACCAGCGTAGAGAGACACACTGAGCGTGCCAGAGACTTTTGAGGTAATTATTTGGGCGGTTAGATTGATGAGGACTCCCTTAATTGACGTATGAGAAAGGAGAGACTTTCCTAATAGGGCACCAATGCCGTATGCATTGACTCCAGAGGGAGAAAAATCCTTAAACCCAACCATCTGGAGAGAAACAATTGCTTGGATGTAAGAATTATAAAAGTAAATATCTGCGTACGACAAGCCAAAGAGCCCCCCGTATAGAAATGTGCTGGAAGCTAAACAAGTTTCTCCAGAATAAAAGGAGGCATTCATCGTAGTGTAGGAAGACCGCACTGTCAGATTGTTCATTAGAGTTTGGTATCTTTGAAGAATATATCCCACTAGGCCGCCTACAATAGCACTATTGTTATAGGGTAGACAGGAAAGGGTTGCATTCGCTATTCCATAGACCGCATATGAACTGTATATGGTCGAGATGTAATCGTCCTTCAACAGGACACCTCCAACTAACCCTCCGAGGGTAAGGGTTGAAGTGATCTCTTCAGAAGCAGTGAAATTGATATATGCATATGCTGCTGCAGTGCTATTGATAAGAAATTTGCTACCTTCGCCAAGAAGCCCGCCAAAGACAAAATTATCCATATAAATTCCAATGATGGTCGTGAAGTTGATTAGTGATTGATGGACAAAAATATCGCCTGTCCCCATTGCCACTGCACCACCGAAAAAAATGCCATTGCACTGGGCTACATTTGCCGGCAAAGGAACTCTGCAAGCAGATCTGTCGTGAGTCTCCACCGCTACCATGCACTGTCTGAATTCAGAAAGTACAGCCAGACCAGCAATTCCTCCCGTGTGCAGACACGAATGCAAATTTGTTATATTGATAATTGTCCTAGTGACTTGAAGATTGGTACTGCTAGCAAGAATTCCCCCAACATAATCTATCGTATAGTCTGCAGTGAAGTCAGAAATAGTAATGTTACAAGAATCTATTCTATTCGATAAAAATGTTGTTGCATTTCCAGTACCTACAAGTCCACCAACATAATTGGTATTGGCAGACCCAGATGTGATGACTTGCAACTGATCAAGCTTACCGCGAACATCCACCAGGCTGGCTAATAACAGCCCAACAACACCACCAGCAATGGTGGGCTTGTCATTCATACCAGAAATTTGGATTTGCCCAGAAATGGTAGAGTTAGCAACAGATTGATATGTCATCCCAAAGAGAGCCCCGGCATAGCAAGATGATTGCAAGCACCGTATGTTTGTGTTTGATGTCAAATTCATAGTAGATGATGTCAAGTTTGTTACAGGAAAACCATTCTCTGCTATTCCAACAATCCCGGCTAACCCGCCCACATATGCACTCATGAGCGTCACCTGTATGGTAGAGTTGATGGTAATGTCACTTGGGAAACTCAATGTGGCGCCGCAAAAGCCCCCGATTGCCTTACGAGAGCAATCTCTACAGTACTCTGTTCCTCCCGTTACTCTGGAGGTCACATTGACGTTCTGAATCATCTTTGGAACCATGTACCCTGCAAATCCACCAATGAAGACACTATCTGCCTTAATGCTCTTAATGTGTATATCCAAAACAATGTTTCTAACTATCCCATTGAAGGTTCGAAAGAATCCAAGAGTGTAGCCTCCAGAACTGATGGTTATATTACTAATTGCATGATTTTCCCCATCGAGAACGCCATAAAATGTGTTTATGGGAATAAAGTCCTCTTTCATGACAATGTCTTGCTTCAATTTAAATGCGGAGTTCGGGCAATACCGCATCATCTCCATGGATTCTACATCATTTATGTCATAAAACACATTGCAACTGACCTGTTCACCCAAGACTGCAGCCAATAAAATCAAAAGAAAGGTGATGGTCATTAAAAAGTATACATCTACAGTCCAATGAAATCAGAAGCAAGGCACATAGGTTTCACACATGGCTTTGATTAAGCTTCGGTCGATGGTAACAACCTATTTACTCTGGCTGTTCTTGGGCATCTTTGGGGGGCATAGATTTTATCTCTATCAGTATGACATGGGCCTGCTATATCTCTTTACCGCAGGAATATTCCTGATGGGGTGGATAACCGATGCGTTCATTATCCCCTTTATGGTCTGGGAAACAAATACGATCATCCGTGCCATCAATAGACAGCAATTACAATTTGAGAACGAATACGGAGAAAATACAATAGTGCACCCTACTCGCCCACGCTATCCTCTAGTCACTCAGGTCAAGGCAACCGAATACGATGGACCTAAGGTCTTCTAAGTAGAAGAGTTTGAGCACAATCTCGACTTCTGCCGTATCATAATTGTTTGGCAACGAATAATTTCCGGCTGCATTGCTTTTGTAAATGAGACGTTCGTCTTGGGTGTAGTTATTATCACTGAGGTAGACAAAGAGGATGCTTCAACCTCTAGTACCGAATGCTGCGCAGGCATTAGCTCTGATGCCGCATTAAGGTCTTGCTTTTCCGGAGGTTGTATGACGCTCTTCTTAGAAGTTAGCTGCTTTAGTTGCGGTTCCTTCGGTGCTTGATGATCTAACTTTGATTGCGAGGGGTTAGAGCTTACACCTTTGCTTTTTTCAGCTCGTATTACCTTCTCTTTTGGAGAGTTGTTCGCTTGTAACTGTTTGTGCAAATGGCAGAGACGATCAACAAATTGTGTGTCAAACAAGGTTGATAGGGCCCGCAAAGATATATCCTCCCGTCTTCTAACATACATTCGGAGATACAGTTCTGGTTCGTAGCTCTCTGTTGGCCGTGTTGACGTACTGAGTATTAAAATGTAACACTTATTACATAAGCAGGCACAATCTGCTTCTCGCGATCCAAAAAATAGTGGCCGCATCTCACGACTAAACGCTTTCCTACAGGCTAAATGGATCATAGAGTTGCAACGAATGCAAACGCTTACGGGAAGCCCGGATTTTCCCTTTTTGCAATGGAGACAGACATGCCGAGGACAGGAAAAGGATAAACCAAAAATATCCTGAGTGGGCAGTCCAGCTTTCTTGTAGCATTGTTGGTGGAACACTGTCTGACAACCTGGTACACAGCACACAAGTAATGGGCCTTGATCATTAACCTTATGTTCGAGACAAATAGAGCAAACGCTTGTTCCTCTTTGACATGCTGTACAAGTGAAGTGGTAGTTGCTACCTAAACATTCTAATAGTCTCTTATTCATGTTTATCCGTTCTTCGTTAAAAACTGGCTCAGCTTTCCGGATTTTGGCTTCGATGAGACACATAGGGCAATATGATCTGCGACAGACCCCTGCACAGACGATTCCATCTGGCTGTGCACAGAGGCAACAAATAGCGGATGTCATTTTAAACTTTTTAGTCCAATTTACGAAGATTGGATTGGATACAATAGAATAAAACTATTGTCGATTTACTAATACCTAGCGTTCACGAATTGATCTTCGAGAATTTCGAATGCTTAGAGCACAAGCGATTAGTTGGGGAGAGTCTTCTTCAGCTTCTCAAACTCCCCTTCGTAATACTTCCTCAGATCTTCTAATGACAATGAAAACTTGCTTCGTAACGATGGAACGTAGCATCTTTCGGAATAGTCAAGGAAAAGGGAATATCTTCTTTTTATACTTTCAAAGAGTGCATCACTGACTTGCTTCAGAAGGCCTATTGTTCCATCCTTGATACGCGCAACAGCAACGATGGACGAGCAATTTGCAATGGCCGCCTTGAGGTTTATATGCTTGAAAAATCGGTCCATGGTATCCGAAAAGTGCTTCTTGATGGTTGAGTTGCATGTCTTTATTGCTTTCTCTACATCCTTATGTGCTAGTCCTGTCTGGGTGGGTACGTCGGTTGGCTGGATCCCTCCGGCTATAACCTCTTCAATCTTATCGACAACCTGAACCCAGGAGAAGTCTTTGGAAGAATTATCGCAGAACTTGTACCTAATATTCTCTTCTATATACTCAGATAGCAAAATATCTATTTTAGTCTTCAAAGACATCTGTATGGATGTGCTGAAGTTGTGCTCTAAAAGACTGTCACAGAAGTATATAAGAAATGACAAGTTTTCAATGGTAGCAATGTTCCGGTACTTTTCAGTATTTGCTTTATCTGCTACTATAATAGAATCAAGCCACGCCTCAAATCTTTCAACGATAAGCATGTACGGGTTTGTTATAAGCTTGAGCAGCGACATGTGTCCGGAGTCAAGCTTAAATGTCATCGGGAATGTACTTTCTTCAATATCTGGCTGAGTAAAAGTAATGCTCCCAGCGCGATCTGACGGAAGGAAAGCTGACAATGAGCTAAACAGACTACTGTACGCAGGGGAGCTCGCTGAGAGCGTCTTGACGGTGAGGGTAGCAGAACAATACATAGCATGTATTGCAGAGAGCAGTGTGCACGTGTAAATGGTACCGGGAAAGACACCGGCTTGCTTGATCGTTGGCTGCTGTTTTGATAAGTGTGCATGAAAAGTATCCGTGAAGGACACGACGTGGGACTCGATGGTCTGCAGGGCGCTGGACAGCAAAAGTATCATAAGGTCGCAATCAAGGGTGCACGCTATTGACAGAGCATGATCTATCTGCATGTAAAGAGCGAACCCATAGAGAGGGTTGGACGTCAGAACGCCTTCGAGAACATGACTGAGAGGTCTAGTCCGGACTGAAGAGAAATAGGCCTCAGGAACATCCTTAACCCATTTTAGTGTGTTACGATAGGATTGACTTCTGGTAAAATCTAAGGTTGAGAAGTATTTTATTTCTGCATGGAGCATTTTATAATCTAGAACGGGGTAGAAAATGGTTCCGAGGCAAGCGTCAATCGTAGAGAGATCTGTTAACAATTTGTTACTTCCGTTTGCACTGAGTTTTTGTATAGCAACCTCCAGAGACTCACGAGAGGAAAGTTGCTCATTTAAGACAGCATCCAATACAACAGTAAATCTTTCGATTTCGTGGATCTCTTTCGTGCCGTGTCTGGGCTCTGAATTTTCCTTTGGGTTACTAGAGAAAAAAACTGATAGCAAGATATCTCGTGTATGATATATGTATATGGTTACAGCCAAGAAGTAATATCCTAGCGCGCGATCTAAGTATTCACAGCCATCTTTGAGAAGGTTATTTGCATAGGTGGAATGATGCAGTTGTACCGTATTCACAGTCGAGTTAGAGTGCCTCCCCGATTTTGTTTGGGCTTCTCTCTCCGCAGCAACTCTACGATCGATAGGTACACTGTCCGGATAACAAATGGTGCTATAGGATAGTTCATATATCTTAAGTCCTAGGCCTCTGAGTAGATTTATATCTGGTGCTGCAATGCCCTCATGCATGTTGTCCTCTAAGAAGGATATGCTTCCACGCGCTAGTTCATAAAGTACTAGTATCACAGCTGCTCGCACAAGGCTATAACTGGCAGGATCTAACTCTTTTAGAAAAGATATGGAAGCTGCATCAGAGAACAACATCTCACGAAAGGATGCAACATCAAAGTAGCTTTTTATATCCTTAACCTTGCATCGCTTACGTGTAGCAATAATGACCGCAAACTCGTTACAAATGGCCTTTATAAGTCGCATGGTCAGCGCTTGTACAAAGGTTCTAATAGCATCTTTGATCTGGGCATGTGAACGAGAGACAACAACAAAGGTGTCAAACCCGGGGAATTCCTCTGCGTAGCTATGCATTGCTTCAAAATAGCTTTGAGACGCCTCAATAATCGACAACTCAAACTGCCTATCTGCTCCATGTCTATATGCTTGCAGATCTTTTAATAGGTTATCTGCGACAGTAAGAATATGATCAACGGCCTCGAGAATGCGTATCATTTGCTGCTTCTCTGATTCTGTTGTATTGGCTTGCTGTTTCGTCTTAACGTTGTAGATATTGGCATGGTGCTCGCGGCCCCGGAGCGCCGCCAGGGTGACGGAGTCCCCAATATTTGCAATACCTGTACTCAGATGCACAGCCTCCATAACAACACGCTGAAGATCAGCATTAGTGTCCTTATTAATGGCGAAGATCCCCAGCAGTAGGTGTTCGTTAGCAAGCTCCAGCTCGTCCGCGAGCTGAACCAACTGAGACTTGTGTCCGGAGGGAAGGAGATGCGGGCCGGAGGGAGAGGGCATCTTTTAAAAATAAAAATCTCTGCTCCTTTTCGAGTGGTGTTTTCCTACAGGAATGCCTCGAGGCCTCATGGCACAAAACAAATAGTTCAAAGGTTATATATAGAATTGTGCGGGGTTTGCGCCGGAATAGCTCAGCGGTAGAGCGCTGCACTTGTAATGCAGTGGTCGCGGGTTCAATTCCCGCTTTCGGCTTTTCAGTGGGCCTTACAGGTTACAGGTGCTTCTCCGCAGAATCCCCATCACAGAGGCCGTTATCCCCCCGGAGGTGTGGGCCAAGATCCGCGCCCTGAGCTTAGCAAGCCTCGACAAGGCCATGGGGCTCATTGAGGGGGCGTCGTGGAAGGACCCCAAGGTGGACGAGGGGATGTCGATCACCACCGCCGTGGTCGAGGGCAACAAGAACCACGCGCTCAAGGCGACGATGGAGATACCATACCCCGTCCACTGCTGCTTCGGGGCCCTTGTGGCGATGAACATCAACGTTGACGAGACCAACAGCCAGGCCCTCCGCAAGTCGACGCTTTTCCGCCGCGAGACGCTGGAGTCTCCGGCCGACGCCGAGGCGAAGAAAGCCTATGCAGGCTATGCCCAGCAGAAGACGGCCCAGGACTTCCCCGAGGTCAGGGAGATCTCTAGCGTCTCCCAGTTTGTCACCACGTCTCCCTCTGCGATTGTCGCCCACCGCGAGTTTCTCACCGTCCTCAACTTCAGGGAGCTCCCGAAGGCGGAGGGGAGGCGCCGAATCCTCTACTCGTTCATGAGCCCAGAGCTCCCGGAGCTTCTCGCCCTTTACCCAGAGGCGACCAAGCAGGAGGGCTGGGTCCGCGGAGTCGTCCACATCAGCGCCTTCCTTTTTGAGGAGACGGCCCCGGGCAGCGGAAAGACAGCCGCCACGTTTGTCTGCCATAGCGATCCCATGGGAAAGGTCCCGGCGCTGCTTGCCAACTCAGTGATTGTCAACCAGGCGAAGTCCCTGCTCAGCATCGTTAAGGTCATCGAGACCGGGCAGGTCCAGAAGTGAATGCATGATGGTGCGTCTCACTAACGCTGGCCCGTTCTTTGGGTGTGCTGCAAGTCTGTCCTTCTTTTCCGGACGTGCATGCACTCCCACGAGGAACCTACAATTCTGGATGCAGTGAAGGGGCCGATTACACGTCAGCCCTAGCAGCCCATGAGAGCCGCCTCCTGCAGACCTCTGGCCCAGGTTATACTGAGGACGCTATCGTAGACACAGATCTTTAGAAATCCTCATCCAACTTGAGTGCCTGAAGGAGTCTTAGTCTCGAGCATTATGCAATCTAACCACCATCGTTCTCGGCTCCAGCTGATCTTTCCCAATACAAGAGACATCGGGGACCCGTCGCCCAATTCGCACTCACAGTCGCTGTCTCCTGCCAATGGGCGCACCTACTCGAGCTTTCTCCACAATCGCCACCGCAGTAGATACATTTACATCAAAGAGCAGAGTCGGCGGACCCCTCGGGCAGCAGACTGTCTGCACTCCCGCGATCGTACTTCATTGCCCGGGTCCTTCTACGCACCCCCTTGCGGACCAGGACCTTCACGATGAACGGTATTGCCGCGCAGACGCCTATGAGGAGCAGGACCAGAATCACGATCGCTGCTGTTACTCCGGGCTTGAGGCCAGACTTGTTCAAAAGGCCACTGCAGTGCAGGCCATAGGCTGTGCTTAGACTGACAGTTTCTCCCGAGGCACATCGCGTGCATCCAACTCGGCCATTATTTGAGAACTGTTTGCACATAGAGCATCCAGAGGGGCACTCAAGACACTTACTGTTGTCATAACTGAAGTAGAAACCATCGGCACAAACTCCGAACGCACAAATATCTGCAAAGTAACAGCCTCTAATGCATTCCTTTTGGCACGGAATACAGGTAGGATTAGCGCCTTCTGAAAATCCGTAGCCCTTGATACAAGTATTACATTTATCCTGTCCTTTAACATATTCCATGCAATTTTGGACAGAGCCTTTGGTACAAGTTGTGCTGTCTGTTGACAAGTAGTATCCATTATTGCATGTAGAACACTCTTCACGTTTAAACAGACATCTGCTGCAATTTTCAACCTGGCACTTATCGATTTGTTTTTTAGTTGCGTCATAAAAGTATCCTTCAACGGCACGCATACACTGGGATACGTCGGGGCCGCTACAGGACTCACACTTATCGGCACAGGAAGCACAAATTCCACTAGATACATAGTATCCAGCAACGCACTTAATGCAGGTGGGATCTGTCTCATCGCCTGCAAGTATACAATTAGGAATTACGTCGCCAACAGGAATGCAAATACCATCCTTTAACGCCATATCATTACGGCATGTTTTACAGTTACTACCTGGACCATCGCAGGTATAACAAACGGAGTCACAGGCCACGCATATATTGTCAGACAAGTAGAAGCCGTCCTGACACTTTGTGCAGTTGTATCGTTCGCTGCACGTATCACATCCCAGTATACTCAGTTCACAGCGTATGCAGGCCCCATTTTCTTGAAATTCATCTTCAGCACATGGGTCTGGTTCAGATGTAGCACATAGTACGCCGTATATCTTTGGACCAGTCCTAGCTGCTGTTGTTACTTTACATTTTTCACATACAGCTTCTCCGTGTCCAAGATCGTAGTAACATGAAAAACATCCATCTGGACATGGTAAGCAGTACTGCGAATAGGGGTTAAACATAGACCCTGGCATACAGGCGCCACTAGTACAGCGGTATGGCGCGGGAGTATTACCATTCATGCAGAACAAGCAATTTGTGGCACAAGGAAGACAAGCAGCTCCGCTGAGGACATAGCCTTCTTTACAGCCTGTACACGTGTCCTTAGGCTCACATTCATTGCAATTTTGGACAGTGCACTTAATGCAACTCCCATTTTTGTTACTACTTTTATCTAAACCGTATCCATTCACGCATTCATCACATGTATCCTTAGATGTGTTACATATTTTGCAGTTAGTATCTACGCAGCGAGTAATCTCTCCAGTGGTTTTATTTAAATAGTACCCAGAAGAGGGCTCCTCACACTCAGTTTCATTCTTGCAGCTGTAACAGTTATCTTTGCATTTAGTGCATGTAAAGGTCTTTGCATTAAAGAAGTATCCAGCGTGGCACTGTATGCACTTGTTGGTGTCATGTGCGCACCTGATGCACCCCTCATAGACCTCACCGGGCTCATCGCAGACCCCAATTGCATTCCTGCAGTGATTCCCGCTGCACTCCAAGCAGCTGTTCGGATTATTGCACGTCTTGCATGTGTGGTCGCACGGCTTGCAATAGCCATAGTCGAGATAGTACCCCGCTTTGCACTCAGTGCAGGCTCCTGGCCCCCGACACGAGAGGCACCAGAGCATGCTGTCATCGCACTTAACGCACATGTTGCCGAGAGCATAGTGGTCTCGGGGGCAGTTGATAGCTAATGTTCCAATAAGAAGAGCGATTAGAGTAAGAAGTTGCATTTTAGATTCTATACATTTTTCGTGTGCATGGTGAAAAAGCGCAATAGCCTGTAACGTTATTAGCGTCCTGCCCTTAAGTAACTATTAGGTACATTTCAAAATGATCTGTGTTATTTTTAACATTAGTTTGTACTTAAGGTGCCTGTGGTATACACCCTTTGGAAGTCGTAACCTTTGTGTACAAGCTTCTCGGGCTTCCAACTATAGATTGTGACGATAACTATATGTAGTAAAATATTATTTAACAATTCAACTGAATAACAAGTGAATTTAAGGCTGTAATCATGACAGAAAGCAACGTAGGTATGTCTTCAGAAAATGGTTGCGCTTCTACTTAGCCTGACTCTTTCGCATGATGCATGTTGCTCTAACACAATAACCACGTTTGGCTGTGTTTCACTCGCCTCAACCCGATCTATATTGCTAACGTACTAATTGCAACATTCTATGTATGGACAAGAGCCGCTTTGTCCTATCGACAAGAGGTGCTTTCCATAAAAATAATTGCAATGGGTTGGAGCCCTACTTCAACGGCCATTGCTAACACTGAAAAGCTAATCAATTTAGCATCATGTATGACGAACGAAGCAAATAAAGAGGCAAATGACCTTATGGCAAGGCTCGTCGAGACAGAGGTAGATCTTCCTTGCTTACTTTTAGAAGCTTTTCTCTCCGATGGACCCTACAGTACATACGCCGGCGCGCTCTTTAAAGCGTGCATTCGTCAGTCGTATAGCTATATTATATCGCAAGGGCGGCAGGATATTGCGTCCTATCTCTTTCTGCGATTAGTAGACAGCCTGCAATCTAGTTCATCTAGAGCATATAATTCACAGTCAATTCTCGCGAATATGATAAGTGCATTAGTTTGTCATGAACGTGTGGGATTCATTTGGCCGGAACTAGAGCAGGCACTGATAGAGGCAGTGACTTCCATGCAAGCCACATACGTGTCATCTCTCTCTTGCAAGAATCTCAATCCTAAATCTCTCGCTCCATTTATGTGTACTTCTTTGCTGATACAGAATATTACCGACGATTCCATTAAGATTCTTAAGGACTGCAAAGGTTTGTCGGCTGCCATTGAGATGATGGTTTCGACGGTATTAACCGATACTGTTACCACTTTTTTAGTTACTAAAGTCTCTATAGATGCAAATCCCCTCATGTTTGCTGCTTTCAGTCCAGTGTTACGGTTTTATAAGGGTGTTTTGACAGAGCCTATCTCTCCCCAGTTTAGTGATGACACTGCGCTCATTTCGCGAGTCTTCATCCTCATAGAGCGCCTCTGTCCGTTAGCCATTCATTCAGATTGGGATCTTCTCCAGGCTGCACTCGAAGTTGTTATCCGAAGCATTACCGTGACGCCAGAACTGTACTATCAGAATACGGACTTCTTCTCTAATGTTCTGGAACTTCTAATATATATGACCAAAGAGCTTTACGAGCTAGAGAACGTTGGAGAGAAACTTGAGGCACAAGTACAGTATCTTGGGGTTAAGCTCCGCGGCGAAGGGACAGGTGTGGCGCGGCTAGTAATGGAGGTGTGGCACCTTTTCGTTAGCGATTCCAATTTTTATTCTGTTCTGCGTAATCACATTACCCTTCATCTGATAGATCCCCTGCTTGCTGCGTGCATTCTTCAAGAAGATGAGCTTCTCTTTTTAAAATCTTCAGCTGCAGTGGCTACAAGAGACATAGGACAAATTTCAGATCTACTAGGACCGTGGACTAATCGTAAACACGCCTTGCTCCTCTTAGACATACTCTGTGGAATACGAAGGGATTGTACTGACCTAGTTATACAGGGATGCACCCGAATGCTGTCATCATGTGACATATCCATCATCGAAGCGGCCATAACGATTCTTGCATATGTTTCGTCTCATGTCAAGAAGGAAGCCATTACTACCATTTTAATACAGATCAAAGCTACAGTCCTGGACACGTTCTATACGGATTATCCTGAGCCTTTTCTACTCGACCATTCTACGGGGAGCGTATCATTTAATCAGCAGTTCTCTGTAGCCATGGAGGCTTCGTATCGCTCTTTCAGCGCTACTGAAAACCATAGCCAGCTTTTAGGTGCCCCAGCAAGAGGGGAGAGGGTCTCTCTATTTCTGTCTATCATAGTTTCTCATAGTGTATACACCATTTCAAAATACATCGAATTGTTTGACAGCTCCTCAATTACATGTATCCTAGCATCTTTTCTTAAGGTCCTTGTGTTCTCTTCAGACATCAGAACAAGGTACTATGCGATCGGAGCCATTGGGACAATAATTGATATCGCACTTGTATCTTCTGATAGCTCTGCTGCCGATTCAGCTCAATTTGTACCGTCAGGAGAAGCTATTACAGTGTCCTATATAGATCGAATTGTCTACGAGGGTGTTCTGAATATAGTGTGTGGGCTTCTACTACTGGACGTACGAGCAAACAGAGTTGTTCCCACAGAGCTTAACTTTCTAATTGATGTAGTGATCTCCTGCTTGATGGCCGATTCCGGAAAAGAAACGTCCATAGTTATGGCAGGCGTGGCAGAGTATGACATATCAGGACTTGGACGCTCTTCTCTATGCACAACCTCTGTCATGGAGGCTTTAGCTGAGGTCTTTTCTACGTTACTTCCTTCCTATCTTCCTCACGTTGTTCGCGCAATAACCACCTTGTCTGATAGTAACGACTCTGATGAGCGCATATGCTTGGCATTTAGTAATCTGAATGATGCCATATCATCACTGCTTGGGGACTTGATCCATCCAGGTATTGGGCCTCAGACAGAGAAGCTGCAAAAGACCATACATTCTCACCTCATTCCTACCTACATTGACAGCGTAATCAGAGGACTTATGCTTTGCATGGATCAGGTGGAAAATCCAATTCTTTGGCCCGACGTGTCACTGATGGAAAGTCTTATTTCGTTTATCAATGATGCTTTATTGACTGGAAATAGCACGGCTATGATGATTCTAAATTACAACAATCAGTCACTTGTTCCTGCACTCATTCAAACTGCTGCTATTTTTGTAGGCACAACTCTGCAAGCGGAGATGTTCGGGATATTGGGAGAAATTGTCAGGGAATATCCAGAGCATATTTTCGTGCACCGTGAATATTCATCTGCGTTACTAGATTGTTTGTTTAATGTGATTCAGAGCCCTTTTGAACCGAAAGCGCAGAACAACGCGACTTGGTTATTTAGCACACTTATTGCAAGCCCACAACTGAGTGTATCCATTGGTGTACACGCATATATGACTCTTTACTGTGGCACAGCATCTGGAGACCTAGGGTCGTATTTAGCAGCACTGCCTCAGTACTGTGAAACACCAAAAGAGATACTGATACTTTCAGACACTGCACAACTATCTGGTGAGCATTTCCAAAATTACGCGCAGCTCCTTCTCGAACTGATTCAAGAAGAGCGAGCAACAAAAGATGTTTTGATCAATGCATCTGTTGCTTTGCTGAAATGGGTGCGAATCTATCTACTTATGGGACGAGTGGTTCCTTTTCTGGACTGTCGCCTTTTACAGATGGTTGCTGAAAATCTGGATATAATAGTCCTTCAGGTGTGCAGAAGCGATGACGTGGATGACCGAGATTGCTGCTTTATAGCTATTCTTATGGTTGCGCTTTGTATGCCAGATGTAGCTGCTGAGGCTAGCACGGAGATATGCTGTTCTTTGATGGAAACCGTAAAGATGTGCCCTATAAACAACGAGGAATTTGATGCCCTTTTGAACGACGTTTTGCGAGCCAATATAATAGTTGGGCTAAACAGGGATGCTCTAGATAAGTGCATTAATTCATAGGTGTGCTATCGCCTAATTTTACGTTTTGCTTTTCGACCTCTGGGGGTAATTATTTCGCTTAAAGTTAGCTGCTTCTCCCCGTTCTCTTTGGGATATCTAATTTTCAACTTGTCAGCGTCTAGGCTAGTTGTATTAGTCTCCTCCCTCTCTGCCATCAACACATTATTGTTAAGTAAATAGTTACTGAGTGTTTCTAGGGAAACGTTGATCTTACACTTCTTCATATGCTCGAGCATTTTGTACTTGTTCACTGGGACAAAGGTCAGAATCAACAGGTACCAGGGAGACGCCTTGATCCAATCGGTAATTGTCTCCTCCAGCGTTTGACGGCGTGCCGGGGACATCAGCTGGAACTGAGTCAAATGGATATTTGGAAGCCACCCATGAGTATCATGCTCTCTACGCAAAGTCTGTATGGCCTGCTCTCGTGTAAAGTACTTCTTTCCCAGCTGCTTTAGGCTCTGACGGAGCTGAAAGATGGTGTATGACTCAAAATCCGTAAGGGGGTTAGAAGCAGGTGTGCTAGGCAGCGCAAGGTTGCAGGGCTGCAGCCTCTCCATTAGAGACAGTCGTCGATGCTCGGGCGTTTGAGGAGGGCGACTAGGCTCTGTGAGCTGGGCAGAGCAGTCGACTGTAGGGTGAGTTCTATCTAGAAGTCTCACCAGCTCAGTGGTCTCAGGAGTGCCACCTAAGATTGGCACTGCAATAGGTGTACTTTGGCGAACTGTACTAGAGTCCCTTGGACAAGGATTCTCTAGGGGTGAGCACGGCTGAAGAAGTTCTTTGCTCTGTAAAGCCGTTGATTTTACAAATTGTAGATATGCTTTGCGAGCCAGAATTAAGGATGAAACTATAGAATCGATTCTGCGCAAAATGCACTCTGGCAAATGCTCAGAATCGCCTCCTTCTCCCGTGACATATCCAACAACAAGGAGACGCAGCGATGCATCATCAGGGGTCATTTTTATCGAGTTTACATAGAAAGCTGGATACCTTCTTTAGCGAACTCCTCGTACATCTTTACGAGAGTCGTTGCTGCAAGTAAAATGCCCGTGCCAGACCCAATAGCACCAAAGATGTCCGCACAGAACCCAACAAACCCGAGTATAAGACCGCCTGCGAGGGCTGCAGTTGGAATGTATCTATTCAGCTCGCGCTGAAGAGCCCCCTTAGTCATATAACCAGGCATGCACCAGCCATTGGTCTCGAGCATCTCTGCGACCTCTTTAGCGCCTTCACCAGAGAACTCTACCCAGACACGTGAGATAAGCCCAGAGAGAGCGACTAAGGTCACCGCGTGGAGAATGGTATGAATAGGGTGAAAGAGTGCACTTCGAAGAGAGTACGGAGAGGCAAGAATCCATGCAAGACCACCTGTTGGAAAGGCCTGACCAGGACGCGACTCGACCTCCGCCCAAGTACCTAGCAGCGCAGTGAAAATAGAATTGCCAAAGCGACGCCAGATAGCCTGAGAAATCATAAAGACGTTAGACGTCAATGTTGATATAATCATCATGGGCGTCGAAGATGCATAAAGCAGTCTGATGGGATATTGTTGCTGAACGGATGGCCCTGCCTTTGCATGCTGAATCCGCAAATTACGCTTGATTCCCTGGAGATAGATAGCCACAAGGAAAACTACAAGGGTTGCTATAATGTTCATCACATTTGTGAGACCATCCCGGAAGAAGGCCAGCTTGATCGCCTTGAGCTTATTTGGCTGGGTGAACATGTAATGGACAGCTGCCAGGACAGCACCCTCAAATTCCTTTCCATTGCCACGGTCGATGCGGAAGAAGGAGAACGACTTCCAGATGATGTTCTCGCAGACATTGGCAGTGGTAAATAAAGAAATACCAGAGCCTATGCCCCATCCATTTTCAAGCATTTCATCCAAGACCTGAACCAGTATAGATGAGATAGTCAGCTGAGCAATAATGGCCACTGCACTGAACAGGCCTATTTGCGAGATAGACCCGTAAATACCAGCGAGCACATAAAGAACGGCCTGGAAGAAGGTGAAAATAAATCCAATAAGATTTTGGACACGATTAAAAACTTGGCTCTCTACTTCGTTGTTCTTGTCAAAGGGCAGTACCTTGGATGAGATAAGTATCTTGAGGAAAAAGCTCGAAGTGATCGTAGGACCAATACCCAACTCCATGAGGCTTCCTCGCTGGCCCGCAAATATAGAACGCAGCCAGAACAAAGGATCCTTACGGATTGAGGAGTGCAGACCGTAAAGCGGCACCTGAGAAGCCGTGAGGTAGACAATTAAGGCCAGAAAGGTATAAAGCCCTTTTGTAGTGAAGCGCACCGTTTTCGGAGCCTTCTCAACACTAGGTAGCATCCTTGCCCACGGATCCAGCACCTTTAACCACGTTGCAACCATCCTTGCTCCACGCCCTCTGGTCTTTCTTTTTTGACTTTTAACAAACTGTAACATGTCAAAGTCTTAAGTTGACCAATGGAGATGCAATAAAAACAGTACCAAAGCTTAGACTAGGCGACCTGACTATTAACTGAGTATGGATAGCAGATGCAAATCATTTTGTCTCATCGATAAGCCTCTGAAATAATAATTCCAATTCAAAATTAGAGTGACCAATCATGCCTGAGGTGGTGGAAAAGGACAGTCATGGCATTGTGCGAGGCAAGCAGTGCAACACAGCACGTGATCAGTCGAAGCAACAGAAGCAGGCGATTCGTGGTGGCGACGTGACTTTCAGCTTAACTAAGACCCGTGACACTTTTGCTGATTGGTTTGATGCCATTATGGATGCTGCAGAGCTTGTTGATAGGCGCTACCCAGTTAAAGGCTGCGTTGTCTTTCGTCCTTATGGGTTTTTCATGGAGAATGCTATTATGAGGCTTTGCGAGGAGGAGTATGCTAAGGTAGGTATTAGCCAGATTCTCTTTCCTACTGTTATTCCAGAAAGCTTTCTGAAGAAGGAAAGTGATCATATAAAGGGCTTCGAGGCAGAATGCTTCTGGGTCGAAAAAGGTGGACTCCAGCCGCTGGAAGAGCGCCTTGCTCTAAGGCCTACTTCTGAGACAGCCATATACTCTATGTTCTCCAAGTGGGTCCGTTCCTACAAAGATCTTCCTCTGAAAATTCATCAGACGTGTACCATATTTCGCCATGAGACAAAAAACACAAAGCCCCTAATAAGAGTTAGAGAGATCCATTGGAACGAGGCACATTGTTGCCATGCAACAGCAGAAGATGCGGTGTCTCAACTTTCCGACTACTGGAAAGTTATCGACACCATTTTTAGCGACGAGCTCTGCTTCAAGGGGCAAAAGCTACGCCGCGTATGTTGGGATAGGTTTCCGGGTGCGGACTACAGTGAAGTCTCCGATGTCGTTATGCCGTGTGGGCGAGTGCTTCAAACAGCCGGCATCCACAATCTTGGGCAACGCTTCTCGTCTACCTTCGATATTCTGTATGCGAACAAGGCTAATGAAAGCGTGCATCCATACCTAACGTGTGCAGGTATATCCACTCGTGTGCTAGCGTGTGCCTTATCAATCCATGGGGACTCGGGAGGCTTGGTTCTTCCTCCCCTCATTGCCCCCATCCATGTAGTAATAATTCCAATTGGCTGTGGAAAGAAAAACAACCAAGAGTCCGATCAGCAGGTTTTGGGGAAGGTAAACGAAATCGCCGACACCCTGAAGTCAAAGCTTGGATTACGGGTTTCTATCGACGATGACTTCTCGAAGAGCATGGGCGATAAATTGTACTATTATGAACTCAAGGGGGTGCCTCTTCGAATAGAAGTTGGACAGCGTGATTTGGCCAACGGTCAATGCATTGTTGTGCCCCGTGATGTAGGAAAGGACCAGAAAAGAGTAATTCCCATTACGGAGGTCATGAAGGTATCTTCTCATACCACCGAAAACCACGAGTTGGTTGTGAAAAATGTTATCAAGGACGAGCTAGACGCCTACAAAGCCAGGCTTAAGGAAAAGGCATTTGCATTTCACAATTCCATGGTTACCAATTGCAAGAGTTTTGATGAGATAGTGGCTTGTATAGAAAACAAGGGAGGCCTGGCACGCTTTCCATTTTATACGACAGAGGCCGATGGTGAAGTGTGGGACAAGAAGCTAAAAGATGCGTGCTCTGCAGAAATTCGCGGGCACAATCCCGACGAGAATGTTCTCCCCGGCGAGGTCTGTGCCCTTTCAGGGAAACCTGCTGTTTGCTACATGTACTGTGCCAAGTCGTATTAACGCCAGGATGTATAAAAGTAAATCTTTAGGTACTCTATCCATTTTCATTTATCGACTCTAGAAGAGGACCTCCTCTATCAATGACCAGACGGCCTTGTCATGAATAAGCATGAAGTGAGTAATATTCTTTACGATAACACGGTCAATAACAAAATCATGTGGAAATCCATCCGATAGGGCAGAATGAAGCAAGACTGTTCCATCGCCATCAGAATCAATTGTAGTGGGGATTTGCGTGCAGAGTTCATGGTAGCTACTGACTGGTTGATTGTAGACCACGTGCAGTGGAGTCTTGCACCCACTTCCACAGATAGCAAAGTAACGGAAGTTGGTTTCATTAGGCTGCGGGAAGATAATTGGTTTCGTTCGTATCTTATAGATCTCATCCCAGTATTGCTCAAAAGGCTCAAATAAGTACTCCTCCAGGCTTCCAGGGCGGTTGAGGCTTTTCATCAAGGACAGAACGCTGCGGTAGATGATGGATGAAACGACACTTATGCTACTCCAAGGCAGAGGTGGTATCTTGATGCCAGTCTGCACATTGTGTGGTCGTTGACGCAAGGCTGACATACCACGAAAACCCGCTTTGTCAAGTCTGTATAAAGATGAGATTAGTTCCAAAGGAGTTGATTCAGTGAACAAGTTCTTGTCTGCAACTACTTCCACAGCACAATGATCCTCTAGGTCAGATGCTTTTGTAGGAGTTATTAGTCTAGTTTGCTTCACTACCGAAGTTGTGCGCCTATGGTTTAGTGCCTTTTGCTTGTGGTTTAGATCTAATGTTGCGGTCTTATAAACAGAAAGCGTTAATGGCACAAATGCGCTTTCTGCTCTGTTAGTGTAAGGAGCAAGCCGTACTAGCGTCCCTGCATCTTCAAAAATGTCCCGAAGAGCTGTGAAATCGCTGAAGCTTTGATAAATGGAGTTAGCGTATGCATGCTGAAGAATGTCTGGGCGTGATGACGAGCGAATGATTTCAGTTGGTGCGCCAACTCTGCAGTCTTTGATTTCATCGTAATAGGGGGCATCTTCTTTGAGGAGTAGCCGATCGCCAGAAATATAAAACCATGGATGCTTAAAGGCACGTAGTGGCAGGTATGATTTTCTAAGGTCTGAAGTCTCTGTCCAAGAGGTATACGCCTCCCATTCCCACAAACCAAGCTGGTTCTCAACAGCCTCTCGAGTAGGTATACCAACCGTATAACGTGGAGTTAGTAGCGTATCAACGTATAAGAAATTAGAAGACCAAATGCGCTCGCCTGTCACCTTTGACCGAAGAACTCCGCGTTTTATATTTAACAGCAAAAGTCGTAATGCCTGTGCCTCGTGTTGTGGATGGAGTTTTTCTGGTTGTTGACTGAGTCTCAGAAGAAGAAGAGACGAAAGATCAGGAAACTTTTTCCCGTACTTTTTCAAATCAACAGAGATATCCTTGATAGAGAGGTTGGTAGGAATGACTTTTTGCAAGAACTTTTTGTAAAGTGATCCATCAGTACAATAGGTAGGGCCAGGGTCATGAGTTGAAACACCTATCTGACGTGCAAAATTAGCGCTGTTTCGGTAAACTTTCTTAATAAATATGCAAGTAGGAATGTATTGATTGACACCATACTCCTCTAATTGTGAAACCACAGGAGCAGGGCCCAGAAAGACAGGAACAGAGCTGCTGGCTTGGAAATTGCGAGCTGTTATATATTTTATAAATGGGATTTTCAATGCGAAACCGTTGATAAGACTCATTGCCATATAGGCAGAAGAGTTATCGTAAGGGGGTCCAATTGCTATAAAGCGAAAAATATGTTGATGCCAGTCATCATACAACTGCATATACAGCCTGACCAACAGCGCACCATGGCTATGACCAATTAGAATAACGTGTAAGGAGCTAGTTCTATTCAAGACACTCAGAATGAGTCTTCGCAGAGAGCCTAAAACTGCATCAGATGATAGGGGCTGTCGCCAATCATACGAATGGCAAAAGAGATCGACATCCACTTGATATCCGTGCCTTTTGAGTCTATTCTTTAAAGTAGTGAAATATCTGCCAAGCATGAATTTGGGATTTAAGGCATGAATCACGGAGATACCCCAGTGCTGAGCTAGGTGTGAGCAACCCTTGAAGCCTTCCAATATGTGCATATCTCCAACATCTTCAATAAACGACTGATACCGGCCATCACTGGTTGGCTTTCCCCATACATCGTTTATCATCTTTTCTCCCATACGGGACTTTGGTATGTAATGAGCTGAAACCCACGCACGTTCTCTCATGCCCGTTGTCCTGTGGACGATGTCCAGTTTGGTACTACAGAGACCTGGAATAAGGATTATAGGCACACGTGCTTGTTGCTCAGTGGTAGCCCCAGGTGCCCTCATAATGTAAACAATTTATATTCAACTTTGAACCCTGTAGATACTCACTATGAACTATGATCTCCATCGCATGGTTGGTGGGTTGGCAAATGCAGCAGTCTACTACAGCCCACTACAAAAGTTTGGATCCAATCCCTTTGCTTCCAAAATGATCTCCTGTGCGCAATCGTTAATATGTTTGAATCGTGCTGGACCCAGAGGGATTCCACCAAAGTATCTGGTGACGATTGCGACCCTATTATAAACCTTCATCTTCTGCATCAACAGCAGTAGGCGCCCTCCCGCTGCATGCTCTCCGTCATCATCGAAGCCCTCTTGAAGGTCAGATGGATCTTTCGTCGAGCAGAGGCGATAAGCAATGATATTATGGGTTGCATCGTCAAGTCCTTGAGTGTCCTTGAGAAAGATGCAGAGTCGATCAACGTCCTCAATAGTCAAAACGTGTGCGGTGTGCGCGAAAAACACGGACTTCTTCGATTTTATGGTATTAGACTTGAGAATACATCGTTCTTTGAGCCAATGATCATCTATGCAAAGTGCACTTTTACAAAGTACTGGGGACTTAGATTGTTCTGAAGTAAAGGCGGCTTTAGGAACATTATTCCTATTAAAAGACTCTAGTGCAGAAACCAGTTTTCCATATGCAAAGACAGCAGCAGCAATTAGATCTGTGGGATCTGCTTCGACGATATCCATAAGCTCCTTAGTTAAAAGCCTACAATCATCAAAGGATAGAGTTGTGGATTGGATTTTTGCGGAGTTAATCAGTAGATCCTTGGAGTCTTCGACGGAGTTGCTCAATGACAAGTTGAAAACGATAGAGCTTTCATAGCGACTTTTGTCGTTATTAATGAAAAGGGAGACAACAGGCAAAGATACATCCACAGTACACTCAGGAAACATGTGCTCTAAAGCGCCTAGCTGCTCATTCATGGGCAATTGATATTTCGGATTTTTCTTTAAAAAAACTCGGGACTTGGCATGAACACTCTCTTCTCCGTTTCTCCCATGACCATGCCCTTCTACAGAGCATACAAGGCGAAGCAGGGTTCATTTTTTGTTGTGTCTAGCACCTTTGATCTCCCTATTCTGGTCAAGATAAGCTCTACTGCCTCGCAGGACTACATAGTCTATCCTCCAATATTTGTATTAGCCCCGCATACAGCCCAAGAAATTTGCGTCAGCCTCACATTAAAGGAAGAGCTAAAACCTCACGAAGATCACCGCTACTCTGTTGACGCCTTTCCCTTGGAGCAGGGGGCCTATGCATCTCTCAGTACTGACGCATCTCCGCAACCAACAGCATTACGAATCTACTGGAACTCGCACTACAATGACGCATGCAGAAAAGGAAGGTTGTTTACTCAGAAATTCACTGTTTCATTTGTGGACGGGGCACCCCCTGCAGCTGTGCAGAAACTTGCACGTCATGTTCCCGCAGAAATACTTGATTCGAAGGATCTTGATACAGAGCTGGGGAATATAAGCCACAAGAAAGCAAGATACATCGCAGAGAAGGCGTCTCTCTTGCACTCTATCCAGCTTCAGCAAGGAAAAATAGATCTTCTTAAGAATACCATTTCCCGCGATGAAGCAGAAATACTTAGGTTCAATAGAGAGATTGATGAACTTCAGAGGCGCCTCAAGGAGCTTGGCAATCATGACACCTTGTCTAAGTACATCATAGGCACCAGGCTAGAGCTTCGTGTAGTACACTACATACTAGCAATCTTTGTCGGGTTAATATGCGGTAGGCTATTGCACAAATTTTGATGGAACACCCAGATATTTTTCATGTGCTTACTCAAACTCAACTCAACTTCTCCGTGCTCATCATATATACTTCTGCAAGTCTAGAGCATATTTCATATTGGGTCGCGGCAATGTTGCGTAACCCAAGTTGACTCTGAGGTAGATATGCCTCCGCATTATAGTATGTTAGAGAGCGCTGGAAACCTAGAGACAACTCCTCAAATTGGACGGCACTAATATGAGTTCCCATTTCATCTGAGCAAGCGTCAGAAACGACGGCCGGTACTACGTTGAGGAAGAAACTCGGGGAGCTCACAAGCTCATATGACAATGCCTGAATCTCTTTAGCATGCTGGTGCCTTTTATCAATGCTCTGGCGCGCGGTTATTATATGCTCTCTGAAGAGCTTTATATTCTTTGCCAGTGCAATGTCCTCTACAATTTCATGATCGGCCATATCCACGTCCGAGATCATGGCTTCAATTGCAGCAAATAGCGAACTAGCGCTTTCTCCGTTTATTTCCTCCATAGCCACTCGTATGGCCTCCTTGAGAGCCCTGGTAACCAATCTTTTCAACTCATCCATCTTTCCTGCGCGTTTGTACCACAAAGCAGCATCTTGTATGAGGTTTCTTCGCTCCAGCATTTGTGCAGCCCCCTTCTTGACCAGCAGCTCCATCTCTGGTCCTAGTTCCAATCGGGATACAAGGTGTAGTAGCTCTATGATCTCGGTTACGTCCTCTGCCGATGCAATTTTTGAATACAGTGCTTGCTGAATTCTGTGAGAAATATTATTTTTTGAGACTAGGTCTGCGTTACTTGGAAGGGTCCAACGATAGTAATCTATGGCGAGCTTCCATATCCCAGTACTTGTAGTATCGATTGACAGTGTTTTTTGGGCCCCAGAGACATCTACCAACACGCGTATCTCACTAAGGCACTCCGCATAGCTCATTATGGCAGCAACACGGGCTGACTGGAAAATGTGGTCAGCAGTTGAAATGAGGTCCATGATATGTGCATAAATCATCAACAGAAGTGGCTTTTTCAACGAGTTCATCCCGCAAAGAGTAGAGAAGGACCACGGTGTAGATTGTAGGGCAATACTCATGAAGGCCTCCTGTGTATGTTCTTTATTCGGCTGTTTAAATAAAGCAATCGAAGAAAATGACAGGATACTTTGTAGAGTTACCAAGAAAGCAGTAACATATGGGCCATAAGTATGCGAGAATTTGACTGATTTCAAAAGTATCTCAAATAGCAGCCGGAGATCTTCTACATAAGTATCTTGTCTTTTCTGCTTTATTTTTCCATACTGTACCTCTATAATTATAAGGAAGCAAAGGTAGACGAGAGCATTGGATGTAATTGGCGCTATAAGAGATGAGTTATTTGCATCAGATTGCTTTACAAAGTATGAAAGCTTTCTTATCAAGGGTCTTAGCTCTTGATCATCTCCAATTTGTGCGATTGTTAAATGCCCCAGGAATTCTAGTGGTTGTATATTTCCAGAGAGCATATCTATGATCTGCTGGAGTTCAGACTTTTTTCCACCGGCCTGAGCAAGCTTATCCGCTCCTGGCTTTCCTTGCTTAGGTTGTGATATACCATTCAAGAGGTTAGCTATCTGTATGCTAAGCGGATCATGATTACTTGCCAGATAGCCTTGTATATCCTCAGTATTGCCTAGCAGTAAATCAAGCTTGAATCGTGTTTCTGGAGCCAAATGGGGCTGCCTCTGAAGTGCAGCCCCATCCAGGTCAGCTAACGCTTTGATAAAGTTCCTAAGAATGCTTAATATTCCTTCTGTGGCAGTAGCTCTTGCCAGCGTTGCGTGTTTGTATATTCGAAGATAGAACATCTCGAGAAGGGCCCAAATAGATCGTAAGAAGAGCAAGTCATAGGTAATGTTCAAGTTCGATACCTTCAAAGCCTTTACGAGTTCGTCAAACACAGAGAGATAGTCCTGCGATGCTTGAATGGGATCAAAGTGGGTATTAGATGCTCGATTGTGAATAGAGGCTTGGGATGAGAGAAAGACCTTGTGCATTTCAAATAGGAGACGGATCACTTGCGGCGTAGAGTCCATACGTGCCTCCGGTCACGATAGCAAATTTTAAGGAAGCCAGATTTACTGTAAAACGCACCGAACCTTCTTTTTACCTCCCTCCTGCTCGTCCAGATGCGCCACGCTTCTTTAGGAGCCGTGCTCTTGCTGCGTCCAGGTCTTTGTAACTATGTTGATCAACTTCCAACATATGTTGAACTTTATTGGCGGCGCGCTCTCGTCCTGTTTTAAGCTTTAGCTTTTGTTCTGTTCGGAGAGCTGCTTTCCGTCTGATTTCTCTCCGAGCACTCCGCTCCTCGTCTCGTTTCTGCTTTTTGATACGCTTCTCTTCTACACGGGCGCGCTCGCGGGCCTTGTTGGGATCCATACTCTTTCCTGGGCAAAAGTCAACCATATACATAGGTTCGTTTGCTTTGATCTCAGGAAGCCTATCATCTATCCAACTTAGACTCTGCTCTTTTCTTTCAGACGACAGCGTCTCAACCAGCAAATTAAGAGACCACTGAATCGAGAATTGTGTACCAGGGGTGCTATAACTTTCTGCAGGCACTAAGTGAGATTGGAGCTCCTTGCAAATTGGCAATAGAAGTGAGTACTGTGAGGATAGGTCGTACTTCTTTGCGATCTTAAGTTGTAAGAAACATGCGTTGAGAACTGTTGAGAACCCTGCTAATATATTTCCCAGGGTGAAAGTCAGATCGTCCTGGAATAGAGACGGTAGCAACTCAATCTTGTGTTCTGTTGGTACACTTAGGACTATGTACGGCGCAGTAATAGATTGAAAAACCTTCTTAGGTGTGTCTGTGATGGCAACGGAGTGTGCAAATAACTTGGAATATACACGGAGTATACACGCGAGGCCTCGAGACACAGATGGAATATGAAGTTGAGTTGCATTACTTAGCATGAGGGTGGTCAGAACGAGAGCCTGCAAGAAAAGAGTCTCTTGATATATTGTACAGAGCATGCAGCTATTCATATTAATTAGTGCATCCTCTGTTGTCAAAAGAATCTGTTCAAGGCGCAAACACAGACCTTGAATTGGAGCGTCGTTGGCCAAAAACATAGCGGTATAGAGAGGCTGTTCCTCAAACACGCGCATATTAGTGAGTGCAAACTCATCTGGGGATAACGTATACCAAGTTCCTTGTGGAAAAACAATGGCCATTAAATTAGAAAGCATAACACCTCCAAATATTGCACGACCATGTAGAGAAAGAAACCCTTTTGGCTGCTCATCACAGGCCTCTGTTTTTTGACTGGCTATAGATGCAGTGGAAAAAAGCACAGTGTCAAGACCTTCTATTCTTTTCTTCTTATTAGAGCATTTGCTTTTTAAGGCCTCCTGATTGTGTAGAGAGATCCTCATAAAATTCACAGCCTGGACCGCTTTGTGATACGTTAAGATAAGCTTTTGATAGGCAGACATCATGTAATGTGGAATTTCACTGGTTATATGTCGTAGTCCTCGAGCCTGAGCGTCAATGCGAACTGGATCTAGTTCAGGCGCGTCATAGATGAGGTACATGAAGCGAGTGGTGCAGAAAGATCCCAATCTCTCCATTTCGGGACGATTAGATCTTTCCAAGAGCGTAGAGTTGGACTTAATGAGCCTGTCTAGGACCAGTATCTCCTCAATCGATTGAACAGAGTCCAACATTGCCTGGAACTCATCCATAGTACTTGGAACTGGCAACGAGAATGACAGCTTTTCGAAATATGTGGGCTGAACTTCCCGGCAGAGAAAATGAGGCAACTGATGCTCTCTAGTATCATCTTCCTCACTGTGCTCATTGCCTTCTGTGCCACTTTGCGTATCAGATTCTTCAGGAGTATCAGATGAAAAATTATCTCCTAAGTTGAAATCTCCGTTAAGGCACTCTGGATCATTACTGGTAATATTGGTGGATTGCTGGTGGTCAAGTTTAGGACGCATAACTGGAGCTGTGCTCCTGTCTCTATCCATTTTCTCCAGTGTTTCAGCACACGCTCTTACTGCGTCGGCTAAATTAGTAGCCCCACGTGACGCATGGACGCGGACTCCATCTAAAGGTTGAAACTCTGCAACAATGGACTGGGATTCCAGACGAGTCTCTTTCGGCAACAGTCGAGACACTGTCCCATAAGCTCTGTCGAGCTGTTGTACGGCTTCTGAAACATCTCTATTAATACGCTTATGCTCTTCTCGGTAGGCTTTTGCTTTAGCACGGACCTCGGCGTAAACATCTCTAGCACGCTGCCTCATTTCCCGCTCATAAAAAATCCGCTCATCTGGCCGCGTATTATCTGGAAAATCGAATTTCTGTGGTGTCTGATTAATACTGTGTCGTATGAGTTCGCTACGTTGATAGGAATAGCCCTTTTCTCCTTGCTTCGGAACAATGCGCTCATCATTTATTTCCGCTATTACGTGAGCATTGTTACCCGCAGAACCAAGTGGTTTTTTGATTGCCTCGGTAATGGGCTTTGCACAAGTGTGTCTATATTTATGCTCCCCTTTGTTGAGGACTTGACGGCGTGTATTCACCTTAATATGATCAAATGGGTTCAGCTTTCCGTCTTCTACACCCATTTTCCGCTTCACTATGTCCAGTTTTGCTTGTAACTTAAGGTGGGTCGGTTTCCCCATTATATTTATTTTAAGAAGAGATTTACTCCGTGTTAACAGACGAGCTTGCCACCCGCTGCCCGAGCAGGCCCGCTGGGGCCTCTCCCCCGCCCTGCGCGGTTGACCCCGAGAGCCTGGAGGCCGCCCGATTCTGGGGAGGGGAGGGGTGTCGCGCCTCCTCGCTCTGAGCGTCGTGACCTTGCTCTTGCGACACCGTCTGGGCTTCTCCTTTCTCTCACTCAGCCCCCTTGGGGCCAACTTCTGTATGGAGTGGAAAGCAGTGATCTTGGCCACGTAGCCTAGGGCCTTGGTACTCTATGACGAAGATTGCATACGCCATGAACCTCGGGATGGCCCGAAGCTCACCGGATACTTTCTTGTCATCTCGTGGAGCGGGTGTCCGTCCCACTATCAAGGGTGTGCTCCCCGTATGCCTCTATCTTGGAGTTAGAGTACGCACTCATGGATGCCGGCGGACAGCTCCCATGCGTTGGTGCCGAGGAAGAGGTCCAGCCCTGGTTTGCCTTCCCGCTCGACCCGTCCTTCTGCTCATGGACCACAGCGCGCCTCTTGTGCAGTGCTAGGAGACGCATACCGACAGACATTGCGCCTTGCCACGTCACTGGCCGGATCTTCCTGCTCGCGGTTGGCATGCGGCTCCTCGTCTGTCTGAACAAGGCAGTGGGGGTTGGAGTGGCAGAACTAGAGCGTGTTTGCCAGAGGCGCTAGTCTGCCGGCTAGAGGCGGAGTCGAGCGATGCCTGCCCAGAGATGCTCGCTCGGCTGCGAGGAGCACTGCAGGGGGTTCCACGAGCGCGGGAAGGCTCCCTCCCCTAGAAGCCCCGAGGGCCCTCGCGTCCCCGAGTTCAGTCTCCAGGGGCTTTGCGGGCATATGCGACGATCTGGGCGCAAGAGCCCTGGGTGGTCTCGAACTCCGGACGCACGCTTTCACCAGGGTTTCGCACCCGAGCGTCCTCAGATACCACCGGGTAATCAGAACGAGCTGCTTTGTCTACACAACCATGGACCGCGGCCACAGAAGTCTAGGACAACTCCTCCTTGAGCACATGCAGGCCGACGAGCCGGTCGCTGAGGGCCTGGTGTTGTCCATCATGGAGCAGCTTTCTACCGGGCTTACCTACCTCCATGACGTCTGCTGGGAGGACGCCAGCGGAGCGCCCTGCCAGGGAATCGTCCACTAGAGCCTCACGCCCGCCGACGCCCTCATTAGACAGGACGAACAGCGCGTCGTGCTCGCAGACTTCGCGTCCACAGAAACGCTCTGCACAGTGGCAGTGCGGAGGCAGAGGGCCCCGCGTACACGGATCCTGAAGCCCTCAGATGGCGCGGCCTCCGATCTCTGGGCCCTTGGTGCTATCGCATGCGAGCCTGCCACTTTGAAGGGGCCGAGCTTCCTGGACGGGTAAGACGCAAAGGCCCCTTTGTCGCCGGATGGAAGCCGAATCTGGGCCTTGTTGTGAAGGATCTCGTGTGGGATGTCCTCGGGAGGGTCTTTGCCTCAGACCCCGAGTGGTGACCAACAGCCACCAAGCTCGCCAGCCTGCTTCTGCGTGCGGGACGTCTGCTGTGGGCCCGGATCTCCAGGCCGGCGAGTTGGCAAGCACGGGCGAGTCTCTGCGGCCAGTGCCGAGTCTGTCCTTTCGAGGCAGGGCCCGAAGATGCCGCTCAGCATATCAGAGGCATTGGCGCATCCATCGGGCCGTTCCACCAAAGGGCGGGAGCAGCACACTGCAGACGGGCACGGGGCTTCCATCGAATCGACCGACCAGGTTGCAGCGAGCGGCACGAGGTCCCTATCCTTCCGGGTCCCTGCGAAGGACTCCTCGTGGACCCGGCTGATGCGCGCTGCCGTTACTGGAGATCTCAAGACGGCACAGAAGCACCTTGGTGAAAAGGACAAGAAGAACGAGGCGGCGACGCGGTGTACACTCCTGCCGTCAAGGCCGGACAGGGGCCGATGCTGGAGCTCCTTGACCTTACGGATAAGGCCGGGTCACGGCGCTCATGAGGGCTGCGGACAGAGGAGACGCAGAGGCAGTGAGGCTTCTGGTGAAGCACGAGGACGGCATGAGGGATGACGATGATTGACGGCGCTCATGATAGCAGCACGGTATCGCCATCCGGAATGCGTTAAGCTTGCTAGAGAGGGAAGCATGTATGACAGGCATAAGAGGCGCGACTGCTCTTGTGCATGCGGCGGCCAACGGCAGTGCCTTGTGCATACCCTTCCTCTTGGAGAAGGAGGCATGTGTGCAGGACGCCAGTGGCTGGTCTGCTCTCGCGTGGGCAACATATCTAGATAAGCCAGAGTGTGCGAAGCTTCTTATGGGGGAGGAGGACATAGAAATCACCCCCATAGCTGGAGGGTATGCCGACGATGGCAACAATGGCAAGACCGGTGGCGACTATTGTCGACTATGACGACTATGATTACTCGACTCCTATGACCACGATTATCATGCTCCTGACGATCATGACGTTTACGATTGCTACGGTTACTAGTATTCTGATAACTATGATTTTCATAATCCTTTTGAATGCGATTCCTTATGTGGCGCCACAGCTCTTGAGCTAGAGGATGGATCATCGAGGGATAGTGGAGGTTCTTTCAACGCGACTGCAGGGTACTAACGGGCTTCTCTACAGGCACACCTTTATACAACTGCCAATCTGTTTGCAGCAGTAAAGCTGCGTCACCGCAGTGGCCTAGGGGCTGCTCGATCTATAATTCCGCAAGGGGCAGGCTGATAAAGCAAAACTCTGCGGCCTAATTTGTGCCCTGTACAGCCAGCAAGCAAATCCTCTGGACCGCCAGCAGAGCTGCTCGTTCAGCGGAGCGCCGTCTCGTAGGGAGAAGCGGGACGTCACTGTCAGGCCCAAGCGAGAGTGCCGGCGCCATGCGAACAGTCTCCGGTCCCTGGAGGCCGCCCCGGGTCACCGAAGGCAGGGTATCCTATTGCACAGTGCAGGCGCGTAGCAGCTAACAGAACCGGCGCAAGTGGCGGCCGAGCGGTGGCTTTTGCGCCTCTCCGAAGTGGGGAGACAGTGTCCAGAAGGCGCGAGGTTCCCGCGATTTGTCTGGAGCCAGCCGGGAGCGTCACAGAAAAAGCATCTTGAGGGCTCCCTAGGTGCAGTGGCAAAGGGACGTCCGCTGCTTCTTCGCCAGCGGCTTGCCCGGTGGACCACAGGGCCTCCTAGGCCGCCAAGCGCGAACACAGCTGCGATGAGTGGCTACTGTACGCCCTTGTGACACAGAGTGGACGTGCAGGATGCCAGCGACGTGCTGAGGAAGGCTTTATTACCCTCCTGCTGTCTGTGCACCTGCTCCTGGTAAGGATGCTGAGCCCATGCTTACAAGCCACGGCCCCTTTGAGAGTGGCCAAAGCCGGTGCTCGAGCAGAGATAGATGGCTGCCTCGCAGATCTCGAATCGCTGCGCATGCCGGTCCAGAGAGACACCGATCAGCCCGTCACTAGGGATGAGGATCCAGGCATGAGAATCGCCAGCCTCCCGCGCCTCGGATGGACCCAGGCGATGGTGGTACGGGGCTAAGGGTCCTGCTACATCCGGGCAGACCAGGCATTGCCTCTGAACATGACATCAGGTCAGGGCCCTGTCGCGGACAGAGGGGCGAGGCTAGAAGCCAGCCGAGGCGGAGCAGCTGCATAGACGGGAGCGCAGGTTATTATGGCAGCAGACTTCCACAGACGAGGGAGCCCGCGCTCTACTCCAGGATGAAACAGCGACGCCCCAGAGTGCGGCCCCGAACCATGCTGCACCCCTCCTTTTGTGGCGCGGGAAGACTGCATGCACTTCAACCACGATGCATCCGGCCTTGAACACTGTGCGGAAAGACAGGCGGCCAGTGCGATTCATGCGACGCAAGGAAGATGCCTCACCTTCTGATGCCCTACAATGCGGGGAACATAGCCCCCTGCGCACGGGCTGTCTGCTTAAGGACGGCAAGCACATGGAACCAGGCATGAACGGAACCGGGTCTTGATAGCGGCACGGCTGTCTTCAAGGGAAGGGTGATCTCTTGTCTCTTTAAGCAAGACGTGCTGGATCGCACAAGCTTACGATTGGGTGAGGAAGGCTTCTGCATGCAACTCTCTGGCATGACCTAGCTGCAAACAGGCGGCAGCGAAGAGCGGACAGCGGGCTCCAGTCGTGCGGAAGGAGGATGCACCTGCCTGAGGCTACACGCAGTCATCAGGCGGGGCGTTCTCTGCAGAGGTTACGTGCTATGCAGGGTCGTGTCAAACCGAAGGACCACTCTTAGATGAGCCAGACCAAGGTGCCCCCATCCGCGCGAGACAGGCCTGTCAGATATATGGCATGCCTGCGAAAGTGAGCGCCGACAGGCAGGGGCCCGGGTAGACCTGGCGTCCTGGCCCAGAGAGTGAACGAGGACGGCCCGCGATACTTGTCCAGCCGAAGTATGAACGCTATGATGCCCCGGGTTGGACAAGCAACTCTTAGCGCCCCCCCTGAGAGGCTGCAGAGGACGGGCTTCTGGATGGAGGGACGACCCCAGCCAGGCAGACGTGATCACAGAAGAAGGGGCGCTGGAACCCGGAACAGTGGCTGACGACTGCGTGTCTGCGCGATGCAGTGCCCACTACTGTCAGTCGGCACACGGCGGTCGGCAGGACGCAGAGCTGCAGAGTGCTGGAGGCGCCGAGCGAGGCCAGTCTCGCTCATGGGACAGAGGCTGCCTGAGCCCCGCAGTCCTGCGAGCCTCTGGACGGTGGCAACAAGAGACCTTTCATGGTACGCATCTGCCTGGATGGCGGCGTGATCCCAGAGCCGGCATCGTACCACTTCACGAGCATCACGATCGCTGTGTCCCCCACGATGGTCACTCGGGCAGTAGTCAGGTGCAGGGCATGGCGGCTCTTCCCTGTCCCCCAGCAGGACCTCGTAAGAGTAGAGTAGATTGTATAACGATGGACGCGTTTACTATCTAAGTCACGCCTTGCCCCTACATATGAACCACCAGCAGAGGAAGCCCACGAGGCCCCCAACGACGACGATGACTGCGACGGAGATGCCCGCGATGGCCCCCGTGGAGAGCCCGCTCTTATTCGTGCTTCCGCCAGTATTGTCGCCGGTATTATCATCCGTTTCGAAACATATGAACTTGCCGTTAACAGGTGTCGCGCACTGCCTGCATCCAGCCAGCCCCTCGGAGCACTTTCTGCACGGCCCATTACTACTACTCTCCTTGTAATATCCAGGAGTACATACCTTGCATGTAGTAGCATCGGCTTCGCAGGTGTAGCAACTTTCGTGGCATTTCGTGCAGGCACTGCCGACCTTCACATATCCGTCCATGCACCTAGAACAGTCCCTAGTGGTGGTGCACTCAGCGCACCCAGTGTAGCAAGCCACAAGGCTCTCGCCTGTCAGGCTAAATCCTTCTTCCGGAGTCTTGCAGGTTCCGCCTGTACTCTGCGCACTCAAGCACACTGTCGACCCCGGAAGCTGGCTGGTGGAGTAGCAGCCGCCGTTCATCTTGAAGAAGCCGTCTGCGCAGACATTGCACACGCCACCAGTAATGCTTCCATCTTTGCACTTATCTGTGCGACTGGTTTTAACAGCACAGACGCCGTTCTGGGGATACTCGTTGTTTTGACTACAGACAGAGCAGTATTTTGTCCCCTCAACAGTCAGACCGCACTCCCTGCACTTGCCTGTGCCTGTGCCCGCCGCGCACTCGGCCCCACATGTGCCAGTGTTTCCTGTGGATCCGTAGGTGAGCGCGCTTCCAGACTTACAGCTTGTGCAATCATTGGCAGTATTTCCGCTACATGTCTTACAGCTGGAATCGCAAGGGGAGCACGCTTCGCCGTAGAAGCCGTCCTTACAGAGACCGCACCCGCCATTTTCACTGCACGCGAGACAGTTGGCGACCTCGCACTTCTTGCAGACCCTCTTGTTGCCCTCTGTGCTACTGTAGTAGCCTAGAATATATTCGCAGTGGTCTATGCACTGGTTTGTTGGCGTCAGATACTTGTTGGACAGACATTCGGTGCAGATCTCTTTGTTTGTTTGTGCACCACTGCATGCCTTACAATCCTGAGTACTGCATGGATTTGAAGGGGAATCATTTGGCACGCATTGTGTTTCTTCTTCGTCAAGTTTAAATCCATCATTGCACGTGCAAGTATTCTCGGTCTTGGCTTCTGAGTTATCAGGGCAGCTACTAATGCACGACTTCTTTCCGAGTCCAAATACCATATTTTCCTTACACGCTGTGCAGGTAACGGAGGTGTCACTTTTGGTGCATGTTTTGCAGTTCTCAAACGTTCCTGCCGTGCACGGCTTGCACGTCTTCGGCTCCTCATCGTCGGCGTAGTGGGTGTTTCCACTCGTGCACGCTTCCTCAGTCACGCACTCGCCTGCCTGATCCTGTGACTGCGCCTTCTTTAGGTACGGCTTGTCCTCATTGCAAGAGGTGCACTTCGTAGCCTCGGTCTCACAGGTCTTGCATGTCTCAGCGCACTTGGTGCATTTTTTACTGCCTGTTGCATCGACGAAGAAGCCTGCAGTACTCGTGCACTCATGTTCCGTCACACACGACGTCACGTCGCCGTCCGTCTTAACAATCCTCGCGGTTTGCTGCGCATCAGGGCCGCACGCAGTACACTTAGCAACTCCACTGGCCTCTACCGTTAATTGTAATCCGTCACAGGCAGTGCACCCATCCACGCCCGTGTACTTCTTATTGCCAGTAAGCGTCACGCCTATCGAATCTCCGCACGAAACAACCGAGTCGTGCGCATTATCAGCGCCCGGCGGTAGAAAGTATCCTTCCGTAGCCTGTGTGCACTTACCACCAGCTGCTCCTCCACACATCACATTGCCAGGCTCAATAGCTTGTTCGTAACACCCGCCCTTGTACATAAAAGTCTGACCAGCGCACTTTGCACAGGTCTCATCAGATGCAGTATTTCCATCGGCAGCTGTACATTTATCTGTTACATCATCTTTGCCTACACATTTTCCATTGATAGGAACAAATCCTGTGTTACATTGAGAGCAATACAATTTACCACCGATCAGAACGTTGCATGCGTTTGCTGCACAATTGGCGTTATTCGCGCAGTGAGCTTCCCGCGCACGTTCTGCTACTTTTTCTGCCCATGCAATCTGGATGGCTAGGCCCGCGAATATAAAACTGCCGAACATTAACCAATCTGGTAGATTGATAGGAACAGAATCGCGATATATTCAGCCAATCCGTGTGACTGACACATGATGATGATGATGATTTACTCCACCCACCGGTTGCTTCCAGTGGTGTGCTGCTGGGGCCCTCGCCTGCAGGCGCTGTCCGCAAATCTCGCGAGTAAATTCCCGCTCAATTTTTGGCGATGTCCGGAGATGAGGGTTGGTCACGGGCCGTAACGATAATCACAGCGGTTGTAAGGAGGAGCTATCTGCATTCCTCGGCTGTTCCGTGGGCATGCGCACACAACCGGACCTGAAACGAAGGAGAGCCCGCAAGGACCCGATCCACATCATGAACGCAAGATCGTACCTTCGGGCCCCCAGAGAGCAAGCCGTGAGTCTCTACTTGGGAGACCACTCCAAAGACGCTTGCCCTCTCGGCAGGACACACACGCTGGCTCTGTGGCCTACCGTGCAAGAGTGCCAACAATCAACCGAGCACCTGAGAGAAGCAAATGATAACAGACACAGAGTACTAGGTGACGACAAACTGATCATTCCATCCCATATACCGAACCAGACAGCTGCCATGCTCATCCACCAGGGTGCAGCATGATCGCGAGCATCGAGCAGGCCGGGACTGGGGTAGCGCTCCCCGCTATCAGGGGCCTGAACGCCTTGGTAGGAAACTGCTAGAAGACTCAAGCAACACAGCAGAGCAGACCCAGAGCAAGGCGGACCCAGACCCCGAGAAGGCGAGACGCCGGATAGCAAACAGGGTGAACAACGCGCTGAGTTTCGGGGCAGTTGCCAAGGCCCTCCGCGCCCTTGATGACACGCCCACGATAGACAAGCCGGAGAAGGCCGACCGCCCTCAGCGCGCTACACCTGTGCGTCCCCCCGAAGGCTACGTTGGCCTTGACTACCCTCCATCGATGAGCTCGACGGGCTGGAGTGGCAACCGAAGAAGAAATGAGGAAGGCTCTGTTTGAGACTCTCAACAAGAAGGCCTCGGGCCGGTCCAGCTCAAGGCGATGAAGCAGAGCGACAGCTTCGTGAAGTACCTCACGCAGGCATACAACGAGCTGACCACCCACCCCGAGGCGATGCCAGAGGTGATGGCCATGCTCGAGTTCCGGGCGATCCTCATCCCGAAGGAGTCCGACGGATACCGCCCGATCGCGATAGGCGAGACGGTGACAAACATCTTCCACCGCGTCCTGCTGAAGGGCTGATCAGGCATGCCAACTACCTCTTGTGCGAACAGATCGCCTTCATGCAGAACGCATACGCGGTAGGCGTGAGGAGGGCCCACGAGCTCATCAGCAGGACAGGAGCACGCCGTCTCCCTCGACACAAAGAACGCCCTCAACTCGCTCCCGAGGGCGGAGGTCGTCAGAGCCCTGAACGAGGCGGGCGTCCCGAAGGTCCTGGTCGACTACATCGGGGACTTCCTCGACCTGAGGCACAGCCGGGACGTGAAGTGCGAGGTCTGCGGCGTCCCCCAGGGCGACCCGCTCAGCATGCTCCTCTTCTGCATGGCCACCGAGCGCCTCCTGAGACGCCTCAGGGAGAGGGGCATCACCTTCCTTGCCTATGCGGACGACATCGTGGCGTTCCACGACGAGGCCTACCCAGCAGGCGTGATAACACAGCTGGCCATGGGCCTGACGATCAGGAGCGACAATGCAAGTCCACCATGGCGGGCGAGGAGGTGACCTTCCCCAACCACCCGGTGTCCCCCACTCCTGCCAGTCTCGCGCCGAAGGCCATCGCAGGTGCCGAGACTGCCCTGAGGAAGATTGAGAACGCCCCCATAACCACCCACCAGAAGCTCATCCTGATGTCACTCTGCGTGGTCCCGATGGTGAACTACGCCCCCCTGGTCGAGATAACATCGGATAAGGCGGACTACAAGGAGCTGACAGATATCGCACAAGGCTTCAGCAAGCTAACCAGCAGAAGCTGCGATCGCCTGGTCGACTTCCTGGCGTACCAAAGGAGAAGGGCGGCCCGGGCCTGCTCATGCCGGGGTTCTACCACGACGAGCTGCGGAGAGCATGGGCCTCCCTGGACGTCAACAAGGGGACCAGAGACCCGGTGGAGCTGCCGGTGGAAGGCCAGGCACTGCAAGGGAAGGGGACCTACTCCAACCGCCTCCTCACGCATACACCAGCTTCCGGACAGAGCGGCGGCGTGCTGACCGAGGAGGAAAGGGCCCTGAAGCAGAGAGATGGCTCGATCATGGGGCAGACAAGAGGCACCTGCCCGGGCTGCCACACGGCAAGGACCCTCGACCGCGACATGATCGTCACGTGCCTGTACCTCCGCGTCTCAGGGAAGTTCAACGCAGAGCTGGAGGTCAAGACCCACAGCCACCTCAGCGGCCAGAACCAGAAGCCCGACATCTGGTTCGTCGACAAGTGCAAGGCGATAGATGTGGGTGTCATCCAGCCCCGCCAGATGGACGCCTACTACAACGAGAAGGTCAAGAAGTACAGGGACGGGACGCTCCCGATCATCTACGGGACAGACGGATCCCTCCACCCAAGTCCAAGGGGCACCTCGAGGAGCTCCACGTGGACCTCTGTCCGGGCTGCCTTCGCCATCGCCCACATGGCTGCAAAGGCGAACGAGCACCCGACGAAGCTGATCAGACGGGCCGGGCCGAAAGCCTGGCCACCCAGAGCGACCGTCTCCTGTCATCCTACTTCTGACAACCGAATGAGTCCATCCCCGGGACCTGTCGACAACGACCGAGAAGGGGCGCAAGACTGGACACACAACCGAGTTGAATCCCAACCAGAAGAGAAAGCCCCGCTAGCTGCTGCTGATATACATGGACAGTATTGAGAATGACAACAAAGACCAGAGCTTCACTCACCGTGAAGGGAGAGCAAGGAGAGGCACCCTAGTAGACCAGCAAGCCTGCAGGACGGCTTGATCTCTGAAAGAACCGATGTGCACACCCAGTCTGAGCTCACGCCCACGGAACAGCCGAGGAATGCAGATAGCTCCTCCCTTCCACTACTGTGGTCTTTGTATTGATACACGACCAACCCTCGTCTCCGGACTAGTCAGGGACTGAGCAAGAGCTTACCCGTGAGATCTCTGGACCATACCTGCAGGCGAGGGCCCCAGCAGCACACCACTGGAAGCAACCGGTGGGTGGAGTAAATCATCATCATCATCATGTGTCAGTCACACGGATTGGCTGAATATATCGCGATTCTGTTCCTATCAATCTACCAGATTGGTTAATGTTCGGCAGTTTTATATTCGCGGGCCTAGCCATCCAGATTGCATGGGCAGAAAAAGTAGCAGAACGTGCGCGGGAAGCTCACTGCGCGAATAACGCCAATTGTGCAGCAAACGCATGCAACGTTCTGATCGGTGGTAAATTGTATTGCTCTCAATGTAACACAGGATTTGTTCCTATCAATGGAAAATGTGTAGGCAAAGATGATGTAACAGATAAATGTACAGCTGCCGATGGAAATACTGCATCTGATGAGACCTGTGCAAAGTGCGCTGGTCAGACTTTTATGTACAAGGGCGGGTGTTACGAACAAGCTATTGAGCCTGGCAATGTGATGTGTGGAGGAGCAGCTGGTGGTAAGTGCACACAGGCTACGGAAGGATACTTTCTACCGCCGGGCGCTGATAATGCGCACGACTCGGTTGTTTCGTGCGGAGATTCGATAGGCGTGACGCTTACTGGCAATAAGAAGTACACGGGCGTGGATGGGTGCACTGCCTGTGACGGATTACAATTAACGGTAGAGGCCAGTGGAGTTGCTAAGTGTACTGCGTGCGGCCCTGATGCGCAGCAAACCGCGAGGATTGTTAAGACGGACGGCGACGTGACGTCGTGTGTGACGGAACATGAGTGCACGAGTACTGCAGGCTTCTTCGTCGATGCAACAGGCAGTAAAAAATGCACCAAGTGCGCTGAGACATGCAAGACCTGTGAGACCGAGGCTACGAAGTGCACCTCTTGCAATGAGGACAAGCCGTACCTAAAGAAGGCGCAGTCACAGGATCAGGCAGGCGAGTGCGTGACTGAGGAAGCGTGCACGAGTGGAAACACCCACTACGCCGACGATGAGGAGCCGAAGACGTGCAAGCCGTGCACGGCAGGAACGTTTGAGAACTGCAAAACATGCACCAAAAGTGACACCTCCGTTACCTGCACAGCGTGTAAGGAAAATATGGTATTTGGACTCGGAAAGAAGTCGTGCATTAGTAGCTGCCCTGATAACTCAGAAGCCAAGACCGAGAATACTTGCACGTGCAATGATGGATTTAAACTTGACGAAGAAGAAACACAATGCGTGCCAAATGATTCCCCTTCAAATCCATGCAGTACTCAGGATTGTAAGGCATGCAGTGGTGCACAAACAAACAAAGAGATCTGCACCGAATGTCTGTCCAACAAGTATCTGACGCCAACAAACCAGTGCATAGACCACTGCGAATATATTCTAGGCTACTACAGTAGCACAGAGGGCAACAAGAGGGTCTGCAAGAAGTGCGAGGTCGCCAACTGTCTCGCGTGCAGTGAAAATGGCGGGTGCGGTCTCTGTAAGGACGGCTTCTACGGCGAAGCGTGCTCCCCTTGCGATTCCAGCTGTAAGACATGTAGCGGAAATACTGCCAATGATTGCACAAGCTGTAAGTCTGGAAGCGCGCTCACCTACGGATCCACAGGAAACACTGGCACATGTGGGGCCGAGTGCGCGGCGGGCACAGGCACAGGCAAGTGCAGGGAGTGCGGTCTGACTGTTGAGGGGACAAAATACTGCTCTGTCTGTAGTCAAAACAACGAGTATCCCCAGAACGGCGTCTGTGCTGTTAAAACCAGTCGCACAGATAAGTGCAAAGATGGAAGCATTACTGGTGGCGTGTGCAATGTCTGCGCAGACGGCTTCTTCAAGATGAACGGCGGCTGCTACTCCACCAGCCAGCTTCCGGGGTCGACAGTGTGCTTGAGTGCGCAGAGTACAGGCGGAACCTGC